ACAATTCATGTTTTATACATCAATTCCATCGAATTGACACCCAGCAATGTGATCCGTTCGTCCTGATTCACAAAACTCACAAAGTTACCAAAATACCCCCAGATCACCCTGTCTCCCCTACCAATCTACCCCCAGATATCCAGTACCCCCACCCTAGCATCCCTACTATTATTCCACCATTTTTCCATATTTTTATTGGCCACCGTTCTATTCCTATTCACCCTACGATCATCCCTGCCCATATTCCCCATTTTATCCATACATAACCCAGCCCATTTCACTATATACGCCCTACCTACCCGCCCTACCCATTCCCCAGCACCCCTACCCCATCCCCTACCCCCTACCCTACCCCCAGGACCACCCCCGTACACCCTACCCCATCACCCTGGGCCACCCGGCCACCCAGAATCACCCCCCGGCTGCCCCAGTAGCCAGCCCAGTACTGTCATTTATAATTCTTGGGTCAGAGAAACCTTTGTAAAGGACCCCCTTCTTACTAGCAGGTACCTTTATAAAGGTGGTACATCCTCTGGTGATGTGAGGTGTAGGGTGTGCTGGAGGTACATCAGGAGGGCCACTCTGGTGACCACCAACGTTCCACTGGTCGGCATTACTAGGTTTGGAAAATTGAAATTATTTTCAGGAATAGAAAGCAAAATGATTAATGAAAAACTTACAAGAGACGCAACAAATCTTCACGAGAAAGATTCGAAACCCAGGGACAAGACTGAGGCTGAGGTGCATTGCTGGGACCGGCCACTCTGGTCGGCAACCATAGAAAGATAAGAGGAAGACGAGAACAAAAATATTTTGAACTGAATAATGAAAGGAATCGTACCGTTCACCGGCGGGGCTATCATTGGGTCGATATAAGAAAACTCTTCATCACTTTCACCATCAATGAAGCCGTCATCCTCTACAGCAGCAGCAGAATCCTGCGAGGCATGTAAAAGCCTCCAGCATTCTTTTTCTTCCTCAATGGCAGCATCATAGTACGCGTCAATATATTGGAAAGCCCATTCCTCATAACTCTGCTCTCCTTCGTCGAACTCTTTAGCGGAGCTGTTACCTTCTGCTCTTTGTTTGCCGTTGTGGTTCGCCATGATGGTGATCAGGCCAGGGGGTGATGGAGGCAAGATAAGAGGGCATCGTGTCAAGTCTCAGCTCTGCAAGCTCTAACCAAGTCGGAGTTCGAATAATGAGATTTGAAACAAGCGCCGCAGAAGTGTGGCCACTCGTTCAAGGTAAGAAGGACTATAAGGAACTTGAAATTACATCAGTCTTGAATATTAAAATTTTCGAACTGTGCTGCCAAGCGAGCTGTATCATCTCGACAAGCCTCCCTTTCTAACTCCTGTGCGGCTGCTTCTCCATCACTCACATCAACAGAGGTTTTCCCTTTCCCAAGGCTGCCACCATATCCTGACTCCACCCCAACGGAATACCTGATCCCTCTTGACCTGTAAATCCATTCAGACTCTCGATCTTGTTGAGAATACTATGGTGGTCATTGTTGACAACCTGACACTCATTGTACCGCCCTCTAACCTCTGCAGCTAACATGACATCGCCACGTTCAGTGAGTGTCTTGATAGCATCCTCCGAATTCTGCGACAAAAGTAAGCTCCATTATCTTCTTCGCGTCTAGTATTTCTGCCAGCGGATTCATCTTGGCTGCAAGTGAGTTGTATGTGCTGAGGGCCGTTCGAATAGCTTGACTTCGTGAATTCAGATGAACCCATACATTCTTGCGAACATTGTAGCCTGAAAACAGCTCAGCATATCATGGTACTGAATAAAGAAAGATGTAGATGCACTCATTACAGGGACGTTGGCCTTCTGTAGCTCGAATAGTCATTGCACAACCAGACCTTGAAGTTTGTTCAGTACCTGATGGTAATCGCGTTTCTTGATATATCTCCTGATACTTCGTGTCTGCAGGCTCCCAACGTTTTGCCACCCCCAGTTTGAGCTCGAAGTTGTGGACAGCTTGTTCACGTGTGAGGAAACGGCTCAAAGCTAATTCACGCTCACATTCAGCCTTACTCATTGCTGCAGCATCCACGCCGTATGATTGGCCTGGTGTCCAGTTAGTTATAAGGAGCGCAGAGCGTGTCTTCTGGTAGATTTGACTAGAGATTCGTAAGTGAAACTGCACGGACATGAATAGTAGATTAGTGAAGGGACCCACTCTGCTGCCGACATTGCCTTGAGCTCCTTGACATATGCACACTCAAGGGTCCTCTCCGTCGACTCTCCCGATGTCTTCGATCTCAGATATACAAGCTCCTCTTGAATCCAGCCTTGAACTTCAGCTCGTTCCATGTTGAGATGCCGAAGCTCTCTGTCAACTTCAGGGGAATATCTGAGGACAATCTTGAGGGCTTGGCGGTAATTGTTGAGCAAGAAGATCGCTTTCAGAAGTAAAGAGACATACTGTAGTTTTTCGCGCACAAGTTCGTGTCCCGTGTCCCATGGGGGCCGCGAAAAAACTCGTGCCGCGGGACAGTCCCACCCCATTGACGTGCATTGAACTTGTAAATGGGACAAGCCAAAATTTGGTGCAAATTTGACAAAAATGCAAATATATTCTAGGCTCCTAAAGTGACCTCAGAAAGGCCCCCAAGACACACTTTGGGCCAGATTTTGCCACTGGGTGAAATATTTTACCCAAATGCAGAGGATAAATGGCTGCTGAGCGGTTGTGAAAGGTTGTATTCCTGGAAAAGTGTTGATGTTCACGAACATTGTCCCTTGTCCCGGTCTGCTTGCAAACCGGGACACGAACGTATTATGTCATCTCGGCAACGGCCGAGGGGCGGTGGCGTGAACTTGTGCGCGAAAAAGTACAGTACAGAGATTGCTGTACTTGTCCTCGTCCCATTGCTGAAAGTGAAGATCGTATGCCTGGAGCCAATGAAACCGTAATGCACTGCGAACAAGCGATGTAACAAGGTTGGAAAGTGAAAATATTTGTTGCATCCCCTCTAGATCCTCCAACCCAAAGCCAAGGATATAGAGTGAATGGCACTCTAGCTGACAGGTCCGGTTGTGCGCCCATCCATGAAAAGCATTGACTAGAATGTGAAGCTTCCATTCGGCTGCAAGTGGCCCAACAAGCTCGCTTGAGTGAACTGTGGCGTTGAACGAGCATCCAATATCGAAACCCAGAACGTTGTGAGGATCAATATTTGTTCTGAGAAAGTCGGACACTACCGCCAGTGGATACTTTGCCCTAGAGATACTTGTCAGACAATTGCTCAGCAAGCAACAAGGAAAACACCTACAGCTCGCCACTTTGAACCATATCACAGAATTTCAAAATAAACCCGTGGCGACAGGAAGCACCAAACATGCCCGTCTGATCCCAGCACTTGAGGGTAACCTTCATTGCCTCTGGTGCTGCCGCCTTCCAATTCTTGCTGCAGTGGCTGGTCTCGCCAGGGTCTCCATCTGTAGGATCGCCTTGTGAGTCAGACGAATTCAGCCCATTGATAGGCATAAGATCCTGCAATCGGGTCATGGTCAGTTATAAGTCTAAGGAAATTATTCTTTAAAGAATAGACTCATCTCATCTTCGTCATCATCTTCCACATCATCTCTCGGTAGTTCCGGTTGGCTCTTTACTTCGTTCTTGAATATATCCACCTCTTCTCGAGTGAGAAAGTAGTCGCTCTTGAAGTCGTGGTCGTCCTGCAGGGCGGCAGACATGAACCGCTTCGCGGAGTTGTTCCCGTCAACAACAATCATACGAGAGAAAGCTAGTGTCTTCTCGTCCTGAAGCTTCAAGGAGTTTATGTGTGTAGAATTATGTGATACCCAACCAGTACTAGCGTACCTTGAAGCAGCAAGCTGGACATGAATTCTTGACACGCCAATCCGGGTCGTCTCTGCCCAGTCCTATGAGTACCCGGTCATTGACCTTTCGTAGAATCTGTAGGTATGCATCAAATGCAATAGAGAAGTGCTTGTGCATCTGAGCTCTATATGGAACCTTGCACATTGTATAAATGGGGGCTCAAACATGCATTTGGGGACAAGGTGGTGTACCTTTTGAAGATCACAGAGTGCCCGAACAAATGGCAGTATACCAAATCTTGAATGACGCCGATGCAAGCGATAGTAGAGCTCGAGAACCTCAAGATCAATAGCAACTGTAGGCTCGATTGGAGATACTCCTAGAAGACCCAGCTGAATGAGTGCCTGATTCATTGATTGCTCGTGCTGCTGTACGACCACAATTTGCTCTCGAGCTAGTGTAGTCCCCGTCAGAAATGGTAGTAGAGTATATGTTGAATGAATACTTACTTCGTTCATGGACCGCAGTACAATAAAATGAAGTGGTATCTAATTGCGTAGAATCGGTTGGTGGCACAGAGACTGTTGATGTGTGCGGACATGATCCAGAGGTGGGGAAAGACGGGGTCTTTCTTGTCCATAGGGATCATACCGGTGCTCTAGGTATGCGTCTGCCAGAGCTTCGATCTGGTCGTCCCAGTTGGACTAGAGGGCATGGATGCGGTTGCAACGGTTGACAGACTGCCCCCGTTTGAGATACCATCGCATGCTGTTGAACAGTAGTCGAAGGTTAGCCCAGAAAATACTGGCAAAATAAAACTGAGTTAAATATACTGTAGTTTTTCGACCAAGTGTTCGTGGGAGAATCACATAAGCCGTGACCACCGCTGGGCCACTGTTCACTCGGGTGGGCCACGCGTGACGAACCAGCGAAATTGCTCGTATTCAGGTCAAAAATTGGATTTTTGGCGATTTTTGGCACAAATCGGTCACGATTTTCTGTTCGCGAACCCCTGTGTATGCGTGACCCCGGGACCCTATCTGTTCGTCGACGCACTCCGCGTGATGCGTGACGAATAGTTGGTCGAAAAACTACAGTACTTGTTTGTAGAGGTCATGAGTGAGAAGGTCCTCTGCGCCACACTGACATTTGGACCATACTCTCCTCCAATGTGTGATATCTCCTGGGCATTGACAAGATCATCATTGTCTGAGTCAGACCAGTAGTCATCATCTGCGTCCTCTTCCTCGTCACTTTGTGGATTGACTAGATTGTCGTAATCAACATCCATGGGAACCACGTCAAATTCTGATGGATTGTCGCCGGGTTCAGGTATACTTGCCTCCAATCTGCATGGTCAAGTCATGTAAGGACCTAGGCTAATTTACGGTATGAAAGACTGAAAATATATTACGCTGCATAGCGTCCCGACGTTCTCGTAATGCCTCTTTTTCTTCACGAGCAAGTCGGCTAAAGGACTTGACTGCATCTTTGCTCGTGGTAGCACACCGACCAGGTGTGTAGCTTTTGATTGGCTTAGACCTCGATATTTTGGCACGTTTATAGAACAAACTCATCAAAACTATAAGAGCAGGGGGTTGGCAGGCTCGACTGCAGTGCCACACGGTGACTTGACCACAGTAAATGAACTACTTGCGCTGTTTTGTTACATAATCATATAATGTTCACGCCACACATGCATGACCATTCGAAAAGCAGTAAGTGCTGCCGCTGTTGAAGATGGCCCAAACCTCACTGTTCTGTGATTATTGTAGGGTGATAAATCCTAGTACTCGTGGTCGACGAGACATTATCACTCTTCAGCATACTGAAGGTGCGAACACTTCGTGCCACTCGCAGTTAGCCCATATGTGGGCTTTGGGCCACAGTGGCACTCTCTCGAATCATTTTCCTTCGACTACCTACCTCTGACACTCAGGTATAACAAAGGGACAGATGTGCGATAAACACACAGAGAGAAAATCAAAATACTTAATGATTATGCACGGTTAAATATAGTATGGTAGCAGAACGGAGGGATGTGTGGCACGTCGTCTGCAACAGCATCAGCGAGTCGTGCAATGTAGAGCCGGCGGTAGAGGGACGCGGTATGAGGTATGAGCGCGAGGGCCCAGGCCAAGGGAGGGGGAAGCCAGAGGGAGAGACATTGGAACGTCTCCGATGAAGACATCGGAACGTCTCCGATGAAGACATCGGAACGTCTCCGATGAAGACGTCGGAGAGGGACCCAAGGTGGTGAGGGGATGGCGGGGCAGCTGCGAAGAAGGGCAAAGGAAAGGAGAGGCGAGGACAAAGGCGACGCATCTGATCAAGCCTAGTTAGGCTCCATCGCCACACCATGCCACCGGAGTCTAACTAGACTCCTTATCAGTGCTATCGAGGTGCTGATACCTTAGACACGTTCAACTCATTTTATGTTAGTAAATGGGCGGATCACAATGCTCACAATGTGTTGTATGTACCAAAGAGAGTCGATGATCCTTAATACAATACTTATACCACATACTACTGTCTCTATATATACAACCTTTGACAATGGGAGCATACAGTTTAGCTTGTTTGATTCTGTTTGGGATGTTTGTGCCGCAGATTGAAACATGCCAAACAAATCAGGAATATCAAACCACTGTAAACTACGGAAAACAGTTGTAACACACGCAAACACCTCCAAACCAAGTTGACTGGTTTGCTGCTGTCTTCCTCTTACCCTTATGATCCTCACCCATGATGGCTGTTGGTTTACACCTTTGCCATTCCAACAGTGACATCAGCTCCATACCCCTTCTCCATCTCCCTCTTTGCTTCTTCATTCTCTCCACTACTACCTGCAATACTGCCTTCCTTACCTACACAATCTGGATCCACCAAGATGACTTCGCTGAGCATGGTCTCGTGAGCGGGAAAAATCTTGGACAAGGTGTAGAACACCACAGAAGCCACAGTGAACTACACATGCCAAACATTACACATGAACATGGTAGAGGTCAATATAGAAGATGAAAGGTCAGGATGTGAAGAGGAAGTGGACGTACACCAAAGATGTACGCAATATCGAACAGGTGAGTAGCATTGCCGACTGGGATACTAGTATTGATGCTGTTGATGAGGCCTGGCATTGTCGGGGGAACAGAGACAATGAGAGCAACCAATGCTCGCCAATTCTGCAATATAATTGAGCTGAATGCGGCTAATGTGAAAATCGTTAAGACAGAACACACCACTCCACCAGTATAGCGATATCGTCCATGAGGTCGGTACATAGAAGGAACGTCAACGTTACCGTAGTGTATGAGCCAATACTAGCCCATATCGATCATATTCAGTCATCCATTAGCAGTAGTGGAAGAGGAGACGTACATCGGTGACCATAATGCCAGAAATGGGTCCCAAGAAAACAGTGTAGCCGTTCATGAAAGACAAGAAGCCTGTTGCACTGCCCACAAAAGCCAAGGTCAGGGCCTTCATCCTACCCCATTTACTTGAAGCCCCGACCATACGCACCTAGCCAATATCTCCCAAGGGCACAGTGCCCACCCGCCCAGGATCGCGCAGATGACCTGTCCTCTCCTGATATTGATCCATCGCGGACACAACGCCGTCATATCATTTCCGGCGCACAGTGAATTCGCCGACACATTTGTTCCAAGGGTCGTCAAGACGAACGCGAACGCGGCGAAGAAAGCAGCAGCACGGTTGTCCCATTGATCAATGAGCTTCAGCGGATCCCATAAGGTTTGCCCATAGAGCGTTATGCCAGCAGAGGTGACGGCAATTCCGACAAAGGAACAGAGAGTGAAGACGACGGGGATGATTATGAGCTGGATGTATTGGCTGAGAACGAAAGGTAATTCAGGTGAATACAGTTCGATATTTGCTACAGGAAGCAGGGCATGAAGACCTACGCTCGCTCGTTCTTTGCATATCGCTGAACATAGCAGTCAGTATTTCTATTGCGCAGCAGTAACTGGAGTCGCCTACAGTGAAATCAGGGATGTTCACACCAAGTGTTGCATAAATCCCTAGCGCGCTGTTCAAAGCGCTCAACCACGCCCAACTTAGAGAGGATCCGCTCAATGTTGTATGTTCCGCGATCAAACCACCCGGCGAGGACGATGGCACCTTCACGAACGCCCAAATAAGCATCGCTAGCTTGAAAGACGAAAAGGATCGAGTCAGCAATATCGAAGAGAGGCGAGTAGTATCCGAAGTACCCAAGTCGGAGGAACAATGATTGCTTTGGTGAGGAAAAGCCAGCGGATTTTCTGCGGCGAAACAAACATGAACGGAAATTGGATGAGCCAGTAGAGGAAGTAGCACATCATGCCTGCGACATTCTGAAGTCAGAGAAGCTGCGACAGAACGAAGATACGGAAACATACCCGAAGTCGTGATGTTCGCGTTGGCAGGCAAATGATTAGGCAGCCTAGCAATAGAAGGCCATATTGCCTTCAACATCTACGACCGCAATGCCACATCGCATCAGTATGCCCTCCATCTTACTTAGCCCCACTCACAATGTAGACGATGAACGCACCTGATAAACGCATTCTGATCCCGTGTACGTCTGTATTCCGAACCAGAACATGGAGAGCACGACCCTACTGATCACACTAAAGTAACTCAGCCAAAATCCAAATGAAGATCTATTGAGCACGGGGAACGGAATGTGCAGTCGTGCGCCAATGGTCCCATTCAGTACCATTACGATAGCAATGATGATGTGCCCAACAGCAATCGCGGGCAGAGCCTGTCTCCTGCATTCGGTCAACACAAATCGGTGAACACCAGACATCCGAGAGTAAGCAAAAACAGTACAGACGCACCAAGAAAGCCCAATAGCTAGCATTGAGGACGCGAGCTCCCATACCGCTGCATTCGTCGCGTCCGAGATCCAGTATGCAATGTAATTCCATGTCTTCCACGTCCTCAAATGTTCGGGTACGGGGTCCATGTCCTAGAAGATAGCGGAATACCATCTTAATCGTCCGAAGAAATCTTATAACAATGTGAGTAGACGCACCTTGTTACTCCATGCATTTGAAGGTGCGAACGTCGAGGGTTCTGGCTCAAGAGCCCAATATGAAGGCTTCGTCAATGCCGCTGCTCTTGATCGTATCGACATTTTGGCCATCAGATGCTACGAAGACGTGGGCGCGCCTGTCGACGAGCAAGTCGTTCCGGTCTCAAAGGCTTTGGAAGCTGGAGGACGTCCATCAAGAAGCCAGTTTTCGGAGGCCCTTGTGATCCCGATAGGAATGGAAAGGAAATGATAAGAGGCCGGACTCAGGCTGGGCGCGTCTATTAGGTTAGAGATAACGGTTGCAGCGGGCGATATCGCACGAGTCAAGGACTCGCGTGATTGGGACGATACCTTCGTCCCAAATGCCATATAGGTAGACTCATAGACGACGAGGACGGAGCGATAGATCAAAGCAATGTGGACAAGGACTAAGGACGTCGCTACTGTAACCAGGGCGATCGCAGAAGTCAACTCCAAGTTCAACTTGACCAGCGCCATTCCTCTGGGTTCCTCGCCACAACGGCGGCGCTTCACAAAATGAGAGCCTCGAATATGCATGGCAGAGACTGAAAGAATGACTACGCGTCGATTAACCATTGTTCAAGCTATCGTACTATACTCATACTGACGGGATATAGATATACGTATGCAAAGCCGCCAAGTCAGTCGCCGCCGTTCTCGTCCCCATACTGTAACAAAGTGAGACTCAACGGCCGCGCCTGAGCGGGGCAACAAGCTGTTCTGGCGTGGCTACAGGTAGATCTGAGAAGGACAATCGAAGTCCGTGTAAAATGCTGTAATAAAAAGACAATGGATGGAGGTTGAGAGCGGGGGAAGCGGAGAAGGGATAGAGCGAGAAAACCTCTGAATGATGCTGGTCGTAATAGTCGTGAAGGCGTGAAAATAATGTAACTGTGTTGGGATCAGTCCGTGGAATCCCTCGTTTGTGCCGTGCATTTCATGTTCGTTGACATAAGCTGGCTCGTTCTCCCGCACAGATGTGAGAACGATGGTCTGCGAGAAAGCCACACTCTCAATATTTCCATGGATATGGGTGCCCATGCTCGCAACCAGCGGAATGAGAAATCCAGGCCATAACATCTCTCCGAGTCACTTCGCTGCTGAGAATGGGGTGCTCGGCTTCGACTTGTGTCCTTTGATAGGCGGGGTTTGCGGCGCAATAAGTTGATGTGAATTCGGTCTCGGAGGTCGGATCCCACAGTCCATAGGTGCGATCTCGCCACATTTGGCGTGTGTCCTATCGAGATATCATAATTCAGATCTGACTCTCGGTGTCCTGGACGGATAAATGACATACCTCAACCCACAATCGTCACACTCCAGGACCGGTTTCCTCCCCAACCTCTTGCCGCAGATGTCGCACTTCGCACCACCCAGCAGGCCACTCGAAAAGAAGAAGTCCAAGGGTCCCCAACTTTCCACCACCGGGTGGTGCTGAGGGCTCGTCGACCCGCTCGCTGTACCGTTGACGCTGATGCTACCCTTCTTCGCCCCCGGCTTGATGAGCGTAAACCTGTGTACCATCCCAGGCGCTGCAACAGATCTGATGGTTGAGCCCCCTTCTGTGGCATCTGCCGTGCTATACATCGACGAGCTGGCGGTATGGAAAGAGTCGATAGTCATCATGGACTGCGAGCTCGGTCGTTCACCAGCGGAGTCTTGAGGAGAAGCGGCAGAGTCGTCATCAGTGACAATATGAGAATAGTTGGTGGGCGGATCGAGGCCGGGGAGAGGAGAGCCGTTGGGACGGACAGTGAGAATAGACGACAGGGCTGGTACAGTGTAAGTGCTTTGCTGCGGGTGAGAGCGAACGACGGTAGTGCTATAGTCGGAGTATGTGCTCGAGCTGGTGTCGATCAATGGCTGTTGGCTCTCACCGTGGCCTTGGGCTGGTCAAGAAAGTGGGATGAGCCAATTTTCCTGGTTAGCGTATGGGTGACAAACTCACCGATGATAGATGAAGAGGGATCGCCAGAAACTGTGACTTTCGACAGCCCAGCCACAGCCTTCTTTAATTCCTCATCACTATCGTCATCACTCTCGAAGTAGTTCCCATTCCCGATGTCTTTTCCGATGCCCATACCGAAGCTTGGAATCCTCGGGGCCGTGCCAGGCCGCTTGTTTCCCGACATGAATTTGATGCTGCCCGTGTGGATATCATCTGCTTCCGAACCCCTTGCCAAAACTTCAGCCTCGCATGCCCTCAACCTCTCCAGAATCTCTCTCGTCGTTGGTCTCTTGCTCGGTTCCTCCACAAGGCAATCGATGGCCAGCTGTACGAAGTCCTTCGGGCACCCGGCACTCGCCAGCTCCCTGATCTCTCTCTCATCAATGGCAAAAGTCGGCGCCGTCCTCTTGAACGTCCTGTCGTCCGCCAACTTCCTGCTCGCAATTTCCGCAAATATGACCCCGAGCGAGAAGATGTCAGTGGGGAGATCGAATTCATTGCCCAATAGGATCTCAGGGGACATATATGAGTCTGTGCCGCAGAAGGTGAGGCGGCGTAACTCTTCTGCATTGCGGGCAGCAATACGGGCGAACCCGAAGTCTGTAATTTTGAGACGGCCATTGGAGGTGACGAGAAGGTTTTCGCCCTTGAGGTCGCGGTGTATGCATTTACGAGCGTGGAGATACGCGAGGGCGCGAGTGATGTCGGTGGCGAAGGATATGCGAAGACGCCATGGGAAGGGCTTATGCTTGTCGTGAATGTAGGCGCGAAGGTTACCTAAAGTAAATTCAACACCTGCCGACTGGCATGCCCAGATGAGAAAAGAGCTCACCGTTTTCAATGAATTCGGATATAATAAATATACGGCCATCTGGGTCCGGGGCACGAGAGAGCCCGAGGTACAATACGACGTTCGGATGACGAGACTCCCTGCATGTTTCTGGTAAGTGCTCATATACTAAAGATATTAGATGAAACGCACTTCAACAGCCTCCACTCCCGTTCAAAGTATTTCGCAACATCATAGTCATTCGATGGAAGGACTTCCTTGATGGCCACATCGATCCCGAGGTACGATCCTGTTCAAAGCGCATCAACACATTGTACACAAACCGCACGAAATCAGCTCACCCATGTACACATTTCCAAACGACCCAGAGCCAAGCTTCTTCCAGTCTCCTTTGATATCCTACCCGTCATCATGAAGGTCAACGACACGGCTGACTGAAACAACTAATGAACGCACCTCGAAGGGAATGACATCGAACGGATCAGACATGTCCTCTGAATCTTGAGTCGCGAAGGGTATAAGATAGAAAGAGCCAGACGCAGGTGCTGGTATCTATATGCTCCTCTAAGACCGAGATGAATGGGAGCGCAAGAGGGCGGGCGGGACAGAAGGGGGAGGGTGGATGGCGGTGTGGCCAACCAACGGACGTGCCGCAACAGGCCGCAACGACCGCAAAAGGGAACGGGGACAGCCGACGTCATATGCGCCAAAGTGCGCCAAGCGCTCGAACTGCTCTTTGCGCTCAAAATGTGGCGAGTATCCCGGTCTGCATATTCCTCTCTGGTCGAATTAACCCTCGCATACGCCAATAACGAGCGACCTCGAGCGATCTGGTCTTCACGAACTCTTGACGCACAGGCAGGCAGCTCTAAGATAGGATATATTCCTTCAAATATTGCTACGCATCCCCTTGACCACTGGCAGCACCTCGCCCTTGTGTGATTGATGTCCTATCCTCGAAATAGCGCTTAGCCACGGTCGGTGATGCCTTTCATCAAAGCACTTTACATTCTCCCTCAAAATGGTCTCCCAAAGGCAGAGTAGACTGGATTTCAACCGGGCAAACGAGGAGCATCTACCAAAAGCAATACCCATCCTTGTTTCCGGAGTAGACTGAGTATATGGTGCGGGTATTGCTCGATTCTCTCGAATGCAAGAGTAGCATTTTAGCGCATCGAAAGTTCAGAAGAAATTCGGCAGCTCAGAAAACCTAGCGTACTCTAGCCCGCTTGGCTCAAGACGAACCCAGGGTTCCTCAGAGTGGGGCTCAAGGTGAGAACAGACGACCTTCACAACATCTACTATTTACTCTTTAACTCAGTATTGCTGATCCATGATGATGTCCTTCAACAGAGTCTCATCGCAGTCTCGTCATGAAGTACTTCGTTCGCACGAAAGTCACGATGTCCAAGGCTGGACCAATGGGTGTTTTGCCATTGTGATCGGTGTATGTGACCGGTATGCACATTGTAGAAGGAGGCTGACAATAGGATCCCAGCTACGAGCGCATCCAATACAATCGCTAGGTAGTCGGAAATATAAACCTCACGACAAAGAGGCAGCGTGAGCACGTAGGCGTTCATACGGTCACAGAAGACCCGATAGTGAACGGATAGCCGAAAACAACGACAGTGAAAAGGGACGGTTCTCACGCATACTTATATCCAGATAGAGCGCAAGCACATGATGAGAACGAAGGTAGGATGGCGGGAGAGAAGCAGTGGCAGTGTGTGCTAAAAGTTCAGAGAATAGTGAGAATTTTGACGCGACACGAGAGGCTCGCAAGCTTGGAATAAGTACACCAGAGTGTGCGAAGTTGCCCTGGTAGAAACATGCAGTCTATCAATACTCACGATACAAGGCCGAAGGTATCTACGATAGATCTGTCTAACTGATAGATGGATTAATATATACCACTGTTATCTTTATCATGATTGGGTTTCCGGTTCTGAGTTTGGGAACAATGGCAGACTGAGAACGTTATCTCAAAGCAGATGCAGAAATCATGCTCAGCAAAGGGATTTCATATGATACAATAGAATACACAAGTCACCAGTGCATGATGCTTGAGCTCGAGTAGAAATCCAAACCTGACCGATGGAACATGGACGCGAGAACGAATTGACGATAAAGGAGCTCCTTGCTGCGAATCCGTGGTTCGGACTCTCTAGTTTAACTTCAGATAACTCCTTCAATGTGTTAGAAGAGTCAGCAGAACACCCGGTGACGAAGCATCTGACCATAAGGAGCGGTATCTGCAGTGTTGAGGGAAGATTCTGACGTAGATGGAATATCGTGAGAGGGCGTCGAGTAAGTACAAGGAATTGTGGGAAAAACGAGCGGTGTCTACGAACGAGGGTCCACGTGCTGCATCCTTAGTCCGTTTCCGGCCGAATTGGGCCACCGGTGACCTCTTCTTTTGTGACCAGACCATGTATGTACGACAAGCTAGCGAATGCATGACAAGCATCGCCCTACGCCTCTCCTCTTCAGCCTGAATTTTTAGGATGATTTGTTTATGATATTCATCTTAGGCAACAACGGCTTTCCGCCACTCAGACCCAGTGTGAGCCCTTTCATCCTCGATGAGCTAGCTCTCGTCCTGGATCGCGTCATCTCGCTCAGCGCCCTGCTCACCTGGACTGTTCCTCGACCTGGTATAAGATGTTCACCCTCGATGCGACATTCGTCACACAATCTTCATCCGTTTCAGCACATCAGTTGTGAGCACCATCGACCATGAACTTCCAGTCCGTTCCTATCCTCGACTACTCCCTCCTGTCCAACTCCGAGAGCCGCTCTATCTTCATTGAGCAACTTCGCCATGCTTTGATCAACGTTGGCTTCCTCTACCTCAAGAATCCTCCGGTTACAGATGAAACGTTCGACTCGCTCGTTGCCTACATTCCCCGTGTCTTTGCCCTCCCCCAAGAAGCTAAAGATGCTATCGCAATGACAAACTCACCTCACTTCCTTGGTTACTCGAAGTTGGGTGTTGAGCGCACCAAAGGCGCGTCCGATCAGAGGGAACAGTTCGATTTCGCTACTCCGCTCGAGAGCGAGTGGAAGGAGGGTGATCCAGAGCACTTGAGATTGTGGGGACCATCACAGGTGAGTATGGAAGTTTGGGCACATAATTTGATCTTGCAGGTACTGATGCCTGGCTGGTAGTGGCCGAAGGAGAACGATGTCCCAGGTTTCAAGGACACATTGAATCTATATCTCACTCAGGTTGCCGACCTCAGCTACGAATTCATTGGCCTTGTCGCCGAGGCACTTGGGCTCCCTCGCGATGGACTTGACCAGTTCTATGATGCTCATGAGAAGATGCAGCACCGCGCAAAGGTATGTGTTCTTGTCGACACACGTATCGATTACTTTATCTCATCTGTATACAAAACCTCTCAGATCGTGAAATACCCGACCCTCGACGAGGTCTCCTCTGACCAGGGTGTAGGACCTCACTTCGACGGCGGGTTCCTCACCTTCGTACGTTGTTCAATGATCTACTATCCACGTTCATTGACTTGATATTTGAATATGACGTGCAGCTGCTGCAAGCATCAGACCACCCCGGTCTCCAAGTTCAGAATCTTTCTGGCCAGTGGATCGACGTCCCGCCCGTCCCTCACACATTCGTCATCAATATTGGAAAAGGCTAGTTCTATATATGTTTGTCTTGTCACTTTCCACTGATGATATCTATACAGGTCTGGAAGGAGTGACTCAAGGCCTCGCTCGGGCTACGTCCCATCGTGTCCTCTCGCCACCTCGGGGCGCCACTCCTGTGGGTGTCCAAATTTTGTACCTCTATACTTTCTTGATCTAACCGATGATTTTCAGAGATACTCAGTTCCGTTCTTCCAAAATATAGGCCAGGATCTTCGACTGAGCGATAAGGTGTTGCAGTGTAAGCATCTGTTCACCCTGTCCGCTTGCGACAATGACCAAACTAAGCACCTTCCGGCCGGCTCAGTCCCACCCGAGGTCCTTCAGCTGAGGGACTCACGAGGAGATGTCGCCGCAACAGACTGTACGCAACATACACTCTCCATCGTTCGCACTCCCGAGTCTGATATTTATGCCATCCTACAGCGGTCAACTTCTCCGAATACGATCGCGAGCCATCTGGGCTCGTCCAACTCATTGGACGCGTCAAGTACGTCTCCTTCTCATCTTCACACACCGTATATTTTCTCTCACTCAACCCGATGAGCTGACGAAATCTTTGCTCCGTAATACTGTCTATAGGAGCCATCCCGACGTCGCACAGCGCCATTATCCAAATCTCTTCCATCGCTTCTTCCCACAAGGTCTACCTGCGCAGGGTGAGGCATACTAGTAGACTACTCATCGTCCTGTGCCGCAAGCATGGAAGAGATTCATGATCCATGTTAAGTTTTCATTTTCGCTGGGATGTATGTTTTTCCTTGTACTTTGTCTATGTCTGTATGTATGTACGAAGTTATGCATGCCCGTCTACTTCGGGTGGGAGGTTCTGTGTACTGCTACTAGATTGTCGTCAAAGATACACGTTCAACTTTTTGAGTTGTTTTTGTCAGGTTGTCAACGATCTGACAAGTCGTGGGCCGGGTCATACCAAAAGATTCGTCGTGAGAGGACCAGCTGGTGCAATGGAACATACTTGGTCCTATTCTCTGTGTCACTGTTTGAGGTGCTTTGCAAAAAAAGTGGTGCTGCTTGCACATGAACGCCGCGACAAGAATATGTTGTGACGTTGTGAGCATCATCAAGTCATCAGAGAAAAAAGGCGGTCGGAAGCAGATGGTTGCGTCGATCCAAGTTCAAATGTTCACGCCGATGGCTTCTCTCGTTCTCACATGCCAAAATAACAGCGGGCGCAACGAACAGAGTAGAACCAAGTAACAGCGTCACTAGAGAAGACAGGTACTCTCCTTTATACGAAGTTTCACACCAAAGACAATCTGCGTGGTACCACAAGTAATTGCCGGACAGTACACTACGTAGTCGAAAGCCAAGAAGAAATTAACAACAACAGAGACCAGAGAACAGCGGTGATTGAAAATACAAGATGAGAACAGCGCGAGAATGAATACCTCAAGATCACAGCGTAACGATAGCACAGACAAATACAGTACATATGACGAGAACAACGGAAACTAATAAAAAGGGAGACGACATAGAACGCGGATAAGTCCCGCCCAACATCACCGCGGTGATACTACAGAAGTTCGTACTCCGCGGAAAATGAGGGAAGTGGGACGTGTGTCCGCCTCACGGCCTCAGATGGCAACACTTGGCGGGAGAACCGACTGTACGAAACAAGGAAGTGGGCGTTGTGGTAAAGGAAAGGCATACAACCAGATCACCAAATGCAGATGGAGGAACGACGGATGGGTATGGCGGACATCCGGTGAGATGAAAGCGAGAGTGTCCTGTGCGGTCTGGGATGCAAAAATAAAACATAGACCGAGGGCCAAGGAGAAGAAGGAATCCTTCGAACGGATGCGGAAAGAGCCAGGGAGTCTGGGGCGTGTATGGAACAGTTATAAGGATCAGTGTGAGGTGGGGTCGATGCCGCTTCCTTTTCTTGCCCCCCCTTTCATCTTTCCCTGGAGAGGCCATTTTCCATTTTCCTATGTTTCCACCATCCTTACTCTCCCATGGACATTCGTCCTTGATTACCCCTCCCTGTATCACCGTGCTGAAAATTATCGAAGAACAGTGCCCACTCTCCCTGCTCAAATCCACTGGACGCACCCCAAACGCCACTATCCATCCCACCCGCACCTCCCGCCATGCCTCCCGTATGCGGTGGCGGCGGCGCCCCGCTCAACCCCATACCCATCCCGACTCCGATCATACTCGGCGCTCCATACGCACCAGCCACACCCATCCCAACGCTGCGCGGATCAGTACCAACACCTGTGTTACGCTGTTGAGGCATCTGCGAGGGGACGTTATTCGGATCAGGATCGTGTTCAGTATGGTAATCTTTGTGGTAGCCTTGTAGATGGAGGAGGGTCTGCACCTGATGATGTCGCCATGAATCGCCAGGAGGCATGAGACCGTGCTGGTCGTGATGCTCGTCCTCTCGTGAATGTGAGTGTGGTTGCAAGTGTGTTTGGTGGTGGGAATCCGGTGGTGGGTGCGATTGGTGATGGTGATGACGATGAGAGGCACGATGAGACGATGAAGGCGAGGTAAGCTCTCCGTCTGAGTTGGCCGGCATGAAAGCGGTCCGCGACGATCCAAACGACGCGGATCCTGACGAATTGCCGTTCATGAAAGTGACTGGGTACGTCGTGCCCTGTACCGGGGCCCACCTCACCGAATGCAGCTGGCCATTACTTTGCGCAGAAGCCTGTGACTGTGTCCCCACATTTGCCACAGACATCGATTGAGGCGATGTCGATTTCGGAACAGAACCGTTCTGGCCGTGTCCTTCTGGTGGCTGAAGCGACATCATCGGCGGAGCCTGAGCCCGCTGTTGCTGGTGAGGGCTCTCTTGATCAGAATCAAACCTGACGACCTGGGGTGGTTCGTGTCGGCGCTGGTCGTGCATCTCTCTCTCGTCCGTTGGGTTACTTCCGGTGGAGGGAGAGACGGCACCCATGAGCACCCTCGGACTCTCGCCCGTTCCCAGACCAGCCCTTGAGCCCCTCGACGAATCGTGGTATGGGAAGGCGAGGCTTCGTACCCGAGGTAGAATATCTGTTTTCATGCGTTCCCGCTCCTCTTTCGTACCTGCGAGGTACCGATCGTCGTACAATGGGCTGAGACACTGTAGGATCGCCAGAGCCTTCTCTGCCACGGGCATTCCGCGGCATTGTTCGAGCGTGGAGAGTGCTCGCAGTATATTCCCGCGGAGCATTCGTGCACCAGGTTGATCCGGATTGTTGATGAGCTGAAACGAGAAGAACATCGCCGCGGAGAATACATGGAATGGCCCTGTGCAAGAGCAAGAGTTCGCTTAGCGCTTAGTTCATCACACCACATGTCGGGAAGATCGACTCACCCCAGTTCAGATGTCCCGGAACAGACAACGACGCGTTTGTCAGGATCTCGGGTCTTGCTTGCGCTACGAGAGCGATTAACTTGTCTGCCGCCAACACCGCCGTATCCAAACTGAACGAAAACTTCCCCTTTCCATCTCTTGCGTTCGAACTGTTCCCACTACCAATATCATCTCTCGCCAGGCTGGCATAAGGCCTATGCAGGGTGAACCTAATATGCAAGAACGCCGTCCTCACGATGATACTCTGCACTCCCAACCTCCTGATAGCCGTCGTCCCTGAAGCAAGAGAGTGAACCAGGCTATAGTCATCCATGTCAAGTTCGGGAGGAAGCGCATCGAGCCACTGCTGGAGGATTTTGTCCTTGGCCACGATGTTTTCGTAGGGAACGGGCAGGAGGGAGATCGCGTCGTCCATGATGTTACCAAGGATGTACGCGAGTTTGAAGAGCGCTATATTGGGTCCATAGATGCGGCCGGTAGGGTCAACGGCAGGGTCGCAGTAGGATGGAAGGGCGGTGTCAAAGTGGTGGGAGGCAATGGCTGGGGGACGCCCAAACATAAAGGCTTGCCAACTGGTCCGATAGTAAGTACCAAATCTGATCATGATGGTTAAGATTGGTGGAAACGGACTACTGACCGTTCGAACAAGATAACGTGCCACCAAGCCCACCTTCGCCGCTCCGCCACCTCCAACGGCAGTTTCAGCTTTCCCGGATCTCTGTGCAAGCCCATGGCCGTCGATATCGTTATCAATTCGCCCTTAACATTCCAGATCTCCTCCGTCTCAATCTTGCTCAACGCGAGATAGTTCCCCCTGAGTAACAGCAGCTCGACCAACTCGAGACTGTAGCTCTTCGTCTCATTCTGTCTTCTCTGCAGCGCGACCTTCATCACGTTGTAAAACTTCTGGCCAAGCTCCTCAATACCGATGTTCAGGTGAGGCGGTAAGGAGCGCAAAAGCTCGTGGTCCGAAGGGAGATAGGGTAGAGCGGTGGCCATGACCATGCAGACGGTGCCGAGGATGATGCGGTCTGCCGTGGCGCCTGTTTTGTAACGCTGCCAGGCGGCCAAAAAGACAGGCTCGTTGATGTGCCGGTAGACCCAGTTGCAATACTCGAAGTAGTAGTCTATCAGCCCATCGATAGTCGATACGTGGGGGAGCTCGCTAAGCAGGTCACGGTCCTCTTCGTAGCCGGGACGGTTCTCGAAGGATAGTGCCTCATAGGTCGGTGAGTGGTTGTCGTCGGGCCCCTCTTCGCTATCACGCACGTCCTGTTACATACATCAAAATTACTGCAAGTCTCAGTGGGTGAAATTTGAGACAACATACGGCAGTAGGTAGATGCGATGCCGCACTCGTGGGGCCCGTGTAGATCCCCGCCTTGTCAGACCTTCCAGTTTTACCCGGTGGGTTCATGTCGGACTCGCTCAGATCGAGCGTCACGTCGCCCTCAACTGCCTCCTGCTTCATCGATCCATTCACGGGTTCCACGGAGCGTGAAAATCGGACGTTTGACGGACCGGCGGCAGCGCTGGCGCTAAAGTCGAATGAAGGGCGGGCAGAGGAGGTAAGGGGGCTGGACTGTGTCCGAGAGGATGTCGAAGGCTGCTGGCGCTGGTTGTAGAGGATGTGGGATTCGAGCATGGCCAAGGACTGTCGCATCTTATTAACCTCGAGTATGGGGTCGATAGACTTTGCATTACTAGATGTACGACGACAGTCAGCAGAGAGACAGAACAGAGGAACAAGAGATAGTAGACATACATAGAGTCATCTGTGCGCGATATATTGGTGAACGGCTCTTGGTTCTGATAGCAATGCGCGACGGTCCCTATATCCTCGGATGATCAGCAAAAAAATTATAGTTCGTTTCGGCGTCCGCATCGCGTCGCATTCGCGGACTCAACGTAGCCCATGGAGGGTGAAAACGACCCGAGGGGATGTCATACGGGTAGGCGGTAAATAATCGAGCAAGACGATTAGCGGCGGAGTACGTCCGAGGGGTCCGCGGAGATAGAGGTTCGAGAGGAAAGGGGGCAGGAGTAGATGAAATAGGTGGATTATATATCCGAATTTGACAGGTCACGACGGTGGTTCAGAATGTTCAACCACCGAGACGGTGGTCGACGGTCTGAACGTTGAACATACTGACGATCAGCCAACCACATCCCTCGCGGGCTGCTGCCTGCAGACGGCCAGCAAGTCCACGCCCAGCGCGCCACAACTGGTCGCGCGCGTGCTCGCGACGTGCCGCCATATAGGCCCGACGTTCATTTGATTCTAGGCGAACACGACGCAATACGAAACGGGCTTATACACACCTCGAAGGACGCAAGACGAGCACGGACGATTTCTGAAGACAAGAAAAGCGGTTTGAGGGTGGTAAGATGACGAGTGTGCGGGAGTAGAGAAGTAGAAGCGGTGGGACGAACCTGTCGCACTTAAGCTTGCTATTCCTGCACGGCTCACAGTTGATCGCCTTGCGGGCACGCTTCGTGGGCACCTTGTGGTCTGGGTGGGACGACAGGCCGTCGTTGTTGCTCGGTGAGCGCTGGCGGACGTTGGAGGGCGAGCTCTGCGGATTGCGAGACTGCTTCGGGCGCGACGAGGGACGGTGGGCAGTGTCTGCCGTCGGTGACGAGAGACGATCAGAGTCAGCCATGGGTTGGGAACTGAGGAGGGCGTGGGTGCGGGAGCTGGTCGGTGGGGACAAGCAGACGTCGACGTTCGCTCAGGACTTAGCTTGGTCGCCTCTGAACAGACAAGCTGAAATGTTCCCGTCCTCAGTCCCACGCGCGCACCAGGTGCGCTCAGCCTAGATTTCCCCTTTCCGCCCGCTGCTTCCCTCGAACCCTTCCTCCAGCCGTCCTCGGCTTGATCTCCCACCCTCATACCCTTTATCACCTGCCCCTCCTTTATTTTCTCGTTTTTTCCCGATTTTACAGCCTTCGGCCGATCGCTTGCAACCCCCTCCTCCACCTCTTGCGCTCTCACGCACTCTCCCTGGGAACCCCTCTGTATCATAGAACTCGCTCAATTAGAGTTTCGCCGTCGGCCATGTCCTCTGACAGCATATCGATCCCTCCCTGCACCGCTGGCACCTTGACATTATGGCACTCCCATAAATACTCTCTCCCTCCTAACGGCCACCCGTGTCATCATCAGTTCGTCTCGCCATCAGACCGTCCTGCGCCAGTGATGCTGCTCGATCAAACCATAACTTGCACTCTGGTCTGCCTTGTCTCTCGACTGTCTCTGGTCCAGCTTGCCACCCGGAGGCACAAACTTGCCATTGTCTAGCTCGCTCGTCCAACTTCGACCTTGCTGCTTTCGCGTGCATGCCTTTTTTTGGGACTCGCGGCGGCAATCGAGACCTTCGCTGTGCTTTTACTACGGAATTGTCACTAGCGTGGTCTATTCGTGCTATGTCCCATCAGATGTAGAAGATTGCTCCGGTGCTCGCGGTGGTTTGAAACGGAGAGTACATTTATAGCTGGGTTGGACGGTGAACGGTGGAGCAGGTGTATGTATAAGCTCCTTTTGTACCGTCGGTAGCTTGAGCTTATGGTCTTCCCGACGAGTTAGACCTCATATGTTCATGGACACGCTCATAGCTCATCTCCCACTTGTACTTCGAACTTTTATTTATTCTTGAACCGCTGCTGGAGAGTCGGAGCAAACAGAGTCGTGTCACTCAAGATGTACTTGGCAGTGAAATCTGAAAGCGAAAATGAGCCAAACAACGGAGGACCGGATGGTAACCCTATCACCCGGGTCTATCGTGGTCCACATTCGTACATTGCCTTATTGAGCGCCCGGATGAGTAACACAAGGTTCTCTGCAACGTCATTGGTCGCCACATCCACATCCGGCCCCCGGCGAAAGCCGAAGGCGAACTTGAATGATGAGATTCGGAACCTTCCTCACCACTCGCTCAAGCTCTCACCGTAAGTATCGTGGGCATAGAAGAGCTTCACTTTATCAACGAAGACTGATAAGCGATTGGGGACCTCTGTGCTAAGGTACGCGTCGAGTGAAGCAAATGACACGTTGCTCACACAGACCACAATGGCATCTCTTAGAGCTACTGGCAGCATTGGTACGAGTGAGCACCGGGCTCACGTAGTTGCTCACAGGAAGACCGCAATACCCCATTCGGGCTCAAATAACAGTATGGATACGCAGAAATCAGCCCCTGCGCACCGTGACCCCTCCGGCGACCCAAATACCTCGAGTAAATCTCCTCTGCGAAGTTCTCCGACCCATCCCGGGCCAAGACTCCTAGGTATAGAATGGCTTCTACTCTCCACGATGTTTGTAGCGGCTCTTTTCATGCATTACGGACCTCCAAATATCTGGCCATTCTTGAACGAAATCTCACCTCATCAAGATATCCCGAGAGCATATGCGGTGTGCACCCCGTCGGAGGCAGGTATCTATACCGTCGACGATGAAGATAGCAAGGTAGAGTGTATGCTTGTGAATGGAGACAAGATCGCCATCACCGGAACGAGGGGTAGGTTTTTGCGTCGAAATACCTCCATGAGGACGCTCTCATGTTTGCTTTTGATTTAGATGAAATGAATGCATATTGGAGCGCATCATATCCTGACCTCGGTCTCAAGATCTTCGAGGCGAGCGCAGGGTCTGTCATCGTACCAGGTCTTGCCGGTTAGACCTGCATCCTACCACCTTCATCTTTATGCGTGAACCTAACGATCTATTTTGGGAACTCGCACAGACTCGCACGCGCACTTCCTCGAATGGGGCTTCAAACAGCAACTCCCTCTCGAAGGTGCCAGCTCCGTCAATGGTAAATTTAATTGAACTGTCTACCAACAGAACGTCACGGCTGACATTGAATACAGATATACTTGAAAAGCTGAAAGCATACGTCCTTTCACATCTGGACGTTCGCCATGATCATTCTCGCTGGATTCTTGGCATGGGTTGGGATCAGACGAAGTGGCCCTCTGCCACCTTTCCTACCGCTGTAAGCCATTCCCTCTATATTTTGCTCGAATAGTCTATTTACGAATCGCCAACACTTTCACTATTGACAATGGTGCCCTTTTCTTGACATAGGACGACTTCGACCGTGAACCTCTGCTTCGAGACCGACCTATCGCACTCTCTCGCGTAGATGCTCACGCCCTTTGGGTCTCTCATAGCGTGCTCAAGCGCATAAAGGACTCACTGCCTGACACCATTGATGGTGGCCTTATCGTCCGCGATGACCAACACAGACCAACAGGCACGCGCTCTTCGCTCTGCTCTGACCAAGAGCTCTTCAGACTAATACTAATGAGTGATCACGCATATGCACAGGTGTATTCGTCGACAACGCCATGGAGTTCATCCCCGTCCCCGAATGGACGGACGAGCAAACGGCTGAATACTTCGATATCGCGGTGAGAGATGCGTTCAGCGTGGGTCTGACGAGCGTCCATGATGCGATGTCTACGCCGCATCACATCGAGTTCTTCAAGCGGTACATTGTTATCATTTTTGCCTTCCAACGTCCCTCTAACGCTGACACAATGCACGACTGTGTAATACAGGATGGCGGACGAAGGAAAGTTGCCCGTGAGTCAGCATTTCTTCGTCTCATTGCACAGGCTTTCCGCAACTTTAATCACTAGATCAGACTGTACCTCATGGGCCACATCTCCTCCGAAGAGTATTGGGGCAAGAACCTTACTCGTCTCATCGACTATGGACTCGACGGTAGACTGAACCTCCGCAGCGTCAAGCTCTTCACCGATGGTAAGTCCGATACGGACCATGTATTCACCCACGAGCTCACTGAACCCCTAACCCGTTTGACTACAGGTGCATTGGGGTCGTGGGGTGCCGCACTTCTGGAACCCTACACTGACGATCCAACTACGAGCGGACTCATGCGTATCTCGGAACCCAAGCTCAAGGCTTTAGTGGAGCACTTCTACGCAGAAGATTGGCAAGTGGTGCGTACTACCATAAATCCCATATATAAACAAACGCATTTTTCGCTCTCTCCATTATCGCTTTATTAAATCGCTATATTGGTAGAATATTCACTGCATAGGTGACCGTGCCAACAAAGTCGCCATAGACATCTTCGAGGACGTCTTGACATCGAGCGGAGGTCCAAGCGTAGACGAGTGGAGGCCGAGAATCGAGCACGCACAGATCATGAGGTTGGAGGATCTAGAGAGGGTTGGGCATGTCGGGAGTGAGTCCGAGTCCCGTCATTCTTTCACTTCAGTTCGGGAGCTGATGAATTGCGGGTACAGTCATAACAAGCGTGCAGCCCACCCATGCGTGAGTCTTTGCGATAATTGACACTCCCGAGGTGTGGAAGTCGACTGATTAGAGCGACCTGTTGACTTTTCGTGCGGTGTAGGACAAGCGACATGTGGTACGCGGAAACCAGACTGGTACGTATCGACTTTCATCCGCCCTGCTTCGAACCTTCTTTGAGTTCGTCTATGCAGGGTCCCGAGCGCATCAAAGGTGCATACGCATACCAGAGCCTCCTTCGGTACGCACAACAATTGTCACCGAAAGAAATCAAAGATTCGTGGTTGAGTAACATAATACTAACCGTGACCCAGAAACTCGCGCAAAGGAATTCTCCCTCTAGGCTCCGACTTCCCCGTCGAAGGCATCAACCCCCTTCTCGGATTCTACGCCTCCGTTTCCCGTCTCTCCGTATCCGGAGACTCGCCCAACGGCACAAACGGCTGGTAAGCAAAAAGCCTTCCATTCCCATTCTTCCTCCCGCCATACTCACATCTCTTTAATTTGACACCTTATCCAGGTACATCTCTGAATCCCTCACACGCACCCAAGCCCTCCGCGGCATGACGCGCGACGCCGCCTACGCCTCTTTCGCCGAACACTCCCTCGGGATGCTGATTCCTGGGATGAAAGCAGATTTTGTGATCCTAGATAGGGATATCGTAGACGAGAAGAAGGTGGCGGTGGCGGATATATTGGGTACGAAGGTGTTAGGGACGGTGGTGGATGGGCGGATCGTTTACGGGAGCTTGTGAGTTGTTGGGGGCGACACAATATAGCTCGCCACATCGAGTTTGAATGCATGACGAGCGTTTTGGGCTATTGGACTCGCATAGAGTTGATTTCGAGATACCGGCGTCTGACCCAGCGTACTTTATACACAATGATTCCGAACGTACCCTACATCACCTCTACTTACAAGCTACATGTTTGCGCCACACTCCAACGTCTATGTAAGTAAAAAAACCTTCAATTGAATACACCAGGGGGGGACGAAACCGACACACTATGTTACTTCGTGGATACGTATAGGTATATAATAATCGTAACAGTTTATTTGTTGCACTTCTCTGTATCGTGAACGGCACAACATTTAGTAGGACTTCATATTCTGATCACATCCTTCCATTACAACCTTTACGACCCACACCTCCTGACCAGTACCCGCTCACCCAAGAACCGTGTCCGTTCCTTCATCGCCGCTCTTCCCATCACCGTTTCCACAATCCGACCTCATCACCTCACCCCGACCGATCATCATCCCAGTCCGACCCCTGCGCGATCAACTCGGAATGCCCCATCTTCTCCAGCTTCTTATCAAAGTCACGTTTCCTATATCCCTTCACAATACGTTCGAGCAGTTCCGAGGTCGACACGCCCGGCGTGCGTCTTGTCGGAATGAATTTACCTGTACCACACCAAACAAAAACGAACCTTTCAACACATCACCCTCACGACGACGCGAAGACCGAGTACGGATCTAGAGGAGAGGTCAAGAATAGAGACACGCACCCTTGGACTTCACATACGAATACACATCGTCGTGTCCCGCGCTCACGTACGGGTCATCATCATGCGCCACATAGTCGATCTGATACTTCTCCACAAACTCCTCGTCGAGGACCCAAGGCGCCTCTGGGACGACCTGGTCCACCCAGCGACAGTGTCCCACGGCTTCGCATCTACCGCAACACACCACGCATGAGAAGTGAGAAAGCCTGAGAATAACAAGAGACGGGACGCACCGCTCGGCATGTCGCATGATCGTGCTCGCTTTATGCGCCTTGACGAGCTCATCCGAGTTGACGCCGACGATGAGATGCACCTCCGGGAAGGAAAGCTTCGCCTGACGTAGTTGGAGCGCGTGTCTGTTTGAGCGAAGTAAACAAAATTGAAATCAGAACCACCGCATGCGTGGGCACATGTTGCGAATAGGGGCGAGTGGCCAACTGGAATGGCCGCGCCACAGTGCGGCCACAGTTCACAAAGTGGGGGGAGCACATGAAAGAATGGACGTACCCGAAATGGAAAAGATCGTAGACTCCTAGAATGACCAACCCAGAATGTAAGAATCAGCAAACGGTCATTGATATGTACGCATGCTGAGCACACGAATCGAAGACGAGCACGAACGTGCGTAGGTGTTAGGGCAACCCCAAATCTCAACACACTCACCCACGCAGAAAAATAATGAACAGAGAAGAGAAGGAAACAGAAAATACGCAGACAGTATAACTCACCGTCGGCGTAAACCCTCACAGGCCTACCCACCGGCGGCTCTGCGATCACATACTTCGCCTCCCCATTCCTACTCTTCTCAATCGCCTCCTTGACGAAAAGCTGTATATCCTCCGGCGTCAAGGCAGCCGGATCAAAGTCAAGTTGTGCTTTCTCCTCCGCCGCGGGCTCAGGCTCGGGTGGTGCGGTAGTAGAACCGAGTGGTCCTGCGGGGGCAACATGAGTGGTGGTGACGGTGATGGGTTCAACGTCGGAGGCGGAGGCACTAGAACCCCCAGGAGCGATAGTAGAGACGACCATAGGCGTAGCCCGATGGTGCTGGTGATGCGTGTGTGGGTGCGGGTAGTGACTAGTCGTAGCAGTAGTCGTAGCAGCAGGAAGCGGTCTGGTCGAAGTCGTCGGGGAAGTCAAAGTGGAAGTGGACGAATAGAGATGAGAAGTCGTGAACTGGGTTGAATTCGGGTCGCGCGGGGCAGGACCTCCAGCGGTAGTGCTCGATTCGATGTCGCCGTCGTAGGTGGGGCTGTCTACGCCGTCGGAGTCTGAGAGGAGGGAGGACGCGAGGTGGTGTTTTAGACGAGACTTGTTCTGAGGCTGTGGAGCGGTGGGAAGGAGGGTGCCTGAGCGTGCTTGGGTCGACGATGACGACTGCGACGGTCGACTAGTCGGAGACGGTGGGGGAATGGAGAGCGCGGACGCTGCGTCGTCTGTGAGCGGGTCGTTGTCCTCTTCGGATCTGATTAAAACCCGGAGATATAAAGATCAGTGAACGGAAGACAAAAGGGAAATTTGAGAATCAACGAAGCGGACGAATTGCGGGGTTGGCGAAGCGAACGTCAAAGCCTTTTTAGCTCTGGGGAATCGGAAGCTGGGGGCAGAGGGGAAAAGAGAACATACGCATCGTACGAAGGCGAGTCGACGACTGGATACTTTCCCAACGAACGTTTCCCGTGCACCGTCTTCTTGTGATGCTGATTGGGCTCTGCGCTGTCCGCCATCGTTGCGTTCTCTGCTCGTGTCTGTTGTCTACCAAGCCTCCAACTCCTCCGAGATCCTTCACCTCCAATCCGCTTCCCACGACTGCTTACAGCTCCATCTTATCTTGATCACACGCCGTCTTCCGGGTTTGCCGCTTCCCACAACCAGCTCGAGACGAACATCATTATACTGGGTATAGAGGCATTTTAGTAGCGTATCGTATCGTAGCAAGAGGCCAAAGTGAAAGTCGTGAATATGACATGGGCTGCCAAGTGTCCCGAAACCAAAGCGAAACAGAGCTACAGACTATAACGGACAGAATAACAGGAAATACATCATGTATGAAGAGGTGAATGCCAGAGAATAGAAAGAGAGATGCTGGGAGAGACAAGTATGTATGTAGAGCTGCACGTATATCTCTACGGCGGTCCGGCAGCTCGAAACCAGAAAAATCCTATGGAGCCACACTTAGATCTAACAACGGGGAAATATAGAGAGACAGACAAGTTGAAGTAGAGGAGACGAGTCCGTGGCAAGACCCGAGTGAGCCACTGTTCTGACGACACTTTCACGATTAGAACGGGCATTTAATTTAGCTATCGGTACCATGCAGGGCGCCCTGCGATACACAAGAGCATATGAGTATCGAAGAGTAAAAAATAGGACATCCGACATACCTTCGTAGCCCCCACAATCGCCTTGTTTGTATCCTTCTTCTCAGAATCCGAACTCTTTTCATGATCGTCTTCGTCCTTCACCGTGTTCATAAGCGCTTGAATCCTGCACCACAGCGAGTCTCAATATCCTCTCCCTCCTTTCGATACTAAAGAAAAATTCACGCACCCACTGATCCCCAACCCATGCGGTGGATACGCTACGAACACCGGTTCCTCCTCCACCCCAAACTTCCTCCTGAAATCCGTCTTGTTCGTCAGATTGAACGCGCTCGTGATGCTCTTGTACGTCTTCGCCATCCCCTTGAACCTGAGCCCTCCGACGTTGTTCGCGGGCTCGATCACCTCCCGAGCGGACGTCCCGAACGTCATGTGGCGCTCACCCTCGGAAGCCATGACCTTGATGGCATGTGCGATGATGGCCTCGGACGCACCGTTCGGTGCGTTGGGGAAGTTCAGGGCCCATTTCACTTGCCAGCCGTGCTCCGGAGAGAGTTGCGCGAGAACGACCATCGCGCACACCTGAAAAGCAATCAGTCTCATCAATTCAGGACTAGAAAATAGACGAAACGCACCTGTTTCTCCTTGTTCACCGCATAGAAATACCTCCTATGCTCCGCATCGTCCCAAAGCCTCACACTCGTCGTATGTATCTGCGCCCCCCTCTTCTCCCTCACCCTATCCCACTCACTCAACTGCTCCTCCGTCTGGTCCCTCACATCCTCCGGCACCTCCCCTTGCACGGTATAACACTCCACCCCAGCCCTCTCCGCCTGCTTGATCTTCTTCCTCAATTCCTTATCGCCTTCGACATCCGTCTCCACAGGGTCGAACCTCGCCTCGGCGATACACGACAATCCGCGCCACTTGAACTTCTCCGCCAACAACTCCTCCGTCGTCTCATCGATGCAAGCCCAGAGCGGCTTCAACTTCTTCTCTTTCTGGATGTACTGCAGGAAGCGCGTGCAGGTCTGTTCGAGGTCTTCCGGTCGCGTGAGAGGTTGGCCCCAGATGACGGCGTAGCTGTCTTGTGGGATATACCCGATAGCGGCCCCGGTCTATTCAATAGAATGACGAAGCATGGGAGCATCCCATCAAGATTCCACGCCAACATTCACATCATATGTCGCATCAGAGATTCGGAAAAGCGCAAATCGTCAGCATATCCGCCAACATGACGTCAACAATTCAAAGGGGAACGGGAGGTTGGGAGTAAGAAGTTCAGAAACGCACCTCGTGATCTCTCCAGACGGTGTACTTCGGGTCCAGATAGGACGTGTTCGTCGAGTCCCCGTATGCCGCAATCATCCTATAATCACACGAAAAAAGGGAGTACATGGTATTCGGTCAATCGCTTATTCGTACACACAGAAGTCCAAAAATCACGGAAGAGAGAATAGTGGTACAAGTCCAAGGTATGCCGCACGGGATGCGGATGTCGCCCCGTAGGACACGGCGATAAATATATCGTATGCGATGAATTCAAGCCGACGGTGAAGAAGGTCTCGTCGAGGGAGGCGAAGGCAACCCAGCCGTATATCCCTCCAATGCAGGCGCAACCTTATGCCCCTCCTCAACCTGCGAGGGTGTACCTCCACGACCACCAGCGAAAGCAGAAAAAGACGAAGAAGAACCCCCATTATTCTCCACGCCCGCGCCACCGACAGTAAAGGAAGAACTCTCCGCGCTCATAGCAGAGGAAGAAACATCGCCCCCAACAGCAGAAGATGAACCTCCACGAGGAGAAGGAGTAGAGGGAGAAGAATTAGATACGCACGCCTCGAGTGGTGGCAACTCTCCATTCGGTCCCACCTGTGGGTCCTTCCTCGAATGCGGGACCGCTTTGGTCCCTTGGATCATCATGTCCATCCTTGCTTGGTCTTTCCCCACGAGCGGGAAGCTGCGCGGGTCGCGCGGGAAGAGGTTCGCGACGCGGACGTCACCGAGCTTGAAGATGAGCATGACGAGTCGTTCGAGGCCTGTGATTCGTCGGAATGTGAGTGAATGGTCAGACGAAACTGTGGAGTGGGGTGAGGAAATATGTGACGTACCGATACCACCGCCTGCATGTGGTGGAGCACCCCACTTGAAACCATCGACATAATCCTTCATAGAGTTTTCATCGACACCGGCCTTCTCCATACGTTCGATGAGCATGTTCGACTCGTGAATACGCTGACCACCGGAGAGGATCTCCTCGCCTCGAATGAAGATGTCGAAGGAGTTTGACAATTTCTAATGTCGACATGTTGAGCTGTCAGAAGAACGACACAAATAAGAGAAATTCTAGACAAACCTCGTCGGTGGGATCAGGCATTGTGTAGAACGGTCGCACTTCCAGCGGAAATTTGTCTGCGGACAAAAACACAATATCAATATCTACTCGGCAGGCCACATAAAACGAGAGCATCTTACCAAGGATATAATAATCCGTCCCAAACTTTTGCTTGACGATCTGACCCAACCTCTTCTCCGTCGGTGTGTCGAAATCCTCGTAGTCTCCCACCTCCGCTCCGTCCTCCCTCAATAGCTTCACTCCATCGTTGTACTTGATAACCAGCGTCTCCTCCAGCCACACCAGATCCTCGTGTGGATACATCCTCTTCACCATCTCCCTATCCTTGGCCCACCTCTCCCCGTGCACAGTCTCCTCAAAGATATACTTCAAGACGCCATCGATCGTCTCCAAACATTCATGATAATGCTCCTTGATCTGCATCTCAACATCCAACCCAATAAACTCCGTCATATGTCTATGAGTGTTCGAGTTCTCCGCCCTGAAAACCGGGCCAATCTCGTACACACGGTCCATGTCAGCCGCAATGCACATCTGCTTCGCGAGCTGCGGGGATTGGGCGAGGAAGGCGGGGCGGCCGAAGTAGTTGACCTGGAAGACGGAGGCACCGGACTCGGTGGCGCCACCTTGGAGTTTGGAGGAGTTGATCTCGAGGAAATTGAGGTCGTCGAGGTATTGCCGGAACGCTTTGGTCATGCCGGCGCGGAGGCGGAAGATGGAGTGGTTGGTACGGGTCTAAAAACGGGTGTCAGTTGAAGGGAGCAGTTAGCTAGTGACCGGAGTACACACGCGGAGATCAAGCAGACGTGCGTCCATCGCGGTACGACGGGTAATCTTACTGAAGTGAGCGTCTTCCTGGAATACACACAAAACATGAATATATAAAACTCAAAAAGTGGCGGTGAGCAACGGACCTTCTCGAAGTCCTCGACGGGTCGCTCATCGTCCTTTACGGCGAACGGGGGGTCCTCCTTGACTTGGACAACGACAAACAGCTATGGAACAGGATGTTAGGTATTTGACCGAAAAATATGCGGCATTTGAACTGGCCTTGTGGATGGCGATTTCGACAGAGTGGATTGACGCGTCCTTGACCTCCTCATGCTCGCCCTTGGAGTCCTCTGCGGGGCTAACGACAGTACCTTCGACATCGACGATGGTTTCGCGCTTGAGGAATCGTTCTGCCCATCTAACCATATGCTCGGACACCTTCCCAGGCTCCACGGTGAGAACACCCTGGACTGTGTCGGTCATGTCACGGAAGAGAAGGAAAGCGAGCTTGTGACCTGAACGGGAGGGATTGAGTACAGGACAGTCATGAGATGGAGAAGCAAGCACTTACCGGTTGCTCGGACGTGTTCTATGCGGCAACGAATGACGACATCTTTACCGTGGGCATCTGGGAGGCTGCGAATGGGAGTGAACCTGGACGGCTTTGCTTTGACATACTCGCCAGTGGACTGCATGAGGGGCAGGAAGCCATAGTTGTCCGAGGCGTCGTCCTGTATGAAGCGAACGGGGTTTCAACCGTCAATTCGAAACAAACCCAAGAAAAATACCTACGGGACCCAAGTTTGCCTCGCTCGCGCTGCGTTCGGCGTCGCGTTCCTTCTTTTCGGCCTCGAGTCTATCAAGAACCTGTCGTCTATGGTCCTCCTTTGCCTGACGCTTCTCTGCCTTCTTCACGGCGTTCTTCGACGAGCTAGTCGAGTCGGTGGAGGCACCGTTGGACATGGGCCGCGAGTGACCGTTGGCCGAGCCATTCTGTTTCTCGGATGGAGAGCTGTGTCCTGACGAGGATGAAGACCTGCGCTCCTTGATAGTCTTTATGGGGCTCCTAACGGCGTTCAACACGGAGGACATTGCGGGCATTTGTGGCGAGTCCGTTGTGGTGAAGCGGGAGGAAGAGTTGTGAGGGCAGTTCGGAAGGAGAAAGGGAGTTGAAAAGGGCGTTTGTGAGGCAAAAAAAGTGAGCGACGATCAAGCGCTATAAGTTTGGATGTGCTCGTCATGACGCACCGCCGATGATATCATCCATGTTCGATGTCCTCCAGCTCGTTGGAAAGGCGCGCTGCTCGAGCTCCCTCTGTGGCCACACTGACGTCATCTCATCCATCCTTAAACCTCGCTTACTCCCGCTCCGTCTCGCACTTCGCCGATCCTTTCATGTTCAACCACTCTTCCGCCGCTCCGTCCTCGGTCTCCTCTGTGCGAGCCGAATTATACATCCCGCCTGGTTACTCGGATAACAATCACACACCGCTTTCTGTTCAAGGTATCAGCAATTCGTTTATTCGCATTCCCGATCTATTTTTCTCGCACCTGCATCCCTTTACAACCGCACATTCCTCATCTCAGTCTCTACTGTCAGGCATCGAAGGAACCATGCTTCATTTTTGGATGACCTTTTGACGATCTTCATAAACCACAGAAGACTTGCAACAACCTAGAGAATGCCGCCCGCAGCATATATATTTCTTGATGTGCTTTACGATGTTGGATATAGTCCCGCCTGTGCATCAGTCGAATGGATACCCTTTAATGAGCGCTATCTTCTCTCTGCGGGACGCAAACCCAATGACGACAACAAAAACCTCCATAAACAAAGCACCAAAAGAAAGAAAAAGCCAACTAAACTTCACAAGCATCCACGCCCTACACCACCCTCTCCCTCATCCCAGCAGACCACTCACATTCTCACCCCCTCGACGAGTCTACAAATTCGACAAAAGCATCAACGCCCCCCCTCCCAAGATCGTCCCCGCAATCACAGCAACGACGGTCTGGCCCGTGTTGAGCGTCAACGAGACAGGGCCGTCCCAGTTCGCCGGGAGCGTGAGCGCGACGGAAGTCGCGGGCACGGTGACATTCGCGGACGAGGCGAGGCAGGCTGCGGCGTAGGCTGAATATACCGTCAAGTAATTCGTCAACCACACGCAATACAAGACAAACAAGGAGTCATTCAGAAAGGATAGCTGGGAGAGAGTCAGTCGAAGAGAAAGACGCACCGGTGAGCGCAACGGCCGATCCCGCGCGCGGGTCTGGCATCTTGATGTTCTGCGTGATAAGGTCGTTGAAGTAACACTGTTGACAGGCCGTGACGGCGGCTATGGTCGCGTTGGAGCAGAGGCAAGCATCATCGCCGGCGCAGTTCTATGTTATGTGCACACATTGAGAACGTTAGGAGTGAGGAATAGGGAGAGATGCTTGGTCAGGAAAAGGCGTACCGCGATGTCGGTCAGACCGGGGGAACAGTCGGTCTGACACTGCATACGCCACATCCCATCAAACAATCCGCATCCCATCATTCACCATCACGTCCACCACCCATCCCAAAAATTCACAAAACACAACGAACCATCAACACCTCGAACCCTCAAAAACGTAGCGAGAAGAAAAGAGAGACGCACGTCCGATGTCAACGTCGTACTATCATTGAACGTGAGGAACTCGGCCGTCGTGATATTGCCGAGTGTACCGCCCATGACGATGTTGAGCTCAGCGAGAGCTGATCCATACCATTATGTATGAATGTATGAAAGGAAGTCAAGTCAGTTCGTGTGCACGAATCATCGTAGACAGGGCGGCAAGACAAGACATGGGAGCGAGAACGCACCTCGACCGGCGAGCGCCAAGAAGCAAGCAAACACGAACGTAGTGCGCATCGTTCACGAGTAATTCCGAGTGTTCAGTGCTAAATGAGGCTGGAGACCTAAGCAGAAGACCCGGATGTAATTGGGAGTTGTCGGAAGCTGGAGACAAAGAACGACGAGCAAGTAAAGCAGAGCACACAAAAAAGAACGAGAGAAAATGAACACCAGGTTCGCCTCGCAGAGGTCGTCGCAGAAAGTCAAGGGTGAAGGATCGAAACAAGGAGCAAGGCCGTCGTCGTCGTCGTCGTCGTGGGCAAACAGTGATTCTAAAGATGGACCAAGCGGGTGGCACAGGGATCCGAGAAGACCGGGCGTTGCTACAGCCCGAAAGTGGCCTGCGTTGGGCCACATTTGGGTTTTGGATCGTGATGATCATTTCTGCCCCTTTGACAGTCGTGTAAGAGGTTTTCTGGTTCAAATTCGAGCTAAGTTTCTTCTCCACTGCACTTTTCAGTCAATTCGTGGACCACAGGAGGACGATCATTCACGACGAGCAGCGCAAAACAGAAACAAATTCACACAGTTCGTCCAGACAAAAATGAGTACATCGACACAACCTCCAATTCATTCATTCTAATAGCAGCGAATGACATGATGAACGAACAAACAAACAAACAAAGTGCGGATACAGTGACGGGAACCCAAAAACCCTCGACTATACTATGCTACAACAGATTAGGCAAACAACCGTTTGGTATACCTACATCCAACCCAAAAACCCATCAGCATCACCCCAAACCACGAAGGGCAGAAGGAAAAAAACTCACGAATTCAACCCATGCACACCTCCCTCAACCTGCGCGCTCGCCGTCCTCAACTCAAACCTAACTTTCCCCTCATCCACTCCCTCCCTAAGACCCTGCAAGCTCCTCACCCCAATATCCTGGAACGAATGCTGCACGCCCGCATACAAATACGGCAAGAAATCCTTCACGCTCCCCTTATCCTGCACGTCCCCACTAACACCCTGCGCGACCTTGACCGCCGACGCCTCCGAGAAATACCTCGCCGTCGCCGCGTTCTCCTGCACATGCTTCTCCGCCTCGGATTTCGAGCGCGGATACTTATTGGAGGACGAAGACTTGCCGTTCGCAGTCACTTTATTATTCGCGCCCGGTTTACCCTGCTCCATCGCCTCGAGGGATCCCATCCCGCGATACGCCTTGACGCGCTTGCCTTCATGGTAGAAGTACTCTCCCGGCGCCTCCGTCGTACCCGCCAGTAACCCGCCCATCATGACGGCGCTCGCACCGAGCGCAAGAGCCTTGACGATATGTCCAATATTCGAGATCCCACCATCCGCAACGACCGGCACCCCAAACTTGTTCGCAAACTCGGCGACGGCGTACACGGCCGTGGCCTGGGGCCGCCCGACGGCCATGACCTCCTGAGTGATACAGATCGAGCCGGAGCCCATACCGATACGGAGGCCGTCTGCGCCCGCGGCGATGAGAGTCGCGGCCTGTTCGCGCGTGACGACGTTACCGGCGATGACTTCGAGGGTGGGGTACGTCTTCTTGCACCACTGGATCATCTCGACCTGGAAGACGGAGTTACCCTGGGACGAATCAAGAATGACGATATCGAGTCCGGCCTCGACCAAAGCCTCAAGACGCAGCTTGTCCGCGGCCCTCGTTCCGATCGACGCAGCGGCATAGAGCTGCTTACTCTCCGGGAGCTTCGACGCGAGGGGATACGTCTGATTTTTGAGCAGGTCGGAGCGCGCGAGGAGGGAGACGAGACGGCCTTGGTCGTCTACGATCGGGAGTTTACCCTTTTTGGAGTCGCGGAGGATGTCGTTCGCTTCGGTGAGGGAGACGCCTTTGGGCGCTGTGACGAGTTGGGTGGTCATCACCTCGGAGAGGCGGGCGGTGGCGGAGTGGAACTGAACGTCGCGGCCGGTGACGATACCGACGAGCTTGCCGCCGATAGAGCCAGTATCTGTGAACATGAAGAAGGATGAGCATGCATGTTCGACGAAACATTTGAACACGAAGAATGTCAGTGAGGTATAATAGTCTCCCCAAATCACACGAGAAGCGTTAGTGCGGTAGAACGAAGGTTATACTATAGTTTGTACATCATAGGAAACGCGAAGAACACGAGGGACTCGGAAGAAAAAACTCACCCGTGATAGGGATACCGCAGAACCCGAGCCGCGCCTTGATATCAAGGACGTCCTCGACGTAGTGCTCGGGCGAAAGCACGACAGGATCGGTGATAAAGCCGTTCTCGTGGCGCTTGACGGCGCGCACCATAGCCGCCTGGGCAGCCGGCGACTGGTTATGATGAATAACACCAATACCTCCGAGAAGCTGACATCCATGCATGCGAGTAAGCACGTCAATCTCAATCGTGATACACACCCCTCACACGACTCTCTGACTCACCGCCATCGAAATCGCCATCTCGGTCTCAGTAACAGTGTCCATGGGCGAACTCATAAACGGCGTCTTCAGCACGACGTTCCTCGTCACCCTACTCTCCGTCGACACCTCCGCCGCGCTAAAATCGATCTTACCGGGCAGCATGAGGAAGTCGTTATACGTCAGTCCGCCATGGAGCTGCGAGTCCATGAGCTCCTTCGCGGAGAGCCCGTCGGACCTGTCGTAGCTCTTGAGGACATCGAACGCCGTCGCGGGGTCGAGGTACGTTTTTTGGGTCGTAGCAGGCATTATTCCAAGAAAAAATCTAGGGGGCTTTTGGAGGGGGGAAGAGGGAGGTGAAAGGAGAGGGGTGGGCGAGGTTGCCAGATTAGAAATAAAATTGCAAGCAGAGTCTTATATACCGACCTTTTCGGTACCGGTGCTGCGGCGCCGATCTCGCGAGGTCCAATAGAAGAACGCGCCACGTTGGGTGGCGTCGTGTGCAGGCTGGCTATCATGCACGGTCATTTCATCTCGTGGATAACGAAGACGAATATCTTCCAAGCTATAGCCATCTCCTCTTAGCAAGAAATTGCCATGGTTGAACTCACAGAAGAACTCAGACGCGAGATCGGGCAGGTCTGTGTTCTCCCAGTCATTCCAGTCTCACAAGAGTGCAACTTCACTTGAGCTTCTACATGATATGCGAATATCATTCTCATTCTAATGCCCATTCTCGTCGATATAGCACTTCGTCTTTGGATTCCACGGCCACGAAGTCAGCCCTGAAATCGAGACACTCATACGAGACTACTACGTCGGGTGAGCATGAACCCAAGTACTTGCACTATCACCGTCTTTCCAACGCCCCTATTCTCCACCCAGGAATATCATCCTCATGAAACGCAACGTCAAGAGTAAGCTCTCTCCACCTCTCCACCTCCCCGATATCTCATTGCTCATCAAGTAACCATGTATCACCTCACAGGCGCCGAACAAGTCCACACGCTCACGCAAAGACTGCAAACGATCGCGAAAGAAGCAGGACACTCGAGACCGTTGATGATAGGAACGGACCAGGAGAACGGTGGGAACAATCATCATCATCATCATGTTCATCATTCGCAGAGATGCCACAATGCTGACTTGTCGTGATACACACAGGCCTCGTATCCGCCTTCAGTCTCGCGCAATCCCAAGAAGCTGGAACCCAATTGTACGCCTAATAATTCTATTCTCGTCTTCTAAGCAGTGGCTGATAGAGCTTCAAGTCCAGGAGCGATGGCGATGGCGGCCACGGGCTCTCCTGCGCTCGCTGAGCAGATATCAGAAGCGACGGCTCGAGAACTGAAGTATGTTGGGATCAACTGGGCGTACAGTCCCGTCGCGGATGTGAACAGCGATCCGAGGAACCCCGTGATAGGTACGTGCAGCCTATCACTTTCTCCATCCCGTTCTGACATATCTCTAGGCGTTCGGTCGTTCGGGGACGGTAATTGTGTATATTACATATATTCATGCCTATAGACTTACACAGACACCAACAGATCCTAAACAAGTGAGCGAATACGTCCGCGCCGTCTGCAAAGGACTCACTGCAGGCGGCGTCGCCCCCTCGCCCAAACACTTCCCCGGACACGGGGACACACACGTCGACTCGCACCTCGCCCTGCCCACGATCGACAAACCACTGTCCTCGCTATCCGCGCTCGAGCTAATCCCCTTCGAAGCAGCAATATCAACCGGAACGGCGAGCATCATGACGGGCCACATGGCGCTGCCGCGTCTGACGAACAGCGACAGGCCAGCTTCGTTAGCGAGGGAGGTCACGCATGACTTATTAAGAGAAAAGATGGGGTACTCGGGCGTGGTGGTGACGGACTGCTTCGAGATGGAGGCGGTGGCGGCGAGGGAGGGCGGCGTGTCGCGTGCGGCGGCGGACGCGATTGTAGCGGGTGCGGACGTGGTGATGGTATGCCACCAGTTCGAGCGACATGTGGGTGCGGTGGAGGAAGTGTGCAAGGCAGTTGAGCGGGGGGAGATCGACGTGGAGGAGCTGAGGGCGAGCACGGAGAGGATCGGGAGGCTGAAGGAACAGTTTGCGGAAGGATGGGAGGGTGAGAAGTTTGAGAGGGAGGAGTGGAAGAGACTGAAGGCGGCGAACGGGGAACTGAGCCGGGATGCATACGACAAGTGTGTTGCGGTGGTGAGGGAGATCCCGTTCGCGGTGGACGCGTCAGGGCCGATAGTCGTGTTCACGCCGCGGATGGAGTCCATCAATCTGGCGATTGACGACGCGGACGGGGTGCTGAGGACGGCAGACGGGCTGCTGAGGAACACGGCCGGACCGTCGTACGTCGGATTCGCAAAGGGGCTCAACGCGGACTTGCACGTGGTGTACGGCGACGGAGAGCCCGAGGTGGACGCGGAGAAGGTAAAAGGAGCGTCGCTGGTGGTGTTTGTGACGAGGAACGCGGAGAGGGCACGGTGGGAGCTAGGGTGGCTGGGGGAGGTGGTGCGGCTTCGGCGGGAGGTGGACGGGGACCTGGCGCGGGTGGTGGTCGTGATGAGCTGTGGCCCGTACGACTTTCTCGGCGAGGACTGTGTGCTGGGCTGTGTGGCGTGCTTCGAGTACACGGCGCCTGCGCTGGAGAGGGCAGGACGTGTGGTGCTCGGGCTGGGGTCGGGCGTTGGGCGGGTGCCGGTCGAGATCTGAAAGTAGTTTGCAATTGTAAATAATAAATGGAGAACTTGATCGGCGCTGATGGGAGCCACGTGAGCGGTACAGCCTCGTCTGGTGGTGAACGCTTCTCTCCCGTTGAACCCTCGCCGTCGTCGTCCAGAACGATGAAGAAGCTCTTTGGCAGAGACAAGCCAAAGCCGACGAGGGTCGTCCCTGCCAACCGCGACTCCGCCGCCTCAGAGGTCGAGGTCGACGACCTCTCGCCGCCGCTCTTTGCCCAGAAGTCAGACTCGGAGGTCTCCCTCCACGACCTCGACGCTTCCCCGACACCGACTCACTCTCGTCCCAGCCCACCGCTGCTGTCCCACAGCCGTCCCCAGCCGCACTCGTCCCCTCAGCTCCAGCAGCAGCAGTCCCAGCACACCGTTCGCAGCACCCATGGCCACCCTCACAGCACCCACTCACACTCGCACCACTCCCAACCCCAGCACCCTCCCACCCACAAGGACGGCCACATCCGCACCCACTCCGAGGACGAGGACGCCGCCTGGCACGTCGTCGACGGCACCAACCTCACCGCCTCAGACCCCGCCCTCGATCCCCCCCGCGCCCTCCCCGCCTCCCGCTCCTCTTCTCTCGCATCACTTCCTCCCGGCGCTTCTGCCCCCGTTCCTTCTCCGCTAGCTCCACGGCCAAGTTCCCCCTTCGCCGTCCCCGCGTCCATTCGCACCGCGACTCCCAAGGAGCAGCAGCACTTTGCACGAGACAGAGGCGACAGCCAGGCAAGTCTCGCACAGCTCCCCCCACAGCCCCAGCGCAGACCCCCTGCCGCCCTCAACATGATCAAGTCCCTCGATCCCCAGTTCGATCCGGCACGGGACAGAGAGCGCGAGCGCGAGGCCTGGCGCGGAACGGACGACAGCCTGAACACCCAGAGCGATGGGTCGAGGGAGGAAAAGGACAGGCGGGAGAAGAAGGGCCTCTGGGACTGGGCCACGCAGGGCATGGAGCGCGAACGCGACAAGCGGCTGCACAGAGAAAAGGAGAAGGAGAAGGAAGAGGAGGAACACCACGAGATCACTCGCATGATCGGTGCGTTCATTGCACTCTTCTCCTCGTCCCAGCCCTCCTCATTCCCCTCACCAGGCTATCTCTCCGCCACCGCGAGCGAGAACTGGTCCATCGTTCTCGAGGTCTGTGAGCGTGCGTCCGCCACAGAGGCAAACGCAAAGGAGGCCGCCAAAGCCCTCAAGCGTGAATTCAAGTACGTTCACTCTTCGTGGCTTCCATTACACTCCGCTCAATGTACATCTCAAGGTACGGTGAGGCGCCACAGCAGCTGTCTGCCGCTCGAGTCAGTCTTCCCTTCGTCCTTCTCGGATCCGAGCCAACGCTGACCTGACTCTAGCTATGGGCCATCATGCTTCGCAATTGTTCCGATACGTTCATTCATCAATGCCTCGGCCGCAAGTTCCTCGACACCATCGAGGACGTCCTCCAATCTTCGAAAACTTCTCCCGTCGTGCGCGAGCGGATAGTGGACGTGCTCGGCGCAGCCGCCTTTGCCTCCCAACGTAAGCCATCCAAGGACCCGTCGCTCTCATCGTGCTGATCCTGTCTGTAGCCTCGAGAGACCAAGGCGTCCGTATGATTTGGAGAAAGTACAAACCATCAGGAAAACCTGACGAGGTGCGCCCAGCGTATACCCGATCATCGGCGAATATCTAACCTCTACTTCAGGGCGTACCCTTCGAACCAGACGACGCGATGTTTAATCCACCAGAACCAAAACGTTCATCGACCTACGGCATCCCTCCCGGCTGGGTCTCCGTACAGGCGCCCAGCCCGACCCCCACCCAGCAGCTATCTGTCACATCTCACCGACCGGTCAGTCCCTGTAACCCTTTCTCCGTTTCCGTTTTCCTCTTCGCCGACGAACCTTTGTTCATCATTCCCTTTTCGGGCGTCGACTCGTCGGCATTCGCCACCTGATCTTGCATTGCCATCACGTTTCCACGTATACACTCCCCCTCCGTTCAAACTCTATTCTCGTTCTCGTTCACTCTCTCCCCCCTTGCATCATGTCGTCGAAACGTCCAAAATTCGGCCTGCGGGCACTGACGTCCAAACTCTCTGAATTCAATCACAAACAGCCGACGCCGCCAAGACCAAAACATGCGCATCACAGTACCTCGCGGAACCGCGTAATTCCCCCCGAAGAGGACATGAGACGGTTGTTCCAGGAGTGCAAGTTCGCAAAGGGGAACGCCGCGCTGCTCTCCGAAGCACTCACATTCGCGAAGCCGGAGGATTTGCAGTCGAAGGAGATCATCAAGGTGCGTTTCGTTCGTTCGTGCCTGCGCGCAGTCGTCTGATTGCTGGCGTACATACAGGAGTTTCACACAAAATGTAGACACTCGCATGAGCTCGTCTCCGCGCAGATACCTTGGGCGACCGCGAATGCGGACCGGTCGCGACAGAGCAGAGAACAACAGCGTACGCAGCGGAAACGCGATAGGGACAGAGACAGAGATCGCGATAGGGATCGGGAGCGAGGTAAAGAGCGCGAACGGGAGTCGCCTACGGACCCTGCGGGTCAGAAACCGCGAATTAAGCCAGAATCTGGGCGGAGGGATAAGGAGGGCAGCAGGAAGGGGGGCGAGTCGAGGAGCGAGACGCCGTCGCCGGCGGAGTTGACGCTGGAGGAACAGTTGCTCGCGGCGCTGTTGGAGGCGAACGAGGAGTTGACGGCGGTGTTGAGGATGTATGATGATATCGAACGGATCGGGATCGAGAATGAGCTGCAGGAACGAAGTAGGAGGGAGGTCAGGATGGATAAGTCGGTGCGTGTTTTTTCTTGGCTTGTTGGGTCCCGTGTGCGATCATGACTGACACTTGACACTTTGCCGAGCAGAATATGGTTTATGATGAACGAGACGGCACGTATACCAGACTAGAAGTCCCGTCAAATATGGTCGGATCCTCATCACATAGTCCTTCTCCCTCGCCTTCACCCTCACCTTCCCCCGTTCCGCCATCACTCATACCCTCCATCCAACCGCATCCTCTACCCCCAATACCTAACTATGCCCACGCCGGCTCGGGCACCTTCACGGGAAATGGTGGCGGCGGGATCCACTCCTCGCCCTCACTCGCACCGCCGCCACCTGCACCGCACGGCCCCCGCTCGCCGTCCCATGCACTGCGCTCTCGATCGCATACACCGTCTCCTGAGCGGCCACCGGTCATCGTCGGCGGAATCACGGCAGGCCAGAGCGCGGGACACGCGAGCTGGGACGCGTTGAGCAATGGGTTGAGGCGGTTGAATGTGAAGGGGTCGGCGCAAGGGCAAGGGCATCAGACGACGTTGCAGGTTCACAATTATAACTCGTCGGCGTCGGATGAGGATATGATCGTGACGCCGGTGAAGCCTAGTGCGAAGGCGCTCGGGAAGAGGAAGGTGGTCGAGCCGATTGAACACGAACGTGAGTCCTTCTTGGTATTTTGTTATCAATCATTAGGTCTCATCGGGTGTTGTATGTACGTAGGCGATTTCAATCCGGACGAGATGTTCTACGAACGCACAGATCACGACCTTGGCGTCCGTCCGGACGATAGTGACTCTGATTCAGACGACGGGAGAGGATACCATCATCATCATCATCATCCGCCGCCGGTGCGTTATGTGTACGATGCAGTGGCGGAGCGGACGGCGCAGCGTCTGCGGGAAGCAGAACGAGCGGCGGCGCTGGTGAACGGAGTGCATTAATTCTTAAGCACAGCCTATTCGAGGGGTGGTGGACGGATTAATTCGTTGGAGTAGGTGGGCTATGGGACCGGGGTCGGTCGACAAGCATTGGTTCTGTTTTTTTTTTGACTATGTATCGGATTACTTACAACACATCTGTATGGCTTCGGCTTGTGCTCTACATTGAACTACCTACCTCTTCTCAGATCTCTTCTTTTTCTTTTTTGTGTTTGCTCTGCATTGCTTTTAATTTATTGAAGAGATGGGGTGCCAGACGATTCCTTTTGTTTGCGACTGGAAGAAAACCGAGGCTTTGTGATGAAGGGATCTTTTATTAGCAGGACGACAACTGTTGTGTCTTGTGGCACGGCAGGTGTGAGAAAGGCGGTCATGTTTCGTTGTCTGTGTTCCCGCGCTCGAGCCTTACCTCGCCTCAAGCGACGGCCGACTGCCTGCTGCCCTACCACCACCACCATCCTTCCCTCCCTCCCTCCTCTTCTCTCCTCTTTGCTTTCTCGACCGCTGACCTCCGCTGACAATGGCCGCAACGACAGACACAACGGACGACAACCTCTACGACGGTAGCGTATCTTGCGATTCGTACTCACGCGCTCTTGTCGTCTCACTCACATGTCGTTTGCCCTTCAGGTTTGTACGGCGACGACTTTGAAGAGGACTTCACTCTTCCACCAGAGGAGCCCTCTGGCAGCACCGACGCCACCGCCGTCTCCGTCTCAGACGAGAAACCCGCCACGTCTCCGAAAGAGCCCGTGTCGCCCGTCGCAGAGAAGACGACATCAACATCGACTGGCACGGCTGCGCCGAAGGTAGCCGAGAGCAGCAGCGGGACCTCATTGCCCGCTAAGCCCTCTGTCAACGCAAACGGCAGTCTTTCATACTCTGCACAGGTAGCCCAACAGTTCTCGGCATACACACAGAGCCCGAGTCAAGAGCGCCAACAGAGGGCGGAGGCTGGGAACGCTGCTAGCGCTGGCGCTCAGGGTAACTCTGCCGAGAGACCTATCCGGCCGTCCGAGATGAAGGACGAAGGGTGAGTTCTTTTTCGTTTTTTTTCTTGCACATTGTTTTCTTTCGTTCAGTGCGCGCGCGGTTCCGAGGGGATGTGGGGTGAGTAAGGGCGCTAAACGTCTTGATGCGCTCGACGTTGTTCAGTATATGCTACTTAGCCCTGCACTCGAGTTTTCTTTTTCTCTCTCTCTCTCGTTCATGCGTACTGGTTCTGTCGCGAATCGTCAGCTACCTGCACTTACCAGCTACGATAGCTCAGCATTAATGAGTTTCGCTCTGCATAACGAACCGTGATTTTTTCCCGTTCCTTCGATTGCTTGCTCACTCATCTCCCGTTTCTTTTTTTATTATCTCTTCTCTCTCCCGACACGGTTGCATTACCTTGCTACTCTGGAAACTGATCACGTATTCGTTCGTTCCCCCCTCTGCTCTCTCGACACCGTTATGCATCTCGCTTTACTCTTCAATACCCTGCTCACGCACGTCACGTCGATATCACCTCCAAATACGCATTGCCTACTGGTTCCTCCATACCTATTATCACGCAATCCGACTACTGCAGCAAGATGTTTGTCGGTGGCCTTAGCTGGGACACAACAGATGGTACTTTGTCCTTTCCACTTCTTTACCTCACCTCACCTCACTTCCCCTCCCTAACCCGTGAAATGCTATCTATCGTTTCTGAAAAACAACTGCGCTAACAAACAACCCCTGCCGTCTCCTCCTCTCCACCTTTGTGTGACTACTCTCACTCACGAGCAGAAGGTTTGCGCAAGTACTTCTCCGAGTTTGGCAAGGTCGACGCATGCACGATCGTGCGCGACCCGGATGGGAAATCGAGAGGCTTTGCATTCTTGACGTTTGATGACCCTTCCTCCGTTAACGCCGTCATGATTCGCGAGCACTTCCTCGATGGTAAAGCGGTGGGTCCCTCCTTCATCTTCATCTCTCTCCGCCCCGTTTCAAACATGATGAGATCAAGCCGGTCGAAACCGAAACTGAAACTGACGTTCGAATAACCTCAGATTGACCCGAAACGCGCGATCCCTCGCGAAGAGCACCTGAGAAATACGCGATACTTCGTCGGCGGCCTGGCGCCGCAGACGACGTCAGATTCTATGCGTGCGTTCTTCACGTCGTTCGGTAAGGTCGTCGACGCGACCGTCATGGTCGATCGTGAGACCGGAAGGTCGAAGGGCTTTGGTTTCGTTACGTTTGAGGATAACAGCAACGAACACCAATTGGTCGGTAAGATCGGCTTGGTTCTTGATGATAAGCAGGTGCGTCCCAAACACTTTTTGTCGGTTTGTGTTGCTGATGGAGCATCTCTCGTCTTCAGATTGAGGTGAAGACCGCTCAACCACGGAATCAACGCGACCAAGGCCGCACCTCCACCAACCCCCGAGACAACTTCCCAGAACGCGAAATCCGTTCCACACCAACGAACTCCATAAGCACATTCGCACCGCCCCAGCCACCCGCCGCCGATCCCCAACAGATGAACATGGTCTACCAGCGCATGATGGGCCAGATGGGCGGCGCGCCGTTTAACACCATGATGGGCGGTGGCGGAGCCGCGGCTGGCGGGATGCCCATGATGGGCTTTAATCCTATGGGCATGGGCATGGGTATGAATCGCTTCGGGATGGGCAACATGGGGGGCGGAATGGGTGGGAATATGGGCGGTGGAAATATGGGTGGGGGCGGTAATATGGGGGGCGGGCATATGGGTGCGGGGATGGGGGGTGCGATGGGGGGTGCGGGAGGTATGGGCGGTGGTGCTGGAATGGGAGGTGGGCCCGGGATGGGTGGGGCTGCAGGAATGGGCGGCGCAATGGGCGGTGGAATGGGAGCAGGGATGGGTGGAGGGATGAACGGTATGGGTGCTGTAGGGAATATGAGCCCCATGGGCGCTATGGCAGGTAATGCCATGAACGCGATGGGTGCCGGGATGGGTGGTATGCCTGGTGGTATGAGGTTAGGTATGGGCCCGATGGGCGCTGGCATGAACGCTGGAGGGATGGGTGCAGGAAACATGGGTGGAGGTATGGGACCCATGGGCGGTATGGGTATGGGCATGGGCATGGGCATGGGTATGAGGCCTGGGATGGGAATGATGGGTGGACGAGGACGAGGTGGTATGGCTGGCGGTCCAGGACCCGCAAGGGTTATGAACCGGGGACAGCACAGTTTCCATCCTTATGCACGATAGTTCTGGACTTGTGTCTCTTAGTTACTTCGTCTCATACGTAGCCTTTTTAACTCTCTGTATATTGCTCCTTGCTCTTCGAGTCTTTCGTTCTCGGACGGATTCGCGTATCATATGCCCTTTTGCTGCCTGCCAGAATGACTGGACTGTCCATATTTAAGTAATACGTCTCTCTAGTCGCCGTCCCGTACTACCTTAGCAGTCAGTCCTACTAGTTACTTTAAGTACGCTACGTCGGGCGCCTAGCGGCCCAGCCTCTCATCCTCGCTATCTGTGTGAATTCGAACGTGCTAGTCTGGGATGCAGACGAATCCATCGCCTGCCTCCACCCATCTTCATCGCTCAGACTCGCGTATTCCTTCCACCTACTTAGCTCCTCGCTCCTCACGTTCAGAGCTCCGACGATATTCGATAGGTACTCCAGGTCTGACGACAGCTGGGCGGCTCCGGCGGGCGTGAGTGTTCTGATATTGGGCAGGACGGCCGAAGTGAGGTGCGAGAGCAGAGACAAGCCGAGGGAGGACAGCCAGACCGAGGCGATGACTTCAGGAGTGAACTCTGGTACAGGCGAGGCCGCGGGCATCTGGGACTTCATGGCGATGGATTGACGGCGGTTGTGCATCGGTCGAGTTTCAGGAGACGAGTCGCTGGCGCGTTCCGAGAGGGATTGCAGGTACTCATTGTCGACGAAGGGGAGGGTGTTGAGGGAGAATGAAAGGACGTCGTCGTCGGCGTAGACTTCGAAGAGTCGAGGGAGGTTCAGGAGGCCTTCTGCTACCCGTTGCATCGTCTCGGTCGGCGATAGTGAGAAGGAGGGAAGTTGGGTGGCGCTGGTGGCCGATGCACCTGCTCGTGGACCTTTGGGATCATTTTGGGTGGACCATACTGATGATGAGGCGTAGTATAGGAGATGGTTCCGTAAGGGTGAAAGCATTGCGTCCTGGAGTGAGGTTTGGCATAGAGAGGTCACGGAGGCCAGGGCGTTTCGAGATTGCACGAGGAGTGACTTCGAAGCTGGGTCGACGACACGGGCATAAGGCGATCGTTCGACGGGATCCTGGCGTGTCTCAGAATCGACCGCTTGCAAGATGTCATGGAACTCCGCAGAGTTGAGCGTAGACGCTGCCAACAGCTGTACCTCCCCACTTGTCGTGCCGGGGATGTACACGTTGCCGTAGTCGTACCCTGCGGTGCGGAACATGCTCGAAAATTGAAGGATTGTAGCTTGAAGCTTGACCTCGAAGGCGTCCAGTCGGTCCAGGATGGTTCGGAATGCTCCCAGGAGATGCAACCACATCTGGATATTCGACCAGTCGTCCAGTGTGTAGTCCAGGTCGGCCAAATCTCCGGACGCTGATGATGATATAGTCTTCGAGGACGAAGCAGAAGGGTCGGAGACGACGTTTCTGGTCTGGGCGATGAAGTTCTGGACGAGTTGGTCCACCGCGCGAATGAGGCCCAAGATACCGTATCCGTGCGTGAAAGCAGTGACTCGTCCTAGGCCTTCCTCGGCAACACTGAACACCTCGACAGACTGTTCCCGTAGTGCTCGAGCACGGTCGCTGGAGACGTCTTCGCGAACGTCCCGTGACTTTGAAACTTCTTGCAGCGAGGACTCGAGCAGTTGCTGCTCAAGATTGCCGTACTCCGTCTGGTATTCGAGGAACGGTTCGAAGAGATCATGGTCCCAATCGAGTCCGCTCCCGCCAAGATGTGGTGGCTTGATCGAGAGACCGACGTTGGGACCGTTCAAATGTACGCTCATACGGCGTGACATGGACGACCGATTGGCCCTCCGGTTCGCTGGCGGTTTGGATGGTGGAGAAGTCGCTTCGCCTGGAGAGGATGAAGGAACAAGTGTGGAAGACTCGGTTCTTTCGAGGATTTTGTCGGCTGCAACGGCGAATTGCTCCGTAATTTTGAAGCAGGCGATGATTTCGAGGAGGGAGGAGGGGGAGTTGTGTGCTACGGCTGATAGCCGCTCGGAAAATGTGGGTTGAAGGGAGGTCAATGTCGATGTGATGAAGGTCGCGAGGGTGAATTGAGGATCTGGGAATATGGCTACGATGGACGATTTTTCCGAGTTGATCTTCGACAGGAACTCGGCGAAGAACGTGGTGAGGAAGGACGACAGTGAGGGAGTGGACTCCTCGGTGGATGAACTCGGAGAGAGAGGAGTATGTTGCCACAAGGTAACAAGAGAACTTCTCCTGGACCCATAGTAGTAGGTACGAAATTCGGAATCGCGCTGTATATTGCAGAATATGTTATAGTAGTTCTTGCATACTGCGACGTCGTGGCTGTTGATTGCGGCAATCAACGCAGAACTAAGAGACGCCTCCAGCTGGTTCTGCAAGCTGACCATCAGCGTCCTTCGAGGCTCGTAGTCTGGTGTATTCTGGAAGACGACCATGCTACGGCTGGCCTCGGACAGCTTTTCCGCGGCCTTCTCATAACTCTGCTCGCTGAGAAGAGAGGCAACCTCACCCTCGAGAGTGCTCCAGCTCGCTGCCTCTCCCAGGACGTCTCTTGCTTTAAGCATGTTCTGCTTGATGGTATCGAGCGAATGCAAACGGTCCAGCGCTTGTGATATTTCGGTGGAGAGCGGATTGTCCGTTCGTTTGGCGACGCCGTCCAAAGCAGTTTGGAGTGCAAGGGCGCTTCCGCGCATGAAGTGGAAGTCATATGGCAGACGAGAAGCAGAGCGAGATATGTCTTCGATGAGACGCTCGAGCTGAGCAGAAACGTCTTCACTGGCAATATCAATGGAGGGCACGAGCTGTGAGACACGTTGTTCAAGAGCGGTAAGATCTGGTTCAGAAGTGGCATTGATGTCGTCCCGGGCATCGGGGCCGGACGAGAGTATGTTGTTGATCCATGAGATTGTTTCGTCTTGGCCGCTGAGTGAGCCTAGTACATCCAATTGACTGGGAGAAATGGAACGTGTGGCCTGATCCATAGGAGCTCCAGTGGACATTTCAACCTGAAAGCTTGAGTCCATTAGCAGGCAGCTGCTACAAAACGATAAAACCAGGAATTAAAAGACGGCGAATTGTACCTGCACTGGCAATAATCCCGAACCAACTTGGTGGTCGAAGGACGGTGACGTTGTGGACAAGGTGGCGGTGGCAAGGTTAACTCTTGGGGCGGGCCGGAGCACGGAGTGCTTTGTCAACAACGGAGGACGCGATCTGTCCCGTTGGCTGCCGTCAAACACTCTTCCTCCGTCACGCACCGCGATGCTCACCGTACAAAAGGCCTCAAAATCTGTGCGTCCACATTATTTCTCCTGGGTGTACCCATGCTCACAGTTTCTTGTGTGAAGAGCGCACCACGGCTTGCCCGCCGTGTCGCACCCTCAGCAGTCGGACGCTGGCAGTCTGTCCGAGGACTCGCGACTCCGTCCGAGCCCTACGATGTGGTGGTCATCGGCGGAGGTACGTCTCATCTCTCTGTATCCTGGTTCTGTCTAGAGACTTACATATCCGGTTGTGGGAAGGTCCTGGTGGTTATGTCGCGGCCATTAAGGCTGGCCAACTTGGTCTGAGGGTATGCGCTTTGACAATCCGAGTACTCCTTCCAACTGAATAAAATTCCCCTGCAGACGGCATGTATCGAGAAACGAGGTGCTCTTGGTGGAACTTGTCTGAACGTCGGCTGCATACCTTCTAAGGCCATGCTCAACAACTCGCACATGTACCACCAGACTCAGCACGATCTGAAACACCGTGGTATTGATGGTGCGTTTTCACTCTGTGTACTACCATACTTCACCATCCTATGTGCTGAAATCGACGACAGTCTCTGGTGTTAGCCTCAACCTCACGCAGATGTTGAAGGCCAAGCAGGATTCGGTCACTGGTCTTACGAAGGGTGTCGAGCATCTCTTCAAGCAGAACAAGGTCGACTATATCAAGGGCACTGCTTCCTTCTCTTCTCCGACCACGCTCTCGGTCCAGCTCAACGATGGTGGGGAGACGGAAGTCAACGCAAAGAACGTCATCATCGCTACTGGATCTGAGGTCGCACCGTTCCCTGGCGGCGCCATCGAGATCGACGAGAAGCAAATCGTCAGCTCGACTGGTGCATTGGAGTTGACCGAGGTTCCAGGGAAGATGGTTGTTATTGGTGGTGGTATCATCGGTCTCGAAATGGGTAGCGTTTGGAGCCGTCTCGGCGCCGATGTGACTGTTGTCGAGTTCTTGGGCGGTATTGGTGGTGTTGGTATTGATGAGGAGATTGCGTACGCCCGTCTTCATTTCGCTTTTATCTTCGTTCGTGGCTGTTAACTATCGCCCACAGCAAGCAGTTCCAGAAGACCTTGACAAAGCAAGGCTTCAAGTTCAAGCTGAACACCAAGGTCACCGGTGCTGAGAAGCGCGACGGCAAGGTCTTCGTCAACGTCGAGGGTGCCAAGGGCGGAAAGGAAGAGGTCCTCGAAGCCGACGTCGTCCTCGTCTCTGTCGGCCGTCGCCCCGTCACTACCGGCCTCAACCTGGAGAAGATTGGCGTCGAAGTCGATCCCAAGGGCCGTATCGTCATTGACTCGCAATTCAATACCACCGTCGCTGGCATCAAGTGTATCGGCGACGTCACCTTCGGTCCCATGCTCGCGCACAAGGCCGAGGAGGAGGGCATTGCGGCCGCTGAGTATCTCCATTCCGGTCACGGACACGTCAACTACGGCACAATTCCCTCCGTCGTCTACACCCATCCCGAGGTCGCATGGGTCGGCAAGACCGAGCAGGAGCTCAAGGCGGACGGCGTTCAGTACAAGATCGGCAAGTTCCCCTTCATGGCCAACTCTAGGGCGAAGACGAACCTCGACACCGAGGGCCAAGTCAAGTTCATCACGGAGAAGGAGACTGACAAGATTCTCGGCGTTCACATCATTGGTGCGCCTTTCATGTGAATGACTTCTTTGCTAAAATCGCTCATCTCCACTTTAGGACCTAATGCTGGTGAGATGATTGCGGAAGCCGTTGTCGCAATGGAGTACGGTGCCAGCTCTGAGGACATCGCACGCACCACTCACGCACACGTAAGTTATACCCAATCTCGCTATCCGTGTTTGCTGTCTGACCTGTCGTCCTTCCAGCCAACGTTGAGCGAGGCTTTCAGGGAAGCTGCTCTTGCCGCTTACACTGGCAAGGCTATTCACTTCTAGTTATATTGCGTTTGGTTTGAGGGCTTTTGTGTGGTCGATTGCGTGAATAGACGAGACACGGCGAACCTTTTATTTTAATGAAACATATTTCTACATCTCTGTCTGCTTGAGGCTGTTACATAAGATCAGAAAACCTGTTTGAATATGTCACCGAAATAAGAGAAAACCATGCTTTTGGCAAGTGAATCGCTTTCGTTGATGCCTGGCTTGCTCCGCTCGATTGAATGCTAGGCTGGTCGACCACTGCACCATCACAATCGTCGATCTGACCCAAATCTGACCTCGCCATCCCCGTTCTGCTTCACTCTCGATCCTCCGAGATGTGATCGTTCGAGCTCTATTCAACGGAAGCTCAATGCTTTGATCCGTTGATTTCACTGCTTCCGAAGGCCCTTCTCGTTCTCCTCCGCGTTTTCGTGTCTCTGAATCTTCCTGCTTTATTTCTGGGTTTTGCAAAGGTTTTTGAACATGTTTTTATGTGGTACGAATGAATCCAAGGCGCTATCGTATAGTGGTTAGTACACAGGATTCTGGCAGATTATATGTGTACAGTGACTTTGGATCACGGAGCACACCGTATAGGGTCATTTCTACTTCGATCCGCCGCCGCTTGCTCCCTCCCTCCCTCATTCTCGCTGATTCACCGCTGGTCGGCAACGCCATCTCGACCGCTTTGAGCCACGCCATTGTTGTGGCCCTGCCCACATGAGCATCGACAACACGCGGACAGAACTCTGCTACGTCCCCAAAAGGACGAGTCTGCGACGTTCGCTGCCCTGACACCTTTGACGACCCCAGCTCTGCAGCAACACCCGAGTCCTCGCCATGCACCCCAAGATCTCGTTCGACGACCAGAGGGGCCACGCCGACCGTACCGCTCTCTCTGCGCGAGTCGGGGGGCAAGTTCAACAGAATTGGCCGGCGTTAGCATATGTCCGGTCAGCTCCGCGCTACGGTCGGATAGACGCATGACTTGATCACTGAGGAACTGGTGCTCACGCTCCCGCCTTTCGTTGTCGCTGTGAACGGCGGACTACTATCCCTGTACTTTACAGTCGGCTTGCTATGAACGAACGGGGATATCGTAAGAGAGATTTTGCCCCAAATTCAGTGTGAACAGAGACGCTTAAAGCCACACAAACTCCGTTCGAGGATTCTTGTTTCGGAACACTTACGCTAGCACGTGCTACCTCGTGCTACTGATTCCATATATGGGCTTTATTGTCCCTGTATAGGTTTTGGTCTCCTCGTCAACCTTTCCCGACTTCTTCACGCTTTTCGCTGCCTGCCACGCTCCGGGCGCCTCGGCAATGGTCAGTCCAGATTCTCGCGAGCTTGCAAATGTTGTCCATTCTCGAGCCTGGACTGACTCGTCAGATCCATTTCGCTGCTCGCCCCACAGCTGTCACGTCTCGCCGGAAGCTAATGTGTAGGGTGAATGGGGTTTCCTAGGCATCACATTGGCCACCATCCCTGTTCATGCGCATCGCTCGCCTTTGACACCAGGACCCAACACTGTGCAGTATATTCTGAAAACTGCATGGATTATTCCATGAAGAGGGACGAGGCGGCCTCACCTCGGAGGCAATGACGGAGAACGCTGCTCTTACCAGTCACAGAAGGACCCTCTGCGCACTCCACTGGCACGCTTGATCACTGTCCGCGTTGTTGGTTCCACGCTCGAACATCGGTGTCATTTGTTCACCGACAAATGCTCCCGAGTGATCATCGCCCAGGTCCGTGTGCTCATCTATTCCGCTCACTCCCCCGCTGTCGCTGATCGTCTCCCGGAGGCTGAATCTCCTGTCACTCTCATTCCAGCCTTGTTATGTTTACCTCCGACCCCCAAGCTGTCCCCGCTCACGAAATCTCCAACACGCTCGCTGCGTTTGCGTTTTTTCTCATTCGGTCATCCTCCAATTCGTGAACATCCCTCTCCGTGAGCGAAAGCGATTTTTTCCCGATTTTTTCCCATTTTTTTTTGAGTACCTGCCGCAAACATTCACCTCTTCTTTACCCTGACACTCAACACCCTCTTTCCGCCTCCCTTTGCACATTCTACGGCCTAATTCGCTTCACCCAATCACTCGTCACATCATGTATAAAATCAGTTCGGTCGTCGGTTCGCTACTCACTTGTTCCCGCCCCGACCCCGACCCCGCTTCCGCCCTTCCCCTTTCCATCTCATGAGTGCCTTGGTGACATCCAGCCGGCTCACCAGGGCACAGGTCCTGCAACGCGCCCTCGCTAACCGTCCCGAGCTTCAGACCGTCATCGACGACGATTCCTCACGCCAGGCCCTTTCTTTCAAGATCCTGCAGCCCGCCACCCTCGCCCACCACGAACGCATAAAAACCGCCTGGAAAGAATTCGTTGGTTCTTGGTATGAGAAAGATCCCACAACTCGCGCCCAGCTCGATTTCGAATGGAAACCGGGGGCTCCCCATCCCGAGAGAGGTCTGTCTTCGCCCCACTTTTCCTTTTCTTCGTCCCACTGCAAGCTCTTAACCTCACCCTCTCGTTCATACTATCCATAGTCCATATCAAAAATTTCGTCCTTTACCTCTCTCTGACCATGCAAGGTCGCTTCGGTGACTGGACGACAAACGAGGACGGCACGCTCTCCCCCCCTCCTCCTACTCTTGGAACCGTCCGCGACTTCATAATCATATTCACTTCCCTCTTCAACCGCTACGTTCGCAATCCTCTCCCGAAATCTCTTACGGACGACGTCATGCATTACCTCCGATCTGCCGAGCTTGCAGAATCCGTCAAGCTCTCCAAGGGCGCACGATTCAAGCATGTATCCAACTCCTTCGACATCCAGCTCTTGCTGGAGGACGTCTATAGCACTCCTCGCATCAAACTCCATCGACTTCGGTTCCAGAACGCCCTTCCTCCTATTATTACAAGTATCACGACCGAACGCCCGGGTGCGATCGTGGAGAGCCACCCACATCGCGGCTCCAACGAAGCCCTCGCGTGGAAAGACCTCCGTTTCTTTGTCGTACCAAACGAACTCGATCCTCGTACACCTCACGTATTCGTCATGGTTACCATTCGCCTCCAGAAGGGTCTGCGTCATAAGGAAGGAGCATACAAATCCTTCTTTTTGTATCCCGAACCTGCCTCCAACAGAGTCCTTTGTCCGCTCTTGCCCATCCTTTACCTCGCGTTTGACGACAATATCTTCGAGGACCTTCAAACACCCGAGGAGCTCCTTACCCCTCGCCTTCTTCCCACAGCAATCCACGAGCTTCGCATCCGTCCATCGAAGAATGAGCTTCTCATCCTCCGCCGCCAGAACCTCACCCCTGATGGCCCGGTCATCGACCCTCAGCTTGCTATGCCGTATAGTGCGCTATACCGACAACTTTACGCATCGAGTATCGACGCCGGCTTTCCTTGTGAGTTCGTGATCATTCCCCCCTTCCTGCCTGTTCATTCATCAATCCCTTCTCCATGTTTCTGACGTAACACTCTCGCACCTCGCAGTTCACTTCACCATGTACGCCGCTCGACGTGGAGCGGGCCAGAGGATCACTACGACTCTTTCAGAAGACGAGCGGAAGCAGGCGATGGGCCACACTGATTCGTCGGAAACCTGGATCAAAGCCTATCTCGGCAAGATCAACCATGCAGACCTCCAGAGCGTGCAAGTCGATCGGGCTGTGGACTCCGACCAGACTTCCTTATTCGGCGTGAGCAGATCATCTATCGTTTCTATCTTCCCGTCCTGTCCTCACCGCGTTCATGTAAACTTTCTCAACTCGCAGAGAGCTTCCGGTCTCGCTAGTCGGGCTGACCCTAACGCTCCGAAACAACTGACCATCGCACAGCGACAAGAACTCGAGAATGCGCCAGAGCTCGTTGCTCTGCGCTTGGAGAACAACCAGGTTCGTCTTTCTCCTGCTCCCTTCTCCCCTGTAGGTTGGATTTACACCCATCCACATACAGTGTACCGCCAAAGCGAGGCTTATCGAGCAAAAATTGTATAATCCTACTTTCAGAGGCGATCGCAAAGCGTCGGAGAAGGAGAAGGAAGCTCTTACCGCCCAGGCCCACACGTGCAGACGCAACCATTTGAGGATTTTCCTGCGGGAGTCTCGAGTTCGCCTTCTGAAGACCCGCAAGCAATACTTCATAGACAACTCTCACCGCCAGCTGACGGGAAAGGTGCGCCTATCGTCTCGCATGTTTGCGCAGATCATTTTTCCCTGACCAGCTCAACGATAGGCTGCTCCTCGCCCCACCCCCATGCTTATTGATTCGATTCGCGGCCAACGCGCATCCACCTCGACCACTGAAGCAATGCCGATGGGTTTCCCGGATGACGTCTCCATTCCGGTATCCACTGCCCCCACCTTCGAGAGCACGGTTTTCGACCCCCTTGCCAACTTCCTCCAGGCCATCTCTTCCTCTGAGACGACCGGGAACGACCACCTCCTCGCCTGTGTGAACGCCGCACTCGCCTTACCGGAGCGCATCTCTGAGGAAACGTTGCCTGGAGAATCTCCGACTGCTGAAAACAAATGTCCTATCTGCGACTTGAGTTGCACGTGCGTTTTCCTTCCGCGATAGCTCGCTCACGGTCGCTTGACTGACCATATCATAATATAGGAGCGCGAACATGATCCACGGCGTCGGTCTTCACATTCATCGCTGTATCGAGAAACGATTCCGAGCACAAGTTCAGACCTTTGTCGAGGACACGTTCACTCCTGTCGGCTGTCAATGGCACGGATGTCCATGTCAAGGCGAGGTGTGGAAAGACCGGCCATCCTTCATCGTTCACCTTCACGATATTATCGACCATGGACGTCCCATCAAACGTAGTCTGCACTCCATCGACATTCCATCTGCGTGCCAATGGGTCAGTGAACAGGGGTATATCTGCGGTCGTTCGATGGACGAAGACGGCCTCGACTGGAACACGCATTTTGCCGTATTTCACGGTCTCAATACCCATGCCAAGGTCAGGCTCGACTACTGTAGCATACGCAATATTTGGTTCGTTTTTCTGCACTCTCATGCTTCGGCAATCTCCTGACGGCATGTTGTTTGCCATCTTTCTAGGATTCCCGACTATACAGGAGACCACGCCGAACTCCGCACCCACGTGATGACTGAGTACGATCAGCTTTTTGCTCAGTTCGAAGTTCGAACACTTGACGATACCATCCCGGAGCCCATCGGAATCGCCACATGCCGTGACGGCGCCGCTATCCAGTACGAGGTCGGTAGCGGCTTCGAGGGAGTCTTGCCTGACTGCCATGGTCATATCGTGCGAGGATTGGCTATCACCCCGCTCATTTGCCCTGTGTGCGTATACGATCGTGCTCTTGACATGGTATACCGCATGAAACAGTGAGTCGTTCATCGCCTTGGGCCATAGAACGTTTGCCTGACTCATGGCGCACCTAGATACACCGATGTCTCGGCGTTTGCGAGACACTTCCGAACTGTTCACGTTGACAACCTCGAGCTAGATTCTGAATACCCCTGTGCTGTCCCTGTGTGTGGCATTAAGACCTTCAACGTCCACGACTTGGTACGCCACTATGTCACCAATCACCGCCTACCCATCTGCGGCACCGGCCGTGAGACCAGAGTTCGCGTTCTGCTTCTTCCTGCCCTTGGTTCATACTCTCCGGACACTTCATCTTCCTCAGCTTCATTCCTCTCAGCTTCATTCCTCGCAGAGCCGACCGCGGGAACATCTACGTCGCTTGTCCCTCCCCCTCTCGAGACTGTAACAATTGAGATCGTAGCTCAAACGAACTCCGAGTCGTCGGATGTCATCATCGGCAAACGCCCTCGCAAGCAGGCTCGGGTTGTAAGTTTTCTCTTCGCCATATCGAGACCCGTCACTTGTCGCTGACGCACTGGTACTGCACGCCCCAGCCTAAGATCGAAGGCTACTGCACCGGTTGTAGGAAGGTCAAGAAAGATATCATCGGGCACCTCCAATCTCGAGGCCTTGATACTCAGTGCCGGAAGAAGAGCTCGTACGTCCTCGTCGGTGATGTAACCGCTCAGCCAATACCATGGGTTCCCACCGCAGAAGTACGTCTTACATTCGTCGCTTGACCTTCGGAGCTGATTGACCTGATGCCGCCTTTTTATCTATTTCATAGGACAATGCCTTGATAGGCTCGCGTGACACATTAGGGCGTAGCTACTTCTGCAATGGCTGTCTGACATGCCATGCAGACATACGCGACCATCTTCCGAACAACTGTCCGAAGGGCGGGAAGAGCTTCAGGTATAACGCGACGGGAAAGAATGCTCGGAAGGGTACTTACTATAAATTCGAGGAGTGGATCAAGGATCACCAAGGAGGAGCTGGCCCAAGCGTTTAGGCTGACGCTTCCTAGAACCTTCCTTGACTGTCCCTTTTTATCTTTGACCTTGGCTTCCGGCAGATTTACGAAGCCGCACTCGCCTACCTGCATAATTTCCTTATTCATATGTCATTTTCGTCGCCCCAACTTGCAGCTGTTTCTCGTTTCTTTGCCTCGTTGCTCATTTCTTCCTACCATTGCACGTAGTCCGACACATTGCTCTTGTTCAAGATCGGTAGTATCGCATCATCGCTTTTACTACGCCACATGTTCAGTTACTTATCGCAGTATTTCGTTCCTTCGCCTTGAGTGGCTGTACTTATAGAGTTCCTGTTATCTGGATCAGTGCAAGATCAGTGACCACTTTGAGATTTCATGTAATCCAGGTTCGAGCTAGGCTTTGAGCTTCCGTTATATCTGAAATTGTGGAGATAGTTTGAGCTATGATAGAGCCTTCTCCGTGACGAAAGCCGGCAATGTTTTTAACTCCAAGCCCTCGACATATATGCATGGCGCTATCGTATAGCGGTTTAGTACACAGGATTCTGACTCAGCAATTTCAAATTCCTGTAACCCAGGTTCGATCCCTGGTAGCGCCTTCTTTTGTTCTGCTCTCTTACTGTTATGCATATATCAGCTGAGAAAATCACGTGATTTCCTGTAACCCAGGTTCGAGCCCTGGTAGCGCCTTGATACCTTGACAACGGCATCTTTTTTTGGTCGCTCGAGCTCAAATTTTAGTGGGACTCGAGGGACCTTTCGAGTGATGGAAGTTCATGGAATATTTTTACAGAATTGTGGCAGTAATGGGTGATTTCTCGTGTGGTTTGCAGAAAGTCTAGAGGTCTAGTATTTGGACGATGCACAGAAAGGAGGCTTGTCCGATGTGTTTCTGTGCATCAGGGAATCTCCTAGTTTGCTACGGAAGGTCACCCGGACGGGGCAGCAATTTTTTTTTCAGTGTCGAAGACTTTATACTACAGGACACTGAACGTGCAAGCACTCCGATATTGAGCTGGGTGTGGCACGCCGCAAAGGCCGTGTGCTGTGGCGTGCCGATCATGGTTCCTTCAGAGCACGTGGGAGCGCGTCGATCAAGAGATTCAACGGCAAACGAGAAGGCGGCGATTGCAGCTCACTCGTCCCCTCGAGCTCCGCTTCTCCACGCTTTGTCCACGCTGGCGACTACAAAATTCTGGGCCGACGTCCGTCTCGTTTTCTGGAAGGCGTCTACACCAGCCAGAACCCATCATCAGGCCAACAATGCATCTCGACGCGCTCATTCCACCGCCTCTTCGCCTCCTTTGGCCTTAGAAAACTCTCCGTCTCACACTTCTGCTTCCTCTACTTTCTGTCATACGCGTCGACATCTTGCAACTCATGTTCAACCATCACCTTTTGGTATCGACTTCAACGATATTGCACCAGAAGAACCCTTCGTCGACGCCACTTCGTCCCTACAAAACCCTCAAGCAACCCAATCTCCCCCGAATGAGAGTAGATTCGACTGGAGGAAAAGAGCACCTTCCAGGATAAGGCAGTCCAAAAATCCAAACCAGCCGTATGTGAGAAAGAAATTCATCAAACGTATTGAGCCGCCGCACTTGCCTGGAGCGAAGTTCCGTCATGAAATCAAAGCGTATCAAGAACGGTACGTCTATCCATGCTCAAAAAATTCTCACGTTCAGAGACTGATGCTTCAAACTCTTTGTTATCCCCACAATTCAACGGAAATTCAGGTTTTTGCCTATGCTTGACGCGGAGCAGGCTCAAGATGAGGCCGTCCTCCAAGAACGACTCTCTAACTGGTCGATCGACAGACTTAAACAGGAGGGCTATTGTATCACCGGTATGATTGCGTATTGGACGAATACGAAGGAGTTTGGAAGGCCTGTGGCTTCGTTCTCACTGGGTGCCGGGATTGACCTGCCTGATCATAAGTTCGAGTGAGCCTATCCTGCGATTTCGTGATTCTGACAGAAAAGTCTGAATTACTCTCTGGGTCTAGGGGAGGAACACAGATCCTGGCCACGCGACTTGATATGGACCCTCTGCACGAGGAGCCATACAAAGGGAGCGTTCTATCCCGCACGGCCACACAGCTTCGTGTCGCCTTTCCAGAGCTGTTCGATCTCGACCAGGCTCCCTGGAGGTGCGTCCCCGTCCTGTTCATTTTCTCGTAAACATCGTCTTATTCCTCCTATCTGCGCAGACTGGATGTAGGTCGCTCCAACATGGTGTACGACCGTATGCGCGCTGCCATCTCTCTGTTCAATCTCGACCCACAAGACCAAGAATCCTATATTTCCGCTCCCGAGCGACAACTCATCCTCCAGGGCACCCACCTACGTGACGTCCTTCTTCGTTCTTTCTCTCCTGCCGCCTCGTCCATCAACGAACTGCACCACATTGTTCATGAACCACATCACCTCCAACCTGAAGACGATACGAACTATGTCCCTCACTCGTTGCTCGAGCATGAAGCTCGCCACAGGGCGCCTGGCGATCACGGAGGCGCTTTCAAGGACGATATGAGGATTCAGAGCTGGACGAGAAGGTATATGAGAGTCAATCCTGTGAGGGTGGAGGGAGATCCGGTATTAGAGGGGTTGAACAAGACGCAGTTGAGGGCGGTGGCTTTGATGATTGGGGAGAGAGCAAGCCTCATTCAGGGGGTGAGTGATTTCTGTCTCATTGTCGATGTTCTTCTGCTTTGTGAACTTATATGGGAATCGGGATATAGCCTCCTGGTACTGGAAAGACCAAGACTATTATCGAGACAGTTAAACTGTTGAAGGTTTGTGGTCTTTCTATTGCCCATTACGTCCACGACCTCAATTTTCATTCGTTCGTAGGTCCATTTCCAAGTACCCCATCCAATCATGGTCTGCACCTACACCAACGTCGCCGTCGACAACCTCGTCGAAGGCCTCGCAGCCTCAGGCGTAAAACCACTTCGCGTTGGCTACGGTGGTAAAGTCAAAAAATCGCTCTACCCGCACACACTAGAGTCCAAGCTCGAGAACCACGCACTCCGACCGGAGTTCGAGCGCCTGACTCAGGAGGGCGAACATTTAAGAAAAAGGTCTGGTGCACTGCAGAAGAAGATAAGAGAACTGAGCAAGAAGGCGGACTCGGGAGATGAAGGTGGTGCAGCTGTGACGAGGGCGAGACGGATGCTAGAGAGGGCGGAGATGGAGGGAATAACGTTGGAGAGGCAGGAGAACATATTGAGGAGCAAACTGTACGCGGTCCGACAGGAGATGCTACATGATATTGTCGCTCAAGCGGACGTGGTATGTCTGACCTTCATTCTTCCATTCTCTACGATTCCTGACATCGGCTATAGGTGTGTACGACGTGTATAACGTCCGCGTCTGCTGCGCTACGCATCATCGACTTCCCCGTCGTGTTTCTAGACGAAGCATCAATGTCGACGGAACCGGCCTCGCTGATTCCAATCATGAAAGGAGTAAGTCCACCCTCGCGACTTCCATTCCTCTGAACTTTTGCTCCCGTCGCATACCTACCCGCGGGCCTTCCGCCGCCGCCGCCGACCCCACCTTGTTTTCGCTTTTCCAATTCGGTTCCGTCCCGGGTGATGAGGCCGCTGAGCTGACCTCATGTGTTTCTTTCATTCATTCTGGTCTTGGTTTTGTGTCGCCAAAATGTATAGTCTCGTCACCTTGCGCTCATCGGAGACCACAAGCAGTTGCCGCCTGTCATCACCAGTCGGGAGGCGCAGGTCAAAGGTCTTGGAATCAGTCTGTTCGAAAGGCTGACCGAGGAAGGAGGTGCGTCTCTCGGTTCTTTTTCTCCTTTCTCTTTCGCCTTCTTCCTCTTCCCCAGACGCGAGATCCAGACTCATCTCACGTTACTCCGTGACTCCGAGTTTCCTTTCCTTGCGCCCTGCCATGCACTTTTCCTTTACTACCTTAAATTGGATCTGGATCTAGATCTCCTCGCGCCGTGTGTGTCTAGCAATGCTGACTGAAACCTTAAATTTCCCCATCACTCGTCTTGTTTCGTCTTCGCTGGATCGACAATTTACAAATCCACAACCGACACCGACTTGCATTCCTCGTCACCTTCAAATCTCCGTCTCGCGATCAATTTGGTTTTCTACTTACCTGTTCGCCGTGTTCGCCGTGAATGACTTGGTCGCTCTCGATCACGTGGAATTTCAATGCGCAATTTATCCTTCACCTCATAAACGCGCTGCACCGCTCGACACTCCTGACGAATGACGTACAATGTCTCCGACATACCACCACGAAATCCCAATCACCATGGCCATCCGACTTGATACGCACCCGCAGACGTCCCCTCCATAATGCTCGACCTCCAATACCGCATGCACCCCTCCATCTCCCGCTTCCCCTCCGAAGAATTCTACAACTTCTCGCTCCTAGACGGCACCGTCGACGCATCCGGAAACGTCCGCTCCTCGCTGCTCCCACCGACCTCGTCCCACCTCGTCCTCGATCCAAACACCGGGAAACGACCGTCGGTGGTGTTCGTCGATCATTCTGGGCAAGAATCATCCAGGGATAGGAGTAAAGTGAATTGGGAGGAGGCTGGGATCGTAGTCAAGATCGTCGAGGATTTGTTATTGAGCAATCCGGTTAGTCTCGTCTCGTCTCGTCTCGTCTCTCCCCCTCGAGATACTAGTACTCCTTTCCGTATCTTCACTCCTCTGTCCCTCTTCTTCCTTGGCATGCACATACAATTGGGATCTGACGCACGAATTTATCATGCATGACACAGGACCTGAAAGGCGAGAACATCGGGATCATCGCGCCTTACGTCGCCCAAATCTCCCTCCTCACCCGCTTCCTCCACACCTCCACCTCATCTCCCTCTCCCAGCACCTCCTCTCCCTGGTCAACGCACCTCCTCTCCACGCTCGGCTCGCACCGCTGCATGCAACTCCCGTCTATCGAGATCAAGACGGTAGACGGGTTCGAAGGCCGCGAGAAGGATATCATCATCTTCTCGACGGTGCGGAACAATGATCTGGGACAGATCGGGTTCTTGGCGGATAGGAGGAGGTTGAATGTGGGGTTGACGAGGGCGAAGAGGGGGTTGTTCGTCGTGGGCAGTTTGAGGACTTTGAGGGAGAGCGGGACGGGGACGAGGAGTGCCGGTGCGAGTGCGGTTCTAGGGGCGGGGACGGGGAAGGTGGGGAAGGGGGCGGAGGCGTGGAGGAGGTATGTGAAGTGGTTGGGGGAGGAGGGGTTGGTTATGCCTGTGGGTGGTAATGAGGCGAGGAGAGAGTCTGCGAGCGAGGAGAGGGACCGTGTGGAGGGGATGAGGGTCGGTGGGTATCGGGAGGACGCATAGGTCTTGGTCTTGCTTCTTACCGGTGATTTGATGTGGGCTGTGGCGTCGCGCGTGTCTTTCCCGCCCATACTTAATGATACAGGACCTTTGGAAGCCCCGGGTCCACATCTTGTTGTGTGGACCTTTCTTGTTTTCTTCTCACCACGCTGCAGGACTATCTCCATGCTCTCCCGCCTTGCTTAGGTCGTACCTTTTCCTCTCTTCGCTTTCGCACCATGTGTTGCAGGGTCGCGACCAGCTGCTGATGGTCGTCGTTTCATCTCTACAGTAACGTTAAACCAGCTCACTTTGTTCCTCTTCGGGCCATCCATCCAGGGCATATTGAGATTTCTTTCATACTTCATGCTATATTATCACCGTCGTATATATAAACAAGTAAAGTAGTACACCAGAACTAATACCGAACATCCTTGTTTTCTGGACTCTCCACTCTCCAGTCTATTCTCCTGCAACCTGACCTCCCCTCCCGTATCCCTCAGGCCCCAGGTCTTATCTTTGCAATCTTTAAATAACGTAGTCAAAAGTTAACGTTGTTGAACGTTGAACGTTTGACGTCGCGCGCCTGCCCTTTCGCCCTTTCCCCCGCCCGCGCACCCCGCTCGGCAGCGTTATGTTAATAATTACAGTATGAACTCATGCACTGGGCGTCCGATGGGCAGCGACTCGGGCTATACGTAGTTAGGAACGTATCGATTCATTCGGAGCTGAGTCGGGGGTGGCGTAGGGATTTGAAGGAAGGAAGGAGGGAAGGAAGGAAAAGCTTGTGGTTTAAGGTTATTTTTACGGGATTATTTCTGCTTGCTTGCTTATCGGACTCGGAGGGATGATGGGGATCTCGGTCGCCGGGGAGGCATCATGTATACGCTGGTGCAGTAAACGCGGTGGAGTTATATAGAAGCCCCCGAAAGATCCTCGAGCGAGCCCCAATCTATCGAGTCCGACTCCCGAACCTCCACAAGACGGTCAGGAGTCCTCCCAATTCCAAGAATTTGTAGTGTCTTCTCTCAAAGATCAGCATGGGCACCTTTTTGACTTTTCGGTGGATTACTATCTGGAGCAGGTGGAGAGCCTCCTATGGCCCCTATTGTATATTGTATATCAGAGACGGAAGCGCACTGAAGCCCAGACCTTGCTGATGAGTCGATGAAGAGAGAGCAGCTGATGCGGTTTACGAACCCCACCGAGGAGGTCGAGGTTTAGAAGAGTCCGTGGCTGGCATCATCACACAAGCTCAGAGTTTCCAGGTTGTTGACTGGAAAAGCACGAGCAAGATCAAAGCGGACAGTTCTTTTGATGATTTCAAGCCCAGCTACGGCTTCTATTTCGACCAGAAATACGTGCCGAGGAAACGAAGAGGAGGGCGAACGAGGATGGAGGTTCGCGCGACGTGTTTGGGTTCCGGCTATTGGAGGAGAAGTACCGCTGACGTAAGGTGGTCCTTCGAAGTGTCATTGGTTGGCGTCGGGTCGGGAGGATTCGTGGACGACGATCTTTCGAGGTTCGTTCGTTTCGAACGGCGTGCTCTGCATCTCGGAGGGCTGCCATTTGCTGCTGTTACTTTGACTCGCATCCAAGATATTCGATAAATCTTCTCGAGTCTCGGCGGCTTCTCTGACTACGCTCGTACACGTCGTCTTTCTTGTGTTTGACATATCCACACGAACATGTTTCCGATCGATGTTGCAACGCATTGCGGCTCGCAGTCCGTATGCGATGCATGTGTCTAGGATCGAATAAGGATATGAGTCTATATCCGACTGGGGCAATCAGACTGCATTTCTCTACCGAGACGGATGGGGCAATCGAGTAGCTCTGGGCGTTGATGTTTTTTTTACCTACATGCGCCACCAAATCACGTCTCTTGGTCTTCCTCGAGGCTGGAGCGCAACGGTGATGTTGGTATAGGTAACGACAGAGTTTCATCGGTGCTCCTTGCAATACGGCGAGGGCGGCGTCTGGCTGATATCGCAAGCTGGGGTTGAGCGGATGTGAGGTGTACGTTAGAGCGAGATTAGCGATTCATTGGAGGAAGGGATCTCGAGGTATTTTGACGGAACGTTGTTCGGAGAGATAGACGATCTGCCATCATTCCACGCGAGCGGCCCTCCCACCGTCTGCCCAGCCTGGCCATCCCCTCACCGTCTGCTCCACCACGGAGGCCTTCATAACCAACCGCTCCTCGTTCGACCCAATCCGTCCGCGTCATGCCCACCCTCCTTTCCCGCCCGTCCATCCTGCTCTCCCAGCCCGACTCTCCTTACAACACCACTCTCCCTCCTTATTTCCACTTTCACTCTTCTCCTCTCCCCTCTCCACAACCTTCCTTCTTCGCTGTCGCCGGTCAGTTTCTCGCTCTTTTACTTCCTGCTCGACGCGTCACTCATATTCTGTTCCTCCAGAAGACTTTTATACCCCCGGTCGACCCCTCCCCGAGGAGCCTAACATGCATGAGCTCCTTTCGGCCGCGTTCCTTGCGTCTCGTTCCCGAGTAGTCCGCGTACGTCGTCCTCTCTTTCTTTCAACCGCACGGCTGCTCACAAACCACATCGATTATCCATCCTGCCGACTCTCTTTTTTTTTTTTACTCGCTTCTTCCACACGGACACAAAAAACCATTACTCAGTTCTTCGATCTCCCGCCTAATCCAGCCGCTTTCTTGTCCAACCTCTTCCTCCCCGTGCCTGGGCCACACAAAGTGCGTTTTCGAACATTCCTTGGCCCTCCGTTTCACACTTGGAACGAACTTGCCAGACCGCGATTTCCAACTAAGCCCCTTTCGTCCTCTTTTAGTCTTTCACTCCTCCGATCAGTATGTGGGTCCACAACCCCGACCACTCGGCGCGCCCCGTTGCCACTCCAACAATGGGCGACGACGTCTACGCCATCTTCAGCACCCACGAAGAGGTGGGTTCCCCGCATTTCTCTTTTTTGCATCGCATTTTGTTTTTCCTTCTGCTTTGAACTGTCGATGTGTCGTTCGGGTCCGAACATACCCGACTGGGATTACTTTGCATGTGTCGGCGGTGTTGCCCAATGACAATGGAACGCGAGTCGGGATTAGTCATCCGAGCCGGCTGGCGGCATCCGCTGCGAAGTCGGAGCTGCGCTTGACAATGAACGGATTCAAAAGAGTTCGTGCGGCATGTGGCCCCCGAGCCGAGGAGAGCGTGCGTCAGGAACGGAGGAGGCAAAACGCCTGCGAAATTATTTTTAAAAAAAAACAGGGCACGACACTGCCATCGCCTTCGCGCTCTCAATTGTTCGTCGCGCTGCTGCCGCCCTCGCATCATTCGCGACCACAGGGGTCGGTATATTCGCGGGCCATCCTGAGCGCTACGAACCAATCGAAAGTGCGTTATGACGTCGGGACGAGCACCCGGCAGGCCTTCGTCCGAGTCGACGCTGCATCATCTGTCAATTGCCCGCCGGTCGATGGGTTCAGCCCTGGATTTTGATTCCGATGTCGATTACAATCCAATCGCAGGCCATCGCTCGCGCTGGGCCCATTTGCCTTGATCAATTTTATGGTCTTGCTATTTTCAGCGCCCCGGTTCCCCTATTGCGTTTGAAAATCGCTTTTCCCTTATTATAGCCGTCCTTGGCTGCTTTGTGCTGACCTCCTTCTCGCTTTTTGCTTTCTCTTGCTCGTCCAAACCCGCCTCCTCGGATACCGCTCCTCCTCCCGCAACGCTAGGCCTGTGCCGTCCTGTCTCTATCGGGTTCCACCGTCTCCGTGACACCTGCCCTCGAGGAAGACTTGCGACCGATAGACTCCTTTGTTCAAATCGACCTCGCGTTGGTACGTGTGCCCCTTGTTTCAGTTTCACCCTCTGGCGTGTACATGCCTAACTTGTAATTTTTTGTTTGTTTCCCTTTCACATATATAGTCGGACGCGAACATGCACGCAACTCAACAGCATCGCTCGTCTTCCACGGCCTTCCATACCCACCTTCCAAAAATATTGCGCCCGTCGTCTTCCGCGTCGGACTTGTACGCAACACATATCCAGCACCAGCAGTCTCACTTGTCTTCGCCTTCGGAACGCGGCTCTCTGCAGCAGCAGCTTAACATGGACGCTGGTTATACCATGTCTTCAAACCCGCCAAACCCTCGGAGAATGTTCAGATCCGGTGACTGGATGTACGTACTTCATCTCCGTCCTTCATTTTCTTCCCGTTCCCTTCCATACCGCGCGACGCCTCGACACGGCGTCATTGTCGTAGGTCCTACGTCTGTAGTGATCTCAGTCTTTTTGACCCGTTCCGCTCCAGCGTGGACGAACAGCTGTAGGCCATGATCGGGTGCGCTGACGCTCGTTCTCCCGTCTGCCTCTAGTTGTTCTTCCGTTCATTGCGTGGCGCATAACTTTGGGTACGTGCTCTCTCGTTGTCCCGTTCGCCTTGGTCTCCCACCCTCTTCGTTTCTCTTCCCTCGAATCGCAATTTTAGGACTTCTTCCTCATCTCGAATCCTTCGTCTCATCGATTGCCACTCTTCCTTTCGCCGCTCTCTCCCCTTATAAAAACCCTTCTGTCCGTCTCGTAGCACCATGCTAACCATGTCGTATCATCACAGACGCAACCTCGCCTGCATCGGATGTGGCCACCCGCGCCCCAACAACGCCGTCCCTCCTCTCAGCCTGAACCTCCCCCTCTCTCCCCTCGGCCACACAAACCGTCTGCCCTCACCACGCTTCATCACTACCCCCTCCTTCGAAATGCCGTACGGCGAACCCGCGATCAATCTACACGGTCTCCAACAACCCACGGGCCCCCAATCGCAATCACAATCGCCCTACCAGTCGCTCAACATCAATCACATCCCTAACCACCCCCACCCCCACCACCACCACCACCCCTATCCGTCGCCCTCGTCCGCCTCCTCCACCACCACCACCTTCAACTTCAATCACCCCCAAACTGCGCCGCCCCATATTGCGCAGTTCTCTTCCCTGCCTCTGTCACCTTCGAACCCCGGTTTCAGTCTCAAGACTGCGACTGCGGGCTCCTCGAGTTCGTCGACCGCCTCGGCTTCGACGTCACCCTCGACTACGGGCAGCTCGTCGCACCATCTGTTGACGCCGAGCGGGAGGGCGTTGAGTAAAGGCGGGAAGGTGCAGAATATCAGTCCGGACCCGTTGATGCCTTGTGTGATGTATTGGCCGGATAATGAGCCGTTGCCGGAGGAGGGGCAGTTGAGGCCGAGTACGGCTGTTGGTGTCCCGGTGAGTTTTTTCTTTTCTTTTAACTACTGTGATGGTAAAGCAAGTTTCTGACTCGCATATGTGTGCTAGCATCCTCCGATTTTAAACACGGGCAATAGGGGTCCTATCGAGCATCAACCTGGAGACTGGATCTGCAGGAAGTGCAACTATTTGAACTGGAGGAGACGGAAAGTCTGCCAAACTTGCTTCCCTTGTACGTCTTTTCATTATTTCTCTTCGATGTCAAGCCCCATCTCATTTCATTTACATAGACGCCGAGGGTAACGGCGACTCTGTCTCTGCTGCCGTACAGCAGGACCGCATCGCGCTTCTCACGTCGCTCATGACGCAACAGCAACTCCAAGCCCACCAGACCGCGCAGCTCCAGCATCACCAACAGCAACAGTCTTCGCCCACCTCTCGTTCTCCCTTCTCCACGTCTTCCTCACCCGGTCTTAGACGTCCACAGGACCTGACGGTGAACGTGATGTCGATGTCCCCACAGGTCCTGCACACCTCCATCCCCCGCTCACAGCAGCGTCCCGGTCTCGAGTCGCCGTTCTCGCCCTTGTCGCCGCTGAGACACGAGTCTCCCCGTTCGCGCGCGTACCAGCTCGAGTTGCAGCAGTCCCGTCACGACGAACAGCTCTCGCCTCCCATATACCAGACCTCGCAGCCCGCTCAGCCCCAGTCTGCGCACTTCAACAACGCCCAGCAGCAGCAGCAGGTCCAGTCGCATACTTCGCTTCCCGCGTTGAGGATGTCGTCGTCGCTCTTCCCCGGTGCCGGCGCGTTCACTCATCAAGGACAAGGACAAGGTCACAATCAGGGACCTCTAGGACCGGGCCCGCTCCTCCCGAGCTTCTTGCAAGATATCGTTCAGAGCCCGTCGCTCTCTCCGACTTCGACGTCTTCGGCCGATTTGAGCGTCGACGAGTGTCATACGAATCCGGAGTCGATGTCGATCTACTCGCATTCGCCTACGCGTGCTGATCGCGTGAATTTCTACGGCGCTGTTGTCGGCCCAGGGATCGGTATGGGCGGCGGGATGGGGACGAGCGGGATGGGCAGGGGCGAGCAGGAGCGGGAGAGGGAGAGGGAGAGGGGGGACAGTGCGAGTAATGGGAGTGGGTCTAGCGTGAGCTTGGGGTTGGGGAATATCTGGAGGTTGGACGGGGCGGAGAGTAAGAGTTTGGCGACGACGGGGGTGCCGTATCATGAGGATGTGAGGGCGAAGAGGAGGGGGAGTTATGAGTTTGCTTAGGTCATCTTTGTTGTGGGCCTGCATTGGACGTGATTGATTTGTTCACGCATCGTATGTCTTTCTTTTATGTGTGCACCATTTGTTGGTCTGTGCTGACGTTTCACGCTATAGCTGTCGTTCTTGTCGATACATTACTCTCTCATTTTATCGCTCTCGACTCTGGATTCCATCTCTCGCGGACACCCCAACGTATACATTATACACATACACACTTGTGTCTCCCTCTGCTTTTCCCTTTCTTTTATATCTCTAAGGCCACCCTTCACTAATACTTGTCTCCTTCTTGTCCTTGCGCTTGGCCACCCTCATCACCTTTCCTTTTCAACCTCAAAAACCTGGGATTTTCTATCATCGGATGGAGACGTCGCTTCCTATATCTTTTGACTTTATGCTCCCTCGCAACTTTTGCTTTTAACGTTCCAGCCTGGGCTGCTTCCCTCATTCTATTACTCGCGCGCTCAGGGCGTCTTTTTGCTTCCTTGCTTGCTTCCTTTATTTACTCATCTCATCATCTGCTCTTGGTCACGTCCGCTCATACTCGTCGCCGTCGTTGTCGATAGTGCATCACTTCACTCAACTCCCACTGCCCACTGTCTCGTCGGATCATACATACATATACATAACATATATTCGAACCCCTCATCTCGAATCCAATCCAATCCAATCCAATCCCATCCACAGGAAGACTTGTGTTCCTTTTTTGTCTGTCTGTTCTCGCTCTCCGTTCACCCCTCTTGTCTCCTCCTCCTCGCTCCTGTACATTGACAGCTGTACGTATACTTACTGCTATGTACATTCCCCCTTGTCCCACCCGTCACCCGTCTCTTGTCCTGTTTTCTGTCATTTGTCATCACACCCCTGTCCCTTGTCTTGTCCAATCCTCCGCGTACTCGTTTACTCGTTGTCAATGTCATCGTATTTTCTTGCTCATCGGTATCTGTGCACGTCCCTTCGCCTGGGTATTACACCGTCGGGTCCTCTGCGATGACGACTAGTATGACGCGAAGAGCGAAGAAATTATCTCATTCTTATCTCGAAGTTGAACGAATTCGAACTCCTGTCACTAGAAGTCTTCGACGAGACAGGGTCGATTGATTTTGATTTGACGAGGTGAGTGCGTGCATGCGTAGGATGACGACGTCGATGGAGCTTTGAAGTCCTTGACGAGACGTTGAGGGTGTCCTGTCAGTCTAAATATTGCCCAGTGTTCGGACGAGGACTTCTCGGACACGAGTCGATTATATTCCTATGACGTGTATAGGATCTGAAAATGGGATATTGTAAAAATTGTTGGAGCTCGAAGATAATATTTTTTCGTGGATGCTTCTGCCGCTGTCAAGTGCGCCGGAGAGAATAAATTGAGTGTGAAATGCCGCTCAAGTGAAAGCACGTGGCGGTTGTTTGGATCAGAGGGCGTTGGCAAACAAAGCAAGACGCGTCGAACGCGTGTCGGCTCGACGCGTCCGAGTGACCTCTGCTTTGACTGGGTGCAAGCTTGATGGTACGCTAGGCTCTGCTCAGGAAACTGCCACGATGACCGCCTCTGGATCGCCGTCTCGACCTGTCTTCTTGCTCTCCGACTTTTACGCCTCCTCGTCCGCCCCCATCTTCGCCCCCACGCGCTATCTCCAGCCATACATCCCTCCCTCCACGAATCCCTCTCCAGACTCCGATCTCCTCAAATCCATCCGCGCCGCCCTCCGAGGCTCAGACACCTCCCCACACGAAGTCCACTCTGCTTTCTACGACTGGCCACGTCCCGGCACGGGCTCCTCCACCCTCCGTCGCGAAGTCTCCTGGAACCGAAACACGGTCGTGCTCAGCTCAGGCGGCGTCATCTGCAGACAATGGTCCTTCGCACACGAACAGCAACCCATTCAATGCGTCTGCGTCGGCCATCTCGAGCAAACGGGCATCATCGTCTCCTCGCGCTCCTCTGGGAACTACACCTCCGAGTTCCACGCAGGACCTTCTAAATCCCCATCTGACGACTCCTCTAACCGTCCCACGTTCGGTCCGTTTGCTCGTGCGGAGCAGGAGCGCAAGCGTGCTATCGAGCCTGAAACCCGTTCCCGTGCCGTCTTTGTTTTTCTGAGGAGTATGGGCAAGATATACCTCGAGAATGGGGTGGAGTATGCGTTTGCGTTGCCCTTTATCGTCAGGAAGGCGTGGCCGTTATTTCCCCATGGTGTGGTCATGCAGAGGGTTTTGGATGCGAGTGAGGTGAAAGAGGCGGAGGAGTCGGGCGATGAACCACTCCCGACGTTGTTCTCCATGACGAGTCCTCTGGCGGAGGCGACAGTCGTCGGGATGGCATCGACTATTATTGGCGGTTTCAAAGGGATTTCACCGGTGTTGGAGGAGGAAAGCGAAGGGAGTTTCGTACCGCCGAAGGAGATGATCGTGGAGGTGACAGGACGAACGGCAGGAGACGACGTCGACATTCTCGTCTCAGTCGACGCGGACAAGAGGACGCTGTCCATCTGGCGATACATCTACGTCAAACCGAAAGACCTGCCCTCTGCCAAAGGACCCTCCCGTTCGCGGAAAAAGCGGGCTTCGACGGCTATGCCAGGACGACAACGGACCTCGCTCGGTGCGAACGAATCATTCACTTATCCCGCTCCTCCCCCACTTGCGACCAACACCACAGTGGACGACCATCCACTCGAAAAGTCACCCGCCACATCCGATACACAACTCGCTCCTCTGTCCGCCTTGCCTGGCATGGCTCCCTCATTAACCACGATGACCGCCATGGCCAACCTCGTCCAAGCACCAGAAAATTCAAAACCCCTGTCCTTGCCTTCTTCGCCTGCACCGAAGGCGACGAGGAGGAACTCGCTGGGTCAGAAGGATCCGAATTCGACGGCGGAGAGGATGTCGGCGATGGCGAGGGCGGAGGCGGTCGAGGCTGCGTTGGGTGCGACGGATCATACGAGGATGAGGTCGACGCATTGGGTCACGAAGCTGTATAGTGTTGATATATCTGAAGCCGAGTGAGCATCCATCGTGCTCTTCCTATTTCTTCTCCCTTGAACTTTATCAACTAATCACGGTCTGATATCTAGTGCAACAGCGTGGCGGCAGATTTCCGTCTCTGTGTTCGACCAACGATGGGACGGGAAAGACCACAGAGCTCTCATCGGAATCTGTCTTCCCGCCTCCAAAACCCTCTCCGTCTTCTCGTACCTCCGATACGAGGACAAAACCATGCGAATAACCCCTCTGACCCAACGTCCCGCCCTCTCCTCTGTCGCTCTGCGTTTCTCACGAGATAACATCTACGATTTACTCGTTGCTAACCCCGAAGGAGACCTCACCGTCCTCACGCACGGACTACGAGAATGGCGAATCGCAAATAACGCTATTTCGCCAGCGGACGCCACGAATCCCGATACACCAGGCGGCGGGAAACGTATCGCGAGCCTAAGCGACGCGAACGGCTCGTCCGTGAGGATCACATTCGCAGACAAAACCGCTATGGTCACGACATTCGATTGCGCACCACAGGATATCCTCACATCGCAATGTTTGCAGGTTCTCGCCGTCACGCTTCCCGGCGAGGCGGCACACGATCTACATCTGCTGTTCACGATGAAGTGGGTGAGGAGGAGACGAGATTGCTCGGAAGGTGTCGAGTTTGCGTGTTTTTCAGAGGCGTTGGGAGAGCTGTTTGGTCTGGATCTCGTATGGAACGATAAACCGCTCACTTTAGCGAGCATCGTCGCGAGCACAAGCACGAGCAGCATCACGAGCGCGACTTCCTCCACTCCGTCAACCCCATGGTCACGACTCGCCACCATATCCACCACCTCTTCCTTCTCTCGCTACACCGACGACCCCCTCCTCTCCTCCGGCTTCTCCCTCCCACCAACGCCAACACACCGTCCGCAACGCATATCCTCCTCCCGACGCCCGCATCCCCTCCTCTCACCCGTTTTGAACTCTCTGCATATGCTCGGTGAGGATCTGAGACTGGTCGTGAGCCGACATGCGGAGTTGGTTAGGTTGGCGAGATTGATTTGTTCGGTGGCGAGGGTGATCAGGCCGGAGTGGGTTGACTATTGGAAGAGGTTGGTCCCGGCAGCGATGCAGGGATGGGTCTCTCCCGCTAATAGTACGTATTCACTCCCTCCGTTTCTTTAAATTGCCAGTATCACTAACACAAACTAAACTGAATTATGCAGGTCCTCGATTCGTAGACGACCACCTCCCCGTCTGGCCCCCGGACATGACCACCCTCTTCTACGGCCGACTCGCCCAACCCGACTGGGGTCTCCCCTGGTACGACACCAACCGCCTCTCCTCCCAATTCAAAACCACGCCTTCCTACCCCTACGGCCGTCTCGACCCTCTCACCTTCCTCCGTCAATTCACCGCCATCCACAAATCCCTCGCGGACAAAGCTTCCGAAACGACGACGATCCAACGCGCGACGAACGCCCTACAGCTCCTCGTCAGCGTGAACGAGAACTTTAATTTCGGGGGGAGCAGTTCGAGTGGGGCCGGGGCGGGGGCTGGGATGGGCGGGAGTACGAGTTTGGAGAGCGGGAGTGATTTTTTGGGCAGTTTGCCGTTGGGGTTGGCGGGCCCGATGAGAGAGATCGCGAGGACGTGTCAGTTGCATCCGGGGCAGGATTGGCATGGGGCGGCGTATTCGTTCGTTGGGAGGAATGATCTTGCGGAGGGGTTGGCGATGGGGGGCAAGGTGAGGGCGGAGGAGGAGAAGAGGAGTGCGGGGTATAAGCCTGTGAAGGATTATCTTGTAGGTTTTTTCTCTCTTCTCTCTCTCGCAGTGGCGTGAATTCACTTATGGGACTTTTCAGGCATCGAAGCCAAGACGGACGATACGTTCCCTTATCGAGCAGGCGAATGCACTCGCGGTCAGCGAGCTCGATACGAAACTTGGGGTTGAAGTCGCGTTGGATGATTTCACGAAGATACGATTTGGGCAGGATAAGCGATTGGAAGAGGTCGCTAGGATGTTGCGTTCGTCGACCGTTGCTTCGATCAAGCTACCAGATCGGCCTGAACTCAAGTACGTTGTTTCCCTCCTTCGGTCGCTTCTCGTATCTGACCTCGGTTCCACAGTGACCAAGACCAGGTAAAGGAACAACAAAACCAAGTTCTTCGAATCGCAGAGCGGACCCTCGCTCTCCCACTCGGTCGGGCGATGTTCACATTCGGTTCTGTGGCTACCGTTACTCGCGAGGCCTACTCTATCCCCAAGATGGAGTTCGGCGTTCGTATCTTCCCCCAAAACCTGGCCGTCACACCCGAACCTTATAAGATCCCCGTGGAGTCTCTGAACTGGGGAGACTTCCACAACGGTGTGGCCGCAGCATTGCGCATCTCACCCACATCAGAGGTCATCGACAGCTCCTGGATCAAGTTCAACAAACCCTCCGAGCTCACTCCCGAGCATGCCGGGTTCCTGTACGGCCTGGGCCTGACGGGCCATCTGAAGGAGATGCTGACCTGGCACACGTTCAGCTATCTTACGCCCAAGCATGATCTGACGTCCATTGGCGTGTTGCTCGGTTTAGCAGCAGCGAACGTCGGCACCGGGAACCGACATGTCACCAAGCTCCTAGCTGTGCACACCCCCGCCTTGCTCCCGACGCCGAGCATCGACTTGAATGTTCCGCTAATCACGCAGACGGCGGGATTAGTCGGTATCGGACTGCTCTTCATGGGCACCAAGCATCGTCGTATGGCCGAGGTCTGTCTGAGGCAAATCGGGAGAGGTGACCTCACGCAGCCTGACCTCAGCAACGAACATCGCGAGGCGTATACTATGGCTGCTGCGTTGGCGTTCGGGATGGTCATGCTTGGCAAAGGGTCAGCGAACATGATTCCCGCCGATGAGGCTTTGGTGACGGAGTTGCGTATACTCGTACATGGAGAGGCACCCTCTCACCAAAGCTCGAAACGAACACGGGCCGCGTTCGATATCAACCTCACTTCCCCTGCAGCTACGATCGCCCTTGGACTCATGTACCTCAAGACAGAGAGCCAAGAGGTCGCAGACGTGCTCACCATCCCCGACACAATCCTTGCGTTGAACAAAATCCCACCTGGGTTTTTGCTGCTTAGGGTGTTAGCGAGGGCGTTGATCATGTGGGATACCATCAAGCCTACACACGCGTGGGTGGATGCACAGATTCCGCCCTCAATTGCCTATATAATGAAGAGTCGTGCGACGGTGAAGGTGATCGATGAGGCGGTTGAGTTGGCGTATTACAATCTGGTCGCAGGATGTTGTTTTGCGATCGCTTTGAAGTTCGCGGGCACGGCAAGGGAGGAACCGTATAGCTTGCTCATCATGTATCACGACATGTTCAGTCGCCTGGCTTACACGAATGGTGAGTTCTCGCTCTCTCTCCCTACCTGTGAACTTGCTAACCCGGGTCCGTTCAGGAGCGGCTTTCGACCACCGAATCAAACGGCATGCCATCCGAGATGGTCTCAACCTCATTTCGATTTCGCTCAACATGGTCATGGCTGGAACCGGTGAGATAAACTGTCTGCGAAGGTTGAGGTATGCCTACGGCATGTACAACCAGGCCATGCGTTACGGTACGCATATGGCGACGCATATGTCGTTAGGCCTTCTCTTCCTCGGAGGCGGGCGCTTCACACTGGGCAACTCGGACGCGGCGGTCGTTTGCATGATAGCCGCTTTCTTTCCTCGCTTTGCGCCTATATCGGCGGACAACAAATCGTACCTTCAAGCGCTCAGGCATCTCTGGGTTCTCGCCGTCGAACCTCGCTGTTTAATAGCTCGCGACGTCGATACGAAAGAGATCGTGTATCTTCCGGTCAAGATCAGAGTGAAGGAGGGCACCGAGACGAGCATATCACAACTTATCTCGCCCACGCTCATCCCGGACTTTGACAAGTTGCAGTCCATTCGTGTTGATACACCCAGGTACTGGCCTTTCTATCTCGACTTCCACCACATGCCCCGACATCGGGATACTCTGCTCCAGAACCAGACCATCTTCGTCAAGCGTCGAACAGCCTTCCTCAGCTACTTGGAGGATCCCAAAGGAAGTCGAAGCTTGTTTGTTCGTTCCGGGTCTTCTACGGGTGATGCGGCAACGCTCGATTTCCCTCGTCTGACGGACACTAAGCCTCATCCAGCGAGCGACCTCACCCGATTCATCTCATCCTTCTCCAACAATCCGTTCTTCCTCGCATTTGCGGACCACTTCTGTCGAGATAGTCCAGACGACACGGATGCCGAAAAGCTATTTTATAACTTTTGCCACGCCAGTCTCTTGGACTGTATTCTTCAAGACAAGCCGCAGACACTACAATCGTATATCATGCTCTACCGCTATCGGACAATGCCCTCCAGTTCTCGTTACTTCCATCTCCGACTACAAGACCTCCGATTCGCTGTCGACTTCTATACTAAGGTTTTCGATCGGCGTTTCAGCGGCCGGGCGGAGAACAACCCTCGAGCGCCGCTCATTCGTGATAGCACGCTCTCCGGTGTTCTCTACGCGCTCGACCAACAGCTCGACACGATTCGCAACGACGATGCCTTTTTGGAGACGCTGGGCAACTATGCCCGGGGCGAATTGATGCCTGCGCTTGCCTCCGCATCACCACAGGCTCTGAACATGTCGCAGAAGTTGGCTTGGTACCTCTTGCGGAATAATGTCCCGGTCTCGACGCTCCTCACGGTGCTGCAAAGCCTTGCCCAACATGCGCATGCCCATTGTCTGAGTCTGCCTCCGCCGGATGGGACGGACGATTCGGAAGCGCTGGCGATGGGGATAAGGGAGGTTTTGCACACGACGGGGACGCAGATGACGACGACGTTGGGGTCTGGATGGTCGATGAGGTCTTTGGATGAGATTATGACTGCGTGGAAGGCCAGATAGGACTAGGGCCTGACTGTATTGGACTTGCTCGTACTTTGAGGAGATCCATCAGGGCGTACGCGCTGCCGGTCGAGTTGGAGCGGCGTTGAATTGTATAATGCAAGGTCCAGTCTGCGTTGCTCCGTTTACTCTGTTCGGACCGTTGTACTTGCATGGATGGAATAGTGTTTGCTTTAATTTGTATAGAATCCCTCGCTATCGATGTTTTCAAGCTGTTCGTTCATTTCTGCACCTGTCACCGTGTATTGTTAGTCTCCATTGGCATAGCAAGGACCTATGTACCCTTGGCTTTGTACTCCTATGACGAAGAGTGTGAAGATACATCAACAAACACGGAGCATAGGTATGTCAGAATGATTCAGAGTGATAGGGAGGTGTAAGCAAACCCGATTCCTCTCGCTGACGGAGTAGCGCCCCTCCCGTGTTCTTACATGTACATGCCGCCGACAGCTGACGGGCGATCCACTATATTTATCCCTTATAGGACCTGTCTCCATGAAGCAAAATAGCGCGTATGTCGGTGAGCATGTCTCAGCAACGCCACCATTGATCACACTAAGCCAAAGTCATCTCAATCTTTAGAAGTCTGTTTGTGGCGGCGGCGGCGGTCACGAAGTTGGAACCGTATATGCGGCGCAACGGTCATTACTTCTGGACACGAGACCCGATGCGGTAAGTAGGAACGTTCTTATCGCGTATCTTACATGTACCGAGCTTTTACTGACTGAGTCTCAATGTCTAGAACTTTTGATATCCCGGTGAACGTGGGGAATGGCCGTTCAGCGCCCGATTGTTCAGCGGTGCAAGGTATGGGGAGGCACTGTGGTGTCTTACAGCTCGAACTCCGCAAGGCGGTTCATTTTCAACTCATGCACTCCGACTCGTCCTGGATAGTCCACGGCCTTGTCCATGTAGAGAGGATTTCCAATTCATCGCAGGTTTCTAACCGCCTATCTGCTTCGCAAAAGCCCATGCACCAAGTCTTCTCGTCGGGATGCTGACGGAGGGCTGACTTTATTGCTGCCCGCCGTGAACTGCATGTATCAGCGAGCGGCATCTGTGGCCCATCAGCACGTTTGTGCGATATAGAGATAGAAGGGTGTATGCGCATTTTTCAGGAAAACCATCCGCGGCTCCGATGGACGAAAAACCGACTGGAGTGTGGCCACGATTAACAATGAATACTAATCACCATCAATATAATTGAAGTGATGTGTGGCGCGGGCATGACGAGCTGAGATATGTATACCTCCGTAGTAGTCATTGAAGACTATCGCAGCGAAGAGGACGAACTTTCGACAGAGCGCTCACGCACGAAATTGGTCAACAATATTTGTTTGTTTTGAGAGTTCCGTATGACAGAGTGCAAATGCGCGCTAGTGGTACATGCTGTGCAGCGATTAAATAACGGGTCGAAAAGATGGATGGAGGTATGGCGATGGAAGGTGGGTGACAGCAGAGGATGAGGGTGACGAATATTGCAGAAATTATCGGATGATATCTATGGAAAAACAACGTTGGAGAAAGGGAGAGGGTGTTTATCATACAGACACTATGTATGGCAGAGATGGATGATGCAGATGGTAGGCGTAAAGACCGAGTCCGGGAGGAGGTACCGTAGGGGAAAGCACAAGACTCGAAGCTGAAGACTTATGAGACGGTAGCCATAGCCAAAGTCGAACGCTTGTAAGTCGGTGACCGATTGATGCCGGACTGGATGACCTTTTCCCTGCGCTGCTGCACCGCCTGAGAAGAAAGTCAGTGTCAACGTATGATGGGAATTCGCTACCGTAAGTGTACATACCAAGTTCAACCTATCAAGCATGCCGACCGTGGTCTCCCAGTCAACGCAAGCGTCGGTGATGGAGACACCGTGCTTGAGACCTGAAGGGCCCTCGGCGGGAACGTCTTGCCTGCCAGAGTTGATGTGCGACTCGATCATCACACCCGTGATGGTACGATCGCCAGCCTCGAGTTGCTCGCAGATGTTGTCGGTCACCTTGGGTTGGTTATTGTGATCCTTCTGCGAGTTACCATCTAAAAATAAGAAATGCCGTGAAAAAAAGTTGGTCAGCAGGGTTGTTTCGTACACGAGTGACACGACCCATGCCAGCAAAGCAAACCATATGGAGTGCCGAACTATGAGAAATGTTACGGTATGGAATGAAGCACTTACGGCTACAGTCTATCATGATTGAAGTGTGGTGATGGGGACGGGCCTTCTCGATGGCGGAGGCAGCGGCCTTGACATGCTCGGCAGCGAAGTTAGGGCCTTTTGAACCGCCACGAAGGATAACGTGAACGTTCTGGTTACCCCTGGTCTTGACAATGGCAGCGATACCCTGCTCGGTGACACCCATGAAGGCGTGGGGGTTCGAGGAGGAGCGCATGGCGTCGACGGCGACCGAGACGCTGCCGTCCGTACCATTCTTGAAACCGATGGGGAAGGAGACACCGGAGGCGAGCTCGCGGTGAAGCTGAGACTCGGTGGTACGAGCGCCAATGGCGCCCCAAGAGATCAGGTCGGCGATGTACTGAGGCGAGATAGTGTCGAGAAGCTCGGAGCCGACGGGAACACCGAGGTCGGTCAGGTCACATAGGAGCTGTCGGGCTAGGCGCAGTCCTTTGTTGATCTGGAACGAACCATCGAGGTTGGGATCATTGATGAGACCCTTCCAGCCGACGGTGGTGCGTGGTTTCTGTCATGACAGGTCAGACTAGGTTGGGTGAAGTCCTGTAGGACACAAACTTACTTCACTGGAGTGAAAGAAAAATGTCCGACATCAACATAAGAACAGACGAAGGGAGAAAAAGCAGACTGACAAGTATGCGCGCATAACAATAAGGAGATTGGGCCAAGAATCCAGCTTCGCTTTCAGAAGCTTGGCGTACTCGATGGCCTGCTCGGTAGAGTGTATGGAGCAAGGACCGACGATGACGAGAAGACGGTCGTCGGCACCAGAGAGAATTCTGGCAGCATTGAAGCGAGCAGAAGCAATGGTGGCCTGCGAGTACTTGCTGGCAGGAATCTCGTGGCGGAGAAGCGCCGGCTGAACGAGTGGATCATACTATGAAGAAATGACGGAATTCTGTTAGAAAGAGTAAGACATCTGAAAGACATGAACGTACGCCAATGACACGCCTGTCCTGGATGTATTTCTCGAGCTGGACATCGTCCTTGGGGTCGGGGTAGGGAGTAACGGAATCGAAAGCCTTGGCCATTTCTGAGTCGGAGACCTCTAGTAGTAGAAAATGAGAAGAATGAAATGTAAGAGGAAGTCCCAATAATAAGAGGGAGAGGGGATGAGCTACGTCTGAACCTGCTCAAGGGCTCTTTTATAGGTTGGGACTCCATCGAATTGAGTATTTTGTGTAAGGGGCGCTACGGGGGGTGAGTCAGTGCTGTGGTTTCGGTCAAAAAGTTTGTAGATGGAGTGATCGAGATTACCCGCTCTCTGAATGGTTTCCCACAACGTGGCTATCTCCGTTCATGCACGTGCATCCCTTTCCTGCAAACCATGTCGACCATCCCTGTGCAGTTGTCTCCTACCCCGGGTTTTTGTATCAAGTCATCGTCCCTCCAGCCCGGACATCTCTTTACGTCTCATGGAGACGGTGCCTCTCGCAGTTCTGCTCTAGCACCGATCGTGGTTCCGGAAGGCTTCAAGATCTTTCTCAACATCGCCTGGGACAAAAACGTCCCGCCGCCACCAGATGCCATACAGAGGGAGGATCTTGACGCATTCGACCCAGATGGCTGGGTTGTCCCTGTCATTGTGTCTGCTGGTCGTGAAGATACTGACAAAGGTCAGTTCCATTCGTACAGTTCCCCATCTTTTACGACATGTCCTGGATTAGAGAGCTTTCCCTGGTTCGTCTTTGCACGGTTCTGATAGCTGCAGTCCTTGCTCCATTCTGATATTTCGTGACATATTGCAAAACCGGTGGTATGTTCTTCTGCCTTTCTGACACCGGTACCAGCATTTGTTCATCTAAACCTGTCCGAACCGTTCGCGAACTGCAGCGTTTCAGCTTTAGCATGGACCTCATATCCTAGGCACTCTTTACTCTCACTTTTGCTTATTTAATTGGTCTGTCTTCTCTTCTAATAGCAGTAAGGCGCTGCTCGAGACGCACAGCCACTCGCAGCTCTAGTGCAGTGGAGTCCAGTAGAATCGGGATACACAAATCTTTTACGGAACGGTCAGAGCGCTAGCGTGAACTGTCCGAAGAGGCTCCTTGCTCATAGAGCGCTATACTCGCGGAGGTATGCATAAGCCATTGATGCACACCATAGCCTCTTTCCCCTCTTTGTCTGCGCGAATGTGCCTTATCTGCTCGTTGCTTCAAATTGATCAACCGCATTTGGGTGGCTGTTCGGCCAGGTTCGGCCTCGTTGGTCGTGAAACGAACGCGCGTGTCGTTCGCGCCCCAATAGCCAAATGTTGACTTGTTTTGAACAGTCTTGTTCGATTTATGATCTGCCCTGATTAATTTACTCACTGGAGTTTCTTTGTTCTGTGGACCCTATAGCCGGCAAAAAAGCGCTGGTCTTCGATTGCGTCTTCAACCCGTCGCTGAAAAGCAGAGCACTTAAGGACATCGAGTTCAAGACCTTTCTGATAGGTAAGTTGTCCTGGATCTAGACAAACTCACCATATAGTTGGTGAAAACTGAATCCTAATTCCCGAACACCTCTTATCTTCTTCATATCCATTTGGCCCAGCCCCGTCTGTCCTCTCATCATCTATCACCTTCACTTTCTTGATATCCCTTATCCAAGCCGCCACTCCCGACCGGTAACTAACTAAGCAGCAGAGCCACTGACACATGTTCCTACCATCCTCATCTCGGCTATGCCAATTTGTAGAACTTGCTCTTCAGCGCGTCGAGGCTCAGAGTTCTCTCCGACTCTCTCGCACTCTCGGAACTCCCAACATCGCATCCAAGGGAGAACTCAGGCCCCGAACCGTTGATATCCCCCTCGCTTTGTTTCCTCCATCGCATCACCTGCATCAATCTGGAGAGGCAGTGAAAGCAAAGCCTGCGAAAAAGCTGATTGAGGAGGTGACGCCAGAGACAACGCCTTCGAGCTCGTCGAGTACACCAGAAAGAGGAGCATTAAAGAATGATAACGCGGATACCGCTTTGTCAGTAAAACGTGTTGAAACAGAAGCGACGAACAGGGATGCGAACGCCTCGATGGAGACGCCTATGTGGTCCTGGAGGAGAGACAGCGAGTCGGACCGACTCGTAATCACCGTCGAGGTGCCGAAAATAGTACGTCGTCGCTTTCTCTTTTCCTTTTCGCCATCATATTCCTATCTCTATCCTACCTTATGCTATCTGTACTGTCCATGGGGTTTATGCAGTTTCAGCACCGTTCCCCACACGTACTCTATCGAACTCACACTTACTAACGACATGTTCTGCAGACTCGCGCTCACATTCCTACTGCCGCCCTTGACCTCGAACCTAATGCTATATTCCTTCAGCTGCCACCGTTCTACGATCTCTCCATCGACCTCAGTCTCCCCGACGCCGCGCTCAGAGCATCGGCAGGAAAACATGCCGAAAAGGCGTTGACGCTGAAACGGAACCGAGATCTCGATGTTGATGGCGCGAGGGCAGAATGGAGGGTCAACGAGGGCAAATTAATCGTTCGCGCTTGAAGCAAGGACAAACTGGTATGCTACTGGTCGGCGCCGTAAGCTAAATCTGCTGATTGTCTATGAGGACACATACTGTCATTCAATGTATTTTTATGTGCTCTATTTCTCGGCGCTGTCTGCTTTCTGATGAGCCCCCCGTTTGGTATGAAGTAGACGAGTTCCAGACGTCAAGTACGAGAATCTATCGTAAGGTGAGTCCTGTACATATTCATCGTCGTGTTTCTTAAGGAGCCACATACCATATCCGTCAGCTCATCATGGGCACTGTCACCCGTAAAACAAGTGAGACTCATAAACCCATGAGTGTATAGTCTGCATATCCTACTTTCCTCTTACCGAATCCGTCTCGCGCGTTCCTTCAGCAGTCAAGCTGCGAACTTATGGTATCGAAAAGCAGCCCATGATGGAACCTAAGTGGACGCTGGGTGACAAAGATATATTTTTCCTACATTCTGCATATTGAGGCGACGACGCTCTTCTACAGATGTTATTTCAACTACAGTCACTGTTCTATGCCATACGACATTGTGCTCCCTTCGTACAGATGCACAAACAAACCATATCCTTACTGAGTAGAGACGAAACCTCGGAGCAGCTTTGTGATGTTCTGATACTCTCCTTCTTCAGAGAGCTTAGCTGGGGAAAATCGATGCCCAGGCGCTTCGAGCGATGAGTGGATGATGCAGGATCGTTGTAGGCGCCCTATCTGTGGCGTTGTGGCCCAAATCATGCTCTCCCTCCCCTTTTCAGATCAATCTGTTTTCAACTTCGGTCACACAAACCACACCAACATTACGTTTCTCCACATGAGGTCGTCTTCAGATCAACCCTTTGCATCTGCTGATACTGAAGGAGAATTGAGGGATCTTCTCACCTGAGTATCACCAGAGTCCCATATGCTCCGATGGCAGATACTAGAACTTCTGACGTCTCTTGACTTTCTGGAGTGGTTCGACCTCGGGTTCTACGGCGCTAGCAAAATCATGGGCCCGTCCTGTTACCCACATTGGCGTCTTGAGCCCTGGGTTTGCCTTGGAGTCTCGCTGCCGGATACAAACGCGATCCAAGAAAGGCTCACTTGGCACCCTGGTCTTTTCAAGACATTGGGAGTATATCATCTGAGTGGAATTGACCTGATTTCTTCCTGAAGGATCTCCCAGAGTAGGACTCGTGAGCGAGATGATTCGAGGGACACGGTGCGACGTTTTCGAGCACTTACTCAAGAACGAGTGCCGAAGATCGCGTACCGGGAGCCCGGCAAACAGTAGCGTGTCCTCGACGCCTTGCCACCGGTGCTTTCCCTGCCGCTTCCGAGTCTAGCTCTTCCTAGTTACGATACCGTCTTGAGAAATGCTCAAAGTTTGAAGTGCTGTCTATCAGGTCCACAAGGACAGCGATATCTCACACTGATTAGTCTTCAGATCTTTGGGTTCTGTCATGTGTGCTATCTGGCTCTGCGTCTCTTATATGGCTGCCCTCACGCTCGACTGTCAGGGAAGGGGACCATCTAAGACATCCAACTTCAACTACCTGAATAAGTTCTACTATGGCGGCTAGCGTCTCAACTAGCTTTATATCCGGCACTCTTGAATGTTATGATATATTGATAGCTGGAGCAGGCGCGACGGGCTGTATTGTTGCTGCTCGGGTGGCGGAGGCAGACCCCTCCTTGAAGATCCTGGTCATTGAGGTGAGTGGCAAACGTACAACTGTTCTTCGGATTATTGACCAGGACTGCTCAAGGCGGGACCCGATGTCCGAGACGATGCGGCGCATTATCAAGCGGGTCGTACTTTTCATCATTTGCACCCCGCCTCGAAGACTGTCAAGTTTTATGCAGTAGAACCTAGTCCTCATCTGGATAATCGCCAGGCATTCTATCTCCACGGACAATGCGTTGGCGGAGGCTCCTCTATGAATCGTAGATTCATCATTTATTTTCTGATATAACAGAGACTCAAATATTTTCTTTTTCCGTGTTGTGAACTAGTAACGATGTATACTCGAGCCGCTGCCTCGGACTACGATGACTGGAAAACCGTCTACGGGGCCGAAGGCTGGGGCTTTGCAGATCTTCTGCCTTATCTGAAGAAGGTACGTCGCGTTCTCCACCACAGATCTTTCCACTCCTTTCTAAAACATCCCCAGTGTGAGAACTACACACTCGACACGCCGACTCCTGAGGTTCATGGTAGGAATGGACCTCTAGTTGTATCCCACGGTGGTGAGTATACGACTGTGGGCAAGGAGTGGTTGGAGGTTGCACCCAAATATGACGGACGACCCGTATTGGAGGATCCGAATGATTTTTACACAGTAAACGGTTATTCGGTGCGATCATCCGTCCGGATGTTGGGTTGTCCTGAACTAAAATAAATACGAATCACAGCGCTGGAGGAAGTGGATCAACTCCGACACCGGAAGGCGGTCAGACTCTGCTCATAACTATCTCTATCCACAACAAGACCGGAATACGAACCTTCATCTCCTGACGGGATGTGTTGTTGATAAGATTATCTTCGAGTGCGCATCATATCTGCCCGCGATGATGCTTTGGGTGTTTACTATGACTAGAGGGACTCGTGCAGCAGGTGTTGAATTTGCGCAGAACGGAAGGAAGCGTGTCATCAAGGCGTCAAGACAGGTCGTGATCTCTAGTGGTGCATTTGGCACGCCCGGAATTGTAAGCGTTTTACCTTCGTTCTGTTATTTGACTCGTTTAACGTTGTTTCAGCTGGAACGCTCAGGCCTCGGAGACCGGTCAGTCCTGCAGACGGCTGGGGTGAATGTCGTCTCTGATCTGCCTGGTGTGGGAGAGAACTTGATTGGTAGTTGTCAGAACTATCCTTGGCTCTACGCATTGACTTCAAGTGATGTTCAATAGATCATCATGTCATATTTTTCCCGTACAACACTCCTCAGGATCATATCACCTTCGACAGTATGAGCAGGGGTGAGCCAGAGGCCATGGAATACTGGAGCGAGATATATAACAAGGAGAAAAGAGGCATTTTGTCTTCAAAGTACGCCTTCCAGCCTTTCCTTCGTAATCTCATTATTGTAGATTAAAACTGCGAGGCGCAGTCCTGTCGATGCTGGTATCAAGATGAGAGCTTCGCCCGAAGAGCTCAAAGCCATAGGTCCTGAATTCACCAAGCGGTGGGACTCGTACTATGCCGAAGCACCCGACAAATCCATGCTCTACATGGGTGTTGTATCGATGTGAGTGCACAAACCTTCGGTCTTCCATAACGTTTGGCCTTACACGCCGGTGTTAGGTTGTTCGGTGACATCATGCCATGCCCAAAGAGAAACTTTTACAGTCTTGGCTTCTTTCAGGCAGGTCCTGTCACTCGTTATCCCTAGGTCAAGCTAATATTCACTCGGTAGAATCATCCGGAGTCCATTGGCAAGATTCACATTACTTCCTCAGATCCTTCAACACCGCAGAAGTTTGAACCTATGTGGATGAGCGAGTCAGTTTTTTGCTGCTCTTACAAGCCAGTCGTAGTAGATCACTCACCGATTTCTTTGCTTCGTGCTGTCCAGACCGGCAGACATGGAGCTTCTTGTGTGGGCGTACAAACATTCTCGCGAAACTGCACGTCGCATGCCATGCTATCGTGGGGAGTTCAAGCCGAACCATCCTGAATTTGCACAAGGCAGTGACGCCTATATCAAGGACGTAGAGATGGGACCGGTACCCATCGACGCGCCACCAATTGTATACACCAAAGAAGACAACGAAGCTATAAGGACCGCGATCAAGAAGTTTAGTAAGCTCCATAGTTAGACAGAAATATATGAATGTAGTTGTCAGTATTGATCACCTTATTCCTAGTATCCGGCTGCTGGCATACCATGGGATCGGCCGCGATGAAGCCTAGAGACAAGAACGGCGTCGTGGATCCAAGGTTAAATGTGTACGGCACCGAACATCTCAAGGTCGCTGACTTGTCTATCTGTCCGGCGAACGTCGGGGCGGTATGTCCTCTCAACGCGATACTTATGTTCTTGGGAGGCTCAGATCATCCTTCATTAGAATCCGTATTCTACTTGCACTGCAATTGGAGAGAAGGCTGCTGTGTTGATATGCGAAGATCTCGGCATCGAATTGGCTCTGTAAATACCTGAAGGAAGCCTGTTATCCATGAATTGTTTGCTAGAAGCGTCAAACAAATCCCATTTGCGCGTAACAACAAAGTCATATCACCTCTACTGTCCATAAGTCATGATTATCTATACATGTGACAATCCCATCGTTCTTTTACAATATCATCAGTTCTCGAGCTGAGACTATGCTCTATGCCGTCCACCGTCATTATCTTCGACCTATACAAAAGTAAGGAAGGAGAAATGTAAGGATTTGGTCCCTTCGAGCAATCGAAGCAGTACAAGGCTTCGTCAATCGGATGATTACTAGGAGTCGCCCCAATCTAATACATCTTCCACATCCTCCCATTTACACTCTGAAACCGGGTTCACGAGATACTCCAGTTCATCTGCACTTCCCTCAGCTAGGCCTCCAGCGATACACTTGAGCCCAAGTATGATCGTGAGGTCGTCACACATTGGTCCAATTCATACCTCGACTGGATCAGGATACACGTCACTGACCGTGGTGAATACACCGTTCGTGAGTCGGGCCCGGGCTGGCAGGTTCTGATCGCTAGCTGCGATATTCAGCAATGGCCATTCGTCAACGTACGCTTTTCGCAGAGCACCGGCAGATGCCTCCATGGTGCATGGTGACAGTTTGGCGAAAAGATAGAGCGTGATGGGATCAGTAATGCACTCTGCTATCATTGCGAGGATCTCTCCAGGAAGGGTGTCAAATAAGCCACCATCCGCATGAAAAGGGGAATTGGAAGCTGTGGCATGCTTTTCGTCGATGATCGGGATAGAATCGGCAGACGGAGCGAAGCGGGTCAAGACGTCTGGATCAGGGAGGTACGCCAGGCGGCCGAGGGCCGTTATGCCAGCGGTGGAGGGAGAAGTGGCGTGCCAAGACGGAAGGAAAGGGAGTGCAGTTGTATGCGTAAAAGAACCGCCATCATCACGGTCAACTCGAACGATGACGCAGTACAAAGCAGAGAACAAGAGGCCGTAAACGACTCCGCCAGATCTTGGGGTTTCGAGCATGATTTTCTGGGATACATCAACTGCTGCAGCGCGCAGGCTATCGGGGTCGTCGAGGTGGGCTGCAAGCAGGAAGTAAATAAGATCTTTCTTGATCCAGTTGCTAGTGCCAATATCTATAGGTGATCGCTTGTTATCGAAAACTAGAGGCCAGATCGCTTTTGTGATGATGCCTTCCATGGTCTCGGCGACAGGTAAATGAGAAAACTCGTCTACATGACGGTAAGTCTCGAGTTCCCGCAGTTCACAATCTCCAGGGTAAGCCATCATTGCAGACCCAACTTGGATCTCGAGTAAGCGGATTCGGACCTGCTCCCTGCGACCCAATGTAGCGGGGATAGCAAGGAGTGCATGGACGTCCGAGACAGGTGGAAGTCCTCTACTGAGAACGGTGTATTGATCGAGAACCGACTTCTCTACAGGGCGCGGGGAAGCTTTCCAGCGATATTCGTCGGGGGTGATTGCTGGACACGCAGCATTTCCGTAATGGTCGAACCAGACGCCCTTGATGAAGACGTCCTTCGGAGGCATATTATCGAGACGAAAGAGAGGCATAGTGTCAAAGTGGAAGATAAGATGGTCGAGATCCATCTCGTACACCCGTTCAATCTCGAAAGTCTTGCGCGGTTGTTTGACTTCAATCGTGTAAACGCCACGGGGCCAAAACCCAAAGTTCGGCTCTAGGTATTTCGCGACAGTTTGACGCACTTCTTCCTCGGTAGCATCGTGCGACACCTACATAGCACACAGAAATCAGACTGTCAGAGTCGTTCCGAACTTCTAGTCGCTGATGAGGTCACGTAGGCATCGATGTCATGCTCACCTCCAACCTCTTCTTCAAAACAGCATCCAGTTCCTTCTGCCTCGCTCGAAGCCATTTCTCAAATGCTTTTGGTTTGCGAGGAATCGTCCGAAGTAGCTCAAGACCGAGAAACGCAGGAGAGTTGTCCCTGTTATTCAAGAGGGAGAAAAATAGATTCTTGTGTCTGTAGACGATGAGACGTTGAGCGACCATGAGGGTGCGGCGTAAGGGGGATGAGGATGGTATGAGCGCGGAGTGAAGCTGATGATGGTGGATGCTGACACTGAAAACGGAGGTAAGTGTCAGTCTGAGCCAGTCTGAGCTGTGTCCAACAACCAGACGACACTCCTGCCACGGCTGGCGGCGCTTGAAAACCCTTATGTAAAAGAGAAAGCGCGTGGCGTTATTCCCACCAGGGAGCGCCAGGGCCGCCACACACCTGAGATATCCAACTCACAACCCAGAGACCTAATTTCCGACCGAAGGAAATAGTGGCGAACCACCTGGTTAAAAATCATCACATTGCGTATATATGTAGCATACCTTGTAACGTGAGATGAGTCCAGACACTGTAACAGAGGAGCAAGGGAGAAGACTTGTTTCCGAGACGCGATGAGCCGAGAAAAGAGCAACCGAGAACTTGGGGATAGGGGAATGGGAAGCTTTGGGAACGGAGACGGGAGTGGAGTGGAGTGCAAAGGTATCGACAAGCTTGAGACGGGATTGTGAAACAATGAGATAGAAAGTCATGGGATGGAGAGATGCATTTACAAGGAAGTGAAGCAGGACGAGCGATTGATACAGAGACGAACGGGTCATAACATATAGCACAGGAAGAGTAAGATGTTCGTACGCCCACTGACGACACAAAAAATATACGGACGGGGACGGACGTTAGAAAGACAAGACTTGAAAAAAGAAAACAAGATATCCAGAAACAAGCGGGAAGGAATACTAAGTACAATGGGGAGGGTGATGGTAGACGGGAACATTCTAAGTACGTCCCGCACTTCCGTCCTCCGAAACACTGGTCGAAGGGCTGAGCCTCAAAACCATAGCATACAGATGAACCAAAACGTAGTAGACTTTGAAGACAGAATGCATCACAGGCAACAGCGGCATCGTGAGCACCTGCCGTGCGCTGGCCACACCATATCCACCACGGTGCCGCACAGTCAATGCACCAGCGTGATCATCACTCGGAGTCGCAGACGGCTCAGACTCATCTGCGGCAGGAGAAAGAGGCTCAACATCAAGTCAATCAAGAGGGGGCTCTCCCCATGTCGCCGGTGTGGCCGCGACCCACCCGTGCTCGCTTTCGCCCTCCTCATCGCTGCTCGACTCAGTCTCTGGCTCCGCAGAGGTCACGGACTCAGACGGTGCCGATGAGGCGGCGGAGGAAGAAGACTCAGATGGAGGTACCTGCGCGGGCTCGGTAGCCGTGGTGGCAGGGGCCGGAGGAGTGTTTTCGTCGTTGACGACCTCAACGACGGCGGTCTCAGAGGAAGAGGAAGGCGAGACAACAGCTTGGGCTGTCTGCGCAGCAGCGAGGATGGCGGCGGCTGCGACAGCGGCCGCCTCCTTCTCCTTTTTCTCCTGCTCTTCCTTCTCTTCACGTTCCTGGATATGACATCGATGAGTGTTTGAGGCTATGTGAAAGACAAGAAAGAAAACTGACCTCTCGTGCCTTCCTCTCCTTTTCCTTGACCTCCTTCTCTTTCTTCATCTTCTCCTTCAGCGCGCGTTCGGTGACAACCCAAGCTGCAGCCTCCGACGCTGCCGCCTCTGGTCTAGACTTGTTCTTCAACAAATCTAATGACAGGGACAATCGCAAGTCAGCACACATCTGGAAGATGTCAACACCATACACAACGGAACAAACCACCGCCCAATCACTACCACAGATCTCCACAGCGTCCGCGCCACAGACAGCCTGTCCTGCCACCCCACTTCTCCACACGCCATGAAGGGGACAAAAAGCAGTCACCAAGAGCGAAAGAAAAGGAACACTCACAGCCTTGCAGCGCGGCGACGCTGAACTCCTCATCGGGGAGTGCTTCCGCAAACTGCTTTGCCAATTCCGCCAACCTCGCCCCGCTCAATGGTGGTGCTGAATGCGAGCACGCAGCGATGTGTTCCTCCACGGCCGGTGGAAGGTGGCTCTCGGTCTTCTCGTTCGTCTTGGGTGGCGTGGCTGTGCTTGCGGTTCTGCTTCTCCCAGCCCTGGAAGGCGATGATGAAGGGGAAGATGACGGGATCGAGGGTGAACCAGAGCCGGACAGAGAGGAGATACCAGTGAATGCATCGGAGAATAGCGAACTGAACGTGCTAGATGCGGGCGACGCGGGTGTGTTAGGGATGTCCAAGCCCTCGAGCTCGAGCTTGTTCGCCTCAGCCTCGAGGTTGATAGTTGATGGGTTATTGCTCGGTAAGTCTGCATCCGACGATGGGAAGAAGTTGCGGAACAGATGTTCCGCTTGCCAGCGTGAGGCGTTTTTGAACTCCACCCAGACATCCATTCTGCCCGGACGGCAAAGCGCGGGATCCAGACGCTCGAGATGATTCGTTGTGCTGTGTGATACAATGGACATCATTGAGTACCCATAGCCAGTACGAAAAAAATATGACCACCTACGCAAAGAGTATACGACCCTCAGAAGCAGCGACACCATCCAGCGCGTTCAAGAGTCCACTCAACGTCAACGTGTTGGTGTCGGAGATGTTCTCCTTATGTCTCCTGCGGTGCCTGTGGCTCGACCCTGAGTCTTCCTCTTCATTGTCGGAGCCCTTCTTTTCCTTGTCCTTCTCACCAGACTTGTCACTTTTCTTGTCAGATCGAGTCAATGAGCGAGTGAAGGCCGCGTCGAGATCCTCGAGGAGCACGATACAACGTGAGGGTACGCGACCCATCAGCGTCGTTAATGTGCTGTCGTTGATCCAGGATGATGACAAAGACACGACGTAGATGTCCAACAATAGCTCGCCAGCGATGGCATGGATCAGAGACGATTTTCCCGAACCGGGCACACCATACTGCGCAAAACACAACAAAGGATCAGCATTGGAGAGCGGGATGGATTGATGGTGATACGGATACGCACTAGGAGATATCCTCTCCGGAATGGAATCCTTTTGAAGAGATCAGATCAGAATGTAGAACACTTGAGACGAATCGGATTTAACCCACCCACGGTCCGCATACCACTGTAGGAGAGCAACACAAAAAAGGTCAGATCATCCACCCAAATAACCTCGAGGCGCCCAAGGAGGACTCTACATGGGCGTAAGGACTAACCTTTTCGGATCTCAGGAAGTCGTGCGTGTCCGCCACGAGCATCTCTTTAACGCCGGGATTGAGGACGATGGAAGACATCGGCCTCTTATGACGCGAGTCTGTCCATCTCCAGCTTCCGTAGGAGTCTGCGAAATAGATCTGGATGCGGTGGACGGCTTCAGCTTCATACTCCTTCTTGGCTTGCAGAACAAGCTGCTTGAGGACTGAGTTGTTTCTTGCGACGACGCTGTGTCAAAATAGCAGCCAGGCCGGCGGTAAGTTAAGTATTTCCGAAAGATGCCCGCAGATTAGTCAGCGAAGTGATGACAAGCAAACATGAGGTGACGCGCGTCGCGCGTCAAGAGAAACGCGGGGAAGGCGAGCAGCATCCACGACACTAGTGACGGATGCAAAACGAACGCAAGAAATGAAAGACACACCTAATGGATAACGTGTCGTAGCCACTATAGTGACCCTTCCTGCCTCGTTTCACGCGCAGCCAATGCCCGCGGTAGAAGATCGTATGCGTCGTATCCATTGTTGGCTGGAAGACTACTCTGACCCGAGCCTTCCCGGGTGCATCTTCCTCCTCGCCGTCCTCCTCACCAAAGGCGTTTTCACCTCCACGATACCCATACTGTCCTTGAGACGACGAGCTTGTTGTCGTCTCGAACTCTCGGGATCGTTGCCACTCAGGGCGACGTGAGAGCCTAGAACGTCTTCAATAAAGGAACATCACAATAAATGAGTGTGCGGACGTACCAGAGCATGAGCCAGTCGTATGGGTAGTCTTCTTCGGAGAAGTGTGCCGTGAGAAAGAAGGCTAGACATGAGACCCAAGGACGTCAGCGTTATTCAACACCAAATGTGGGGTGGCGCATGCGAGGGACAAAGGAACGAGACTAACAGTTCACAAAGGACGACCTGTACAGACGAAGGCATAGGCATCAAGGGCGATAATGAGCGGGAAAATTAGGGTCAGTATCAACGGAAGGCGCAGCGACCCATAATTACTGTGGGAAGCGCGCGAGCGGCGCGGGACTCACCAAGCTGAGCTGGAGACGCGTCTTGCAGTCTCGACGGTCCCACCGAGAACGACCAGCTTCATGCCATCGACGACAGAGTTACTCGCAACGTTGCCCACAAAGGGCTGCACGAGCGACTTGAAGACCTCCATTGAGGATATGGTTATGTGTTATGAGGACAGGGTGAAGATATCGAAAGGGGACTCGAGTGGCGGACGTAGATGATGGGGGTTCGAGAGAGAACAAGAGCTGGCAGAGCTGCTATAAGAGCAAAATGAGAATGCGGAAGCGGGGGACGAAGAATGACTGGGTTCGACTCTTGCTCGAGCTGTGCGAGTGAGAAGACGCGGGGCGCTGGCACACGCGCAAGCCTCCCCTTTATGCGGGGCGCCTATTCCCAACCCTAACCTTGCCCGAATACCCAACACCGCACACAACAACTTCAACTCCGCGATGCTCGTTTATTCATACCAGAGCCCAGTAAAGATAACATACATCCAGCATGGTCCCTCATGTCTAGTCCGAATAGGCCTCACCCCCCTCCCATGTACAATCCTTCGACTGCCACGTTTGCCTGCCACGTACCTGTCCAGTCAATGAATGTCAGCCGCCACCCGAATAGTTAGTGTGAAATGATAGGAAGAGCGATCAGTGACGTACCGAGTTTTCTCACCAACCGAAGCATCCCAGGCGCAGGAAGAACAAGTACGAGTGATACCGGGACAATGACTAGAAGGAACAACGAAAGGAGGAACGTGATAGGAGGTTTGATGACCAGGAAGTAAAACAACGACTGGTACGATGTGCTGTCTGAAAACTGCAAGCCCCAGGGTCGAAGTAAGACATTACGTTCAGCACGTGTATACGTCGCGGAATATAAAGAGGAATGGATCGGAATATGTGTGACAGGAGCGAACACGCACCATAGAATACGTGTTTCTGTAAAATGACCGTTCCTTGCGCAGAGAAAGTCCGTCCTCTGCCTCTGCGGCCGTTGGGGGTCGCATTCGGGTGAAGATGGGCGGCAGTGGATACACAAGCTCATATGCCAACGGACCGTGAAATGTGCTCTGCATCACAACCTGTAAATGCACGATATATTATCAAACTGCGAGCCTTCAAATGATAAAACACAAGGATCTACTGACCTCGCCGCGGGCAAGGGTTCGCGCACCCAAAAGATCAAAGAAGCACAAGACGGCCCCAAGTGGCAATGCCACAAGTAACGTCGTGCCCAGCTAAATATTGCGATACGCAGGGTCGAATACGTACGTCGCAAGGTGAAGGTGAAATTGTCAGTCTATTCGTCCGAGATTGGGAGCCTAAACACACTCTGTGAAAGGTAAAAACTCACCAGCGTGAAGACAAAAAGGAAGATCCATGCCACAAGTGCATAGGGGAAATTGAGCACCATTATATGGAACAATGCAGCCCAACTCGACCTCTTCCATAGCGGACGGAAATACCTTCTCCAACTCGAAGTTCCACTCTGTGCGACGCCACTCGCTCGCCTCCTCGACACCCCGACTTCACAACCCAGCATATCCGCAGCCTCTACCTGCGTATCTCCGGTCGCGGACCGCCTTCTTGTCCTCGTCCCGCTCTCGTCTCCACCATCATACTCCTCATCTTCGTCGTCCGAATCACCCTCCAGCCTGAACGCACTCACCACCGTCTGCGCCAGACTAGGCGACGCGCTCGTCACACTGAAGACCGTGCTCGTCTGCGAAGCCGTCCTCTGTCTCCTAATCCTTCTCGGAATCCCATTCACAGCTGCGCTGGAGCTGCCAGGGGCGGGAAGCAACGGCGTCGTCTCCGTTGGGCTTGAAGTCTCGTCCGCAGCAGCCTCCGCGCTCTGAGGAAATGGATGTTGCAGCTGTTGAGTCCGCACTACGATCCCCCCGCTGACCGTAGATCCCAACAACTCTCCCTCCGACTCCGTACCAGCACTCGATACCTGCGTGTGATTAGCGTTTCGCCTCGTTCGTCTCGATTGTCGTGATCGTCGCTCGCGTGCAGGGTAAGGAGGTGGTGGATCGTGTAGTGCCGCGTCGCTTGGTATAATAGGAAGAATGGGTGCCATAGTGGATGGTGGGGGTGGTGGCGAGCCTGAGGGGGGTGAGATGGGCTCAGGCGACATGGTAGGTACGTTGTGTGCTGGCGCCAGACGAATGTGGGGTGGTGGGGGTGTGGAGGAAGGATGGATGAACGGGATCCGATGAAGAATTGGTGCATAACCGATCGATTTGGAAGGGCGGAGCCGCGAGAATCTTATCTTATCTCTAGTCTCTAACCAGACCTTATATAACAAATCATTATATAAGGTCTGTTCCAATTTCTGGGACTTTGGGGCGACCCCGAAAGACCATATATACATAGCTATGTTTTTGAAGACATTCCATCGGATATGGTGTAACGGCTAACATTGCCGCCTCTCATGCAAGTTCGCGGCAGCTCGGGGTTCGATTCCCCGTATCCGAAATGCATAGGCAATCCTCTGCCTTTGAATCATCCTTTTATTCTTTTTTTGGTCTCTTGGTCTCTCAAGAGCTCCTGCCAGTGAATATGTGATTCCTGCACTACTTGCTGTTTGAAAGCCGCACTTGAGGTTTTGTCAGGGCAATGTCTGGTCCGATCATGATACAGGTCAAAGAAAACCATCCTATAAGCGTCCACACATCAAGGCGAGAAATCCATATTACGACGAAATTAATGACAACAGACAAGTACACCATACGCAATCTAATTTATGCAAGAAGAGCGTATACAATCCCGTTCTCGCCTTTCAAGCTTTCACTGTGATACCGAGATCCTCACAAATCATCACCGCAGCCTTCTCACCAATCGCCGTGGCAGTGGAGTACGGGTTCTACACGCGGTAAGGAAGGGGAGGCACAGGGAGACGTCGTCAAACTGATCAGCATCAGAGCTTCAGAAGTTCAAACGAAAGGGACGTACCGCTCCGACATTGTCAGGGCTAATGGAGAGATCGACGACCTTGAGTCCTTGAGTTCCATAGACATTCAGCCTCGAGTTCACGACACCGCCCTTCTCTCTTGGCTTCATCGCAGCAGTGCCCATGGAGTGCCAGCAGCCAGCAACTAATACAATACCCAAGACCGGTCAGCCTACACTCGTCGCAGAGTACGAGCAGTTCAGAAATAGATGGAAGCTCACCGAATTTCTTGATAGCGGTCCTAATCGCCTCGTCGTCCTCGGCCGTGTACTTGATGGTAGGTGCGTCCATAGGGACGGGGCCCGTCTCTTCCTCCTTGGTAGCTGCAGCGCTTCCCTTCGGGAACACAGGGTGGTTCTCCGTGAATTCGCCACGGTAAATCGGCATACGGCGAGCGGTCTCCCTGGAGTGCTTGTATGCCCAAACCAGCACCTCCATGTCTGCAGGGCTAAAGGCGAAAGGATGAGCGGTGATCCTTATTGGAACGAGCGAATGAATTGGACTTACGAGCTCATCCACTTCGAGTCGAATTTTTGGGGAACCGATGGATCGGAGGAAGTGATATGGATGTTACCGATGGACTCTGGATGGTTCTACGATAATTTTCGTTACACCAGACGGATAGAGCAATACATAACCAAAGAGCTTACTTGGAAGTACCCAAGACTGTAGTAGTTCTTCTTCGGAACTGCCAAGATGTCGCCAAAGAACCTGTGAAGACATACGTCAACATCCAACTAATATTGTTAAGAGAGAAAGAGAGATCACGTACATCGACACGGCAGCCATGAAGAGGATAGACTTGTCCGGTGCATTGGCATAATAACTGTTCCAACGTTTCGTGAACTCTGGACCAATGGCCTTCAGTTCCTCAGGAGAAGGCCTCAGCTTGAGACCTGTTTCCACAGGACTTCGGGACAAGTCAGAACCCGAATAAGGACAAGAAGGCAGAGTAGGGCACACACTTTGAAGTAAGGATGCCTCGCTTCTCCTTGGCGTAGATATCGCCCCAGTATTTCATGGCCTCCGGTTCGCCTCTGCTCATGGCGTCGAATGTGACGTGGTCTTGTGTAGTGTTATATGGCCAGAAGATGACGTGATGGTCTATGCGAAGTGTCGTATTAGTATCACACCGGGCCATGAAAAGTCGAGGACTACCCACCGATCAAGTTCTCTCCGACACCGGGCAAGTCAGAAACCACTTTAATCCCGGCCTTCTCCAAGACTGCTTTGCCGCCGAGACCCGAGCGTTCAAGCTGTATATAATTTCGTTAACAGACGCGCAAAAAGATGATGTTCAGACTGCACTCACGATGGCGGGAGTCCCCAGTGCGCCACCGCAGACCAAGACCTGCTTCGATGCTTTGGCAACAAATGTCTTGCCGTCCTTGACATATTCGACACCGACAGCACGAGTACCTCTGCTGAGAATAAGTATCATGCCAGTCGATAACAGTGGAAGAAATGAACGTACTCGAACACAACTTTGTTGACGACGCATCCGGTTGAGACTTGCAAGTTCGCGTTCTTGTCTTGCTCCGGATAGAGATAGCAGTGGGCTGAATCCGAGCGCCTTCCGGTCTCGCCGTCGATCCACTTCCTCCAGCGCTGAGGTTGGTATTCAGCACGAGATACCACAATATCAGGAGATAGTAGTAGAACGTACCGAATAACCGTTCACCGTGAAGAAATCGTTCGGGTCCTCGATGGAAGGCCTGCCGTCGAACTTGGGAGCGACCTCCAGCCACTGCTTGGCGACGGTCGTGAACTCGCCACCGTGAGACACCGTCAGCGGCCCAGCATTGCCGTGTACCTCGGGCGTCGGGGTCTCGAGAGTATAGTTCTCGCACTGGAAAATATTTATATGTGAGATAATACTACCGAACAAAAAGGAGGATACGCACTTTCTTCAAGTAAGGAAGGAGGTCTTTGAACGCCCAGCCTTCAGCACCGTACTTAGTCTTCCAGTCGTCGTAGTCCGACGCGGCAGCACGGGAGTACATGGTCACTAAAGTATTTTAAGTTAATATACCGCACTCGTTAGATACGCAAAGACACTCACGATTGAAAGAAGAGCCTCCGCCGACACATTGTCCGTGAAGGTAGAAAGCCTGACGACCGTCCAAGGCAGGGTTTGGCTCTGCAGCGTAGAACTTCACGGTCTTGGAGGCAGCGTGAAGATGATGGAAAGTGCGACCCGCTTGGTAGGTTGCAGGATCATTGCGAACGTCAGGTCCTGCCTACTCGACCACTGTCAGAACGCAACACTCTAAGTTCACAAGTAGACTGCTGACCTCCAGAATCAGGATCTTCAGGGACCGGTCTGCCTCTGCAACTCGGGCAGCGACGATGCAGGCGGTAGCGCCGCCTCCGGCAATTACAATATCGTAAGAGTCGGAAGCATTGGACTTAACGTCGGCCGGAGCACTAGTCACTGTAGAAGACATTGTGAGAGGAGGATATGGATGTGGGCGGTAGCGCACTCGCCAGCAAGCCCATGGGTATCCATATACCTGATAGCTGCGAGTCTAGAGCGAGACTGATTGGTTCAGCCTGGGGGCGAGTTAATCGTTTAGACCAGCAAGCGAAAAGGTCCGTAAACGAGATGGAGACACATAATATTCAGTCGGGCAGAAAGTCTACCCTGAGAAGGGGGAGGATCGAGCACCGTCGCGAGGTGAAAGTCAACGAAAAACCCGATAGATCTTTGTCCGAGATTATTGTCATGCAACATACTACAAATGACTGATAAAAAGAAGAATCCAGCCTTCCAGGGGTACGCAAAGGCTAAAATCACGAGTAAGGCAGGCTTCGGCATTGGCATGGTGAGCCTTGGGCCTCCCACTTTGGATATCTGAACCTGATAAAGCCTCACTGATAGCAGTATCTGAAGGAGGCGGTGAGCGTGAGTGAAGTGCCACTGGAGACTGTGGATTGAGGGGAGCGTACACCAACTGTGCTCCGGACACTGTAAACCTGCAACCTGTTCGCAGCAGTCTCGAGCGGGGGCTAGCGGTGGAACCAATTTGGAAAAATAATCGGGCCCGGCCATTAATCGGGCCCCAGCGCTCAACAGGTTCCGAAAGATTCCGGAGACGAATTGAACTTGGCTCGCGTTCTTGAATCTTCATCAACCAGGCTCGCAGGCTCCTGCTCGTACTTATCCCCAAACCTCTCGTTACATATGGAAAGGGAGTTTTACACGTCTTAGGTATGTATGTATTATTTTCAAGCCAATTCAGACGTCTTGTGTTTGTGGCGAGTGAAAGACAGACTAGTAGTTCCCTGGCCTGATGTTTCAAGTTGCAAGAGTTCCAAGTACACGATCGTGTCTGATCGTATCGACCGTATTTCATCGTTGTACTCATGTCATATTTATGAAACCAGTTCATCTGGCGGGAATTTCGTTCCCTTTCCTGGATTGATGAAGAACTTCGAGAGACCGCTCTTGGTACACGCGGTCGTAGACGGTGCATTTCCCAGAGGTTACAGGTAGCATAGTAAGAAGGAATGGTGGTCATGGCGGCTTGGGTGAGAAATCGGGATATCGTCTTTCATTCATCCACGATCCCGTATCGACGATCACAGACCTTGAGAGGCGCACCCCCAAGCCAATGGCAGCCACATGTTTTTTGTGCCCAGACTACAACTTCGCCGCGCGCTCTTGATCGGGATGGTACATTCTTCTCTGTTCTTATTCGCGCATTGGCGGATAATCAGTTTCTGTGCCGTCCGTGGAGCTTGCGCTAACGGCCATCTCTGCCATATTGCACTCGGATCCGCAAATTCCATTCTGGAGGGGTGGAATGCGCCGTGTTTGAGGAGATGGGCGGTTGGAGTATATATGCACCGCCAGCTTTACGCCCGAGTTCTTTGTGATAATATTATAGCCGGGCTATGCGTTGCGCGTAGTCACGAAGACCTGTAGAACTTAGAAGAGAACCTCCAAATATTGAAGCACAGTACGAAAGAGTTAGTCCGTTGCGCCCATCTCAAAATAGGTAACTCTGACAACTCGTGTTCTTGATAGGCCTCTACATTGTACAAAACAAGAGACCTGCCAGCGCGTTCAATGCAGCCCCCACATAGTTGATATGCAACCATAGGTGCTGCAGGGTGAGACGCCTCCGCACGCCCGTCCCTGACCCCATCCCCGACCCCACGTCCGTGCCTGCCTTTTAGAAAAAGGGTATGGTGCGAAGCACTTACTCACCGCATAAGTCGAACACCGGGAAGACCCGGTCACAGGAGGGTCAAATTCGCCTCTAAGACTTATCTGTCTTGCCAAAATGCTCCTTTTGATGAAAGGAAGAGATCCCCAAGACAGATTTCCAAAATAATTAAAACTGAGGGACTTTCAAAGTTCCCACCCACTAGATTGGGCGGGTTTCAATTTCTCCCGCCAAACAATTAATATTTAATGGAATTGTTTATTATTTATGAGAGTCCCGGGTTTTTTTAATGTGCTCCAGGAATTTTCTTTCAATAAACTGAAATTTCGACCTCCCGGGCACAAATTTGGCGGTTGAATATTATATGCGGTGACTAAGTGCTTCGCACCATAGGTTGGGTATATTGTGGTTTCATGATAATACTGAGATCGTAATCGTGCTGAAAAGGTTTTAGCAGCCAGCAAAATAGCAAAAAGAACACGGGATTCCACCTCTTCTCTCTCCCTTACTTTTTCTTCCGTGGGCATTAGTCCATCGCATTTTCGCCTCGACATGGGATCGCCAGCAGCTATAGTGTACGTACTCTTTCTGTATACGACGCAACTTAGGGCCTATACTGAACTGGCCGTAGTCAAGGTCCTAGTCTCATTGGGTGAGCGTCACGTCTTCGACAAATTATGGATCGTAGACGCTGACCTCCGTTCCCAGGATCTTCCTCAATCTGGTCAAGAGACTCCCTTCCTTCACACTTTGTAGAATATACTCATATAGATGATCTATAGATTCTGTACGGTGCTATGTGTGTTCAAGTATGTGGAACTCGTCCGAAAATAGCATTATCGGTTTGTTAATTGTTTTGGTCATGATAGGTCTTTTACTACTACACGAGATACCCGAAGTACGTTGACCGTGTCTACTCTGAACTTCAGTCTGACGTGCGGCTGACAATGTGTGTGCAGGGATACGGTGTGGATCAAACTATATGTACGTCCCGACTGTCGCAACTTTGGCGTAAACTTATATTGTCTTCCAGGTTGCCCTGTTATTTGTGGCCGACACCCGTAAGTCATTGTCGTCCAATCTAGCAGTCTCTTGCTGACCGTGAGACTAGTCAACTCTGCGTTCAACATGTGGTGGTATGGCTCATTTTGTGCTCTTCATTAATCGCGAGTGGTTGCTCAACCACGCTGTGTGCTCAGGATCTACGATGTACTCGTCACGGATTGGGTACGAAAGCTCACCTTCAATCGCAATCACCGACTAACAAGATGAATCTATAGGGCAATGCGGAGGCCCTCGCTGTCGGCAACTGGAGTACGTTTTTCGAACAGTAGTTTAGACATGGTCCACTTACTCAGTTTTTGGCGCTTGAGTTTAGTCTTCTGGTACGTATGTGGTCTCACAGAATGCGTTCTTCACACTCATCCCTTGTCCTTCAGTACGGACCCCGCCATGACAGGCATCATCGCGGGTCTGGTTCAGGTCAGTCCGCCAGTCAAAGACGTCACTTTTGTTCCGCATACACTAACACACCCTTCAGAGCTTCTTCTGCTGGAGGATCTGGGTGCGATTTCTGCGATTTTTGTAGCTGCAGTCAAATGTCTGACTAGTTCTGCTCAGGTGCTGACCCGGAGTAAAATCATTGTCGCAATCATTGGTTTCGCGACTGTTTGCTGTACCTGTGAGTACGATTATATCTATTATATCATCCGAAATTGACCTTGATGAATCATCAGTGGGAGGTATTGGGGTACGTCGCCACGCGCTGTATCTATGTCCTAGAAGATCCGCTGATCAAAGTGTTCCTCGTGTAGTCTGGAATTGCGGTCGGTATCATGAAGCAATGGGCCATCCTTCAGAACGGTACAGGAATTCTAGTGGTCTGGCTGGCGGGCGGTGCTATCGCAGACATTGGTATCACTGTGGTCATAACGTGGCACATTCGTCGCCACGCTGTGAACTTCAAGCAACGACAAGACCCCCTCTCTCGTCTCGTCCGACTGTATGTATTTCTCGCATCCGTCACGGCGTCTGATGCTGACAACGAGCTCCAGGACGATCTCCAATGGTTTAATGACGACGCTCGTCAATGTAGCTGACAGTATGTCGGCATATTTTTATCTGACGTAGGGCTTAGAGCTCACAACAGTCAATAGTCATTGCATTCGTAGCTTCGGTGAGCCGGAATATCCATAAGATTGTCTTGCAACTCAAAGTTAACGCGTGATCTATTTGCGTAAACTCTATAGACCGGTGGAATGTGAGCGAGAAGTATCCTCCGTCGACGGAACTCCCGCACTAACGCCTTTATCAGGCACTTGCTATTCAACTTCCCCCTGGCTAAGCTCTACACGAACTCGTACGTCATCGCAATTCTCATGCATCACCCATGGACTGACTGTGTTGTCTCTCAGTGCGATGGCGACCTTGAACCAGAGGGAAAGGTAAGTTTCGTGTTACCGAAGTATGTGGGGCACTGTGATTGAAATTTATCCGCCATCTTCAGGAACAGGACCGAGCAGTCTAGCACCAGCAGAACGCCTTCCGCGAAGGTGTTCACAGACGGTCACGGTAATCGACCAGTCAGGGTAAGTTGGATCTTCACTAAAAATCTCGACAGCACGAAGCTGACGACTTCCACCCAGGCCGACGGCGCCGTAACAGTCACGGTGGAAAGGCACGAAATGGTCGACATGCCGAAGGGAGACGAAGAATGGGAGCTCGGAAGAGACACAAAACAGGACAGCTTCTAAGGGGCTTCGTTCGATCGGCCTGTGTCCGGCTGCCCCAACAGCTGGGAATAGTTCTGACTGATATACATATAGGGTCTCTTTATGGCTTTTATTAGTCCTGTATATACTCTTTGGGTTTCCTCGGTAGCATCGACCTCCCGCCGGAGGCATGCGCTCGTTTACTTCCTATATAAAACCACTTAGATTATCAACCTATACATGTCATCTATTGCCCCCAGTAGTTCTCTCACTGGACCATATGCAAGGCCAGCCACGCTCGAGAGTGCCTGAGACAACGGAGACCATCCTTCGGGCCAGAAAATAGGAGTGTAGCTTCATTCAAAGTCGTCCTGTAAATTACCAACGGCAGCGGGCAGGCCAGGGGGAGAGACCAGGACGAGACACTTCGAATAAAAAAAATGCAAACCCCGTCGGTAAGTGAGCTATAAGCGAGTGTCGACGACGAGAACAGTGTCTGACCGTCCTACGTGTGTGCAGGTGGTGGTCGTATCGTACTGAGAAAACGGCGTAGACGATGAGAACCCTGGTGGTGAGACGAAGAGCCTGGTTGACTAGCACTCGCGGTATCCTGCCATCCCGCAGAACGGCTTTCTACAGACAAACATCTACAAGCATTGATAGTGGGGGCGAATAAGAGGTGAATATTTTATACAGATGATGTTACAGAAAAACACTGTAGAACGAAAGAGTCGGTAAGGGTAGTACTAGTAAAAGATATGGGATGGGCGTACCGGGACCATCAGCCACACCCCCCACGACGTCCTCACACGCAGCCCAAAGCATATCCCATCATTATGGACGTCCAGCCGATCCATCGACGGTGGATGGATGCAGATTAGAAGCGCCGCGAGCTTTGAGGACGGCCTGCGCCTCCTCCGCCCACCGTGCCTCGCTCTGCTCCTCTTGTTTAGTTTTCTATAGAATCAGCCCGCGGTGTGTGGAGTCAATCATAACTTTCAAGATGAATAAGCTGCCTGCTGTAGAACGTACCTTGTCTACTGGTTCATCAGTAAGACCCAACGCTTTCCGTTCGTCCATAATCTATCATTACAGGATTGGCGCTCGTCAGTCAACCGGAAGATGGTGACCGCCATCTGGTCAGCATACCTCTACAGAGTAATATAACAAGATAATCAGTGTCTGTTTTGTCTCGGGGAACCTAGTGAACGCACCTTGACCCCTCTTCATAGTATGCGTATGCACAGCGAACCCAGTCCCGATGCCCCATATTGAGACACCAACACATCCTATAACGACCGTTCGATGAAGAATATCGGCTATTGAGACCATTATGGATAATGTGTTCAAGGCAGAGGACAGATTTTTGAAAGGATATCGCGAGCTGAAAAGAGAGTACAGCCGACAGTAAAGATGCTGCAGCCTGCAAAGAAAGCGCGACGCTATGGTGAAGTCAACCGTGCGCGAAACCGCCACACCTCGCGGTTGTTTGTGGCGTATTGCAGAATTTCCAAGTCATCTATGTGCATTCTTTTCGACGTGAATTTTCTTCTTCGGTAGGCTCAAAATTAGAAAGTGAGCTGTTCATACTAGCTTGCACATTCTATCACGATTGTATATATGTGCGCCTTTTGGTAGAAGTGCAAGTCACACGCGGACGTTCTTATTTTTCCGTATCTTGGCCGACCTTCCAAACTTCTACCCCTCCCTCGCCAGCAATGCCCACAACACTTCCACTCCAGTCCACCCCAAGGACCTTTTGTGCCCCATCCCACACTTTGAAGCTCGCCATCTCTCTCCCTGCACTCCTCAAATCCCATAACCTGACTACGCCGTCATAGGCCCCACTGACAAATTGCTGAGAGCCCTCTTGCGAAGAAAAGGTAAGGCATGAAGGAGCGGAAGCATGAGAGAAGGATACGGTCGACGAGGTTGTGGCTGCCGAGGAACGTAGATCGTATAGTGTTACTGTGCGGTCTGTTGCCGCTGCAAGGGCGGAAGATGGATGTGTTGACGATGAGGGAAGAGTGAGTGCGAGGAAGGGCTTCTCGGATGCGGACTGTTACAATCCAGATGTCAGAGAGTGAGCCAGAATATCAGTCATCGAGAGAAAACAGAAACTAGGCGCACAATTGTATTCGTGCACACCCCATTCTCCACATCCCACTCCCTGAGAGTCGAATCGAACCCACAACTGACAGCCTTGCCCTCGTTCCCCCGTCCAAACTGCACATCCGATACTCGGGCAGTGTGCGATTTCAATACCGCACTTGGCGCTTTTCTTACACCCTTGGCGCCTTTTCCTGGCGTTTCACCGTCTGCGTCCTTGTCCACCTTCCTCCTCTTCTTCCGGTCCCCGCTTTCTCCATAGCCAGGTGCCTGAATTTGCGTCAACGGAATTTCATCAGAATCGGGAATTGTAGTGTCCCATAGACCAATAAGTCCATCCCATGATGAAGTGAGGAGCCGTGACCCGGTTGAATTAGAGTGTATTGCCGAAAGGGGCGCAGTATGGAGGTGCAAAGACGCCAGAGTCTTAGTGGAGGGTGCAATGTCCATATCATTTTGGTTCAGAGGGAGTGAAATTTCGGATATTTGAGCCGTAAGGTCATGAGAGGCTGTGGCCACCAGACGCGTTGTTTTCGAAGGTGATACGGAAGGGATGAGGGATATGGACGTGATGGGTGCAGTGTGAAGTGGCCAAGTCAGGAGAAGAGACTGGGCGTAAGAAAATACGCGTATTGATCCGTCATAGGATGAGGTCAAGAAGTGCCTAGGAGAGTTGAAAGGCAATCAGAATCTCAGACATCGAGAACGGCTACGTAGAGAGTACACACTCAGGAAGTTGGCAGGAGATGTCGGATACCCAGTCTTCATGAGGCAGATTTGCCATCCGCTTCGGGGGCATAACACTTTCGATGTATTCTATCTCTAATGTTTCCTCCTATTAAGAGAGACCAACGAAAAATTATAATGAGCCTTCTATTCCTGAACAATGTGGGGAGGATAGCTTTGGGACACACCTCTCCTGCAGCTCTCTCTTCAAGACTACCCTTCAGTACCTCTCCACCGATCAAAAAATCAAAGGGTATGACACGAGGTAGAGAAAGTGCTTTGTTGATAAGCTGCGAAAGTTGGTAGCGTCTCCATGTCGAAGGTATCATAAACTTTTGGGATGGTAGAGGGTACGCGGTTTTTGTGGTGAATACCACCGGAATGGAGGGTACGTCGGATGTAGAGGTTGAGGCCATGATGATGTGATAGACTTCACTTCTTCTGTGAGGTGACTACGTCTTACGACAGTTAAGGGTGGGTTAAGATAATAAAACTGGAGAACCAGCAGAAGACAGAAGAGGGGATACTCGAAGTGATCCCAAACGGGTGTGGCGAGAAGCAGGAAGGAATTTTCAGACGCGAAGGCACCACGTGATGGGAAACCTTCCTTCCACACTGCACGCGAAGTTCGAACCAATTCTAGGGCTGTCTTTTCTTGACCTTCACCACATCTGTTCCTATACATCAGTAATACCATTGTATAAGTTAGGGGGAACGTCCCTTACACCCTCTAGATATACCCAGAGCTCTCGGCTCGACCTTACAAGCATCCCTCACGTCTTCAAGCAGTCGTCCACAGTGACTTCGAACTTGAAAGTCTACCGCTGGATGCCGCGTCCAATGCCAATGGGTCACTTTGCTTTTCACAGCGCGCCTGGCTCTTCCTCTATTACAATGTCTCTATTTTAGAGAAGTTATGTGCTCTTATTGGTGATTGATAGTTGAGCGATACACTGACTTCCATCCTTTCGCAATGGGAGTATGTTTAGTATCTATGCATTAGTAGCTATTTGCTTGCCTCTCACACCATGCAAACCTCGTCTGGTGCAAGGAGGAACTACTATTAGACACTCCTCATATATGCTCCGAGCACCGTGGATCCGCCGTCTGCTACTCATCGCTTCTTTGCCCATCTTTAACCAGCTTTCGCAGCGTTCAAGGTCCGTTTCTCCGTTCTGTCTGTCTGAAAATTGCTCTTAAGTGACGTTGCAGGCTTCTAATGTTTTATTCAGTAGACTTTGGGCAGGTAAGGCATATCGCCGGCAAAGCCTGAGCTCCTTACAGCGCAGACATTGTGAGCCATGGTGAGCGCAAGTGAACGCCCTTCGGATCTTTTGCCGACCCCTTTGGCCTGATCTACCGGGAACATTTGTATGGCAGTGTTTAACCCTCACTTTCTCAAAAAGCTCTCATAGATCCTGAGCAGAATCCAACGTTATACACGTTCCATCATGAGGAGCCTGTACCCTATCAAACGACCGGGCGCATCGGCTACGTCCTTTCACAAAGATGTTGGCTCAATCGTGTCTAGTCTCTCCTCAGCCTCGGCGGAGCTTGTTCTGTCCGTCCAACTCAAGAAAAGAATTGCGTGCGTCGCCAGGAATGTAAATTCAGTAGCATCGACTATCTATGGAGCTTCCAATGCATACAGCATGGGAATGCCTGAACTGGCCATAGAATTGGTCGCGATTTCGGCGTAGGAAATGCGCGCCCAACATCACCGTTTTTGACCAGCAGCATATGGCTCCTCGTCGTATTTTTGTGCCTTCTCGCCGCTTTATTACTCTTTGCAACTCACACAGACCTACCGATCCGCAATGACAGATCATCTTTCCATCAAGGTCCCTATCTCAAGCGCTTCCAGGGCGGCTTTGTCCGCATTTAGGCTTCCGAAGTGCTGATTGAACGTTTGTAACTTTTTTTGAAACAGTGAAGATACCAGCGGTCACAGCTCTTGTATAGCCTTGAGCGAGGCCCTCTCCACCTCCGACATTGTCAGTAATGCAACGTCCTAGGATGTTTCACACAGTGGCCTGTATGGTCCATGGTGCAAGGCGTTTGCTATTCGCGCATATCCCCAATGCTTACCATCTATAATCCTGGGACCTCTTCCATGGAGTATAAATACCTGCTCGAGAGTCGTTGGTAGCTCTTCAGCATCATCGAGCCACTCTGCTTGACTTGCAACCACATCCACCCCTCTTCTACACCACTACCATGATCTCCTTCACTTCCAACCTCTTCACTCTCGCTCTCGCCTTCGCCGGCGCAAGCTTTGCCTCCGCGTCAGCTCTTCCGCGCCAAGTGACCTCTAACCAAGGAACTATCAACGCCCCCACCTCGGGATATCTCGTCTCCTCTAACTCATCCTTCCCCTTCTCCTACTCTGATCGCAACTGGTGCGAGGACGGATATTCGCCCGTCAGCGTCTGGCTCACAGACTACGAGCCCACAACCACCAACTTGAACGCCACCGGTCAATTTCCCGAGGGCAGCTACACGCGTTACTTTGGCCTGTATACCAACCCCAACTTCGGTATGCGCGTCTATCACCATCAGTTCTCAGGTGAATGGCATTGTGGCTCATTAAGCCAACTCCATCCATGCTCCATCTAGGTCTATCGCCCCTGTCAGGTAGTCCTGCGCCACCTCCGAGTCTTTCCTTCCCAGAGACCGACGAGGCGACGCTCGACGCTACCCCTCTGTGGTGGCTTTCTGTCGTCGAAACCGCCACCAACTGCCCACCTGTACGTCCAACATTCTTTCCTCGAAAATTTGCTGGCATGGGTCGATATCTAATACTGGTCCTTGTTTATTCGCCACAGGGGCTGCACATCCCGCCACAATATGGGCTGACCTCTGTCCAGCTCACGTCCAACAACGTCGAGAAGTCCAAGTAAAGCTAGCCAGTATACTTATTGTGTTAACGTGTCTTCAATCTGAATTTATTGGCATCTCTCTATCTTTCGTGGATCACAGACAGCAGAGCCGCGTTCACGAGTTTCGCTTGTAATACACGTACATATTTGTTCATAGATTTCAGTGGGTTTGTTGGAGTGGTTGTTCAGTGGGCACTTCGATGGTTTCCAACTTGCACAGACTTGGTATAGAGTAGCCATTGGACGTCCAAGTGGCCGATAGACCGGGTCTGAGAGCATACTACATGGGATTCTGTAGACTTTGACAGGGCGATTTACGCATCTTCATGTACACGAACAATTACTGGATCCAGGCAGTTGTCGCGATTGGTCCTAGCGAGTAACGCTTGCTCGATTTTGCGTTCTATTCAGACAGCACATATGACGGATGTGGCGTCAGGATGACCACATCGCCCCTATCATCAAGAAAAATAGTCTGACAGTCATATTCTGCAAATGTAAGTACCATGGCGGACGGAAGATCGTATATATGCTCCGTTCAGAGCTGCTTTAGGTACATTAGTAGTATATAACCCGAGGGCGTCGCAAGATAAGAGGATCGTTTCAGCTCTGCTAGTATGGCAAACATGTATAGATATGTTCATTGACTCCTGTGAGCAAATCATGACGATAACCACATCGTTAGCGCACGTCCCCCATTCGTCAGAAGCACGCAGGAGTTGGGAATGAGGGAAGATCAGAATCGGAGATGCGACTCACGTAAATTATGTGGCACTGGGTCGTGTAGATTAGTGAAGACGTGTCAGTCGTATAAAGCTAGCAGCTGTCAAGCGATATCACGACCGTTCCTCTGCCCATCCTCCAGCTCCTTCCTCAGTTTCCGAGCTCTAGCCGCCATAGCGTCGTTATCGAAGTAGCACCCCTTCAGCCACCTGTTGACCTTTCCGTCCTCCACCATTTCAGTATCCTCAAAACCCGTCCTCGCATGCAAGGTCCTCCTGTTGTCGAAGATGACCAGATCTCCCTCCTGCATGGTGTACTCGAACTTCGAAGTATCCTTCTCGGTCCACGTCGCGAAATTGTAGAGGGCATCGTAGAGTTGCGACGGGGTGTCTACAGCAAGAGGAGCTTGGAATGGAGGCGAGTAATTCACGTATTCCACTTCGTTTGAGAAGCGCCCGAGTTGGATTGTCGGATGCTCGGCGTGATAGTGCTGGCCGGCATTGATGTAATGGAAGGCGACAGGGGTTTCCGTGAGAGTGCGGAAGGATGATGGCGACGACTTGCGAAGACGATTGGCGGCATATGCCCCGTCCACAAAGATGGACCTGCCTCCATTCACGCGGTTGCGAAGACAGTGGAGGATCTGGTATCGAGGCGGGTTTTCGAAGTATCTATATGGGTCGTGCGAAGTATGATTGAGTATTGATCGACGGTCAGAGTGCGCCCTGGAGGAGGATCAAACAGAGAGGCAAATAAGCGACGACACGCACAGCAGATCCATATGAAGTCCAAGGGGATGATTTGTGTACGCAATGTTGGTGCTGTCTTTGATGTTGCGAACGTCCCATGTCGTGCCGTAGAACGTAGGAATGAGCTCTGAGAGCCTCTCAGCGGTCTTTCGGACGGCGCACAGGGCATCGCTTGTCTCCTCGATGGGTACGCCACGGAGAAATACCAGACCGTATTGCTGGAGCTGTGTCATGACCTTGAGCAGTCCTGACCCTGACGGAGCGATGAAATCGGCGTGGTTGACGAACAGATCTGGTGACGACGTTATGGTGGCGTTGTCCCAGTGCATTCTGGGGGGATCGCGATGGAACGCTGCGACATTTTTTGAGTTGGCATGTCGTTCGAGGAATGAAACTTCGTAGGTCGATCTATGTCCATCATCCCACTCGACGTGGAGGCCGTCCTCTGTGAGGAGAACACTCTCGGACGAGAGCGCGGGTGCCACATTGGGTTGAACGTCGGAGGTGCGATGGAGTTTCTGTTGCGTTCGTGGGTGGATGCAGGACGCGCAGAGGCAAGAGTCGCGCAGCCATTGATATGGGAAGTGAGTGGGTCCAAGCGAGGCTATCGAGAGCGAATGTCCGTCGGCGGTGATCGGGGGCGGGTGAGAAGCTGGGGAAGGCACGGATCGGGCTACGGGAAGTCGAGCCTGAGCTAAAGCTCCCCGCACGAATCTGGGGAAGGTCGTCGGGAAGCGAAATCCTTTCCTTAGGAAAGACATCGTTGAATGGACCAGAAGATGGGGGGGAGCAGGGATATGAAGACTGGTGGTTGCTGGAGAAGAGAAATGTCGGGGGGATGATGGATCCCGGAGGTGGTGAGGTCGTTATAGGAGGCGTCTAGCGGAATTACGATCGCGGAGGAAGACGCGGTGACCTTACTGTCGACTTGTCTTCACCTGCTATCGATCTAGAACCGAGTTCGCCGTGGTACACGCTGCTCACCGTCGCTTGGTACCCCTTCGCATCTGGCAACCGGTGCGACAACAATGGCTGCAGGACGCTTACCCCTTTGGACCTATCATACTACCTCCAGCACGGCGGCGTACTCGCACAAATGTAAAACATAAGCTTGATTGGATCACAGCCTTTCCAACCACATTGGGTAGTTTGTCCTTGTAGTCATGCGCAACCTTGCGCAATGATATTGCCATTAGGTCCTGGACAGTGAACGTCATGTAATATATACCCTAATTTAACAGTCTGAGTTTGTCCGCCCCCAACTCTCCGACAGCTCCTCTCTCCTTTTGACCACAGATTCGCTTTCCACAGGGCGAGATGCTTAATCCATCACTAACCGGCTGAAATCAGCTAGTGACTGGATACCCTGACCGTGGGCTCGTAAGCAGAAGGGATTACTTCGGCTATGAGCCAATTTGCTTGGATCAATTCAGTCTTGACTGTGCGTATACCGAGGCGTTTCGGGGCTGGAAATCAAAACGCGCCCATGCTACCGCCGGCTAAACCCAACTGCGAAGAACGGACGGCGAGTAGATCATGGTACACGGGACGTACCTCTTTTCCTCGGAGATCATGAGAACAACAGACAGTTCACTCTCCTGATATGCAGATAGTACGGATGCATGGCGAGAGAGGACGGCCGCGCACCTACCGATTTCTGTGATAATATGGAACCTGGCTATCCGTCAGGGAACGAATCGTCGTTCCTCTCCGTGTTGAGCGGGGCGTAGTTACTTGCCCTACGGCGAATCGTGGACGCTCTGAAGTACGGAAATGAGCTCATGAGACCAGTATTCAGAAAATACACTCTCACCCACAACACTCGTGAGCTGCTAACTGAAGAACGAGGCATAGCGAGCACAAATGAACGCCGTTATGACGAACGACTGGCTATCAATAGCAAAGCGTTAATGTCCGTGGTTCCGCTAAACCCGTCAACATCTTATCGTCAGACGTTCGTCAGCCATTACCACGGATAGCCAAAGAGCATAGAGTATAAGGTGTAGAAGCTTACCGCGGAAACGAGGAACAGCATATCGGATGAGCGGAAGAGACTAACCTCTATGTTCCATTCGCTCTCATGCATGCTCTTCACCATGACTCGACCGGTGACGTCTCGTAGAGGACCTTCATATCACACCAATGGTCTTCATGTTGCAGTTTTAATCTTAAAACGGCGTATGCTCCGACGTGCACATATTCGAGGATCATGCGATTGACTCCGATTTCGATAGTAGGAGGCTTGAGACGCGAAAACACCACGATCATCGAGGAAGAAGCGCAGCAGGAATGCTTACTCGTTTCGCGCGATGTTGGCCCTCCCGAGATCGATGAAGGAGTCCTTAGGATAGACCAAGGAGTCGAGATATGGCAAACGTGACCCTACTAGACAACACCGTATGAACCCAACGCGCCGAGTGAGCGTGATGATCGGTGAAATGAGAGATAGGGCGTGAGATTGAGATGGATCTGTTCATGTTCCATGTCGTACTTGGAGGTAACAACGATGCGTCAGTTAGACAACTGAGCTCTAGAAAATGATACAAAGAAAGCGTAACCTTCTCGAGCTCAGCATCACCAAAAATCAAGAGCGAAAGGAAGAAAACCGGAGTTCGACGAAGCCAATCAGACCAGTCGTTGCAGTTTGGTCGGCGTCTACATGTTGCCCCTGAGCAGAGCGCTTTTCCAGTCTTCGAACATGAGGTAAGTAAAGGTCTCCGTCGACCCTGAAGTCCGAACATGAATCTCGTTACCACCAGATCCGAGGACCAGATTACAAAACTTGACTTTGACAACGTGGGTCTCTGCGGCAACCAATTTGCAACCGCGCGTCTCAACAAGTCGCCGACGGTCCGATACTGTGCCACTGGAGATGAAGCAGAGATAGTGTTGCACCGAGGGTCACAATGTGAATGTGGCTGGCGCGCTGTAAACCTTGAGGCTAAGGGAAAGCGGTATATGCAAGACCCTGACAGGGTGGGTCGAACGACGAAAAGGTCCACCGCAGGCAAAAGTGGGTCCATATGCGGTGATCGCAGACAGCGACATGGCTGAATTGAATACAGTGAGAGAGAGAGAGAGCGCGACCTCATTCATAGACAGTTGGGGGAGGGTTTTTCCGTGGAAGCCAGAGTCTCTGAACCTGCATTCATTGCGCCTTGTCGGCCGTTTCTGAGGCACTGTAATACTGATCAGTGGTGGCCTGTGATCAGGGCTAATTCCGAGAGTAAGAAAGGCAGTCGAACTCACTCGTGATACGCAACGAAGACGATATCCAAATGCTGGATGTATTCCCTACATGCATGGAAGTATTTCTTGTCGTTGGGATTATACAGTTGCAATCGGGTGACCTCCGTCTCGCCCTGTTAGCAGGGTAGGGTTCGGTAAGATATTACTCCCCCGTCACAGAGTCCAGTTCTACTCAGAGAGACAAGCATCGCAACGTAGGTTCCTGGTCGGCGGCCACTGTCCAAGCCAACGCTAAGAACTAAGTAACAATGAAACAGGACGGTTCAAGAGGGATAACCAGTCAATCAATTCCACAAGCGCCATGAAAAAAAGTACGAGTGTGGGTGTACTTCATGCAATCCGAGCAGAGGCAGGCAGTTCAAGTTCAGCGAAAGGAGCAGAAGTCGAACAAGGTGGACATCGGACACTATCGTCACCATACCCGACCACGTGGATACCACGCGATTCTGTTTAGCACGAGCGTGGTTGCGCCGCGTGGTTGGCTACCAGTCCGGAAACCGTGACACCACTTATACTAGGTCTTTTTTTTTTTTTTTTGGTGTAACTCCCCCGTAACCAATCGCGAATGGCAGCCGTTACGGGATCAACGTCGATATGCAGGGGTTATCACCCTGCAGATCCAAAGGAGGGAATGCATTTATGCACGAACCACCGGCTAGGCCGGCGGAACAGTGTGGGACTCGGAGGGGGCTGGCCAATCATCATTTCGACAACCACGGATGCGCAGGGCAGAGCCGGTGGGAGTGCGCCGCAAGCGGCAAGCGTTTAAACTTCTCAGGAGCCCCTAACCCCACTACCCACTAAACCCACCTACCAGCGCTGGGTTCGACCTATGAGAATCTGGAATAAATCACTGTGTGTGAGAATTGAACCAGAGGCCTCGCCACTTGTGCGGATTTACCCACACGTGACTCCCCAGCACGAAGGCATAGAGCAACGAGATACCCGCTACACTATGCTGCCGGCACTTATACTAGGTCTCATCGATCTCATCAACGATCCGACTTGTACACTGGCAGTGGAAGGCTTGTTCGTCTGAGATGTGTGGTAGATTTTCTTTGGCCCTGCGGGTAAGTCCTCATACCTTCTCTGGCGAGCTCGCGAGGAGCAAAGTTCCGAATTGACTCACTTTGGTGTTATGACTAGCATCAAGAAATCCAACAACTTCTAGTAGGCCATCCTGACCTTCATGTGGGAGAATGGATCAATCGGGATCGTTTCATACCCAGATATAATGTGGCTCCGCACACTTTAAATTATGCTCCTGTACTTCGCCGCGCCGAGCCCATTCGCGACAACCCGTTTGAAGGACCTTCTGACTACTTGGTCTTGCACACGATGAAATGGGGCTTGATTCCTCACTGGAATAAGAGTGCGGCTTCGGACTCGAAGGCCATTAACGTGAGATCGGAGAATCTGGTTGAGGGAAGCAGTCAGTGGGTAAAGATCAAGGGTAAGAGGAGATGTGCTGTCGTCGCGCAAGGGTATGTGTTGCGAAAGGCACCACCGTACAACGAGAGTGACGCACCTGTTTTCTACGAATGGCAGAAGAAGGGAAAGGAACGAGTCCCTCACTTCACCCGTGCGAAAGATAATAGGTTACTTCTTTTTGCTGGCTTATACGACGATGTCATCTTGGAGGGTCAGACGAATCCGCTATGGACCTTCACGATCGTGACCACAGTAGCGAATAAGGAGTTCGAATGGTTACACGATCGCCAACCAGTGATTCTTTCTTCAGACAGCGATGTCAAACTTTGGCTTGATACGTCCTCTCAAAGATGGACAAAAGAGCTGAACAAGCTTCTTGATCCGCACGTAGACTTTAAATGTCCTCTAGAATGGTAGCTTTTCCCTATCCTTAGGTCTTCCGTTGATTAAACGTCTTCTTTTAGTTATCCAGTTCCAAACGAAGTCTCCACGATAGGCACAGAATCTTCGAGTTTCATCGAGCCTATATCGCAACGCAAGGACGGGATACTAGCCATGTTCTCAAAACATCCGCCGCCCTCGCATGTACCACAGTCTCCGTCGTCTTCCGGATCGAGACGGCCCATCCGCCCCTCTTCCACTTCTCTGGGTCAGACAAAGCGCAAAGACCGTAGCGCTCATGTTGCCTCGAAGACGAAGAAGAAGCAAAGAACTCATCGTGATGATGCCGAAGAGCGCCACCCCGCCAAAGGGAAGAAACGTTCAGCAGCTGTTGTACCACGGAACGAAGATGATGAGGATTACAGTGACATAGAGATCATATCACCACCGCCTGAGCGCGAGGTAGGTTTCTATAAGCATCCTATAGCATCGGGTTCCACGTGGATATTGACCACTGGTAGGACTTTGTGCGCCCCGCACCATCTCCGCCAGGGGGAAGCGTGGCACCTGAGCCCGAAAGTCAGGTAGGTAAGATTGACAGACTTGTATCTATCTCATTCACTCGAACTAAAACATGTGGCATTGCTATATCCATGGTTGCGATATACATCTTCGCCCGAAGAAGAACTCGGGTTGGATCCCCCAAGATCGCCGACTGAGCAGGTATAACACCGCCCTCACTGCTCCATTTTCCTCGTTCGTTGCTCATATACAATGCATCTGTGTGATACCTATGTTTGTATCGTATAGTTAAAGTTTCCACATCCCGAAGACCGCGCCGTTAATGATACTAGCCCGGACAAACCCCAAGTGCGCACTTTCATCTTTTCTTTCTAGATTCAGACTGAAGCTACACGTCAGTCTTCGGTAAGAGAGAGCCCTAAGAAAGAGGACATCAAGCCGTTTTCGCAGGTATATAGCTTTCGTTAGGGTTTTCGTATTTCAGTTGGACTAACAACACATCTGTCCCTCCCGTATCTTTTGACAGCCTCACGCACCCTCCAGAATCAAGGTACTACATATTATTCATTGCTCTGAATACATATACTTTACTCACAGGTACGGAGCTGTAGGAAGAAGAGAAAGCCTCTCCACAGTCGGGAAGGATCAAGGTCGAACCGAAAACCGAAGACAACCCATCCGGAAATGCACTCCTTCCGAACTTCAAGAAAGAGAGTACCAAATCAGAAAGTGGACAACACCTCTGACATCGCTCGATGGTCGGCAGACACGAAGACGCAGAGGGCTATCCTTGCGCATCGGATCCTGAACTCGACTTCACAACTTACGTCTGCGCCTAATAGTTCTGTGAACGGAAATAGAGGCAACGGAGGTGAAGAGAAGAAGGGCCTAACAATATCTTCTGGTGCCGCCAAATAACTGACCACCCGTCCTCCCGCTTATCACAAATTTTTGATTGACCCAAAATCACACCAGCCACTTCCACCACTCAACCCTACGTCACATCCACATTTTCTCTGGAATATATCCCGTATATATCGTCATTCGGTATATTTTGGACAAACTTGTCTTGTGCATGATCATGAGGAAGGAGGTCATCAAATTTATCGTATCGAAGGCGCCAAGGCACGGAGGATCGTCCGTTCCTTTCGCTTTGATCGTCCTTTCCTTTCGACTGAATCCTACTTTCGTGTCTTCATCGGCCATCTGAAAGAAGATTGCCATTCTACGGGTTAGGATAGTAGATGATCCACAAACTCCGGAAGATTCTCCGACCCGAAGCTCGTCACATCGTCGCTACTAAAGTTCACTTAGACGTCATATTCGCCAAGGGACGCCCTGATCATCCTTTGTCCACGCAATCCTATTCCAGTCGACCGCATGACACAATCGCAGGCTTGAGGATGCGCGACAGACAAAGGAGACGATGGCGGCGTCCTACCATCGAAACGGTATCATGTTGTTTCCCACCCCTGCTATGCTTCATTTCCTCGCATTACGCGCTCGGTCCTACAGCAAACATCACTCGTCTTAGAGCGTCGATACTCTCCCACAGACAGACCGTTAGTGTTGAAGATTGGTCGTTCAACGTGTCCAGAGCATCAAATACTCCTCTCACACAGACGGCAACCCGTCAACCAGCAATCAGTCAGAGAGATCAGACAAACTCGTGTACTCGATTGTCATACCATTCGAAGGATGGAGGAAAACGCTCGAGTCTGAATCGGCAGATGCATTAGACGTACAACTTGGGAAACTGATATGCGTGCGTGCGTGCAGGGGATTGACGAGAGAGGTGGAGGGCGATGCAAACGAAGACATAAAAACTAAAAAAAAAAGAGGTGCAAACAGTGAGGCGGGCAAGAAAGAGAAAAAAATGAGATGCAAGACAGGTCACAGAAAGACATGGAGGAGAGATGAGATGGAGGAGACAAGAAAAAAATGATTGAGCGACAGACACTACAAGTAACGCAAACAGAGTATGAAAGACGGGACGAGCATTGCAAGGAGCATCATGGACACGATTAACAGCACATCGACATATCGTCCAAACTAGTCGTACGGGCAACCGGAACAGGAAAAACAGACTCAGACTCAGAGCAATAAGAGAAAGCGAAACCCAGCTTTTATGCAGTCATCAACCGATCACTGCCAATACCCCGCCCTAGGCTGGTAACCATAGAATGGAGAACCCCCGTCCGAAGCGCCCTGCTGGTGTTGGTACCCCATCTGGTGATGAGCAGCCGGACCCTGATGCTGCTGGTGGGTGTTCTGTCCACCCTGGGCACCCTGTACCTGTCCGGCAAACCTCCCCGCTCCATAGAACCCTCCACCAGCAGCACCAGGCTGCTGAGGCTGCTGTCCGCCCCTGCCCTGCGGGCCACCGGCCTGTCCGACACCGCCCATGCCGGCAGCACTGCCAATCCCGCTTCCGCCCATACCAGCACCTCCAGCACCCTGACCGACACCAACGCCGACGTCCTTGACGCCCTGTCCACCACCGTACGACTTGTACGCGTTCTCGGGCGAAGCACCACCTGCTGCCTGCCCTCTTCCGAGCGCCTGTCCAGGGGCCGACGCACCGGCACTAGCACCCGCGCCTCCACCTACGCCACCGGCACCTCCAGCGCCACCCATGAATCCTTGCATAGCCTGCGCGCCATACAACTGCTTCCCATAGTCACCGCCGGGCAAGCCACTTCCCGCCTGTCCGTGTCCGTGTTGGTGCGCTTGTGGGTGTCCATATCCAGCGCCAATATCCTCGTAGCTCTGCTGCTGCTGCGTAAGATATCCACCATAGGGGTTGCTCTGGGCACCGACGCTAACGGCGCTCGGGCCCTGTTTCTGGGCGGGAGAAGGTGCGGAGCCAGGGCCTCCGGGAGGACCACCAGCGGGGAAAATGGGGTACTTGACGAATGCAGGCTGAGGCGCAATGTTGTACTGTCCGTAGTTGTAGGCCGAGGGGTAGCCGTAGCTGGTGGGGTAAGGAGACTGGTGGTAGTAGGGGTTCATGGGAGGAGGAGCTCCATAGGATTGAGGAGGGCCTTGAGAGCCAGGTTGAGACTGGGCGGCAGCGGATGCGGTCGCGGCGGCGGACTGAGGGTGCTGCGACGAGGCAGTGGAAGCAGGTGGGAGACCAGCAGAGGGCGGGTTGCTCTGTTGTTGGAGGCCTGGAAGACTCTTGACGTCGTCGTGCAAAACACCACGCTGGCTGAAACCAGACTGCTGCTGACCATACGAGTCGTAGAAACCCTGATCAATACCACAATATGTGAGCACTACGCCCTTTACATCAAGAAGAAAAACACAGACAACACTTACCCTCTGGTTGTCATAGCCATAGTCCGCACCTCCATACCCACCCAGATGCGATCCCTGACTCTGGTGGACTTGTCCACCCAACTGTCCAAACGCGCCATACGTGCCCTCTTGCCCCTGACCCGCCGGCGGCGTCGCAGTATGGAAGTACGGAGGTTCGGTCTGTCTCTGGTAGTACGGATGCTGGCTGGCCATCGTCTGCTGTTGAGGCTGAGGCTGTTGAGTATGAGCCAAGTGCGGCGAGTGCTGGACTTGGTTCTGCGAGGGGTCGAGATGCGTAGGGAGACCGTGCTGGGTGTATTGATTGTGGAGCTGCTGTTGCTGCTGCGGCTGGATGTGAGATTGAGCAGGAGTCTGGTGCTGCTGCGGTTGTTGAGGTTGAGGAGCCTGCTGTTGTTGGTGGTGCCCACCGAGGGATTGGGGAGAGTGGGTGGGTTGCTGTTGTTGCTGCTGCTGATACATAGTAATAGGTGAAGGAATAGCAGCCGGAGATGGCAACGAAGGAGGTTGGGAAGGGATGTTGGGATGTGTGATGGAGGATTGGAGATTGGAGTGCGACGAAAGGGACTGGGAGAACATGGTCGGAGCTGAATGAAGCGATGCTTGAACGGAGGGAGAAACAGAGGGAGCAGGGACGGAGGGTTCTGGTGGCGAGACGAGGGCAGCAGCTTGGGGAGGGAGTTGTTGGGGTTCGGGGACGGCGGCGGGAGCGACGGGCGACTCTGCGGGTTGAGGAGCTGGCTCGGGAGCAGGTGTTGGCTCGCTGGAGGAAAAAGAACAATTTAAGTCAAAAAAAAAAACCCCACCAAAATGAGATATGGCACGCTTACGGTTGCGAGTCCAAGTCTTCGCCACCAAGGCTGAGACTGCCGAATTGCATACCTATCTTCTCGAGTCCAGCGCCGAAGTTGTTGGGCATGATGACGGGCTGATCTGTGTTCTTGAACCTTGCACTGTGCCTGTGAGCAGCAGACGTCGGTCGGATCTGCACGGCGGGCGCAATATGCTTCGCCACAGGCTCCGGCTCCTTCGGCGTTGGCTGGGCAGGGGCCGGTGGCTCAACTGGTGCGGGCTCGGGAGCAGGTGTAGGTTCGACTTCTGGTTGGAAGTCCTCTTCCTTGACGTGTACCTCTTCGACAGGCTCGGGCTCGGCGGAGGTGGCCCATGGTTCGGTGGCGGTGATGGAGGGTTTTGTCTGGGGTTCGTCGTCCCAGGAGGGAGGTTGATCAGCAGTTGTGGGTTCTTCCCATCCGTTCTCTTGTGGCTGTTCGGGGGATACTTCGGGTTGAAGTTCTGGCTCGGGTTCGGGAGGAGGTGTAGGTTCTTGCGTAGGAGCGGGTGCAGGTGCAGCGGGTTGAGGGGCAGGAGGCGGTACAACAGGAGCGGGTGTAGGAGCGGGTTTTTCTGGGGCGCTAAACATCGCAGAAAAGTCTATGTTAAGACCAAAACGAGCAGAAAAGCAGAGAAAACGTGCGCACCGTGCGATTTGAGCCCAAGACAGCTTCGACGTTGCCGGTGTCTTGGCTGCAGGTTTGGGAGCGAGTGACTTTGACTGCACGGAGGGGCTGGCGGCAGCTGAACCGTTCACCGTCGTGTCTGCACCCCAAGCAGAGGCAGAAGGTGTTTCTGCCCAGTTGGTCGAGGGCGCTTTCGTCGTCTCTGTCTCTGTCGCCGATGCCCAGCCCGGACCTTCCTGGTCTGGAGCAGAGTCACCCCAAGCAGGAGCGGGAGTGGCGTCCGGCGTGACGCCGTTTGTGCCGTTCTGGGTGGGAGCGTCGGAAGTAGACTGTTGTGCGGCGGCAGGAGCGGGGGCGGGAGCGTGTTGGGCACGCGGAATAGAGTCGCGATGGCCACCGCGTGCGCCAAAGCCGCGCCCTCCAGCGGCCCCACCGCGTCCAGGACCGCCTCTGCCGCCACGACCGCCTCGGGCACCCCTCGAGCCGCCGCGCTCAGTAGTTGAGAGGGAGTCCTTCGAGGCATGCCCCGGTGCTTTCTTGTCCTTTTTGCGAGTGACGGCGCCCCATTGCTCTACTTGGCCTGGAAAAGAGTTGAAAAGGCCTGCAACAGACGGTAAAAAGACGGCAGCACGTACCCTCTGTTATCCTCGTCGCTGCTACTTGTACATCTCCTCCGACTTCGGTGAGGACAGATTGAAGGTCTGGCGGCAACGTAAGTGGCTATGCGTGCAAGTAAAAAGGCGCAGACGCGTACCTTCGTTGGACCAAGAGGGGAAAAGCTCCTGGAGCGTGTTCACTTGCGTCTTGTACTTTGCGTCTGGCACAGCGCTGTCGTTTGGCTGCTGGCTCCTGCGGAAGTTTGAGGACTGGTAGGAAGTCATCGCGGCGGCTGTTCGGTGGGGGTTCGATTGACCGTCGTCGTCCCCTTTCCGCTCGGACGACATCCAGGCGGACTTTCAATTCGCACGCGTGGCGGTACCCGCGCGTCAAGGCCACCGCCATCATCTCAACATCCTTCCTCGATATTCCCTGCTCTGCTCGCCGTGAACATTCTTATTTGTTCAATGTGCAGGCAGCTATCGTTACGACACTAGCCGACTACAAATTACCGTCCACGGGACTCTTGTTTCACTCGGAAGGACGTGCACATGTGAAATCGCAGACGCCACATTTCACAACGATGAACACATGGTGATATTACAGTGTATGCGAGACAGAGAAACAGTGACGGGACGCGGGCGTCATAAATAATGAGAGTAAGCGAAAAAAGAATCAGTTCAAAAGAGAGGCAGACTCGATGCGAGAGAAGAGGTATAGTCGCGAGTAGTGGCACGTCCGACGCGAGAAGAAAAAAGGGTCAGCTGGAAAAGTAAAGGTAATAATTGAGTTCAAGCAAAAGAGAGAGACCAGTCAATCGAGCCAGAAGTAACACGAGCGCGTGAACGAAAAGGAGACGAGCAAAGTCCAAACGAGTGGGAAGTACGAAGTGGTATCAGAAGGTAGACCAGCCCTAGCCAAGTAAATAAACGACAAAAGGAACGTGGATGTGACCAGAACGGACCAAAAATAAACACAACCAGTCCACAATGAGAGTGAAAAGCACCGACGACAAGTCCGCTCGAACACACACAACAACACATGCAGGTATACGCCCCCCGCCCTCCTACTCCCTCTCCATAAACTCCGCCGTCTCCAACCCCGCCTTACTCACCCTCCTCATCGGCTGCAGCGTATTCTCATCCACCGGCGCCCTTCTCACATGCCTATACCTCCCATCCGCATCCCTAATCTCCATCTCCTGTCCCGAATCGCCCACCACCCCGTCGCGTACCAGCACCTCTCCACCCATACTGCTCATACCTCCGATCACTCCAGTCATGGATGTGAAGCCTGGGGGCAGAGATTCTCTGAGATGACCTGGACGCCGAGGTCCACCTCCTGCCGCGACTTGATAACTCCCCTGACTCGCCCCTCCCATGCCGCCTCCTCCACCGGGGCCATGTCCACCCTCTCCGTCCAGATCACTTTCATCATGACCGGTATAACCACCCGCAGAGGCTGGCTGATGTCCCTTGATGACACCGACAGATTTTCCCCCCAACTCCTGTTCTTCAAAGTTCATGAGCTCTGACACGAACCCGATATTGGGCGAGATGCCTTTCCTGCGTTCGAGCACGAAGGTGTAAGCGCGGGAGAGCGTCCAATGGTTTGCGTGGATGAGATATGCCATGACAGCTGTCACGGAGCGTGATTTTCCAGCTTTACAATGCACATATGTCGGTGCGGAATGCAGTGATGCATCATCTGCCATCGAAAGGTCATTAACTTAGTGGTCAGATGGAAATTAACGACAGAGAAACCCTCACCCAGTATCTCACAAACTTCCCTTACACCTCTCGCGATGTTATCCTCCTCCACCGTATCCCGCATGGGTATCCTCACATACTTCTCAAACCTCTCTCTCAGCCTCAACCCTTTGTCATCATCGCACTCGATCGCAAGGTTCATTATCCTCTTCACTCCCAACCTCTTCAACTCCTCCACATGCGCTTCCTCCGTCATTTCAGGCCCAAGATACAGGAAATTCGGAAGGATGGTGGAGACTGAAAACGGCGGTAACGGGTCCTCGGTCTCGCTTTCGGAGGTGGTGGACGAGGGCGTCAAGGCCGACGAGAAAGAGAACGACCGAGAGCGGGAAGGAGACAACGAAGGCGATAGTTCTGGACGGGCAGTGTGTGGCGTTCTCGGAAGAGGCGGGATAGGCGTGCGAGGCGAGCTAGCTCCAGAATGGCTGCTGTTCCACGAAGGCGACGGAGGAAATAGATAGTTCGCATCGTTCGGAGAAGGAGTCGATCGCCTCGACCCCGGCGGTGTATAGTTCGAATGGAGCAGATTAAGATGCGAAGGCGAATGTGGCGATTTCAACCCCGGAGATAATGCGGTACCGTTGGCCCATTGCTCGCCCATAGGCGGCGCAGCGAGCGTCGCACTCTTCAGTGGCACCGTCCTGACCGACAACTTGGGCAGCGTAATGCCGTTCCCCGAACCCGTATTCACCGTCAACTTCTCCGCCGACTTCGTGTCCAGCTTCTTCAACGCCCCACTGTTCGACCTGTCCCTCTGCTTTTCGTTTAATCGCTCCGCAGACTTAGTGTCCAGCTTCCTGAGCGCGGTCAGACTTGGTCGTCTTGGTGGCGCCGGACGCTGGAATGAGCCAGATGCATGTGACGGTGGCGGGGATGGCGTGGCATCGTGAAGTCCGCTTAGTTTGGGATTAGGCGAGGAAGGGTTCCATGACATTTGCATCATAGGCAGAGGTGAAGTCTCTGCGCTGCGGGATATCTCCACCTCCGGAAGGTTTCTTCGGGATGCAGAGCTAGTATCGAGTTGCGAGAGACCAAGCGCACTCTTTTTCTTCCCCAATAGTTTTGATTTGCCCGGGGGTGCCGATATTGTACCAGCACCGAGACCGGGAGAGGAAGTGGCGGAAATAGAGTCGCCGGGTGTGATAATGAACCTTCTCAGGTCCGGGTTCATCTTGGCTTTCTTTATCCCTCCTTCCAGATATTCGACCGTGCCTCCGTGCTCGAGCAGAGGTTCCAAGACAGGCAATAAACTCCAAGCGGTCACGCCTGCATTGAACCTCTCGTGCTCATTCATCTCCTCGTCGAACACGATCACGTCTCCGTCCCAATCCCCATGACCTTCCCCATACGCGACTACATCCTTTTCGTCCTTTCCGCCCACACCAAACAATTCATCCCACTCCTCCCTAGCATCTTGCGTAGTGATGAATTGCCTCAATGACCCGATCGACGTAAAGGCACCTCCAGGTTTCTTTGATCGCTTCAAAATAAGCGAAGGGATGGCCATATTGATGGAGTGTTGAATGCGGGAGGAGAGGTAGGAGCTGACCGGACGTGTGTCGATGAGTAGTGGCCGAGTAGGAGCGAGCAGTCGTGAGACGAGGAGCGAGGAATCGAGCGGACGAGCAGGGGATGAGGAATACTGTGGTGGAGATTGGGGATGATGATGGAATTGTTGCGAATGCTGCTCTGGTTGGTTGAATTGGAGCGGTCGAAGAGGTTGCGATGATGCCAATTGTTGCAGGTATTCTTCGTTTATTGGCGGCTGAGATAGTCGATGCGAATCGCGATGAGGAAAGCTCGGTCCGAACGCACTACCGATCCCATTATCACTTCCATAGCTAGCACTGAACCTGTCACTGAAACCACTCCCGATGTATCTCGCACTCCCTGGCCCATTCTCCGACAAGGGTGTATAATATAAACTCGGTGAGTTAACGGAGGAATTTGGGCTCCCTGAGCGCGCTTGACTGTAGTCTGACCATGTGGACACCATGGAGACAGGACGTGACGAAGCGGAGGGAGAATGGGGCGGTGATGGTTGGGTGTTCACATCTGTGTTCAATATTGACGTCGTTGTCAAATTCTGGATAGGACGTAGTTGGAGGTTCTTCTTTACACTAAGGCGGAGTTGTTCGATGGCAGCAAGTTCCCTTGTGAGGTCGTCTGCAGATAGTTCCAGTGGAGAATCGTGACGCGAATTGTTGATAGTCGCGGGAGAAAACAGGATTGATCCTGGCGGTGCGACTACTGCGGAAGCGATAGTGGAAGACGACGAGGATGAGCTATGGGTGGTGGTTCCCAATTTCGGAGATATGGGCGGTGGTGAGTTAGTGAACCGACGTGCGGCATCGAGCGCGGCCTGACGTTCCTCAAGAGGCGTCTCGAGCTCGATGATGGTGTTGGACGGAGTCTGTCGTTTCCCTGATGTGGCGAGTGATAGAGTTGGAGGCCGTGTTTTCTTTCCCGGAGGTGCGGCGAGAGGGCGGGGGGCACCGGCAATTGTAGGACCGTTCATAGTTTCTGCAGAGCAAACAGATGGCTGATCCTTCCTGAGAGAAAACACGAGCTCGGAGGTAAATAAGGCACATCTGGAGGGTAACGCTGGACTCACTTGAGTGTGACCAGCGGGAGTACTTGCCGTGGGTTGCAAGCGGATCGTTGTTACCCTGCCAATGTGTGAGATTTGTTTTCTTACCGAGATACACTGTGACTTTCAGACTCACTGGCCCTATTTCCAGAGAAAGCCAGCAAGTCTTGAGTATATATATATAGGTCGACCTCCAGATAGAACGAAGGTCCTAGAGCGAGTTGAACAGCCTGAGTGAGTTGGGGAGTGATGGGAGGCCCAATTCGTCAAGCTATCATTGATGGCTACTGGTGATGGTGCGAGCGGACTACAGTCGCAGCAAACGCAATAGAGCCAGAGACAGAAAAAGTCGTTAGTTGACGTCGAGTGGTCCAAGGATTGGTGTGTGCAATAGAGAAAGGTGAAGTGCTGTAAAGCAGGTAACGCCCAGTTTAGGATCGAAGCTTCCCTTCATTATAGCCTTACGTAAGTCGATATCTCGTGGCGTCGGCTGGATGTGTGGCACTTCTAGATCGCCACAGTTCTATCCGACATCATAGTCCTAGCCGCTCCGACATAAGCGTCATCCCTTTTAAGCTATCGCATCAATTACTGCTCTTGTTTTATAGCTATCGCGGTCTCCAGAAGTACAGCGCGCGTAAGTATGGGAATACAATCAAAGTACACAACAGCTCTGGCAGGCAACTTGAAAGCTCACGCGCCTCAGGCTCGACCCACCCATAAACGCTCAGTCCCCTACAACATCCATCTCGCCCACCATGTGAAACCAGTTCAACCCTGTACATATGGATACCGTACTGTAGGCTCTCTGCAGCTTCGATGTGTTTGTTACATCCATCGCGTGTGAACCCAATTGGAGCTGCTACCATAGCGTACGCCGGGGGCGTGAGTCGACAGGAAGAGTGCCGACGGTACAATGACGATACTTTAGGACGGCTTCGTACTGAAGATATGGCAGCAGGCGGGAAGACAGCCTGGCGAACGAGTCCTAAATCATCACAATCGACAATTTTTGATAGAGATGCGGACGAGCAATGTCATGGAGGATGTTTCGCAATAGATGTGGTCCAGTTGCTGTGTGTGTCGAGCCTAGTCCTTAATCCTCAAAGCGCCAGTGCATTACTTCTTCGTAAAGAATGAAGTGATCTTCGCCGAGCCATCCTCAGACTGAGCGCCGACCTTCTTCTTCGACTTCTTGGGTGACGCCGGAGTCTGTTTCTGTACAAAATTAGGTGGGTGATGAGGTCTTGAACGCGTAGGCAACACACCTTGAAGTTAGATTGTGACGACGGCTGCATATAAAGTCAACCAGTTTAGACAGGTATACGAAGATCATTTTCAGTCGAATGCGTTCAATACAACGGAATACTCACCTGCGATGTTGGAGGTGACATGAGCTGCCCATGCTTCGATGGGCCTTGCTCGTCATCGCCATTGTCCTTTTGGGACCGCAAACTTTAGCTGGAGCCCAACGTTTAATAAACTAGCTGCCCAGGACTTACAAGTTCGCCTTGCGGCGGATTTGGAGCATTATTTTCTATTGCAGCCGGGCGTGAGCTTTTGCTTGAGGTCTGAAGAGGGGATCAGTCCCAGAGTCGGAGCGCAAGGAGCATGTATTCACTTGTGAATTATGTGGTGGCGAGATAATTTCAATGTCACTGTCTCGATCCTCCTCTTTCAAGCCATATGTTGACGCTCCTGTCGCGTCCGCGTGCGCATGAGATACCTTCGTCTTCTTCTGGGGTGAGCCCGACTCGGTCTCATGTTTGCGTTTGTTCTTCGCTGGAGAAACAACTGAGGGCTTGACATCATGTGGTGACTTGGAGGGCGCTCCTGTTGCAGTTTGTTTCGAAAACATGGCCTCGATGCCGTCTTTGCGTTTTGCCACAGGTTCGATGAACGACGGCGATTCGGTGCCGACTTTGCCGACTTCTTTGGGTACGGCATAACTGGTCTCGAATTATCATAAGCAAAGAACTGACACAAACTCGAAGCAAGCTCACCATTCGAGAGGACAATCAGGGTCGTTATATGGATTCAACAGAGCGCTAAGTTCCGACGACCAGCTTTGAGCCGAAGTATCCAGCCAGGTCCGCACAGCAACATCCGAGGACAATATCACCGGCTGGCGGTCGTGAAGCCACTCAAACTCTTTGTTGGCTGCGGTAGTGACGATAGTGAAAGTCCACAAGGGCTCAGATTGGCCTTCAAGGGTGGCGCAGTCGTAAAGACCGGCGAGGAGCATCAAACGCTTGTCTTTCGGACGAGTAAAATGAGGAAGCCGCTCCTTTCCCTTCTTCAGCCATTCGTAGTACCTATAATTAAGTTCACGTAGTTGATACATTATCCAAAATCTCTCAAAGTAGTCAAGACCGTAATTGTGCATGCTTACCCTTGGGCCACAACCACACATCGTTTCTTCCCCTTGATCGAATCCCACATACTCCCCCCATCCATCAAATTTTCAGACCGCGCATTGATTGTGTTTAACTGGGGAGGCTCAGTTTTGCTCCAATGTGGCACCAACCCCCATTTCATCGTGTGCAGGACCAGAGACTCAGAGCTATATTCAGGCCTGGAAGGCGTCGAGCTGGAGGGGCCCGCCGCAGCATTTTGAGCAACTCCTGCGCGACGAATAACAGGAGCTTGAGACCGAGGTGCGACGTTATATCTCGGAACAAACTGATCCTGGTTGATCCATTCGCCTACATGGAGAGCAGCATGGCCGGGTAGGTGACGGATCTCATCATGCTATTCAGTGGGTGCTCCGGGGTGGGAGGTCTCATTGAGCGACACTGTTCAATGTGGAAAGCTTGGCAAGGACCCACCTGAAGAGCTAAAGCAAATCTCCCGCACATATTTCCAGACTCGAGGTTATTATGGCAAGGCCGGAAGAGACGTGAGGATGAAGTGGTAGGTTCAACCAAGCGTGTGTGGCGTCATGGCTTCGCGGAGTGCGGTGCGGAGTTCAAATGACGGAAGTGATATCACGAGGACGGGTCCACAACGTTCGACGTCCGAGTCCGTCGCCCAACCGAAAGGCTGAATTTAAAACGCTCTAGCTTGTCTGAGGATTTATGGGAATCATTCTACTTGCACACCCCTGCGTAGCTTTTATTTGACTCAGGTGTAAGCTGCGATACCCGCGGCATGTCTGTGACTCTTACACGTCAGAGTTTTGCGTCTTTTTCTCGGTAGTTCAACGGAAGGTATTTTCCCGAATATTTCCAGAGACCCAGGCGATCAGCTATCACGGCCATTCTTCGCGACCTTTGATCATGGAGACTAGTCAAAACTACTCTTCGCTAATATGCCTCTGCTCATGTGTTCCACGGATGCCATTCACCCGTGTGCCCTGAAGGAAGATCCACGGCCTTCCTCCAGGTCATGTCGGCCGTCTCTCCTCTCAGCCATACCAAACTCAACTCACATATATACCGCGTGCATCAATGAACTACTGCACTAGCCGAAGTCGCGCACTTAGGTCCCATTCCACCCACGATGCTCTTGCAGGCCACACTCCTCACCTCGTTCGCGGCTTACGCCACTGCCCATGCCACATTCCAGGAGATGTGGGTGAACGGCGTCGACCAGGGGAACTACTGTGTTCGTCTTCCTGCGAGTAACAATCCTGTGACCTCAGTCACTACCGATGTAGGTGCCCACCTATCTTAGTGTTCGTTGAACTCTGCTCAAACTTTGTTATGTCAGGATCTTGCCTGCAATGTCGGCTCATCGTCGTCGCCCAACCTTTGTTCTGTTAACCGTAAGAATTCCCTGACAAATCATCCTCAGGCATAGATAATATTGCTGAGGTTCGATATTTTTCTCTCATAGCCGGAGACTCCGTTACTGTGGAGATGCACCAGCAGCCTGGTGACCGAAGTTGTGCCAATGAAGCTATCGGCGGTGACCACTACGGCCCCATCAATGTGAGTAAACCTCTTAGATTATAAATCATAAGTTCTGTTAACATTGATTGACTGTCCTCTAGGTCTACATGGCACAGGTAACAGATGCTACAACCGCCGTCGGTTCGAGCGCCTCATGGTTCAAAATCAACGAGATGGGCCTACCATCCTCCAACCCCGACTATTGGGCTACTGAGGTTCTCAACGTACGCCGCACTTCAAACAAAGCAATTCTCCTCATGAGTTATGTATCATTTCTAACTTGCCTGATACATACAGGACAACTGCGGTCACTTCACTGTCACGATCCCCTCAGATATCGCTCCAGGTAACTACCTCCTGAGGGCGGAAGTCATTGCCCTTCACGTCGCGAGTACTGTTGGTGGCGCTCAGTACGTATTGTATATTCCGTAAAGTCAAACAGTTTGTGAGCTCACTATGTATGTTTTGCCATAGATTCTATATGTCCTGCTTCCAACTCAACGTTGGTGGCACAGGCACCGTCAGCCCTCCCACGGTCGAGATTCCTGGTGCTTACGGGTGAGTGACTGAGCGGCATGAATGATGATTGAAGACTGACATTTCATGTCTCTGTTTTCGTTCGAAACAGCTCGGAGGATCCTGGAATTTTGATTAATATCTACCAGTCCCTCACCACCTACGACAGTCAGTCATTTGTTCTCCTTCTCCTTTCCCCTACCGCGTCTCCTCGCCCTAGTAGCGCAAAAATTCTGAGCTTTTCCCTATCGACTCCACAGTCCCAGGACCAACTCCCTACGGAACGACCTCCCCCGCCGTCGCCGCCACCCCTTGGCCAACAACAGCCACATGGGACACTGCTAGCCAACCTTCCACCGTCCCCACAGCCCCCGTTGGATCAGCCACCGCCTCTTCCCCTGCGTCCTCCGCCCCAGGTTCAGCTTCTACGCCAGCGGCCACTTCGACTGCCACGGCCCCGGGTAGCAGCTCCGCTCCTCCATCCCAAACTTCTTCCGCTGCTGGCGCTACGCAGACGAAGTACGGACAATGTGGAGGGACTGGCTGGACCGGAGCCTCGGAGTGTGTGGCTGGGTCGACTTGTTCGGCTGTGTCGCCACCTTATTATTATCAGGTTCGTGAATTTTTATGTTGATGTCTTAATCTCAATGTTGCTGATTTTGGTCGCGATGTTTAGTGCGTGTGAATGGAGAGCAGGGGGACGCGTCGGGTGCATGAGGAGTGATAGTGATGCTCCCTTGTCGCGAGGTCCTGCATACGTTGTGTGTGTTGCCGTTGTACTTATGTTTCTTTAGAGTAAGTAATACAACTAGGCCAATGAAGACTCATTCACATGCCCGCTTTGAAATTGTGTATAAGCCGATTACGAGACCAAGCGTGCGATGGGTCCTTTGCCACATCTTACGAGAGGCCTACGGTTTCGAGTCATTTGCCTTGACACGAGCTCGACATGTCTGATCCGAACCCCTCATGCCGGCGATCCTAAGACGGATTTTGGAAGAAAGTGTGTGCCACACGAGTCTACACGTAATCTTTGGCGTTCTCCGTTTTACGTCTTGTAGCTGGTCGGTTCCGTGAATGGCGACAATGGGGCTCAAAGCGACAATTGTGGCTACCGATTGTCTCGTAAAATTTCGGGAAAAAAGCATGGATTATGCAGGGCAAGGGCCTCAAACAGAGACAGACCTTGTCATGACAAAGGAGGATTCAAACATGTAGCTTGAGGCGAAGCGCTGATGGAGGGTGGCTGACGATCGGATAATGCCACGCGGCGGAGATTGAAAAAGATTGGACCAGTCTGGTTTTTCTGCGATCCACGGTTTGCTCGAACCCCCGTCCATCGTCCTCCACATCGTCCTCTCCACCCTACCACCACCACAAAAAACCGCCCCCCTTCGCCACCGCCATCATGTCCGACGACGAGCAGCACAACCAGACCTTCGAGCAGGTGCGTTAGGACTAGCTCTACCCGCCACTGTATACCCCACAACGCTTGCCGCATTTTTACTGATGGTGGGATACTGTCTTGTGCGATGTTTAGGCCAACGCTGGGGCCTCCTTGACGTTCCCCATGCAATGCTCTGCTCTTCGTAAGAACGGTCACGTCGTCATCAAGGGTGCGTCTCCCTCGTTTTCTCCATCGGCGCGCATCTGCTGAGTCGGGCTACGTACGCTTTGTCTGCTACTTCACTTGCAGGCCGTCCCTGCAAGATCGTCGACATGTCCACCTCCAAGACCGGGAAGCACGGTCACGCCAAGGTCCACCTTGTCGCCATTGACGTGAGTCCAGCTCTTTCCCTTTGACCGACCAATAGAGAACTCAGCAAATGTCAAACTTTCGCAGATCTTCACTGGCAAAAAATTGGTACGTGACTCGACTTTCATCCCGATATTCGCGGCGCAGACGTACTAACAAACGCTACAGGAGGATATTTCCCCCTCCACCCACAACATGGATGTCCCTAACGTCTCCCGTAACGAATACCAGCTCGTCAGTTCTCCACGCCACCTCTATATACCTGTACACGCGCTCTGATCACTTACCATTTTTGGGTGGTGTGTGCAGGTCAACGTCGACGATGGCTTCCTCAACTTGATGACTGCTGATGGTGCCGCCAAGGACGATGTGAAGGTCCCTGAGGGTGACCTCGGCAAGCAGATCGAGACCGACTTCAATGACGGCAAGGATTTGTTGGTCACCATCGTCTCCGCCATGGGCGAGGAGCAGGCCATCTCCGTCAAGGAGGCCCCTAAGGGCGCTTAATTTCTTCGGTGAGCAGATCCGCATTTCTTACGGCGTCCTGTCACAGAGCGCTTATACCTCTTGTACTGTACAGGTTCACTTGTGTCATCGTATCATCTCTGCGTTCCACGTTTTATTGTCATCGTCTCGTTTGTGCATCTACACCCTGTTTCTATCCTCCCTCTTTCGCCCCCATCACTTGCCCATCTACCACTCACACCCTCTCCACCCGCGTCACTTTCTCCTACTCACTATCGTTGTGTGCATGTAAACTTTGTTCAATCAAGAGCCCCTGAACATATATAACTAGCTCCGAGTTTGACATGTACCGCATTAGTTTCCGTCCCTCCCGCCGTCGTCGTCGTACCTTTGGTCTCGTTTGGAGTAGCAGTCATACATACAGTTTGTTGTCTTGTTGCAGTCAGTAGTTCTCTGATGGTCAGTGACCGGGTAGTTTTATACCGCGTCAATCGATCAAGATGGGTTTACAGTGATATCTGTCATAGTGTATTGAACAAAATCGCCGCAATAGGAAGTGAAACATGTGGGTCCGAGTGTCATAAAGTGCAAGGCAGCGTTCAATGCGTGTCATACCACTGACTGATCAGCGGCGTACGAAGGGTGCACAAGAAGTTCGAACGATACACGACTAGCGAGTACATCCGAGGCGACGGGTACTACAGGATACAGTAAAGAGACTAGGACGATACATCATGCCATGACAAAAATGCGAGACAGAAACGGACAAAACGCGAGACTACAAAAAAAATAAGATAGACGAAAGCAAGGTGGATGACGGGGTAAAGAATCAAAGGGATGGTGGCGAATAGAGAAGTAACATGCAATATACGTGGGTATGAAATCCATGAATAACGAGACGGGTTGAAGCGACAGACAGAAGTCATAAAGAGGAGGAGATCATCGGAACACAGGCAGCAATGCCTTCGCCTTGACCCGTGCCCCGGCGAGCTTGTCGATGGATGCTAGAAGATCAGTCCGTCGTAGTGGTTCTGGAAGTAAAGTTGATTAGTTGCCTGGCAATAAAATACACGGGGAAAACCCTACTGGTGATGTGGTCATCCTAGATCACCACGGTTTATATCAATAACGCCACGGACGAAGTCATAGATTTAAAAGGAGACTTACCATGCCTTTCGCCAGACAGCGTTCGCGATCGCCAAGCACTAACAATGAGAGACAACATGAGTGGACAGGATGTACGAAGGTTAGATATTGACGCACTGGCATGAGCTGTTAGAGCGATGATCGGCGTGCGAGGAAGGTCGTTGTGCCTTTCATATGCACGGATCAGTTCAGTCGCTTCCACACCACCCATAAACGGCATTGACAGATCCATCTGAAATCACCCAATCAAATCAGACTCTGAGAATGAAGTAGGTAAGGGATTTACGAACCAGGACAATATCATACGACCGAGACCTCTGGACAGCAGCCTTGAACATGTCCACCGCGATAGACCCGTTGTCCGCCATATCGACGACGTGGTCACCGTGCTTGTGGAGGATCTTCTTAGCAAGGTCTTGGTTGATCTTGTTGTCTTCCGCAAGTAGGATAGAATATGAGGCATTATCTGCGGTAGTGGGCGGGCCAACAGTGCTGGATTCTAGGGCAGATGCCAGTGCCGATGCAAGATCTTGGCATGAGACTGGCGTTGTGAACAGAGCGCTCACACCGTTGTCGAGACACCACATTACTTGAGTTTCAGAGGAGTCAGTTCCACGCCGGGGCTAGAATGAGGAGGTAGGGGAAACGCACGATTTAGAGGGAAAACACCCTGCGGTTCGAATTCTGGTCAGAAATCCATAATAAATCATGAGATAAAAGAACATACAGCGTCCATCAAGACGATTGGGATGTATCTCAAGTATACGTTGCTTCTAACCTGCTTGGTCTGGAAAGAGGTTATATCAGTTCTGGATTACCTTTACATTGCAGCGCGGACATCTCACCACTTCCGCAGAATCAGTCACGATTGTATCGATATGGGGACGATCCTCGCTCTTCTCTAACACAGCGATGTCATGCACGACATAGGCTTTGAGCCCAAGGTCCTCTATATGCCGTGCGACATTGGTTTGGTCGCGCCGTGTGTCGACGAAGAGGATGGTTCGATTCTGGAACACCGCCATCTTCGCCTGCAATGTCTCCAGGGACATGAAACCGAGCTGAGACGAGATAGTGAAAAAGAATTTACTGCCTTTGCCGACGTCGCTCTCCACCCACATAGTGCCGTGCATGAGGTTCGCTAGGCGCTTCGAAATGGATAGACCGAGACCTGTGCCACCGTACTCCTGCAAACAGCAAAACGACCAGCATTCAGTACCGCAGAGCAAAAGCCAAAGGAATAGTAACATACCCTCGTTGTTGAACCATCAGCTTGAGCAAATGTGTCGAAAATGAGGCTGAGTTTATCTCTGGCAATACCGATACCGGTGTCCGTAACGCAGATCTCCAGTGTTACGCCCTCGCCATCGAGAGCTAGGAGCCTGCAGCTCAAGGCAACAGAACCCTTCTTCAAGGTTCTGGGCGGCGTGAACTTGATCTATCGATGAAATTGACTCCGGTGAGCTAAGGAGCCTCAGGAAGACGACGAACGGTGTGTGCATCTAAGGGATACACTATTGTGAAAGTGAACGTGGACCTACGGCATTGCCAACCAGGTTCGTGATGACTTGTCGTAGTCGTAGCGAGTCGCCAATAAGTAGATCGGGGATGTCAGGATCGACGTCGTAGGTGAGGTCAAGGTCGTTTTGATTAGCACGAACAACCAGAGTTTTGAGGATACCGAAGACGGTCTGACGGAATGAGAAGTAGACATGTTCCATCGTCATCCGACCAGCCTCGACTATGAAGGGGATCGTCAGTATGGAGTTGGACAATCTGTACTTGAAAGATCGTAAACGCACTTTTAGAAATATCCAAGATATCATCGATGATCAATAGTAGTGACCGGGCAAGACTGTGCACTAGTAACAAGCTTTCGCGTTGACTTGACTCCAATTGACTGTCTAGTGTGAGCTCCGTCATGCCGATGATACCATTCATTGGAGTACTGCGATGGGTTAAACACGACGAAGATTTAGCGTCAACGAAAATTGCCCAACGAAAGATGACTCACCGAATCTCGTGCGACATATTGGCCAAGAATTCTGATTTACTCTTGTTCGCCAATTCAGCAGCCTCCTTGGCCGCCGTGTTCCTCTGGATACTGTCCCTCAACTTGAATACCATCTCATTGATCTGGCTCTTCAACGAGTCCATCTCTCCGCTGGCTTCGACCGTAATAAACCGAGTGAAGTCGCCATCCATGGCCGCGGCCGATATCTGCGCAAATCCACGTACTTGAGTGGTCAAGTTGCCGGCCATAGTGTTGACAGACATGCTACAAAGGCGCCGAGGGGTAAGTCGATTGCGTTACAGCCACTGAGCCTCAAGATCGACGTACGTGATTTCTTGCCAGATACCTTGCACATTGCCGACTTGGGCTTGTCCACCTAGTTTACCCTCAGTTCCGACCTCGTTGGCGACCTTTTTGACTTCAGATGCAAATATAGACAATTGGTCGATCATGGTGTTGATGGTATTGACCAGGCTAAGCATCTCTCCCATGACGGGTACGCCAGTGATTATTTGAGTCAAGTCGCCTCGTGCGACAGCCGTCTGCATCGTCTTCGTCAATACAAGCACGCCGATAGATAGAGCAGGTAGATCTACTTACAGTGGCGACAGCAATGGTCCGGACTTGCGTGGTCAACTAAGACAATAGTCAGTATCAAGGAGGTTGTATAGTCGCTGTGAGGCTCACATTGCTAGCCATGGTGTTGACGTTGTCGGTAAGAGCCTGGAGTGATGATTCTGTATGAGTATCTCGTTCCTTCACACGAATTGACCACATCGCTGAAGAGGGAGAGCCTCACCTTCCAAGTTCCACGAACATTCGTGACGTTCGCTTGTCCACCCAATCTTCCCTCTGTACCGACTTCTCTCGCCACTCTCGTTACCTCATCCGCAAATAGACTCAAGCTCTCAGTCATTCCATTCACCGTGGCCTTCAAGTCCAACATTTCACCTCTCACATCGACGGTGATCCTCTTTGTTAAATCACCGTCGGCCACTGCCTTCGTCACCTCAGCGATAGACCGGACTTGATCGGTAAGGTTCTTGGCCATTAGGTTGACATTGTTGGCCAAATCCTGTGACATAAAACGCCGATGAGCAAATTTGAAGGAAGAATAAGAATATGAGAAAACGGGTCATCTCACCTTCCATGTTCCTTGAACCTCAGGTACCTCAGCCTGCCCTCCAAGTTTCCCTTCAGTTCCGACTTCCAACGACACCCTCGTGACTTCATTAGCGAGGACACTTAATTGGGTAACCATGGAGTTGACGGTCGTCTTCAAATCCAGCATCTCGCCTTGCACGTCCACGTCGACCCACCGGTCAAGGTTTCCGTTCGCAACTGCCTTGGTCACGGCTGAAATAGATCGAACCTGATCCGTGAGGTTTGTGGCCATGCGCTAGAGAGACAGGCCGTTTAGAAGACAGTGATACGACCCCAAAAAAGTGAGAACTTACGTTGACGTTGGTGGTTAAATCGGCCCAAGTTCCTTGTACGCCCTCCACCTTAGCCTGTCCACCGAGAATACCTTTTGTGCCGACGTCGAGTGCCACACGCGTGACCTCCGAAGCGAACTCGCTCAACTGATCCACCATGGAGTTCACCGTCATTTTCAATGTGGCCATCTCGCCCTCGACGGGTATCTCGATTTTGCGGGTCAAGTCTCCTTTCGCGACGGCAGTAGTGACGACCGCGATGGAGCGTACTTGATCCGTCAAGCTCGAGCACATCGTGTTGACCTACAGATTCAAAATACGAAGATTAATACGTCATGATAAAAAGAATGCCCATCATCAACACTTACGTTCCGTGTCAGGTCTAGCCAAACACCCTCAACTTCCGGGACAACAGCCTGACCACCCAATCTGCCCTGTGAACCAACCTCGAGCGTGACTCTGGTAACCTCAGAGGCAAACCTGCTCAATTGGTCCACCATCGAGTTCACGGTCGTCTTCAATGTTGCCATCTCACCCTCGACTGGAATCTCGATCTTCCGTGTCAAATCTCCCTTGGCCACGGCCGTCGTGACAATAGCGATGGATCGTACTTGGTCTGTCAAACTGGCACACATTCTGTTCACCTACGAGCAAATGACTTTCAGATGCATAGAACGTAGGATAGTCAGAAAAAAAAGGGCGTACATTCCGTGTCAAGTCCAACCATACACCTTCTACTTCCGGAACGACCGCTTGGCCACCCAACCTACCCTGAGATCCGACCTCAAGTGTGACGCGAGTGACCTCCGAAGCGAACTCGCTCAGCTGATCCACCATCGAGTTCACTGTCATCTTCAATGTTGCCATTTCGCCCTCAACCGGGATCTCGATCTTACGCGTCAAGTCGCCCTTGGCGACGGCGGTAGTCACTATAGCAATAGAGCGTACTTGGTCCGTCAAGCTGGCGCACATCCTATTGACCTGAGAGAACAAACAAAGTTGAAACGCCTGTGCGAAAGGAAGAAGATGACAAGGTAGGAGACATACATTGCGTGTCAAGTCCAACCAAACACCCTGCACGTCCGGGACCTCCGCCTGACCACCCAAGACGCCCTGCGATCCGACCTCAAGAGTAACTCTTGTGACTTCCGACGCAAATCTACTCAATTGGTCCACCATCGAGTTCACCGTTGTCTTCAAAGTCGCCATTTCGCCCTCGACCGGGATCTCGATCTTGCGTGTCAAATCGCCCCTCGCTACAGCTGTCGTCACGGCCGCGATCACTCGTACTTGGTCCGTCAAGCTGGAGCACATTCGGTTCACCTATTAGGTATGAACGCTTCAGCGCTAAACGAAAGTCAAAGATAACAAAGAAGCATCAATGACGAACGTTACTCGTCAGGTCCGACCAGACACCTTCGACGCCGGGTACAATCGCTTCTCCGCCCAATATGCCTTCAGAACCGACTTGTTTGGTGACTCTAGTGACTTCTCTAGCTAGTGTTCGTAGTTGATGGACCATTCCGTTGACCGTATTTTTCAGCTCCAGTATCTCGCCCTTGGCTTCAACGACGATCTCCTGTGACAAATCCCCGTTGGCTACGGCTTTTGTTACGTGAGCGATACTCCGGACTTGGTTCGTCAAGTTGGCTGCGAGGTGATTTACGACATTGGTCAGCTCCCGCCATGTGCCATGCACGTCTTTGACTATTGCTTGACCACCGAGTATCCTACAACCACCAGTGAGTGGATTTCGAAAGTAAAAGGATGAGCTGCTGAATGGAAAGACGGCGTATTTTCGCTCATGGTGATCGCCGAAGCGGAAGGCGAACGTTATTGAAACTTACCCATCGGTTCCTACCTCTTGACTGACACGGGTGACCTCCTGGGCAAATTGAGCAAGCCTATCCACCATAGAGTTGATGGCCGACTTCAGTTGTATCATGACCGTGCCCTGCACCCTGACCTCGATCTTTTGAGACAAGTCTCCTTCAGCGACGGCCGTGCAGACTCGCGCGACGTCCTGAACTTGTCTCTTTAGCAGTGAGAGTTCCTCGACGGCGTCTACGCCGCTCTCAAACGCGGCGACTGCAAGCGGGTTGTTTGATGGTACAATTGCGGGAGAATCTGTACGTTCGACAGGAGAGGAAAAAGTTGGGAAGCATGAGCTTTGCATGATGCGTCCACAAGTAGCACAAGTATGCCGAGGAGGAGCAGAGTTGGTGCGTGTAGGTTTAGGTCGCTTGGGATCAAGAATGGTATAGCGAATGTCGTTTAAGGTCAGCCTACCAGTGACGGATGGCCAATTGAGGTCAACGTCCATACTACTTGGTTCGCGGCTAGCTCCACTTGTGCCGTTGAGATGCAGCTGGGACGAATGTCCGTCTGACAATCTAGAAAATGCCCTTGTGGGCTTTGGCTGATAAATGAGTTGATGATCAGCATTTGCAGATGGAGGCTCTACCTGCAGGCAAGAGGATGGTGACAAGTTGAGAGAATGGCGTATTGCAAGGGACTCTACCAACCATTGCACTCACCCTTCGTCTCTTCTTGCTATCTGGGCGAGTTGTTGGCCAAGCCTGGCCGGTGCGAAGTGCTTCGACCTCGTCTTCTGCGGAGTGCATTCTGTGGACGATCTCCGACAGCATGCCGAGTACTTTATGCATTTGAGGCGAAGCTGGGCCCTCGTATAGGGGAAGTGTAGTGTCGCGATCAGCGCCTGGATGGCACAGTGAGAGTGCGCTGTCGAGGTAGGAGATGAACGGATGGTTCGGCATCGCAACGGCGGCCGCCATCATGGTGTTCGACGTCGAGGACGACGGTGACGGAGTGAGCAGGGTGGACGTTAGGAACAGCGAGCGCGTCTAGGCAGTATTCCCCAGCTAATGCCTAGACCCTCACGCCTTGTGCCCGTCGGAGAGCCGGGTTCCCGGCGTAACATGCCCGCTAAAAACTGAACTCCGAGCCGCCGGCCGGCTTTTTGCAACCTTTCAGGTTCAACTTGCTTCATCTTGCCACTCGTTTAACTCAAAGCATAAAGTTCGATGGCGTATGCGGTATCCCATCGACCACTTCAGTCATGATTTTCTAGTTTACTCTGAGTATCGCCCACGGTTAACAGAGGCCGCCAGGAGCTAGCAACCCCAGCACCGTACAAGGGGTCAGACTATCATGTACCTAGAATTCAGAGATACTCTCACTCCACTCCTGCTCCACCCGATATTTTTCCAAAGCCTTCATCAAGGATTCTGGGCCCGGAAGGCGTTGCATGTGCCGAGGTCTCGTGCCTATCTTTGTGCAGCCTCACCTTGTCCCGTAAACGCGGCAGCATGTCAGAAATGGAGAAGGCGACGGAGCTTGAGTACTTACAGCTGTAATGATCCACGCTGAGACAGTGAGGCTGGCGATGAGATTAACATCTTAATGGGAGTTACCTGAGCTCCATCTGTATACTTGGGGTAGATACAAGGCTCGCCGAAGGCATTAGTGGTCTAGTAAGCAGGACGACCTAACCAATTGTCTGAAGATATGCTCGATGAGTTCATATAAACAAAACACAAACAACGGACTCTGCCAGGATACAAGAGTTATGGCTCGTTTGTGTCGGTGGCTACAAGTACCTACCGGTCCGGTGCAAGATGGAGACCAGTCCAACGGAATAGACAGGCCTACAGTACCTCGGTCCCTACTCCGACGTCTGTTTGGTTTCCGATGCGTGGAAGGGACTAACGTTTTCCATTCATGAGAGCACATGCAGCGCTATTCTAAGTCGAGTAAGAGCAACTCCTGGACTTTATGGCAAACTTCTAAACCAGATAATGCAAGTCTATCAGAGCAGAGTCGATGATAGCTAGTTGCGTCCAATCCACCCAAAGCAGTTACTTACAAGCATTATCGAGATTGCAACGTTGACCTCCACCCTTCAGCGCATTTGCACTCGAACCGGTTTTGCTATATTAGTGCGCTCCTTCCTGTGCTCCTAGAGTAATTGGACGTGGCAAGAAAGTGATACTAGGGCTCAGCGCTCAGCTCTCGAGGATAGCGCCCGCAGCGTCATGTTGTAGAGCGATGATCACAGGATTTGTGGAAGGAGTCTAGAGCGGTGGTAGAGTCGTATCCTTAGCAGAACCAGTTGGAATAATGTGAATACACCAGTGTCGAGGAGCATACAACTCAAAATGTAGGCGTCCATCCATGCGGTGTTCGCGAGTTGGTCATGACGAACGAGAGCAAGATGGACGCGTCGAGCTTCGTAAGTTACCCGAGTGGCACCAATGCAGCTGAGTTTGAACCTTATCGCCACTCATCAGTATCGCAATATTTAAGCAGTCCGTTCTTTTTCCTCACCACGAAACCGCGAGGATCGCATCCTCCAGGACTCTTGCATTGGTGATTTCTCATTCGTCATGAACCGACCAAGGTTTGCGTGCCTTTATCCCTTCGGCCTCAGCAGAACCCGGCGTCAACAAGTAGAATCAAAACGATACACGAATATTGGGCCACAATTACGCTCCGTATACTTACCTCACATAGTGATTATTATCCTCGGCATGTATATCTACAATTTATCATGTCGCTATTCTCTCTCGATATGAGCGGGAGTAGAGTTTGAACGAGGAGGAGATGGACTGCCTTCCGTCAAGTTGGCCTCGCCACACTTTATCGGACTTTGAAAATATGAAGTCCTTAAAACCAGTCGCGTGCGCTGGCAATTCACTCTTTCTCCACCACGACAGCTCCAAAGCCGCGAAGCTCACATCGTACAGGATGTCTCGCACGTCCGACCTCGTGAGCGGGCTAAGGTCTGAGTATCATACCCCCTCGACTGGTTCTAGCAGAATCTGGCTCTAACGAGCTGAGCGACGTACCAGAAATGCGACGCGCGAAATTGCCTGACGGCTAATTCCTGAGAACCCCAACGAGTGCTGGAATCGGCGTTCGGATCCCTTCGTGCGTGGGGGAGGGAGGTTGTACGGGAGCTCGTGCGTCTTGAAAAGCGTCGCGGGGATTGGGTGCGTTTTCCCTTCTGCAGATCCTCGTCAGCCTTCCATGTTCTCGAACTGTCAGTTTGTGTGTTCGCGCTACGTGTCGAGAATTCGATGCCATGGGACGGGAGTCTCTAGCTATGGTCGCAGCAGGATGTCTTCAAGACTATCCGAACACCCAAGGGGAACCGAAGGGGCTGTCTTTACAAAGAACCGCCAGCTTGGAAGTGATGGCACGCAGGATTGCGTCTGTTGCAGAAGAGATTGGTAATGGTGCTGAAGCAGGACTGCATTCGTTTTGGAAGGCTGGCTGATGGTTTGGCAGTAGCAGGAGATCTGCATCCTTGAGTCCACTTCGCGGCTCGTGGTGACTAGTCTCGTCCTCGTTGACGGTGATTTGGCGCCGCGAAACTCGATTCAGACTACTCTGGGGCTGTCGTGACCCAATTTTTTTCTTACATCTCAGCTCTTCGGAGTGCTGTCTGCATCATGTACCTCTTTTCGAGATCTCTTGCAAATTGTACAATCCTTTCTGCATACTTTGACTATTGGCTCGGTGGTGTCGCGTTCGTCTCAGTGTGACCATCTTTGCATCAAGTTCGCCACAACAGTCGCGTGCAAGGTGTAGTTTCTGCTTCTCTTTCCTGGAACGTCATGCTCATCTCTAGCTCAAAACGACGGAAGCCCAGCATCGGATGTACGAATCGCATCATCTTCAGACGTGTAAAATCGCCCTCAGAACAAAGCCCCTGAGGCTTTGGCAACGACCGGTGCGCCGCAGGTCGTAGCACTCCTAGTCCTTCCAAGATTATCACCTCCAATATCGGCCTCCTCAGCTCCTCCCTCCCCGATCGTCGGCATACCAGGATCAGACATCCTCCTTCGTCCGGTACTCTCCACTTCTTGCCTACGCCCACCCGCCTTTCCACCTGCCCACCCAGACTTCTCAAACAGTCCCTTGTCATTCAGCAACCTCAGATTGATTGGCGCCATCTTGTCTGGCAGGTATTCAATGTCATGACCTCGCGTCGAAGGTAGGGTAATCGCGATGAACGGCTCTTCGGTCGTGGGTACGCTCGATCCCTTCTTGTGTTTGATGCGGTCTAGGTGCTTTTGGATGGCGTCGGGTTTAGCGATGACGGACGGTACGGGGATGTCGTGACCGGAGGTAGAGCCTGTTGGCGATAGCATGAACGCGTTGCAGAAACGCTGCCAACCACTAATCTCGATGGCGTTGGCGTGGCTTTCGGAGCGAGGGCCAGCTTTCTCGGAAATGGCGAAATCGGATGAATTGCGAAACTGCAAAGGACGGAGCTTTGGATTCTTGCGCGTCCGTCTGGCGTAGACATGTTTGACGAAGATGATGGTGACGGTAGTTGAGACGACGAGTACGGCGATGCAGGCACCGACGATTTGTAGCGTATGGGAGAGGGAGCTACCCTCCAGGGACTGGTAGTACTCCGACGCTTGTCCTGCCGCAGAATTTGTGTTGATGATATCGGATGGCGTGACTTGTTGGATAGGGAGGGGTGCCATGGTCCTGTGGTGAGCTCGATATACCTGGTGGGAGGGCTTTGGAAGACTCGTAAGGACCGATGAAGGAGTCTAGTGCACGCTTTAGGGACCTGGTAGAATCTTCTAGGACTGCCGGTTGGCTGCAGGTGAATCAAAATCCGGGTTTGCATAAATGTCTCACCTAGGTCTCGCTTGGCTGTGGTATCGTCTCGAGCCACCGGGCTCGATCGATATCCACTACAATCACTTACTTGACATATTTTTCTTAGCCATCGTCTACGAACGAAGGCGAGTTAACCACTGCCAAGTGGCGCACGAAGTTGTGAGACATTTGCAGAACGAAGGACACTACAGATCAAATTTGAAGAATTACAACGTCCGTCTCCTGGCCATCGACATCCACTGCGATGTCGATGTCATCTGTCTTTCCTATGACCTTTTCTTCGGACCATTCGTTATTGACGTATATCGCGTAGCGACCCGCTTTCAAGTTCCGAATTACGGGGCAGATACTGCAGAGCACGAATTCATCAGGCGTTTCTCCTTCTTATTTAACATGAAGCTCAAGGAATACTTACCTCACGCGATTACCATGCCAGGTCTTCATCGTCAGCACCATCGCCCGAGTCTCGTCAACCCAGCTACCTCTCAAGAAATCAACGCCTTCACTCAAAACCACACCATCAACAAAAGGCCGCTCTTCGAGTTCCTCCTTTGTCCACGGCTTCTCCCACATCTTATGTTGTCCGTCAGGCACATTCAAGCGGGCGTACCCAATTCCAGCGTTTCCTGTGAACGGGTCGACATGGGTCCAGTTCCCGTCATTGTCCGAAGACGTATCGCAACGTGGATAGAAAAGCCCGCCGAGCTCCCACTGAGGATTCATGTACTGATCCGCGTGGTTGAGCAGGCCATCGAGCGTAGCCTTGTCACCAACTTCGGAGACCCACTGAATGACATAGCCGAACGTGGGCAGCTTGTAGCCACTGCGCGACTGCTTAGGGGGAGCAGCAATTGCACGTGCTTGAGCGAGTGTCTCGGAGCCCTGCGGGTCCATGTTGGGGTCAGAGGCGATCAGAGAGCGAATGGCATTGGCGATGGGAGGGGGGTTGAGGTTGACGCGAGTGGGGGATACACGCTGAAGAAATCCGAGAGCTTGACTCTCATAGACGCTGTGAACCTGTTTGGTATTCCAGGAATTCATGAACGCAGAAGCCCTGGAAGAACAATTATTGAGCTATCATCAAAGCACGGATAGTACCAAGTCCTACCAGGCACTGAAACCGATGTGGCCCTGTGATATCCTCGCGCGTTGTTCGACGAGATACATATCCACAAACAGGCCGCTATCAGCGACTATCCCAACCTTCTCCCAGGAGCTTTTATATCGCTCTAGTACGCCACCGGCGACGTCCGTTCCCGACCGAATATCATTGTACCGCATAGCGATAATCTACAGTGCGCGTTAATGCTTGCAGTCCTAGCAGTTACAAGGCTTAAGTGCTCACCGGAAACTGATTACAAGCGACAAAGATGTTGTTCGGTTCGCAACAAACGCCAAGCCAATTCTCCCTCTCCATCTCGTCTAGGATGGCCTGCTGCAGGCTAGATCGAGAGTACTTGAACGTCTCCGGTCCCATACCCCAAAATATTGGATCCCAATTGAAGACCAAGGCGTCGGGGGCGTCGTACGAATCGTCATTGAACAACATAGAGTAGAGAGACACCATTAACAGAAGGTGTCCGGAGTACTGGTGCTGTTGTCAGCGGGCTGATTCAAACTCGAGGAGATGTACAAGATACACACCATAATATTCTCCTTTTTGTTTGGATCCGCCCAAGGCTTCCTCAACTCTTTGATAGACGGATTAACGAGCTTGCCACTTTGACTGGTAAGGTACCAATATCCCCAGACCTCCTTCCTCAGCATCTTGTCAATCAGCATTTTGAGAAGAGTTTTGAACACTGATCGCAGCGCAGGAAGACGATGATAGTGTGCTGCACCCGCGGCGTAGGTCATGATCGCGAGCTGGTAACGGTAGGCGTCAAGGAACTCTTGCGAAGGTTCCTGAGTGCCCATGTGCCTCCATTCCCCAGGCAAGAGCGAAGCAAGGTTAAAGAAATGACGGAGGTGGGCAGCTTGTTCATAAGTGAGCTTCGGAACTGATGAGAGAAAGTATTCGGGCAAGATATTCGGAGTAGCCACAGTAGAGGGGATTTTCGGGCTCTCCGGTGACAGATGCGCAAGAGGAGGAAGAGTTGTTATCGTCGACATCATCGCCGCAGTGACAGAGTGATCCTAAGGAAGACACTGAGCTCGCATTCACCAGCACAAGCTATATAATCGATTCTCTGCCGGTCACGCCGGTCAGTCTCGTATGGAGACGTGCGTAAGTACGCGGCGTTGGGTCCGAGTTTTGATCCCAGTCGACCTTTCCAGTCATATCATCCCTTGTGGATCTGATGGGTACTATAGCCGAAGGCTCGCTTGTAGTACCTTGTTCAGATCGGGTCGATTGGCGACCATGGTACAACATGTCGGGACCTTGACGGAAGGGCCTGACGAGAACAATAGGAAGAAGTGCCAGTCAGAGGAGTCGTCGTTGGTGGTTCATGCCTACGAATGGTTCGGCACTTGCCGGACTCCATCAGAAGCGGTGTGAGTCGAAACACCGTTTCTGGCCCCCTCCTTGTGTCTAACCGCCATTGTTGAGACGTTGAGTGTTTGCCTTAGATGTAAGGCTTAGTGATGTATGTTTCCCGCGACTGGTTAGTGTTCAGGCAAGGAAAAAAAAAAATTCGCAACCACTAAGCGTAAAGTCGAGTTCCTACATTAGTTCCCTAGACAGCACGTCCTTTAGAGATCGGTACTAGTATCACGTATCCTGATCGCCTTTGAGAGCCCTCCTATCATCAACTATCTCGACACTGAGTCCCGTGTTTCGCAAATCCTCCAGAAACTGTTCCCGGACCTCGACAGAGCTACCCAACACGATCTCCTTCAACATACAACCAGGGAACCTAACCTTACGCTCTTTCAACGTGTCGAGTAGGTCATCCTGAAATGCCTCTATCCCTTTGGGGTACGAGAGTGATGGCCCCAATATCGCGAGGGTGACGAGGTAAGGAATGCAGACATCGTCTTCTGGACGAAGAGCAGTCGAGGGTGTCGTCTTCTTGCCTTCGGGGCATAAAATACGTCGCAATCCATCGTATGGGAGGGGAAGTGGACCGTTGCAAAACGATAATTACCGGAGCGAAGGCATCCCATGAATGGGTCCCGCCAGCATCATAGCTATAATTTCATCACGACCAGAATCGACAAAGAGGTGCTCTACATCGGAGAAATTCCGAGAGCAGGAACGATAGACGGAATGGCAGGCTCCTGGACAGAACCCGTCTCTGTATAAACATGGTATCGCGAACTGGATCGCCATGGTTGTCGATTTGAGATCATAGCCATCGTGGGAATCAGGGACGTCCACATCCGATGCAGACCACGAGTCAGAGCTCCCGGCAATTTCTATGTCAAACATCTTATCGTTCGAACCATACCCTGTCCTCACCCACACAGTACTTCGTCCACGCTGGGACGAGAGGTATCGAGTGAAGATAAGATCCGTCAATGTGGATACTCTCTCCACCTCACGCACCGATTCGGAACGGGCATAAGCGATCTTCAAACAGACGCGGAGCAACGATGTCGAGGTTTCGACGGTCTGCAGGAAGTCATGGGAGAGTTTTGGCGTCTCTGACAACGTCAGGGACCGAAGTCTTGGTAGACGAATGCGGACGTCCTTATCATGTACGTGGTCGAGGGTGTTTTGAAGTTCCAATGCCTCTAAGTTATGCATGGCTTCCAAAAGAGCTCGGAGTTCTCTATATGACGGTGGATCGTGGGGAGAGTGCACCGAGAGGAATGTAACATTATCGAAAACTGGGGAATGGCGAGGGAATGGTAGGCCTCCGCCTTCCAGATGAATCTCCGCGAGTCTTGGCGCGTAGTCATCAAAAAGCTTTGACGGGCCGGGGAACGTTAGAAGTTTGGGATCAAGACTCCTCGTCATAGAGGCTGAAAGAGAGGGTCGGTGTAAAACCGGTGCAGGTCGAGACAATGCGATCGTGACCAGGGTGTAGATGTCGATGTCGGGTCCGTGCACATCCAGAGTTTCGGTACGTGAAAGATGATCTCCGATGAGCGATATGAGTATTCCGCACTCTCGTTCAAAATCGAGAATAGGGCACGAGATGTGTAAGAGGGCCGAGTTTGAACGGGAGATCATGAGTTCTGCACATTCGGCTCCGAAATCAAAACTTGGTGTCCTCCACAAGAGGGAGTCTTGAATAGCGATATCCCTCCAGAGTTTGCAGACGTGCGTGATCTATATAAGGACTTTAGCGAAAGTCGATGATTACGTACAATATCTGTTTCGCCACTGAATATCTCACCTTGAGCCACCCTAGAGTAGCTTTTGTCCTGTGGCTTCCGTTTTCGTCACGATATGGGCTCCACTCGCTTCTAGCAGGAGGTTCCAGATCAACCAACCATCTAAAACAGCGTACGATCAGCTCGGGCGGAAGTCGATGGATGCTATTGCTCTGAGGCTTGATGTATACGGATACTGTGTTGTCTGTAGCAAGTTCCTTGGAGAGAGACTGATGAGCGCGGGATATAGTGGCCGTGTCGTCTTGATTGGACACGCAGGAAAGGTGTTGGAGTTGCTGGAGGACCACCCGTCGCCACCATCCATCGGTGCTACCACACGAGATAAAAATCAACAAGATATACCTGATGTGATTCGAAAGCTGGAAATACCTTTGAACTGAGCTGGATGTCATTTTGTGTGGTAGGATAGTGTGTGTGAGGGGATGTGGTGCTGGGTGGGAGGTAAAGACGCTGGGACCACGCAACATAACATGCATTGAACGCGCGCTTCCGAGTCTGGGTTCACACGAGAACACGAGTAGCCTAAATGGTGTACTAGGGAAGACACGATGTCGACTTCCATCTACGATATTTTCGATTCTACACGTACTTTCTATTGCGATCAGATGATTGCTCAAGGCTGAGTTGTCGTTTCATTTCCGAGGAACCAATACGTTGAGCGTAGCCTCCGCCTTCCCCTGCTAGGAAGCCGTATAGCTATCAGTACGGATTAAGTATCAAAACCTTAAACACTGAGAACGTACCTGCATCTTCATCTCAAAGCCCTCTTAACCCACAGTGCATCGCCTGCATAAACAAGTGCGCATAGCGAGTACTTGTGAATGAGGAAATAATGAGCGCATGTTAGAGGTTGACCCACTCCTTGTGTATAAGATTACCAAGGCAATGCACACTGGACGCAAGGGCATTGCTATATCCAGTCCTAGTAGGCCGTGTGGATAGCCAATATCCGACGTGCAAGCTCTACCGTCGATCAGCGTCGAGCTCACGGGCTGTGCGAGAACTTGTCCGTTCTGCCACCGCCAAACGTCTGCCATAAGAAGAAGAGAGACTTGTAGATCTCCTGCCAAGGTTGTAAGGCATCCATGGGGAAGTCTGGGGAAGGAGATCAGTGCCTAGACGCCACTACCACTCAAGCATCAAGAGACAATCCCAAGGCAAATCAATATGTGGGCTCCTATAGAATGAAGTCAGTGTACCAATAAGTCTGCACAGATGCCCAGAAACGGAGGCGGATTGGACCATACCAAAACGACACTGGACGAGGTGGGACCTTGTTTGAACTCCGGCAATGGTCGAGTGGACCTAGGAAGTCAGATCATATCATATTTCGTACCATGGCATACCCTAGATATCTGTATCGTATCGTGCAGTTCCATAAGCAATATGAAAAGCTATGTAAATTCAGCCACTTTGGGCTCGGAAAGAGGAGGTACAAGGTCCACGTGCAGGCTGGGATTGGTTGGAAGAAGACAGTGCGCGAGCCGTGAACGAGACGAGACGGGGATCGAGTGGGGTTGATGATGGTGGATCGGGGTCTGAAGGTGTTCGAAGGTGGTGAATGACTGGCTGGCGGGTGGGAGCAGAAGAGGAAGGGGGAGAAGCGAAAGGGGCGAGTGAGAGTGGTTGTTTGTTAATGAGTTTGAAAAAGGCCCATGTAAGTTATTGAAAAGAAATCCGAACAGGATAATAAAGTTATACACAAGAGTTTTGGATTGGATTGATTTGGGTGGGTGGGGTCTGAGCGACAGCAAAGAAGAAAACAAAAGTACAGTATGGGGCAGGCAAGCTTTTCGATTCATCATGTGAATATGGGGAAGTGGGCAAGTTGGTCGACGGCGAATGATGGAGGGAGCCAAAGAAAGGACAGAGTAGCAGAGAAGAAGCTCCGAATGCTGAGCGCCGATGGCAATAATGGAACCGGAAGGCAGATGCAACACAGATTGGGAAACAGAGATACGAATGGTGCGAAATGGATTCCACATAGAAACGATAGGACAGAGATGAGTCAGACAGACATGATCTAGATGAAGAACCTTGGAGCGTGAATGCAGAGAAAGCAGATACACTGGGAAGGATATTTGACGAGTGAGGAAGAAGGATTGCATACTGCGAAGACGGGAAACCGAGAAGCCGAGGACCCAATATGAGGACACGCATGGAAAACCCGGAACGATTGATGAATGAACCAACGACGGATGGTGAGATGCTATTACGCAGCCTTGGGTGGCACAGTGATATCAGAAGACACGCACGCCCATGCACAAACTCTTCGAGACGGATGGAAGGAGCACTGAACAAGCATCAATAGACCGCGGACGCAGCAAGATTCGGCCGAGTCTGTGAGCTTTGGACGCCTCGAACGTCAGGAACTGCGACCCACCAGTGAATCGCAGTCGAAACATTACGCAGAACAGCTATCCGCAGATGCACGGTCGCAGATACTATCGTCCTTCGTCTTCTTCTGCCTTCACTAAACCATTAGGTCTCCCAGTTGAAGCCAACGCACACTTCGTCGCATCCATCTTCTCCTTCTCCACCGGCGCCACATCGTTCTTGCTTAACACCTCGTCTCCCCGTGCCCTCGTCTCCCCGACGTCCACACTGATGTTCTCAGCCAGAGGGAGAGTCGGAGTGACAACGTCATCACCCTTAGTCTGTGCGCTGGCATCCTGTTCGACTTTCTCTCCGCCTCTGGACTCCACTTCCACAACCTCAGTCTCAACATCCGCCTTCATCTCAACCTTCTGATCCTTCTCTTCGTTCATCGTCCTTGTCTCCACCTTCTCCGACATCGGCTGGATCTCCAACTCCAGCTCCAACCTCTCAACCTCCTCCTTCTCTCCATTCCCATCATCACCATGCACACCCACCTGCGTTTCACCCACCCCAACAACACCCACCTTCCCCCCAACGAACGCATCCACACCCATCCCCTGCACCGGCGAAGACGGCGAGCTCGACATCGGCGACGCCGAAGCCGAAGGCTCGTACTGCGAACTCTCCGATGACGAAGGCGCAGGCGATTCCGAGTTCGTCGAGTCTACGGAGGCGGATTCGAGCGAGACCGAGACGCATTTTGTGGCGCCACTGCCATTAGGCTGCTGAGATCGGACGAGGGAGTCGTGAGCACGAGGAAGGGTGTGATCCTGGGTGTGGGTGTGGGTGGGTGTAGCGGACGAGATGAGACTCGATGGATCCAAGAGGCTCGCGGGGGCGTTACTCTGAGGTAAGGGGGGATGTGGAGGTGAGTATGAGTCTGAATGACCGTTCGATTGCAAGTGAGGTTCTGCTTGCGACACAGGTTCCCCCCTCGATGCTCGCAGAGCACGGAGCACATGTGACGCCTCCTTCGGGAGCGAAAACGGAGGGACGGTGGGGTCGAGCTGGCTCCTCAAAGACTTCGACTTCGACTGTTGACTTTGAGTCTGAGGTGGAGGCGACGACCGCGATCTTGACCTACTCCTCGACCTACTCCTAGACCGCGAATTCGACGAGAGGTCACCTGGCAGGACGGCATCACGTCCAAAGAAGGCTCCCCTCCCAGGCGTCGTCGGCGCAATGATCGTCGCCGCAGAGTGCGAATGCGAATGTGAATGATGTTGCTGTTGTAATGGAGGACTAGGTCTCGGGGGTAACGAAGCCAATGAAGGATGAGGCGGAATGAACGAAGGATGTGAATGCTGTGGCTGTGATAACGGGCTCGAGGGTCCTGTTGAAAGCGGTGATGGAGGGAGATGAACAGTATATGGAGACCGAGACGGCTGAGGAGTATGGGTCGGTGAAGACGCGGAGTTGGAGGAGGTAAGATTAGAAGTGACAGAGAAATGCGACTGCGAAGGTGTCACCGTCGGCGATGGCGATGGAACCATCATCTCCGGCAGCTTCGCTCTCCTCTTACTACTAATCGGCGCATGAATAACCTGCTGAGAAAGATCGTGCGTAGGTACGAACGTCGGCATATGTTGTTGTGACTGTTGTTGTGAGTACAGGTGTTGAGGTGAATGCTGATGTGCATACTGCTGGAAATGATGCTGCAATTGCATTTGCAAATGCGACGGCGACGAATACTGCTGTGACGGGGACTGTGCTTGGCTATGACTCTGCGTCTGTGAAGGAGATTGAGCCTGCGAATGGGGTATATTCTCTTTCGTCGGATACGTCTCGTAAAACACATGCGGAGGGCTCGTCGACGGCTCCTGGGCATCCTGCGGTGAAGGCGGTAAAGGCGTCACCAACGCGACAGGGACAAAGGACGGTGTACCCATACCACCCATTGTAGAGCTCTGAACCCGATTCGACTGCGTCCGAGTCCTTGCGGGTCCAGAGATCGACCTCCTGCTCGGAGACCCGTTCAGCGTCGCTGTTGAGGATGAGGATGATGTCGAGGCTGTGGGCAATCGAGCAGCGGCTGCGTTGGCCATCCGTTCCATATGTCTTGGAATAGCGCCCGACTGACCGATATGTCCGTGCCCTTGTCCATGTCCAGAACCGAGGACAGGCGAAAGCGATACCGGCTGGCCCTCATTCAACTTGTCCGCAAGTCTGAAGTTAAACTGCTGCCGACCTCGCATGAACGGCACAAATGCAGGTGCAGAAACCCCATTCTGTCCTACGTGACCGTGGTTCACGTTCGCAAAGAATGCGGCAGGATCTGGTTGTTGGGAGTGGTGATGAAGATGATACTGGTGAAGATAAGTCGGGATAGCCGACTGTGGCGACTGTGGCGAATGGTTATAATGACCATTAGGCAGCGAGTCTGATATCCCGCCCATCGTTCGTATTCGAGCCGCACGAGCGGAAGAAGGTTCCTCAGCCATCGACTGAACAGAAAGAACGTCGTCCGTATCCAGCGGATCTTCATCTGTGAGGATCTCGCTGTTATTCGAGGACGACGCGTAGGACGTTTCCTGTCTCGCATCGGTCGACGCTGTAGCCAATTCAAGTCCTAGCCCCAGTCTGTTCTCGAACGATGTTCGATCGGCTTCAGGCGCCTCGGGGGGTGGCGGCGAGGTCCATTTCCCGCGTCTAGGTGCCATATGTTCAGGATGCGACGTCGATGTCGAGGGCCCCGCCTCCGGTGTAGGCGAGAGCGCCGAAGTCCGTGACAGAACTTGACCCTGACTAGGCGACAGGCGATCTGGGATGGGCACGGAGACATCGTTTCGGGTGGGGTTGCTGCCCACTGTATATGGGGTCTGTGGCGGCAAGGGCGATAATCTCGGAGGGACGAAGGGAGGATGCGATCCTGCTATTGGGATTGCGTCTCCTACACGCTCTTCGCAAAGTTGGGCGATGGCGACGATAGCCCGTTCCGGTCGCATCGTTAGCACTCTTGAGGCGCGCATGAATTCACCTCGAATCTGTGGCATGGCCCTAAAAGGTCAGAGATGTGACTTGTGATGGAGTCCCCAGACTGAAACGTACTAGGTACAGGCCGTCCCGCGTAACACATCGCGCCACATTGTAGTCCTGCTCAAAAGGGTCCTATCGAGCAAAGTTTGAGCTAGTTGAGCATGGAGTGGGATACGATATAGTTACCTCGATGCAGAGACGATTTCGTTCTCTGGAATCCTTATATCTCAGAGGATCGAGCTGTAAAAGCAGTGAGAAAGGCGCATATATGCGGTACCGCAGACGAGAAAAGCCACCTACGTCGTTCTGCCACCCCTTTGTCTCCTTCTTAAGGAGCCCTGCCCGTATTGACGCCACACCAGTATTGTACAGGAAGTCTCTCGAGAAGTATTTGAAAAAGTCGATCAATCTGGACATTGCAAATTCATTCACGTTAGCGCCACCGCCACCGCATTCAATCGTTCAGAGTAGAAAGGGAGAGACACTCACAATTGGGCGACACTATCCGTATTTGCGGATTGCCACCTCTGTCGCAGCAGCTCGATGTCGTCGAAGAACCTACATGCACGCACAACACACGGTCAATGCCGGTCATCCAGATCAGAAGCCTTGTGAGCGCGAGGATCGTACCAAGTATTATGCTCTCCGATATGTGAGTCCTCCTGAAGTACCGCGTGTCACTAGTCAGGCGATGGAAGGAAGTAAGAGTGGACGCACATGTGATATGGGACGTAATGGAGGCATTTGTTGTAGATTAGGAAGGACTGGTGGATTCTTGACATGTACAAGGAAATAGATGACCAGGAGGACATAACCATATGATGACAGCGTGCCTTGGTAGGGAGAGTTGATTTTTCTGATAGAGCGGTGCAGAAGTTAGATCGAAGTCTGGGATGCCACAGTGGCGGCGACGTACCTCCGCTTGCACCAAACCTTGACTGAATGGACGAGCAGGCATATATTTAGCGACGGGCGTGTCTGAGGACAAAGATGGAGAGCGACTCACGGAAGAGAACAAGGGTGCGGACGCGGGTAGGATCAATCATGGCGTAACAGTAGAGAAGTCTGGTATTCTCCAGAGCGAGTCTATTCTCGAAGCCGATGTCGCAGGCTATTCCGAGGGGAAGCCCCGGAGATGGATCGAGTGATAGCTTGACGATGGGTATTCGCGCATGAGGGAGCGGCTTGACGTGGAATTTTGTTTCTGAACGCGAGATGAGTTGTGCACAAAGAATGTTGAAAGGAAGAAAGGGAGACAGACCGCGTTCAAGGAGGTCACCGAGCATAGTGACCAGGTCGGCAGCCGAGAGCCGTTCATCGGAGTCAATCAAGCAGCAGAGATCCATGTCTGCACATGTATAAGCCTACACCCTCTACAGAATATCCAGAACGGTGCTCACCAGAGTTGCGAAGACTGAAGCCATTGGCGGTACTGCCGAAAGACAATAGACGGCTGTCGGGCTCGATGGTGCGAATAAGACGCTCGAGTAACTTGCGGACATCCTCTTTCACCGAGAGCTCTTCTGGCGTCGGGAGAAGCTGAATGACAAAATCGTAGAGACACTGGGAGAGCTCAGCGACGAAACGCTGGCGAGAGGCCTGCCTGCGCTGGGCAGGGGGAAGCTGGTTGATGGTGGGAGAGGTGTGCTGGGCGACGTGGGGCGAGCTCATGCTCTGGGCGTAGACCGCCATCTGCTGGTGGGCTGCGTGTGCCGCAATTGTCGAGGGGATTATTGGGGGTTTGTTGCTGTTGTTGGGAGCGATGAGCAGATGGGTGAGCTGTGGCCGTCGGTTGGGTGATCGCTGGAGCCTGTTCCAAGTCGCTGCTCGATTATGTTTCCCTTCTTCCCTTTTCGGGCCGTCCCTTACGCGCCACTACTTCGGGCAGCTGTGGCGACAGGCGGCAACCCTCTCCTCGTGCTCGCTTTAGTCTCCTCCTCGGACCCAACAGCGCCACCAGGCTCTTTCTTCGCTGGCAGCCCTCCTTTGTCCACAAAATGGATTTCTGCACAATGTCCGCTTCCATGAAAGCCCCAGTGACTCAATGCGTCATATATGCCGCTTTCACAGCGGACCTGAAGCTTGAAGGGGCTAACCGTGGTCATTCTCTCACCCATCCTCATCACTACCGCCTACCATCCGCTATTCGCGTTTATCTTCCATACCTGGCTGTCGAAATGACAGAAACGTGTAACAAGGCCGCATCAAGCAGAACTTACGCCCTTTCGCCCATTACGCCACAAGAACGCCACACCTGGACGTCAGAGCATCTTTCTCTCGAGCGTCAACAGGCTCAGCGATCATTGCCTTCTTTGTTTCATGTCTATAACTCTCTCTCCCATCGAAGGTCTTTGTAGGTCTTTGTGTGTGCATCATTGGCCCTCGGCTCCCACACAGGGTGTGCACGTCCCTTATGATGTCCGTTTACTTGGACTCAAGTGCAGTATTTTGGGTCTTCTTTCGTGGTTTCTTACTACCTTGCTTGGCTGTTGGCGTCACTCACCTGAGCGCCGTCCTAGTCAGCTCATTCATCATGTATCATGATCTTCTTCTACGTATGTACCTCGACTCCTCGACGACACCATGCAGAAGATTCATCAACGCAAGACCCTTGCCGACGATATTTCTGTCGAACATCTCTGTGTTTTGTTTCATACTGCTCTCAATGGACGACTCTTTTCGCCGACCGAGGCCTTGGAAGGCCACCAACTCGTGGGCATTTTCCCGGTATTTATTGCTCTCATATCCCAAACTCTCTGCAATTCGTCTCTTTCGTCCCTATCTCTAGCTGCACACACCCATACCAGCCAGTGTATCTGTAAACACAGTCTACTCCCGAGTACCCTGCGATATAATTACCGGCCAGTAAACATCCTTGCAATCCATGTCCACACAATCGATTAGACTCTGTCCTTCCACCTTCCCGACCTTTCTGACTAGTCCTGCTACTGTCACTATCACCCTGGTTAACTTGGGCTATATTAAGCCACCACCCAGAGCCTTCTTGTGACAACTACGCGTCCTATTGCACTTCGTGGTAAAGGCGTAGCATCGCTTGCCACGGCGACCCAAAAAGTTGTCAAGCTGGGTCCGCAACTGTGAGATGCTGGCGGCATCTCTCTGTATACGTCATTGTTGCCTGGGTTGCGTGTGCGAAGTTCAATGCACCACGTTGGTCCGCCACCTCCTTTATGCTGGGTCCACAATTCATCGGGTTTTTTACTCTCAACGACACTTCTTCATAGTGAGGCCCCCCCGTGAGATTTTTTCCTCACACCACCACGCTCAATCATTGACCGTTTATTCGAGTGAACGGGTCGCTGTGTATAAAGACCCTTGTGAAGAATGGAGATGTGCGTGGACTCTCAACTTTGTAATCTGAGGTTATCACATCGCACAACCGTATGCCACGAGCAATATAGTTTCTGTAAATTGACAGCAATGACAGCAATAAGAGAGATTGTTTTGCGAATAAAATTGTGAACACGTGTAGGTCTAATATCTACGCGTAAGAGAAAGCTGCTGTATGTACTGTTTGAAAGGAAAATACCGTCCGAGCTTACCGAGACAATTGAATCCAGGCTGTCGGGTGCGTCTCGTCGTCAGCCTGAGCCAGATATTGGCTTTGCTGTCTCTCGTACTCGTACTACTTGTCTTGGAACCTCAGGCAACCCTGCCATGACCCTACCCACCCACCCTCTTATCCTCCTACCCTGGCCAGCGTACAGATTGCATTGAACGTCGATTGATGCGCCAGGATCCGCCTTAGTACTCATTATATGCCATTGGCGAGTAAATATTCCGGCTTTTTCCGAGATGTTGAGTTGTTCAATTCGCGACTCCGCTGACTGGAACAACGACAGAGTGACCCCTAATCAGCATTGGTATGCATCATGCATCTAAAATCCCATGCCGTGCGAAGGAGGGTATACTAACGGGTTCCCAAAAACAATCATGCCGACGCAGTGTCAATCCACTCCTTCAAAATCTCCATGAACGCATCCATCGCCCTCTGCGATACGTATTTCGCACCCGTCTGGGCACTAATGGCTATCCGTCCATTCCACTGCCACGACATAAGCATCCGCACCGCTTCCGTCATCCTGTCGCTTTGCCAGATCTCCTCCACCACGAGTGAGGAACGCTCATTCGCCGGCACGCGTGGGGAGAACTTGCTCAAGTAACCGAACCTGTCGATGTCGCCGATGGAAGAGGCAACAAAGGCGGGAATTTGGAAACCGCGTGGATCCCAGGCGACTGCAGCTTTTTGATTACCCTTTTCGCGTTCGATGTAGCCTTCCAAGGTGAGCTGTAAAGACAATCGACCACAGCGAGTTCAGGTGAGTAACAGCTCCCAATGTTAGCAAGGCGAGATACGTACGGGAGTCGAACTGTAGCCCTCGGCGGCCGCTTTGACGACACCCCAAAGGGCGGACTGGCTGGTGTCGCGCCAAACCTTCTTGCTCTGCTCGTCGTACTTCACGGCCTTGCGGATTGCGTTCATGTCGAGCATTATTGGGAAGCCATCGATACCGAGGGCTGGAGAGCCCTCCTCTGCACCATGCAGAGCGTATTGCTTGAACTTGTACCTCTGTATACAGACGTATTGTCAGACAGGCGTTCAATCCCGTGTCAGTGATGAACCAAGTTCGAACACACCTGATCAACAATATTCCACAAGCTAGGGATGACGGTGGAGTTCTTGTACGCCTCGAGCTCCGCCTTGGCTTCTTCCTCGGTCTCGTCATTGTAGCGCTTAAGCACCCATTCGACCTCTGCGAGGAACATCAGCCCGGTGATAGCTTGGGTGACAGTGTAGTTGTGGGTTTTGCATGCGCGGCGGAACTTCGAAGTCTCATCTTCGGTCAACCAAATGACGGATGTGTACTGCCCGGTCGGATGGTTCGGGTCGATCTCGCGATGGGAGCGGAGGAATAGAATCTATGGGACCAGAAACCACTATCAGCAGAAAGACGAATATGATAAGTTGGATGCACGGACAGGTGGCGGGGGAGGTGCGGCTTGCTCAGGAGCTGCTGCCGGAGGCGCGGGAGCGGTAGGAGACTCCAGAGAAAGCGGTAGGCCTGCCGCTTTAAGAGCGACGACGACGGGGGCAGGAGCTAACCGTTTTGTCTCTTCTCCCCATTTGAGCGTGCTAACGTCGATACCATTGCCTCGAATCTGCTCGTCGAGATAGGTCAGAAAGTGACCGAACAGTTGCACCACGCTACGGGCATCCACAGAATAATGACCAGCAATGATCCTGCAGGACGGCAACGTATCAGTGGCTGCCCTATGACATGAAGAATGGGAAAGACAAACTCACAAGAAATGCCAGACGTTGTCCTGCACGTCCGGACCAACGTGCAGCTCATAGTCGTGGTGCGAGTCGGATGGTTTCCACCAGTGACCCTTCAGACAATCATCTCTCTCACGAACTGTATTTTTCTCCTTGCTCCATATGATCGTTTCATCTGCCCAGTTCTCTGCGTCCGCAATGGACGAGGGGACACGGTACTGATATAGGTATGACGCGGCGGAGGAAGAATCGACCACCGTTTTGGTTCCGATGATTGGCGCAAGGTGACGGAGACGGATCCAGGAAGTTTTGATCGCGGCGGCTAGAACAGCGTCCGACGGCTTGTCACGAAAGGAGACTTTGAGCGTGTTGGTGAAGAATCCAAAGCCGTCGTTCGCACCGCTGCAACCGGGAATGAGGTCAGTCACACACCCTTGACTGCACAAAAGAATCTGATACGTGCGCAATTGTACCAAGGAAAGCCTCCAGACCAAAGAATCTCCGTGTAAAGGTCTTGCCACCGTCTTTGGAGGAGAAACACAGCTCGGAAGTCATGATTGCAGTTGTGGGCGATGGGAGCGTAGAAGGCGGACAGCAGGAGAAGCAATGAGTGAGTACTGAGTGAGTTCCTGTCACACATAAATAATGATTGATGGTCTCAGCCCGCTCTTCTCGATCAATCGGGAGAGCAAAATTATATCTCCCGAGGGTTCTGAACATTGCAGGATCGTCACAGACAATTTCAGTAGCCGCGTTCGGATCGGGCAGACGTGACACGCAGAAAAACGGTCAGTCTACATGGATCTCATAGCTCCTAGGTTGAGGTGAACCCACTTTGCTCGATATTTGCACCTCCGCTATGCTGAAGTCTTTCACACTTCATTTTTATAGGAACATCCGTTCTTCCTTTCACCGTGATTCTATCGTGTTCATGTGGTATCACGATTTCGGAACGTTTGCGGATTGATCCTTCTCTACCTTTGAACTGTGGTCTCTCTTCTTCAGAGTGGGTTCTTCGGCGCAGTTTCGTTGCCAACGTCGCGCAAAACGCATCATATTCCATCTCGGATGTCTCTCGAGCCTCCCAGGCCTGCGCGTATAGATGGACCCGCTTTCATCCCATCGGCATCGCTTGACTATATATCGGCTCTGATTGATTGCACCGTCACATGTAACGAAGACACCGTCATGTCGCTGAGAAAATATTTTGCCTTGCCAGTCCGTCTGGGTTTCAGCGTGCGTGGGAGCCAATGCGGGCCCTACAGATCTCTAGGGAGATCTCCTCTGGCGGGATGAGACCAGATTCTGCCAGACCTTCGTTCCACGCAGAAAGCGGCGACCCTGATTTGATACCTCCATTGGGACTCGTACTTATATTTCAGCATACCAGACAGCTTTCAAGCTAGTTCTTCAAGGTCGGCCTTCATGTCTATCCTAGTAGGACGGGGACTACAGTGATCTTTCGAAACACGCTTTGTCTTGGGTGCCTGCAAGAAGATGTTCCTTCAAAACGGTGGAGGTTCACTCGAGCTATGCTGCCATAGAGCATCCAACAATAGTGAGGTAATGGCCGACCCTGCGAAGAAGCGTCTCGCATGACCGGTCTGTTGCCCGCACACCTAAAAATGTGAGGGCTGTTTTGAAAGCAGTAGCCATCTCTTCGCTTCTTGGCTCCGTACATTCACGACAGCACTGTGCGACTGGCTGCCATTCTCTCCCTCCACCATTCTGCGTCATTTTCGGCTTTCGATATGTCTGCTGCTGCCGCAATGAATGGGTACACATATGACGATGCCATGGCTCTCGGGGTCAACCTCAGTCTCGTCTTAGGGCCACTCGTCATAGCGTCAATGATTAATACCTTCGTTTACGGTATTTGTGTCATGCAATTCTACGAGTACTTTTTTGCCCGCTTCCATGACGGCTGGAAAACGACGTTGGTACCTTTTTCTTTCTATGAACTCGTCTTCGTCTTACTAACTCCGAATCTTCTCCTCATAGGTCCTTCGTCATATACCTCGCAATACTTGATACTTTCGCCGTATGCTTGAACGCGTCGTTGATATGGTACTACACGGTGCATGGATTCGGTGATGTCACCGTCATCGGCTCAACACCTTGGATGTACAACATTGTCCCCGTTCTCAGCGTCATGTAAGACTCCGTTCATTTAGGATTTTGCGATCTCATAACTAATGAGTCGGCTTGGCCTCGAACAGGGCTTCCTGCCCGATCCAGCACTTTTTAGCGTGGCGTATCAAACGGTTGACAAAGTCTTGGATCCTCTTTGGCGTCATATCCACGGTATCTCTGGTCTCTGCGATATGTGGAATCGTCGCGACAGCGTTGTAAGCATCGTTGCTTCTGTCTATCTCACACCCCGGATTGTCTGGCTAAGCATCAACTACTTCCACAGGGCTTTGCAAGTAGGAAAGGTGTCCAATAACACCAATCTGCTGCCCTTTGCAGATACTTGGCTGGCCGCCGCCACGGCTTGCGACATAGGTGTCACGTCCGTTTACCGCTCTGTTCTGTTGATGCAGCGGCTCAACTGATTTTATGGATGGTTCTTCTTGCTTAGTACTATGCTGCTCATCTTCTTGACCAAAAGTCGGACGGGCTTTAAGAAGACCAACAACTTGATCGAACATCTTATCAAGGTGTCCCTCGAATCTGCCGTGCCCGTTACAATATTCACGGTAGGCATACTACGGCCTCTTAATGTTGCTCGTCGAGTTTTCTCTGACGGCTGATCTGCATTAGGTCTGTGACTTGGGTACGGTAAAAAACATTAACGCAAATAATGCCTAGGAACTGACATGGTTGTGCTTGTAGCTATCCTCACAACGATGCCGACGAGCAACGTCCACATGCTTTTTGCTCTAGGCATGGGCAGAGTCTACACGTACGTAATCACCCGCATCACTACACAACCTGGTAGTACGAATATTGAGGTCGCTCTTCTCTACGCTTGCTATAGAAACACGGTGCTCACCACGTTGAACGCGCGCCTGAAGTACCGGATTGGTTCTACGCAGGAATCGACGTCCAACAACCATCAGACTATCAAGCTCAGTGTACGCCTCATTAAACTCGTCTCTTCCTCGCAACCTGACATATTTTGCTGATGATGACCTATTTACATGATAATAGCAATACACACACGGACAGACGCAGGTTCGCATTGATGTTCAACAGGACACAATGGGTGACGCCCCTGGCTTTCAGAAAAGGACAGACCCCGCGAGTGGTGCTGACTACGACATGCACGGTAGTTCGGATGGTCAGGATATCAAGACACATGTCGTCTGATGATGAGGCAGGCAGGGGCTCGGATTCTCGACAAAATGTCGCTTTTGTTCTTACGGTGTTCATTTGGATTCTGGTTGTTCAACTCTCCGGATTTTTCTGCCTAATTTAATCTCGTTCATTTTTGCCCTTTGTTATTGTTGTGGGTATTGCGGAGTACAGGGCAGTCTATGGTGGCAATTTGAGGGGTTAATCTATTGAGTATCGTAATGCGTAATGTCGAGTCAAGCCCTTGAGTGTTGGGAGGTGGCCCAATCCGCCGCATAAAAATCTGGTAGTTACAAGAACACCAGTGAAGCTGAGTATACAAAGAGTGCAGTCTATTGGCTTACCGCACCTCTTTTATGAGAGTCTTGAGCATGCGTGCGCGCTCATTGCAAGAATGCTACTGCTTCTCGGACTCTGAAATCTTAGAGGGCCCAAAATGGACACAAAACGGGCTTCTGTCCTCTCCCACTGACTGTTTCTGACACTCACGCCGCTTCCGAGGTGCCCAAATCTGTACGGATGCACTGGCCTTATGGACCATGCTTCATGTAAAAAGCAGACAGTCTGTGCATCTGCGGACGTAAGCCTATCGATAGAAGGAATTTGTTACTTATGTTCCTGCGAGAGCGACACAAGAAAAGAGCACTTTATTGCCGTGTCTGACGGTGTCCGCGGCCGGGAACCGCCGAGCGATCCAGAGGCACTAAACTGGAGCACGGGCTTGGAAGCTTCAAGCTGCTTGAAGCCTGGTCGGCACGCCATATTTGCGTCATTGACCGTACATAGATAGACTCGTCAAAAAAACCTCAAATGCACGGACGGTATGCAGGTATAACCTAAAAAGGTTGGATATAAGCACACGCCACGCTAATGGGTTTGTGTGGCGCGCGGGACCGGGGAGGCCATCACAACTGAATACTCACAACTCACGAGTGAGATGGTGGTACAGGACTTTTGTATTGTGAGCGATACGTGTAACAGCAAGAAAGGAACAAGAAAAGGGCATCGTGAGAGACTATTGTAGACGTGGACCGTGAGTCTGGAGCAGAGTGCTGGTCTTGCGAAGGTTTTGTGAGGGCTTGGATGTGGCACCCGATCAGGGGGAGATAGGGCTGGAAGGAGAACATAGTTCTACTCCTGGGCTGCGAAGGGATTGGCGATCTCTTCGAGGCCGTCGACAGGACTGAGGAGCGTTATCGTTGGGCCACGCAGGACTGTAAGTCCTAGAGACCGTGTGTGTGGTGTTGGCTCTGTTATCGCGAACAAGCAAACAAAGCAATACAGAGATCAACGATCCATGCGACTAGAAGCGTAAAGGAGGACACATAGAAACGGGGAGCAGGGTAAAGCAGACGTAGTGGAGACAGACCTTGTACCTCCTCCTGTACTTCATCCAACACGAGGTTCAGCAGCTGATCGTAGCCCTTCAACACACCGGTAACTGGTTATATCGTGCAGTCAGCATCACGAACAAGAGTCTCGTATACTTTGCGGTGGAGATGAGGACGCACCTTCCCTGCCGCCAGTGAACTTGACTCTGATACGTTCATTCACGTATTTGGAGAGGTCAAGAATGGCCTCGCGTTTGGGTTTGTCTCCTGAGGGGGGCCCTCCCTGTGGGCGGCCTCTGGAGGGGCCACCTGCGCCACGGCCTCTACCCCTGCCCTAGATACATTATGGAAATTATGAGTACCGAGAGTAAAGATACAGAAAAGCAAAATACACACACGGTCTGACATTTCGATTTAGAGGCGAATATAGGCAAGCCTGGGTAAGAAAATACGTGTGTGACGCGTCCGTTGGTGTCAATGGACGCCTTTGTCTGATTCGCTGCTGCGATGACTCGAAGCGCGATGTCTCAAGAAATTCGTGGCCCGCCTGGTCGCCGAGCCTGATATTGTTGGTAAATAAGAGCTGTTGTCATGGGAGAAAATAGATGAATAAATGGGGCACAAAGGACGGATAGAGACAAAAAAAGAGCGAGGACACGCACTAGTTGCTGAACTGGCGCTAGCGGGTGTCGGTTTGGGCGAGCTTGTGGCTTTGGGTTTTGAAAAGCCGACGCCGCGCTCGTCCGTTCGCATTCTTCTCTTCTTCCTCAACCACATCCGCCCTCTCCACCTTCCTCTTTCCAATCTAGGTCTGTCGCCCTACAAAACACACTAGTCTTTAACTCTAGGCACTACAACTGACACTACGACAAATCTAGCATCAACGTCTGTAGTAAACGATCGCCATGAACGCTGGGGAATTGCTCGCCAACACCCTATCACCAGGTGCGCCACCACGATAGTCGCGTTTCAAGGTCATTGCTGATGTTCGATATGATTTTATTTTCTGCTCTCAGACCAGGCTACGCGTGAGGATGCGACGAACAAGCTTGAGTCTGCGTCGCGGGAGAACTATGTGAGTGCCAACTTATGACGCGTTTTTCCTTTTCAATCCTCATCTCATCTCATCTTCAACGCCTCTCGTCGCAATGTCTTTCGCCAGCCCGCGTACATGCTCATGCTCTCCGCGGAGCTTGTCAACGAAAATTCCCAGGTCTTCACCAGGAACGCAGCAGGTCTCGCCCTCAAGAACGCCCTGACCGCTCGAGTACGTCTCCTTTCTCCCATCTTGCCTTTCCCTGCCCCTCGCTTTGTCTTTCTCCATCTCGAAGCCCATTCAAACCTGGTTGCTTTTGCTTTTGCATTGGGTTCTATTTGATATCTCCAGGAGAGCTCGCGGCAGACTGAGTTCTCTAGTCGCTGGTTAGCGGTTGACAACGACACGAGGAGCAAGATCAAGCAAGATGTCCTCATGGCTCTCCATTCTCCGAGCTCAAAAGTGGGCATCGTGGCCGCTCAAGGCGTCGCCGCCATCGCCAATGTCGAACTTCCCGTAGGCCAGTGGCCCGAGTTGATCGAGATCCTGCTCGGGTTCGTAAACAATGCCGCAAACACCCCTCTCCGGATCGCCACTCTTAATGCAATCGGTTATATCTGCGAATCAATAGTGCGTAGTTTCTTCCATCAGAGATCGATTGGCGTAGGACCTGACCGGTTGATTTTTTCCATCGATTTCTGCGCCGTCCCTAGGACCCTGACGTTTTGGCCGTTCGCGCAAATGAGATTTTGACCGCTGTCGTCCACGGCGCTAGGAAGGATGAGCCTTCGCCTGAAGTGCAGCTTGCTGCTATCCAGGCGCTGTATAACTCTCTGAGCTTCATCCGTGACAACTTCGAACGCGAGGTGCGTTTCCCTTGACGCTTCCTTGAAGGCAACGCTGATCAAAACTTACCTTTTTAGGGCGAGCGGAATTATATTATGCAGGTCGTCTGTGAGGCCACACAAAACCCATCCATCCCAGTCCAAGTGGCTGCTTTTGAGTGTCTCGTGCGCATCATGAACCTTTATTACGACAAGATGGCTTTCTATATGGAACGTGCTCTGTTCGGCGTAAGTGGAAGTTTGCACAGCTTGTTGTAGGCGCGGCCTAATTCTCACATTCGTTGAACAGCTCACCGTTATGGGTATGAAATCTTCCGAAGAGCAAGTTGCACTCCAGGCCATCGAGTTCTGGACCGCAGTTGCTGAAGACGAGACGAACATGGAGTCCGAATGGCAAGAAGCCCAAGATGTAGCGCGATCCTTTCCCTATCTCTTTGCAGCTTTCTATGCTGACCCTTCCGACCCATCCCAGGGACTGATCGACGCAGAGATCGAGGAACCAAAGTATTTCTCCCGTATCGCCCTGCCAGAAATAATCCCCGTCATTCTCATGCTGCTCACCCGCCAAGACGAGGACGCCGACGAGGACGAATGGAATGTCGCCATGGCCGCTGGCACCTGTCTCAACTGGCTCGCTCAGGCCGTGCACGACCCCATCGTCCCCGCTGTCATCTCGTTCATCGAAGCCAACATCAAGTCGCAGGACTGGCATCAGCGCGAGGCTGCCGTCATGGCCTTCGGTGCGATTCTTGTCGGCCCAGACCCCAGCGTTTTGACGCCACTCGTCAACCAGGCTCTGCCTATTCTCATTGACATGATGAGCGACTCGAATGTCCATGTGAAGGACACGACGGCGTGGACGCTTGGCAGGATCTGCGAGGTGTTGTTGCAGTGTATCAAGCCCGACGTGCATCTGCACCCGCTCGTTTCAGCTCTGGTGAACGGATTGTCAGACAGTCCTAGGATCATAGCCAACTGCTGTTGGGCGCTCCAGCAGCTTGTCGAAGGGCTTACGATCGCGTACGGCGATGAAGAAGGGGCCACCGGATTGCTCTCGCCATACTTCGAGGGCACCGTTACCGCACTTATGCGTGTTACTGAGACGTACGCATTTCCTTCCGGCCACGTCTTATATTTGATTTTGAGAGCTGACGGTTTATCGGTTTGTAGTGCTGGGAACGAGTCGAACTTCCGCACGGCTGCGTATGAGGCCATCACGTCGTTCGTCACAAACGCCACGGCGGATGTTAAAGGAGTCGTCGAGAATGTCATTATGACCACCTTGAACCGAATGGACCATCTTCTCGGTGTTCAGGTATGCGCTTTGTTGTTTGACTTGATCGTTTTCTCAAGCTCACTCTCGTCTAACAGAACCAAATTTTGGGTATGGACGATCGGAATAATTGGAACGACCTGCAGAGCAACCTTTGCAGCGTCACTGTCGTAAGTCGTCTACGCAGGATTTCATCGCGAATTGCCCCTGATGTTCCGCTCCTTGTTTACCCAGAGTGTGGTCCGCAAGCTCAACGAAGGCATCCTACCATTGGCCGACCAAATCATGACCCTAGTCCTGCGGCTCATTCAATCCGCAGGCAAGGCTTCCACCATCCTTGAAGACGCTTTCCTAGTCGTCGGTTCTCTGGCAGCAGGTCCGTGACCATTCCAAAATCTTACTGTTCCCACTTTCTTCTAACGTGAATAATACACCATTCCAGCCATCGAAAGCAAATTTGCGCCCTACATGCAAGCCTTCCTCCCCTTCCTCTACCCAGCCCTCAAAGCCTATGACGACACCCAACTCTGCACCGTCGCCGTCGGCATCATCGGCGATATCACCCGCGCCGTGGGCGACCAGTCGGCACAGTACGCGAGCGCGTTCGTCACTGTTTTGCTCGAGAACCTGTCGAGCGAAGTCCTCAACCGGAACGTGAAGATCTCGATCCTAGCGTGCTTTGGTGATATCGCGCTGGCGATCGGGCCAGAGTTTGAGCCATATTTAGACACGGCGATGACGGTGCTTAGGCAGGCATCTTTGCTTCAGCCTAACCCGGTACGTTACGCTGCACTATTCATAGTCGACTGCTTGGTTGACTGACCGTTTATTTGTTTGATAGTTGGACTATGATTCGATTGACTATGTCACTCAATTGCGGGAAGGTATCCTCGATGCACACACCGGGATCGTCACTGGGTTCAAGAACACCGAGAAAGGTTCGTCCTATCATAATCGTATCACTGCGCTTGACACTCAGCTGCTCTATTTTTAGTCCACCTGCTCATCCCATACGTTCCTGCCATTCTCGAGCTCGTCAATCTCATCCTTGCCGATGAGAACAGCGGCGAGCCACTAGAGAAGGCCGCCTTCGGCATCGTCGGCGACCTGGGCGACGCGTTCCCAAACGGGGAGATCAAGCAGTATTTGTTGCAGGATTGGTTGCATGCTCTGCTTTACAGCAAGCAGAGATATACGTCAGACACGAAGAAGACGATAAGGTGGGCGAGAGAGATGGTCAAGCGGGCGACGGCATAGATGCTTCGATGCCTATGGCGACGAGCGCATGGTCGTTAAACACCCCGGTTAGTTTTGAAGGTTTCGAGATTTGGTGGGTGTTGGGTGGTTCTATGTTGTGTTTGTCTGTTTGGCGTCCTTGTTCTCGTTTGTTCTACGCTTTCAACGCTTGTTGCACGCTTCTTCTTTCGGTCCACCCTTTGATACAGTTTCTGTCTGCCTTCTTTTTCTTTCGCCCCATCCTGTTCTGTCATCATCATTCATCTTGTGCATGCATCTCATCTTTATATCACTTTTCTTCTTTTTGCACCCATTTCTGTTTTCGCGGGAGAGTTCTTACGTTTCGTTTTCTCTTTCTGTTATGCAGTAGGGGCCATGGCGATGCGCGAGAGCGCGCTCGCCGTGACAAGCTCCAATAAAGGTAGGTCCGTAGCAGTGCGTCCGGTTGTGGTATATGTCTATGTGTCTCCTTTACCCCTCGTACGAAGTGCGTACTATATGTGTTTTAGAGGATTATGAACGAACCCTCCTTCCCTCTTCCCTTTACTTACTCCTCCGCCCTCGAGATTATGACCGTGAATTCCAATTGGTTGTGTTCTTCTCTTTGTCGTCCTGGCCCTCCTTCCCCGCTTTGATCACCATCCCAATTGTATCCATTTTTTTCTCTGGTTCAAATGCTGCTTCGTGTGGGAACAGGCTGTCACTTTCTTTCTTGACCTGAGTCCTACCGTGACGTCCACTAGTCGTTCACCATTCGAATTCAAGGGAGGACTATGCCGACGCTTCCTTGTCTGTGGCCTTGTAAACCCTTTGTATACCTTCGCACCTCTTCAGGGTTCCCCGTTGAGCTCCTTCGGACGTCATTCGCACTGGGTGTTGATCTGGCCACGGGCTTCGAAAATTCCATCGCTTCGCCCGCTGTCCCGACATTGTGCTAAAATCGTCTCATACTCATTTGTATTCTTTGCCACACGTCGATGTTCTGTATTTTCTTGTGTTCATGTATTTATCTCTAATATTCGTGAATTTATATCCCTACAAATTTGAACAGCTGGATGCGTGAGGATATTACGCGACGGAGGCGGTTGTTTGTCGTTGTTTGATTCGGAAGGCTTTGGTCAATAAGGCCAAACCACGCGTCTTCGGCTCCGGATCTGCCAAGCTCTGCAAGTCTACCTTCCGCGTCACTACCGCCTTTGCTTCGTTTGTGGAACTTTGTAAGTGCCATTATCTTCGTCATTTAAGACCCATTTTGACCGTTGTATGATCTAGCGTTGACTCTCGATCTTCGTGCGAAGGATACAGCTGCTTGGATGTAGCGGGAGTTTATATGCGCATACCGCCTCGAAACTTTCTCTTGCCCCTTCGTCATCACGGCCTATCGCTCGCACGTCTCCCATCACAACCTCGTACTCGAAGTTTACTCTCTGCGCTCTTTTCTTCGGCCCCTCCTGACCACCATGATGGTGCTGAACACAAGACTAAACGCTTGAAAATTGTCACGGACGAACCGAACCATGCTCGCCTTTTCCTGATTGATGAATCTACCAGACCACCACAGAACGTAGATGATGTCGCAGATCCAGAGTACTCCGAAGGCGTAGCAGACGAAGACACCACAGGCGATCCTCAGGACGTCCAATTGGGAAGGATGCACAGGACCCTACGCAACTTCCATTCACGACTGCGACTGAACCGACCCGAGCAGGCCACGGAGTACTTGCAACAGCGTTTAGCAGCGAATGCCTTTCCGGTTCACTTTGTCCGTTTTAGAGTGTACGAAAAGGCCATTCATACGCTGCTTGACCGTGCGTCTTTGGGCCCTGCCATCTCCCTTTTCAATTCCATGCTCGGGGACACAGCAACCCCGTCCAGCCTTCTTCGCGCAAAGATGACATCGCTCATCTACCTCAGAGATGCGACTGCCCCTGCCCGCGCACCAGAGGGACTCGTCGACGCGCTTTCCCACATATTGGCACTATCATCCTTCACTCAACAACGCCTCGTTGATCTTCTCGAGTACCTCAACAAGGTTCTGGATGTCCAGGTTGGGGTGTTGAACGGCGTCGTCCATTGTTGGCGGGAGTCTCGTCCAACAACACGTCTGACCACCGCCACGATCAACAAACTCATCAGCCTCGCTGTACGCCTCGACTCGTTGGATGTGGCGGAGCAGTGGTTGGACGTCCACGAGTCAGACCTTACGTCGGAAACCCAACCACAGGATCATACGAAGACCGTGTACCATGCCGTGGCACCATATACGACCATGATCAGCGAGCTGGACGAAATCGGCGCCCTTACACCGGAGATTCTCGACTCTACGCTGCAGCGCATGGACGAACGGCAGGTGGAACCGGATCTCCCCTTGTTCAATACGCTCATCAGCACCTACGTTCGCGCTCAAGACATGCACAAGGTGTGGGCCATCTACGATTTTCTCATCCTCAAGCGCTCTGCCGAGGTTATGCCGGACTCGTTCACCTATGGGACGTTGTTCAACTCCCTCTACACCCATACACCCAGCAACAGACGACGTGCTCGTCTTCGCGGCGTTCGCCAATCCGAGAACGCTCGTGATCCTAGGCAGCTATTCCGCGAAATGATGCAGAGCCACACTCTTGCAACTTTCGGTCGTCCGTCCACTCGTTCCCCTGTTCTGAACACCGCCGCTCTCAACGTAGCGCTCCGTACGCTCGTACATACCTGCGATTATCTTGCCGCGGCAGTCTGCCTTCAGACGTTCGAGGACTGCAAAATCCCAGTTGATACGAAGACCTTCCGCATCATCCTCGTTGGCCTCCTGGGTCGCGTTCGATCTCACCTCCGCGTAGTCGACGAATCGGACCGGTGGGTGGATAGATTCCTCCCCGGACTCGATTACCTCGATCCAAATGACATTCGTATCGAAATGGTGGGCACCCTGCTCGAAATCGCCGTCCACCAGATGTCTCAAAACAGCCGTGGCGCTTCTTCCACTTCCCAAACACATTGTTTACCTTCGGTCGCGGCGATTCTTACAGGCGGTGAACCATCGAAACAACCCTACGATATACGCCCTCTTGGCTTCTTATTGCGCAGAGCTGCGTACGCGAATATGGACCATGGGAAGGGTGTGTCAAGGGGCATCGTCGACAATGCTTTGAAGGAGTTGAAGGCTGATCTCGTACCGAAGCTGTCGGTCCAGGAGCAGCTATTGCTGTCGAGATTTCGGTCACAGCTGATGGCACAGAAGAAAGCAGCTCGTGCCAAGTCCAGTGGCAAAGGCCTGGCCAATAATGGTGACCTCTCTGAGGCGGAAGCTACAAACAAGGAACCTGGGTCGAGCCGTGGTGAGGTTGAGTTACAAGAGAATATGGTCGATGATGAGGATGGCAGACTTGTACCGGGAGGTAGTGGATGTTGACTGGGAGGATGTTTGATCATGAAGGCCCTGAACGTAGATCTCGTTGACGGCGTATGTAGCGAAAATTATCTCCTCTCAATCTTCGAGTAACGTTTGTGTGAGATCAGCCTCTATACTTACTCTGTTAGGCGTGAGGAAGGTCGTGAGAATATAGAAGCTTCGACATCGTCCAATTCTTGTGGCGGTATTGCTTTCGAGCATCATCTCCTTACTACAACGTACACCCTCGAGCAAGAGCCTGACCATGACATCCAACTCTGTTCAGAGGTCACATTTATAAATGGTAAACTGCTGATCCTTATGACCATGTCTGGCAGGCCTGCCGACGAATGGTGGCGGGAAGCTTCGCGCCAACGATTACAGCAACTTCTCTCCGTTTCCAATCACGATGACTTTGGGACAATGTCGAGCGCACGTCAATCCTTAGACGAGGACATGTCCGCGATTCGGGCTGTCTTCAGAGCGGTCAGATCTCACAGGAACAGTCTGGCGAGCATCCACAAATTGCCGATCGAGTTGATCGTACGCTGCTTTGGGTGGTTAGTCGACATGGAGCCTCCTACTAGACATAAAGTCATCAACGAGCCTCCCAGCACGTTGGGATGGATCAAGGTAATGTCATACTATTGCTCTATTATTCTTCCACGCTCCTAGATCTCTGAGATAATGGTTTCCTCGTCAAACTTTTGTGACGTTACCCATTGTTAACACTTGCAAAATGTGGCTAGGTCTCTCACGTTTGCGCTCTCTGGAGAGATGCCGCTCTTCATGATTGCACGCTATGGCGGAAACCAGCCTTCGACTTGGGGTTTGACTGTGCCAAAGTCATGCTGTCCCGCGCACAATCAGTTCCTCTCATCCTGTCTTGCACCCTGTCCGAAATAGCAACTCGCACAACACGTAGCGCGCTGCAGGTTTTTTTAGAGAGGCATCTCGATCATACCGAACAACTCAAGGTACACGGTACCAAGAGCACAATGTTCAGCACATTGCACTCGACGCTTTCTAGTTCTGCACCGCTATTAACTGGCCTCTGTCTTGAAATTTTCGACAACTACGATCAAGGATCATCTGTCGTTAACATTCCGCCGACCCTCCTAGATGGGAACGCACCGAATCTGAAGACTCTCAGTCTCACCGCCCTGCCGCTGCCACCATCTCTTCCCATGTACAGCAGGCTCTCATCCCTCGATATGGACCATATCCTTCCCCTCCCATCGATTGGTGCCCCTGCAGAGTTTTTGAGCTTGGTGCCCTCTCTGGAATCATTATCCCTCTACAACAGTGTTGGCATCCCAGCATCGCCTGATCACGTCACGACCATTCATCTTTCAAAGCTTGACACACTATTTTTGAGCGACACTCCTCTAAGCTCCATAGAATTCCTTATGAGACTACGCGCTCCAATGTTAAGATATCTGTGTTTCAGCCCTGTTCCCATAGATGAAGAGATTGTTTCAACCTTGACCACATCTCTATGGGTTGAGTACCTATCGATCCGCCGTGGATTGCGTTCCTTGTTAGTTGAGACTCATTTCGATTCTCTACAAGGTACATTAAAAATCACAGTAGTCAGCTCTCATAATGTATGGGGGCTTACAAGGCCAAAGCCCGTCAAGCCTGATGGCCCCTCCGAGCCACTGCCGTCTCTAATATTCTTGCTCGGGGACGATCTTGGTTCCGCAGAGCCTCGTCTCAGGATGTGCAATGTCCTGAGCCCGTCATCCCTTCCTGTCGTCGAGCATCTTTTTCTGGATTTCGGAGGGCACGAAACCCTCTGGAACGCTGTTGATCTAACCAGTTTCCTCCTTGAAATGCCTCAAGTACAAACACTTTCACTCTACAGCCCAACTGTGCCGCCCGAGGAGGGAGGTTTCTGGGCCATATTCTGTCCCGACTCGGAGTCCCCTTTTACCCTCTACGCAGAGCCTTTCGAACGCCGCATTCAAGGATGTCTCTGTCTCCCGAATCTTTCGACCCTCGCGCTCCTTGGGTCGATCTGGTACACCGAAGGCAACGAGGAGTCTCGCACTGATTTTCTCTCTGCATTACGGATGCGGAAGTCTATGCACCCCGAATGCAAATTACAACGAGTTATTCTCGGGGGTGGTATTGATCTCGAAGCGGAGTTTGTGGCGAACTTGCGCGAGTTGGTGCCGGATGTCGAAGTCGTTGAAACTTAGGAAAATTTGTCTCGTACGCGGGTTCAGTGTATATACAAGTTGTCATGCATGGAATGTGTTGTAGCCCCAATTTTAGGTATTTGTTTTGCTCCCATCGAAGACTAAGGCCTTAAGATAGAAGGGGGAAGTGAGCACTTGTGAGGAGGGAGCGGCGATTCCTGAGTTCCACAAAAGGAAGGTTCCTCTCACGAGTTGCCCCCTTACCACTTTCGAGCGTCCTTGTCGTTTGTCCTCTCCCTCCACCAGCACACTTATTCGAGTCCATGTCGCGTTCGATGCCAACAACCTCGGGGGCCCAAGTGAGACGCCACATTATATTAGCACTACTCCTCTGTTTTACGAGGTTGGAATCGCTCACTGGCCTGCTCCGTTGGTCGTCTGAATCCGGAAGTCCCAAAGGCCCTCGCCAGCACGTCAGGTCCAATATCAACAAGCCAGCAACCATATGATTATCATCGAGCCACAGTGCCGTGAGGCAGGCTTCTTTCGTTGACCTCATCACAGTTATTTCACATGCTTTGCATCGAGATCTACTTACAATAAGCTGAGCCAAGCTGTTTGTACCGTGTACTCTCCTTAACTCCTTTCTGCTAAATTGGCCATTCTCCTCCATGGCCAGCCTCGGACCACTGCTTTCCGGCCGTTTGTCCGGATCCATGTCAGCCTCCTCGACAACCTGCGCGACCCATATTCCGGCCCTTCGTACGCTGCCTTGATGCGCTCCTGATCCGATTTTGACTGGTCGACCACCGACTGAGATTTATTCACAGGCTGCAAACAGAGTCCGTTGGCTGATGAAGTTCCCGTCAGTGTAGAGAGACCTTGTTCTATCAAACCTGCTCTCTGACCCCATTTCTCAACTGGATCTGGCTCCATCTATCTGCTGATGGAACCAGACGAACTTCCTTCCACGAAAACGCTCAGGCTTCGATGCGACATCTCAGATTCCATCATCATGCATCATGGCTGAGCGTGGGTGAAGAACAACTCAAAGGCGACTGTCTTGCTCGTCAACGTCCCGTACATCCCGATTCCTCGTCATTGCGGTCACCTCACTCTTGCGAAATCACTTCTCACGGCGAACAGGTCCTCCGGCTACCTCGCGCGTCCGTCAATGGCGTTCCCAACGACGTCGAAGTGTAGGCTACGCGATAACTCCCTTCTCTGTTCGCGTTCGACGTCGGTCTTGGCCTTTCAAGTCTTATCACTTGCTGAACGACGTCGTCCGCAGTTATCCTCAAGGAAAATGTTCTTTCTCTCGGCGGTTGTTTTCGTTCTCCTCCGACATCCGTCTATCATGTACATATACCCTGGATATATCTTCTAATATCATTGCTCTCATGGTCCTGCATGCCGAGCATGCATGGTGCAAATACTCACCCCAACCCCAGGCTGCTGCCACCAGTGTCTCCGCCGCCGTTCCAACCGTCGGTGAGAAAAAGCTCGCAAAAATCCTCGCAAACCTCGGCATTTGCGCGAGCACTGAAGCATCTCCAAGTGGTTAGCACGAATTCTCTGAATCCGCAGCGTGGACCTTTCGAATTCGTCCCGCCCAATTGTGGGCGCATGCAGGCGCAGGCTTTAAGGTCGGATCTTGAAGTGCCAGTGTCGACCTTACCTACCTTATCCATCCGACATCGCCCGATTCAGAGTCCCCGACGGTTCTGGCGCTCTGGGTTGGTGAAGCAGAAAGTAGGTCCGTTGGCCAGCATCGACACGTTGCGACCGATTCTTCAACGAAAGGTCTCTGTGGGAGACTAGAAATGGTGCCACGACGGCCACAGTCGCGCCCAAAACAGGACGGAAACGCCGCGCCGAGAAGCTATTGGCCCCCGAACAATTCTCAGCCGGCGTTGGAGGGACCGGTCATCGATAGTAAAGACGGTCTGTCCGCGGGAGACAACCAGTATCCCTCTGTGCCCGCCAGACCCGACGACGGTGGGAAGGCAATGGCAAGGGGATGACCCTCGTTGTACAACGCGTTAACAGCGTGTTCCAGGCTTTGGCGAGACAGAGGGCTCCGACGGTGCTCGTTATTGTACTCGTTCGCACTAGTATAGGATAGGAAACGAGCTCTCATGCAAGCCCGTTGGTGCAAGACCCCGTCGATCTAAGAGCCCGTCGATGCTGAGCGAATGCTGGGTACGACGAAAGTGATTTTTTGCATTATTGTAATGGACATCATTATAACTTGAATAAGACCTAATAAGTCCGTAGATTGGGGAGGGAAATGTTGAGCGACAGAGCGAGTATGGTGTATATAAGAGGTATGTAAATGCGGGGCCCCGAGAGGTTGCATAGGGAGAGACAGAGGACGTCGTTGTGATCGATGGACTTGGAATGCGGAGTAATATGAGAAAACAATACATGATGCCTATTCCTACATACATCCGCCTACAACGTTCAAAGTCGAGTACGCCGTGCTCTCCTTTGGCAACTGAAGTAGCCGCCCGACTTGCCTCTTCCTCGAATCATGCTTCCCGCTTCTATAGGTAAAAACCCAAACTAGCTTTGATGCGCTCTTCTTTGGAGGCATGGTGGCGTTCATATGTCATTATGATGTCTTAAAGTTAAACACATATCGGGTTGGCGAGAGGGGCGCTGGAAGGGGAAAAACGGAAACGAGGAAGAGCGGAGACGACCTTCCTTTTCCGGCACACTCTGTATTCTCATCGTGCAGACTCTCACGTCGCCAATGCGTCTCCAACGTTGCTCAACTCCGCGTCTTAGCTTCGCCGTATATCTCTGGGATCATCATTGTCGTGTAACGATTCATAGTCTCAAGTCTCTAGAACCCCAGTCGATGATGTAGGGACTTGGAGATCAGGTCGTCGTCTTGATTTCCAGAGGGTGGGAAGGGGGGAAGGGAGGAGGGAGGGTGGTCCAGGTTCGTCAACTCTATGACATTTCTGGCGAATTCAGATCGATAGTCCTCTTGTGAGCCATACTTCTGGCTTTCCTCCGCGTCCCGCGCGCGACTGCGTCTGGAAGGTCAGCTACATGATCCAGGCGGTAGCCTGCCCCCAGAATAGAATTTCCACCCTCGAGACTCCCAGGAAGCTTATTGTCAGCACTGCTATGGGGGTTCTTTCGCTTGGCGGGGGGATCGTCCGCAAGGCTGATGTACCGGTCATCAGGAACATGCGCAGGAGGATCTTAGATCCCCTGTTCGCTGCTGTAAGTCCACTGTTTGCCTGAGAACTGTGGCACCACCCACTGTTCTGCTGAGCAATTCTTACACTGTTCTCTTGAGATGCGCCTGTCTATTGGAGAGCCGGTTGCACGTTCGACCCCCGAAATACAATATAAAATGCTTTCCCCCACTCTACCCTCTGTGCCCAGCACTATAGCCGGACGCAGCTTATGCGTCAACCCAGGACTCAGTCCAGAAAGTGCGTTCATGTCGTGTGCCACAGTGACCACCAGCGCTAATGGCTTCATGCAGCAGCCATAAATCATGCACACCCCTCTTCTTCTGCTTGGTTGTGCGCCACAGTCCAGTGGCCGCATCCTCGCACACTCCCACTGGGTCCTGGCACAGAGGGTTTCCCCCACCCACTACACCATCCACACCCTTCTACCCAACACGGGCACGCTCTCCCCCCGCACCGTCTCCGTTGACGAGGTCACACAGTCCGTGCATCCCAGCTCGGGCTGCGTTGTGGCGTACATCCCCGCCTCCGACGCCTTGGCGCTAGAGCATGCTCTTCAATCACTCACCTACCCCACACCCCCTTCAACACCCCCTCTCCCTTCCAGCCTGCACGACGACGACGACGACGAAGACTGTCCATGCCACGCCCGTTGGCCAGACACTCTTCGTTCTTTACGTGACATGACCCATAACGACGACATTCACTTTATAATCCGAGACGAAGAGGAGATGCGTAATGAGATGGAGAAACGACATGAGGAATGGTCCTCAAGCACACGTTCTTTATCGTTTATTGATTGGTTGGCTTCGGCCTGATAGACACCATGGGCACTGATTCGGATGCGCATTTATGATCATTTATAGTTGTATACCTTATTCATTCATCATGTTTTCGCACCCCACTCACTTTCCATCGTCTCTATCCTCTCATCATCACGATACCATTCTGCATAGCAATTCTGTATTACTTCATCATTGGTTATCGTTGCATTTTCCTCTCTTTCTTGCGATACGTCGCCTTACGGCCTTATACTCGTTAGGCCTTCGTTTTCCTCACTCGAGTCTTCCTCTACCCCATCCATAACACATCCCATATCCACCTTCCCATATCCCTGCATCACTGGCATTATTGTGTACTTCTATCGCACTACCTTCTCATACGACAGCTGGACCTTCGTATTCGAGCCTTTCTTCTCACTTTTCAGTGTACTTTTTCTTCGCGATCACTCCACACACTTATACCATTCGATGCATTGATTACTGTACATAGTGTATAAACCGACGAGCTAAGTGTACGATACATACCATGATAGTTCTTGCATATTTTCTTGTATGCTTCGTATAACTTTGACCTACATAACACCCCCTATGACCCTTACTACGCACCTTTGTTTTTGACCATGTAGACGAACGCGGTGACAAGGAGTATGGGGCGAGCGCGAGCAAGTCGAGGATGAGTTGCGCCAAAGTATTTGTGACGTCTGGTCGTTTCTTTGAGTTGCGCCCGCGCGGGGGATATGGTGCTCTCAACGCCTGTTGTACATCGGATAGCCCGAGCTAGGGCCAGATACCGAAAATGTCGTGCACGACAGGATTGACGAGCCGCAAGGAAAGCTAAAAGATACAACATATTTGAGATGACGATGCGGAGAAACAAAGCCCGTGGACGAAGAGAAAGTAGCGGGAGTATGGACAGGGTTGGACAGGTAGTATATTGGACCGCGGGGGGTACGACAGGCCTAGGGGGTGAACGGGGGGACATAGCTGGTCATGGTTGTTGACGTCGTAGACAACGTTTCTCGAGGCCGAATCGACATGCCAAGTAACGAGTAATAGGACAACATAAGACAACGGCATGAAAACGCACCTTTTTGCTACTACATCTGCGTACCTACTGCGTTCAAATGTCGCGTCGAGGTCACTGTGATCGCTTGCGACCGGCTGTCCGAGTTGCCCCACCGCTTCTCTCTCCGGTGCCACAGACAGTTTCGAAGCTTCGTTCATTTAGTTACAGTTCCTTTGAAGGCATGATGAGATGGGTACATTGTCGTCGTCGACATCGTGGCTACAGTCACGTCGAGGTAGGGCGAGGTAGTCATCAAGCTCGGGGGGCCGCTGAACCTCCAAAGTGATCGAGAGTGAATAGGTTACAATTAGATACGGTTGAACCTCGAGATAGCCTATATGAGATCGAGCTTTGAGTGACGTCGATGTTGGTTCGGTTGAGCATGTCGAACGACGCCGAGCTCGGAAATGACGACCGTTCAGGAAAGGAAATTCACGCTCACGCTTTGGGTTTTCAGCGCTTACAGCGAAGGCTTCGCTCGCGTGCTGCCGCAAGCTTATCGATACTATCCGAGTGTTTGCCTTCTCGTTCTTCTCAACACACACTTGACTCTGCGCCTCTAGCTTTCGTTTACATCTCTGGACTGCCTTGCTCGACCTCACCTCAACCGATCCTCGCAGTCGCTGTCGGCTTCGAACACACATCAAATAACGCTGGATAATACGATACACGACTCCATATCCTTCAAACGTCACCCATTCCGATTGCCGACTCCCCAACCATTTGCGGACTTCCAGCTATCCTCTGGACCATAGCGATTCAATGAAGTAGACAAATATGGCGCTGCTCCCAAGCATCCTCTCATCTGAACTTTGTGGAAGGATCGAACGAAGGGATGGTGTAATGGCAGGGGATGGAGGGGGAGAGGAGGGGGAACGGGAGGAGGAGGAGGGGACGATGGTAGACAGCGGATAGGGAGGTGAAACCGGGGAACTGTGGACGAGTGTAGGTACGTGCTTGTCATTGTTTGTTGGAGGTGGACGAGTGTAGGTATGTGCTTGTCATTGTTTGTTTTAGAGAGCACGGGACGCGTTGAGTGCAATTAGAAGCCCTGTCGCGTCGCGTCGCGTCTGCCCCTCATTAATTAACTGACACCACAAGCGCCGCCACCCCGAACTCACTCTGAACAGAGGGATACGCTTTTTTTGTGCGTTTTATCCGTGGTTTTGGCTAGTGGCCTACCTCATCGTAGCATCGTAGTCCTTCATTGACTTATAACAACTTCTCCGAGCCTTGCGGAGCCCAGAGTGCAAGACACTAACCCGAACTCGAAACAGTGGGTCCCGTCTGTCGTGAGCACTGAAGCCATGGCTTACCCTAATGGCTTCCTGTACCACAGACACTCTCCAGAACACCCCCGTTCCCCCTCAATCGTGCTCAGCTCACAGCACAAGCGTACACCCATACCTCGCTCGACGCAGTGGGATCCGCTTGTTTTGTGAGCTGAACTAAAGAGTGGGACCTACTCGTTTCCAGTCATGGTACAACGCTAATGGCTTGCACCCTTGCAGCCATTTCAGATGGCAAGCCCACTCTTTCTGCTGGGTTGCGGGCCACAGTCCACTGGTCGCCGCATCTACCCTCATACCCTCTGGGTCCTAGCACTACGGGTCTCTTCCACTCAATACCGTATTTATGACCTCCCTTCTAGCACGGGAACCCTATCGGGGCGCACTGTTTCCATTGACGAACTTTCACACTCGCTACGTCCTACTTCAGGCTATGTCGTGGGCCACATCCCAGCCTCCGAAGCCTCGACGATAGAGCAAGACCTAAGGTCCCTTGCAGTCTTTACCAACACCACAATTACCCCTACTCTTACTTCTACTATCTCCCAAGACGAACAGTCTTTCTTCCTCTCCCGTAACGTCCGGTGGCCAGAAATCCTTCAATCTCCACGCCACATGTCCAATAACTCCCACGGCATCCCTGACACACAGCGGGAGATGCGTGAGGCAGTGTTGGGAAGGTGTACGGAGCATTGGAATTCACGGACAAGCTCATCCTCTTTCATTGACTGGCTGGCTACGATCACGATAGACACCACGGACTCTGACTCGGATGTCGTGTAGACGCGACGTTTATACTTACACTATGGTCTCGAGCTTTCCTAGGTTCATCACGTCCTTACCCAACATCATTTGCATCTTATATCTCTACACCATCGATTATTCGTTTGTTCTTACTCACAATATCTCTTCGTTCATCATACATAGCTGGCTCCTCGTCCTTACTAGCGCCCTTTCTTCCTCCGCCGTTGGCCGTTGTATCCTCTCATCACGATCCCATTCCGTATGGCAACACCGTGACTTGTCCCTACATCACTGGTTGTTGTTCTACTCTTACTATACATCTTCTTACGACTTCAATCCTTGGATGGTCCTTCGTCTTACTTACTTAAATCTCCCTAGCTTTCATCCGTACCATATCCATCTTCTATCCCCCCTTCGTCGCTGGACATTGTTGTATACTTCTATCACGATACAACTTCATACGACTTCAATAATACCTAGCCGGGTCTTCGTATTCAACCCTCCGTTCTTACCCCCAATGTATTTTCTTCGCGACCATTCCACGTACTGACCGTACGATGGAATGACTACTATACTGTTACAGTACGACCCATGTACGATAACATACCATGATACTCCTCGCATATTTTCTTGCATATTCCTCATAGTAACGTCGACCTCAATGACATCTCTCTTATTGCGCTTTTCATATATAATGAGAATCCGCGCGCGACGAAAAAGAAAAGTTGGCGACCAGAGGTCGCCTCTGGGGCTCGCTCGGAGCTCGTCGGACCGACCGGCAATGAACCGGAGAAGGTCGCGGGTTCAAGCCACAGGCAGACCAAGCCAGTGCAAAGTCACGACAGTGGACTGTGCTCCATTTTAATGTCCTAGTAAATGTTTTATTACCTCTAGATAACTTTTCCAAATTACCAGGGCTTTCTGGCCAGTAAAGGAGACCTAGGGAAAATGACCGGCACTGAGGCCGCATGAGTGCAACACGCTGGTTTGAACCCACGACCTCCTCGGGTTCTTTGCCGGTCGGTCCGATACGCTCCGAGCGAGCTCGTAGGCGACCTCTCGTCGCACACTTTTCTTTTTCGTCGCGCGCGGATTCTCATTATATATGAAAAGCGCAATAATTCTTCTCGAGCATTCTCTGTTTGGTCATGCAAACGAATACAGCGATCAGGAGTGTTGGGCGAGCGCGAGAGCAAGTCGGGGATGAGTTTAGATTCTCCTGCCACACGCCACACGAAAATCCTCCCATGGCGGTCAGGAAAGTTGTGGCACAAGGCCGAGGCCGAACCCGAGGATTATCGCGAGCGCCTGAATAGAGGATTCAAGACTCGAATCTCGTATAGAATGTGCACATGATGTCTCGCACTGCGAACTATTATTCCTCACAAGCGCGAGAGACATCGGCCTTCCCTAATTAGGAAAGCCCGAAGTGGCAATCTGTTGTCTCGCGTGTGGCCGCCTTTCGCTGCCATCCCTTCAAGTTCAAGTTGCGCTGCCCACACAGAAAGGGGGGAGAGGGGGGCTTATGTGACAGTCCGAGCCCATATTCAAGCACCTCATCTGGTCCTTTCAGTCACATGAAGAGAAAACTGGCCGCGGAGAGAGGCGGAGGGGTCCTGGTTCCCTTGCCAACGTGTTTAGCAGCAAGAAAAGTGAATATATTCATTATTTGGAGAAGATTGTACGAAGATTGTGCGGAGATACAGAGTAAGTTGACGAAGAGGAAGTAGCAATGGTTCAGATAGGGTTGGATGAGTAGTATACTGTAATGGACCACGGGAGGGTGGTGAGTGGGGTACGCAGGGGATGGATATGGGGACATAGCATGTCGTCGTTGTTAGTGACCGGCTACCACCTCGTGTTCCCTCCTCCACATCGTGTTTCCATCTCCGGTGCCGCAGATAAGATATGTGTTCATTCCATTTCGGTCTGCTTTGAAGGCATGATGAGTTGAATACACCGTCGGTTAAGGTGCTAGAGAAGCGTCAAGGTAAGTGGCCATCAAACTTGGGCCGTTGAACGACTTCAAGTACATGAAGCTCAAAAGTAATGCCGAGAGTAACTAAGAGGAGACACGACTGAGTTTTGAGATAGACTATGAGATTGAGCTTTGAATGTGGCGGCGATATTCGTTTGTCGACGCCGAACTCGGAAATAAGCCTGGTATGGGAAGGACGATCCATGGGCGCTAATTTCCGTTTGGGGTACCGCCGCCCTATCATCGAATCGACGTCGATCGATACTATCTTTGCGGTCTTGTGAATATCGGCAACTACCACTCGTTCTTCTCTCTTGACCGTCACTCAACTCTACGCCTCGAGCTGTCGACTATATCTGGATGGTTTCATCCGACCCTCACTTCAACGGATTCCTCAGGACATCATAGTCGTTGTCACTCTCGAGCATACCTCGGTACCGATGGACAATATATCACACGACTTCATATTCTTCGAGACGCCATCCATCCTCCGAGCGCCGATCTCCCAATCGTCCTCGGGCTGCCAGGCAGCCTCTCCACCATAGTGATTCCAGGACTTGGACAATAGGGCGCTGCTCTCAGACGTCGTCACATTCTAACTACGTGAAAGGAGAGGTGCGAAGGGAGGGCGTAGTGGGAAGGGATGAAAGGAGAGAATAGTGGGGGAGGGGGGGAGGGGGAGGGGACGATGGCGGACGAGGGGGAGGGAGGGGGATTGGGTGACTGGGGAGGAGTCTGGGTATGCCTTTGGCATTATTTATTAGAGAGCTATTCGCACGGTAAGTGCAATATAAAAAATCCCCCTGTCGTCTCTATCCCCCTCCCCCCATACTCAGTTAACAGCCCAAACGTCAACCTGAACCTCATACATTTGTTCTGTGTACTGCAGCTTTAATTCACGCTAGTGAAATACCTCATCGTACTCATTCACCAAATCATCGACCAAATCACTTCTACCCCTCTCTGAGCCCCGCGCAGCTCACAGCGCAGGAGTCTAACTCTGACTCGAAACAGTGGGTTCCGCCTATTATGAGCACTGTATTCATGGCTCATTCTAACTACTTGGTACATCACAGACGTACTCATTCAACAAATTACCCACCAAGTTATTCTGCCTCCCTGAGCCACTCGCAGCTCACAGTGCCGGCGCCTAACTTAGCCTCGAAACAGTGGGTGCCCGCTGTCATGAGCTGTAGTCCTGGCTCATTCTAACGACTTGAATTCATTATAGACGGTCCATATCCCCCCGTATTCTCCGAATCGTGCTCAGCTCACACCGTCTACCCAGGCCCCACCCTACTCGTGGGAGTCGCTTGTTTTATGAGCGGCTCTAAAGAGTGGGACCTGTCTCTGTTTATTTCTAGGTAATTGATCACGACTAATGGCTTGCACTAATGTAGCCATCTCGCATGGCAAACCCCCTCCTCCTGCTAGGTTGCGCGCCACAGTCCAAGCCCTGCATCCACCCACACTCACACTGGGTCCTGGCACTCCGAGTCTCTCCCACCCACTACACTCTTTACTCCCTTCTACCCAACACAAACACACTCTCATCCCGCTCCGTCTCCAGCGACGAGATCACGCAGTCCGTGCATCCCAGCTCAGGGTGCATCGTGGCGTACATCCCGGCCTCCGAGACCTCGTCGCTGGAGCACGCTCTCCAATCTCTCACTTACCCTACCCCCCCTTCGACACCTCCGCCTTCCACCCCGCACGACGACGACGACGACGACGACTGTCCATGCCACGCCCGTTGGCCCGACACTCTTCGTACCTTGCGTACCACGATCAATAATGACGACATCACTTTCCTCATCCGAGACGAAGAGGAGATGCGTAATGAGATGGAGAAACGACATGGACAATGGTCCTCAAGCACACGTTCTTTATCGTTTATTGATTGGCTGGCTTCGGTCATGATATAGACACCATGGGCACTGATTCGGATGCGCATTTATGATCATTTATAGTTGTATACCTTATTCATTCATCATGTTTTCGCACCCCACTCACTTTCCATCGTCTCTATCATCTCATCATCACGATACCATTCTGCATAGCAATTCTGTACTCCTACATCATTGGTTGTCGTTGCATTTTCCTCTCTCTCTTGCGATACGTCGCCTTACGGCCTTATACTCGCTAGGCCTTCGTCTTCCTCACTCGATTCTTCCTCTACCCCATCCATAACATATGACATATCCACCTTCTCATATTTATGCATCTTTGGTCATTGTTGTATACTTCTATCGTCATACCATCTCACACGACCTCAATAATACCTAGCCGGTCTTCGTATTCACTTCTTCGTTCTTACCTCCCGATGTATTTTCTTCGCGACCATTACACGTACTTACCATTCTATGGGCTAACTACTGTACACAGTGTATAACTCGACGAGCCCTCCCAGCCTGACTCTACGTTGTGACGCCCCTTCCCCCTGTCTCGGTTTTACTGCCTCCTCCCGTTCAACTTCTTACGTATCGGACCCTCGTCTAAAACGGCGCCAGGATGGGCCGGAGTGGTGGGGGGCGTAGCCTGAAACCACTCATTCGTTGTGTACCAAGGGTTAACTTTCACGGCGGCTCACATGTTTGCGTCTGACATAGGGTGTTTTTGCCCCAATGGACAATAAACTTGATTCAAAAAAAATACTCGACAAGCCATGTACGATAACATACCATGATAGTCCTTGCATATTTTCTTGCATACTCCTTATGCCATTCACCCTACATGTTCCATGACCCTTTTCAACCATCTTTGGCCATGCAAACGAACACAGCGACAGTAGTGCAAGTCGGGGATGCTACCCGCCACACGCCACACAATCCTTCCACGCAACGTTTGTGGCGTGTGGTCGTCTTTTCGAGTTGCGCTTATCACACCAATCTCGAACATGTAATGGCCATGCCAATGGATAGTAAGTGATATAGTATGAACACATAACGGGGATATTCCATGAGCTCCGACATTCTGTGCTCGATACCTTCCGAAACGAGTACAAACTTGAGTGTCAAGCAGCGAGCTGTACGACGAGAGAGTAGATGAGAAATTAACCAGTCGAGTCAGTAATGCATAGGCAGTAATATTTCCCTGAGTCTGAGGAGAGAGAGGAAAACTTGGGATGTTTGCATGATTATGTAGAGTAAGAGATATGTGCATAAGAGTAAGAGATACGTGCATATGTAGGTCCTTGTTTATCAACCGACGGCGGCGGTCGCTTCACCACTTATTCACCGTCCAACATTGACATTCAACACCTATTCGAGGCCTTGCCACATGTCAAGATTCCAATCCGCAAAGTCGTCTTCGGGCAACGGTCGTCTCTTCCAAAAGTCGAGCAGTTCGCCGTCCATGTCGCAGACCCCCAACACCCACGGATCACGGTTTATATTCTTTAGGATCGCGTTCGGACTGCCAACACCAGGGATGGAATGGGATGGGGAGTCAGCAGTAGTCTCTACCAAAATGTGGAGGTCGCCGTTAGTAGGTGCGCGACGACGGGCTTACATGACGACGTGAATATCTCCGGTCTTGACTGATTTTATTTCGCACACCAGAGAACCCTGTCGTATCCACAGGGAAGTAAGCACGCAAAATCGTATGAACTCGTATAGTCAGGGAGGAACACCTACATTCGACGCGAACCGCATGTCCTGCCAGACTCCACGGGCTATTTTACCGTCACTATTCCTACGGAACAAAAGCCTAGTTTGGCCCGGCTGTTATGGTGGCGAACGTGGCGGTGGCGATCAACACCCAGGCTAATCGCTTCATCGTAGTAAGTACATAGCAACCCGAAAGACACTCACTCGCATAGCTTCGAGCATTCGAGCCCACTCGAGAGGGAGCCTGTCCAGGACACGTATCCGTCTGAAGTGTGCGATCTCGCTCTGCAGTAATTGTTCTTTCGCGTCGCGCTGCACGATCGGGCTATTTGTCGCAGTTGTGGGAGTGGCGCTGCTGCCAGCAGGAAGAGCGGCGGGACCAAGGCTCCTCGGCGTACTGTTCCTCACCTTCGGCTCGAACCAATGCAGTGGCGTTACTTCGTCGTTCTTGAAGCTCTCGGAAAGCGTGACCCACGTTTGACAGTATTGGCTGCACAGACGGACATGAGCGAACGCAATTGAGCGGAACCGCGAAGAAGCATCACTCACCATTGAACGGACCTCCTGAGAGTTAATTGCTCCACTACTTTCTCGCATTTCGGACACGTTACTTCACGACCTTCTCTGCCATATCCTCTGGTGAGCATACGAGGCAGAATCGCGTTCATGTGGATGGTCCCTCCTGGCTGCAGCACCTTATTCCACTCCGATGGCTCCAACAAGGAAAGAGAGGCGCCCTCTTCGGATCCCGTCAGCTCGTAATCTCCACGGTTGACGAATCTGAAGCCAGCTTTGCCCCTGAAGTAGACCTTCAGCAGCCCGTCCAGATGCTAAGGTGAAGAGATCAGAGATCAGACATGATTGAGCCTAGCTGTCGAGACTGACCTCGAAGGTAGAACACAGCTCGAGCGGGATAGTCAATTCTTGGCCGAGCATGTCCTTCAGAATGATAGGTCGATCGGCAGGCGTGGTGCCACCTTCCCATGGGTGGCCCATCTGGGCTGCGGGGCGTGTCAGCTGACGTGAAATACGCGTCAAGGCAGCACGATCCTGTTCGGCCAACTTTCCCAAGCGACTGACACCATTGCTATCGGATAGCATAGTCAGCCCGAGAAATGGTGTAAGTGAATGGTGAGAACTGACCTTTGCAGAACACACAAGAGGGCGAGTATCTGAGTCTGACATCCTGCTAATCGTCGTCGCATCTCTCCCAGCTCGTTTGGCCTAAATAAGGCCCATCCGATCTTCCTCCATGATTCCTCCGCCTTCTCCCTATAACTTCCTTTCTTCAACCTCTTTTTACAACTCATAACCGCCGCCTGAATCTCTACCAGCACTCTCTTCGACGAAGATATGGTGAGATTAATCTGTCGTTCGACAGAGTCTGGCAGCGGGTTTGTTTTGTGGGTATAAGATAACAGATCGCCCACGCTCTGCAGTACGCCATAGAAAGAGGTGACTTCCGCCAAAAGAGCCTGATATTCCTCCGATGCGCCTATGCTGCTAGATAGAACCGTTACAACCTTGATAGCAATCTCAGTGGCAGAGACAATGTCGCCCAAAGAACCGAAGCTAAAGCCGACAGAAAACATAGCAGAGTTCAAGCCTTCGAGTGGCGGTTGGGGAGAGTCAGATTCTGGGAACTTGGTTATCGATGACCTGGCGATTCGACGCATACATATACACCCACATGTTGAACTCGTGTGGTATCTGGCCTTCGAAAGGCGATACTATAGGCCAAGATGAACGCCGGAATGAGTGGCATTGACAACCGATCGACATCCGGACGTGCATGAGGATAGGGCGCCTTGTTATCATACTGTGACCTGGTGTGTGGCATGCGAATGAGTGGCATGCCAGTGCAGGCATGGTGGGAGTAGATGAAGCGATATGTGGAAGCTGCGGCTTTAACCTATGTACCACTCGATGAGACACGATCAGGCGCTTAAATCTGCGATGAGCCCATCGATGCCTAATCAGCCTGTGGTCCAAGCCACAGAGATGGGTGCGACCCAATTACCCAGGCGCTGCACAGCGTACCGTACAAACGTCGTTGACAAAGTGAGGGCGAGCGTAATATACTAGACGAACTGGAGGATCTGCGATAGGTAGTTAGCCTACTGGATGTACGGTAGAAACATAGAACTCACATCTCGACTGGTAACCATGTCAAAGAACCGACTCTTCACGAAACCGTTGAAGTCCACGTCTCCAATCTCGTCATAATACTCGACCTCTTTCAAGATATCATTCTTGAGCATCCCTGTGCCTTCAACTTCCTTCTGCATGCGACGTGGGGCTACCAAGATCCTGATAGGAGCGCCTAGCTGATGACGAGACTTCAATACCTGGCCAATCGACGTCTCTCCCAAATCTCCCACGATGAGAACGTGAAGCTTGGGGCAATATGCTCTTGACCCTACGTTGAGCCCGTCATTCTTCGTTCGTGCCATGGTGAGCAGCTTCAAGAAGCTCGGACTGGCATTGTGAAGCGCAAGGATGCGCAAAGGCCAGTCAAGTTCCTTCAGCATACGTCGTGAGATGCTAAGGGCGCTTTCCTCCGACTTGACCTTCCTCTTCCAGTCCCACTCTGCGTTGATGAGCTGTAAAGTGAATATCGTCGCGAAAATGGACCCCTTCGGTTCGTCCTCGTGCCATTGAGGCAGGGAGAGCCCTTTGAGGAACGATCCAGTCATTGACTGACGGTATTGAGTTTGGCGAGGTTCTTCGATATCGAACGGATCGGAGGGGTCGCCGACGAATGGTTTTCCGAAGCTAAGCCGTAGGTGACAGAGAGAAGGTAGATAGAGCCGGTCCATGAGGTTGCTTGCTTCGCAAGGATCTGCGAACTCGAAAAACACCGTCTCCAGCTCTTTGAGCTGCACGGTTCGACGATCTGTCCAACCGTCTCCATCGTCGACCTGCGGACCCGCGTAACGAAAGCGGAGCTCCTTGAGTTTGGGAGATGCCTCGAAGGTGCGGAGAAGGTCGTCGAACCAAGGGCCAGATGAAGGACGCATACGACAGACGGTGTACATTTCGAGGTGTCTGAAGAGGGGTCCGGACCAGTCGATGGGTGTTGCCATAAGATGGACGCGGGTGAGACGAGGATGATTGCCCTTGAAGAGAACACCTGTGTAGAAGTCCTCGGGTACCTCATCTATCGCCTCTACGTCCGGGCGGTTGACTGCGAGATTCAATGATTCGAGGATCGGTGCGCCGCCGAGCTTGGTTATATAGTAAAGGGCGAGGTTCATCAACGCAGGGTCCAGCGTGATGAGAGAGAACATCCACCATCGGTTGACGTGGGGAGAAAGGATTTCGAAGGCACGATGGACGAATGACTCATAATAGACCGGGACGTGGGTGCTGATGTCGTCTCCGGGCTCCAATTCCTCTACCTTCGGACCCTGCCCTTTCCAACTCGTCATCTCAACGTTGATATGCAACGGCTGATTCTTCGATCGTTGAATATATGCGCGTGTTTTAGTAAAGGGGGGCATTTCGTCGAAGGTGAGACGTGCCCATAACGGTCCGTACTGCAGTGCGATGGCGCGCCAGCGTCTGGATACGTGGGAGATGGCCACCTCGGTAGGAAGACGCTTTGTGCCTGTAGTAAATATGATGCCGTCTCCTCAGCACGCATAGTCAAATATTGCTTCCCAGAGCTCTGTGGCCATTTGCTGTAAGACGATACTCTGAGGGTTATGTTCAGTGATGGGGGTCAAAGGGCGATCATGTAAGCCATATTCCCTGGAGACAAACATCCTCACCTGCGACTGAAGTCCAAGGCAAAGCTGGCCAACTGCTATGATTGAGAACTGATATATGCGCTCTTTTACTGCGTCTGTAGTGGCGCTCGTGCGCTACAAGTCGGCTGTGCCGGAGAAGAGACACTGTAGCCCCTATAGGCTTCGGTTGGTATTTGGAGTCTTCGGGTGCGTGGTCTGTTCACGAGACGAAATCCATGAAGTATTGATAAGGTTTTAAATACACATTTGAACAAAAAAAAACGCACCATAAGGTTGTTCAAAAGTACCGGATGTGAAGCTTTACAGGCTATGGAGGAGGTCGAGGTCGAGGTCAAGCTCGTCGCGTTCGGTCGACGCGTCTGTGGCGCGTTCCTTCTTAATTACGTAAACCAGAATAGCTTCCGGAGTCCGGGTATTATGCGCCACACACGCCACATCTCAGTCGTCCCGTTGACCTCAAGCTGGGACGTGAAAACAGACTCCCTGTTCAGGATAACTAGGTCAAACATAAAAACGGCATGGTACAAATATTTCCACATAAGATATCAGAGCAGCAGTAATATACAATCCGATCCAAGACGCACAGTAGACCAGTCATCGCCGCAGGTTTGGTACCTCTCCCGCATTCCTCTTCCCGTCGTCATACAGAAAGGTTGCCAAATCATTATAAACGGCTTTCGACCAAAACCGCCTCTTCACCCCTCCACGCCAGCGTATCTTTCCCAAACGCTGCTTCCAACGCTTCTTTCACCGTCTTCGCAAAAACGAAGGTCATGCCATTTCTTACCTCTTGAGGTACGTCGTGCTTGACGTCCTTGCGGTTCGCCCATGGAAGAATAACGGTCGTGATACCCGCACGGTGAGCACCAAGAACCTAGAATACAAGCATAAATGATGATGAGAAGACTATGGTCATATATGGTGAGCGAGCTGACCTTCTCTTTGATCCCACCAACAGGAGTGACGCGTCCACGAAGAGTGATCTAACAAACAAACATGGTCAATGGAGGCTAACAATGGCCCAAGGGGGCTTTAAATACTCACCTCTCCGGTCATCGCGACATTGGGCGGTACACAAGCACCCGTCAATAGTGATACGAAGGCGCATGTCTAAAAACCGATATAAGTATGATCGGGATGGTTTTAAAGAAAGAGAGGAGACGAGCGAACTCACCATCGCGATCCCAGCACTAGGTCCATCTTTCTTCTGCGCCCCAGCAGGCAGATGCAAATGAATATCGATCTTACTCGTATCCTCTCCGCTCGCAACATCAACACCCCGTCTCGTCACCAACGGGTCCTGCGTCCGACTGCTCGTCACGCCCAGCTCATACGCATGCGTCTTCACCCAGCTCAACGCCAACTCTCCGCTCTCCTTGATAACCTACGATTCGTCCGACGTTGACAAGATCAATATAAAAGATTGTAGTAGTTGAAGAGCAAAGAGATACGTACATTTCCCAGCGACCCCGTCAACTTCAGCTTTCCATTCCCAGGAACTGCGATGCTCTCCACAGGCATGATCTCTCCTTCTCCCATACCCGTGACAACCAACCCGTACACAACCCCTCTTCTCGGCTCTCGATCGCCTATCGTCTCCTCATCCCACCTCGCAATACCCAGTATATTCTCCAACTCGTCGATCTCGACCGTAGGTCTATACTTAACGAGTGCATTCTGCACAGGGTCGGTATTCGTGATCGAGTTATTGCCATCTGATGCTGTCGATGTTGACGCGGGAGACATTGATGGAGATGCATGCGAAGACGACGAGGTTGACGAAGATGCATCCGCATCGATATACTCGGCCCACTCGACTGCCTTGAACCTGACCACACTCCCGATTGCCCTCTCCAAGCTCCTTACACCCGCCTCCCTGGTATAATGCGAAACAATATGCAGCAGTGCAGGATCGGAGAGGTCTAACTGCGCTGGTGTGAGACCGTTCACGGAGAGTTGCTTGGGAAGGAGGAAGCGGCGCGCGATGTGAAGTTTCTCGTCATATGTGTAGCCTATTCCCGTTGGCAGGGTTAGTCTCCAATGATAACATGGTTGAACTTGGAGTTGTAGGGAAAGACGTACCAGATAGATGAATGATCTCGCATCTGTCCAAGAGGGGGGCCGCGATGGTGTCAAGTGTATTCGCTGTACAGATGAAAAGGACCTGGCTGAGGTCGATGGGGACGTTGATATAGTGATCCTGCGACGGAGTTCAGTACTCGGACAATGTCTTCGGTAGGAAGACATACATTGAAAGCGTGATTCTGTTCTGGGTCTAACACTTCCAATAATGCCGCCGATGGATCTCCGTGGAAATTCGACTGTCCGACTTTGTCAACTTCGTCCCTGTGAACCATAGCATGTAAAAGTAAAATCAGTACCGCACACTTATATTCTAGGATGAGTGAGAAGACAAATGCACCCACAACAGCAAGACCAAGTCACTCCTCCCAGCCTTCCTCAAAGCCTGCACGATCGTCCCCGGCCCACTAGCGACATACGTCCTCCTATGACCCCTAATCTCACCCTCATCCCGCACACCTCCTAGAGCGATCCTCTGGAATGGCCTGCCCAATGCCTTGGCGATAGACTGACCAAGCGAGGTCTTCCCAGTTCCTGGTGGACCAACGAACCTTTTACACGACATTGATAAACATCCAACTTCGAATTGAAAGTGAATCTCCGGAGAGAAGAACGCACAGAAGAATTGGTCCCTTGACCCTCCTAGGTTTTCTCCTCCTCACTGTCTCCGCCAACTTCGGCATTCTCTCATGTTGACCTTCCACCTGTGTTTGTTCTCCAGCCAAAGTTTGAGATACATCTCTTTCTTTGGATGCCATAACTGCCTGTTCCGCTGCGTCGACTTCCTTTGCCTCCGCCATTCTCTCTGCCTCTGCCTTGGCCTCTGCCTCGATCTGCCTCGCTTCCTCTTCAGCAGCCATCATTTCTCTGAGCCTAACCACGGCCAGATACTCGATCAGCCGTCGCTTTACGCGGTCGAGGCCGTAGTGGTCTGCGTCGAGTTGGCGTTGAGCGTTGGTGAGGAAGGCGCGAGAGCGGAGGGACTGTGGCGGTGGCGATTGAGTTGACGAGGAAGTTGAGCTGGGGCTCGAATCTGAGGCTTCAATGAGCGAGGACGAGGGCCACGGAAGGGACGTCAGCCATTCCAGCTGCGACACACATGAAAAGGATTAGTCGGTGACTCTATTAGGCTGATACGGTTGTGAATGGGCCACGAGGGGAAGCACTCACATAATTCCTCACAACCCCATACTCCGCGCTCTGTTGCGGAATTCTCTTCAACCTCCTCCACTCGTTGACGCCCACCCTCCTCTCCTCACTGCCCACCTCCATCGCCTCAATCTTCCTCTTCACATCTAGCATATCGTCCTCTTCTTGCCCTTCCCGATCCAACTCTGACCCCTGCCCCTCATTCGTCGACGCACTCCCGTCCACTCTCTCGGGCCAATCCGCGTTACCGGGTCTCGACGACTTATTCCACGTCCGGTTATTGGGATTCTGAAATGAGTTGTTTGGAGAAGGTGAGGGGCGGTTTAGAGCTGAGAGTTCGGCTTGTATAGCAGCGAGTTGTTGGCGGAGGAAGAACTCTTTCTGTTGTTTAGACAAAGATTCGTCGACTGCAGAGGCTATCTTGGTAGAGACTTCGGATATGGAAGTGAGTTTGATGAAGAGGGATGTAGCGTGTTTGATTCGAGTAGAAGTTGTGGGGGTCGAGAGGTGTGCTGCGATATCAAGCGCAATGAGAGTCAGTAATTGAATAGAACTGCAGCATATACAAGAGAAACATGCCAATCTTATCCGCATACTCAACGCCCGCCGTACTAACCAACATATCCGCCATCCAGCCCGCCCTCTCCTCTTCCAGATCCTCCACAAGACCCATGATCTTCACCCACGCCTCTCTCTTCCTACTCTGTGTTGTATCCTGGGACAGCCTTTCCAACATCCTCAACGCTGCATTCTTAAATGATATGAACTCCTCCTTCGACGGTCGCTCGCCATCGTCCTGACCGTCACCATATCCATCGCCCCCTGTCCGTATCAAAGCGCCAGAGTTTGGAGGCGATAAGGAAGCACGCTCATATGCCAAGAGCGGTATAGGATCTCGTTTCGAGAAAGATGGCGACGCAGCTTCAACATCCAAAAGTCGGACTCTGGAAAGACCCTGGAGAGCAAGCAAGTGAGGCTGAGAGGACGACCTCGTCGGCGGTCTGACGAGTCTGACCACTCGCGCAACGACGCCCCATTCGTTCAACTTCGGAGTCTGAAGCTTCTCCGAGTTTTTCTTGGACTGCTGAGGAGGAAGCAAGGGTACTGCAGCGACCACAGGAGTCTGTCCATTCTCTGCGGCAGAGTCAGCAAGACGAATGAGGGCTTCTGCAACCGGAGCGGTGATGGGTACAATGACGCGCGCTGAGGGCAGAAGGACGAGCGGGTGCGGCAGCGCGAGAGTGGGCAGCTCGAGCGAAGTCGTCGTCGCCATCGTCGTCGACAGCGAGGAGACTATGAACTAAGCTACTTTGAATGAGAGGGGAACAGTGGCGAGGTGCATTGCACTTGAAGTCCGGGGTGAGCGTGGTACTGTAATAGATCGCATGTGATTTCGAAACTCCCGGTCTTGCCACACGCCAAACGCCAACACATCCAATAATTCGTAGAAAAACAAATATAGATACATGTAACGGATAGATGATAGGACTAGAATGTAGAATACACAGGAACCTAAAGGAGACCGGCGTAGGCCGGCTAATCAATCCTAATCCTCAAACCCTCACACCATCGTGCGCCACGCCCCTCGCCACGGAGTTCTCCTTATCCTCACGTTTCTCCCTCACCGCCATCCCATTCTTCATCTTAGCCGGAGCATCCGGAGTCTCGTCCACCTCCATCACAGTCGACAGCGAGATTCCCTCCTTGATACTCTGCACACTAACCAACTCCACGTCCTTCGAACCCCTGCCCGACACCAACCTCTTGCTCATACTCTCCGATGCCACAAGCGAGCTCAAGGTCGTGTTCATCGAGGAGGAAGTGTTCAGCACGCCCAGAGCAGGAGGAGCACTAGTGCCGACCTCCATCTTGGACGGGTTCGTCGCCGCCGAGGAGACATGATCATTGTCGCCCAAGTCGGTGCCAGTTGCATCAGCCCCGCTATCCAAGACAAGGGCGCTGGTAGATGATAAAGACGAAGAGGACGAGACAGGCATAGTCTGAGATAGCGAGTGAACATGAGAGTGAGCGTGGAGTCCAGATTCTTCCTGGGCGAGACGGGGCGTAAACAAGGGCGAGCACTCCCTTTGCCTCTTCCCCAGATTTGTGAGAGTAGGAGTAGAACAGGGAGGAACCGAAATGGTCCCATCGGTCGTTCGTGCATCCTGAGAGAGAACTGGCGAGTACGGATTCGAGAGACGTGGATAGAAGGAGGAAGAGTACGATGTTTGTAGGATAGGAATAAGTGGCGCATGGTGGTAATATGGGGAATCTTGGGCGTTGCCTGCGTTCGAGCTTGAACTCGGATAGAATCCGGGGCCGGAGAGGATGACGGGCGAACTATTTGTTCGCATAGACGGTAGTCCCGCGAATCCTAGGCCAGTACCATCTTGAGCACTTCCTTCGAACACAGGGCCAGTCGACAGTGATATCCCTGCCTGCATCCGTGAACTCTCGCCCGGATCAGCCTTGGTTCGACCTTCTTCCTCACCACCTATCTCCCCGAAGACAACACCCTCAGACAGAGGAGACTCCACCGTTGCCCTGAACCTCTTAGATCCCCTCCCCCTTTCAGACTCTCCACTCAAACTCTCCCTCTTCGTCCGAATCCGATCATGCTTCTCCACCACCCCGACCGGCAGCTTGCTCTGCGGCCGAACGCACATGGGCAATACGCTCTCGCTGCACTCTCCAATGACTGGCGTCGGTAGCTGAGGACTGTCCGAATTTGCACCCTTGTGCGCAGAAAACTTCGCGGCGTCGAGAGGTTTGAGAGACTTGCGCCGTGCTGATGAGTTGGATGTGGAGAAATTGAAGGCCGATGATGCTGGGCCTGCGGAAGAAATGGAACGAGCATTTTTCTTGCCGTTACCCAACGAAATTGTGTTCGAGGGATCGATGCCGTTGGCGGTCGTGACGTCCAGGATAGTTCCACTCTGACCACCAAAAGTTCTCCCCACCCCTATCCCAGGAGCGTTTGCCACGTCTCCCATCCCGCTGCCGCCAGAGTTCATGTTTACACCATCGAATGACCAAGACTCCGCGAAACCGTCCTTGAAGTACACCGACATGTCTTCTATAAACCCCGGATCAAACACCGCCTGAGAGGCCAGCAAGTCGTTCACAACTGTGTCTCCGCCAGAACCTTCGCCAGAAAACACGTAGGCCCCAGGTGCCATATGAGCAGCCGAAGAGTTCGATGCAGGAGATACGGGTAAAATCTCTGATATTTGGCTGAGAAAGTGCGAATATGTGGGGAATAACTGCGGAAGAGTTATACTCTCAGTCATCGCCCCCGCTTCCGTGGTGAAAGTAGGCGCGGCAACGGCGGTGGTCGAGGGCGTAGGTGAGATGAATGTGGGGGTCGTGGGCGCGCTTGCGCGCCTTTGGGGGAAGAGACGGACATGGTTCAAGACGGTCGGAGGGTTGGGTAAGGAGAGTGATCGCTGGAGCTGGCCCCTCCTCTGCGCTAGGGTCCCTTTCGCAGCAGAAAGGTCACCATTAACGGAAGTCGATGTCGGAAGGCCTTGTATAGAGGTTCGCGACGGGTTGGCCAATGCTTGCTGCTCAAGGTACATTGAGTGGAAACTCGGGATGTGGCCGGATGCACTGTCGGACTTTCCCTGCGAAGTCGGATCTACGAAGAGGGAGGAGTTCAAAGCGGGCACCGAGGCGTCGAAATGAGTGGGTGCGACTAGAGTTGCCATAACGTTGTTATTGATAGTAGATGTGATAATCTGAAGCGCGGCGTGGAGCTCTTCCATGGAGAGGGAGTTGAAGTAGGCTTCCGTTTCAGCGGCGGGGAAGGTTCCAGCCGCGTAGCGCTGGATATTGAAGAGGAGAGTGTCATTCTGGTTGTCGTTGATATCGGGAGAGATGCACATGGCGATGTCAGGATCGATGTCGTTCCGAGAAAGTGGACCATCTATCGAAGCGGGGGTTGTCGGGTCATCGATTTCTGGCGTGTAGATGGAAGACATGACGAGATGCATTTTCCCTGTCGTGTTCATGTCTAGAATCAGTCTCTATTCCCAATGATGAAGGTAGACTACGGACCTTGCAGCATCATGTCGCCGTGGGCGTCGATATGTGCCTGTGCAACTTCGAGAAGCTTCAGGAATTCTTGAAAGCCGGGCGGATGTTCAGATGCATTAGTATGAGATGTGCTAGTCAGTGTCTCATCCTCGTCGTCTTCGACAGGTCGAGAGAGGAGCCACAAGTCGAGGGCGCGAGGAAGAATTCGAATACGGAAGATATGTGCGGTAAACTGTAGAGTGGGCCGAGTCAACGCCGGCAGCATAGAATGAGACACGAAAGAGCTTGCCTCGACTAAACTAATGAGCTACCCGTCGTGTTGTCCAGAAGGTTCATCAAAGCAATCAAAATTCGACGCACAGAAGCGATAGATGAATAACGAACCGTGGCCAATTCATCCCTAACCGGACGCCCCGCCGCCGTATCAGCTGCACTAGTCAAATCCGACCGCTCACTAAGGATCCCGCCAAGCTGTGGAGACAAGCCCGACATAGACCCGCTTGACAAGAAAACGCAGGTGAGCATCTGGCATGCAAGTGCGAACTCTTGAACCGACGCGCAACTGCGAAGGAGGTTGACAATGATATCGATTGAACTGTCTTCGTTCGGGAAGGTGGGCGAGCACATTGGCGTAGAAGTCATGACAGGCATAGGAACGACGGCCATCTAGGTAATAGGTTAGAGAGGGTATCGTCGGTGCGCCTTCAAGGCAGACGAAGGGTATTCTGGATGCGTAAGAGAGGAGGGCGGGCGAATAGATGTGAGTGTAAGGAGAGATAGCCTGCTCTTGATTGAAGCGGAATGAGTTGGAAATTGTGAGGCGGAATGAGTTGAGAACGAGCGTTCAAGATGTCCGCGGAGACGACTGCTTATATGTGCACTCAATTCCGAGAAGCTGAAGTCAGACTGTCGACTTGGACATTGAATGCAGACAAAGCATAAACAAATGGAGACAGATGCCGGAACCATTTTGATTGAATGGTTTGTCTGCCACGAAATCCGAGTTCTGAGGTCGACCAACACATAAGTACTTACAAGGGGAAGTCAACCACGCAACTTCAGTAGATCGGATGAATTATGTGGGCTTTCGAACTGTTGCTAGGTTCCCAGCAAGCGTTTGGGCTAATCTTGGACATATCTGCCCAGTTCAAATTGAAGAATCCATGAACACAAGAAAACGCCCTCGAGGAGCAAATAGGGTGAAAAATTTAGTATATATGAGCACGACAGCCCAAGAACAGTCCGAGCGAGGTTTCGTGTCCATCTTGCATACATGGTCTACCAAGAAGCAAAACAAGTAAACAGGTAGGACGCGAGCCGCGAAAAGAACGCAAGGACGCGTCCTTCCCGAGCATCGAACGATCATCTATCTGTACCCAACCCAGTGTTTCCTTCATCGTGCCCCATCCCCAGTGAACTGATGCTCAAGTCGAGCACAATTCAGAGCTGGGTTATGTATACACTCGACACGGGCGACACGACGTGTCAATTCCCAGAGCTCGATTATATTGACCGCATTGATCATCGGTGCATTGGGGAAGACAATAACGGGTATTCGAGGGGCACAAAGGACGAAAGTGATGTTAGAGAAGGCGTACCCAGTCAATCCCCTCATGGAGCACATGCAGCGATTCTGCAGCACTCCTGTTTTCGTCCAGCCACTCGTTAGAGCAGTTTCCTCCCAGAGGATGACTCGAGGGGAACTACTCGGACCTTAGCCAGCTCACGATAGAAGATGTTCGTAGAACGGTCTTGTTCGGAGAGAGCTTCGCGGCGTTGGACTGTCGTGGTTCTTGGAAGAGAGGATCAAGAACTCGGCGAGTTCTTGACATCTTGTGATTCCTAGGTTCGAACTCCGACTGAAGCCTCGTGTTCATACCACCTCACTTCCCCGTTGCCACAGCGTCAGTACCGTTAGTCGCCGCAGGACTTCACTTACCGGAGTCTACCAGAGTCTACCTATTGCAGAGTTTATTTTCGTGTATAAGATATCACACCACTATTGGTTCTATCATGGACGATACTCCAGAAGCACAGAAATGTACACGGTCCCACCAACAACATCAAATTCAAGGACTACAGCCATACGTCGAACACGGGGTCCACAAAAAATGCATCCAAACCACACGACCAAACTCGCTCACGAAGAGCGAAGGAAAAGCAAAAAATTGCAAGGACCACGACAGTCCAAGAGTAGTCTGAATCGAGTTTCGCACCTGTCTACCCAGAAGGGCAAACGGTAAAGCGCGAGCCGCGAAGTGGACTCAAGGATACAATCCTCCCTTTCATCACACTATCATCCCGACCCATGCCCCGCCCCCGCTTCTTGCGCCAGCCCAAGTCCCATGATTTACATCGCAACCCTAAGTGCATGCCTCGTGGGTTATATCACCGACATAGCTCGGATCAATGGGCATACTGTCCTCAAGAACAGATGGATGCCCTTCTTCAAAAGGACATGACATCTGGTCCAGAGGCGCACAGAAGTGCAGGGCGCGAACACGGGGACGTATAGGGCACGAGAAAGAATAAAAGCACGACGAAAGAAGAGAACGCACCCAAATCCCCGCGACGCCTTTCAACCACAGCCGTTGCCCACCCTGCACAGCTCCCTCCTCACTCGTCAGCGGCCGGAGTTCCAATCACACCGACGAGGAATCTTCGGTAGACCAAAAAGTCAGCAGCTGCGGGGCTTCTCTTCTCGGAGAGGCAGGCTATAGGATATTTATTGTACGTCGCTCAGCTCGTGAGAGCTGGGTCCTGCTAAGACGGATCGAGGGGGATATGTATACTCAGACCTTAGCCCGCTCACGAAGAAGAGACGTGCGAGACGTCCTGTGCGGTGTGAGCCTCGCGGCTTTCGGGCTGTCATGGTGGTAAAGAAAGGGAGTCCGAACGTCGAAGAAAAGTTTTGATGACTTCGCAGGATTTCAAAGTCCGATGACGGTGGCGAGTCACCTCGACCATAGCAAGACTTGCTGGAAAGGGCTTGTATGGATGCTTGAGATGTTCATATTTTTTGCATCGCTCGCACAGATCAACAGAAGATAAAAGATGGCATTTTTGCTACTATTTCTCAGTCTTTTTCAGAATTCTACCTATTTTCGCCATACCTACACCAACGCCGCAAGGCAGGTCTCTAGTCTCAGACCCCCGGCTCCATTTCCCTTGCATTCACAAGACCCTACAACTTCACAGCCCTCAACCCTACATCTCTGTCCACAGCGAACAACAGCGGCAACGGCATTATACAACGACAAGTACTAGCAACAAACGAAAGCGAATAAAGAAACGAAGAGTAGTAGACGGGTGATAGGTACAACAAAACGAGCAGAGGATTCAGTAGTAGTCCGTGTCATGTAGAGACATTGCGGGGTGCTCATGGTTGATCATTTGCGTGCCAGATCCCTGTAGGGATATCAAGGTTAGTGCCGTGGGATAGTACAAGGAGGCAGAAGTCAAAGCAGAAAAAATCTGAAGAGAGTAGGAACGCACATGAACGCAGCATCGACGTAGGTCTTGATCTCTTTATAGCTCACCACCAGTACGCTTTGCTCGTCCCTCGACACCAGCATGATGCGTTCATCCGTGCCCGCATCCAGCTGTATTGAAAGGTAACCATATTATCAGTGACGAGGCTCCCAGGTTCAGGCTATCGTGGTTGACTACCTTATTCAAGCAGGTAAGAACATGTGTCATATTAACCACGGGTTTGCCGTGCTCGTCGACTTGGTGGAAGACATAATCCCTAAAGAGCTTGATAATGTACCGGTCGCCAGTCTCGCTCCATCGAGGATCGCGAGCAAATCTGGACATCCGTCAGGATATGCGTGGCGGAAAGAGTAAAAAGGACAAGGTGGGATGACGTACTCAGGCCGTTCATTGATGAAACCAAACTTGCAAAGCAAACGGAAAAGGCGAGCATTCTCCAATTCAGAGGCGAGCTCGTTTTCGAGATGCTCGACACCACTGAGACAAGGAAGGCGATCAGTATTGGGAGAGGTTATAGAAAGGTCAGTATATACGCACTGCTGCAGTTCGTCCAGCTCATGCACCAACTTCGGGTTGATCATCTCGAAAATCTGACCCACATGCTGGTTTCAATCAAGAGAAGCTCAGCACCGAATACCATGCAGATCTCCATACCATACCACGAAAGAACACACCTTATGGACTCCAACCTTACTGAAGCAAAACAAAGCCACATTCTTGATATCTGCACTATAATGCTTGCTCATCGTCTCCAGGCTCTTCGGCAAATTATTTACCGCCGCCATGTTGGAGCAACACAGTCCAAATATGAGCCTCCCGAACATGACCAGATCCTCTTGTTGCAGCATGCTGCTCAAGAGACCTGCGTTGGATGCACCTGGCGCCCCGGGAGCTTGAGGGGTGCCGACGGCCGCGAGGGGTGCAGAGGTGGAAAGGGGCGCTGTGAATGAAGTTTGCTGGGTTGGAGTTGGAGCTGTGGCGGGATTATACGTGAGAATATCGGCCAGACCACAGGCACTGATGCGAATCCTGGAAAGCCAGTCTACTTTCAGCTGGCTTTCCTAATGTAAGATATGCGAGTAATTACCGATTATGGCCTGTGACGATGATCTTCGTGACATCAACCATCCTGAGCGCCATCCCGGTTTCGTGAGCTTTCTTCATCGCGCTGGCGATCTGGATGATATAGGACCACAGGACATCTTCTGGTACCCGAATGGGTGCGCTTTGAAGACGTCCATTCTGGAAGGATGGGGCCTTCGGCTTGATGTGAGCATCATAGAGGGTGAGAGAGTTCGGATGATAGGTGTAAACGGCGACAAGGGCTGTCCAAAAAGAGTAATCAGCCTTTGATAACAGGTGTGTTTGTGTTTTCACTCACAGCTATCACCAAAAGCACGAGTGGTGAAGGCTTCATGGAGATGGACGATGTTCGGATGGCGCATGCGAGACCACTGATCAACCGCTGCGAAAGCTGCCTGGTGTAACAAGCGGAAGTCTGCGATACAAGAGTCAGTCGAGTCGCCAGGGGCACGGAACGATAGAAATGTCTCACTCTCAACGCGTCGGAGAACATAACCCTTGCCATCCTTTCCGATGGCCCTATAGACGGTGCTATACCAGTTTCCAAACTTCCTCCTCTCACCTCCCGTGTTCTCCAAAGGCACAAGTGTGTGGTACCCTTGAATTTCCTCGGGAAGATTGAGCCCTGGTGCGGGGAGAGTAAGAAGTGTCTCCGAACGCTGCGTAAGGTCTGCCCTGAGGTCGGGTGAGACGTAATGAGAAGTGGGGGCGGCGTTCGGTGGCGGGTGGGTGTATAAGTGATAATGGAGCTAGAAAAAGAGGTGAAACACCGCCGAGAAGAGAGGTATGAGAAGAGCGCTGTGGCGAAGACAAGAAGAAATTAAAACCAACAGGTTGACGAATGAAGGTGGGTTGCGCGGGATAGCTCGCGTAGTAGTTATGAGGATCATACTCCGGGGGCATCATCATTTGTCCTTCCGCATCCTGCATGTCGTAGGTACCAATGTCCATCTGTGTGGCGAGACTCATGAGGAATGCCGTCTGGTGACAGGGGTAAAAGACTGACATATTGCATGGAATCCGTCAATAGGTCCGCGTCGCCTTCCTCAGTGTGGTTATAATAGTTCGAGGCATCGTAATGGTCATTGTCGTCGTATTCTGTGGCGTCGAGGGTGGGCGATGTGAAACTATAGGTGCCACAAAGCAGAATAATAGATGCTGCTTAGACGACGGCCAGGAAGATTGTACGAATACGAAGATGGCTCACGCAGATGTCGGGGTTCGCGCCTGCGCATATGGAGGAGTTGGAGAGGTAGGGAGCGTGGAAGACTTTGGTACGAATACAGGTGCGTTGACAGCCTGGGAGAGCGATGGGTTCGATGGCGTGGTCGGTTGAGATCTACAGACGATCGTCAAGGAAACATCGCCGTAGAAATTATATGAATAGACATACTGAGGAAGCGGCGGCGGCGTGGATGCACGCTACAAACATAGCTGCATCAGATGATGAGGAACATACAATGTGGATAGACGCGTACCGGCGGGTGATAGTAAACACAACCTTTATCTTCAAACTTACAGGATCTGCCGTGCTGTTGTAGCACAACTCTCAAAGAGAATCCAAGGACACATACCCATATATGAGTATATTTCTACACTGTCGTTGCGTGTTGTCTTTGCAGAAGTCGGATCAGGGACCATGGTGTGGACAGATGGTAATGGAAACATACCCTTCTTAGATGCCAATCGCGAATGAGCTTCTGCAATATTGGTGGGCGCAACAATTTTAATAGCAGCATTAGCAGACTGAGGCCTTGCAAAGAAAGCCATATCGGCCGGCGCGGTGGGCAAGAGCTGCTCGTCGTCGCTCGGATCGACGAGCTCTAGGTGGCCCTTAAGCGCGCGACCTTGACCTCACTAAACACATTTCAAATTCGGGTCAAGCATGTACAAATAACAGCCACGGCTCCGACGCTGACTTGCTCTCACTCCGCCACTTCTTGTCGCTGTTCAGCACGATGTCCAGTCTCCAGCGCGATGCTGCTGCATTCAAGAATACACTACAGTCTGTGAACACCAAGACATGGCATTCGTCACAGGCGTCGTCTTCCCAAGCACCACTCCCACCTCCATCCACACCAGCGCCAGAGGCCCCTTCGCAGGAGCACAATGGCAAGAAGAAGAAACGGCCGAAGACAAGCATGTCTTTTCTCTATCTAGACCATTTTGATTATCTGAGTATTGACACGGCCCTGTACTGCGTGAAGATATCGTCTACTCTCAGCCCGCCGACACTGGGACGGGTACCGATGTGAACACGCAGCTATTGTATGCCGTTAATCATCTCAAAGTACATGGGCCACCTTCTCCGTTTTGTGATAGTGCTGACCATGAGCTAGTCGTCTGCTGGGCCTATGCGACTGCAAGATATTGCTATCATAACCGGCACCCCGCTCGACACCGACGCAGTTCTCCTCGAGAAGTTCAAAGCCCATGACCGGGTGGAACACGATCCAAAGACAAACCTGTACTCTTTCCGAGTATGTTTTCGTTTTTGTCGTTCATAGTATCGGTGACTATAAAGCTCTATGACGGCACATATAGCACGACTTCAGCTTCCGCAACAAAGCTGCCCTTCTCACCGAGATTCAGCGTGCCACTCGTCGTGGCGGGGGTCTCTCTGTCCGGACGCTCAAAGAGTCATGGAAGGAGGCTCCAGCAGCAATCGAGGAACTCGAAAAGGATAACGAGGTTTACGTGACTCGGACTCTTAAAGATGGACAGATGAGGATGGTATTCTGGAACGAGGTGAAGCCGGACAGGGTTGATTTGGAGGCAGTAGGCGAAGGTGGCCAGAAGGGTTTCTTGGTTGAGACAGGTGCGTGGTTTCTTTGATATTGGACGGACTAGCGAGACTGAGCAGTGATCGTCTGCTTCGCAGAGTTCAACGACCTGTGGCACAAACTCAAGGTCCCAAACGACGTAGATCTCCTGAAGGAGCTTGCAAGCGGTACGCTATGCTCCTTCACTATATCTTCTTCTGTCGATCTAAACTCCACTTGTTCGCAGAGGGTCTCCAAGCCACCGCCGCCGAACAAGTCGTTCCAAAAGCGCCTGCGAAGAAAAAGGGCAAGAAGTCTGGGGCACGCAACCGTCCTGCGAAGCTCACGAACACTCATCTGCGGGACATGGGTATCGACTTGAGCAAGGATTATGTCGCACCGGGAAAGTAGAGCCCCGGTCGTGCTCATCCTGGTCGACTGTCTGGTGGGAGCGTCATCCGTGGACCTCGGTCACTGGTTCTGAGATGTCGAAGATCTGGCTCGAATGGAGCCAGTACTAGTGTTGAATGCTTGACACGGCCGTCCCGGTGGGCACTATGGACTAACATACTGTTTAATCATGTTGTGCTTCCTTTACTTGTATTTTTCCAGTAGCAGTCGTTTTGTACTCTAATCATGTTCCTTCCTGTGGTCTAAACAACCGCCTCTTCTCTTTGAATCTGTATACAAACATCTCAGCCTGTGGCGGAGTTCGGAACTTTTCGGAATCAACTCCGCGAACGGTTCAAAATTGTCGTCGTGTTTTGTCGCTTCCGTTTCCTCACAACCACGACAGCTCGAAAGCCGCGATACTCATCCCACACAAGATGCTCGCCTCACCGCAGCGCATCTTTTCCTCATGAGTGGGCTAAGGTCTGAGCATCTCACGTTCAAATTCCCCTCGATTGGTCCTAGCAGGACCCGGTGTTTAACGACCCGAGCGGCATACCAGAAATATCACGCCCTTCCAATCCTAGGAGGGAATCCTAGCAGCTTATGACCGTACGGTCACCCGAAGATCCGATGCCTTGAGCACACAAACTGGGGAGGGAGTTGCGCAGGTGGGGTGTTGTTGAAATGTGCCGAGGGTTTTTGACACTGGGTACGTCCTGGACCTTTCAACCGCTTCCTTCGTGTCGACGGTTCGATCTATGGTCTATCTTCTTCGTCGTGCTTTCGTTCGTGTCCTTGTCCTCTCCAACGCCCCCGTATTCGTGCCTCGCACCGCCAGCGCCGGCTCGGTGCGCTTCAATGAACCAGTTTGACAGCCTCAAAACGAGACTGTCGCTGGGCCTGATATAAAGATGCCCTGGGGTAGACAGCCTTTCGGGTTCAAGCCTTTAGGACTTTTCGTGTGTTATTGGTGAGAGCCTGTTGGGCTCGGATGTCCCGGGGCAGGCGCAAGAAGCAGGGGCGGAGGCATAGGTGGGACGATCGTTCGACAGGAAGAAGGGCGTATCCTTCAGTTCACTTCGCGGCTCGCGTTGAACCGTTCACCTTTTGGCGTGACGGGAGCGAAACTCGATTCAGACTGCTCTTGGGCTGTCGTGGTCCATCGAATTTTTTGCCTTTGTTCGCTCTTCGCGAGTGATTTTGTGGGAGGGGGAGGGTGTGTGAGGTGCACATGGGCGGCCATGGACGCTGTTGTTGATGTGTGGGTTGGTGTGTGATTGCTTTGTAAATGCGGGTTGAAATCCTGCGCATACTGTGTAGACATTCTCATTTTTTGGCCTAGCAAGAGCGCAAGCTTTCTATCCCGTCGAATCTCTGGGATATTTTGACCAGCACTCCGGCTCTTCGAGAGCTAAGCCATGCAGGTACGTCTCCTCCAAGTCTTCAGACACCGTATGACACGTCTGTCCTGTCTTCGAATCTATCTGTGCAGTGTCCCTGAAGACTGGACCCGATCCACGACCTTCGTTACAGTCATTGTGGCCCGCTCGTGGTACTTAGTACGCTCACTCCATGTATGTAGTTATCATCATGTTGCTACTGCGAATAAAGCATCAATTGACTATTCGAGAGGTATATATCTCTTGCCGTTAATGAACAAGAAAGCCGCATAAAAGCTCTTCAAACCTATTTTTGAGCATTCGGCCTCTTGACGAAATTATGTGGCGTCCGCGTACAGCCGGCGGGGCTCAAATTGCGGGGATGTCCTTCGCGAACTTCAACGAATGCTCGTCCTCTACAACCACGACAGTCCGATGGCCGCGAAGCTCACAACGCACAAGATGATTCAATCACCTTTCTTCGTGAGCGGGCTACTTAAGGTCTGAGTATCCTAATCCGTCTCAAGTGGACACCAGCTTTAACGAGCTGAGCGACGTACCAGAAACACGACATATGATTGCGGCCAGCATTGCCGCCTCTGTCTGCTAGTCTCCGAAGATCCATCAATCCATCCAGGAGCCGCTCCGTTTGGTAGAGGGGAGGAAGCTGATCATGGAGCTCGTATGTCTTGAATAGCGTCGTTGGAGTTGGGTGCGTGTCAATCCCCTTCATCACCTCCAACCTTTTCCTATCTCTTGGCGCTGTCTTCCTGCCTTCTACCTGCTCGCGCAGCCGGTGGACTGAGGACAAGGGCTCTTGCCTCTGAAATAGCATCTTTGGTCTTTTAATCAAGGCAAAGATCTGGCGTCAGAAGCAGCTGTTTGGAGTGGAACTGGCTGGATGTGGCGAATGTGAAACCACATCCTTGAGTGCACTTTGCGGCTCGTGCGCACTTCTCTTCGGGGAATAGGCCACGAAAACTCGATGCAGACTACACTTGGACTGTCGTGACTGATCTAATTTTTGGTTTTTACTCACTCTTCGCGAGTGATGTCTGCGTGTTTGTCTTTGTTGTAGTGTTGATAAGCATGACATTCGGACAAATGATGTCGCCTCTGTTTGTGGATTTTAATTACCAGATTCGGGTGCCCTTTTGTTGTTACCTTGGACGGGACTGCAGAAAATCGTAGACAATACCATGGAAACATTATTTGTGTGGCCCAATCATGTGGCGCAGGGCGTGACGCGATCACGTGTGATTGGAAGGCCTCTAGGCTGCAGCGCGACCGTCGACGGCATATCATTCTCTCCAGTCTTTTGTCCACCATCTTCTCTACAACATACAACATCACTTGAACTAGTACAAATTACACATCTCAGGTCTTCAACTCCAATATAACATGGCGACGTCAGGTATCTCAGAAATTGACATCGAGCTTCCTGGCCATCCCGATGGCTCGTCCGCCGGCAGGGGGTACTCGGTGCGTCCTGCTGTTCATTTTCACAGTATGCTGATATCCCGGCACTTACAAAAACCTCTAGATAGATTTTGAGAAGCTCGGCGGGAACAATATGGTCATCATGGGTAACACAGGCGCGCCGATTGTGACTTCGAAGGAAGAGCTCCTCCAGGTCATACCGCGACGTGGTCCAATCCACCGCCCGTGCGCAAAGTGTCAGAAGAGTCCAGAGAAGGGGAAGACGTTCATGGAATGTGCGCAATGTAAACAATCACACTATTGCGGGTACGCCACACTTTTGCTGCTTCACTTTTTCTTTGTTCTCCGGTTGACCGAGACTTCGGTTCTTGAACCCAGTCGCGAATGCCAAAAGTCTGTGTCATTTTGATCTGTTGTGATATGGTGAACACTCACATCGTATTCTGTTCTTAGAGCTCATTGGAAGGAACATAAGCCATTGTGCCTTCAGCGCAAGGCTCAACAGGAAGGATGGGCAAGAGCTGAAGAAGCAGCGCTGAAAGCCGGAAAAATCTTCTACTCACCGAAGACATCACAAGCGTGGTATCGAAAGAACACAGATATTGTCTCTCATGCTGTTCGTCCCTCACTATCTTGAATATGTGGTCTACTCAGGACTCACGGTACGCATAGACTTTCCATGTCCTTGAATTATACAAAGGTCCCTCGGCTTCGCTTCATCGAACCCACATCGCATGGTTTGAGCTCTCCTTCGATAAAGACAAGCCCAAAGATGTAGACGCCATCTCTCTACACGATGTCAAAGCCGCTCCACTCGACATTATCGGCGAACGTATCCTCGGCGCCGCCACGGTCGCGCACATCAAGCATGGCATCGAGCTCGGGATGATGCCATGCATAATGACGAACAAGGAGCTGAATGCCATGACAATGGAAATGCACCAGGCGCCGGAGTGGAGGCTGTATACTTCGGGGTTGAAGAAGCCGGATGAGAACTGGAAGATTCATTGTATACTCATGGCTGGTGGTGCTCTTGACAAGGTGGTTTGAAAGGAAAAACGTCTACACATGTTTCGAATATTGAGGTATGCCATCAAGTATAGCATTCTTCGCATATGTCCTATTTATCGCCGTCCTCAACACGCCCAGGAGGACATATGTTTGGTATGGCTACCACTGCATGTCGTCGATATACTCATCAGGTGCACTCCGTTCCTTCTTTTATGGTTTGCGGTATGGTAGAACCCCGAAGTTCTCTTGTTACGCCATAATTTCTTCTCGACGGTGTACGCAAGTCGAAAACCTGCCTTCCTTCCTCCGAGGCCCGGGATCTGTGGTCAGCGCTGCGCAATCACATCGAGGCGCGTGAGGTAAACCTGCACACTCTTGTCCGACCGATTCTTTCACCCTTGCTTCTTCACGGCAGGCCACCACGCCTCCGGCCAGAAAGCCGCTTCATCGTCATCCTCGACACAGATGTTATCGCTATCTCCGACAGCATGACAGAAAGGTAGGTCCTAACGGACAGAATGCCGAATCTGGTCACGGTACGAATCCCTATGATACTTTGAAGGTTATACACGGATGGAACTCGACACAACTTATGATGTTATTCTTGCTCGGGCTCTCCCATATATCACAAGTGCCCAGTAACTTTCGATCCAGGACGGAGGACAGTGGCACCGAATACCGAGATGCAGGCTTTTCTTCGAGGTCTTAGGGTGACTGTACGAAAGCTCCGGAGGAAGGAAAGAAGTGCACTGACTGTGCACAATGGAGGAACATGAGCTAATATTGCAGATATGCATCCCCTATTCTGCGTCCAAATATGGTAGATGTTGATCGTTTGCTCGCCAACGCGTACAGTTTCAAGTCGGGCGTGTTTGTACGTCGGTTTGCTTCTCTGTAGATTCTGCTCCGAGTCCTTACTTACGAGTTCTCCTTACATCTTCCTGCCAAAGACGCATCATGAAATAAATCTGTCTGCCTTAGGCATCAAACACAACGCGAAACCTCCCAGAATATGACAGGAAATGACCGTGCATATAAACGACTTACCACCCAAAATCCGACCCATGCAAAGACACTAACTTTTGAAGGATTTACTGTGTTGTCTCATCGTCATCGAGAGATCAGACACATCAATGAGCTCAGCGCTCACCAGCCTCCATTCATGACTAGACTTAGAGCTTTTCAGTCACAGTCTGTCCATCGGTACAAGAAGGACTCGTCTGCAGCCTTGAAGGAAGGAAACTGCCTTGCATGTTTCACTGCTATAAGTATATCGTCGTGTATTGCAGAATGTTCCAAAAATAGATGCTATCTATCAGATAAGCGGTCCGGACAACGGTCAGGTTTGAACATGCCCGTCAAACCTGTTGAACCTTGATGTGATGGTCTTACACCTCGTGCCCCCCTTGTGTCCTTCCTTCAGCCGCTGAATGTCCTTGATACAGTATATGAATGTAAGAGGCTCGCTAGTTCGCTGCACTCCGCTGATTTCTTGCCACCTATGTTCCGCGCCTTTCTGCGGTGGCAGAAATTTTGCGAGGCTGCGGACCCGGGCCCGTACATGCGGAATTATATTAGGATGCAGTTCTGCGCAATTTATGGGAAGTTATCGGGGGAACAGGCCAGAATGAGACGGTGGAGTGGCTGCGGAGAACTTCGGCTTGAAATGGATAATCATCAAGCGAACGCGCAGCAAGGAATCTCAAACGTATAACATCCCATCATGGCGCTCGTCCGATATTTCCTCTTGCTCTCTTTCTCGAATCTATCACTACTCTCTGTGCGGAAACCTCGACTCTAGCCTTTGCGCTCCCTCCCGCTCGTTACCCCACCAGCAAGCCGCTCGTCGTGGTCCGCAGCGATGAAGATGTTGCTTAGCTCTTCTTCTCTCCTCTGCGGCGTTCTCGCGACTTCGGCTCTCGTTGGCGCGAGCCCTTTCTCAACAGAGCGCAGCGAATCCGAACAGGAGGCGTTGCGTCCGGACTTTGTCGAAAATGCCGTCCAGGACGCCATCCCACTCGACTGGGAGAAACCGCTGTCTGCCGCATCGACCGGAAACCACATTTTTAACAGCGTCAACTCCCTGATGCAGAGGTTCCCTAACACTTACTGGAGGAACGGTATGTGGTCAATTGTTTTTTTCTTCTTCTTCGGGCTCCCGGGGATCGCCGAATCAAGGTTCTGTGGCACTTATAACATTGAACCTTCTACAGGTCACACCATTGTTCCTGCCGTTATCCCTGCAGGTACCGTGCTATACCATGGCCGTAGCGAGTAACTACATACCTTTCTGATATGCCATTTAAACAATGCGCTGACTTGTCTATCTTTTTCTTCATCCTAGTGGAAACGTCCCTACTAAGCCTGAATGGCTCGCTTTCGACTTCGAGCATTCCTACATGTTCTGCCGCGGGGAGTGCTACGTTGTCTCCATGGTCGCCACCCGCGATCTGCGCCTCGCATACTTCGATGGCTCTTCGGCAGCCAAAGTCACTACCGGTGCTATGGACTCGCAGGATCTGGTCATATGGGGCAAAGTGCTGCCCAACAAAGGGTTCTCGGAGTGGGAGAGGATTATTGAGATGTGTGAGTGGGGGAAGAAGTACGATATCGATGGAATCGTCAGGATGGAGCAGCACTTGTGCGTTATTTCTTTTGTCGATCCTCCTCGTGCCATTTTGCAAGCAGGCTGACTGCGTTCTATTTCATTAGCGAGGTCATGATGTGCGACTTCTCCGCAGGTATGGAGCCCGTCACCGTTCTCAACCTCCTCCCGACCACTCGCGGCGGACGTCCAGGAGGTCCAGGAGGTCCCGGTCGTGGTCCAGGCAATGGGGGGTCTGAGAAGCCTCGCCCTATGGCCGACAACGACTCAGACGAGGTCCCTCGAGTGCCTACCAGGGGCAAAGGCCGCCGCCCTCACAAGCACGATGACGATCAAGCTCATTCCTCCACGGGCGAGGAACACCACCACCATCATCACGAGGCCGACCATCCTTTCCACTCTGAGGTTGAGGACCGTCGCCCCCACTTCCGCCCCGAAGGTGAAGAGCGCCGTCCTCACTTCCACTCTGAAGGCGAGGAGCACCGTCCTCATTTCCACCACTCCGAAGGTGAGGATCACCGTCCTCATTTCCAACCCGAAGGCGAAGAGCACCATCCTCACTTCCACCCCGAAGGCGAAGAACGTCACCCACACTTCCACTCCGAGGATGAGGAGCGTCGCCCTCACTTCCACCCCGAAGGCGAAGAGCGGCATCCTCACTTCCACGGCATGGACGACGGTCCTCGCCCGCACCACAAGCACCACGGCCCTCCCTCCGACGTGTTCGATATGGAGAACCCTTGCCACGGCCCTCATGGCCCTCCCGGCATCGTAGGCCACGTTTTCCATTTCTTCCATTCGGTCTCCTCTTTCTTCGGCTTCAGTCAACCTCCTCACCCTGAGTGGCACCACCGTGGGCCTCCTCCGCCTCCTGGTTTCGGTCGTCGTCCTCCCATGCACCACGATAACGACGACGGCCCTTCTCCCGAGGAGTTTGGCCATTTCTCGGATAACGAGCGTCCACCCCGTCCGTTCAAGGCTAAGGGCAAAGGTCGTGCTCGCCGCCCGTCTGCACCTCATGGCGAAGAGTTCTCTGAGTTCGATCAAGAGCACCGTCAGCCCCATCCAGAAGGCGGCCGACCTCCTCGCCCGATGAAAGGCAAGGGCCCCGAACGCCGTCCTGCCCCCGAGCATGGGCAGGAGTTCTCCGAATTCGAGCACCATCATCACGAACACTTCGACAAAGATTCCAGTCGTTCCCCTCGTCCTGCCCTGAAGTCTTCCGACATCGAGCATCGCCCTGAACATCATGATCACGACCACCATCGCGCTCCTCTTGATGCTGCGAACGCTCCTTCCCGCGACTTCCACCAACCTCATCGTCATACGGAGGATCTTACAGTCACTGACGTCGAAGAACTCTCAAACCCCGTTACCGAGGACGCTGAGGATGTTCCTTCTAAGCCGTCTGAGGAAGGAGGCGAAGACACTCCTCCTTCTGGTCCCGGTGGTCCCGGTGGGCCTGGAGGACCCGGAGGACCTGGAGGCCCAGGCGGGCCCGGCGGTGGACGCGGACCTGGTCGCTGGCCTGAGCCCGCTGAACCTCCTGCAGGATGGAAAGGCTCCCTTCTCAACGGCGAATCTGCCCACTTCGAAGTATTCCAAGCAGGCGCGTGGCACGACCGTGTCCCCGGTGAGACCCGGGTTCGTATCGATTACACCGGCCTCGTCACCTTCTACGACTCTTCCCTCACGTCCCTCGTGAAGTCTCGTGAAGGACAGGATAAGCTTCACCACCGATTACTCGATATTTCGAAGGAGGATACGGAGAAGGTGATGTCGGAGCTGGATGAGGTGTTCTCGAGGGAGTGGCCCGTCACGAAGGAGGCGAACGTTGATTGGGCCAGCATCACCAGAGTTATCGTCGAGAGATACGGAGACCGCCTGGAGGGCCTGAAGTATCTTTTGGAGGAGGGTCGCTACGAGGATGTCGACCAACAGATCGCGCTCTTCCGCAACCAGCTTCTTCTCATGCTCAGCCCATATATGGTTACGAGCGCCGTCCCCGAGGTCGACGCTGATCCTCGTGCCAACACTACATGGGTTGCTCCCATCGTCCACTACTGCTCCACCACTCTTACTTCACATATCGATGCCGACTCCCTGACAAGTCAGGAGGTGAGGATCCTTGGAGCTGTGCAGGAGACGTTGGGTGGTATTTGCAGCACGCTGGGAAGCATATGGGTAGATACATTCGATGTGGAGGAGAAGGATGCAGAGAGGAAGGAGGAAGTGTTGGCGAGCGCCAGAGAGAATGTCGCAGACCTCATGGCGTGGTTGGACTGGTCGATGTGGATTAAGTGCGACCCTGGGTGCAGCTTCGAGGTGCGTTGTATTCTCTGCACTGTCTTTCTTTCGCTTCGAGATGCTCATTCATTCATCGACAGGAAATGTGCTGGATCCCTGCTTGGCCCAACCTGGGTTCTGATCCTTACGATATGACTCCCCGTTGCGTCCGTCGCTTCGCTCCGTTCACCTGGTAAACACGCGAAATCAACACCCATTTCCGCCATACCTAGCCTCTCCGCCTCCCTTTGGTGGTCAACCATAGGCTCGTAACGCGGGACCGACGAACGACGAGCTTGGTCAACTAGCATGATGGACATTGCCTCGCTTTTGTTAAGTGGTCGGTCCACATTTCAACTTCTCGGGTTCGTTCCGGTCATATCTTGCGATTTAGTATGATATCCTACGCGTTGGCCTCTTGATTCCCCTAGACGTCGCGTCATTAAACGTGCGCGATGTTTACATATTGTTACCTTACGTTTGGTTTCTGTTTCCCGTTCATGATTTTCGTTGTTTCTACAGGTTATCTGTTCTTCGAGCCCACAGGTCTTCTCAATGTCCCCTTTTGGGTGGGCGCTGTCAAAGGATCTATCGATGGACGGATTTATCCCCGACATTCTTTACCGCTTTGTCTACTCTCAATTTCCTTGGTCTCCTCCCCGGTCATCGTCCGGAGCCCGAGCTTCACATATGTACCCATCTACTAGGCTCTTGAGCTCGTATATTCGTACTTCGACGCTTGCTGCACTTCTAGTGATTGACCAATTATGCCTCTCCTATTACCTCTGTATTCCAGCATTATTTAAATACCGTGGACCATGGCATCTGTAGTAGAATGATTCGCTTATAGCGTATCTTTTGACGCCAATCCATTGATGTGTTTCCCCCTTCGACAAGATTCAGCGTTACCGTGAACTTTGTTGCCCGACGTTTCTGTGTTTCCTCTTGGGAGACTCACTGCCGTAGTCAGAATACCGACCGTCTCCATGTCTGCACTTCGAGCTACTAGATAGGTGGCACAATGGTATCGAATACATAGGAAGCAGGGAAGCTACGGGCCTAGAGATACATCTTGTTGCAACTTCATAACGCCTCACATCAAACAGACAAGTCGGTGACAATTGAGGGCTCTTAATGTCGAATTCGTTCATGAGGCTCTTGCCAGGGAACACCTACAGCAAAGGGTCGACTGTCAGCATTCACGTCCTTCCCTTCACCAGCTTGATGGCGGCTACTCACCCAGAATCTTGAAAATCTCCTCTTCGGTTGACGACGCGATGATATTGCCTAGATGTAGAATGGTTGGCGACATCTCAAGGGTCGTTGTGGGAAGGGGAAAGCGTACCTGGTGAAGTCTTGACAGTTCTCTTCGAAGGTTTGCGGACAACGCCAGCATACAGACCACGTTGATTGAGTGAGTACCCCATCACGTCCGCCTTCATACGAATTGAGCGGTTGAACTACGCAAAAATTGGGACTTTTGTCAGTAGAGAAACGTGAAGGGTTTTCTGTGAGACGAACGCGCGTACAAGATCATCGCCAGTGTAGTAGATCAATGCTGCCCCTCTGCTAGCCCACGGCACGCATAATATATCTGTGCCGTCATACGACGTGCATAAGAGGTAATTCATCGAATATCATGGCGTGACACGACTCACCAATCCTCCGCCTGGTGCGCTTCTCATGCGGAACATTAGTATGAGTGCGAACACAGAGCCCGCGGTATATGGCTTCTAGGCCGAAAGAGTCATCCGGCAGGGCAAGATCGTTCGTGATAATGGATGCCTTTCGAAGTTCACGGAGCAACTTGTAGAGGACCCCTGAGGATGTAGAATGACTTTAGTACGAGTAACCGAAGTGCTGATCATGTTACTTACTGCTATGCGTCTTACCATCATCTGTCGGGCGGGTGATGAGGATGTCAATATCCCCTACGGTATTCTTGCCTCTGATGTACGTGGTCAGCCAACGGAAGACGACGTCCTGAATATAGTCTTAGCCGACGAACCTCCGGTAACTACCCATTATATCGATGAACAGCTTGGGGTCAATTCGAAGAGCTGCATGGTGGGTCAGGGCGGGTTGAAAACGAGAACCTATGACTAGTCAATACGCACCTATCCTCTTGATATCCTCAAAGATCTCCGCAGCCTCCTCGCGAGGGATACGAGTATTGATATCTGCAGAGTCAAAATGGTGAACACAGGTGTTGGTCGGGACACCCTTGATACTAACCTTGATAATACTTCAGACCAAGCTCCTGCACTTCATTTAATTGCACTCCATTCTTCCCGCTGAACAGATCCTCAAGGGTCTCACAGCCATATCTGTACCACTTATATGCAGTTTGTCGGCCTTCGAGATAAAGAATTAGTATTACTTCGTAGAGGACACTGACACACGTGAGGAGGGTATGACTTACCTACGCCATATATACCATAGAATAAATTTATGACCTCGACGTCTCTCGTATTTTCGTAAAGGAGACGTCGTAAATCTCCGGTCTCCAGGATTTCCTGGATCTATGTTAAGAGACAAGTAAGTTTGGAGCACCGGATAGGAAGACAGAAGATCCGCCTGCCTTTTTAGCCGTCGCGTCGCCGATACCGGGAATGCTTACGGCCTCAGCGTAACTTTCAATCCGTGTAGGGTACGCTCGAAGTTTAGGAAGTACTATGAGGACGATTGTAACCTGATGAGCGTACTCTGTATCTTCCTTGAAATAGAAACTTCATACTTTTCTGATAAGTGAAAGTTCGCCAAAAGTCCCCCGGCATAGGTTTAGCACGATGCATCTCTGCGAGCTTTTCCAACTAACAGCATGATAGCGGTCAGATGACCACCAAACGACAACAGTGGAAGAAACGAACCAGGATGACGATATCCTCATTCGGGCAGAGCTTGTCCGTCTCTCTCGACTTACTCGGATCGTCGCATAGGAAACCCTGGCAGCAAATACACATAATAAGGCCCACGAATATGAAGAAGCCAGAGACCTACATACCCTAACTTTGGGTCGTGCCCGCATCTCTTGACTGTGATTGTTACCCAGGGCCTCATCGTCCTCCGTGTCGTAGTCATCATTATCAAACCTCTGTGACTACATTCAGCGGTCATATAAAACGGTGATACAGCCACAACACCCACCTCTACCATTTCCCGCCTACGCTCGGCTTTGGCAGCTTCATAAAATTCCGCCAGAGGGTCTTCCCTTCTGCTGGATGAGGGGCCTCCACGAGCGAGGGAGTGTCGAGACCCGAATCCTGTACCCGCTTGTTTCTGGTTAAGGCCAGTGGTGGCTGATGGAGAGGGATCTTCTGTGAAGTTCCTGTACAGAGCTGTCAGACACTCGAAGATCAGATGACGAAAGAGAACTTACGATATCTGACTCTCGTTTCCGTCGTCTATGCTCTTCTTGGACTCTCGTTTACAGTGATTAACGGTCGGTCTCGGTAGCTCGCTACCCTCGTACTTCCGACAATCAAAAGCTGCATGGACGAACACGGAGCCCATTTTAACGAATCGCACATCCTTGCCATCCGGACCTACCTCCGTCACTAAGCGATTGGTGTTAATCCATGACCATCTGATGATAGGTATATGGTCAGGAACCTCCTTGAGATTCTTGACACCCAATCGCTTCAGCGTCCCGTTAATACTCAGAACATCGTCTGTAACGATATGGGTGACTTCGTCGGGATGGTATTTCGCAATGAGAGTCGCTCCGTGTCTGCACATCTGAAGAATGTATTCATTTAGTACCGAAACATTGATCTAGCCACAGTCACGAGAAAATTCATCAAAAGTGAGCCACGCACCATCTTCATCCGCTCCCTGGTAGTTTCTGTGGCTGTAGAGTAGTCATTGCTAGCATAGAAGATCTTGTAGTCCTTCAGATATGTGCTGTTTAATACCTTGTCCCTGTGCTTTCTGACTTGAGCTGGTGTGGAGTTCTCTGGCAAGGGCGGCGGGAGCACTGGAGATGGGCCCTCTCTCGCCAGGTATTCTGCGTACTGTTCTGGCAGCAACTTTGGCTCTTGCGCCTTTCGTTTGCCCTTTGGTTTCGGCTTCTGTTTCGCAGCAGGGAGCACGGGAGGAACAATACAAGGGACGGGAGGTGGCTTAGGGAGAGGTTTCAGTACCTTTGGGGTACCCGTCTTCTTCCCATGCGATGACACCTTCCTGACTGTCGAAACTTTGCTCAGTGATCTCGATGGAGAAGTGATGCTGCTTGTCTCTGCCACCGCGGCCTTCTTACTGACAAGCGGAGAGTCTCGGATCGTAAACTCCGAGATGCCTTCAACAGAGGAAGAAGGGAGAACGGGAACGAGGTTGCGTGCAGGGGGCGATGAAGCGGGAACGATGACGGATGATAACTGGAGCAGAGCGCTACGTTCAGGGGCCGTTTGTTTAGGAGACTGAGGTGAGATGAATGGAATGGAGGGCATGGCTGAAGGATCTGCCTCAGGCTGTTGTTTAAACTTCTTTGCGGGTGGCGTCTCTTTCGGTGAAGACTCTTGTAGGGGCGACTTGCGTTTCAGAGGCCTGCATGCATTAATGTAAGTATGGTAAAATTAGAAAGCAGGGAAACATACATCGTTACAGGTTTCAAGGTTGGATCACGGTCCGAGGAACTAAAGTTTCTGTGTCAATCAGCATACCCCGAGAACGCCAAAATTGACTTGAGATCCACACAAACCTGACAGACAGCTCATGTTGAGACACTGTATTTGTACGAGATCCATTGTGTTCGGTAGCAGAAATCGGGGTTATCGAAGGCCTGACAGTAATGTTAGTATGTTGTGATGTGGGTCTTGAAATGGAAGCAGTCGAAGTGCCGTCACTGTTGAATGACGAGACTTGGACAAAACATAGAACACTACATACTCCGAGGTTCGAGCAGTCATCCGAGCAGTCCGATACATGAACTGTTCCCAGGTCTCATCTCGCGACGCCAAGCGCGCTTCCCAGTCTCTTGGAGCCATGGGTGTGGTAACTTAGATTTATAGATGATCGGTGAATCCGGGCGCAGGGAGTCAGAGCAGGAGCCAGTTAAGCTCGAAGGGTCCGTGACAGTTGGGGGCGAGATGAGCTCAGCTGTGGATAAAAAGCTCTGATCCAGGGTAAGGTGGCCCTTGATGATGGTTGTAGACAAGAGAGCTCGAGCGCGAGTCGCGCTGACTCCTGAGACATCAGACGCAACACGAATTCGAACCCCGCTCCTGACACGCCCCACGTGACCGTGACGTGTGGCTGCTGCCATTATGTGGCTCCGACGCTCCGACTGCAGATTGTGGCCATGACAAACGGTGCATAAGAATGATAGAATGCATGGTGGGTAACAAGAACAAAAAACGGAATAATGATGAGCTTGGTGGAACACAGGCAAGCGAACAGGCGTAGACTTATGGACTAAAAGCTTAGGAAGAGGAGAGAAGAAAGGCAACGTAAGACTCGGAGTCTGCGTGTGCATGATAGTGTCATAAAAACAAGAATCCGCTGGGGTATAATTCTGCGACAAAACAAGATAGACTACAACGAAGGTACAGAAGGGGGAAACACTCAATGGTTTGATACGCTTCGGATAAGTTGTTCTGAAGCCCTTGACCGAGGCTTGAAACTACACTTGAAATGAACAGGATGTCTGGGTTCACAAGACTGTCAGGAGCAGAGTCAATGCGTGCTCAAAACCAAACGTCACTTACGATATGATAGATGAAGTTTGTTGTGGTGGAACGGAAGGACCGTCAGACTCGATGTTAAATACCGCGAGCACCGAGGCGACAATAGCGAACATAGCGGCGTTGCTGAAGTAACGACCAGGGCATATCCTATGACCGCGCACTCCGAGCCTGAGCATTCTGTGAATATGCAAGGACTAAATATTAGTACATACCGTCGTCCGAACCCAAATGCGATATCTTCTGGATCAAGGACGTCCTCGGTGTTGAGCTTTCCGCCCTTCAGATAACGTTCCGGTTGGAACGCCGAAGGATTAGGATACATATTTGGGTCATGTAGAATCCCCCTATAGGCGAGAGCAGATAAGTCGATCCTCATGGATTGGCGAGCCAGAAAAGAGATACTCACCAGGCATTCACCATGATCATACTGTGCTTCGGAATCCGGTAGCCCTTGTACTCATCCTCCTCATCGTTTGAATGCGTGAAAGCTGTATCCGGGGGTATGGTGATGATAATGAGGTAAACTATTCATCATTGTAGCCTGGTACATTACTCTTACAGAGAGGCGCGACTATCATCCATCTTGTAAGCTCCTTGACAATTGCAGCACAATACGGCAGGTTCTTGAGGTCGCTGAACGTTGGTAACCGATCACAGCCGATGACAGAGTCGAGCTCAGCTTGAGCCTTGCGTTGTACATCCGGGAAGTGGATCATGGCTAGGAAGAACGAGAGCAGTGTGGACGTTGTCTGAAAACGATAGTAATATTAGTCCTTTAAAAGTCGCATCTTATAGGCCATGAACACAAACTGTATCTGCACCAGCTATGAGGCGTGTATGTCAGCCATCAATTTCGAGCCCATGAGCCAGTTTAGGAACGCACCTGCATATGCGATACCTGTGACATCTCGAGCGACCTCGTCTTCGACCTGGCCGTTTTCTACATCGTCGATGAGACTCGTCGCCACACAAGGCCTCGCAATACCTTGTTTCTACGTTCTTCCTGAGTTTGAAAACCTTGTAGTTAGGAGTTTGTTGACATACCATAGCCCGTTTCGTATCGTTCCAAGGGATCCTCGCAGTATCGCGGATGAAGACACTTGCTTTCGCAGCCCAGTTCTTGAATTCAAGACCAGGGAACCAAGAAGGGACATACATCACTGCGCAAAGTCATGATATGAGCGACTCGACGTATCAAGAAAACTAAGATATTAAAACATACACCAGGGGAATACGTCAACCCAGAACCGTCCAGGCATTGCGGCCTCCGCCAATGCCGTCAGACCTTGCTCAGCTGTGTGTATATATGGGTCATTCATGCTTTTAACGTCGATGCCATAGACCGCTTTCATGATGCTTGAGCCAAAATTACTACGGAGGCACAAATAGAAGCTGTCAGAACGATAGTGTAACTAAGGAATGAACATGAGCTCCTTACCAGCGGACGTGTTCCTCGAAATGATCCGGGTTAATTAGTAAACTCAGGAGCATGCGGTGCGTGGACTGAAGCTGAAGATCTTGGTATTTGTGTATCACGGCAGGGCTGAAATGCTGATTGAACAGTTTTCGCCGTTTGGACCACATATCGCCTGCCGTCGAGAGATCATGGGTGAGTATATAGGAGAGCTGTAGGGACGGCGGCATACCATATGCCATTGTGGACATTGACCACTGAAAACCCATACTAGTATAAAATTAACTGATCAACTAGGCCAAAAAAGGAGCTCGATACGAAAATGGAATTGCAACGTACAGCTTCAACATGATCATCTGCGGTCTTGTCGAATAGTTGGACGATCGACGGTCAAGCAAGTCTTTCGCCGCCTGAGCAGAGCTGAGTATGATGAGCGGCTTTCCTAGGGCCTCGAAATACATGACGTCGCCTATGATAATAACCAGCGTCAAGAAAGCATATCGAGCGCACAGAAGAAGCCACCAGTACCATATTGCTCGTCTGCCATCTCCTTGAAGGCAATCCACGGATATTCAGATGGAATATTGTGAACGCTCCCTATGATGGGTAGACGATTTGGGCCAGGCGGCAAGGGAAGCTGCTTCCTAGCACGAATTTTCCTGACCAGAATATAGATCACAAAAGACGAGGTCACAGCGACGAGCACCCGGTTGTCGGGAAAGATGGCGAGAAGCGCCATGGTGGACAGAGAAGTGCTGGGAAGGAAAGTCTTTAGGTCGGGCGTCACTTCGGTGGAGCTCAAGACGAGGGACATAAATATTAGTCGGCAAACAGTGAGGATCACCTTTTTTCCCAGGGACGAGGAAATGACCGCTGATAGAGGGAAAAGCCGTCAACTGTTCTCATACCGATGAGCGTGAGAGCGTCACTGTCGCACGCGAGGATCCAGGATCGAACCGAGGCCGGACGAACTGAACAAGGATGATTGAGACCAGACTTTACGTCTGCAAGCAAAAGGGCTCAATCAAATGACCGGAGATCGAGATTGCACAGGATCGCCCTACAAAAGGCACCGTGCCGACCCGTCCGATGTTTCCGCAACGCCTCGAAGCGCCGTGCTGCAAAGTTTTCGCTCTCAGACTGGCTTCGTCGAGGCTCCTTCGAGAAGCGGCCAACAGCCACTGCTATGACGAACGATACTGGGTACGAGAGCTATAGTTGGAGAAAGAAGAAGTTCTTGCGCCACTGAGTGCGGGTGCGGAGATAGTTAGCAGAGCACACACGGAACGTATAAGTTGAGAAGTAAGCGCGTATCTCCAGTAAGAATATAGCTCAGGCGTGAGATAACTGTCAGACGATAGACAATAAGCGTTGCGGTACCGCTGTCATAAGGTTTTCGATTCGAAGCTTGCGTGGTTGCGCCCTCAAGCTGACTTATGCCCGTCGTTGAAGACGGTGAACTTTGGGACCGTTGCCTTCGAGCGCAACATGTTCAAGTCGTGACTCCTTCGAGTTCAATGCAACTTACAGGTGGTCGACCCTGAGAACGCACTGTGGAAGACGGATAGGGTGAAATTCAGCCAAATTTAAGGTGATTTTCATGTTTCACCCAATTTTCGGTGGCCGCCGCTAGGCCGGCAGACGGCTTCGTTGAAATTCACCCAAACTTTGCAGGGAGCAACGAGCCTCTTACAAATCAAAATAAATTCGGATAGAATTACGGTAGAGCATGATCTGCTGTGTGGTTGACTCGGTCTACGTCAGAACCGTGCAATGTGCGGTGAATCGAGACGAAGTACTGCGAAGGACGGTGGCCACAAAGTAGAGTAGAGTGGCGTAGCCCGTGGGGCCGATGACATCATAGTCGTGTCTTGCTTCAACTCGACTCCCAGATCTCTTTGCTCTCTCTCTAGTACCACCACCACCACTCCCGGGTTTTCATCAACATTGGACGTGATCTACTCTGCTCTGTGCTGGAATCTAGCTAGATTTCTGGTTGCCGCTCACGCTTCATGAGCCTCTATAGCTTGCCGGCCTCTGTTTGATCTTGGCTCTGAAGACTTGACATTTGCATTCCCGCTGACAAGGAACACGATTTGGAGGTCGCTTCAGTAACGATTGGGAAAGGGTCTGTTGGAAATTGTCGGAGACGTGGATTTTACGGTTCCCTGAAAGGTGCAGTCGTACTCCATTCCATTCTTTCTTCGCTATCGGGAGCACCATGTGCTTCATACTTTTATGTGAGTGGGTACGCACTCGTCACGCCCGCCCGCCTCCTTCGGTGAACGTGATTCTTATGACCTCCCTGATGGTTGTATACTGATCTGGCTCGATGTACTCGCTGACCTTGACAACTCTCAACTTTCTTCCACCTCTCATATCTTTTTTGCCATTCTCTCTTTCCCTGCGGCCTCTCAATAGAGTTATGTCTTGCTGTTCAACTTTCATGGAGGGTGAAGCTACAGATAGGGCACAGGTAACACTTCTCAGTACTATATAGGAGTATGTTATCCCTAGTGTATCAGTGTATATACATAATTCATATTTAATCAAATTTCTCTCATGTTTCTCGCTCTCTCGGGTGCCAAAACAAACGGCCTGGCAGCCCTTCAGTAGGGTCTAAGCTGATCATGCATGAGAGCGTGAACCGGCTGCCGCACCTCCTCGAGTCAGCCCAAGATACGTGGATTTTCACCCGAACTTTGAATGAAATCTTCGGGTGAAAACGAAAAAAAACTTCGTGAATTTCACCCGAAAATTTCACCCAAAATTGAGGTGAAGCCGATATCCGTCACCTAAGAATTAGGTGAAAATCCCATGCATCTTCGGTTGAAAAATCAGGGTGAAATTCACCCAATACGTACCCCCCAGTGAACTTGGTGAATGATGGTGACACGCGCGATCTGATCCCGATTAACCCTCCGCTTTGCTGAACCTTAAGTTATTTCCAGGCCGGTGAACTGGCACCGCGGACTCAAACATCTGGATTGGGCCCCTCTTCGGGAAAGCCTCGAAGTCTGCAAGCTACATCAAGCATTGAGAGTCACATAGAAAGCTATGGTCAGCCAAAATACCTCCGGCCAGAAAATATCATCACTTCATAAGCACGACTACTTATCATTCTCCGCGTTACCAAAGACAGAAGAGTGCGATGTGATCTGGCAAGGTTCGTTCGGGAGGTAACCGACCCACAGTCTTGGCTATGGCATAAGATCTTGTAAGACCGTGACTCAATGTTGCTCTTCTTAGCTGGCAAGCGCCGATGAGTTCTTTCCTCGAGTTCACACAAACCTGGAAAAATAATATTACTCAAGACGTCTCTTGTTCAGCCGTTCGCAGTGTATTTGACCTCCAGAGATAACTGTTGATGATCCTACAACTTGTAATACCACCTTTGGAAATGTGAAAGGACGGAAGATTACCAGACCATGCCTTAGACGGGCTTCTTGATAATTGGCTGGAACCGGAGGAAGAGCAAATACTTTTCGAAGGATGGTATTCCGCCTCCGAGGATGGACTAGGTGCTCTGCACATCGAATATACACCGATCGCGGACACCACAGCGACGTATTAATGGACTAACACCAACACGGCGATATCGCTACGGCCTCGAAACCGCAACTCAGGACGCCAGGAACAACGTCAACAACCCACAGGAAAGCGATACTTACGGATGGATCCATGATCAAGGTCTTGCACGGCCCGTCTGACGAGCATTGTATTAGGAAGGAAAGAAGGTTAGGTGACATCCTGTAATTGAGAACAGTACAAGGGCCCAGCTTGTCGCTTGAGGCCATGCCGAGCTGTACTGTTCAGGACAGAGCCCACCGATTACTTTGAGCATGCTGTGCAGGTGTGTGCACGACGCAACGGTAACACTGGTCGGAGGACTCTCTCTTGCCCACTGAATTGAAAATCCCGAGACTAGAGAACCCACGACCTGCTTCGTTATGAGCTCTTGCAGGGCGGCAGAATGGAGATCGTTGGACCATGAGTTTGAGGTCCGAACTGTGAAATTGGGAACCAGAGAATGGACCCTATGTTCGAACCGCTCCTCCTTCCAGCTCATGGACATGTCGTGCTTCTTGCGCACAGTATAGACTTGTGATAATTTACTATCAAGAAGTCAAAGGCATCGAGCCCCGTGAGTGGCATGGGCAAGTCGTACACGTCAAAGGCAGAGATGAAAGAATTCTATACCGGAACTTCTGGAATAACGTGGACGATAAAGCTTACAAAAAAAAACTGCTAGCTCAACGTACCTCTAGTCCCGACCGACAAACCTCACAATCTCGTAGATCGGTACTTCCAGCTGACTGTTGTCTGTGAGCTGAATTTCTCCTTCATCTCGCCGACCCGTACAGCTAGACACCGAGCCGTTGTTGCCATGCGATCACAGACTTCGCCTTCATATCGATCGACGCTAAAAAGCAAAAGCATCATAAGTATAGCGACGGAAAAATTTAGGGCAAATTTAGGGCAAAGAGGCAAGGCCGCGACTCCGGAACATGTCCCTCCATTGCTCTTCGATGAAAGCGCCGACACTAGTCAGCTATCAAATAGTTAAACAGTGAATGATCTTTCCTGTCTTCTGGCGGCCTTAACTCATATGCATAGGCCCTAGGCCATAGGTACCTCCTTGATGACCGTTGCTTGAAAGCTGGAAGTCTCCATTTGCGCGACTGTTCCTCCCAGCCGGAGGCCAAGTCTTCGTTATGTGCGCTACGGAGACTCACCCCTATCTATACTGAGAGCCAAAGAACCACTATGAGTAAAAGCGCAAGTGAACGAGTGGACATGAGTAATCAAATCTGTCGGAGGATTCCCTACCTATTGTTTGAACTGAAGGTCCCGATGCTTCTCAAAGACACCTACGATCCCCCTCGACCCCTCGAAATAACCAGTTGTACATCGTAACGACGCAATCTCTTCGAAAGTCCCTTTCAACCTTCCCCTCGAAGGATGTCTCCCGCGATGGCCGTACCTGACTAAATTAGCCATGCCCATGTTCACAGCGACGCAGCCAAGGTTGGCAGCTGAGTCGTGTTGAGCCTACGTTGAACACACTTGGCTGCGCTTCTGCAGTCGTGTCGTCCGGCGTAATCACCTTGTACTGCGAGCGATGGGAAGGCCGATAAAGACCAGTGAGCATTTGTTGCTGCCACGATCCTGACGTAGTGATCATGGATCTGGTACCTTCCGCTTCGTCTCAGTACCGCGGATCGCCTGATGTGTCCCTGCTGCCGACTTCTCTACGCGATTCACGTTAGTAAACAACAGCGTTGAAGTGAAAGGAGTTAGTTACCTGGTTGTACTCGGATGAGTCAAGGGTTTCAATGTTGGCAGTGGAAGCCTACATGAGGATCGTCGTACAAATCTCGCGCGAAATAAACGGCATGATGGCTAGCCCAATGGGCCACCTTTCAAGGGTTGCCTCCGAGGCAACATATTAAATATGTAAATGTTTCGTCTCCATCATTGTCAGTGGTACTCGACGCTTCAGTATGCCGTCCCGGCGCTTCACTCCTTGCCACCCATTCATCAGCGTTGCTACGCGAGGCCCAAAGGTATTCAAAGGGCACGTAGTAAGAGCGCATAGCGTAAGCGGTCGATCACGACCTCCTACATTGTACTGTCAAAGTCAATCGCGCCCCGTCAGACACTTTTCACGGGTTACTCTGTTCTGAGCCTAGCGAATGGTTATCAGTGTCCTAGACGCCAACGATATGGCCGCCGGTGGCGGCTGTTGTGGCTGACCAAAGCGACTCGTGAGCACCACCACCTTCTGAACGGAACAGAATCATCGAACATAAATATAGTCTGCGAGCATTACGATGGTTGTATGCCCAACATTCATCAGCGTTGTTCCTGTAAGATGCCGGTTAAACAGGGGCTGTCAAGCAAAATCGCTTAACGCTCAGATTGTGGCGTGAGCGTGAGGCTGACCAGTAAAATGACGGGTTTCCAGCCACACATAACTCCTTCGTCGACCGGGCCTCACACGCGCACATGGCGTATAACCCGCGAGGAGCACTTCGACCCATAAGACGGGAAGCAGGAAGATCCAACAGCAGCGGAGTGAGCCAGATCTGCAAGCCCCAAGCTTCACCCATACCCACACCACCTCGGAGTTATTGACGAACAACGATCGACTGGACATTCGCCGACGCTCGAGATTCCATTGATATCTGCCCTCCCACTGGCCACATCGCGACTTCTGTATGATAGCCCCAGTGGGCCCAATGTTGAACAGATCTTAAAACGAGAGATCCAATTAAACGTTCGACTAGAAGCGTTTGTTGGATCTCCCCTCGGGGATATGTGCTTTGCCCCTGGTATGCAGCAAGACCGGAGAAGTGCAGATTGTACGTGTGAGCTGTGCGTCCCGATGCCTCGTTGCGTGACCGACTGGTTATGTGGTCCTGGGCGGCTGTCATCCCGGACAGATCCGAACCGCGTAAGATTACCGTGTGGATGGATATTGGCCTATGTTTGAGCGATTATGACCTACATCTAGGCCAGGTTGGAGGCGGTCGAGACGAGCACATGTGAAGGTGAAGTGGAAATAACGAGCTGCGAGAGGAAAGCATAGGGTTGAACGAGGATCTTCGAACCGGCGTTTGGTAAGAAAACATACCGGGTGCCCTTATGCTTCGTGTAAAAAGACATAGACACGTAATAATAATACGTCCAACTTCAAAGCACCGTGGTACAGGTGACCTTTATCTCCCTGGAAGCGAGAACCTGCCCGTCGAATGACGGAGTGACCTTCGGCCACTTGGCCTGAGCCTACGCAAAGAAGCCGACAACGAAGCCGCCGGGGTAGGAGCTGAAGTTAGACACTTGTGTATGGCCGGCTGCAATCCAACGCAGCTGACTCGCTGGATGGGTTCGTGCGTACAGTAGAAGTTTGCGAACAAACCGAGGCTACAAGCTGATATTTTTGCGTCGGAGGCGATGACCTGGCAAGGATAGACCGGCTTGAGAGAAAGATAGGTACATCAATAGAGTCACGTACTGTATGCAGAAGACTTATTGGGCTTCTAGGAGAAGCTGCAAGTCACCGCAACTCTCGTATCAACCGACTTGGACATTCGTTGTCCTTTCCGTGATGACGACTCGGAGGCCGTTCTCCCGTGGAGTTGTAGGACATTCACGAAGCTTGCGACAAAATTATAGCCCTTCCCGCCCGAGGTCCTGTTCATAGGTTGAGTGGCACCCCAGCGGTGGCACACGCGAGAGAAGATCGTGGTGAACGTACACAAAGCGACGGAACCCGAAAGGGGGAACTAGGTTGTGGTAACCGGGTAATGCCGCCGTGTTTACGTCATGCGCTGTAACCGGAGTGCGCTTTGACCCGCTGTGCTTCTTGCCTCCTCCTCATCACCTCAGTCGACCTTCAAGCTCGAGATAATATCATACTATACTCTCTTGGGCAATAATACACAACACCTTTGCGACAGTTTATCTCTTACAAGATCAACACTTGCTCCAGCGTCGTCCTACCTTTGTATCTAGTGTATCATAGCTTGTGCCTTACAAATGCATCCTTATGGTGGAACGCCTATTTGTCCGAGGTGCTCTAAAGCTGTCTATGCTGCAGAGCAGGTGAGTGGTCTCCATATTTTTATTCCATCTTGTTGCTGAGTGGCGCCGATGATCGCAACAGGTAATGGGTCCGGGAAGGAAGGTATGTCTCGCCACTCAACGCTAAATATGAAGCGTATCCTGATCAGTCCTTAACTTCGCGAAGTTGTATCACAAAGTGAGTTCCTCATGTTCTGAGGCTTTGGATATATCATGAACGAATCCCATTTCAGCCTTGTCTATCCTGCATGGAATGCAATAAGCGGCTAGATTCCTATAATCTTGTAGAACATGACCAAGAGGTACGCTTCTGAGGAATATGTTGCGCCGACTTCAGCGCTGACGGTTTCTCCTTGGACTTCTCGGTGCAGCCATATTGGTAGGATTTTTCTTCCATTTGTCATGTTGTATGTCACACTTATATCTCTTCAGTAAGAATTGCCACACGAAGCTCTTCGGTACGCGCGACCTCCGGCAGGCCAACTTGCCGCACCGGGATGGCGCTGCACCCCTATCCCCCACACGCACTGGCTCCTTCCAACTACCCAACGTACAATCTCCCGCGAATACCGGTTCTCCGCGATCATCTGTTGATGGACCGCCTCTACCTCCTCGCACCACCAGATCCCCGCCTCCTCTACCTGGTCGCCACAACAACAGTGGAAGCTTCTCGCTCAAACCAACGCACTCTCTGAGTCCCACCGCCAATTCTTTCTCATCTTCCATCGGTAGACCTACATCGCCACCCGGATCAGGCCACTTCAACTCGGTCGCAGAATACGAGGAAGACGACGACAATGCAGTAATGGATAATACGTCAGAACTCGAATCCTCCGACCGAGAAAATTCACTCCAGCCGCTCTCTCGCACCGGTATTCCCAACCGCACGGTATCAGCAGAATCGCCGCTTCAGCAACGCCAATTCCAAACAGCATCCCCTGGGACCGTAGGGCGCGCACAATCGTCAATTGGAGGGACGATGAGCATGAAGTTCAATGGCAGTGCTACCCTGGGGAGGGGAACTATGTCGCCTTTGACGACTTCTCCGACTGGGACGAGATATGGTGTAGGGTTAACAGGCGAGTTGAAGCCTATGCAGACAGGAGGTAGATGGGGTGCGGAGACGCCGAAGTGCCCTAAATGTGGGAAGAGTGTATATTTTGCGGAGCAGGTGCGTGTATATCCTTGTACTTGATTCCTTCTTGAGGTTGACCATCCTTGCATCGCTACACTAGGTCAAGGCTGTAGGAAAGACATGGCACAAGGGCTGTCTGCGGTGCGGAGAGTGCAATACCACCTTGGATTCGAGCCGTCTGACTGAGAAGGACGGAGAGCCATTTTGCAGTAGGTGCTATAACAAGGTCAGCCTCGTGTTGCCATGTCTCGCGCGGTGAAGTACTGATACAGCCCACAGCTCCACGGTCCTCGAGGAGGAGGTTACGCGTTGCTGGGAAAGGCAGGAGGTTAGATGAAAGACATGCCTCTGTTTACGATCGCTTTATGATAGCGCACGATGTGCTGCGTATGTGTGGACCCCTCCTTCTCCACGAACTATGATTTATTCGTATGTTTTCGGTTTTACTGCTATGTTCCGGCCTCTGTGCTATTGTACGCCGCCATTTATTTTGTCTGCCGGTATATTTGAATTCGATCGCTATAATATGTTGTATTTGAGGCATACATTGTGAGGCTATAAAATAAAGGAAGGACGATTGTTTTGTGTGAGGCCTGCTACGGAGACTTTGAACGAAGGAAGAGATATGTTTACGCCATTCAACAGACGGAGTTTTAAATCACGGCAGTTGCCGAAATTGAGAAGCGGACGAGTGCACAACATCGAAGGTGGCCCCGGACGCTCTAGTCACTACCCCTTGCTACTCACCGCCATCGAGGACGACGGCGACAACGACTGTGAGATTCACAACAGATGGAAACCAATACATTCAAACTGCTTGAATCCACGACGATCAAGACTTTGCACGCTCACAGCTTTACGCGCTCGTCCACTCAAGCCTCACTCGTGCTCACAGACCTCCTGTCCCGGTATCTTTCTCTGCTCACATCGACATGTGCACAATATGCGCAGCACGCAGGTCGAACGAATCTTACCGCACGCGATGCTCTATTTGCCCTGGACGAAATGGGAGTGAATGTGGATGAACTGGGCGATTATGCGAGCGTGGAAGGGATGGAGTTGGGACGATATGCGCAACAACGGACAGCAAGGAGAGTAGAGGAGCTGAATGAGCTCAAGGGTCAGTCGTGCCTTGTCAAATACAGTCGCTGTTTACCTATCAGTTTGCTTCTGCTCATACTTAGCGGTCCTACGGGAGGGTCTCCCATTGTCACGCGAGGTAATTCCGCTGGAATATGCTCCATTACCCGACATCCTTCCCGATGACAACGACGATGAGGATGATGAGGATGATAATGAGCCTGAGGAGGAAGACGAACCTTCTCGTCAGGAGGGAACGACGGAAGTAGAACCACCGAGTGCGAAAGTCAGGAAACATGATGAGATGGAACTTCTGGACGACTTCCCTCCTCTTCGACGTGTGTCGCAGCTGCCAGTAACACCTCCGCCACAACCTACAACGCCTCCACTTCCGCTATCTCCTATCTCAAATCCATCATCCCCAGCCCGCAAACGTCCACGGACAGAGAACTGGCAGCCACCAGACCATATCCCGAGCTTCCTCCCACCCTTTCCATCTGCTTCCCGTGTTTCTCCAGAACCTGAGCCTCTCCCGCTTGCCTCCCTTGCATCGCGGAATCCTGCAGCAGACCGTCCAGCATCTCCGCCTCGGCATTCTTCGACTGCACCAGCAGATTACGCCACAGCCGTCCCATATACGGATTCATCTCTGTCCGGAATTCCAGAATGGCATCTCCCAGCCTCATTACTCCCCTCATCGACTTCGTCTTCCCAGTTGTCGTCATCTCACCCCCGCCTTCCAACCCCCCAAGTCCCGCCCTCTCTTATAGCAGCTTATCACCACATCCTCACCCATCCACCACCCGCGAACCCGAACGCCGCGAACCCCTCTCGTCACCGTGTCGCTATGGCTCTTCTAGACCAGACACAAAAGAAATCACGCTGGGAGCCCGCTGACACGCTCTACGCGAACTTGACGCCTAACCTCCCAACGGTCGCTCCGTTTGGTCCATCATATGCCGTTCCTGTTAATGCAACTCCACAGAATGAAAAGAAAGATGAGGATGGGAAGGACAAGGAGAAGAGATTACCGGGCGTTCATCCGCGTTCCGTCGTTCCATTCGAAAGAGGGTCACCGCTCATAAGCTCTCAAACCTCTCGAATACCGGAGTTAGCGCGCGAGGTGCTGCCGGTATGTCATCTTGCGATCATGTTCCGTTTCAATTTTCTTCAATTTATTTTCGTTGCCTTTTGGGTCTAATCACTCACTCACTTCCATTTTTCATCATTTCCGTCAGAACCTCGTGCATACGCGGGTTACCCGTCTCAGTCACCCGCCCATTCTTTACAGAAGCAACGAGAAGTTGACGTATGGTCCTGGAGTGCCTGCTCATTGGAACAAGACCGCCGTTCCTATCCTCCCTGCAGGCGTTACCGCTGGTCCAACGCCCATCACTAATCTTCCAAATGGCCTGACCAATGGCAAAGGCAAAGAGAAAGCCAAGGATTCCGACAAGGATAAGGACAAGGCGGCGAATGGTGATGGGCCGGAGAAGGAGAGCGTATTGCCGGATGCAAGGTTCTATGCTACCTGGGATTATGAGCCGAGGAACTATAGAGACCAACTAATACCCACCTCGAAGAGAGCCAAGCAGCCAGGTGTTCAGAGCAATATGTTCGGGGTGGGCATGAAGAGGAGCACGAGTGAGAGCTATGGGAAGGCAGGTTAGCTTTTTGCTCGACATCGCGGTGCTTCGGGCATGATGCTACAGTTGTTGGAGTGGATGGACGATGTGTTTGACTGTTTTATTCTTTGTACTTCATTTATTTTCGCTGCGTTGTTTTGTCGATTGCAATTCGCTGTCCTCTTCGTTTCCATGGTTGTTCTTCGTACTTCTCAGAGCTACACTCCATGCTGTAGTCTGTACTTAGGAGAGTGGTCATTGAGCTCGACTCACGAAACCGGATTGCGTAGTGATTCAGAGCTATTGACATCTGCAGAAGACCTACGAAACACCTGGGGGTTTATTTATTTAAATTGAGTGGACCTCTTCGTGGTGCACCCATGGATGTTCAGACTTGATATTGTGTTCTGATCGGCTACCAGTGACTGGTGAATTTTGTGGTCTCGTGGTAAAGAATTGAATTTAAGGCTCTTGAGTTGGTCCTAGCCTTCGGTCAGAGCAGAATAAATTATAATGTCACTTGATACACCATAAATAAGCCCCGCTAGCTCAATCGGATAGAGCGTCAGACTTTTACGAACTTCTCCTCTCAAGGGTCCAATCTTGTAAATTCAATCTGAAGGCTGCGAGTTCGACCCTCGCGCGGGGCTATTTTGTTGCGGCCAACTGTATTTCTGTTCGACAAGAAGGGTAGCGAAGGGGAAAAAGGAGAAGGAGGGGAGAGGGGGAACGGAGGGAATGGAGGGGGCGGAGGTGAAGGCGAAGGAAGGGCACCTTGCGCGGTGGCGCGCCGCGGAATTGACAGATCTTGCGTTCGAACCCGAGTGAGACCATTCTCCACAGTTATAGCACGCTGTCTAATGACTTTCTCGTGTATTTATCTCCAATACGAGAGAGCATGGCCGTCGATTAGGACGACTGTCTTCATATTCAATTTGGCCACCCTCGTTCGTGGGACTGGCCCCGAGTTTCACAGTCGAGGTATTAAGATCATGTAGGTTTTTCGTAGGCACAAGCCGTGTTATCGCACAGGGAATACAGAGCCAAGGAGATAAAATCACAGTCCGCTAATCGCTACAATTTCAAGGAATGGAGGTATAAGAGCTACAAAATACGACGACCGGTACCGGTACCAGCCCATTATTCGCAAATACCCTAAAGACGACCCAGCCTACAATCATCGTCCAGAAATCATCCAGCGTTCGTCGTTGATCATCGTCCTCCCCGTTCAACGGGTCTCGGGGCACAGTGTCCTCGTAAAGCGACATGACAAGCCATCATATGGAGGCGAGCGTAAGCGACCGGGGAAGGAGAATCCGCAATCCGAAAGGACGAGGAACCCGCGCAAGGCCAACAAGCAGCATAAAACTCAAGCTCTCGACCCAGGCGCATACTTCGGCAAGCTCTCCAACGGCCTCGAGATCAAAAACCCCTTCAAACCCGCCTTCTTCTCTCCCTGCCTCCCAAACCCAAAGCCCGCAAACCTATCTTCCCGGTCCGCCGCCGGCTCCTGCATCCGTCCCTCCTCATCGACCCCAGCCCCAGCACCCTTCTCCTTCCCAAAATGAGACGAAGCGAACGAGTGTGCCGCGGACGCGGCGGAGGCGGCGCGCTCGACGTTGATGCCGGCGACGTTGGTGGGAAGGACGGATTTAGCGTGGTTACGCCAGTTGAAGATGGACCGTTTGGATTTCGCGTGTTGACGGAAGATGAGGCCGAGGAGGATGTTGAGGCAGCCGAGGGCGAAGAGGAAGAAGGCGGAGACGAGGGAGAAGTCGTCGACGTGGTGTGACAGGACCGCGGCACCAATCCTGAGGAACCGCATCAGTGAGATCCTAGGGGAAGAATAATACTAGAGGGACGCACAAGCATTGAATGACACCGAGTGCACCGAGGCCAAACTCGGACCCGAGCACAGGAAAATACCGGTCGAAAAAGGCGGACGGCCAGCCAATCTCAGATAGGATGAGGACGATGATTTGAAAGATGATGAGCAGACGGTTGAGGACGGCCCAGAATGCACCAGCCGGTTGGTTGGGCACCGTGCTGTCACTGTAAGTCAAAAGTGCCACACTTCAGTGAGCACTTTTCGCCAAGGTACAAGCAAGACAAGGGCACGCGACAGCAGAAGGTAAGAGACGTACGCAATATACTCATAGCTCATCAGATTACTAGTCGAATTCGACGAATCATCCTTTCCCTCCGCAATGAACCGATTAACGGCCTCGACATCATGTACCATCGTGGTGATACTACTGGCAAACACGAGAAGACAAGCGATGATGGAAAGAGCACGGATGGCGTTGAGACCGATGAAGACGTCTATACCACGGAAAATTCATTCATTTCATCTCATTAGTCGACACGTTTTGGGGCAAGAAGTACAGGTAGCAACTCACATGCGCGAGGGGGAAGCATTCTGAGTGTATTGGATGGGGACTATTAGGGAGGTAAAGCGAGCGTAGACTTGTTGATGAAGCGAGCGGAATTCAAGAAGAGATTGTCGTGGTTGTAGCGAGTGCACAAAAGTATATATCCTCCAATTGGCGTGGAATGGGTGAGCCTGCACCGTCGAGCGATTGAGAACGGGCTGAGGAGGCGTCAAGCGTGTGGGCGTGAAGGAAGAAAATAAGAATGATAGGCTCGGATCCTGGAGCCTAGTGAACCGTCTATATAGCAAACAGGAACAGACAGCGACTTCGAACACGAACACGAGAGGGAAGAGGACAGGGTGAAGCACCCGAACGCACAGAACAAGCGTATAAAAGAGCACCCACCCCAGCTAGCTATAGAGTCGAGACTGAGAAGATCGCCCAGGCAACGAGGCAGTTCAATGGCATTGTTCTCTTTGAGTCGAGCTAAGGGTCCATATGTCCTCCACGCAGCCGGCCTCATTGTCGACGAGAATGGAGCCTGAGAGCGCGACCTCGAAAACAAAAGAGGACAAGACAATGAGGAACGGGAATAGCCGAGGACGCGTCGTGAACACGGCACAGCCACAGGCGCGCCGACGCGTTGTGGCCAAATGTGGCAAGCGTTTGTTCCTCCGTTGCTGGCCCCGATATCCGCTCAACGCCCATCTCTTTGCGACCTAGGAATCACGTCTTCAGAAAAGCCACACGCGCATAACGAAATGCCACGCCCAACCTATGACCGGAGAGGATGATCCAATTTTGATTTCAGTGCAACGTAGCAGCAATCCAAATCCCAACATCCACCAGACTAGGTAACTAAATATACAGGCCGATATCATAGAAGTTGGCGAGAAGTACTAAGAAGCTAGAGGGTTTACTATGGTACTGGTACAAGAATGATGCCCGGTCCGAGTCCGTGAATCGTTACGGTCATGAAACGAGGAGCGCAGATGATGATGGTCGGTAGGTGGGGAAGGAAGGGGGGAGGGAGGATGAGGATGAAGAGGTAGCATTCGACAGCAAAGATTCAAACTTCGAGTTACGACAACTGAACGACAACAACGACGACAAATCACAGGTCATACTTGGCCTTGACGGAAGCCTCAGCGGCGGCGGACTTGACGGTCGCTGTACCCTTGGCACCCTTGGACGTCGCCCAATCTACATTGTCGGCCGCACGTTCCTTGGCGCGCTCGGTAGAGCCAGAAAGGAGGTCGACGACCTGAGCGAGCTTGTCCTCGGCGATGTGAATGCCAGAGTTCAAGCTATCGCGAATGCGCTGGATGAACTCATCGGTGCGGGTAGAAGCCTGGACATAGCGGATACGGACTTCCTCTGTAAAATCCACGAGACGATCAACATCTGCGGAGACTATATAAGAAACAAAAAGGAGACTTACGAAGGAGACCGGGACGAGTAGTGGGGAGAGCGTCCTCAGAGACACCGTGCTCGCGGAGGTAAGCACGGAGACGGGCATCAGGCCAGACCAGGTATGCGCTAGCCTTGGCGCTGGAGTCCTTGTACCTGATGAGGTCGTTAGCTATTACTCGTGAAAAACGATCCACACAAAACGGACTTACTTAGTGTTGATGAGTTTCACGAGATGCTCACGGCTCATCTTGGAGGCCTCGTCGTCGGAGAGGTAGCCGTTGGAGACCAACCATGCGCGAATGTCAGAGTCGCGCCACGAAGCCCAGGCAACATCCTCAGCGTGCGAGTAGTTGTCGCTGAAGACTTTCATGAGTAAAGGAACGAAGAGGAAGGAGAAGGCTGACTTACCCGACGAGCTTCTGGAGCTTCTCGCGCTTGATCTGGGCGTCACTCTTGATGATGTTGTGTTCGACAAGCCAAGCCTTGAGCTCAGAGTCGGTCCAGCTATCCCATACATGCGTGGTGCTGTCGTAGTAGTAGTTCTTCATGCGCTCAGCGAGGGTCGGGCGGGGAGGAGGAACGTCGTTGTGGGGATAGACGCGGTGTTCATACAGCCATTCATTCTACGAAATGGTCAGTCGGACGTAACACAAGGAAGGAGATTGCGGTGACACACGAGGTAAGAGTCAGACCAGGCATTCCACACGGGGTCAGTGACCTTCGCATACGAATCCTTCATCATCTTCAGCATCTCATCCCTGGTCGCCTCCTGCTTCGTCTTCAACACGCCCTTCTCCTCCAAAAACGTCCTCAGCCGGTTATCGTCCCACGACGAGTAGACGTAGTCCTTCGAGTCGTCGAGCTGGCGCCCGACAGTGTTCGTCGCTGCCGCAATGGCGGAGCTGATGGACTGCGTGGCCTGGTAAGCCGGCGATCCATAGACGCCAGTCGAAGCCTGGTACGAAAGCGAAGAGGCGGCGCTCTGGTAGTCCTTATACCGTTGCTTAGCCAAAAGAACAAGCTGTTCGCGAGGTCCAGAAGGGTTGACGACGCCTTGCTCAAGGAGGAACTGACGAAGAGTCGACTCGTCCCAGGTGTCGAAGGCGGAGTCCTTCAGGTTTTGGAACGCCTTCTGCGCGCCGGCGTATTGTTCGGCAGTGAAGGCCTGTGTTGAAGCCCAGTTGGACTTGACGAGCTCCTGCAGATCTTTCTGAGAGGTTGTGCCCTTGGGTATTTGTACGTTATGTTCCTTGAGCCACGACGTCAATTGCTTCGTGTCCCAAGTCTGGTAAGCTGAATAGGGGCGCGTCATGAGCATGTTGAAATAAAACGCGAACATCGTGGAAGGCACGTACTTGGGGTGTCGGATCCGAACCACGAAGCCTGTGCGCCGAGCGCAAATAGCGAAAATGCCAGCAAAGCAGAGAATTTCATGGCAGAATTTTGTGGGTCGTCGTAGGAGACGAAGAGCGATGAATGGACACAAGACGGGATGCGGAGGGTTATATAGGGCAGGCAACGGTGCCGCTGATGCGCGATGATGACGTCGTGAGAGCCAAATAGACGCGCCCATGACGGCTCTTGACGCCACATCTCCACCCTCGCCAGTGCCCAGCCTCTGCACTCGGTGACGCTCTGTCTTTCTCAATGCCACTTTGGCATCGCTAACACCATATGTCGAGCCGTTTGACGAGCGGGTATGGAGCCCTTTTTCGGTAAGAAACTTCGCAGGAACGTGTGTTCATGGGACGAGACCAAGTCTAGCATTGCGCCACAGTGACACTGAAGGTGTGCGCTAAGATTGTGTAGAAGGATTAGTGTATGTATAGATCGTAAAATGTCAGAATATAGTCCATCAAAATCGACATCTAGTAAGTAATACAAAACTATGTGCTGCAAGGTGCCTCCTGGTCATGGAAAGTCGAATAAAGAGATCTCGACTGCGCACAACTCAAAACAAAACTCAGAGTTCTTCTCTCATACCGCATCCACACATCCACCCAGATCATCGAACCCGTCCCAGCCGGTATTGACCTGGCCATACCCACACCCGGTAAACCCCACATCCATCTCGTCTCCTGATAGCCCGACACCGCCCTCCATCGACGCCAAGAAAGGATCCGATCCCGAACTAGACGACGTTCCCGCAAAATCGACCTCATACAACCAGCTTCCGTTTCCGTGGTCGTTAATTTTAGGAGTCGCCTCGTCGAGCATAAGCGGGAACCGATCCCGAGTGTTTATATCCAACGACTCCAGCCAGTCGCAATGAGACCAAGAACTCGGAGCTTTGAGCCCATGACCTCCTCTGTCGGTTCCAGGTTCGAAAGACATCTCGTCTCGAAGTTGGGCCTGCCCTTCGAACGAGTACGGAACACTATCCGAAGACGACGAGTCGAACATCAATGCGCCCCAACGTTTCGCCTCCTTCGTTCCTCGTGTACCCTCGTCACGACCAGGAGATGTCCCAGCGTCCGAACTACTAGCCTGCGCATAGTCGACATCGACATCGAAGTTCCTCCGCGTAACATGCTTGACGTTCCCAAGATGGACCGGCGAAACCGGCGGGCAATCGAATGTGGTAGGATTATGCTGACGAGCGTTGGAAGGGGTTGTATGCTCGTACTGGGGCTCCCCAGAGAAACGGCGTTCAAAAGAAGAACCGGGATAGAGCAGGACCATCGGCGTCGAGTCGTTCTCCCCCACGATTTCTTGGCAGGACTCATGTGCCTCCACGCCCATCATCACATCTTCCACTCCGCGCTCCATTGGCCCCACCCTCGTCCCTGCTTCCATCCCTTCATCTTCGGCATCAGTCTCACGCCTAACATCCGGATGCGCCCCACTTATACCCTGATCTTGCAAAGCCGGTAACGTGGACGTTAAGCCGTTGAATCCTAGCACAGCGTTGATGGCCGTAGGCACAACCGGAGGGAGAACGATGCCTCGTTTCTCTGACAGGGATCCCCGGCCGAACGGCTTCGTCTGTCGAGGAGCTACCGAAGCACCAGGGGAGGGAGTGGACGTAGACGTGGGGTTAGAAACAGCGTCCATAGGAGAGTTGAGTAGACACTGGAGAGACATCGGGTTAGAGCGCTGTATCGACTGTGCTGAAAGATTCGTGGCAGAAGAATCGAGAGCAGACGTTCCTGCAGGAGGAGGCAACGGAGAACCGAGAGCAGGAGAGAAAGCGTCGTTGTTGAGAAATAGGAACATGTTTGGCTCCGGAGAATCGAAGATAGTCTTCGGAGGAACAGCGTTAGACTGGAAGGAATCGCCAGCGAAGCCCATAGGATTGCCAAAGTAGTGAGGATGATAAGTGTCGTAGCGCCCGGGCAGGCAGAGCTGCGGCGAGCCTATCCTAGACGAGGGGGCCGGGTACGACAAGTAGGACTGCGAAGGAAGCTGAAGACCAGAAGCAGACGACGAGGTAACAGTACAGTCGAGATCGGCCACAGCGTCCGTGTAAGGCCCAACAACATAGCCGGAAACCGAGTTGTTGAAGTTCGAAGCTACCAGGAGAGCCTGAGCCTGCACCTGCACCTGCGCCACAGCCGACTCCGCGCCCACTGGCCCACCCTCAAGCGCCAACCCATCCTTCACGACCGCCGCCCCAAGAACCGCCACCACACTCTCAATCGCCTCCTTCTCCTTATTCTCCGCCTGCCTCTTCTGACTCTCCACCAACACCCCAAAATCCGGATTGCCCGTCTTCTTGACCAAGCAAGTCGGACAATTCCTGACAAACAACGCCACGAGCTCCTTGGGTATCCAAGCCCAATGCTCCCTAATCACCGCACAGGTCCTGTCTCTCCCCCCATGCCCACACATCGCATGACAGCTGCACAGGATCTGATACATATGCTCCTTGATCGCCAGAGGCTTCTTATCGTGCACGACGATAGGATCGAGCGCGTGCGGGTTCGCGGCGAGGTTGGACGTAGGGATGGATGGAGATGCACGAGCGAGTGTAGTCTGAGGGTAACTGAACGTGAACATCTTTCGGATCCACCAGCGGGTTTGAGCGTTCGAGATACTTTGATTTTCGGGGTCTTCGAGGACGTCCCAGATGGTGTCGAAGGTTTGTTGATCGATGAGGCAGCGTCCTCGTTTACGAGGGTTGAGACCGGCTATCCAGCGTTCCTCGACCTGTTTGTACTGTTCGTACGTGAGGTATCCTGGGACGTCGGCGGGTATGGATTGAGAGTTACGAGTAGCGAGAGGCACTGTAGACTGAGCAGCGGGCGGTATTCCTCCGGAAGCTGCCACACCGCGTGGAACGTTGGTATGACGAAGAGCACGAGAAGAACCCACAGAAGTATAGTGTGCATTAAGTCTAGACGAACAAGGAAAAGAGCTAGGACCAAGAGGATGAGTGGGCGGCGGGAAGGAATGTGTGGCAGAAGGTAGCTTCAGAGTGTTCTCATCGACAGGAATGAAGTTCGAGCTGAAGGCCGAGTCTGCAGAGGAAGAGTTCGCTACCAGAGCGGTCTTCCGGTATGGCTTGGTTGAACATGTCCTGGCGGCAATTCGCGCCAGGCGGATATCCTCTGTCGTGTTGAGCGAAGGCATAAGTTGCAAGTTCGCCGCAGAAGGGTTCCGTATTAGTAGAAATGTTACAGGAGACTAGACGATAACAAACGGTCGGTTTCGCGCGCAACTATGTCAGCGAGGAAAGGAGAACAACTCAAAGACAGAACGAACGCACCGACCACGGAGAAGGTGTGTTGTGGTCGTGAGGAGACTTGAACCAGAGGAACCGCGCCACCGCCGCCAAACCACACTCGGTGGCGGGCGGCGGAAAGAGCCCGATACTTTGGCGCATTTCGTACTGCGTCATTTCTTCTTGATTTTTCATCTTGATCGAGCTCGTTCGTCCCAACGACCCGTTCGCACAGATGCAAGTACAGTACGCGCCGCTTCTGCATGGTATATCACAAAACTACAAGTTTCTTCCTTTATGTTATACGTCTATGGGTGATGAACAACAAGCGTCATAAGAACATTAAAACCTGTACAATTCCTTCTTCTTTTTCTCTTCCCCTAAAATACAGAGCGACTTCTCAAAATCCAGTACGTCCCCTATGCAGCGCACGCGGCGCGAGAAAAAGAATAGCGATCGTCGGCGAAACCTTTTAGGCAGAGGCGTCCTTCTCGGAAGCGTAGACGAGGAGGTCGACAACACGGTTGGAGTAACCCCACTCGTTGTCGTACCAGGAGATAAGCTTAACGAAGTTCTTGTTGAGCTGGATGCCGGCGGACGCGTCGAAGATGGAGGAGGCAGAGTTGCCGATGAAGTCGGTGGAGACGACGGAGTCCTCGGTGTACTCGATGATGCCCTTGTAGGGACCCTCGGCGGCCTCCTTGAGGGCGGCCTTGATGTCATCGTAAGAAGCGGGCTTCTCGAGACGGGCGACAAGGTCGACGACGGAGACATCGTTGGTGGGGACACGGAACGCAAGACCGCTGTGTGACAATCATACGATCAGATGAAGTCTATACAAGATCCAAGCAATCGTGACGTACGTGAGCTTGCCGTTAAGGCTAGGGATGACCTTGCCGACAGCCTTGGCGGCACCGGTGGAGGAGGGGATGATGTTGCCGTTAACACCACGGCCACCACGCCAGTCTTTGTGCGAGGGACCGTCAACGGTCTTCTGGGTGGCGGTGGTGGCGTGGACGGTGGTCATCAAGGCCTCGACGATACCGAACTTGTCGTTGATGACCTTGGCGAGGGGTGCCAAGCAGTTGGTCGTGCAGGAGGCATTGGAGATCTGGCGAGGTATGATGCCTTAGTTACAGAAACTCAGTCACGATGCACAAGGAAAGAACGTACGACGGTGAGCTTGGGGTCGTACTCGGTGTGGTTAACACCGACAACGAACATGGGGGCATCGGCGGAAGGAGCCGAGATGATGACCTTCTTGGCGCCACCCTTCAAGTGGAGGGAAGCCCTGGGCACAAGTCAAGACATCAGCGGATGATCGGATAGCATAGAAGTGAAGCTTGGCTCACTTCTCGATGGTGGTGAAGACACCGGAGGACTCAATAACGTAGTCGGCGCCAACAGATCCCCAGGCGATGGCAGCGGGGTCCTTCTCGCCGAAGACGGTGATGGGCTTGCCGTTGACGACGAGCTTACCGTCCTTGGCCTCGACGGTGCCCTTGAAGCGGCCGTGTACGGTATCGTACTTGAACATGTAGGCCATGTAGTCGAGGGAGATGAAGGGGCTGTGGAGGAACGGCGGATGAGATGTGAATATTTCGATAGGGGTAATCGCAGAAAATAAACGCACTCATTGACGGCAACGACCTCAGTGCGCTTGTCCTCGATGGCAATACGAAGGACAATACGGCCGATACGACCTTCATTCACCGCTGTGAGCCAGGACTTGTGCAACAGAGAATGATTGAGACTCACCGAAACTAGAAAATAAGACGATCATTGAGCGTCAATATCCCTATCTGTACCTTTTTCCGCCCGATAAAAAAACGAGTACGAACCCGTTGATTCCGACTTTGACCTGGAGACTCTCATGAGTACGACATCGAGAAAGGAAGAAAGGAAATAATGCGTACCATTTTAATGTGGTGGAGGGTGGTTGTGGTGGTTGGTTGTGGATGTGGGTGATGAAGAAAAGGAGGGCGGCTAGGGCGAAGGGGGGTCGATTTTATACTCTTGCGTCGGACGCTCGGAGGAGATTATCAGAGACTGATCGGAGCTTCGGCTGGGTCCCGCAAAGCCCATTCCGCCCCGTCACCGGCTCAGTTTGGGTACCTCCAAGACTGCGCCACTGCCAGGCATCGATGGCCGTCCGTCTGGACTCTTCGACGTCGTCGAGGCGTCATCCATCCACATGAACACAGAAAATAACTCTCATTCTCGCTCAGCCTCGGTCACAGCCTGCGACCGGAACATAGAATGTCGAACGTGCTCGGCGAGATGACTGTCGTCCTAGACTGACTCGACCTCATGCTGACTGTGATGTTTATTGCATATTATCCATGCACTGCTCGATGTCGTCAATTCTCGAATTCGAAAACACATTTCTTGTACACCCTCCGAGCTATTTGTGAACGGCCATCGACGGGCTTCACAAGCTCCATTCACTTCGTGCGCACCCTGATCTTTCTTCGATAACCACCTGGACGAATTGCCTCTTTTGCAGGAATGGCTCACCGGGCTGTATCTCCTGACTCTCGTCAAGGGAATGACGCCTGCTCGCGCTATACGCTTATTTTGATGGCAGTGGCGCTGTACCGTTTACAATCCGGCGCTAGCACTCGTCAGAAACCTGCAAGAGCGTATCTCCCTCCGGTTCACACGTAGGGTGGCCTCATCTTGCGTCTGACTGGACGCTGGAATCATCCAATGGAGTCGGACCGAGCTGTATCAATCGTTTCGCGTCCGGAGGAAGGTGTGCATGCATGCTTGGACGCTCAGGATAACAAAAATTCCCCTGCCAGCGCATGTCGTCCCACTTTTCTATACCGCAAGTCAAACTGAATTGGCCGCCTCCGCAAAGCATGCAGTTTATCGTTGTTTTTTTGAGGTGAGTATGCGGAGTTTTCCCAGCCGACAATCATCTCCAGCGGTCGCTATCATCTACAGTACTCGCGGGCTTGCCCAATCAGACGTGCCTCTTCTGTCTCTTCTCTTTCTTGGTGCTGGTCAGGCACACCGCATGCCTGTATTGTAACTTTGTCAGAGTGCCGCCGATATGTCCGCTCTGTCCTGATGCACTTTCTCAGACACCGCGCACAGTACCCTGGGTGTTCAAACAGTTACAACAGACATCCCCTGCGCCTCTCATCAGTGGTGGATTCTTTGTTTTGGTCTCGGAACTAAACAAACGTCATTTTGGTACGATATTGCAACGGCTTCTGCACGACCTTCGCTTCATCATGCTCTGCATTGTCTCGTCGTTTCATCCTAACTTAGGACTCTTCTTCACCTTTGCTCGGCCAACGGGTCTGTTCCGCCACACACCGTACACGCCACAGGGGCTTTCCGACAGTCACCCAACGGTTGCCCAACGGCAAAAACCGGTCGATCTTGCCTCCGTTGGATCCCGGCTACAAATCCCTCTCTCTTGATCCGTCTTTTCATCGCTCGTGCCTCTCCGTCGAAAATCGCCAGATACACAGATCCTGACATAGATCTCCTATCCCGTCCGTTCGCGATGTCAATCTGCAATACTTCAGGTTCGGGCCCTTTTGCGTTTGTAGGGCCTTCTAGCCTCTACACGGAGAATAGGACATCACCATCACACTTTGCCTTGCTTTCGCTCTCTGGGCCCCTCCAGAATGTGTAGAGGCCTCAAGGACAGTGGCTCTGCTGCAAAGATTTCGGGGCACCGCAACATGTCCCATGACTGTAGCGGTCCCTTTCAAAGCACCATCACAGTCTGCGCCACCTCGAAGAAGCTTCAACTTCACATCGATCTCGGTCCTGTTCTATATATGGAACTTGTTCAGGTTTCGTACCAGAGAGAAACGAAGATCGGCGGTGGTTCTGTCTGGATGAACTAGACAATCTCTTGTTATACACGAAGCTACATATACATTATACATGATTGGACAGTACATACAAAGTAGCAATATAGATACAAAATTACAATTACAATCAAATCTTCGCGCTCGCACCCCTCATCCTCTGCCCATGATGTACAACTCTGCCCTTCGGCCCCAAGCCCACATTCTCCATCTCCCGCCACGACGCCAAACACCACATCTTCGACCGCCTCTTCGTAACATTAGGTCTACACGCCATCATCGCCGCATCCTCATCTCCACCCATTCCAGTTCCGTCCAAAGCACTCTCAGACCGACCCTTGAACACCGGAAACGTCTTCCCCTTCCACCTCGTCCACGACCTCGTCCACCTTTCCTGTGTACGACCGGAACCCATAGGATCGCAATGAGTACCACCACCCATCGTCTCTTCCGAACTCGACTCTTTATCCGAATAATCTAACCCGACCTCTACCCCTTCCATCCCAATGCCAATGCCAATCCCGAACCCCAATCCCAACACATCCCTCTGTATCACTGCGCCTTCAAGTTGCACCGTAACATCCACACAACATCTATAATGCGGCAATTCATCTGACGAGGCTGGCAGTGGATCGTGGTGAGTGTGAGTGTGATTGAATCCAACAAGTCCACAGCACGCAAAATCCATATCGAGCGCCTCCGCGGTCTGACTCCGATGCTCGTGTTCGTGCTTGATCCTCGGTGTCACCGCCGCCCTGATAAACGCGAACGAGCTTCGACGAAGTCTTCGTTGTTGTTGTTGTTGTTGCTGGTCTCTATCTCTAGACTTATTATTTTCGCTGTACGTATCGGAAATTGAATCGGCGTCGAGGTCGATGGGAGAGAGCGGTGGCGAGGCGGTCAATATCGATCCATGGGCGTATAGAACGTCTTCGTGATGATGATCCAGAAGGATGTCGGACGAGTGTGGCGACGGTGATGGTGATGGTGGCGAATTTGATGACGACGACGAAGGTAGTAGAGAGGAAGAAGAGATGATCTTAGAGGAGGATGGAGATGCGAATGGAGCGAAGGCTTGATTATGTGAGGGTCGACGTGAACCATGGTCGAGGTCAAGAGCGGAAGGTCGTCTTGGGGTGGCGGGTCTGCCGAGAGTGGACACGATAGGAAAGTGAGGTTGAGATCGGTGGTGGCGTAGGTGGTGCTGATATGGGTTTTCAGTAGAGAGATACTCGGGGGATGATCGGATGTGATGAGGTGGAGGAGGGGAAAGAAGAGAGGTTGACCGGTATCTCAAGGAGTAAGTTGGGTTAGAGACAGCAAGCAGTGAGGGAGATGTCATTTTCGTGGTAGTACTAGCGTCTTTTGTGGGGTCCGCAGCAGAAAAAATAGAAACGACAATATATAGCCTATGTGTGGATAGCGCGAGTGTAAGTGGCCAAGGATACAGCAGAAGAACTGTCGTACAGGTCTAGTAGGATGGATGATGCCCAAGGGTGAGCGGAAATATTAGAGCCGGACGCTGTCCTCGACTCCAGTACATATAGGGAGCTCGAGACTGTCAAAGACATTGCCGCCACATGCGGCACTCATCCAGGGACCAGCGGGTCGGACAAGTGTCGGAGGAGTTTCAGTGGCGATTGAAAACCCAGAGCTCGGCTTTTTCTTTGCCCTTCAAGCTTCAAATCACCTTTTCTGTGGTATTCGGACTCTCTGAGGTCGTGATAGAGGAATATGAAGTCATTTTGCGTACATAGCCAAAGTAACAGTAAGTTACTAGTCGCCTGTCCACCAGAACGCAGGAGAAGAGAGACAGAGTTTTCTCGAACCTGGTCTGAGGCCGCGCTAGTCCGTGGCGGGGTCTGGAAACCGGCGCGACTTCTTGTCCAGCTGAGTTCGACGCCCCGTTTTGTGGCGCCAACGCGTGTCATCGTCATTATCTAGGTTATGACGCGGTCGATTGAAGGGATTTGTCTGTCCAATGTCCCAGCCTCAGATTCAACTCTCGAAACCATTCGTCCCGCTGGACCGTCTCAGAAGTCAGAACCAATACCATTCACTACCCACAAAAGAACTCATCATGATCAAATCAAACACACGAAAGACAAAAATAAAAACGAGAAAGAGAAAGAGATGACTTGACAATCATTGAAAAAAAGAGAAAAAGAAGAGAAAATCCACATGTATGTATACGTACCTAAGTTATATAGAACACAGTCGAGACTCGACGGGGAGAGAGGGGGTACGGAAGAATGACTCGGACTCGATGGATCGATAGCCAATTAAACACAAACACAGAATCAGAATCAGGAAGCCGAAAAGAGAACATGAACAGAAGGCAGAAGGATGGGAGAACGAGATAGGGATTCAGAAAGAGGCCGGACAGCGGGCGGTTCGGGAGACGAGAGACTCAGATAGATGGGAAGGGAACGCTGGTTTATATAACAGACACAATGACAGGTAGACATGGATGACGTGAAACGAGCGGGGAGATATAGGGAGGGAGAAGAGAGGGAGAGAGAGAGACTCAGTGTAGAATGAGTAGGGTTAAAATGTAATTAGACATGGTGGCGAAGGGGGTTTGAACAATGACGAGGAGGAAGCAGAGGCCGAGAGAAGCTGGACAGAGGCAGAGGCGAGGACGGAGGGAACTATCCACGAACGATAAAATTGTATGACATGGCATGGGACAGAGGCGAGCCGAGACGAGAAACGAAACCATAGACCGAGGACGGAATACTAGTGAACATGCGGGGGAATCATTACGAATGCGGGGTATTGTAGTTGATACGAACAGCACAACACACGAAGGGGGGAAGAAGAGAAAATTAAACCAAGAGGCCACTCAATGTCCCGAGCCTGAATATTCAAGGTTAGATCGGACGATCTCACTTCACCGTTGGAAGTTGAGGCGGCTATACAACGCAGAACAGATAGTCAGTTTAGGTTCTCGCCTCACAGAACGGATAGAACTCACTCCCTAGCCATGTCATACAAGAACTTATAACTCCTCAAATTCCCCTTCAACCTCCTAATATCCAAACTGAACGTATCCGTCAACCTGTCCAGCCTCGTCAACTCCACCGAGAACCGGACTTCGTCGCCCGCGTCCTGGCTCTGATCACCGTACACGGTGATGCCATCCTGTTCGGGTCCAGACGAGGGAAGAGCGACGGTAGGTGAGGTGAGGCTGTTGTCTGGCGAAAGCGGATCGGCGCTGTTCTCGCTCTCGTAGAACGACGCGGAGGAGATACCGGTGGGTGCACCAGCTTGGGAGGACTGACGTCGCATGAGCAGACCCTTGAGCATCCCGCCCGCCGAGCCGAAGGACTGGCTGGAGGGCACTGGGAGTCCACGCTTGTCGACCTAAACAACAGTTAGCGAATGCGATCATACGCTGCAAAGAGGGCAAAAAAGCTCACTCCATTCGACGCCGCACTCCCCACCATCGTAAACGCCTGCAACCCATTCGTCCCCTGCGCCGCCCCACTCCCCGACGCCCCAATCCCCAACCCGACCCCGACGCCCACCCCATTAGCCAACCTACCCCTCTTCGCCCTCACACACCTAAACTTAAACTCACTCTCCACCTGTATCTCAATCCCCATCTCCTCCAAAACCTGCCTCACATGCTTCATCACCTCCGGCGGACTTCCCGTCGTCGTCGTCGTCGGATCCACCGCGCCATGATGCACCCTCAACTGCGCGGCGCTGTTACTGTTACCTCCGAGCGGCTTCACCGAATCGCGATACGACGACCCAGGGACGATACCCCGCTTCATCCGCTCCGCGAACGACGGCGTGGTATTGATGTACGTCGACGAGAACGACGTCTCGATCGAATTCGCCGCCGACGCGCTTCGCTGCGGATGCGAAGGTGCCGGTGGCCCACCATGTCCATGTCCATGTCGTGAACTGACGCTCCCCGCCATCGACTGCGACCCGAGCCCGACATTATTGCTGGTATTGATCGAGGTCGACGAAGGATTATGCGCGCCGGGTCGATACGCCTGTCCCATCTCTCCCGCTCCCGCGGTAGCGAGCCCGGTCTCAGGATCCGGTCCAGGGCCTTTACTCCTCGACCTGAACCACTGCATGACTTTCCTCGCCTTCGAACTACTCGCCTGCATCCCGCTCCCCACGCTCTCGTTCCTCTGCACCCCATACGGCGGGTCCATCTTCCCAGGCGTGGCATACGACGATGGAGGCGGCGCGGCCGAGAGCGGAGCCCTCGTGTACTCCCGTCCGCGTTTCTCCTCCCTGCCGGCGTCCTTCTCCTTCTCCTTGAACGGCGTCTCGACGCTCGTCGCAGTAGTCGCAGTAGTCGCCGAATTCCTCCCCTTCGACCTCGTCTTCCCGATCGTCTTATCCACCATAACCGTCAACGTATTCCTCCTACTCTTCTTCTCCTTCACACTATCCTTCTCCCCTCCTGCCCCTCCCGCAGTCGGACTCAACAAAACACTCGACTCCGTGCCCGTACCACCAACCTGCAACGTCGACGGCCTCCTACTCGCACTCCCATTCCCAGACGTCGCAGTCGAATACTGATCCCCTCCTCCTCCTCCCCCTCCTCCTCCTCCACCGCCAACCGCCGACCCATCCGACGGCACACGCGAGCTAATCCCACTCGCCTGCACATTCGACGTCTCCGTCCCACTTCCCCCACTCCCATTCCCATTCCCTGCGTTCCCGTTCCCACTCCCTGCATTCCCGTTCGCATTCCCAGCGCCGTTCGCATTCCCACCAAAGATCTTCCCAAACCCAATCTTATCAAGCGAGATCCCCTTCCTATGCCTTCCCTGTCTCGACGACACACTCCCGTTCGAATTCGAATTATTGAACTGCGCGGAGGACGGCGTGCCGGTCGTCTTGTCCTCAGTCGTGGGCGTGTATTGTTGCATCGAACCATGCGCGGGCGTATGTGGCGGACTCGCAGCGTCGATGGTAACGACCGGCGTCTGTGGGGGTAACATCTGACCATGACCTTGGGATTGCGAACCAGCAGACGGCCTCCTCGTCCTCGCTTGCTGCTGCTGCTGTTGCTGCTGTCCACGTTCCACCCTCGAACTCGACGCCGGCTGAGCCAACTCCTCCCCCGGCTCTCCATACTCCACCTGAATCGTATGTCTCATCCCCGCCGCCTTCTTCCTCCCGCTCCCCGTATTCGCCGCATTCGTATTCGTCCCCGTCCCATTCCCCGTCACATTCCCGTTCACCGCACCGTTGTTCGCGTTGGACGGCGTCGGAAGTGGAAGAGGAAGAGGAAGTGTATCCTTCCACGAGCTCGGAATCGACTGCTCCACCTCCGTCGGCGTAACATGTATATGTCCATACTGCCCCTGGTCCTCCTCTTGAAGCCTCATCGCAGCAACCCCCGGCCCAGGCGCGAACGGATCGTCCTCGTCCAATGGCGCATGCGACGGCATCGTCACCGAATTATACGCCCTGCGTCCCTGTGTCTGCTGTTGTTGTGGCGGCGGCGGAGGGGGCATCGTCATGGCCATATCGACCGGAGAAGCCGACGCGAACGTCTGATCCGCCCCCACCGACGTCTCATACAAATATTCCGTCTGTCCACTGGGTCCGGTATATACCTGTTCCCTCGTCGACCTGGACCTGCTCGTGCTCGCCGGTGCGACCGCGACGCTCGCATGCGGGAACATCTCTTTCGCGCGCTCGCTCTGACTCCTCGACATCTTCTCCTTAGTGTTACCGTCCCTGTCGCGGTCCCGATCCTTGGAAAGCGCCTCGTGATTCCGCATCTGTCGTTGATAAGCCAGTCTCTTCTGTCTATGCTGTTCCATCGCGATCCCCTCCAGCTCCTCCACCGATTTCTCGAAAAGATGCCGCCAAGGGGCTAACCACCGATGCTGCATAATCTCGCTCAGACTCGCGCGGCGCAGCGGATCCGGCTGCAACATAATGCTCAACAAATCGCGCGCCTCGCCGGATATGTAGTCCGGGAACGATAACGGGGTGTTGACGATATACTTGTACAACAAGTTAATATTATCTCCGTCCGGATTCGCCGGATCATCGTCGAAAGGCAGATAGCCCGCCAACATCGCGTAGAGTATGACGCCACAGCTCCAGATATCGACCGCGCTGCCTACGTAGCTTCCCTCGCTGATGACCAATTCCGGCGCAGCGTAACATGGCGAGCCACAGGACGTCTGCATGAGATCGTCCGTGCGATGTTCGAAACGGTTCGCGAATCCGAAATCGGTGATGATCACGTTTCGGTTCCGGTCTAGGAGGAGGTTTTCGAGCTTTAGATCGCGGTGGACGATTTTACGTTGGTGGATGTAGCCGACTCCGGAGACGAGTTGGGAGAAGAGCTTGCAGGCGTCTTTTTCTTTCAGGTAGCGGTGGGCGAGGATGTGGTCGAAGAGTTCGCCGCCGGAGGCGTAGTCGAGGATGATCCCGATGTACTTGTCCGTCTCGATCACGTCATAGAGCCGGACGATGTTGGGGTGTTTGAGCATCTACATTAGAAAGAAAAAAAGACGTATGAGATTCGAGGGGGCGAGAATGGGAGGCCAATTGTCCCTGAGGCAGCGTTCGAGATCTTCATAGAACAGAGAGAATACAGGCAACGTGCAGACGAGCGACGGCCGTAGAAGTTCGCCCCACGCTTTCGATCGTGCGCAATGGAAAGATACATCAGTATGAGAAGCGGCAGGCCAGCGATGCGTCACGTAACGGCCTTCCAGCGACGCTGCGGGAAGCTCTGTCTCAATCTCAGGGCATGAGGGTAAATTGCTCTTCGCAGTCTAGCAAGAGGTCGTGCTTGTGAAGACGGAGCCTAATGTACGCCGAGGTCTAGCGCACATCGAGAAACTTCCTGGCGGGAAAGTGAACGCTCGAGTGTAGATAGAAGCGTTGCACATAGCTGCCAGACTTGCCTCGGCAGACCGGATTGGACGCAAAATAGTCTGCCAGGCGGTGGAGTGGAAACGGAAAAGAGAAGGGGGGACGAACCCTGAGGACCTCGATCTCGCGCTCGACCTTGGACATGCGCACGACCGAGTCAATATTGTGCCTTTTGATGAGTTTCACGGCGACCTCCTCTCCCCAATTCGTATGCAGTCCGAGTTTGACCTTACCGAACTCGCCCTCTCCGAGCGTCTGGAGGAGGAGATAAGGGCCGAACTTTGGAATCGTCCGCCTGGGATGGTTGGCAGCATAGGCGAGCGCTGCGGGGTGGGAGTACACGTCGCGATAAGTCGGCCCGTCGTCTTGTTGTGCGCCGGAAGTGACGGTGTGGGAGGCGCGCTGTTTTCGGGACGAGGAGGACTGTTGGGTGGAGGGAGATGCGGGACTGGTGTTGGTATACGGTTGAACCGAGACGGGGCGGTTCGTTGGCTGGCGCGAAGGGCCTGGTATAGAAGGGTCGGGGATCTGGAGACTGTCCATGGCGGCGGCGGCTGCTGGTGCTTGTCGTCGTCGGCGTCGACGTCGGCGATGTCGCCTGCAGTGCTAAGATTGGGGGCTGGAGTGGGAGGGTGATGAGAGAGCGAAGGCAAGGCGTGAGTGAAGGAGAAATAATGAAGGAGTGTGGTTGAGAAGCGACGCGTGCCACATGGCACCGCGCCGGATTGGGCTGCACGGAAGCTGTTAACGACTTACGCTCGCTTTGTTGCCTCTGCTAGAGTGGCCTTAGTGTTACTGTTCTGTGGACGGAGGCGGCAAGAGAACTGGCGGGGTCTGAGAGAGCGAGGACGACGTCCGGAGAAGGCGCGCGGATGAACAACCAGAGGCGGCACGCGGCCCGATCTGCACTCCATCACTCGACTAAGCCATGCGTCCATCACTCGTCCTCTCCGCCCTCCATTCTCTTTTCTCCAATCTGTTCCTCGACGCCTGTTCCTAGCCCGCTTTCATATTCAATACCCTTGCCGCCCTCTGCCCCAACCGCCCGTTCCATCCCTTGGCATCCCGCCAAATCAAAAACTCCCTCGCATCCTCGGACGCGACCTCACGCGTGCGTCTCTTACTGATCTACGGCTGCCCCTTCTTCGAAACACCTCCGACGAGTCTCAGTCCGCTTACCTTTCCTCTATCCAAGGAGTCACCATGCTCTACCGCCGTCGCGTTTGACATTGACATTGACATCGTCTGAATCCTCCGAGGAGTCCACTGACGCCACGCCACACCACGCCTATAACTAGCCGTCGCCGCTTTTTTCTTCTTTTTACTTTTGCCGACCGACGTGATCACCACTACTGTCAACGTCTGCCAAAATCCTCTGACTTTGACTTGCCATCAAAAAATTTGAACGTCGAACGTTTTGACCGTTTTGAACGCCGACCGGGTTTGCTTCCGTGCCATTGATTACCAAATTGGTAGTAGCTGTTCAAATCTTTCGAACTCGTCGATCGTATCGACGACGACGGTGGGCATCCTAAGCTTAACGTTCAGGGCGTCCGATGGCACTGATGAAAGTCCTGCACCGTGGACGACGAGATCTGAAAGCCGTTCTCGCCAGTGCTGCTGCATACGTGCCCTCGTTCCGTTCTTCCTTCGAATTCCTTGTCCTTCACGAATACTACTACATATGGATCCTACAATCGGATATGATGTAACGACTAACATTGCCGCCTCTCATCTCCCTATTAATCTGTTGAGTTCCTAAGTTCCTGAGTGCCTAAGGTCCGCCGCAGCTCGGGGTTCGATTCCTCGCATCCGAAATATGAGATGTAAGTATGGCGCAGTACTTTTTCTTGTCGTTTTCTTTCTGTGTATCGTCGTTATCTTTCTGTGTATCGTTGTCGTTACATATCTTGGTGGACTCGGGCTGGGGGGCTGTATGGAGAGAAGACCGGAAGGCTATTATACGACGGTCTCGATTTCCTTGTCCTCCGAGTCCATGGATCGGTTGGAATCGATGGGAAGGTCATAGGATTCGGGTTGGTTATTTTCCCTGCCATTCAGATTTGGTACCCACTACAGGCTGTTGCATTGAATCTCATACTTGAATGCTCGCATGATAACTGTTGGACATCGACCTCAGGCTCGGTTGACGCGCCAGTGGCACACTGACACTGACACATACGTCAAAACAAAGACAAACAAAGACCGTGACACACGACAAAGACTCGGACACAAGATGATCGGGAGCATTATCATAAGTACGTAAGCACCAACAACCAACAACCAACAACCAACATGATCCTTCTGCGCCACTCCCCGTGACACTCAGCGTACTTACGAGGACCTCGCCCTTTAAAGTATACTCACGATCAGCCACTCTCGTCAAGTTGGGTTCCTCGTCAATGAAAGTATACGAGACCCATCGGACGATCGTGAATGCCACCACCAAACGAAATCTCCGAATAGCCTCTATGCAGGGAGCTCGAAAGCATCCCATCCGAAATACGATGCATTACACAAGGTGTGGCAAGTGATGCAGCGACCGTAACAGGAACGATGGAGCGATGGTCCGTATGTGCCAGTGAGTCATGTAGGTAAGTAGGTACTAGGTAATGAAATGCGAGGTCCGAGTCGAGTGGATGCGGCGAACGACATAAAGACGGAGACGAAGGATTGTAAGTAAGTAGTAAGTTAGGGGGGTCAGAGTACTTATTAAAAGGAGCGGTGGGATTAGAGTGTTATGAGTGGTAGGGGGGGGGGGGTAAAGAATTATAGGTAGGAGGATCGAAGAATTATAAGTGGGGGGATCGAAGAATTATAAGTAGGAGGATCGAAGTATTATAAGTAGAAGCATTGAAGTATTATAGGTAGGAGGATTAGAGTATTACAAGTAGAGGGAATAAAGTATTAGAAGTGGAGGGATTAGAGTGTTATAGGTAGGGGAATTAACTTGGGTAGGTAGGAGGATTAAAGTATTATAAGTAGGAGGAGTAAAGGATTATAGGTAGGAGGATTAGAGTATGATAAGTAGGGGGATTCAAGAATTATAGGTAGGGGGATCGAAGAATTATAGGTAGGGGGAGTAAAGGATTACAAGTAGCGGGAGTAAAAAATTATAGGTAGGGGGATTAAATAGTATGTATAGGTAACGATATCCGAAAGCTGACCGAGAATATTATAAGGGATAAAGAGAACTCGAGAACGAGACAATGACGACGATGACGATGAACGAGAGAAGAATAATGGAAAGGAAAACAACAACGAGAAGACGAATGAACGAGAGAAGAACAGTGGAAAGAAAAACACAACGACAATACGACACGACACATAACGATGATACCGAAGCTGGGAGGGATAGCAGGGAGAATTAAAAGGAGGAGATGTGTAGGTAACGATCTCGACCAGCGAGAGAATAACGAGACGATAGCGACGGCGGATAAGCAATATAAGTGATGACGGAGAATGTGTAGGTAACGATGCTAAGCGGAACGGAAACATTATAGTAGGGGATAACGGAGCTCGGAGAACAAGGGACCAAGGACGAAGGCGACGAGGGCTAAATAAGCAATGGATATAATATCGAGAGAAGAAAAACAAACGTACCATATCGAAGCCATCACCGTGACTGCCGGTGGTTTGCCTAGAAAAAAAGGGAGGTCTAGAGGCAAATAAGCGATCTGTGATTCCGCTAAGAAGAAATCCCATAGCATCAGGGTCAGCCCTACCAGCCCACCCAGCGCTAGACGAGTTGATAGAGATAACCCTAACACAATGGGTAAAGGAAATCCCCGGGACTCAGCCGGTGTAGTACTTCGCCCGTTGGACCAGGATGCTTGTATCCCGTCCCCAGACCTAATCTCCAGCCCAAGTTGATGTATATATCCACTAGTGTCCGTCGATGATGTTGATCCGTTACCGACACGCATCTACGTCTTCACCACCTTGACCGGGACCGACATCGTCCTCGAAGGCTTCGTGACATGGAGTGCTGGAGAACGAGCACCGCGAGTGTTGTTGTTATGAACGAGCTTCCTTGTCTGGGAGGGGAATGTGGTGGGAAGTTTGCCGGAAGGGAAGGGGCGAGATGTCGAAGACCGAGAGGCTGCAGCGCTGAGGAGACGAGGAGAAATACGTGTCGTCTTCAACGCCATCCAGTTACTAGAGAGAAACCAGGATGTCAGCGGAGGAACTGTGAAGAAAAGAAGCAGCGGGCTTACACGTTGCGTAAAATCGGGAGACCCTTGAGGGCGTCCATCCAAATGCGCTTCGAGGGGTCGAAAAGTAGAGCCTACGATACAGATAACGTCAGAAACAAAGTAAATAGGTGTGGCCAGGGTCGCTTACCTTATCCATGAAGTTGTATGCATGTTCTTCCCACTTCGCGTTCCATCCTTGAGGGTATGCCGATGTCGGGTAACGAGTTCGCTCTTTAAGGTCCTTCAGAATTTGCCCTTTTCCGGTCGCGGGGTCATACTTGGTCTGGTAAGGGAAGATGTCAGTCAACGCTGGCACAAAACGATACCTGAGAAAAATGGGTGATGGACTCACCAAACCGAACGCGATATAATGCCAACATGCGGCAAGACCGAACACGACCGTCGAATGGTTGGGCTGCCCTCCGAGGATCACCTCCGGGGCAGCACATCCGTACTCGTACACTGCTTGTGTCTTCAGAGCATCCTTGAATCCGACATACGAAGGAGCCGTAATGTCGCGGGCGCCGCAGAGATGACCGAGCGAGAGCAATCCGTCCTGATCGATGACGAATGCAGAGGGGCTCAGGTCGGCGGGGTAGACACGCTGAGAGTGGAGCTTGTCCAGGATCAAGACCATCTGGGCAAGGACGAGGACAGATTGTTGAGCGATAAATCTGCCGTTCGTTTTTATCTCTTGGGCCAGGGTACGGGCGAAGGGGCGCTAGAGTAACAAACGACGAAACATGAGCATTTGACCTCGAGGGGCAATCAACCAGCGAATCTCGAAACTTACGCGGACGAGGTAATGATGTCCTTCATCCTCGAAGGCTCGGATGATGCCTCCAGGGATGTGGGAACCGCGGTTGAAACTCAGGGAGAGCCGGATCTCCTGCATGAGAAGGTTGCGAAGCGTCTTCGAGAGACCTTTCTTCGTAATCTTCTCCAAACAAACCTCCGAACGGTTGCTCGTGAGGTCGTGAGCGCGGAAACGAGGGCCATACGGGCCACAAGCGACCTCCTTTCCGAGAGCGAGGTCGTTGATCCCATTGTCGACGGCGGTGGACGCGGAGCGTATCGAGCTCTTGCCAGAAGCGACGGCGGTGGACCCGTCACTCGTAGCTGGAGAAAGAGGGCATGTGTCGACAGGGGAGGAAGGCTTGCGGTTCGTAGCGCGGGTGAAGAGGGAGGAGAGGGAGAGGAGGGCGTTGGTAAAGATGTTAGATGTCATAGTAGCTCTGAGGTAGGTATGAGGTAGGTATGTTTAGAGCTCGTGTAAAAGATAGGTATGAATGTGGAGGTATGGGAAGAGGTGATGAGGAGAGAAATTGGACCGTACGTGCAGGCTTTTATTACCATCTTGTGTACGGGCAGCTGAGACTTCCTCGAAACAGCCCTCCATCCGTTCCGACACAACCTCAGAATGACCGAAGACTGCCGGAGTAAACGATCTGGTTCGTAGTACGCTTCCGTAGCGGCTAGGACGTGGCATCCAACAGAATACGATCCAAACAGCAGCGTGTCTTAACTTTCTCGACAGGTATCGGTTGGATGCTGGTCATATATTTGTCGGGCGAAAGATAAAACAAAATACTCATGGAGCAGTTGGCGATATGCGGGCTGCTAGATGGTACTCTAGCTTGGACAGTACGTGAATGAGGCCCGGTGGTGTCGATCAAGTGTCGATCGCCCATCGAGGAGGTTTCGGAGCCAGCCTGACTCTCGCATTCCGCAACATACTGTCTCTCTGGACTGACCGGTGAGCAAAAGAGATGACACAGTCCCTCGGATTCGATCACACTAAAGGTAGATTCGCGGAGTGCAGTCAGAGTGCTCAAGCATAAATTAGAAGAAAATCAGAAGCAGGTAGTTGCGCCAGATCGAACTGATCATACCAGTACCAGAGCCGCTAGATGCTTAGGAATGCAAGGGTCTAAACGACTGAAGACCATTCTTTTCTCTTTACCGATTAGCATTGCTAAGACTACAGCATTCAGTCCTCATGAGTGGCGGGCTCCGGGCGATATCGACGAATGGCAGTGTGTGGTAGGAAGCAAGAAAGAGGCTACGGAGTTGCGCCACACACCTCGTCGTTGAAAATACCCAACGTGAGAAACGTGGCGCATCGAGGATGTCCTCAAATTGAGAACCAACCTCATGACGGTCCCAGACTCGCTGTCTGAACAGATTGTTTCGGCTATATGTAGCGCACACCAAAGATCGCTCTATCACTGGAAGTAGGAAGTAACGTATCTATATACAAGTTCAAGTCATGGATTCAGAAAGTGTAAAGTCGTGACGTTCTGTGACGTTCTTGACAAACTCGAAAATCACGGTAACTGGTTCGGAGACCAAGAAGAAAATCAATGTAAGAGACAAACACACGCATATAACCTTCATACTGTCGCAACTGATTGATACCCGTATTTATGACCGCAACCTTTCGTCGTCTGCCCTTTCTATTTAGGCCCTAGCAGCAGCAGCAGCCCTACTTCTCTCTTCCGCCAAACTCAACTCAAGCACAAACCTCAGCTCCTCATCCTCCTCTTCTTCAATCATCCCAACATCAGAGTCTGTTTCTGCACCACCAGCGCTACCACCAACAGCAGAGGCAGCAGCTGCACGAGACGCAGGACTACCAACGTTCGTCACGGGGGCCACAACAGGCGACATGGACAACCTCCTCGCCCAACTAACACCACCTTGTTGCGGGAACGATCCCACAACGGAGCTGGTCCTCGAAACACCTGGCGAACTGCTAGGCGATCCATTCGCGCTATTGGTCCGACTCGTCAAAGGCGAGCTCCAGGCGTTGCGTCCACCAACTCCACCTACAGATGAAGAAGCCGAAGCAGAGGACTTTCTCGTAGGGGTGAGAATCCCAGACGAAGATACTGAGCCAGACGTTGACACGGGCGGGAAGTCTTGCGTTCGGGGAACGGGTACAGGCAGTGCTGACGATGCTGAGGAACCATCGAGAGTCAGAGGAGTAGGAGACAAGCCCCCTGCTTCCATCGGCTCAGGTTGAAAACGAGGTGATATTTGGATCTTGCTATTGGAAAGAGAAGGAACAACGAGCGGGAGCTTTCTTCCGTATGATGAGGAGATGGAGGAAGGTGTCCCGCTGACTGGCCTCGTCAAGGGCCTGATGGGTGGCGAACGAGACGATGTCGCTCCGAAGGGAGGGGAGGACGTTGAGGATTGTCTATTAGTAAGGCCAGTGGCGGAGATACCATCCGAAAGACCTTCGTCCATGTCCACATCGAAGATGCCTTCCTCGGTGCCGGCATTCGTACTTGGCCCGGGGCGATCACCAGACGCTGCCAGAATATCCTCCTGTCTCCGCTCTTCGTCACGGCTGAGCATAAGGACATATTCTACGGCCTCGCGTTCGCTTAGACCAAGCGTGGAGAGTGTAGAGGCTTGTTCCTTCGCTCTGTTCAACGAGCGCTTGATTTCTAGCGATTCTTCCCCGATGTCTTCCGCGCCTTCCGCGATATCTTGACGCATCTCATATTGTTCTGTTCGAAGGAGAACAATGTAAGTGACGGTTGATCGGCATAGCCCGGAGAAGCTGAAGACTTACGCTGCCACTTGGTCATGCCGCCTCCACTGCCCACGCCACCGCTCCTACTCTTTGCTTTACTCTTGCCCTTCCACCCATTTCTTGCTCCTCCGCTCAACGGGCCCACTCCCTTCCACGCAACGATCTTACTTCCAACACTTGCAACGAACTGATCTTTCCCGACCAATATCTTGCTCACACTCTCCGGCGCAACAGGAGCGAAAGACCGGACGGGTTTGAGGGTAAGAGTGTCGAAGACCTTGATATGACCACGAGAAGAGCCAGCGATTAAGATGGCATTGGTCGTAGAGACGGAAATAGAGGTGACGAAAGCGTCTGCGAAAGCGTCCATGCGGCGAGTGGCGGGCACTGTCCAATCTCCCGCCGATGGGGCGGATGAGAGGGTTGAAGAAGGCAAAAGCTCAGGTGAGAAGACGGGATTTCCATCCCAGTCGTAGACACTGATGCAGCCGAGACGATCGCCTACGAGGATGAAGCTCGCCTCGTCACGGCTCGAGGAGTAAAAAGGCTTGATAGATGAAATGGAGCCAAAATCGGCGTCGCCAAAGGTTATGCGCTCGACTTGTCCGGTCTGGGTATCGACCTTGTGGCGGTAGAAAGTTGCTTCATCTTGATAAGCGGTGAGGATAGAAATCCGTCCAGAAGGCTGGACGTCGAGGAAGAGAAAGGATATCTCTGGCTTGTCGGCGGATGAGCCGCCGTGAACCTGCGATGCCGGAGTACGAGGGGAAGGAGGTGTGATGTGGACCTCCTTTATCTGCGGTTGAACTACGCCAGGAGTGTCGAAGGTAGAGGCATCAAACCCGATGTAGACGATGACTTTGCCGCTCTGCAATCCGACGACGACGATTCCGTTGTCCAAGTCTTCGAGCACCTTCACGCACGGATCCGTAGTCAACCCAGTAACCGCCTTCTCTGATGTCCACGCGCATCCAAATCTCCTAACATTCCAGACCTTGACTTTGCCATCCGCTCCTGCACTCACACACGCCTTCCCATCATTCGTCCACACGACGTCGTTGACAGCTCCCTGATGCTCTTCTTCAACTTTACTCTTTTCCATCCTCGTCGCTGCTCTGCCACCACTCATCGTCCTCATATGCCAACTGACGGAGATCGAACCATCTCTGAATCCCCATACGATTCTCGCCGCCGCGCTTTCGGAGGCGAGAGCGCAAGCTGTGACATTGGGTATAAACTCTGCGTTGGGATTTCCGACACCGACACCGTGTAGAGAGCCTGTGGCATTGAGGAACCCCTTGACGATCTTGCCTATGGAGGGCGTGGAGCGCGCGACTATTCCGTATTGGATGGACGAAGATAGGAGCGCATCGTCGGACATCAGGTGGATGTCGGAGATGGAGGCATAATGAGGTATATGTGCGACCGTCGTGGCGCGACAGAGCTGCCAGCGTCTACACAACACCGAGAAAAATCAAGGCGATGATTTCGTTAACATACTGGCAGCAGAATAGGGAGAAGGAGCCCACACACCTCCTAAGATTATAACGAGAGACAAATTCTCTCTTCCAAGTGGCCTCTGCCTTCCGCAAAGTGATGCAATTGACATCAGTGAGGTCTGTCTCAGGACCTATGGCCAAGAACTGGCAGAGGAAAGCTCGATGCCAAGTATTATCGTCCTTTACGTGTTCGTACAGCTGTTTGTTAGCCCTCCCGAGAGCAAGAAGAGTTGCCGGGTCGAGGAAAGAAGTGATATGGGTGAGAGATTCGGATGGGAGTTGTAAGAGTGAGATACGGGGTACGTGAAGAGCGGAGCTGGGGGTGCCATGCTGGGTATGATTGCGAGTCGATTGCTGATTTCTGGTTGGGATAAAACTGTCTTTGAGAGAATTATCGGTGGGGCGAATGTGCATAAAAGACTTGGGTGGTAAAAGCTGGAAGGGTTGCGTCCACAGAGTACGATCTTCTGTGGTCTGCGCTGGGCTCGCTCGTCGTGGTCAACGTCAAGAGAGCAGTCATCCACCGAACAGGAGATCCACCGACGTCACACGGAGTCACAGACCGTCACGCTGGTCTCAAAATGCTAGAGAAATTCATGGAAATATTCATCAACGAAAGAACTTTTGGGAAAGACGTGTACGGTATTTGGAGGAGATTGTGAGCTCGTGTGGATGAGCGGAGACGTGTATAGACGTAATGGACAGGCATACACTCTGCAACGAGGCGAGCAGCATGGCGAAGGGCACACATTGACGGAACAGTAAAGCATCAAAAACAGAGTTTAATGCCCATTGACTACGCCCTCAGACTCTCCATTATAGACTGTATATTTGACGAGAAAAGAGTCGAGATGAGGGTGATGTTTGTGGCGGCTAAACTGCGCCACACAAGCAGCTCAGCGACAGTTCCCGCTTCTTCTCTGGACAGGAGAAGTGTGAAGCAATGGTCGGTGAGGGGCCGATGATGGGCATGAATTGATGTACTGATGTATACCAGGTTCGTTTCCGCTGTCTCCATTCACTAATTATTGGCGTTATTCCAAGGCGGGGACAGGGCCAATGCGATGTGGGGCGAATATACTCATACAACCAATTTCCAGTTCCACTGCGACATCCACAGATCATACCATACGACGGTCGGTCATCGTCCTCACAATACATCCCACACCAGCGACCTCTGTTAACTATCCAGCCAACAGTCTCGCATCAGTATCACGTACCCCGGAAATGATACGCAAGAGCGACGGAATGTACCTTCTCGTGCCATCCCAGCAACACGCTCCCACTCACATCTCCCCAGCCAGGAAGAGCCATACCCTTGTATAGGTACTTCATCAGGGTATCTTGTGTGTCTGGAGGGAGCGATTTGACGACGTTGGGGATGTCGGTGGATTTAGTGCTGTTGAGGATTGTTACGAGGGTTTGTAGTGTAAGATTCTGTAATCATGTCCAAATATCCGTAGTTTATCATGAGGCATATGATCAGTAAACGAAAGTGTTGAGGGTAAAGCAGTACGCACTTTCGCCTCATCAACATTCGCTCCGTATGGTGCGTTCTCAAGAATCGTTACCAGAGCGCCGGCAATATCACCCCTATAACAATACGAACAGACAGAGATGCTTGTCAGACCAGGATGCATATACCTCAACATAGACTTGACGTACTTGGACAGTAAACTCCGTACAGCGACGGACTTGGCCTTAGCTTCGTCCAGGACCTGAGATGGATCGCGAGGGTCTGGCTCGTACAGCTCGCTTTCTAGCAGCACGTCCTCATCAAAAGCATCGATATCGATCTTTCTGAAGGCACCATCCATGATGTACAAGCAAACGACAAAGTTCTAGTCAAACCAATCGGAGAACGTTGAAGGATGAAGCTAAAGCAGGCTAGGTAAAGTGGAGGTCGGTAAAGCACTGGTAAAGCAGAGGCGTGACGCGCTCAATGGCGGTGAACTTGGTGTGACAGGCATTGCAAATTGGGTGCCACATCAACGCCACATTAGATACCGACGTCCAAGTTCAAGCCCTCAAGCTCTTAACAAGTCTCATTCTCTTCTGTTCAATTTCTGGCCTAGTGAACTAATATAAATCCAATAAGATAGATACTACAAATATGGACCAATGAAGGGAATGAAGCGCTTGGGCGTTAAGCTCGTTCTACAGTCTTGTTTCCTCCACTAGAATTTTCCTGTCCCTGTTCCATCATATCAAGCTTGTATCAAGCCGCCCAATTTGACGGTCGCGCCGGCGGATAGGAAAGTTTATGTGGGTCGAAGGACGATACGGCATCGTCGATCTCCCTGAGGCCGACGGCCGGTCTTGTTTCGAGGTCCCGCGCATTCTCCCGCTTGATCATCTCGCACGGTCTTCGCACCTGTAAGAACGAAGCGGCCAACTCAGCTCGAACTTAGATCGACGGCAAGTATTCCGCCTTGACCCAGACTCGATTGGAGTTGCAGGGAAACAGTTGCTTGAAGACGACGAAGGTCCGGGGTTGTCGGCTGCAGTCGGGAGGCCGCCGCGGGATCGATATCACGGGGGCCACGAAGCTTGAGTTTGGGCGTTGTTGAGTAGGTTACAGTAGCGATACGACGAGACAAAAAGGATTGACAAAGAGCGCCGCAGGATACTGCAGATAAAACACATATGAATCCTTGTTATCTCGAAAAAAGGGTTTCTCACCGTATGATCGCCCTAGGCCTTCAGACGTCCACGATCACCAATGAATTCTGAGACGACCAAGGACCTCTTGCTATCTCAAAATTTTGAGAGCACAAGTACCTTCCCAGTAAGAGAGCTTCCTTTCGGCCTATGAAGGTCCGCGGATGCCAATCAGTTTTGATGTGGCCATGGACTTCTCGTCGTCTCGGGAGTCGGAGAGTACAGGAATGCTTTCCCGCTGTGAGACTTCGTACCTATGGATGTCTTCGATTCCTAATCAGTTCTAATACGTCGTCCAAGAACTTCGTTTCCAGATTCTAGAAAGGATATACGAGCATGTTCTCCCACCATGCAGTTTTCGAGGCTTCGGAATGATAGATACCTTCGAATGACAGTCTCGATAGTTCGAGAGTGAGCCCGCTTTCCAAGAACCTACACGTTCGCCATGCTTATACTTAGGCACTGTATGCTTTGATGCCCTGAGCTAGTTCAAAGCTGGCGGCATCGTCGGCGGAGTCTGAGAAAGCACGGAAGTACAGTAAGCACCAAAACGAAAGGTCGGGGAGAGGAATACCTTCAGAACCACCTACCACGCTTTCATCAATAAGAAGGACTGTACTCAATGCTTCCTTTGTCAGTGATGTAGGCCTGGATATAAAATCATTTGACGCCTGTTACGGCTTTGGGGACACGAGAAATGTCATGGTTACAGAGAGCTGGAATATTGGTGGAGGTATACGTGCCAGCTCGCGCGAACAAATCTAGGAATATAAGAGGATTGAACACAAGGCGATAGTTGGGCAAAAGGAATGATAACATGAGGTTTGACTTCGGGCTTCGGGATGTTCCTAGCCATGTTGCCTGCCACAGATGATGAGTGCCTTTGGAGTGCCTGTCCGGATGAATATCAAAGAAGGATGAGTTACAGGAACGTGAACAATAACAAAAGCCAAACAACGACAAACGATGCCGTTCACACGTTCTTGATCTAAAAATTCCAGGCTGTTCTCCTCTACTCTTCCAGATGCCAGGCATCCTTAGGCATCCTTCTCAAAATACATGAGAAGGCCCGTAGTCGGTGAGGATGACTTTGACCCTGACTAAGTATATGGCATGTTTCAGCTATCGCAGGCAGGAAGGAACGTACGTACTACACAGCAAGTTGTGTACCGATTGAGAGGGAGCTGCGCGGAGGCTTATTCACCGTTCCAAGACGTGTTCAACATACATCGCTTCTGAGTCAGGAGGTCACCATCATCGACCTGTAGGTTAGTGCGAGAAGCAAAAATAGTTGACCCTGCCTGCCGACCCCACAAAAGGATCTGGGGACGTACGGTGAGGTTGAAGCTGACAGCCTGAAAATTAAAGTACCCTCGGTCTAAGCAGCTCTAGCTACGCGAGACTCGCGTGTTTGCAGGTCGAGTTGGAGGTCGCAAAAGTCTCTCAACTGAGCATGGCGAGGCAATATTTGTGCGTACGAGGACGGCACTCAGTCACAGTTGAAGTGGATAGTTAAAATGATGGCCGGCCGTGTCTGTTTGTGCCGAAGGAAAGAGCCGGAGGTGCCCACTTTCTTCCTGGATCACGCACAAAACACGGGCCGGCTTTGGATCAAGAAGTGCTCAATGCAAATTCAGGACCCACTTCCTCCTCAGTCTCCCACAGGTTGCCCACAGGTTGCCCACAGGCCTTCCTTTAGTCAACGTGTCAATCCCTTCCCCTTCCTGCTTTCCCGCTTTGAAGATGGCGCTGATGAGCGCTTGAGCACCGGAAATACAACCTGATTGAGAGGCCTCTGGCAGCAGTACGATCTCGAGAATATCTACGTCTTTGCATGGAAGTTTTTGCATACTGCCAGGGCCTCCGTATTTTCTCGCTTCCACATAGGAAAAGACAGCGTATCCCCCCAAAAGATATCGCGTATCTCGTTAGTCGGCCTCCACCCACCCTGTGATAGTACCTTCGCGTGGTTCCTCGTATCAGCGTAAGACACATTTCCGAGTCTTCGTTCCACAAGGGCTACTGACCTGATGTGAAGTTTCTCCCATACGGCCCTACAGGAACCATCTCGTCGATCGTACTGGAGGCCTTCTGCCGCAGACTCGCAGAGCTCAAATTAATTCCTCTATTCTGAGCGTTCACGGGAAGCTTTGGCTCAGACTTAGCGTCGATGTTCCGCATTTGTCGCGTTTCGAAACCAAGATCTCGTGCAGCTGGATTTCTTTTTGTCGAGAACGATTGTCGTTGGTCGATGATCTTCTCCGTAGACCGCCTTGCAAATTCGGTTCCAACGAGAAACTCTGCGGCTGCCTACGGCTGAATAGATGAAGATCAGATCCACAGAGATCATCCCTTGGCAACCCTACCAGGCAACCTTGTCGGCAGGTCGCTTTCCCTCTTTTCGGTGTCGCTTGACGCATGTGCTTCTGAAGCCGCAGGCAACCTCGATTGCGCCACGGTATATTCTATAAAGCGATGGTGCGGGTCGCCTGTTAACGTTCCCTTGATCCCGTCTTGATCCTCCCCAGTTCTTATTTTCCGTCGTCCTCGCCATTTGGCCTGGTCAATTTAACTGGCACACCTGTTGTTTCATTTGGTCTCAACCTCTGAGAGATGTCGGCCGGAACACCCGCCCAGCTCATGTGAGTGTACTGCAACCAGGACAAGTTCCGTTCCAAAATCTGACATAACTTGCGTGACTCGTGCTCGGATAGATGGGGGCCTATGCTCATAGGGACTTTCCTCAATGTGCTGTACGTGTACCATCCAGCGCATTCGACGGCTTGTACTCCTCTCGCTCAAACGAACGCCGTAGGCTCTATGGCGTCTCTGTCACCCAGATGTACATGTATTACAGCGGTTACAAGAAGTAGGCTTCCACGATTTCATCATGCGGGGAGTTTTTCTGACAACATTACTTGCAGGGATAAGCCATGGATGAGAGCGTTTGTCTGTCGACTTCGTGCATCATACCGGAGGGCGCCCTCTGATTTTTGTGCGCCTAGATCATCTTTCTGTTCTTGGCGGACACTGTCAATACCGCTTTCGACATGCAGATGTGCTATGACGCTCTGGTGAACCATTTCGGTATGCATGGTCCATGGTTCCTTCTTACATCGAGCTCAATTCCGTTGTAGGCGACCAGACCTTCATTCTAGCTGCAACTTGGGGTTAGTCCTACCATCCCAGATATGAGAAAGCACATACTGACGACTCTCGGGTGTACTCAGTGTTCGCGGCAGGTACGTTGGTCAATCATGTATCTGTATACAAAGATACTCACCGGAGGCTGGCTGCTAGATCCCGTCATGACAGTACGTCCACTACTAGCAACTTTCCTCGCCTTGGTCTCAGTTGTCACCTTGATCTGCAGGGTATGATCGGGATGTCCGTTCAGCTCTTCTTCTCGTGGAGAATCAAGGTCCTCACGGGAAGCATATGGGCCGCGTTGTTTGTCGGATTCTTTGGGGTTGTGCAGTTCTGTACGTTGTCTGCCTTATTCCCTTGCTGTTCGACGCCCCTCACGATGTAGATAGTGGCTGGACTCGCAACCTCTATTGCCGTCGGGATCATTCCTCATTTCCTCGACTTCCAAATCTTCAAACCCGCCGTTGTCGTTTGGCTCGCTGGCTCAGCGTTCTGTGACTCGATGATCACGGTTGTTTTAGTCACTTATTTGGTGAGCTGACCATGTCGCGTGCCGAGCAATCGATGGTGTTGACTTGGATCTAATTTAGCGCAGAAACAAGACCGGTTTCGTGGTTACGGACGGCGTAGTGGACAAGATTATCAGATGTTCGACTTCCTTTTGCAAATTTCTTCCTTAGCCTGTTTGCTGACGAAGCTTCCACATGTAGTGACTGTACAGACCGGCGCCATAACATCCGCTGTGAGTTCTTCGTCTCGTAGCCGTCCAAAATTTCACTTTACAGCGGCTAATCAGGCTCTTCCCTCAACAGGTTGCCATTGTTAGTTCTGCCACTTCGACCTTGTCTACCTGCAACGTACTCACCGAGTGATTCCTCCTACCAGATCGACTTGGTGTTGTTTTTGGCAAACGTGCGCCATACTCCCCATCTAGTGTTGCTTCATGATCTAATTTTATGTCTCTCGACCAGCCTGCAGGGCTGTGAGTTATCGACAATGGTAGAGATTCTATACATGAGACGGCATTCTAACTTTATTTCCGCATTAGCCACCTCGCCTTCAACATCCCACTGTCTAAACTTTACACCAACTCGCTCCTTTCTAGTCTGAATGCCCGTGGCGGCTGGGCATACAACTCTTCTTCTCGGCCAGACCCGCAAAACCACAGTGTCAGCCTTCAACAACGACGCCGTGACGTAGTCAACTTTGAGGCGTCCACCGTCCGGCCAGAGGTATGTTGCACTCGCACCCTTCTTATTTGCGTTCCTACATCGTAATTTGATTGTCTGCTGACGACTGTCCGTACAGGTCTATGTCAATGTTGAGAGTCACGAGATGACGGACCAAAACGGAAGCGATCAAAAGGGAAGGTCTTTCATGGATCCCGAGTCTCTAGACTCGAAAGAAGATTCGCTCAGCATGGGAAGGCCAACTGTCGTGTAAATGTGCAGTCTTGGATATATATTCTCGGTTCGCTGTCGTTCCCTATTCATTACTTCTTCGAAGATATTCACAGGGTCCGATGAGGTATATAGATTGACACGATTGTCGTTTGTGTTTCTTGAAAAGTCGTTGCGGGCGGTTTTCCGCCACATACACGCTGTAACCCTAGATTATTCTTTTGTTATCGTTCTACTCTCTGGATATCTTACACGATAGTTGTTTTTGCTGAGATCTGTACCCACATCTTTCGGCGTGTCACCCCGTCCTGACCGAGCGATTCCAGGTGCCCGATTGACAGCATCGTGGCAAGAACAGAGCGGCAGCCCGCCATTTAACCTCCCGGCGGCCATTTCAGCCGCTTACTCAGGAAGATTTTCGTCACCAGGGGCAGTCTGTCAAGCAGACTCGGGGAGGAAGGGGAGGGTGAGTTTGGTTGATGACCTCCATCCAAACGGAGCGGGCCATCGTGAAGGAGGAAATCATTTTTAGTGGAGTCTTTCGCTTTCAGCGCTGCTTGCATGTTTTCGAGAATAGTTGATATGTTTGCCTGTTCTGTCACAAATGAGCCGAATGCTAGTCAAGGATAAAACTCGACATTTTCTTGCACCTTCCTCACTTCAGTCTGCGTACCGGTAGGGACAAATATCTCGAAGTGTTTGGCTACAGGAGAACGTCACATATGTCTCTTCTCGTTCTTCGCCATTTGCTAAATCACACTATTTAACCTCAATCTCGGGCCATTGCGTATATACCTACTACATTCCACATGCATGAACGCACAAAACTGACTCGATTTTGAAGTACGATAGGCATCTGTTCATTTTACTTGTACAACATCGATTCTTTTGGTTCTCCTTCATTTATCCCAACTTTCTTCACACCGACCTAAACATTTAATTCAGCCTTCCCGGCCTTCTGGATTGCCTTCTTGAGCTCCTCATCCGCCAGCGCAGGCTCCACCCACTCTTTCAAGAACTTATCCACCTGCTCCGGCGCCCGGCCAATGAAAGACGTCGGGTCGAGCAAAGACTCGAGCTCGCCCTTGATGGGGTCGAAGTAAGGGTCTTTACGGACGCGATCGATGAGGTCGTTCTCGAGGCCGAGTTGCTTGACTTGATAACCCGCTTCGTGCGACAAAACCTAAATGCGCATGAAAGGCACCGGTAAGCGCCCTGACACAATCAATATGGAGGAGAAGGAAAGACGAGCCCGAATCTTCTCATGCGCCTCCTGCCTATCACCACCCTTCTTCACAATCGCCATGATCAAATTCTCCGTCGCCATAAACGGCAACTCCTGCCCGATCCTCCTCTCGATCACCTTCTCGTACACCACTAAGCCCTCGCTCACGTTCTGCAGCGTGCTCAAGACGATGTCGGCCGTCAGGAATGCTTCGGGGAGTGTGACACGACGGTTGGCGGAATCATCGAGTGTGCGCTCGAACCATTGGACGGAGGAGGTCATGAGCGCGTTTTGGTGGAGTGTGAAGAGGTGGCGGGAGAGGGAGCAGATGCGCTCGGAACGCATGGGGTTACGTTTGTAGGCCATGGCGGAGGATCCGATTTGAGTAGACTCGAAGGGCTCTTCGACTTCCTGTGGCGATGTTTACGGTAAGCACTCTAAACGGATTCGAGAAGGATTTGTCAGGAAATTTACCTTGAGGTTCGCTAAAAGTCTCAGGTCAGTGGCGATCTTGTGTGCGGTAGCACCAAAGGAGGCCAGGGGAGAAAGGACATCGATGTCGATTTTCCTCGAATAGGTTTGCGATGTTACGGGGTATGCATATTCGAATCCAGACAGCTCTGTCACGAGTTTGTCAAGCTCCTCTACCTATTTTTGATGATGATACCAAAAAAATGACCATTGAGTCAAAATGAGGATTCCCGATAGCATATTTGCATACCTTGTCATGGTCGCCATCGAAAAGAGCGAGGAAGCTAGCCTGGGTACCAGTAGTCCCCTTGACTCCACGGAAACCAAGATCATCACGAGCCCTCTTGATATTCCTAAGATCCCACAGAAGCTCCTGTGGCGTGAAGACGGATCGTTGCCATCGCCTCCGGTCAGCATTTTGACAGATCGAGCAACAGGGTCAAGACATGACCGACCTGGATCCACAATGTAGCTCTCTTCCCCACCGTGGTCAGCTGCGCGGGCTGGAAGTGGGTAAACCCAAGAGTGGGGAGTGCACGGTATTGTTTTGCGAATGTGGCGAATCGGTCGATGACGACGGAAAGTTTTGCGAGGATCATGGTGAGGGCTTGGCGGATGAAGATGAGGTCGGCGTTGCTAGTTACAGGTTATAACAGGCATCGAGCATTACAGATAGAGAGTAGACGAGGATCCACTAGATTGAATACAGTATCTTCTGCGATGGAACAGGGCGAAAGACTCACTCGGTGACATAGCACGATGTGGCCCCTAAACTAGAGAGCGCCACACACACCACATGTAATGCAAAGAAGACCTCAGAGCATTCCTTGAGTGATCCCTGCGAAGCTAATATATACGCACTGGATGATACCAGCAGCAGCAGGCGCCATTTGTCCAAAGGTGTGCACATGCGCCATGACATCGTGCCTCCGTTTCTTCTCCTCCTCCGCTGCGATCTCGAACTGTTTCGCATCCAGATGCTGCACTCACCGGTGAGTAATCATCGATTTGATAAAATGTCGCACATAATACATGAGGATAAACGCCGGTGAGAGCTTTTATCATGTACGCACAAGGTTTGTCTTCATTTCCTCAATGGCCTGGTCTGAGATGGGCAATCCGAGTTGCTTCTCTGCTTGTGCGAGGCTAAGCCAGAGCTTTCTCCACGTATGAAAACGGTTCTAGTGATTTATAGTTCGTCTTTCAGCTGGAATTCATACAATCAAGGATGGTGTAAAGCCTTTGAAGGGAGTAGAAGAATGTAGCCCACCTCTGCAGAGAAGAGATGTGCCATTTCCTTGCTGGCATAGCGGCTAGACCACGAATATGTTCAAAAAAAGTCATCCAGACTGCATATACTGTGTGAACAAACCTTGCTAGAGGGGTCTGGTAGGTGTCAAATGATTCCATCGTGTGTGGAGGTGAAGAGGCGAGCGGGCTCAGGTCTGAGATCTTTGGATATACATTCGATCTAATCTTATCGAGGAAAGACTATCCTAGAGATCCGATGGTCCGGCGCGGGTCTCAGGGCCACACCCATTGTGGGAAAAACGCGTCGCGTTTAGTGTGGTACCTTCAACAACCCGCTCACACACTTTACTTTCGACCACACAGTCGCTTGTATACACGGCCAATACCCGAGCGTATCCTCTAAGTTTCGCCTCTTTGATGGCTCAATCGCGCCAACATACCCAACATGTTCACCCCGGTGACCTTCCTTACGCCACACCAGTCCTGCGCTCCGCTTCACCCAGCGGCTCCATCAATACCGAATATGGCCCAGACGAGACCACACTATCTGACAGTGAACTTAGTCCAGAAGAATTCGATCGAAAAGTGCAAAAGCAGTTAGGTCTCCACGAACAGAGAGAACAGGAGTATAGAGCCCAGTCTACCCCGCTGCTTTGGCCAAAGCCGAAGTCGCCACAGGAGGAGCAAAGTAAGCATCCTTCCTGGTCGCTCACTTACTAGCGCATCAATGCTCATATTGATAATTTTACGCTCCCGATCGCGCTATAGTTCTGTTCGACAGAGTTATGCGGAATCTGAGATTTGAGGTGGCCATGCTCGAACAAGACGAGATTATCGAGAGCACCATGGCTCGCACGGCACGCATGGCTACCGAGACGCAACCTTCGTCTAACGACATTGATGCAATCATGCAGAGTATGATGGGTCCTCCACCTTCCAGCAACCTGACGTCCGCCAGCCACACTCAGGGTACCACTCTCACTCCGATGGACGTGGATGATGGCCCTGGACCGTTCGACTTCAACTTTGCAAGGAGAAGCGAAGAGGAGACAACGGCGATGTATGAAGCTGGCAGGGAGGGTATGGATATCGGTAGGAACGGAACAAGGAAGGGAAAGGCGAGGGATATGTCGTGACGGAGTGCATAGACGTGAGACTATTTTTGAGGTGATGTCGTACTTGCTTTCTGTATACCAACCCTGTTGTATTCTAGTGCTTTCTTGAGTATGCGTATCTTCCTACTACCGGACCATCACTATCCCTTCTTACACTGAAGTGGTACTATAGGCATCCTCAGTGTGATCCAAGTTGATAATATTTGACGAAACCACATTTTCGTTACTTGGAATTCTCCGGCTGTACACAGCGTCATACAGCGGCTCATTATTGCATGCACCACCTAGATGTTTATGTACTCATTTCACCTTCGTCCAAATTCTCATGCCCTCCTCCCCAACCGCCACAACAACATCCCCACCCAAGCCCACACTAACACCCTCAATCCTCAATGCCTCTCTCCCCTCTTCTCCATTCACTCCAACCCCAGTCCGACCAGCCCATGAACTCAACTCCCACTTCAAATCCCACCCATTTCCTTGATTCCAAGGTCTCCCATTGCCCGGCGCTACACTGCTCCCTCCCCTCACCGTGTTCGCGGCAGTACTAGCACTCCTACTCCCCGCCCGTGCCCCATCCACAGCCGCACTCGTCTCCCTACTCGTTGAGGCAGAAGCAGAAGCGAGCCGCATCTTTCCCGTCTGTTTCGTCATATCATTCAACACACCTTCCATCTCGCCGCTGGCCTCACGCTCTCGGTTCGGGAGGATTATACGACGTAATTTGTGCACATGGAGCGCCCAGGCGGGAATGAGACGGATGCTTCCGATGGTCGTGGTGGTCGGTTTGGCACTTGCTTGGGCGGTCATTGGCGTGCCGGTGCCGGTGGACAAGGACGGGGGCGACGGATGAGGCTCTGAAAAAGGGATGAGGAAGAGCGGTGGGACAGGGCTGTGTGGTGCCGTGTGGGTATAGGTCGTTAGGTTCAAGGACGATGGGCTGGATAACGGAAGGGAAAGTGTCGCGAGTTTCGTGAACGATACTGTCATGACGTGGACAGATTCAACTTAGCTTCGAATACTTGAAGCAGTGTCGCGGGAGAAAGGGAACGTACCGCTATCCTTATAGTCCCTCTCACCCCCCCTCAACACCATCTGATACTCCTTCCCTCGTCCCTTCCCATTCCCATTACTAGCAGCTTGGTGCCCTTCCTTTCCACCTCCGCCTTCCCCGTTCAATTCATCTTCAACTTCCATCTCCGAGTCCCCTGTTTCCTGTCTCTGCGCCTCTGGCCGTTTTGAACCTACGTCGTCCCCCGCAGAATCACGTCCAGGAAAGAATCGGTGCATACTCGTCCATTTCCAGATGATCAGTTCGCCCGGAATGCGAATGAGCTTCATGGGCTCATCGCTTTTACGATCGGGGTCTGTGTTTGACAGGTCTTGGATCTGGGTGGGCGAGCTGTGGGTGGCGAGGATGTCGTCGTGGAGCCTAAGAGTGAGATCGTCACAGCACAAGGGACAAAGACGGTGACAGTGATTTTAGTGATGTCGAACGACGGAAGGACGCATTGGTTGATCAGTCAGCGCGAATGAGTGTGAATGCGATACGTTTAGAGAACAGAGGAGAAGAGACGTACGTACCATGATACGGAAAGAATACGTGCGCTGTGGAGGTATGAAGTACTGAAAATCGGCTCGCCAGTCTCTTCGTCCGGCGGGAGGTTCAAATTCCAGATCTTGACCGTTCGATCCACCTACACCACACAAGCCAACAATATCCATCAGTTGCCAAACGCAACCCAATAACCAATAACCAAAAGAGGAGAACAATCAGAGAGCGTAGGCAATGAGAAACTTAACTCACCCCACAAGTCGCAACGACAGGCAACCTCGGGTGCCACGCCGCACACAACACTCCGCCCAAATGACCCGCGGGCAGTCCACCCGCAAGAACGCGCCAACATCGGCCAGGGAACGCACGCTCCATATCCACTCCTCCCCATCGCTCTCCTCCCTCTCGTCTTGCTCCTGCTCCACTCAGGCTGCCACCAGCGGTCTTCGTGCCGCTCTGATTTTTGCGGTTCAGAGCATTCGGATTGATGATGTTGTTACGAGGGCGGAGTTCTCGAGTGCGTTGATGGGTTGTTGTCGTGGTGGAGGCGGTGGCGGTAGTGCTGGTGGTCGGAGGCGCCAAAGGGGGTTCAGGACCGGGATGTGGCGCGGGAATGGGTGAGAGGTCCCAGATACGGGACGAGAGGTCGCGAGAAGTCGTCAAGATGAGAAAAGGCCGGTCTGGGGACGTTTGTACCGAGGTTATAAGCTGTTTCGTCACCAAAACATGTCAGTCAGATCGTTTCTCGGATCTTCTCATACAAACACGGGGAGCGATGGTCGTGCAAGGTGAAAGAACATCGAGTGAGCTTACCCCACCATGACCTTTCAAGAACCTCAACCAATTCGATCTCCCAGACAGGTGCTCCTTGAGATCGAGGACATATACACGGCTCTTTCGGGCGTAGACCAGGAGAGGCGATGAGGGCTGTTCTTTGGTGAAGGCCCAGGTTATTGACTTGATGGCTCGTTCGGACGGTTCGGCGTCTTTCTGGTGAAGCGGGCGGCAGAGATATAGCGAGACAAATGAGAAGACGACGAAGTACGCAAGGTGTAGGAGAGGGGCTGGACATACGGAAGACGGAATCTCGATGACGATCGGAACCATCTCCCTGGGCCGCTCGTTTGTCTCTCTTGCCTTGCCCTTTCCGTAATTCCTTCCCTCACCACCACTCTGCGACCCAAAATCGAAAATCGAGATCACATCGTCTCCACCCACAGCACAACACCCTCCCCACCTTTCCACCATCTTCGTTGCTCTAGTCACCACCGCACGATGTTCCTCCGCAGAATCGGTATTGAAGCTGAGTTTTTTGAGAGATGGGACGGTCCATGGGAAGAATGATGCGGTGTGGAAGGGTGTGGGTGGTGTTGTCTGTCGGGGAACGGCGAGAGGGGAAGGTTGATTAGTGAATTCGTTGAGAGGGTGACGAAGAAAAGACGTCCAGAGAGGGGAGCTGCAGTATGAGTGGAAAGAGAAAGGTTTGAACGAACTGAAATTAGATGCTTAAATCGGTAGGGAGGTGGTGTTGTCCAATCGAAGTATGTGTACCACGGCTGCGGTGGGATCATTGGCTCGACGTCCATCTCGAGAAAGATGAGGAAATAATAAGATAGCAGATATACAGATGTCCTAGATATTCGGCCAGATACTGAGAGAGTCGGACTAGCTTGGGCCCCAGTAATCCAGCCAGAATTATTATAACGCCACACCAATAACTTACTTCACTGTTGGTATTGGCAGTGGCGATTTCCAGTCTCAGGGTGAAGCGGATGTGCCACAGCTAACAGGGGTCCAAAGAGCAATGGTGCAGCAAGCTTGTTTCCTTTCGATCTTCGCTCTTGGAGCTCACGTAAAACGGTGGACGGGTATCATGGAGGAAGGAGGAAAAGAGACGCGGTGAGCGGAAGTAAAAACGCGATCGTCCGATTGATGTGAAGGGCACGTGATCGTGTTTTGCGTTTGTGCCACTTCAAGCGTCGATGGGCCACTCTCTAGGTATCGAGAGCGGGATTGTGCACTAGCGACCGAACAGTGAACTGCGGTGGACGGCGTCAAAGAAACGCTAATAAAAAGCGACACGGGTTATCGAGCGACAGTAACAGAGACAACAAATAAGCGTCAATGGTCAAGGGTAGAGTACGATGATAATTCGAGGACAGCGGGACAGCGCATTGGCGCAGGGAAGGAGAGGTATCACATAAAGGAGTCGCAGAGGAGATACAAGTTCTGGTATAAAGAATTAGAGCAAGGTGCGACGTTATCATCGTCATCATCGCCGTCATCGAAACAACGTAAAAATACGGAAGCGTTCTAAGCAAACAGACACGGAGGTATCGAGGTATTGAATCGTGAAAAACGGGGACAATCAAAGGGAGGAAACTGATATGGGGACTCGAAAAGCAGGTAGGAATGATAATGAAAATGGGAAGGGAAAGCGAAGCAGATCAACGCCTCCAGAACGCCAGCTTGTTCAAAACGCCCGGTTTCGAGGGGTACGCAGTCGCACCGGCCATTCTCTCCTTGCGACGTCCAAAACAGACGGTGCAGCTCGCGATGAGCAGGAGCAGGAAGGTGGCGAAGGTGATCCAGAAACCTAAACACCCCTTCAGCGACAAACCTCTCGCCACGAAAGAGTGGACGGGGAAGACGTACCAGGCCCGGTAATAGTATGCTCTTCAACATCCAAATCGGCCATCTTGTGCTTGACGTAGACGAAGAGCGCGATATCGATCGCGAATGCGATGAGTGTGAGGAGGGCGGCGAGGCCGGAGGCGATAGAGGAGAGGAGCATGACGGTTATGTGGGAGCTGAGGGAGAGCAGGAACGCGATGAAGGTTACGATCGTGGCTGCAGGACAACATATCAAAACACTGGTTAGACTCTTATCGAGGATAGCTCAGATGAAGGAAGACGACTGACCGACTGGGTGGACGGCTAGACCCCGAGTCCAGGAGGAGCCGATAGTGATGGAGCTGTTGCCGCTAACTGTAACGGCGTAGCCATGACCTGTAGACCACGCATCGACGACCGACGTATGACATAGTCAGCCAACAAAGCGATTGCTAAATCATGGACCACAAACCTTGGTCGATGCAAGTCCTGTCCCCGGACGAAGAGTCATAAATGCAGTACGCCCTATACAACGCACCCGATCAGTTCTTTCCTCTCGCAATTATTCAAGGCCAAATTACTACAACGTACCAAACACCGAACTAAAGCACCACCCAATGAATCACATCAGCCTCTCCCTTCCCGACCAATCAATAAACAACAAAAAATACGCACCCTCAACTGTCCAATCTCCCCACTACTGTTCCCCGCCGCCAAACTGCCCGAGGAGAAGTGAGTCCTCGTGATATCGAGCGCAGGGAGGGCCGGCAGAGAAATAGCGACGATCAAAGAAAGGACAAAAGCACAGAAGAGGAGGACCACCCCCGGGATACAAAACGCGCGTGCGGACATCGTTTTCGTTCTCGTGTTCGACGTTCGTTCAAACGTTCAACAGAGCTGAGTATGCAGGGATACGATACTTATAGTCGTGAAGAGCAAAGCAGATCTACGCGGACGTGGAAGGAAGGATCGGTCGAAGACAATTCGAGTTGGGGGATGGCTTTTGTCTAGGCCTGGAGAAGCTAGAACGAAGGCGAGCTCGGTGGAGTGGAGCAGGGCAAAGACCGCGAGGACGCTGGGCGGCGCGCCCCCAACGCGGTAATGAAAATACGAAAACCATCGAAATCGAACGTTCTTCTTCTGGTTTCGGGGTGATCGCCTTCTGACGTCAACATTTTAGTGGTGCCGAGGGCTTGGCGTGAGCTTGTTCGAGTTGACGATCAGTGGCAAAACCACCTCGTGTTTGCAAGTGTGGCGCTGCAAATTGTAAGTTTCTCGACATGATGAGTTGGCTTGCAGAAGCGAGCAAAGCGACTGGAGACGGTGCTTTGGTGAATGTGTTTGGGTGAACAGACAATGGGACGACGGCGTGTCACCGACACGATCGATGTCTGACCGAAGGGTGCACTGCAGTGAAATCTAGTACTTACGCCTAGACGAGGTCAAATCTAAGTGGACGAAGTTGGACCACATTGAACGGTATGGAGAAAATCGGGTACGTCGGTATTTTTATCTTCCTTGTTTCTCTCGGTATACTTAGAACGTTGATGGCTGTTTGGCCAAGGCCAACGTGGTAGGCACGTACTTACTACTGTACAATGCACACAGAAACAAAGTACGTGGCAGTCGTCAGTATTACTGATTGATGCCCTGAATACAATCAGACCTGTATATATGCTCAATTATTAGTAGAGCCTGTGTCGAGGTTCGTCTTCAAATGGTATATTCTTCAAACTTCACCTTACCGTACTAGCCTGCACTCACATTGTCGACATCGTCGCGCTTCGCTCAGATCAAGTGCTCCGGACCGCTTACAACAAGTCCCTGTCTAGGTGTCCAGCGTGTTCTCTTGATTCATCGATCTCATTCCTGCTCGGTACTAATCTCCGTTTAACTGAATCACACAGCGACGACTCTACAAAGGGCGATCCAATGTAAGTACTACATGAGACTCTCATTTCCTCGTACCCAAAGTGGATGAGCCTGAGCGCTGCTATACCTCCGTCCATTGCATGATCCGCTCAACCGCCGCAATCTCGTTCCATGTCCAACTTGTCTTCAACTAAGTGTCCATTCCTCCGATTCACGAAATACTACTTTCAGTGTTGTGTCTGTTGTCCGAATCTTGTTCGGGTGTCGTGCTATTGCTCTGCAAGCTATAAGTGTTTGACCGGATCGCTCCATGCTGTAACAGTAACTGCACGATGGAATCGTGACCGCGTTGCGACGCCGCGCTGAGTGCATTGTCGTATATGCCGCCCTGGGCATTCACATCGGCCCCCTTCTCAAGGAGCAGCTGCACGGTGGTGTCATGACCGCCTTTCGACGCGGCGGTTAGTGCATTGCCGTATATGCCGCCCTGGGCATTCACATCGGCCCCCTTCTCGAGCAGCAGCTGCACGGTGCTGTCATGACCGAACAGCGATGCCCCCTGGAGCGCATTGCCATATTCTCCGCCCTGGGCATTCACATTGGCTCCCTTCTTGAGCAGCAGCTGCACGGTGGCGTCATGACCGACCAGCGATGCCGCCTGGAGCGCATTGCCATATCCGCCCTGGGCATTCACATTGGCCCCCTTCTCGAGCAGCAGCTGCACGATGGTGTCATGACCACTATACGATGCTGCACTGAGTGCATTGCCATAGATGCCACCCTGGGCATTCACATCGGCCCCCTTCTCGAGCAGCAGCTGCACGGTGCTGTCATGACCGCTTTCCGACGCCGCGCTGAGTGCATTGCCGTAGTATCCGCCACCCTGGGCATTCACATCGGCCCCCTTCTCGAGCAGCAGCTGCACGGTGCTGTCATGACCGCCTTGCGACGCCGTGCTGAGTGCATTGCCGTATATGCCACCCTGGGCATTCACATTGGCCCCCTTCTTGAGCAGCAGCTGCACGGTGCTGTCATGACCGAACAGCGATGCCCCCTGGAGCGCATTGCCATATTCTCCGCCCTGGGCATTCACATTGGCTCCCTTCTTGAGCAGCAGCTGCACGGTGGCGTCATGACCGACCAGCGATGCCGCCTGGAGCGCATTGCCATATCCGCCCTGGGCATTCACATTGGCCCCCTTCTCGAGCAGCAGCTGCACGGTGGTGTCATGACCGTGTACCGACGCCGCGCTGAGTGCATTGCCGTATCCACCACCCTGGGCATTCACATTGGCCCCCTTCTCGAGCAGCAGCTGCACGGTGGTGTCATGACCGTGTACCGACGCCGCACTGAGTGCATTGCCGTATATGCCGCCCTGGGCATTCACATTGGCCCCATGCTCAAGCAATAACCTTACTACTATGCCATATAAGCCTGCCAATGATGCATAGTACAAAGGATCTGGTATCTTTTCTAACCTTGTTATTGACCATTCTTCTAAAGGATTGTCCAGGTCATATATTCGAACCCAGTTAGGAAATGCAAATCCAGACATGTCCATGAGCTTTGATGCAGGCTCTAGTACAGCTTCAGTGAGTTCGAGTGTGACCTCTTTGTCGTAGTGAACATGCTTTGTCCAATATCTTGCAGCATATCCAGCAAATGGAAAGTTGGCCCGTGATTTGGAGTCCAAGCAATCAGCGGTGGAAAACTGCAGGAGATAGTTAAGACATGTGTGTGCAATAATTGTGTGGGATGATTTCTCTGTCAGACTGTACCTCGATACAGTATCTGACTTCCTTTGTATACGATCAGAAACCAGATACTCCTGGACTGAGAAATGAGCAAGGGAAACTTGTGTAACATCCCTACTGCCCTGCTCCAGAGACGAGAGAATCTGAATGGTAACCTGTCTCTGAGATACAAGCCCTGAGAGAATGGTAAAGATGTCATTTGCTTGACGAAGTCTGCGTTTGCCAATAACATAAGGCTCGGTGTTGCTCTCAATATCAACAGTGATGGTTTCCGCAAGCTCATGGACCGACAGAGGTCTCAGCGAAAACACAAGGAAGTGGAGGAGTCGAAGGGCACGTGGAACATCTGCATGAGGGATAGCAGAGAGTATGCGGTCATATGTGTCGTCTAGATCTTTCGGAAGATTGGACAATGCTTGTTCGATATCCTCCTCGGTGCGGCATGATTGAAGCGACCGAAGCTGGAGGTCGACCCATCGGAACCTGATGAAATGCACATTAGCCCCATCTTTCAAATAAGTAAATTTGAGACGGCAATCTCACATTCCGTTCGCTCGAGAAACGAGCGAGAGTTCAATAGTTTCGAGTATTTTTGTATCCCATAATTTGAGGTCTGTGTCTTCGAGAATGTGGCGAATGTGCATCCTGATGTCGTCATTTACGAGTCCAGTCGAAAGGTCAATACAAATGGGGCCTATATTCCCCATGGATAACTGGATATCAGATTCTGGGCGGCTAGTCACCATGAGGTGAAGGCCAGGGCACTTTTTTCTCATGAGTGATTCAAGGAATGGCACAAGCTCTGTCTTTCGCACGTCACGAGGGGGCTCATCGAGAGCGTCGACAATAACATATGAATGCTCAAAGATATCCAGAAGCCCGAGGAACACGTGCCCAAGATGATCAATAGGGGCGGTCATTCCGCCATTAGCGTGCTGAGAAAAGAGGTTGGCAATGGAGGTGGGCATAGTGCCACACTGCGATAGCATCTGCACGATGAGCGAGCATAGCAAGCCCCTCAGTTCAAGCTTGGCTTTGTCTCGAAAGTCGAAATAGAAGTATACGATGGCGGACGAAGGCTTGTTCTCGCAATGCCACGCGGTGATATTGTCGATGACCGTGGAGCTATAGACTTAGTATTCAGTATACGGGTAGGTAGAAAGTGAAGTGAGGCACACCATAGGACGCTCTTTCCATTCCCGGCTAAGAGATTATGAATCAGGATCGCGATATGAGGTAGAAAACAGACGACACACGTATCCCGTGAAGCCATAGCGGGCGACTGCTCCGTTCGTCTCTCCAGGAGATGAACTCCGAACTCTGCAAGAACCAGTTGCCAGTCTCTTGGCCAACCTCTTGACCGCGACGCGCGGCGCAGTTGGATTCGTGGTTCGTGGAAGGATTGGGCGGTGAGAGCCATTTAAAGATTTTCGAGTAAAGCATTTGGTCTGAAATAGTGCAGGCACCGTGAAAGCTCAGTGAGTCTACCGATGAATGGAGGACCTACCTTCGGCATCCTGTTGCTTCTTCAGAACTCTCTTGACATCCTGGTGCGTGAGGGCGCTGACCATCCCAACCTCCTGTGCCGCCAATTTTTCCAGCTTCTGGATCGCGCCATTGATATCGTCATCCTGTCCACAAACCTCCGCGAGGAAGGAGACTGAACGGTATATCAGTAGGCCAGTTATGATGGCAGGCTGCAGGTAAAGATGGCGCACCTGTAGTGTTGGCTTCCATGAAAGTCGACAATGAGATAATGGCCTTCAGGAGCTCAGCCAGGAATGTGACGATGATCTTCTTGATTTCGTCTGAGATCGTATCGTCCTTCTTGTACACGTTCATCCGATCCACAAAAGCGCCAATCTCACGGAGTAACTCGAGCATTAGGTCGTATTTCTTGATCGTCTTCTTCGCAGCCTAAAAAAACAGGTCTGAATGCGACTGTGACAAAGAACTGTCCATAATATGCATACGTACCTTCGCCAGCATTCCAACAGCGGTGAAGATTGTCTTGGCTGGCGGGAAGACCTAACGTTGACCAAAGTGTTAGCCCATATTGATCGCGCGAACGTGAGGCCGCATCAACTCACAATGCTGACACCTTCACCTAGCAGCCCCGAGACCGCGTCTACCCAGTCCAGAATCGTTTTGATCGTATCGCGAGCTTTCTCCTTGCTTACTGTCTCACGTTCGAAAACATCCGCCGTCTGCTGGAAAGAAGCTAGGCAGTCTTCGAGTGAAGCTTGTGGAAGAGCGATCCCACCCTCTTTGCTAGAGTGTCCAAGAGCAAGTTCCCATAGTTCTTGTACGTCGGTGCGTGCGGTCGGCTCGATTACTATGGGAGACAGTCCGGCAGGTAAGGCAGGCGGTTCGACGGGCAAAGTGGGCGGTTCGGCGGGTAAAGTGGGTGGTTCAACAGGTAGAGCAAGTGGTTCGAGGCTGATAGCTGATAAGGTAGGCGCAGGGGTACCTGCACTGCCTTGGGGTGTACCTAAACGCACAAGAGGAGGAGCTGGCGACTGGGACAACAAGACGACCCGGCGTCACTTTGATTCATGAGCATGATTTGCCTGTGAGCTCACATTGGAGTTTCGACCCGAAGAGGTCGAGCTCGTGGTGTTTCGTCCAAACAGTCTCTTGGTTTTTTCTTTGAGTTTCCGATGCATGTTGTGACGCCGGGAAGATCAAGTAGGTGGTAGTCTGTATACTCGACGTGATGAGTACGCAAGGATACACGAGAGTTAAGCGGAGGCTCACTCACTGAGCTTGAGTTGCGAATGGCAGGGTCTGGGGAGCTTTGAAGGGTAAGGGTAGGAAGTGTCGTTGGGCAGTGGGAAAATCAGGCAATGCAGAGGCAATGAGGAGTGCCAAACACGCATAAACTACCAAAAATAGCATGCGGGCGTATAACAGTGATCGATAGTCATCACTATAAAGGTCTGTAAAGGAGACTAATGCGGACGTTGTGTGGGCGAGGCTAGGCGATATGTCGCTCTCGCATGGAGCACGGATACACAATCCCATTCGGGGCAGCGAAGACGGCCAAATACATATATTTACACCTCCCTCCCTCCAATCAACATTATCACCTTCTCATATATCGTAAACACTATCCCTCCGCTCATCTACACAAGTCACATCAGTGTCAATCTCAATCGCCACAGGACGAGGACAAGGAAGAGGAGGAGGAGGAGAAGGAGGAGGGGGAGAGAACGCACGATAAGCCTCGCCAACCTCGGCGTCGTGCCCGTCCAAAATCTCCGTACACCTTCCTCCGTGAAGATCCTATACGCGCAATGGAACGAGTTACGGTATTGTGTGCGCGCCTCGAGGGATTGCATTCGCGTTTTGATCACACTACGAACACAACACATCACAAGTCAGCGCCCGTGCCCTCTGAGCTCTTGCAATGTAAAATATGAAGAAAGAAAGGAAGAACGCACTCCAACGGCATAGTCGTATAAACGGTCACCAAGCCCGCAATCGCCCCGATCCCGAACGTAACGCCCGAAGGCAACTGCTGCCCCGCCCTCGTCCTGCTCTGGACGAACTGTTTCAGTGTGGCGTAGGTCGTGAACCGGATGGCGGAGTTCGCGCCTTGGCGCATCATCTGTCGCGCGCGCGCCACGTCCATTCGTTGTTGGTTGTTGGTTGTTCATGTAGAATGGGCCGTTGTTCGTTGTTCGTTGTTCGTTGTTCGTTGTTCATGCGGAATGGATCGTGTTAGTATAATGGATGAGAATGTCTGGAAAGATCGGAAGAGAGGTGCGGGTGGTATGGGTATGGGTATGGAACGTACGACGGGGAAAAGACCGCGATAAATCCCACGGATGCCTTCTTGTCGAACGATGGACATCGTCCCGTGCACGAGGCCGCGGTATTGTGGTTGTGGCCGTTTAGCGTCGTCGATGAGTTTTGTTCTGAGTGGAGGGGAATTGATAGCATAAGAAGACAATGGGGCAGAGATAGCGTAAGAAGGAAGAGTGAAGGGACTTGAGTAGAGTAGGGTAGAGTAGAGATGAAAACACGTACTTGATGGTCTCAGAGGGCGTCACGGCAAGTACGGCCTCTGTCATTCCTGCACCGAGTCCAGCTGTCCGGAAAATATAGAGACATCCATCAGTACCAGGTAACAGCGAAGTTTATAACAACCTCCAAACACAGAAAATCACATACCCAACAAACTCCTCGGCGCACTGATTTTACCCTCCACGCCACACGCCACACCACAAAACGTCAACATAGACAACAGAAAACAGAAGTAAAGCGGAAACACACACCTGCTCATCCGCCAACAGACTCTTGAAATGATCATAACTAACAAATCGAACTCCAGCCTTCGTCGCATTCCCGATCACGAGTGCCGTACAGCCAGAATAGAGACCTGTCACGCCGTGTTTCTTCACGGTCTCGCGGACGATGGCGATTGGGGATTCACGCTGGAAACATAAGCAACGGTCAATCAGGTCAATATTCCAGCCTCGAGTGTGAATCGTAAGAAGGGAAGAATATAAAGGAAGGGCTGAGAAAGTGGAAAGGGGGAGCAATGTGGCGCACCTTTCCTCCGAACTGAGTGCGCGTTTTGACGAACTCGGTGGGGTAGGTCACGAACCTAGTATCCTAAGCTTCGTCAGCTCTGTCTCTCCTCACACCCAACCGTGATCTTCAGCAGTATAATTTGGACGAGATGGGATAGTGAAAGAAATTATAAATAGAAGATGGTCGGATAGAGATGCTCACGCTTCGACGGCACCGGCGGTCGCACCTGCGAAGAGGGAGTGCAACGGCTTTTCTTTCTTGGAGGTCATCTCGAGTAAGGAGTCGGCTAGTATTCAAATGCTGGAGGTGGATATGTCGAAGAGAGTGAGAGTGGCTTCTGACTCGGATGCAGAAGTCAAGTCCAATCAAGAACTGGACAGTATCTAACAAAATCCACAACGAAAATATAAGTCAGCCGTCTGCTTTCAATTTACTACGTTTACGGTCATTATGACGCAGTAGAATGCACATACGAATGAAGTTCTCCAACTACTTATATTCCCAAGCAGGAGTGGACCTAGTGGTAGAAAGGAGGAGTCCGATCCCGAAGCGGCGGACATGTGCTCGTCCAGTCCAGGCTTGTTTTGATACAGCACCCATGCATCCGCTACTTACCATGCCCAGCTCCACTTTTCCCTCGACCCTCACGACCTACTACTTCCCTTCACGGTCTCTTACGAACCTTGGCAACATAACAACTTGACCGTATTCTAAGGTCTGCAATATTGCTACCAGACTACACACTATCTCTGGGGCTTGAGCTTGCTTAAACCTGAATCTTGGCTAATCCTTACTTGTCTCGTACCCTGCCCCCTCGAACGCAAGTACATATCCACGGGAACAATCATAAATCGACAGTAAACATCTTCAGCAAAACCCAATGCCACTACCCAACACACGCGCACCCGTCCTCCTCCTCCGCGCCCCAAACGGTTCTCCAGACCCCTACGAAGCAGCACTCACCGAATCCGGCTATCGTCCGTTCTCGGTCCCTGTGCTCGAAACTGTGCTTGTCAATGGTGAGGAGCTCAGGGGGATCTTGAAGGATGGACCAAGTGGAGGCAATGGTGGTGACAAAGAGGGGGAGAGGAGAGGAGGGTACGGAGGTGTCATCGTGACGAGCTCGAGGGCGGCGGAGGCTTGGGGGAAGGCCGTCGAGGAGATCGCGAATGAGGTGGGCAGTGAGAGTGAGATCGGTGCATGTAAGTTCTACGGTTTATGTCTATACTTCACTACTAGGAAACGCAATGTCCTAATATTCTGTGTTCTAACAGCAGCAGCCCCCTCATGGGCCACAACGCCCTTCTACGCCGTCGGCCCCTCCACAGCCTTCGCCCTCTCCTCCATCTCCTCCTCTCACCCCTCCCCCACCACCATCGCCCACCTCTGTCCCACCGACATCCGAGGGGCCTACGAATCCGGCACCGCAGAGAAACTAGCGCATTTCATACTCCACGACATCCCCGAGTCCAAACGGCAACATGGCAAGAGACTACTGTATTTGACGGGCGACAAGAATAGGGAGACGTTGCCTGAGATATTGAGAGAGGGAGGGTTGGGATTGGGGAGTTGTAAGGTCTATGAGACGAGGGGGTCGAGTCGGTTCGAGAAGGAGTTGGGGGAGGTGGTTAGGGGCGTTGATGTCGGTGTGTTTCTTCCTTTTTTTTCTCAAGGTGGCTATGGTACGGTGCTGACTAGGTATCTATGAAATGATATAGAACCAGATAAACCATGGTGGATAACATACTTCGCGCCCTCCGCCGCAGCCTACGTAACACCGTCCATCCGCTCCCTTTTTTCCCTCCCTTCTACCACCACCACTTCTTCTTCCTCATCTTCCTTGACCTCGCCCCCTGCACCATCATCATCTCCACCAGCCCCCACCCCGAAATGCACAGCACGAATAGCCGCGATCGGACCCACGACCGCCGATTTCCTAAGAGAAGAACTGAAACTAGAAGTCGAGGTCGTGCCACACAAACCTGGGGCTGCGACGCTGTGTAAGGCGATAGCGCAGGCGGAGGGAGAGGGCCCTGGGGATGCGTGAGCGTTTTATTCTATTCTATTTGGGATACGTATTATTGGGGAATTATGCGGACGATTGATTTATTGTGGGGTATATGTCGTGATATAGGGGTTAGGACTAGGGGTTGGATTGGAGGTGGGTGGGTAAGTCTGTCTGTCGGCGGGATGAGGATGGTTGAGCGTGGACATGGGACGGAGAGCTAGTAGTAGTACGGATGTTAGAGTGGTTCTAAGTATTCACGACCGTGGCTTGACATCGAATACACGCTATTTTGCATAATTCGGTCGAGAATGAGCCATGAGGTGATTTATGTCGTGTAATATATGAAGGTCAGTTGAATACTCTTCCGCAGACTCTTCAAGATCATTCAATCATGACCTCTTGCAAGTTCGGCGTGGGTCTTGGGCCACACTTACTGTAGTTCTTAGTTGTGCCACACCTCCTTTTCGTCTTCGCTCCGATCATCATAGTAGATGTTTGCAGCAGGATACTACCTCCCTTAATCATGTATACGCAAAGCCCAGCATATGTCGACTTTTCTTATACGCTTTTTGTTAGAACAGAATCGTGCGGAGAGCCTTCAAGTTATCCTTCTTGTACGCATCTCCTCCCCAATTGAAGCTCAATACGACGTGCCACGAAAATTCTCCGTGCAAGCCCTCCACAGCACCCACACGAACAATCTTAATCAGAACTCACATGTTGTAGCCATCCCCAAGCAACATGCCAGCGCTTTCGGGCCACAGGATGCTACGTGTGATACAGCAAAAGTTCTGACGTGGCAATCCACATCGACCACGTTGCGCAACCAAGTCGCGTCGGCGCTGTGCCACCCGTACATATAGCTTACCACCCGCCAACACAATCCCGTTAGACACGTAGATGCTCTCTTCCCGCTGCTGACGCTTTTGCCACGTCTATCCTATCTAGTCTACTTCACCCCAAGAAAAATCATAGTCTAGTCTAGGAGCTCGAGCATCTTGAGTACTCAGCACTCAGCGACCGACTCGCGCAACGATGCGTGCACCCAGTCTTCACCTGGGTTTCCTCCCCCTCTCCCTCTCCCTCCTCCTCCCACTCCTCCTTTCGCTCACACTATGCGTCTCACCAGCACTAGGAGCTGTCCTCGCGATAGACTATGGTACGGATTATATGAAGGCTTCGTTGATGAAGCCGGGTATTCCGTTCGATGTGTTGTTGAATAAGGACTCGAAGCGGAAGATACAGAGTTCGGTGGCTTGGAAGGGCGAGGAGAGGTTGTTTGGGAGCGATGCATATAATTTGGTGCGTTGGGTTTTCTGTTTTGTTTGTTGTGTTGGATTGTTATTTGCGTGACTTGCGAGGGATGGGAGCTGGCACGGGGACTGTGTTGGATTCGAATGAGTCTCGGGCGTTGTCTTCCTTGATCTGCTGGCAGTGGTATGTTAGGACGTGGACGTGCACGTGAAATGCTCTGCGTACTGAGCTGCTATCATTGAAAACCTGCCATTCACACGATGGCTTCAGTGTAGCCGTCAATGTACTTCTCGAAACCATCGACTCTGGTGGCGCGCCACAGAATTCGCAACGCCTCTATCTCATCGCCCGTTTTCCATGAACCACACGACTAACATGTAACCTTCATGCTCCAAACCCACAGGCCACCCGCTTCCCCAAAGACTCCTACAACTCCCTCAAATACCTCCTCGGCGTCCCCGCCAACGCCGAAATAGTCTCCTACTACAAAACCTTCTCCGAACCCCCCCTCGTCGCCTCCTCCCGCTTCACCGTCGGGATCCCGAAACCCGGCGGACGCACCTGGGACATCGAAGAGCTCATCGCCATGCAATTCGCCTACGTCAAGTCCCTCGCCGAAGACGCCGCGGGCGAACGCGTGAACGAAGTCGTCGTCACCGTCCCGCCGTATTACACCCAATTCGAACGGGACGCGGTGGCGGATGCGGTCGAGATCGCGGGGCTGAGGTTGTTGACGCTGATCAATGACGGGACGGCGGTGGCGGTTAATTATGCGATGACGAGGACGTTTGACGTTCCGGAAAGGCATATCGTGTTTGATGTGGGTGCGTCGTCGACGAGGGCGACGGTCGTTACGTTTTCGACGGCGAAGGGGAAGGGGAAGGAGGTGGGCGGGACGAGCGTGGTGGTTAATGGGGTGGGGTGGGATAGGATCGTTGGGGGGACGGAGATCGATAGGCGGTTGAGGGACGTGTTGATTGGTGAGTTTGCGGAGAAGACGGGGAAGGATGCGAGGAAGGACGCGAAGGCGATGGCGAGGCTTTGGAAGGAGGCGGGTAGGGTGAAGGCGATTTTGAGCGCGAATAGCGAGGCGGTTGCCCATGTGAGTTTTAGTTTCCCTCTCTCCCTCTCTCTTTATCTCCAGTATGAGACTGAAATTTTGAACGTGCGATTTAGGTCGAGAGCTTGATGGACGATGTGGATTTCAAGACGAAGGTGTCGAGGGCGAGACTCGAGGCGATGTGTGCGGACATGATGCCCCGCTGGACACAACCCATCCTCGACGCGTTGGAGATGGCGAACTTGACCATGGGCGATATCAAGTCCGTCATCATGACCGGTGGAGCTATGCGCACACCCATGGTCCAGGCAGCCATTAAAGCCACCATCGGCGAGTACGTCCTACCCTCCCTCTCTCCCCCTCCCCCGTTTCATTCCACTACGTCTCGTGCTCATGCTGATCTCATCTCACCTTGTACTACAGCGACAAAATCGCGATGAACGTCAACGCAGATGAAGCCGCCGTCCTCGGCGCAGCCCTCCACGGCGCGTCCCTCTCCCGGCAGTTCCGCACGAAAGATATCCGCGTGCAGGACATCGCGCCGTACGATATCCAAGCGCTCTACGAGGCCGAGTCGGGCAAGGTTGGCAGCGATGGGAGACCTAGAGTGATCACGACTACTATCTTCCCGAGGGGGAGTAAGACGGATACGAGGAAGACGTTGACGTTTAAGAGGAAGGACGATTTTAAGATTTCGTTCCAGTATAAGGATATTCCGGCGCCGTGAGTCGACCTTTCTTGTTATTGTTCTTCCATATTTTGCAGTGAGGGGACTGACGTGGATGTGCAGTGAATTCCCGGTCGAACTGCTCGAGGCGTCGATCACTGGAGTCAAGGAAGCCTTCGCCAATCTTACGGAGATGGGTGGATTGGACCCCGTAGTCAAAGCTACCATCCTGCTCTCTCCATCTGGTTTCGTATCCGTCCCAGAAGCAGTAGTCTACGCCGACCTCAAAGACGGCTCTCTCGCAGGTACGCATTCCCATCTATCCTTTTCCTCCCCTCTTCCTCTGTATCATAATCGAGTTGTCCCGAAATAACGGGGCAATACGTTTTGTTTTTGTGATTTCTGCTCGTTCTCGTCGCAATCGCAGGCAAATTAAAAGGATTCTTTGGTTCAGGCGAAACTTCGACTGAGGACGGTGACGAGGCGGCTACGTCTACGACTTCGGGGTCGGCGAGCAAGAGCACGCAGGCGGCGAAGGAGACGAGTACGAGTATTCCGTTGGTTGTGGATGTGAAGTTTACGTCTGTTGCGCCGATGTCTGTGGAGACGAAGAAGGAGGCTCGACAACGGTGAGTTGTCTTCTGCCCTTGCGCATGACTGGGCACTGAACCCCTCTTTCCCCTTGCGTGTCTCCATAGGTTGATCGCAGCGGAGGCCGCAGAGCTCGTCCTGGCGCAGAGGGAGGAACAGAGGAATACGCTCGAGGGGTACCTTTACCGGCTCAGAGATCTTCTGGAGGGAGACGAGGATAGGCCGTTCGTGAAGTGTTCGACGCCGGAGGAGAGGAGGCGGATCAAGGAGAAGATGGAGGAGACGATGGGGTGGTTCCAGCATAATCAGGACGAGGCGGAAACTGGCGGGTTCATTGCGCAGAGGAGTGGGCTTGAGTGCGTATTTTTCTTTATGTTCCTACTCCTACTCCTACTCCTGCGACGGTGAGGTAGTGGTGCTGACTTGGGTGTGAAATTGAAATTGCAGAGCGATGGAACGGCCGATCCTGCACCGCTACAAGGAGATCGAAGAATTCCCATCGACGCTGAACAACTCGCAGATGTGGAACTGGCACACGCGGATGTTCCTCACCGAAGAAAAAGCGAATCTGGCCGCGCACGAGGCGAATGGGACCACTGGACGGTATACGCGCGAGGAGCTCGCGGACCTGGAGAAGACGCTGAAGGACCACGAGAGGTGGTTGAACGAGTGGGTGGAGAAGCAGAAGTCGGTGAAGATGTATGAGGATCCGGTGATTGAGACGAAGGAGATGAAGGAGAGGGCGAAGGTGTTGGAGATGGCGCTGCAGAAGCTGGTGAGGAAACCGAAGCCGAAACCGAAGGCGGCGAAGAAGAGTTCGAGTAGTTCGAGTGCGACGCCGAGTGGGGAGACGACGAGTAGTAGTAGTGCGGGGGCAGAGAGTACAGCGGGGCACGACGAGTTGTAATGGATCACGCACACATAGAAATATATCCACCACGTACTTTACCTATATCATGCATTTCCTTGGGGATATCTGTCGGGTGGCACCAAGAAGGATGGACGTGGCGGCTTTGTGAGCGGGAATGACTTGCCATTCCTGGCCCGGGAACGTATATCCGCGTCAACTGGCCGCGACGCTACGCTGTGCACTCAGTGCATCGCCTGCTTGCTCTCCTCCATACATCCCTGGCCGTCGTCTGGCTCGGAAGTCCCGGTGTTCTGCCCTTGATCTCTTCTGCGACGACCGTCTTGGTCGACGTCCTGCTTGTCGTCTGTTCCGAGTCGAATAAATCTAACTTGAAGGACGATGTCACGAAGGAGCTACGACTCCACCACTCATGGCCACGAACGACGAGTCTCGAAGCACCGCGTGACGGACGATGATCTCTTCAAGTCCGTCTTTTTCTTTTTCTTCCTGTATCCGGGTCGACTCTGACCGGAGGACTCGATGATATCAGCTATGCATCCCGTGTAGCGTAAGATTAGCTTCCGCATTCATCTGCTATCCTTCCCTTCTCACCATACCATACCGTCTATCCATCCATCCCTTACACCCCCTTGCCACTTTGGCACACAAAAAAACGAAAAACAGTCTTCTCGCCTACCTCATCCAACCCAAACCCGTCGACGCATCTATACCGAACGCGGCCAATGGCGTACCAGGCAGCAGCGGAAAGGAAGGCAAGGAACACTCCTCGCGGCTCTCCGGCGCCATCTCGAGCTCGATGAATCTACTCTCGCTTGGCGACCTGTTCAAGGACAGTAAGGACGGGTCGAAGAACGTGAAGTTCCCGGAGAAGTTGTTGAAGGTGCTCGAGCAGAGGCTGGAGAATATCGCGATGGGGAAAGACGCAGTGTACGTCCCATTCCGCCCATTTCTTGTGATTTTTGAGACGGGTGTTGGGCGTTGGGTGGTCGTGGAGGGCTTGGAGGCTTGGTTGATCGCATTGAGTGGGAGTGTGAGCTATTCTCGGTTCTTGCACGGTGCCACAAAGACGATGTCCATTATACAACCGGCGCTGCATTTGCAGACCTCGCCACAGCTGCTATGGTCACCTCGGCCTCCACGGCAACCAAGCACCCAACCCTACAATTCTTCCAATTCTTACTCACACCCCGATATCTATCCAGCTACTCCGACCAACTACTCCGGCGAACGATGGCCGTCTTCTACGGCCAGTTCAAAGTCGACTCGTTCAAACGCCAAATGAAAGAAAACCGCAAGATCGAAGAGCTCATCCTCATGTTCGCCACCCACGCAACCGGCGTCCTCAAGAAAGATCAATCCCTCTCCGGAGACGGCTGGAAGATCGAGCTGAACAACCACATCGCCCAGTTCGTCAAGCTCCTCCGCGAGTCCCTCCGCAGTCTGAGCCACGTCTCGCCCGAACTCGTCTCGCGACTCGACATGTACGCTGCGAAGCTTTCTGCGCCGGTGGGTGGTGGGCAGGACGCGGGGCCGGGGAGCGAATCGGGCTATGATAGCTCGTCGACGAAGGGGGACGGGGATTATGTGAATGTGGGGAAGACGGGGCTGAGTCAGACTATTCATGATATGCCGTTGGTGATGATTGTGGCGAATCTGTTTCAGGTGAGACATGATCTGCTGCAAAAAGAGATCGACAAGATGAAGGCGTATTGCACGGAACGGGTGCGTTATTTCCTTTCTTTTCTATCGCCCTCAAGCTACCGGCTAACTTTGTTTTGAATCCCGAAGGCCGCACTTCTGGATCTCAAGGCAAGTCGCCGTACTGATGTATGGCGTGTTCAGGACTGAACGCCCTTGGTTGCAGACATGCCTGAAGAACATCACCGCAGGCGCACCCTTCCCCGGCCGCAAAGAAGACTTCGACAGCGAAGCCGCCTGGCAATACTGGAAAACCCTCGAAACCGCGCACCTCTCCCAACTCATGGTCATCCTCGTCCAATTCAACCCCGAACTCGCGAAATCCACCCCGTCCGACAACCTCCCCACGACGCGTCCGGGTGCACGTCCAGGCTCGATGTACGACCGCGCGCAACGCAACGGATCCGTCAGCAGCCGGAAATCCATCCTCTCCCTCGCGAAAGACATGTCCGACCTCGATCTCGCCGGGATCGGGGAAGACGACGTGGATGTGGACGGCGACGACGAGGTGCAAGTCGGTCATAATTTCACGTATATCCCGCCGAATCCGAAGAAGTATTATAGGCGGCTGCTCGAGTATTGTCTTGAGGCGGACCTGAGGGCGATGAGGGATCCGAACGTGAACGACGACGACCAGGTGTCGTTGGGGATCCTTTCGCCGGGACATATCGAGCTGATCAATGAGTGCGCGCTTAGGTGGAGGATCCCGCAGCCGTATCGGGTGGCGTGCTTTTTGGAGTTGATTAAGGAGCTTTATGAGAGGAATGAGGTGCCGTTGGATTGTATACCGGAGGCGTTGAGTAACGTGCAGAAGGTGATGCATGAGATCGAGTTTGATAAGTGGCCTATTGCGGACGTGAGTTCGTTTCCGAGTTCGAGTCCTTTAGTGCTTTGGTGTGCTAATGTGTACGCGCCAGTCGGAATATCTAGTTGGTGTCTACGGAGGCCTCTACAACATCTTCCTCGCCGCGCTCTACCACTCCATGGACTCCATCCCGAACCTCAAGAAATCTGACGTCGAAGAACCACTCATGATCCTCGACCTAGTTCGCGAGACCGGCCTGCTCGAACGGTTCGACGTGGACATCCAGGCGCGGCTGGAAGATATCAGGGAGCGCGTGAGGGCCGTCACGGCGGAGTGGTACGAGAAGAAGATGGCGGGATTGCAGGAGACGCCAGGTGTGAATAGGGCGTTGCCGTTGTTGCTCTTGACGGACGATTTGGAGAAAAGTGCGCAGACGCTGGATAAGAGGTTCCCTGAACCGTTACTTGGGTGCGTCTCCTTCCTACCCTCTCATTCTCCTTGAATTCTGGAGTCAGAGTTCGTGTTGTTTCGGGAGTTATGATTGTGCTGATAGTGTGTTTCGTTTCAAAGTGCGGTGGATCTGGTTTCGTTGGTCGTTGAGGTGGAGGTGCCGATGTTCGTACACGACCTCGAAGCATCTCGAAAACGACTGTTCGAGTCTTCGATGAACGGGCCGACACCCGACGTGCCTATCCAAGATATCTTCGCGCTGTATCGGCGAACGAAGACGTTACTCGGGATGTATGACGCGTTTTGTCCAAAGTGAGTTCACGAGTCTTCTTGATTAAGGGGGGAAGGCGAAAAGCTGACGGTTTAATGCGTGCGTGCTAGTCAACAAGTCAACTTTGATTTGCTTGAATTCTTCGAGCCATACGTGAGGCAGTGGCTGGTCAATACAGATGCGAAGACGGCACAGTGGGTCGAGGCGGTACGTTCAGTCGATTCGCTTATATAGTGAGAGTTGTAGGCTGATGCAATTTCATAGGCTATCGCAGCGGACAAGGTTTGTGGTATGAAAAGTGACGATCGTATAGCTGGATCTAACGATGTCTTGATTTTTTTCGCAGTTCGAGTCGGAGGCGTCGGAAGGCCATAGCTCGTCCATCGTTGATCTATTCGATTCATTACGGAGTCCGATCAATTTCCTTCAAGATTTGGAGTGGTCGGACGCGTACCAGGAGGCTCGATTCTTCACCAGTCTCGCCAAGGTCTGTCCGACACTTTCATCGACGTTCTGCGCGATAGGTACGGCTTATTGATCGTATTATGTAGACGATTAGCCACGGTGTGGAGCAGTACTGCCGCTCAGTCGAAGAACTTTTCATGACCGAAATGTTCCCCCGACCGACGGACTACCTCCAACCGCAAAAATCGTCCGCCTGGCTCGAAAAGGCGAAGCAGCTCGCACAAGGCGAGAAGAAAGTGGAACCGTTCAACTTCCGCGCTCAGTCCTGCGTCAAGCTGAACAACATCGAGGCCGCGCGGAAGCTGCTCGATAACATGTACAACCAGATGCAGGCGGACAAGCTCGCGGAGGTGATTGAGGACCATGGGCCGCCCGTGCCGGACAAGAACGAGCGGCAGAGGTTTTTGTTCACGGTGAAGATCGTGATTGCGGAGGGTTTGGTCGCGACGGATGCGAGTCCGTCGAGCAATTTGGATACGTTTGTGACGTTGAGTGATGAGGCGGGGAATAGGGTGGCGAAGACGAGGACGATATATGAGACGAATAATCCGAGATGTGAGTCCGCTCCTTCGCTTTCTGTCCTTCCCGACAGGATGGAAAAATATTGAACGTTTATGTGGACGCGTACAGGGGACGAGACGGTTGATGTTTCGGTAGACAAACCGCTTTGGTTGATGGCGAGCGTGAGGGACCGGGCGTTGATTGGGAAGCACGATACTGTCGGACGGGCATATATCTGCCTCGATCCACGGCGGTTTGGCGATCTGATGGTGCACGACCTTTGGCTGGACCTCGACTCGAACGGCCGGATATTGCTCCGGATTAGTATGGAGGGCGAGAAGGACGACATTCAGTTCTACTTTGGTCGCGCTTTCCGGTCTTTGAAGCGTGGCGAAGGAGAGATGGTCAGAATTTTCATTGATAAGGTACGCTTCTCTTGACTTTCTCTCTTCCGGGTTTGACTGCTGTGATGCCCGATACTAATCGTCTCATGTCACAATAGATGTCACCACTGATTCAGCAATCACTGTCAAGAAATGTCCTCAAGACACTGGTCAGGACAGGTACTTCTGGCCTCGATTACAACAAGGCCCTGGGCAACGTCACTGCACTCTACCGTTCCGCCCTTGGAGCCGACCGCGCCGAATCTCTCATTCCTTTGCCCACTTCTGAACAACCTCGAGTCAGGCCAAACGAGCTCACCGACGTCGAGATCGAACAGGCCATCGTCCCTCTGTTCGATTATTTCGATGCGAACCTCAATACGCTGAACACGTACTTGAGCGATACGACGAAGCAGATGGTGATGACGAGGTTGTGGAAGGAGATTTTGAATGTGATCGAGGGGTTGCTGATCCCGCCGCTGTCGGAGGCAGCGAGTGATATGAAGCCTTTGAGTGACAAGGAGGTTGATATCGTGTTCAAATGGTTGAAGGTGAGTTAAAAGCAATTGCTTGAAGAGTAGAAGATGTCACTGACCGAGAATCACAGTTCCTTCGGGATTACTTCTATGCTGGTGGCGAGGGTCCCATTCCTCTCGAGACGTTGCAGAACCAGAAGTACCGCGACGTCATGTCTATCCGGTTGTACTACGATTGGCACACGTACGTCCTTCCCACTCGATTACATGTTAACAATGCTCGGCCAGCTCATCATATACACCTGATTCATAGCGATGCATTGATGGAGGAATGTGTACGGATGATGCAGCAGACGCTCCGTGCTGCACCGTCGGTCAAGAAGCGGGCGAAGAGCGTGTATTCGCAACGCAACCTAGGGACAATCAAGGACCGCAAACGGGAGAAGAAGCAGCAGGAGAAGGAGGTCGACAATGGCGAGATTATCATGAGGATTCTTCGGATGCGGTGCGTTTCTCGGCTTCTTGCGTGGTGTACAGTGTCGTCCGGTCTGTTTACTCACGGCGATATTGGGCTATTGCAGACCTGGAGCGTCCGACTTCATTGCTCAACAGATTCAGATCATGTCGACGATGCAAGCTGAGCAGGAGCAGCGTGAACGCGAGAAGAAGAACCGCAAGCTCTCGAGGCCTGGTGGCGCGTCACAAATTCCGGCTGTGCCCCCTGTGCCAGAGATCCCTGCTCCATAGACTGTGCTGATAGCTCTTTAGCAAGCATTCACATCTTATTTGAGTACACTTTTCATCCCCCGACTCGGGTTCTGCTTCTTCTTCTCCTTTCGTGAACTCTTGGATGATACCTTGCATAGTATACCATCTTTCATTACTTTCCAGATGTTGGCTCTTGAGTACTTTTCACGCTCGTTCCTTCTCTACGTCGTCTCGCCATTGACTATATTTCTGTCTATCTATGCCATTTCTGCGAGACTCTGTTTGTTTTCCTTTCTTTTGTCCGGCTATGTCTTGTACCAAGCTGTATGTGGACAGTCGCTAGTACTTTATGAATGATATCTCTCACGATCTGGAAGTAACTTCCGTTCCTCTCTTCTCCTAATACCCACACACGCCCCTCTCTTCCCTTAGACTGCCTTAGAACTCGTCACCCCCATCGCCTCTGACGTTTGCCCAAATATTCAGAAAAAAGCGCAACTCAAACTTCCACCGCTGAAGATGATATCCTAGAAAAAAGGGTCCAGGGTAAAATATGACCTGAGTTTAGCGTCGGTTCAAACCACTGTTCAGAGTAGCGAATAATACCGATGTCTTACCTTCTCTACGACTCGCCCCTGTCCGATCATATCCTACGCGCCTTCTTCTGGTCTTCATGTTTCCGCCGGTAACTGTAGTCGAAGCTGTCAACTTCTTTCTGCAGGGCCTGGCGCGTGGACGTCGTGTCATCGATGTCACAAGAATCGAGTTCGAGTTTCTGAAGAGGAGTACCGATGGCCTTACGCTCGTGCGCCCATCTTGTCAAGTCCAGGATATCTTTGTCGGAGAGCTTCGCCTTGCAGATATATAAGCTTTCGATCTTGGGCAAAAATGAAGCTGGTCATGAAAGAATGAAGGTCGTGAATACACAACGTATAAGCGTGACCAAGAAACCGCACCCACCGTTGCCTGCTCTAGACTTGGACGACTCATGACTAGTACTGTCTTCGAGAGACAAAGCCTTCACGAACGTAGTCGTCGCCTTTCCAGTGATGCGGAATTCCCTCAACTCTCGGCACGGCGCGAGGAGTTGGCGCCAATGGTCAACGCCGAGGACAACCTCAGTGCACGTAGGTTCCAAACGAAGAGCATGTAATGCCTCGAGACCAACCAAGTGTTTGAGACTGAGCAGGAAGGCGGGATTGCACAAATCATGGTTGCGGAACGTACGCACGTTGAACGACAATATTCGATGCTGGCGCCCGTGATCATTGTTACACCATCTAGGGTCTTCCACCGTCTCCCAAGCGGACAAGGCGAGTGATCGGCACGATGTAATCGCCAAACTAGCTGTTCGAGCCTCTGGACGGGAAAGAGATGAAAGACTGCTCAAGCTGTGTGCCGATAAAGACTGGTACTGCTTGTTCTCGATATTTATGGAGACGCAGGTAGAAGTGGGAACGGTGATAAGAGATGTGAGCTGAGAACACGACGGTATGCTCCCTTCAAGACAGAGGCGCTCGAGATTGTCTAAGGGGACCGGGTCATGCGAAGATGCCGACGCCTGACTGGGCAAGGGAAGTGCAGAGCCAGTCAGTACTAATTCAATGAGCTGGCGATTGTGACTGAGGATAGTCGATATCTGTTTCATGGACGGTGCTGTCCCTGAAGGGTTGCAAATTTCTATCAAAGTGAGGCCGGTGAAGATGGGTGAGCTCCAAGGAATGACCACCGGTCCAGTTATCGATACATGTCGTAGGCGAGGCGATTCGGATAAGAATAGTTTGGACGGGAGATCCAAAGGCTTGTTGGCTGTGGCTGTTCTAGACAACGAGAGGCGGAACTTTTCTAGCAAGGGAGCACCCTTCGATGTGAAGATAGGCCCTAGGGACTTGAGGGTTGTCTTCGAAGCTGGGCCACTGAGGGAGAGTTCCTTCACGCGCTGGAGCTCTGCGAGGGTGGATTCAATGCGAAGGATGCTAGAATCACTTCCGCAGGAGTTTTCGTCCGGGAACTTGTAGTCAATGAGCAAGGGAGCTCCTTGAGAGCGAACGAGCGATTCTGGATACCACGCTGGGAGGGAAAACGGAATCCTTCCCCAAAGTGTTGCGGTTGAGATGGCGATTTCCCTCCATCTGTGGCAAACATGACTGACTTTGTCGAGGAAAGACACCATCAGGTCACATGAATGTACCACGCGTGGACGTTGTACATACCTTTGACCCAGCCTAGATTGCATGACTCTGAAACGTCTGAATCTGGGAGGCTTTTAGATTCATGGCCCTCTTCTCGATTTTGTAAATATTCTTCCTCATCCATGGCTATTATTGTGAAGATCTCTCTAAGTATCTCGGGCGGGAGACAAGAAATTGGATGGAGAGCATTCTGTCGAGATCGGATGGCGGCCAGAAACCTGTGTGCTTTCTGTGCTTCCAGCTCGAGACCAGAGCATGCTTCCCGAAGAACGTGTAGGTTGCCGGTATTTTCAACGCCCTCGTAGAGCCTTAGGCGATTATGAGTGAAGGTTTGCCACGCCTCGTCGCTGTTCAACACGGGCCCCAACGCAGGTTTCAAGTTCAGTTTCAGGAGACTATGGACGTCTACCAATTATACAACGAGAGACGTACCGCATATCCTTGTTTGACATTTGGAGCAGACTGATGTTGTCAGTTTGGATGGAGGTCACTAGTGGGTGAGAGGAAGAGAAGGACTCGGACACAACTCGGACACGACGCGAGATTTTCCTTGAAAGTTTGAACTCCGCAGCTAAATCGGTCGATTCAGAACGCCACTCGTGTCCAATGTGGCGTGTGATGGACATTGTGTTGACCTTCAGTGTCGGTCGTAGTCGCCTCTCTTTCGGACACTACTTATTGGAGGATTCAGTCGGATCGAAATAACCAACTTCGAGATAGATCGCAGTACTGACCGAATGTTCATGCGGATATGATACTCTATTTTTGTTTTTTGACCAACGACAACTGCATTAAATGTGCGCACTGTGTTATTTAAATTGGTGGCCAGGACAGATCCACCATTCGGCAGGTAAGATGTATGTCCGCCGAGCAAAAACGTCGTAGCAATAAAGAAGTTGGGGCAGTCTAGAAGACCTCGGATGATGGTAAGAGGATGCTCCGAGCGAACAATAAGTGAGTTTGTTACTCGGAGACCGTGTTTGCACCATCTCGATTAACCATGCTAACGGTATTGTACAGAGGCCCTGTAAATATAATAACAACTGCGATGGAAATACTTTACATCGAGGGAAGAGCCAAAAAGCGAAAAAGAATGTGCAGAACCAAAATATGTATGTTGGGGGCGCAAAAAGGAGCCAAGAAGACGAAGATTGAATGTGAGCCGACGGAAAGCCAGCAGAGAGAGAGTCCATAGTGCCGAGAATAACAGATATGAGACTCTTCCGAGGAGGTAAGAGCACCAGGGGTCGATGTGCGGGACGTCTGACGTGGCGAGTGGCGTAAAGAGCGTGGTTGTACTGTCGTGTATGTATGTACTAGATGGAGGAGGCGGGACCAAATGAGTGTCATCACTGAGTCGTTACCTTTCAATGTGTGAAAGGGGTAAAATAAGATAGTTGAAACAATAAGCGTCGAACGCTGAAAGCTAGAGCAAAAAATAGCAAAGAAACACAACAAGCTCGAGAACAGTCCAGTTCATACAGGCACGTTCTATGGTTGTCCAAGGTCCATTGTTAGAGTCACCTGTCTTATGTGTCAATCCTACCTCCAGAATCCGAATCCAAACGACCCTGACGTGTCTCTCGACACCCTCACTGTCGCATCTGGATCGGAGCCACTGACACCCGAAGCTGCAGAAGGGTCAAGCTCGGCCTCGATAGCCTCATTGAGCTGATTGGCCATCGTGCTCCCAGTCGCTAGACTCCGATGACTCGATGCTGGGCTAGCTGTTCTCGCAGGTGAATCCGTCATGGGAGGAGAAAAGAAGATTGCTCCTTCAGAATCGCTATGGACAGGCGTTCTCGACGACTCTCCTAGCTCCGCCACCGGCGTCAAGGCATCTACTGCGGCCTGAGCAGCAAGACTTCCACTACGACTTCTTCCCAATCCTTCTGATGCACGCGTTCCAGTGGACCCAGAAGACGTCGTGGCTGGCGCCTGTGCTGTGTGAAAAGATGCAGTAGACCCTGTCGATGTCTTCGCGGAGGATGTCTTGCTGGCGCCGGAGTTGTTCGAAGCGCCACTACTGTCACGAGAAAGGTCGACCGCTTGTTCTGTTATTGAAGGAGCTCGTGTCCGTATTGGGCTGGCATTCGTACTGTTGGTCCGAATACTCTGTCCGTTACTGACGCTCCCGGTGGGTGCAGGTCGATTGATACTGTTGCTGCGACTGGGAGGTGGGCTCGGAAAGTGATCGCTCATGCTGGCAGCGAAAGAAAGGATCGTGGCTCGTGTCGGTGGTCTTGATGGCATAGACAATGTCGGCGAAGTGCGTCCTTCACCGGACCCGATAGACTCGATGGTGGGCATTCGACGAATATATCTCCCAAGGACGGGGATACGAATGTCGGAGGGTACAGGTCTGCCGAACTCATCCATGGTCATATAAGGGACGTGAGTGTCGAGAAGGTTGTGTAATGGTGGTGTGGCAGGTTCGGAGTCGGGACTGTCGAGACGCATGCCGCTCTCCACGTCGAGTGATAGTTGGTCAACGAGCGTCCGAAATCGTTCGGCGAAACGAGCTAAGTCTTCCTCACTCAATTGACCATGTCCAGAGCCCGACGCAGACCCAGGAGTAGGTGGTTCTGATGCAGCGCCACCGTGGACAATCGAGGTGGGGGCGGAGGTACCATGATCATTTGACGAAGTATGGCTGTGATGCCCCGAATGACTCGAAACCCGTTCTCCCCTTCTTTCGGAGGATCCGGAGACAGGTCTGAGAGCCATCGTGACAGAGACCCATGAAGCGTCGTCCGGAATGTCGCGTGTCTCTGGCACCTCGTACACCTCTTCGATGATACCACTATTGACAGCTGTACGGCTGCTACTCTGTCGTAGGATAGGGGCGTGCACAGGCAGTCCGTCCACAGCTGTACGACTGCTGATTACCCTTGAACGTTCTTCGACCATCCCCATTTGATTACGATCACGGGTAGCGTCCGAGTGACTGCGAACGTCCTCTGCGACCCTATCGGATCGATCACCGCGCCAGAGTCGGTTCAGTGAGAAGGATCGAGCGACGGGAGGCTCTGATGAGACAGGAAATGGAGGCGCAGTGGACGAAGATGACATTGAGAGTGGCGGTTTTCGCTTGCTGACTTCGCCCGGAGATCCACCCGTATTAGCGCCCATGATCATGGAGCTTGGTCGACGCGTCGTCTGAAGGAGATAATCCGTGATGTGATAAATGACCTGGAACAACCTCGCATGGTTAGCACATATCGCATGAACGCAAGACGAAAAAGGTACACCCACGAGAACGGCCATGGTGATTACCAGTCGAGCGATACCCCCTGCGAGCCACACTCCCCAAGGAAGAGCTCCCGGGCATTGACCGGTCTGCCCACGCCATACGACGTCTAAGTCCCAGTCACATCGCCCGAAAAGCTCTGTGTTCCTCCAGATAAACACGAATACGAGGTTAACGATCGCCGGACCCACTTGAAGCAAAGAAGCGAGGTACGGGACGGCTTGCCGCGTAAGCGCCTTAAGTGGTAGGAGGTGTCGAAGGTCGGTGGGGACGAGGGTGCGTAGCGCGAGGAGGATGAGAGTGATAAAGGCGAGGAAGCAGCTGATGCCGAGAGCCAAAGATATACGGTGTCGAATGGGGTCGTTGTATAGTGCGAACGCGATGAAGTAGCGAACAGCAGTATACACTGCCCAAGCACCTGTATCGACATCATTGATCAGCGAAAGAGTTCAGGACAACAGATCAAAGCTGATATGGACTTGAAAGTAATGATACAAGCTGGGAGACAATCCAGTACGCGGACCCTTGATAATGTCGAGGTCTATGATATATACGAGTGAGAGACGGTGGCATTTGGCATTCTCTGTCGATGCGAGAGGCGTGCACTCAGGATAAATCTCAGACTTATAAAGCCTCTCGAAACAGCCAAGCGAATGACAAAGGTCAAATAGGCAGTTGCGATGCGTGCATTGACGATAATTAGGGGACTTGGGAAGAGGACAAAGTGGGGGATGAGGCGCTGCCGCTGACATCGGTTATACCTGCTCTTATGATCATAGGGGACCGGATCAGTCATCAAGACCATGGAGTCACAGGAGCACCTTTCGGCAGAGAAATCCAGTGCTCGAATCTGACGTCTGTCTACCGTACAGTAGAGCGCAAGTAGATCCACTCCAGGGAAGCTCAGGTAAAGTGAGTCGCACTCTCCAATCCGCGTAGCCCCAACGGGCATGGTCAGGACACGAATCTGATATGTCCCTCGCTCCGAAAGTCTCTCTGCATGAAGGATCTCGAGACCACGACGTGATGGAAGGCGTTCGCAATGAATCACGTTCATGGAGGTGTGGCGCAAGCTATGCGCGGAGCGATGCAATTTGGTTTAAGTCGCGCACTGAAGAATATCAGCCAGGTGGCTGGATCCAGATAAGAACGAATCGGGCAAAGCGCAAATCAAACAATCAAAGATAGCATCCCCGCCGGCTATATCGAGATCTGAGCGGAACAGACCAAGAACGGGCATCAACGGAAGTAAACAAAACCGCCCGGGAACTTCAACATAGAGCACATCGCGGAATCCCGTGCGTTTCGCGCAAATAACAAGCAGAGGAACAACACAAGAAGGAATAGGAAAGACTTCGTTGATGATGAAGTTCAAAGCGCTTTCCCAGACTGCCCCAACCAGGAACGCATGCTTATTCGATGGAGTCGTGAGCGTCTCGAGAAAGAAGCACAGTTGTACCTTGTTCTCCGCTCTTCGCATCCCATACAGGAACAATATGATACCTTCTACAAGACGTAGTTGGCCCAGTGGAGCATTTGCAACACACGCCGTGCATCGAGAGAAACAGGGCTACTCATAGGGACAGATTGACGAGAAGAGCCGGAGAAACGTTGAACGAGCACTCACCGATAATGCCAGTCAACACGACTTTCGTCCATCTATATCGTTTGAGCTTCCTTCTCACCTCGCCCTCCCAAACATCGATCCACTCCCTCTCACTCACCACATCCTCAAAGCCCAAACCCATCTCCCGCGAACGTCCTGCGTCACGGCCCTGTTGTTGCGAAGGATGCAGGGGTTGCTGCTCCAAGAGCTCCTCGAACGCGACGGAAAGACCGAGGAGGGGCTCGGTCGTGTGCGTATGGGAGACACTGGAAGACGTGGACGAGAACTGGCGGGTGTGGGTCTGAGAAGAAGACCTGCGCGAGGATTCGACGGCTGGTATTTGAGCGCTTGAAGAGCCGCTTGCCTCGAAGGTGAGCGGATGTGATATTGCTGACATGGGTTCGTGCGAGAATATCCGGTGATGTAGGTCCAGGGCAGCCATGCTTCAGATCCGGTCCCGGCCTTTGGGCAGGGGGCGATGGACGATCCTTGCAACACAAGGCAGCGCGACGTCTTGAGATGGTTGGACTGGAAGGAGCACGAATAGCGCCTGAACGCCTTTCTTAGACATGGAGATATATTTTGACAGGCTGGATAATATTGTTGATTTGGCTGCTCACCTAACTGAACTTCAAGAGAAAAATGGAACAGGACAGGTACGACTTGTGACATACGCACTTCGACCTGATTCCGATCGGTCGTCCTCGTCCACGATCCCTAGGGTGATATCACCTGCTTCGTCGAGCAACTTTTGCCTCGAGCTCGTAAGAACGGTGATGCCGGTCGTAGATAGCAGTACGCCCTTGAGGAAGAAGATGCAAGCGGTGAGCAGAAGGCTAAGCTTGCGGGCAGAAGCATCGCTGAATATTTTGCACAAAATCTTGTCCTTATGACAGAAATCAAACACCGCCTCCACTCTCTCGTCACGATGGAGTCGAGGCCTCCGTGAGAAAGAGTCCCACACAGTAGCGCATTCTTCCGGCCATTGATATGGCATGAGAGGAGTATCGTCCATATTTGGGTTGTTCTATACCGTAGACTGATATCGAAGACATACGCGATTCCTATCCAGGTATCGTTCCGAGCTCGTTGGAATTCCTGAATTTGAGCAAGTGCATGCAGAGTTCGTCCTGCTTGGAGGAAGAGCCCGATCGGTAATTTGCCTCAGGATGACAAATTGGCTAACTCCAGCAAAAACCTCCGGCGTCTATGGACACGAAATGGCGTAATCAGATGTGCCACACTACACGGGCCACACAAACCTCCAGTAACAAAAGTACTTGGTTTAGTTTAATCACAAACAACTCAAGTACGAACGTACGGCAAGTCAGCAAAGAAGGCGGCTGTACTCACCTCCATCAGTGCGCAGTGAGAAAGCAGTCTTGAGTGGCCTTCGAAAGATGGACTACGGCGCAAGCACGTCTCCGAACTTATCGCCAGACAAAATACGAAGGTACGAGGCGGTACAGCGAGAGAGAACATTCGTGTCCTATCCTGCACTAGGCAAAGATGACTGCGATTTTTAGCTCTGAGTTGTCCCGCAATAGGAGACGAATTCCTCGGGTGTCCCCTTGGCATCATGCCCACCCAAACGGAACACATATAGGGTGAATAAATTACGCACAGCCAACCTATTTCTTTTCAACGGAGCGACGGGGAGTTTTTTAGGAGAATTAAGAATGACGAGGCGTAGCCCAAAAGGAATTTTAGTGGGAGAGGGAAAGAAGAGGAAAGAAGGGACGCCACAGTTTGTGGCGACATACACGCGTGTCCTGATTCGGAAATATTGTCTCACATTTCGATAGAACTTTGGTCGTCCAACGAATTTACTTGACACCATCACTCCACGCTCGGTGGCCACGCACAGAAATCAAAGGTAGGGATTCACCTGTAACTGATTTATCTTGAGGATATGGCAGGCAAAGGCATCAGCAAAGGAACTCTCAACCTTCGTTTCATGCAAAATGCGCAACGGAACGAAGACCTCACCATCGCCCTTTCTGGCACCAGCCTACCTACGGATATGTCAACGGGTCCGACAGCGACAGGTTCACTATTATCGTTTCAGGATGATTCAAAATGGGAGGTATCAGCTGCTGTGAGGGAAGCCTGGGGTACAGGGTCTAAGTCAGGCGGAGGGTACGTCTTGCGGAATTGCGTGCATATGTCCGAGACTGAATGTTTTACCATGTATTGACAGTGTATCGCCGACACACGAAGCATCTTATCTCCCTTTCATATTCTCATCTTCTGGAGAGTCGTCATCGGCACCCAGCACGAGCGGTTCCACAGGTGTAAAGCTGCGCGGTCGACGGACGTGGAACAAAAAAGGGGAAGAAGTAATCGAAACAGTTTGTCTTCCTCGCATCACACGTACACTGTCTTGTTCGTACCTACTGAGTCTTTCCCTCTATGTTTCACAGGATCCCATACCGACCGAGCCCACCCCTTCCACGACCGCTACCTCTTTCTCGAATTCGAAACGCCTTACCTCCATCTCCGGCTCGACGTCCTACCACCCCGAAGCCCATGCTGCCAGACCGAAAGAAAAGCCCTCTAAAGGCAAGCAAAAGGATCGTTCTCGTGATAAAGATGCAGACCTCAACAGAGCGAGCGCTAAGTCCGCAATGGATCTTATTCGGGAGAACGGGAATGTAGGAGCCGATATGCGGACGGCGAGGGCGCCACAGCAGACCCAGACGCAAAGTCAGACTGTATCTGTACCGGGCGCTAATGGGTTCATGAAGCCCGCCGGACTCGACGATGTGGTAGAGATGAAGGGAAACGTAAAAGGACAGGCGGTTGAAAGTCCCGGCGACGCGAAAAAGAAGAAAAAGGTGAAGAGAATGAGGAGTGAGGCTGACGGACTTGGTGCGGCGGGAGGTGAGGGCGAGGGAGATGAAGGAGAAGGCAAGAAGCGGAAGAAGAAGCGGAAAAGTGGGAACGCTGGTGAGGCTGAGTCATAGTGTTCAGGCGTCTCGGAGACTGTGAGTGTTGAACTTCGACTTTTAGCTGCTGCTGGTGAAGCCTGATCGTTTTACAAGTCTGCCAGACACAGCAACTTCGTCGTGTTCGTAAGTGCTCACTGGAGTTGACCTGTCTGCCCCGGCTTATAGTGCACTCCATACTGTCGGAGTGCTTGATCCTTCCAATCTACGGCAGTTAACTATCTCAGGCTAGTCGTATACGCTGCTGATATCGCCAGTTGTGGCCGTTGCTATCCCCGCACACACTGCAGCACGAAGTCTTGCTCCCCCTTCCATATGTTCCTCGAACGTCATGGGCCATCGTTACCCTTCCTAACACGCATTTGTTCATATGTAATCTGGTGCCACAGACGCACGTTGCACATCATAGATGGTGTTTCCTTCCATGCCCCAATATGCATCGCAGTGTCTTTCGGGCAACTTCTCAGTCACCGAGTTACGAGGTCGGTCATTGGTTTCCCAAATAATCCCATTCATGCTCTTTCAGCAATTAGATAGGCCAAAAATACGAGACCATATTACTTATTTAGTCATACCACTCTACCCCAAGAAGTCAGTACGATATCCGTACCCGGCATACATTCGAAGATGTGGGAAGCTGCCTCTGACAACTACGTGTTCAAAGACAGTTTCACCCATTGTCATGACTGAAAGGGACGGCTCGCGCACTCTTTTGTTCTCTTCGTGAGTCTTGGTGAGGCAACAATGAAGGGTCGACAATGACACGACCCCACGTGTCACGACTCCAACCCCGTTTTAACCGTCCTCATCTCTCTTGTCCTGCTCATCCTTCTTCAATCTTCCACGACAGACTGTGCTATAATTACACCACATCCTAGCAGTGACCGACTATGCCCTCTCTGTTTTCATCTCCCTCAGCCCTAAATGATCTACTATCAAATCTACAGGACATCAGCATTGAGGATGCACTTCCAAGATCTCCCAGTCCTGAATGGTGAATTCCAATTTCTTGTTCTTTGCGTGTCTCGACCTGATCTCCCGGTGTCTCACAGTCTGCACAGCGATCTCTGGTCCGACACGGAGCAAGACCTTGCTCTGACACAGTTCGAACGTTCAGGGCAAACTGATGATTCTGAATCTGAGTATGCCGTCCAACATATCATTTTCTCAACTAGTCGAGTAGTACTGATCAAGATCTCAGTATTGCGGATGATAGCGATCATCCTCACGCAGACTTTCTGCGATACTTTGGGGTGTTAAAGGCACCCTGTAGCGATGCCACAAAATATGCTCCAACTCCCGAGAACTCGCCCGGTTTGTTGTTTGCTTCATGTCTGTGATGAAGACGACTTACCTTTTTCGGCAGAAGTAGACCTTTCATCGGGGCAAATGGTGTACGGAGTGGGCCTCAACGAGCCAGCTCTGGTGCACAGGGATGGCGAGGTTAACATCCCCAATTTATCGAGCAGATCATATGAACGAAATATCGAAGACCGCAACGGCTCACACCGGGATCATGTTGGCCAAGTCTTGCCTATTTCTCCAGATGCACCTCCGACCACCCCTGTTCTTCATGGGAGCCATGCCGTACTACCTTCTGCAACAGGCCCCATGAAAGATGTCGGACCAACGTCTCATATACCCTCCGCGACGTTCGCCAAGTCCGTCGACGATCCCGTCGATCCTCACGAGACTTCAAAAATTTTGCCCTCATCTATTGCGGGATTCGGTCAGGTCATCGAGACGACTCGCGTCCAGCGCAAACGTCCAGTGCCGGTGTTCTCACCCGAGACTACGAAGACCTTTGCTACGACGAGAAGGGGACGCGCCACACACCCACTGGAGGAGCCGTGTCCGCCATTGACTCCTTTGGCACTGACGCCGAAGTTAGGACAGCCGCAGGCATGCTCGTCACCTTTTGGGGGCGCGGTGCTCTTTGGAACGTGAAGTACTTGCTAGCTACTGGATCTCTGCGTTGTTGCTCCGAGACCAGGCTTGTTGTCTTTTTGTCCTGCAATACTCAACGAGGATTATTGGATGATATATGGAAATTCACGGTCCTCATTGGACGTGAATGATTGTAAATACTTCAGTAATAGTGTTCAACATGTTTTCGACACGATCAAATTCTGTTCGAGCTGCCTATCTAGGCCGGTCCTTTGAGGTCCTTTCCATATCGAGTCCCGTCAAGATGCATACAAATGGCAGTTGATGGCACCTTGTCGTTCTTTCGAATGCGCAGTTCTGCTGGGTTCTGCGACGAAAGACATGGCGAGGGGATGCGTGATTGCGTGTATGCATGACCAGAAACGCATGCAGAAAAGAAAGAAAAAAAGCTACGATCCCGAGAGGGAAGGAAGCGGTAAAGCATCCGTGGCCGAAACACTCCAGCAATCATTTTGCCATGGTGCGCGACGGGGACCGACGAACGACGATTAAACTAATATTAGATTTGAGATCAACGACTGACGAACCGTGTATCAATGCCGATGACGATGCTGGTGATGAATGGGGATATGTAGGGGGAAGAGTGTTGCAAGTGGCTTGTGAGAAACCGACAGACACACGAGGTGGCGCGAGTGAACGATAGAGCAAGAACAAGAACAAGAAAGAAACGAAAGAATCCGATAATCCGATCTGGAGAACAAAAAAGAGAACGATGCTAAACGCCGGACCACGTACAAGAAAGGGTAAAGAGAAAAAGATCATTAAAAGCTCAGAAACGACAGGAATCGTCGACGAAGATGTAGACGTATATGATGCGTGCACCCGACTGTCCGGACTCTACTAACTGTCCTCAGCCAAACCCACCAAACCGTTCAAACGTAACATACAGAACCCTTCTACCTTCCACTAGCCACATTCTAAAAAGAATCAGTGCTCAACGCTCACGTTCACAACCTTCCCGCTGCGCCCATGAAAATCCATCCGGCGACCGCCACCGCCACGGTTCCCACGACTCCCATACCCACGATACTGCCTCTGGTCCTCTCTGCACCAGAACTTCCCGCAGATGTCGCAGCCTCGACGTCCTCCATGTCTACGTGGCCATTCGAAGTCTCGAGGACGCTCATGTCAATGGACAGAGTGTTCACAGTCTTGGTGAACACCGTCGTCGGGAACGTCTCTGTAGCCGTTGGGGTGACGGAGGAGTACGCATCGTCGGTCAAAAAGACGAGCGCAAACGACGGAGCTGGCACTTTGATTTGGCAAGTATTCGAAGACGTATCACAGTTCACGGTCTGCACATCGAGATCGCCAGCAAGTCGGCCGTCCGAGCCGAGGGAGGCGCCGAATGTCTGTCGCACGAATGTAAGAGATTAGCCGATGTAAGTGCTAAAGTGAGTGAGACCGAGGCTGACCTGGCCAGCCCAAGTGAAGTCCTGGATATCGGCAACGGAGGAAGACCGCAGGTACTTGACCCTGACCGAGCTTGGTGTCGCATTGTCTTGACCAGCCCCACTTCCTCCGATCGCGACCGTGGCCGTGTAGTCGGACGCGCCAGAACTGTCAGTGATGTAGTTGAAAAGCGCGAGCTTCGTCGGCGTGCCGTTCTCGTAGATGGCGTAACTGTATTCCCCCATCCAGCGGTCAGTTCGTCAGATGCGAAGGAGATGCAACGATCAGGGAAAGGAGCAAACGAACCCAGGCGTGTAGATGTTGTTGTCGTTTGCCCCCAGATCAATGAGCTGGGAAGCATTGCTCGGACCAAGAACCTCGGCCATGACGAGCGCGGAGTAATACGTCGCACCGACGGACCATTGCTTGAACGATGACTGGTTCGTTGGTGGTGGCGTGAACTAAGTTGCACACGAAAATTTGTTAAATGAAACTAGTCAGCTGAAGTGAGACAAGAAGGATACGCACAGGGTTGTAGTACGCGTTCTGTCCACCAGCGTGGAAAAGCGCTCCCGTGAAGTTCGAGTATGCCATCGTCATAGCGTAATCAAGTGCCCAGAGTGCCGCGCCGAAGCTGTTGCTGACACCCGCGAAACCTCCACATGATGCCGTATTGGTCTGATATCCAAAAAAAAACCCCAATAATCAATTCTTGGCTTCCGAAATGGCATGGACGGCGCCAAGGTCTCACCTCAAACATGATGAAGGGCTTGCCGGCAGGTTGAGCGATAGTATTCGCGGTATTGATGTAGGGAGCTACGATGGCCTGACCCGAGGTGTGGTTGAGATAGTCCGGGAAAACATCCTGCGGGTTGATGATTGTCCCACCAGTGTTGAATTGGGCGGCACAATTGTCTGTCGGATAGCTAGTATGACAAGCGCGGCGAGGAACGTAGGCGATAAGGGGGGAAGAGACCATCAGCGACTTCCAGCAGACCGAGAACACATGTGGGCACGCACTGTTCCACTGCGAGCGCGTTCAAGTGATCCGAAAAATTGCCAACGATGCCTGTATCCCAGACCACCTCGGGCGTCCAGTCGCCACTCGCGACAGAAGGGACAATCCAGACGTCGTCAGTCTTAAGAATGGCGGAGTCACTTCCGGCTTGGGTAATGAGATCGTCGATTTCGCCATAATAGTCGTAAGGTGAGTATCCCTACGATAATAGATCGTTCGTTGAGGTAATGTCGATGAACAAATGAAAACGCGGAGATCAGTAAAACGCAGAATGATTTCCATATGAGGAGCTGACCTCAACACGATGACTGATAGGAATGGAAGAGGAAGGAGTTATCCCGAGTTAGCCAAATATCCGTGAGTATAGTAGCAAGGGTGACGAACCCTGCGCAGAGCAAAAAAAAATCGACCCGTCAGTACTGTAGACGCTCTTCTCGAGCCGCATAACGCACTCACCATGATCAGTATACAAATCCGGTTCATTCCCTGCTTGGAAGGCCAATAGGTAATCTCCGAGAATGGCCTGGCCGGAGGATACGATGCTGAGGTCGAACGGCGTAGTGTTGAAGAATGGGACACCGAGGTACCACCTGACATTCGTGAGGGCGGAGATATTTCCCATCATGTAAAACACCTCCGGGGTATAGTCGAGTGGCGGCGTGTTGGTCGTGCCTGAGACTGCGGAGTAGTCCTTTGAGATGATGGAGTTGTTGGCGAGAGTAGCGACGAGCACGGCTGATTCTTGAGTGTTTCCTCCTACTCGGACCTGGAAAGGTCGTTGGTCTTAGTGCGAACTTGCGAATGACCGAGATAGACAAAGGATATTCACCTAACAAGTACAATGGGAAAGAAGAGGCGAAAGTGGCGTTCGGAAGAATTTTCTCGGCTAGAAAAGGATATGATACGCACCTGAACCCACCCAACTCTTTGCTGAATATTTGCCATCAAATTGAGGAAGGGAACCTGGAGGACCGAGCTGGAGGATTGTTAGCGTTTGATCTTGCTCTGTGAACAAACATGGGTCGTACCTATTCGAACCCACTGTACATCAACAACATCAGTACGCAGAGTACATCAGTCGTCGCCGGAGGAGCACTCACAGACATGGTTCACCACGGACATTTCGATCGAGAATCCAAAGAAACCACCGTTCTGTGGTATCGACAAGCCAGTCATGCCGCCCGAATAGAGTTGGATGCCGAAAGAGGTGGCTGGAGCTGGGTTGGGCACTGCAGGGGCACTGAGAACTGTCGTATCATATGCTGCTGAGCCGCTATATGTTGCGGAGGCTGCAGTCGCAGTTGTCGTCACAGAGGTCGACAGTCCATTGTAGATAACTTGGTACTGGGGCTGGTAGACACTGTATTGGGCCCAAGCAAGGGAAGCAGAGGACAGAAAAGACGTCGAAAGAGTGAGAAGACGCATGGCTACTGCTGCCGACGGTGTGCGTCTCAGTCAGAGGACGACGATGGTGACGACGGCGACGACGACGTTGACGACGTTGACGATGATGGCGGGAAGGACGAGGGAGGGATGGGAATGGCACCGCAAGTGTTCTCGCCTTCACTTCGCTTTAGTCCTTGTGCTCGCATCGCGCAAGTCAACGATCTCCACGCGAACTTCCGTCATTTCCGGCCGGCGAACTTTCCCCTTTTGGAGGCCCAAGCCTCCCGACCAAGCCGCCTTGGCTTAATCTTGGCCACAACCGGCCCGAGGCTCAAGATAATGATGTCATAAATAAACTTTATCACCCAATATCGGGTTTCCGATCACTTCCTCCGTTCAGCAGCCGCGGATGCAAGGACTTGCTCCGTTCGACGCCAGACACATTTTTTGTGTACTTTCATTGGTATTTCAGAGTAACGACACCCATGCTTCACGCTCTGATTTTACTAGTTCTGGATCCTGACTACTTAGTGAAGCGTGAAGGCCTGCAGAACTTGGCACATCATATCTCGGAAATCCCTTCAAGCTTCGCCTAGCTCCCCTAGAGAGAGAGACAGCTTCGCTAATCTATTTCTTCCTTCCTATCTATCTCTCGTGCTCGGCAAATGCTACGATTATGTTGGAGCGGAGACCTCCAATTCAAGGGAGGTGATCCCTCAACGTTGCCCGTAGCCACAGTAGCCCAGTGAAGCATCAGTCCCCCAAGAAAGAAAGGAGCGTTGTATGTATGTGGCTCACTCGATTGTCTATTGACTTTCTGCTCCTGCGTCTCTCCCACAGAATTCGGCTGTTACTAGCGCTCATCACCAACATCGGTGTCCGCCTTGCCCGCAGCCACCACTGGCGGCATGTCACGCGAGTGCTACACATGCTCCCATGGACCCATCTCGTCGCTCCCAGAGGTAGATTCCCGTCCCATCAAACCATGAATTACGACCTCACCGTATCCATCTGTCTCATTTACCCACAGCACGAATGCATACGGCTTATTGAACTGACTGGTATCGACCACAAGGTGAGTCACAACCAAAACAGTCTGACGAACCGAACTTGTGATTTCTTCGTCCTCTCGTGATTCAAGCTTCAAGCAGCTCTCAAGAACGATAATGTGATCTTGATGAGGTCTGCCGGTTCTTTAGATTGTGGCGCATCTACTACTCACGTTCGGAAGTTAAACCATACTGGTACCGGGAATGCCCGACTGTCGCATACTATTGCCCTCCGGGCGCGACCTGGTCCTATGTCCTTTGTCGTCGCGTCAACCGTTCTTGCCTCTTATCTTGTTTGTATCCCGATTGTTGCAGTATTAGTCAGCCAGAAATGTTCTGGAGATTTGGCATGTCTACCCAGTGCTCCTTGAGGGATGTTACGCCCAATGCCATTCACCCTTTGACTTAGACTGTGATCTCAAGGTGTCATCGACTATCATGGAGAGTTTTGCTGGCGAGCTCCCTTTCCAAAAATATCTAACCAATCAGTGATCGTACACTTATCAGATCAAATACCAAACAGAGAGAAATATCATTTGATAACAGAAATATCTTGTCCGTAGTAAGCATAACACCCCCCCACCCCCCCACGACCGATGATAGTGCTCCGGAGCTTGGGGGTATCTATTTTGTCGAGACCAATGAGGGAAAGCGGAGCGATCAGCTTCAAGGAAAGGCACAATATAGAAAGGGACCTCACTACAACGAGACTGTCTCATGCACTGATACGCCGTGACAGCATCTCCCCTCCCTCAACACGTAGGCGGTGACTGAGCCTGGCGTTAGTTGGTGGGTCGTACAGATCGATCTCCCATGCAGGACATGGGTGTGTACTGGGGAGGGCAAGCATGAGATCCACATTCCTTTCCTCGTCAAAGTACGTCCAATCGTTCTTCTTCGACACCAGATCCAACTCGTCCTCGTACTCGGGGTTGATGACAGAAGGGCCGACTAGCTCGAGTGGTACCCTGAGAATACCCACCTTCTCAGTCACAGCTGGCTCATCTCCATTCTCTTCACCGTAGATGAACACCAGAGCGTAAAACCATCCCCTTCCCATCCCCACAAAACTCAAGACGGCCAGCCGATGGGTGACAGGCAAGGAGCGTTGATAAGCACGCAAGTCGCTCCCGATGCGTACTCCCGGAATTGTGGAATATGAATCGAGGAAATGACCAACTGCGGTGAGCATGAGGATAGGTGATGGTTTAGCCACGATCTTGCTCATCCACATCGCAATCTCAAAGCGCTCCCATCCGCTGTTCCAGACAGCAAACGACGTAGGGCCATACGCGCGTGGCATGCCGAGAGTGAAGCAAGTGAAGGGTATTTCTACAGGCATACCACGGCGAGCAAGATTCCTTTTGACTGGTCAGTCTATCATGTACACTAAATAGGTATGTTAGACGTACCAATCGCCCTTTTCCTCAGAACCAGAACGCGGGGGATGTTCTTGGGGATGTGCTATGATCGTCCTGGTGGTGGGTCAGTTATGCCTCTCTGTGTCTTATTGGTTGATAATTGACGGCGTACTCCTCTAGTTCAATGACTGGTATTTCACCACCAAACAATCTCTCGAGTACCCGTTCCAGACGAGCCATTGCGTCCTGGTGCCAGATGATGTCGCTTGCTCGAAGCTTTTTTACGTTGGGGGACGACGAGAAGTGAGGGCGAGGATTAAAGAGTGTGGTACCGTAAACCAGAGCTTCAAGTGATGGGATGGCCATGGTGGTTGCTGAGCAAGGAGTGGGTAGCGGTCACTTCCTTTCCTGTTCAGGGCCTTTCACTTTATATATGATTATGGGGCGAGACCGCCGTGATGTGGCTCCATGCATACTTCTTTTTACGTACTAGATTTCGTAAAATTGAACTTTGCAATCTGGATCATGATCAGAAAGAATTGGTATCCTACTCGAACTAGCACATCATTGGGTACCTAGACAGCCATTTCAATCCAATCCAAGCTCCATACGGGACACGAATGCGGACAGCGCGTGAAGCAAATAATGCAAACCAGGGCAACCTTTAATAAGTGTTCAGTTATGTCGAAGCACACCAGCTGGTTGGATATGTGGTGAGACCACTTGTGGTACCGGCCAGGTAGAGTCTGTGGTGATGGGCACTACGGGGTCTTGGAACAGGACGGAGAAGGAAAAACCGCGGGAGATGCCACGCAGACTGTGGCACGGCATATTATTATGTAATTTGGTGTTGCGGGACCGGGTACCACGCAGAGCAACCATTGTTACCGTATTCGGCCCGCAGCACGGTCGCATGGAAGGCTGCATGGAATCCCTTGCGCGAATCACATCATGATCCTCTTCCACGCTAAGTCTCGCGGAAATGAGATTGAAGCTTCTTAGTACTTCGACTCCACACGTACGGCTTCGTGTCTCGACATCTTTGCAACGCAGCAGATCCCACGGACTATCAGAAAGTAAATTTTGATACCATCATGACGGCGTCGACATGCCAATATAATACAACAGTTGTAGACCTAAGACGGCCACCTCGCGGACATCACACGGAATTGATGCACCATGCTAAGTCGTGACAAGCTACGGTTCCCGAAAACAACCCGACACTGTATCTGTACTAGATCGCAAACGAAGAGGAAAGAAAGGGAGCAGGAGAATATGAAAATGATGATGACGAGGAAAAAGACGGATAGAGAGAAGAAAAGAGCGCAAAAGACACGAGCCAGAGGAACAGAGAAGGGCGGGGCGTTAATGTCGTGAACTTCGTTATCATCTAATCGGATCGAACTGACGGGACAACCAACATGTATACGGAACAGTCAAAAGAGCAATGGGGGTACACACGAGTGACACGAGCTCATACAAGGCCACCAAACCGAGGGACTAGGAACCCTTGAGCGCGAGCGTACCAGTACCACCGCCGAGCAGTGTCCTCGTCGGAGAATATCTCTGCCTGCGCGTTGGGGAAACCACGCGTCTGGATAATCACGTCATCGCTAAGATTATGTTAGTGGCGAGAAGTATCGACACAGACACGAAAACGCACGCAGTGGTGTAGATTCCTGGAGTACGACCGACGTAAACTACCCACCAATGAGGCCCTTCGACGACGACCTCAGGACGAGGGGGTGGAGGGAGGACGCGAACAGGCGATTCACGACGGTTGGAGTCCGAGAGCTTATCACTCCACCATTTTCGCGCTTGCTCACGATTCTCAGGTGCACGGAAGTCCGGGCGGTACGGCTTCGGGAATCCGCGATGTGACTCGATCCTGGGTCGCCACTCATTCCAAGGCATGAAGTCGAGACCTGGCAAGGTACTGACAAATGATATATAATGCCGAGCGGGTTGCACTTGCGAAACGGATGTTTCCGGTCCAATGGGTCGTTCAGTAGTAGGAAGCGGCGGCAGTGGGGCCATTCCCGCGGGGATTGGGACGACTGGATCGTGATGATAAAAGAGTAGAGTCTCGACGGACGGAGTGGTGACGGCAGACGGAGGTGATGGCCCAGGTTGGGACGACAGCGTCGATGGTAGGCTATCATTGGACGTGTCCCTCGGCGAAGAGACTGTGATCGAAGCTAACAAGGCAGCCAACAGCGCGGGGTCTGCAACGACACGGTCTATAGATTGCGCGGTCTTGGAAGCCATGCTGTGCGGGGCAGGAGTTTCCACCGGTCCCCGTGGAGATCTGGAAATCGTGTGGGTCGATGGTTCTAGAGAGGCAACGAGGTAAGTATGAAACACACCCTCAAGACGAGGCTCTCGCGCACCTTTCCGGTCAGGTTCGCTGGTCTTGTGTCGAAGCGAAGTTGTGGTATCGGGCCTTGGATGGCTTCGACTGCGTGTTGCCCTGTCGACATCTTCGCCTCCAGAAGACTTCGCAGAGTCTTGGGAGGGTTCACCGGTCGTCAAATGCGAGACGTGGTTGGGGCTATCATCGGAAGTCATCAGAAAGAAACCCAGTGAATAGTACTATCAATAGACTCACGACTGGACGGCAGGGTGACCGAACGCGCACACCCAATGGACTGCCCGCTGTGCATCTAGCACACGAGAGTGGGTGACCGGTCCCACATTGGGTATATCACGGGCGTCTCTGGGGCCACTCGATTGAAGTGACGTCGAAGCTAGCACTATAATCAAGTTGGTTTAATGTCAACATTCGCTTGAAAACAAGCATACCTGAATGTGCCGGGACCCATTCCCATTTCCCGGTAGGGTCATCGCGACAGTCATCGGGGGCGTCGTCTGCGGCTGACTTATCGGCGGTCATGATACGAGTGTATGGAAAGAAACAAGAGGCGGGGAGTCAGAAAGCGATGCATCAACTGATCGTATATACTCGGCGGGATTCAAAAAGAGCCGGAAGTTCACAGGGCGTGGGTTGATACGCCAGAGACCGCGTGTACGGACAAGTCACCGATGAAGCTCGCACGGAACCTGACGTCAAGGTTTCTGTAAAGCCTCCCGACCTGAGATCGAAGGATTATGAGATAGGGACCTCGATGCATCACAAGAAGCTGCTACTTAATCCATCCCACGTAAGAGCGCAGTTGGATCATCTGCATACGGCTACATAGTACGAGCGGTGCTACTCGACCGACATCCTCTTTAAAGCAGCGGATTGCCCCGGACGTGACCTGGGAGTGCGCGGCAGGCAAGCACGACGTGGTAATGAAGATATCTCACAGCGATTACGGACCACGACGTTGGTGGCGACGACTGCATTGCCCACAAGCTAGGAAGGACATGCGTGAGAGGGGACGGGGAGGGAGAGAGGGGCAAAGGGGAGGGAAAGCGGGTGAGCTGACAAACCCTAAAAGGGAACGCTTCAGCGCGATGGAGCTTGGGAAGTTCGAGATTGTGACTGCGCCAAAATGGTCTGGGTGCGACGGCATTATTACTCCATTTCGTGAACGCGTCAATGGGATCTTCATGATAAATGTATCACGATGTTGATCCAGTGACGACGAGTCGGGAGGAGAAGGAGTCATACCTACGTCCATCAAGTAGACGTAACCATGGAGGTTGTGGGACGTGGAATATTTTGGTGAATTAACTCACCGGTGCGACATACATAGCCCAGGCGAACGCAAATTGGCACAAAGGTACGACGAACGACGTCGGCAATGGCGGGACGCGTGTGACAAGTAACTTGAGTGCATGCGGTCCACGCCGAAAGTCGGGGTGACGCGAGTCACACACGTGGACCGAACACGCCACAGTTTTGAATCGATTACACGTACATGGGCCATCATCCATTCCACTCGGCGGGTGCTGGCACCGATTCGAATCTGCTTCTAGGTTGATGGATGCTACAAGCTCTGGTGGTTCGACGTGAGGAAGATAAGGTACCCACAGCTTTTGACTCACCGGCGTTGAACTTACCGTGATAAGATGTTGGCTCGAGTTATTTGAGTGTGGATGAACTCCTGGTCGCTGTATTGCACGAGCTTATTGATTTGGTATCTATTTTCTCTGCGTACCTCGGCGTTCTGCTCGGCTAGAATCCGTCAGAGCAAAGTCTCATACGGCTCAGGCTCTGTCCGACGGCGCAGTCTTTCAATACAAGTAAGTTGGTGGCTGGCGCAAGCGCAAGTATATACTCTTTTCCCCCTTGCGTGGCGACAAAACACCGCCCTGATTTGTTTCCGCGAACAACGCGAAGAGGACCACATGTAGCGACTGTGGTCATAGACACTTCTCTGAGTGAAATATTTGATCAGGTTGTGACCGTGGGATCATCATAAATCGCCTGCAACGTCCTGTTGAGTCAACTACGTTATAGTCTTGGCGCCTCTCCACCCCACCGAAACCCCAATATCTGACGACGCCTAACACACTGCTCTAGATCTCTCCGTTATTCATCTGCGAAACTCCTGATACAATCAGCATACACTCTCTGCTCCTCATCGTGTCGGGCGTCGACGCGAACGTCGCACGGGCCCTCCGGTTTCATCAAGCCAGTAGCTCATCAAAACTCTGACCTGCATTCTGCTATGTGTTCCATGTGAGTGTCGTCTCTTCAAAAGAAAAGGCCCCCTCGCCGCTAGATGGGGGCGCTTATACTACGTTTCGATGGGTGTTGACGACTCTGCCTCCACAGTACACCCGCCCGTGACCGTCTCCCACCAGAGATATGGCTTCACGTCTTCCATTTCGTGGTAGCGCTCGAGCCCAACGATACCCTCGAACTTGATCGCGTGAGGTCCGACATCGAGGCTGAACAAAGGACGTCGGGGGCCGTGCCACCTGCCACACTAGGTCCCGACGCATCCATGACCACCCCCGCCGTCCGAGTAGTCACCGAAGCCAGCGAGGGCCTTACCTCGCACGAGAGTAAGGTCAGATATAGGAGACCCGCCACGCTGCGGCCCCGCCGCTACCTCCCCGCTATGGCCGTCGTGTCCCACATCTGTACTCAGTGGCGCCACATCGCTCTCGCCCACAGCTCCCTATGGGCCATCATCAGACTCCTCCACCACGGCTTATGGCCTTACCAGTTCTTAATTCGCTCCCAGAGTCCAGTACCCGAAGTCCCAGACAGAAAGAAGTTGGACGTATGCCTTGATCTCAGCGACGTGGGTAACATCGACGGCACACTTTCGTTGTTGGTTGCCTCTATGGCTCGCGTCGAATCACTGTCTCTTGCGGCGGGAATTTGCGAAGTAGAAGATGCGGAGGCTGGACGTGGCCCGAGAGACCTCATGAACCGCGTGCTCGACCGTTTGGCAGTCTGTGAGGCTCCCGTCTTACGATCCATCACATTCACTCTCTTCGACGACAATTACGACCAAGGTCCCGAACAGGAAAGTGATGTCGACGAGGATGTGAACGAGGAAGCGTCCGGGGACGCAGGCAATGGGGGTGATGCAAATGAAGCGGGAGGGGATACGAATATCGGACAGTCCGACGGCGAGGAGGAGATGTGGGATGATATCGACGGCCACGACGACAACGGCGATGTCCCTTCTCATCGGAGAGATGTAGAACCCTGGGAAACAGTGGGACCGATCGCGATTCCCGCTCAGATCTTCGAAGGCGCCCCCCCGCCTTATTTGACCCACCTATCTGTCACGGCGCCACTCCACATCTCCCCTTCCTCACCAGCATTCACCAATATCACAAACCTTTCACTATTCGATATATCCGAGAAGGCCTTCTGGAACGTCGTTCATTGCACACCTCTGTTAGAGGAGCTGTACGTGGCGTTCCATAGCCATTTTCATGTCCCCGCAGCCTCACCTCTCACCACCGAGACCTTGGTCAAGGACCTCGTATTTTTATCACGCTTGCGGGAGTTGCGAGTACGAAATTCACGGGTTTCCTCCTTCCGCCGATTCTTCCACCACGTTATCGAGGACGGTCGCCCCCCCTTGCGACGCCTTATGTTCGATATACGCGCATTTGTTCCTATGGGACGCGCTGACGCGAAGAGGTTGTGGCGCGCCATCAAACCAATGCACGCACAGAATCCGTTCGACATCATCAATATCTCCGTCTCTGACTGGGGAGGTCGCTTCGTCGTGGGCGGCGGCCCGTCATCCATTTTAGACACACCCCTATGGCAGTGTCCTTGGGCGCTCATCGGAATCGTGTGGCCCTTTAGGATTGAGGTATCGATGGAATACGACCCGACTTCCGCTTCGCCGTGGGTCCATCTCATGTGGCCAGACATTATCATTTCCCCCTCTCAACTCGCTCTCAGTCATGACCTCGGAAGGTTCTTCCCGAGTCAATGGTTGGATGTGGCTCGACGTTTCCCCTACGTGGAAACTCTCAAGATAGACGACCCGCTCATGCTGATTCTTACGACCCTGTGGTCCGAATCATCATCATCCAAGATCGATTCTTTCCCATACCTGAAGACTTTGATCATCACAGCCGACGAGATTCCACGAGCGTGGAGACCTTACCCGCCACCCGATGAACGCCTACATCTCATGCGGCGGGCCTTAACGGTGATCGGGTCATCCCTGAATCGTAGACCTCTGGAAAGATTGGTCTTCATGCAGTGTGACCCGGCTTTCGACGAGGGGGAGTTGAGACTCATGAAGGAATTGGCCGGTGCGCGCAGAGCAGAGATGGTTTGGGTGTCGATGACGCGGAGCGAGCCTGTGACGACGATCCTGTAACCCTAGTTCTTCCAATGAAGTCTTCGTTTACCGTGCAGTCCTTGGTCATTCATTCTAATTACGCGGGAGTCCCTTCTCGACAAGATAATATATATCATTTCAAAGTTTTCTCCGGTGTTTCGAAACAGGCTTCACGCCAGAAAGATAATAATACCACAGTGATGCAGGCGACCACACCACACTCACCACGAACTATTTATGGACAAATCTTGGGCGAGCGCCACTTAAAGTGCGGGTTACTCCAAAAAAAAAAAAAAAAAAAAAGACGTGAACAATCCCATTTGGAGGACGTCTGCAAGGATGCTGAACTATCCGTCGTAAGTGACATCTTCATAAGAGCTGACAGTACCACTATTCATTTAACACTATTTCCGTCGCAATTTCTCTCCGACCAAGAGCAATTAAGAGTCCGCACGACCCCGTTTATCCCGCGAGGGTGATACTGGAACCCATCCCATCATAGTCTCTACGGGACCATTGTGAGTGAATGGTGGATATTCGACAAGTAAACCAAAGATGAAACATACCCGTCATCACCGGTCGATGGTCGGCCACAAAGCCCAGCAAAATGAAAGCATCGCGGACCACTTGCTCCTTCGCGGCTTTACGAGTGGTCCACTTGGATTCCGCAACAGGGTCACTACGCTGACCGACTGCAAAAGATGGTCAGACTATTCGCTATACACACATGAGACCGTCAAGACATGGACTTACTGAAGAGGCTGTATCGCCACTCTTGTGGCAAGCTCGCACCACGGCTCTCTGCGGTGAAAGAGACGGTGGCAAAGTTGGCCATAATCGTAAAGAGCATCTCTGTGGGATCGTCGTCGTACACCGTATCTTGGTGCACTGTAGTGCAGTAGAGACGTATCAGATGGGAGTAATGCAGTATTATGGCAAGGCAAACTTACGCGTGCCGAGGGTCTCAGCGTAGACAGTGGGGGTGATCACGACCCCAGATCCCGCTTCATCGACATTTCCCCCGGATCCAGGAACACTTCCCGCTTCGTCACCCCCGGACTCATCGTCGCTGGTCTCGATGATCCACTCCTCTTGGAGGACTGTGGTCGGGAGGAAGTCCAATTTGACTGAGGCTCGTATGATACCATCCTTGATCGCGTCTTCTCTCTCAGCGGTTCTGGACTCAGCGATAGAGTCCTTGTCGTGATTCGCTACATACACGCGTGGATGAGCAACGAACTGAGAACGAGACAGGATATGTAGAAACAGACCATAGACCCAGAACTTCCACACCTGCGGCTGACCAGCACCGAAGCTGCGACCAAACAATCTCATCGTATTACCAGTCTTGGCCATGAAAAAGGCCATAAGCCCGTCAAGGTCCTGGGGGGGAGCTAATGGAAAGCGAGGGCGTCGATCATTGGAGAACACCCACGAAGGAAGTCGAATCAGACGTTATGGTGGACATGCCCGGGAAGGGGTGAAAGGTTATCGAAAGACGCACCAAGTGACTGGAGTCGCTTCAGAAGCTCGTCAGACGCAAGTTTTCTGGCATCTCTCTTCTTTGGAGCGTATCCGGTGGCAGCGCGAGTGCGTTCAAGACCGTCACTCACATAGCCATTTGAAGGTGGGGGTATCCCTGTGAAGAGTCAGTGAGAACGACGCGAAAATTGATTGCGTACACACAGGTCCGCGTCACCGCCCAGACTCTTCTGTGCTGCTCCTCGTAAGTTACCACTTTCACGCCATGCATCGATGCGAGCCTGTCAAGCCTCGAGGAAGAGTCTGACATTGTTGAAATACAGCAGCAAGGAGGGGTGCGATGTTAACCAAAGAAAGGACTGTTAGGCGGGGGGGAGTTGAGCGAGGGCTCTTAAATCCAGAGAAACGTGAGGCCGAGTACTCACGTCGCGGATAAGGAGAACCGAAGAAAAAAGATACACCAATCAGTATTAGAAGAGGTGACATGGAATAATTACGCACAAAGAGTCTCGTGTCTGGGACAATCAACGTGTCGACATTGAAGCCATCACAACTGCGAGTGTCGAGTAGCCGCGTACGCGCCTGGCCATCGCGAGTACAGTACAAGGCCGGAGGAACAGATGTGGGGTTAGGCGTAGAAGCGATGATTCGCTTCCTTCCTTCCGTGAGACGATGGTTGTGGCGCAGGGCAACGGTCGTCATTGATCGAGCCCGGAACGTGATCGAAGCGCTTTGGAGCCTGATCGGGCTGATCGACACGATCGGGAGGCGCTGAGAAACTGGTTGACGCCCAGGAACTGATCGAGCCTCAGTTGGAGTTGACTCAAAAGGTTTGACACAAACGAAGCAGATCGCTGTAACTTACGCTTTCGATCGAATAGGGTGATCATCACCACTGGGCTTTCGATCAAAATTCGATTGAGGGGTGCACGCGTGAGGACAGGCATTCGAGAATGAAATAAATAAGAAAAGGCACTCGAATCCAATCCGTGAGCTAAATGGATGGCTTAGTATACCCAGGTTCGTCACATAGTGTCTGTGATCAGAGCCGATGTGCAGGCTGGCACGATCTCTTTGACGAGCACTGGCGATCAACTCGACTTTCTGCATGGACTACATCACATTGAGCAGTAATGTATCCCCTCGGCCTTCGTCTCTCAGTGTTTGTGTCACGATGACACAGTTGTGATTTAAGGGCAAACCAAAGACCCTGCTTACACACGGGCGGAAACAATCAAATCCTTAATGTTCCGACTTCTGCCCATCGGCCACAGTCCGGCTTCCTATCAATAACGCCAAAGGGAAGTATCATGCATCCACGATCGAACAGTCTCCGTCCCTCTACCGTTGGCGAACCATCTTTCTCGAGCCCTCTCATCTCCATAGTGCTTCCCTCTGCCGCCGCCGACCGCGACTTCGTGATACGAAAGCGTAGATGGTTGGTGAGTCGGGGGTACGATACACAGAAATGTCCCGGTGAAATCAGATTGCAGAGGGTGGTGTGTTTAGCAAAAATGATCGGGTATGCCGCATGTACGGTGCTGCTTTCGATGATATCCACTCGTCGTGGCACTGGACCCGAGAGACAGACGAGACGAGTGCGAGAACGGGACCCGCGAGGTAATGCGGCACGATCCCTGCAGCTTTCTGAAAGTATTCTTCAGCGCTAGTTCGAGAGTGTACAAGTTATCACATACGAGTCAGAGTAAACATTTCCTTGTCGGGTGAGCTATAGCCAACCAGGGGTATTCTACCATAACCCCACCCCATAAAAACACCACGCATGGACTCGGCGCTGCCAGACGGTACGAACACGGACAGCACCGAGGACAGAAGTGGTCGAACCGGCTGATTGAGCAATGCTATGTCCAAGGCAACATCTCCACCGACAATCCCCGAGACCCGTTCGAGCAATTTCAAGAATTCATCTACATCTGCCACGAATTGGCGGATACCCTTCCTGACAATCGTCGTCGTGACTCGCCGGGTTACCGGACTGAAAGCTTTCGCAGTCATGCAGATGTTCCAAAGTACGAGAGGGGTCGCGTGAACACATATTTGAGATAAAAGGTCGTCACAGAAGAGTACACGGTGGGCAGCGGACATGTCGAAGAGAACGGGGCGGCGCAACAGTCCTCGGTCGAATAAGGTTCCCGATATTTATATCAGACTGCGGATTCTGGTCAAGGAGGTCAGCGCTTTCCAGCATCAGAGAGATGACGTCAAACCCTCAAGACGCACCCGCATTCTCCAGTTTCCTCTTAATGACCATGATTGCCTGACCGCTGGCCTTGACACAACATGTGCAACAATACCCACCCCACTTCCACTTTACCTCCCTCAGCAGAGCATCATCTGCGGACCTAGCTGACCAATCATCCGTCTCTCCATACCATAATCGGAGTGTTCCCGAATCAGCGAATGACCTCTCTTGATGAGGACAATAAAAATGCCTCGAACCGGTGCCCTCCACACTCGCCTCCACGTTCTTCGAAAATCCAACGAGTTGATATCCTCGCGACATGTACTTCTCCACAGCCCGGACTCTATTCCATGTCCTAGCGGCCCAAGGGCGAAAGAACCCCCTTCTCCGGAATGTGCTGTCCGGATAAGCCACGCAGATACTTGACGCGGTGACAACGTTCACCACATGGGACGCGTAGTAACGAGCGATCGGTGCCAGAGCAGAATGGCAAGCGCTCACGACAACATCCACGGCTCTCCCATCCCGACGCTCCATGCGTACTACGCAGGATATAGCAGTCTCGTCAACGTACGGACGGTCAAATCCATCCCCTCCCGGCAAGACCTTCGCCCGATACCCCTCCATTTCGAACAACGCCACCATACGCTCGCCACGACCAAGTCCACAATACACATCCAGATCATCTGCATCCCAAAGCGTCTCACCATCCACCCTATGCACGAATCGTAGAACTTGACCACCTGAGAACACCGCGGTGGAATTCATTGCTTCAGCCGTGAGCGCCAGAGGGTCACATACGAATCTGCTCGCGGACCACGTCTGCGTTCAATCAACAATTACCCCGATACATAGAAAGCCCTACCGTCGTAGAACATCGTGCCACTCCTGACGAATGTACCCAGAGATGATCCCGGAGCTTGCAGGTGCATCGGCCGCTCGCCTGACGAGCTCTGGAAAAGAGCATTGACTCAGGTCTGTCCAATGATACCGTCTGTTAGACTCGATGAAAAGGCGAATAAACGTGCAAACTGATTATACCACGGGTCTCTTCACTCGGCATGATGTGTCCTGACGAGAAAGAGAACTCCAGTCACGTCAGACCAACGCCGACGTACACAGAAGAATGGGGTAGGGGGGGGCACACTTTACAGGGAGAGGATCAGGTTGCACGTACCTGTACACCACGTCGATGCCATTTTATAAACTCATCGCTTCCTAAACAAATAACGTGTAGTCACCTGTGAAACCGACGCATCTGTGGTCCAGAGCACATACTTCACACGACTGTGATGCGTGCATCCAGCGTCGGAAGTGGAATTCAAAGCGTCAGACCATCAACGTAATAACGCGCTGTGGAAAGCGAGACTGGTTCGAACATCCTCTCGATACGTTGCGAGAAGAGACATAGAGGCGAGCAGCGAATCCAAGGTTTTCGTGCAGACACGAGTGAAGGCTCAAACGTCCAGGCTATGATCTTGTCGGAGGGTGGTCCATTTACTCTGACGGACAAATACATTTACCTCATGTTGTGACGCTAAAGTGTTACGTTTTAAGCACGTCGTATCTAGGCAGGGAGGGGGGATACGAGAAATCGAGACAGGGGAGGGGAATACGAGAAACAAGCGACAGTACAGCGACATAAAGAGAGTCCTGAGTCGAATCGAAATAACTCTAAGCTGCTTCACGCCCGTTGGAAGTCACACAGTCGCCATCTGCGGAGTTCATCCACGCACGATGCTATGAAGATAACATCAGAAAGCCCGTCGACAATAAATTTCTAAGGAGGACGTACGAAACCTGGTGGGAGGGGAGACTTGAGCGCTCGCTCTTGTGGACCGGAAGTTTCGTCCTGATCCTTTGATCGTATAAGATAGGAGTGACCATTCAAGAGGCGAAGAGACACTCACCACTGGATCGGGGTCAGTCGAAGGACCAGGCTCGAGAAGACCATAGCCGGCCAGCTTTAACTCGGCCGCGATACGCGCAGTCATCACGTCCTGTAACTGCGCGAATGTGTGACCCAGGTAAGCAGTCGCTTCTTGAAGACGAGAGTGGGCGTCTCGCAGACGATCGTGGGCCTCCTTGAGTTGGGCGTCCTGATCTGCGATTCGTTGGCGAAGCGCGGCATTTTGGTGCGAGTATAGGTGGCGTTGGTGCCAGCACTGGCGGCTAAAGTAGCCTAAGCGCAGGGTCAACTCCTCTACTGTCAGATGCTCTTTCTCCTGCTCTGAGCCCATCGGTCGCCCTTGAAGTTGAGAGTGAAAGTATGAAAGAGACGAGACCCGGAACCTTATATTTTAGCGATTGCCTCGATAACACGCGCTGAGTCAAACGGGCCCGATCTAGAGCACGGTGACGTAAACGATTTGTGGCGTAACGCCAAATTCAATGATCTTCCAGCCACATGCACTAGGGGAAAAAAAAAGAATTATAGTACAAGTGCACCATCAGACCTGGACCTCTCCACACACATTCCTGTCGTCCGCCGGTTCCTTCGCCCTGAACCATTTGTCCCACCGACCAACGACAATAGAGCGTTTGATCGGATCCACGCCCGGAGCAGCAGCGAAAATATCGAGAAGCTGTACGGTATGAAAGTCTTCGACGGGGGGGATAGTGATCGCGGCATCACATTGTGGACACGAATTTTCGACGAGATCGAAGTGGCTCGCAATACAAGCCTCGCAGAAGGTATGGCCACACTCAGTGAGTCTACAAAAATCGTCGACGCACCAGACCATTGGCGAGTAAGACGTGAGCGAAGAATCACAAGACACAATGGCGAGAATACAAGTAGTATTCAGTGCGAAAGCCACTCACATCCACGGGGCCTGGAAGATATCCTTGCACAATGGGCAGACCAGTATCTCTGTGGCGCGGCGAAACCGCTACAACTGAAGATCAGTACACCGTCGCATATTTGAAATAACGCGAGCAGTGCACACCTCCTCAAACCTCTCATAGTCCGCGAGCCTAGCTTGGTCTCTGGCTCGTTCAACCTCTAATGCATAACACCTCCTACGGGAATTAGCCAGCTGCATCCTAGCGCTAGACAACTGTAGGATAACGCTTGCTCTAGCAAGGAAGGGTCCCATTCCCTAAATCGAAAGTAGTGATCAGCGGGGAAAGGGTTATGGACATTGGCGAATATTTGAACAACTTGGTTCGAATCTCCCTTTGACTGTAAGATAGGCCTTCAGTGAGCGACGCGCGAACCATTCGACCTGAAACTCACATCAGGTGCGTCACCATCATCAGCATCGGTCAACAAACACCTCGCGCCGCGCATCGGTGTAGGACTACTGTCATCCATAGTGCGAGAGGCAGCAGACGATCCAATAAGAAGAAGATTGGAAATCCTGGAGCGGGAAATGGACCAAGATAGACCCCGTACATATACTAGGTCAAACCACCACCAGCATCGAAAAGGTGAGAAGTAGTTCACATCCACAGGAGACGGATACGCCAAGCGTCCATTCGATTATTGAGATGTACACGAGAAAGCCATTACTCAATGCAAATTCATACGAGTTACCCTTCCACTAACCATCTAGCGAAAATGCGCGAGTAAGCACACCCTCGTCACAGAAGAGAAATATGAGGATATACCCGTCGAGACTCAGTCCCAATCACCATCCAGCCACTCTTGGCGCAACGCATAACGCTCCCCGTGCCTGCGCGGTTCTAGAATCTGGACCTGAGGAACATATCCTCCCATATAAGCAGGGGAGCACGCACCATACTGCCATGACACTAAGCGAGCTCGACTATCTCCGAACGTGTTAGATACGGGACTATCGCGAAGGTTGGATGCGTCGACTCTGAGGCAAAGAGTCTTGCCGTCACCGAGAGACCGCAAATCATCCGCTCTGTATCCATGCCGAATGCCTACCCGCGTACCGTCTGACCCGTCACCGTCCCACCCATGGATCCGAAACCCGCTCACAACACATTGACGCAAACCTGGGAAAAACACCGACTTCCAACTTCCTGGTGAGATGAGTCCCTCCTGGATCAACGTCGTCCTAGGATAAGCGCAGAGGAGGCGATCTGTCATGATTGCGTTGATGAACAGAGTCGACCAGTGGTGGGGTATGGCTGAGAGTGCGTCGACGTGGTCGATGGAATAGAGGCGTACAACGCGCGGGCCGAGATTGGCTTCATAGATGGCATCGACAATCGTGCCCTTCGACCAAACAAAACGGTCGCCAATAACTGTGTGGCGCGGCTGGCGACGACAATCCCTCACAGACCAGTTTGTGTAACCGTGCTGCTCGAGAACCTCCTTCATCGCAACACAGGATGCGTCACCCACCAAGTAGATGTCGAGTGAACGTGGGAGCCACCCAGGCGAGCCCTGAGCCAGGACACGCAAAACGAACGCCCCCCCGATAACGCCCTTCAACTCCTCCAACGCGGGCCAAAATGACAAGTGCGGACTGAGCCATAATCGAAGGTAACCCTTGATACGTGCTGCCACGACTTGCGATACCACTTGTTTCATAGAGTGGGAAGTCATACTGAGGATGGCGAGTTCTCGATAGCTCCAGAAGTGAAGTAGAACAACCTCGAAGGCGGCGTAGAGGGACATAGTATGCAGCTGAAGTCGACCCACGACACGAAGGCCTCGTCTTAAATCATGATAGGCCACAGGTGTTTGATAAGCGCAATTAGTCGGACGCGGGACGATATCCTCATCGTTTCGAGAACGATACAGCAAGACGCAGGGACGAGTGCACGACTAAATCCCGAAATTCTCGCCGCTCAGGGAACTTTCCGTTGAATTCACGTGGCATTGACGAAAGGAGAATCAAGATACGCGTGAAATGCCAATTCATGGAACAAGGACAAGGGCTGTAGACAAATATGGATAATAGAGATCAAGATCTTCTCGCGTTCTCCGAACGTTTCTCACGCTGCGAAACCACAAGTTCAGAAAAAGGTTAAACCCCGCAAACAATTGTACAACGAACCTCCCGACGAAGCTCATCCAAGGCTTTCTGTCTCTCGGACGGCTTCCGGACACGCTTCGAGCGACCGCCGCTGGGCGCGGACTGGCTTCGGTGAATGGGACGACCGCGAGGAACGGATAAAGGAAGTGCCTGGGCCGACGAGCCAGGTTTCATCTATGAGAATATAGACACTGTCAGAGACAAAGAGAAGAAGACGCCCGGTCAGGTGGTTGACGTACCTGGGGCGGTGGGGTCCCGTGTCTCTTGTTGGTGCTGAGCTGGAGACTCTGCTCGAGGTCGCCCACAAGTGTCTGACTATCGCCGGCAACAGATTGGTTTGATGTAGACATGAGGGGACGATAGTGAAGAATGGACGTCTAGATGACTCGGCGAAGAAAGGTGAGGATCAATTGCCCGAGAGAGCCTTGCTTTTATAAGGCGGTCATGCCACTACCGTCGTGAAGATAGAATAGACCGAAATGGGCCAAAGAGCGATGCGGTGGACGAACAAGTTCGCATACTGTCCCGTGGCGCGTAAACAGAGCCGTACGACAAACTGATGCCACTGGCGATCGAGTACAGCCGCGAGCAGAGTCGATCATGATGAACGAAAAATCCGAGATTAGATCTGGGAGCTTTATCACGCAGCAGTCATGACACTATTGCCCAGTGAATGATCGCAGAGGAAGCACGAGAAGCACAAAGATTTGGAGATTGCGATCATCGTGTAAATTACACACCAGGCCACCAGGCCTCATCCACACTAGCTAACTCTGGTACACCGGGACGTCAACTCGATCCAAGGGCGAGCGTCACGAACGCCTATCGAGGGGAAAAACCAGAAACAGTCAGTATAGAGACTTGATCCATGACACTGAGACACTCACTGTACTGCCAATCTACACGAACGTGTTCCTTCCGATGGACGGGCGGTGGGTCTAGCGCACCAGCGATTGGCGAGTCTCGACCGAGAGATACGCGCATACGGAAGGAATACTTGTCGTCGAAGCTACGTCTATCCTCCCAACCGTACCCGGGAAGCATGGTGATCTCGTCGCTCGAGGATGTGTGGTTTCGATATGTGCGAATGTGGACACCGTGCTTGGCTAAAGCATATTTGGCGTCGAAGGATGCGACCTCGCCAAGCGAAGGTGGGATAAAACTACAGCGCTGAAATGCACTCTTCGGGTATGCGACCACCATCTCCGTAGAGCTGAGATAGCTCACGAAAGCTGAGTTCCACAGCCTGGGAATAGGGGATGTTGCATTGGAAGTGGACGAGACGATGATCTCGATGTATTGCGTGAGACGTGATTCGAACGGGCCCCGGCTACGAGTGCGTGTGGCGTGTATGATGTCTCTGATTTCGGATAAGCCTTCGACTGGGGCGCGGTTTTGGCGGATGTTATAATGCCCAGGAGTACGAAAAAAGTTCTTGAGGCGTGTAACTGCGACGTCGTTGTTCGGGCAACTGATGTGAAGAGGGCTGGTGAACCATGGGGTGATTGTGCGGTAAATGAATGCAAGCACAATGTCCCCGATAAGAACAGCACCAGTCTCTTCCAACAGGCGCATAAACAAGTCGGCCGGCTCGATCCAATGCCGCAGAATGTGATGAAGGCGTGTGCGAAGAGCGTGATGGACGACTCGGCGGACCCCTTTGGACGTCATTGAAAGTCGCTGTATTGTCTTCCAGTCGAGATAATCAACTAGAAGGCCGAGGGGGTGCTCAACAAGGCTGACAGGTAAAAACGGCACTGAGGTACGCATGGCTTTGACCGGGAACTGGTCATGATCAGAGTAGGGGACGACAAGAGAAGTTGATCCCGATTGCATAGCTGTCGAGGAGAGATTCTCCAGGGGGGGTGACAAGACCGGGTACCCACACGATCACAAGTTCTTATATCGGAAGCGAAAAAAACGCATCTAAGCCATCGATTCGCACTCATTGCATGGTAATATCGCAGACAAACGAGAAAGTAAACATGGGAAGCATTGGGATGGGTCATAATGGAAAGTCATCAGGGTTCTAAACTGGATGATTGGTATGAAGGAGCAGCAACGTCATCAGACCAGGAACAATCTACGTCAATTCGTGCAATGTCAGGCGTCGATGTCAGCAATGGCAGAACAAACCGTTGAACACTCACCATCCGCGACGTCGAGATCCGTCGAGTCCCGGGAGTCGCTAGGCCGATGCATATGGAAGCCGGGACACATGCATTCACAAAACCTCGAGGGAACTTGTGCGTGTGCGAGCATAGGGGGGGTAAATGTGATCTGTACGTGAATACATCAGTAGCGATCAGAGCCAGAACATGGAGTACCAGATGCGCAGACTAACCCCGAGCATTTCAGTGGCGGTCTTCACAAGAGCAACTTCGTCAAAGGCCGGGAAGACGGACACGCGTGCAGAAGGGCCTTGTCCAGGATCAACTACGACGTCGAGATAGACCGTCGCTTCCACGAGATCTCCCGGCCTTATGGGCAGCCAGGGTTCGCGACGACGAAACCCGTTCACGCTCGTGCGGTAGGTGCGGAGAGGCTTGCGATAATGAAACCTTTTCAATGAGACGCGAACAGAAGCACATAACGTGAACAAGACTCACAAACAAATCGGCTGACCTACGCAACACCAAAATAGGGGAAAGCGGCGCCGAAGTCAGAGGCAAATGGAGATGATGCAGAACGGCGTCGGTTAATCGCTGGAGCGCAGCCACTTGTGACATGAAGGGGTCCTCGAAGGTACTGTAGCCACTAACAAGTGTCATCCAATTGGTCTCCTCAAGAGAAAGTCCCCAAGGGCATCTATCCGAGAAACAATCAGGATTGCATCAAAAACCGTTTAAGGTAAGTTGGACTTACTCGGATGCGGCTTTGGTGGAGTCGAGACGGTGATCTGCTACGATACCTTGGATGCGTACCTTCACGAGATCTTCGTGGCAAGACTTCAATCGTTCCGCGTATACCACACGAAATGGGCGCATTAAAGGGCGGAGCGGCGTATAGTCGGTCAAAACGGATAACCACCGGCGAGTGGCGTCCACGCCAGTGGGGACGACGTTGGTGTCACGACCCGATGTGTCGCGCTTAGACTCGTCACCTCGCCCGCGGACCATATATGCAGGGACCATTGAAGGAAGGTCTGCTAGCAGTCGTCAACGAACCGAAAAGATACCCGACCAAGCCAGAGCTACTCACAGAGGACGATCGACATCAGAAAAATGAGGGATTTCAGGATAGATGGGACCCGAACAGAGGATTCTTATACTCGAGATTCAAACACATAGAATTAGAGTGCCGCAACCAAAATCGCTCCAGAATAAAGTATACAGAAGACGAAACCCGGAGATCTGAAAAGACAGTGAAAACATATCAAATACAGATGAGACTAAAACGAAGGATGTCAGCACATCATACGGCGTATATTGTGTCCAACGACACGCACCATGCAAACTACGCGTACTCAACAGCGCTCGAGTCTCAACGGGCGAGACACATGGGGAGCATCGTTGACTAGGGACAATATCGTAAGAATGCGTAGATAAGATTGAATAAGTGGAACTTACCATATTTCCAAGAGATGGACCTCGCCAGCTCAATCGACGGATAGATCGGGATCGGGAACGGTATGGCTCCGAGAGCGCCACGCTCGACCGGGAAACGGAGACAGTCTGGATCCCCTAAGGAACGAGGGGTACGGGGGTCGTATTGAAATTCGTCATCCCTCACCTCCCCATCTGAAGAGCGGCTCGGCGCGAATTCTCTAATACGATATCCACGGCCAGCAAACGAAGACAGGATCCAATGGTCCATGTTTTTCCACTGTTGCGGCGGTACGAAACCACGCTGATGCAGAGTCGCTCGCGGATACGCGCACACCAGGATTTTGGTCGTAAGGAAGTTGACGTGGGTCGTGCTGAATGTATACGGAATGGCGTCGAGTGGCTCTTCGGACCTGACCCGGAAAATACGAATTTTCCGGCCATCTTCGCTCTTACTTTCGTCGTAACCAGCTACGGCAAGCTCCTCTCCCCAGGGGGGGTATGTCACGGTGAGAGGGCGAGGGACGTGAGGAAAATCGGTCGTCATCCATTTGTCAAATGGGGTGAAGCGGTGAAAGAATGCGATCATGCGATGAACACCAGGACCCTGGTCTGAGAGGTAGATATCGAGAGAGCCAGGGGGCCATGAATCGTCTGAATTGTCCAGCAAGCGAAGAACGAAGGATCCTGCGATGACGCCGCCACAGGCATCGAGACACGCCCAAAACAACGCGAGTGGGGTTATCCAGACCCGGAGAAGTCGGTTGATTCGTTGGGCAATGGCGACACCGACGGGGATGTGGATGGCCGAGGACACCTTGAGAAGGGTTGCGATATCTCGATGGTCAAGGTAACGGCACACATGGACAAGTGAGGCGTAGAACTGCACAGACATAGGCGGTACACAGAGACAGCGGGTGGATGGGTGATTCGGATGAACACAAGGCAGGAAAGGAGAACCTTTTATACATAAGACCTTAAAAATCTCCGGAACTCGCGCTCGCCATACACCTGGCTCACATCATTGCCTGACTTGAAGTACCACCACACCGTACGAGCGAACCTATCTTCTTCGATTGTCTCCCGTACGTCCCATGCCCCCCCAGCTGGCCCGTCCAACACAACCAAAACGGGACCCTCTACACGCGAAGAGCCCCTCGGCATGACAGCGTCCACGACAGGGTTGGGCGTCCGTTCGTATGTGGTCCGAGTTTCGGCGGGGCTCGAAGAGGGTAAGGCGTACAGGGCGTAATACCAATCGTCGACGACGGGCGACCGATCGTATATATTTGTTAGGTTGTGACCACCAGACCTTCCGAGGATATCTTCGAGGTCTTTAGGGTGAATGCTCCCATCTGGAGCGAGCCCGACGTCGCACGAGGTGATATGATCCTTCAGAGACTGGAGGCTAGCTAAAGGCGTGCCCGAGAATGCATCTGGGAAGATGTAAAGACCAGCCACTACGCGTTCGGGACGTTCTGACATCTAACGTTCAAATCAGTGCACAACGAGGCCATGAGCACACGAATGGACCAGGTAAGGACAGCGGCGAAGCTTGCTCGACAAATTCCACTCACCGATCGAGCTTCGGGGCCTCCAACTACCTGAACTACTGCGACAACCCGAGGAAAGTCTCCAGATATGTAGTCGTACAGGTCGTGCCAATGAACCCGGATTCGCGGTGTCCACTGCATCACAGAGTACCAGAAAGCGCGTCAGGGGTGAATATTGGCCACGAGAGGGGGACGAGAGGGGCGTGATGCTGTGATGTACACGCGATTTGTCACACTTACCGCCGGGATTTGCTACAATCACAGGGAAGATCCGCCGAATGATTGCCTTTTGTGCCGGCGGGTTGACACTGCAGGGCTGACCGAGGCAGCGACAGTCATCTCAATAGTCGCACCAAAAGAACAAAAAAAAAAAGACGGCTCGGTATAAAACTACGCGATTTTTGAGGATCGTCACCCACGCAAAATATGAGTCGCTCGTATGGAAGCGGAGTTCTTCTCGCGAGCATCAACCAATTCCCAGTATATCGCATTGGAACACCGAGTATACGATTCCATCAACTCCCCGTCCACGCGCTACCCGCCCGTCTTGATGTCTCCGCCTTTCGCCCGTTCTCCACCGTCGAATCCTTATACTGTCAGGAACTGTCAGGCGAAGCAACGGCCGTCGTCTTCGAGGCTGTCGGAAAATTCCGAGAGGACGAGTTCTATATGACGACACACGGCAGACCGGAAGAAGAGTGTGGCGATGATAGAGGATGGGAGGCATGTTGCTGGGTGGAGAGTCCGTCGGGGGACGCGAAGCTGAGCAGTCAATGGAGTCAGATGATGAGAGCCCTCCATCTCATAACCCTACGACACACTCTTCAAGACCCCAAGCGTCGCCAAACTCCCGGCACGCTCTTGCGAATGGACAACCACGGAGTCACTCTCAAGATTGGGTGGAGTCTCCGAGACAAGGCATCCGGGGTACGGTTTACGCCCGACCTCATTTTTGCATAGACAGATTACTGATAGTTCAATTATCACAGACAAGTCGAGCCACTAGACTCCCATTTTTCAACTCCTTTGCCGTCCACCGACCACCTCGAACAGCTAAGGACGTCGACTTCGATCGCCTAGTCTCTGTAACGTTCACCTTAAGGAGCCTAGAAGATGATCGGGCGAGGACGTCTTATTACGCAGATCTACAGTCTGTAGTTCTTCTTGATTACGCCTGAAATGATATACCGTGCAATTGACGCGGACCTCACGATGACCGACATAGACATTACTCTGATACAAGCGAGATTTCAGAGCTATGCCAGCCTTGACAAAAACGAGCTAAGACGAGATGAGCACCAGATCCACATATAACAAGAAGATGAAAAGAACGCGCCTTCAACCTTAATCGGAGACAATGCCATCGATGTATACATTTGAAGAATAGGTTCGCGGGGCACTTGCACCGGCGTATTCAGAATTTCCAGATTCTCAAGTCGACTCTCGGTCTCTGTAGAAAACTCCGTATTCACGAAGCCACGCCCAGATCACAGATTTGTTCAGTTTGTCCTCAGTCCAACGTTGACCTTGCTGAGCACGACTCCGACAAAAATATCTCACTGCCCTGAAACGCCACGTCACCTATACGGGACGCTTGGTAACGCAAGCGGAACAACACGAAGTAGACTCATGTCCCAATTGTGACTCTAACGACATAGACGGCGTCCACAAAGGGAGGATACACAGAAACGAACACGGGCGATGAGAAGGAAGTGATGAGAGACGGTGTGATGGAAAGACGGTGGAGGACATGGTATGGGAAAGATGAGACGAGAAAGTGCAAGGAGAGACAGCTGCTAGAGTCGTGACCAACCCCTGCGCCTCTGGAGTGAAAGTAAAAGTGTACGTGCAAGGGAGGGGGGAGGGAATAACACGGGCAGGGGACCGTAACACAAGGAAAGAGGAATAACTAGAGTGAGACGTCTGCGTCGGGTGCCTCTTCCATACCAGCTTCCGCAGGGTCATCAGGAGCCGCGCATAACAACGACACGCTGAGAAGATCGAACGTGGGCTTCCACTCCGCGAAGCTGGTACGCGGCCTGAATTTGTCCTTGTTGTACGCAAGACGCTGATGACTGTTAGCGACATCTCTACTGGGGTCTTTGGACGTCGAGTAGCGGCCGACGTTGACCTCAATGAGAACAAGGTCGTTGACCTTGATGTCCTCGATCGGAAGAGTCGGCATCTTGGTCTTGCTTTCGAAGCAAGTGGTCGCATTATAACAACGGTCGAATGGGATGACCTGACGCCCGAAATCAGCAATGCACACAAGAGGGAGAGCACGCGAAAAAAGGGCATGGTAGAGGTGTACGTACCGCGACATCACGGCGTCTAGGGATGCGCATAGTCTGCCAGCGACTGGCGCTGATATGAGTATTCCAAGACTCGATATCTACGAGAATCAGGTCAGATAAGTCACCGAGAAGAGGGGGATTCACGCACTCTGTGGGGGACAGGCAAAATGACTTAAGATGCGACGACCTTTACTCATGGCATTCGCCGTCAGAGGGGCCACTCCCATGGACACCTTATTGTGAGGGTTCCCGTTCTGATCGTAGAACCAAACGCTGGTGACGGACCCGACGACCCAAATGACGATGGGGACGGAGCTTCCCCTCAAACACAATTTGTTGATCGACGTGTCCGATTGACCCCAAGCGACATCCTTCTCAGGGAATCGAGAAAGAGAAAATATGCCATCCGAAGGCTTCTGATACGTGAGCATGGCCCTCAGACGACTGGCAATAAGATGGGGTGCAGAGACATCAGCGTGGAGTCAATACCGAGAGATGCGAGAATATCTCACCGGTCCAGCGTCACAGGGTACCATGCGAGACTTCTGTAATCGACCATGGAAAAGTCAGGAAGCTCCGCGGGTGGACCGGCAGACCCGCCCGGGGTCAGCGACGCACTACCAAAGGTGATCGTGTTAACAAGAAAAACATGGCTCAGAGATGGGAGAAAACAAAACTTACTCGGCGTGGGTACCATCCCCATCTGCTTTATTGGTGCTGCAGAACCAGTAACAAAGTATGAGAAAACCGGCTGGCCCGAACCAGATGACGAACATACTCAGATTCCGCCGAAGTGTCAGGGTCTCCGTTATGGGACTCGAGCACACCAACGATCCTGTTGGATGGTTAAGGAAGATAATGACAACATAGGGTGACAAACTTACAGAGGGCGCTGAGGAGTGACTGGAGCCCCCGGGGGTGCACTATCCGGATGAAATCACGTCAAGACGCGAGTATAAGTAAATGAGCGCGAAGACCAACTCACACATTCTCTGTATCTGAGCCCCCCACTTGCCCATCATCGACAGCTTTGACGGTCTGAGACCTGTGCAAAACCACGGAAAGCAAAGAAAGAGATTGATTGATCAGCCTCAAGCATCGACCACCAAAAAGTAACGCGACGGACCTCTTCTTTTTACCACCTCTAGTAACACTAGCGACGGCTGAGGCGGAGTCCGTGCCCGGGGCGATCGCGTCGTCAAAGACGTCAGCGTCTCGTTTCGGAGGCATGCCACGAGTTCGATGAGTGGAATTGGGTAGAGAAGCAGAAGTAAGGATAGGACGGCTTGTGAGTATAGAATGACTTCGGGTTATGGGACTGCTCACCCGCTGTTCGAACTCTTTATATACAGCTGGGCATCCCACTTTGGTGTTTATGGACATACGACAAGGGGAAAAAAGCGCGTGGAGTAACATGCGATCCAAATGCCTTACCAGCAATACCAACGAACCTCCCGCATGCAAGAAACAGGGGAAAACGAGAGACTTCGCGAAACAGAAGCGAGCTGATCGGATGAGACAAAGGGTATGACGCGAAGCAAGGCAGATTCATCGGGAAGGTTTGATATCGGTAGATCCCGAAGCAAATGAGATACTAATTCCGCATGACTCATTCGACACGCCCCAAGTAACCAGCTACGAATGGACGACAGCAGCGAGTTTAGCACGCCGAACTGGTCGCAACAGGCACTATGACGCTAAGATCGTTAAAAGGGACATTGGCGCATAACGATACCACGACAGACTCGGAGGCGAAACCCATCACTCGGACATGGCTTTCATTCAACGTACGTCGACTTCGCTCTATACTTACCTCTGACAAAGGCCTGACATTTCTCAGGCGCCGACGGTCTGGGGCTCATTAGAGACTTGTTCCCCAAAGATATCGTCCGTAACCAGAACGAGGTCGAGGCGTTTGAAGAAATGGATAGCTCCATGATCAAACCACTCAAGTTCGACCGTCTTTTTGATTGGGCAATCGTGACTTCCGCCGTACCATCCACCGACCGAACTCGTGCCATGCAATGCGTTCTCAAACCAATGCCACATATCTTCGCAGAAACAAATTCTTTGCAGAGGTTGACCGTCAGGATCTTTGGGTTTCTTGGTAAACACAACCTCACCCCCATGGGCAACTGGAATAGGTGCGTCGTACCTTCATAGCTCACATCACATACTTACCACTTCACTTATATTACTTCACCCCGGTCAACCACCTTTCTCTTATACCACATCACTCCAACCTCCTCACCGTTCAACCACAATGCATCCCAACGTCGCCAAAACCAGGACTCTGCGAGGAGCACCGAAGGCTATCATGTATTTCGAGCTGGAGCCGGGCGCGTACCAGCACGAATTTGTCGAGCAGAGAGTTCAGCTGGAGGAACTGCGGCGAATGGCCTACAAGTACCTGGGACAAGGTATGTCAGGTAGATCCGAGAAGGATAAGGCCCTGTTTTTCCAACGTCGAGTGTTGCGAAAGGTAAGCACCACCGTTTCAAACTAGTGGTCTCAGCGACTCATGACTAGCATAGGCCACCGGAGTCCCCCCATGGACCCCGCTCGAACCATCGGAACTCTACGATAACGATCTAGCGGCCATAACAAGCAAATGGCGTTTGGACGTCTCCCCAACTTTCGGGCGTCGTAGTTCCTCGGGATCTCTGCGCGCATGCAGCCCACTCACCTTCTCAGTCGGCGACTTTGTCGACGTCACCGCTGTACTCGACATCATCACCATCACTAAGGACGGACATCCCAAGTCCCGAGTCCATTTTGGTTTTACGTCTCTCATCCAGCTGTGCGCCGCCGACAGGGTAGAAACGGTAAGCTTCGATTTCACAGCCTGGCACATCCTCCCACCATCAAGTTATCGCGTCCGATACTGATTCTACCCATCCCTTCTCGAACAAAACACCATAATTCTATCTAGGCAATGGGAGCGACGGCCGTACCCGATATCGAAGGTCGCGAGATCACAATGCACGAAAGTGCGCTAGTTCTTGAAGAAGACGATGGGTCGAGTGGGGACGAGAAGGACGACGCGGCGGGAAATGGTTCGATGCAGTAACACCTGTAGCGTAATCCCCCATCTAAATCATATTGCTCCCAACTTCCAATTTTACACGACGTGTAACTTCCACGGGTAGGAAATGGTCGCCGTCACAACATTGAGTGCCTACTCCACGCCGATTGAAGTGCGGTCACGAACGTGCCTGGACCACCGCCGCACTCACTTCTTGATGTTCCGACAATGATTGGTAAAGATAACCCACCGCCGCGAACAGCACATGCACAGTCTACCGTTTATCGGGATATGCGTCACCGGAGGGCTTCAGACTCGATCGTGAAGCCAAGGATGGGGATACGAACACGACAATGTATTGTTCTAATATTCACCTATCCAGTACGGCCACAACTCCCCATTGTGATTCAGACGAATGAAAGGTGGCGAAACCAAAGCTATCGAGTTCGAGAGCCCATCAAATTGACACAGTGACAGTGAGCGGCCGTTCACCGTTCAACCGCTGGCTAATGCGTCGGATAAAACTGAAAATAGGATCGGACTCTGATGCCTCATAACTTCTTGAATAGATTATCCGCATCGAAAGGCTTGTGATTGTAGGCGGACCCGGAGGACGTAGGCGTGGGCAATAGTCACAGACATCGACAAATCCCAATGACTTGTCAGTAACCACACCTCTGTACTCGATCGCCGTCCGTTTGCTCCTTTATCCTCAACCGAAGCCCAATATCATCCGATCCACGTAATACTTATATTATTTACTCGTGCACCTTGCAGAGTTCGGAATTTCAGGCACTTGTACGGACGCAGTGGGCAGCCGAACATGACGGCAGTACGGACGACAAGCACGAGTTTTTATTGGGAGTTGTTCCGAGTAGTGGCAAGCATGGAATATCATCATCGTTCGAAAAGCCAAGTTAAAACAAGTAAAATGGTGGTGAAATACCATGGAGACATCTATGATCGTTACCGTAAGCCAAAACGGGGCGGAATAGGGCATGAAAGTTCGTAACGGGACAAGATTAAGATGAGTGGGAGGACGAAGATGAGGAGGATGAGGGCTGGGAAGGACGACCTGCTAGGAGAAGATCGTCAAGAAAATCGGCATCGCGCATCCAATGTAAAAAAATCTTAGTCCCCCATTTCCGCAAATAAGCCCTCGTCTCCGGCGACATGTCCTTAACCAAGGGGGACGAAAGTTGAAGACGAACAGGTTTTTGCCAACCGTGAAGAAAAGGGCAAGAATCCTGATCATGATGCGAGCGACGGGAAGATGTAACGGACCCAGCGCTGGACGCAGGGGGGGGATTCGAGGCGTCAGACGTCGCGACGTTCCCTGAACGGGGGGAAGGGGCTGTGGCGGATGGTTGCTCGTTAGGCCCACGGTCTGTACCTTCTCCCACAACCACCGCAGTCCTCCCTCCACCCACAGGAGCACGAATTTCCGGAATTGCTTCGGGGGATCGATAGAAAGACTGTCGGTTTTGCCAATACGGGGCCTGCCTCGGTTCAAAACCTTAATCGACGGCCAAGTACACAAAATTAGATGCTTTTGTATGGATAAACAACAGGAATAACGCACCAGAGACCCCCTGATATACTGGTCGTACAGGAGGGAAGGAGGCGAGCGGCGACATTTGTGGCCCAAAACCGGCACCGACCAAACCAGGCGTTATACCCAGGAATCGTTTCAATTCCGGTGTCATGACCATAGCTGAAATGGCTCAGACGCGTGGGATAGAGAAAAATATGAACATACTCACGGGTAAAATCACCGTGCGCCGGGCATTTCAGCGAAGTGGCACCGTTGGCAAAGCTGCTAAAACACAGACATGAGCTGTCTGAGAAAAGTATCAGAAACGAACAGGATGAGAGTAGGGAGACAGGACGCACGGCACTCCACGCAAACGATGGGACCAACCTGGCCTTGATCGGCCCAACGTGCAAGCTGCTCTCGCTCATACCGATCTGCGGACAATAAGAGCAGACAAGAGACTGTTGAGTACAGTGCCAGACCATGGAACAATACATTCGGGAGACACGCACGGAGGTCGCCATTGACACCGTTACATTGCCCAACAAACATGGTAGACCACTCAGGCGCACCCATTCCATAATGTCCAGCATGATTGGAAGAGTCAGATGAAAGGGGATGATAGACGGGGTTGGACATGGTCACGATCCCAAAGAACGAGAGATTTCCGCGAGAGAGAACTGGACGTGTAGAGGGTTGCTGAAGGAGGGTGGGGGAATAGAGGAGAAGAGAGGACAGTTGAGTGCCCCAGATTATATAGCGGGGAGGAAGGTCAGGAGAGTTCGTGCGCACACCGCGGGGCAATGGAAAGGCGGGAATACGTACAGCTCGGATCGTTGCGGAAGTGGAACAACGTAGTCAATGACACTTTGCATGGGACCCACATAGGCGTAAGCAATGCCTGTCAGCCATTTCGATCACCATACGACTCGGAAATTAATATGTCCCCCAACGGGGTGCAGATATGAGAAGGGTCCCGACCGATTTCAATGCGATTTTCACGCGTCCGCGGAGCTGTAACACATTCAAAGCAATCGACTATCGAGAATTTCGAACGAAGAGCGGAAGTCCCACTGACACAGCGTCCTCCAAAGTTGTTGACATGGGTTTCTCATTCGTACACTGTCGCCAAAAACAGTGAAAAACAACGGCTAAGACGGGGACGGTGCGTAATACAAGGAACAGGGTGACGCGACGACCTCAGTGCGTGCCTGCGCTGTAGCCGAGATAAGAGGGATAATCGGTAGTATACGAGAAGCCCGGGTTTGTGTGCTGGCAAGGATGTCCTGTATTACGCGAAGAGAATACTCGTGTCAGGGTATCATCGCGACATGCTAGGAGGGGATGAGACAAACCTCAGCCTAAAAAATCGAAGGCTGCACCCTCCGACGACGACGACGTTGCCCGCGACTTGCAGCGAAGAGGGCAGTGTGCCCCACCAACGACCCAACGTAAACCATGCGCCCAAAGATTGCCATTCTCACGCAGAAATTTGACGCGAGGGGTGAAAAGGTCCACCCGGGTCAGCGGGACGACGAGACACCCCGAGTCGCCGACGAAACGTGACTTGTGCGGGCATAAGAAGCACGACGGGTTCTCCCCGGCGTACTTCTTGGCGTTGGTAGCCCACGTCCAATGATCCCACCCCCGCTTGTCGTACCTCTCCCAGAGTAGATTAGTCTCCTTCCCGTGGCGGGCGTTGGGGTTGAGAATGGCGTTATCGAAAAGAGTGAGGCTGGGGTACGCGCAGCAGAGATATTGAGGGGTGATGAACTGGAACGAGAGAGTCGAGTAGAACTTGTTGAGTACCGAGGACGTAGATGAGCTCGTACAGAGCATGATGGTGATCTGCGCGTTGTCCGAATAGCGATAAAAGATGCGACGACTCTCGTACGCGTGAGCGAAGCGGTCGCCGAACATGGTGGACGGATGGAAAGGCACGACAGCCTCCACATATCCGTTGGCCTTGATAAAGTCGGTAAACTTGCCCGCCTTGTGTGCTCCAACAAGAACGAAGTCGAGATTTTGTGGCTCCCAGTGTGATGCGCCACTGATTAAGGACGCCACGAAAGACCCGCAAGCCACCACATCGCAATATAGCATGACCGCCTCCAACCCATCGACGTCTGATATGAACGCGCGGTACCTGGACCTGACGTTGGCCGGAAGTTGGCGGTAGACCAGCTCCCTAAAGTCCCGACACGTCCTACTGAGGTCGAGCATGGTACGGAGAGGGAGTTCATCGATGACGCGAGTCCATAGCTCGATTGGAATGATAGAGGGTATCCGCGTAATTGTACGTGCCCTAATAAACCGTTGAGAACAAATATAATCACGGAAGAGGAGAGTGGCATACGGAGAAACGTCGACGACGGCTTTCATTTCTTTAGGATGACCCCGGAGAACAAAATCCGGCGCTGATTCCGGCACCGCTACAGTGCTCATACTAGAAAACAAAAAAAAAGTTAGCAAAAGGAAGAGAAAAGAGGAATGGGTGCGCTCACCGAGAGAATCCGAAGAGAAAGTGAAATCAAAAGGAGGACGAGGTGACGGCGATCGTGTAAACGAGATTTTATGGTCTTCCGCGCAGGGTAGACGTAGAGAGACGATCTATCCTCGCAAGTTCATCGCGTAGTTCGTGACTGATAGATTGAGATATTCGTTCCTGGGGGAACCACCTGAGAATAGCTAGACCCTCTAGCGTCTTGACGCGCGAGAGCATGACATAAAGACTCTGACAGCTCTTGCTGCTGGCGACATCTGCCATGACTGTGTCCAGTGAACGCCCTTGACCCTTGTAATCCGTATATGCGTAGGCTGGAATTAACGGTACCTGTTCACGAGAGACAGTATGCGTAGACTTGTCAGTAGCAATATACGTATATGATTTCCGGGATGGAAATACCGGTACAACATCTTGAGGGAGACCTTCCAGTTTAATGTTGGAGCCTGGAACATGAACATAGACGCATCGCGCGACACGTTGTCCGCCTACAACACGATACTTGATGTGAGTGACTGTACCCTCGGCGCCGTTAACAGACTTGTGAGACATGTCCAGATTCTCCGTGATCATAACTCTCATACCCTCGAACAGCGGTATCACCCCAAGATGGTCTTTAGTCGTACTAGAGTTAACTCTAAGCAAGTCGAGAGCAAATTGCCCACTGGCGGGCTGGCCACCGACCCGATCCTGTGCGACATAATATCGCAAGATGCGCCCTGCCTGCCTCGCCTTTGTTGCGGCAACTCTACGATTTATGGCATCGCGCTCACGTTTGTTGACGACGATGATGGGGCAGTCCCGAAAGCGAGAAAGTGACGAAAGACCTTCGGGTGAACGTGCAGCTTGGGCCGTGAGAAGACTAAGCTGTCGATTGAGCAGGTGCTCGTAATCCGACGTCTCCGACCTACGAGTTTTAGTGGTGGCCTGCCCAACACGGACCCTGGAAACTATACCTGCATATACGGGATCTGCAGCCTGGCGATAGTTTCGAGTGAGCTTGACAACCTTTCGGATCTGTCTCCACAGACTGAGACCGTGCAGAGCCTCTTGCCCGTCCTCTGTCTGTGCTTCATTCGGATCCAGACCCCAGATAAGGTCTCGAGAGTACAGAGACTTCTGTTTGACAGGCTTGAGTTGTCCGAAATCGCCCAGCGCTATGAAGTTAACACCCCCAAAAGGAGCCTCGCTGGTGTGTCCAGAGGGGCGAGCACTAGCAAGGCGACGTGAGACCTGACCCAAGAATCGAGCACCAATCATCGAGATCTCGTCAACAATAAGATAATCCACGCCCGTCCAGAGTTCAGTGAGCACCGATAGATCGTTCTGGTACTTCGACTTTGGCAAGTAGCTTAGAGCGTGTACTGTATGTCCGCCTATAAGTATAGCGGCGATGCCAGTTGGTGCGCCCAGCAGTATGCGAGCACGCAAACCCAAGCGAACAAAAAGCTCTACAATTGCCCGAACCACGTGGCTCTTTCCCGTACCGGCCTCGCCCGCGATGTACATCATCAATTGTTCTGGATCACTCTCCATCACGTGGCGACCGACGAGCTCAAACGCTGTCCTCTGTTCTAAATTGTCTGCGATACCCATATCTGTGGCGATTTTCTCTATGATAGCCATGGCAGGAGACGAGTCTTCGAAATTCAAATCTTCCCACCCAGGGAAGTTCTTCCAAATCTCATCTCTGACGACTTGATCCACATAAGTGATGGGTGGCGCGTGGCCAGGACAAGGCCGATGCGGGAAATGTGGCTCGGTACGTTTCCGTTTTTTTGAGGTTGTTGGACGGCGCAACTTCCGAAACTTTTCCATTTCTATGCGTTGATCTTCGACCAGATCCTCGGGATATAACCCGTCGTCTACACTGGATGGATTATTGAGTGGTCCCTGCACAGGGGAGGTTGGATTGTCTATGACACCCGCGTTCTCGAGAGCATCGAGCAGAAAATCCAAATGTCCGGCATTTCGTTCCTCAGTGGCTTGTTTCTTTGCCTCTCCGTCCGAACGAGTCGAATCATCAGTAGGACCAAAGACGATCGCCTGATCAAGACGAGGGTCATTGTGCAGGGCTTCCTGCCACTCTCCACCTTCTCCACCGTCTCCTAGAAGAGCACGAGGATCTTCATCGTCGAAAAATGCACGCACTCGACCCATCTTACGCTCTTCGGCGTAGGAATCTCGAGCATCTTTACACTCGTGCTCGAGATGAATGTTCTGTATCACAAATTGTATATGAGGTGGGAACGCGTATTGCGCGTACGCAGATGACCATGATTGCCCCGGATCACGAAGGTCGGTCTCTGTACGCCATGGCTTAAACAGAATGAGTAGAGCACGACAGCTACGTTCACGCTCCTCAGGGGAGCGATCTTGTCTGGGGACAGTGGGTCCAATGAGGACCGGCAGAAATCGCGAACGAGATCGTAGATGGCACGCATGGGTGTGAAACAATGGATGTGTCTCGTTCAAGAACCTCATAGGACTTGATAGTGTGATTTTGCTACTCTCCCTTTTCCTGCTTCGATAGTCAACGGTATCACCAGCCTGTACCGCTTCACGCGCGTTCTTAGCGTCTACAGAGCGGATAGTCTCCTTCTCCACCAGCGAAATATAATCCCAGACACACAGCTTCTCAAAATGTTCTGCATTGCTGCGAAGAGTATAATCGTCCAACAGTCCGGATTTTGCCACGCCGTAACGAGACAGTGTCATCAACCGTTTCGAATTGTCTGAGTTTGTATGTTCTCCGTCGTCATCCTCTGGCTCTTCCTCGTCCAGGTCATCGATCGGCTCAGGTAAATGGCTCTCGAGTTCGATCCTTTCAGCATCGACATCAAAGTCATCTACTCTGTCGTCCTGTGCATCTCGCCGGATGCCATCAATAGTCGTTGGCGACTCTCGGCGATCAGGGTGAGATATATATTTATCTAATTCGACCCAGTACAGCACACGGAAGTCGTGGCTCTTATAGCAGTCACCGGCCCCGACAAGGTAGCTCATCACTTGTTGATGAGACAATTCTTGTCTTCCCATCATAGAGTTCACGATCTTGGTCAATAGACTCCGCTTGATCTCGAGCTCTGGAGCATCGGGGCGATGAATAAACTTTGCATCGTTCTGCTTGACAGCCCACGACAGAGCTTGTAACGCTAAATACAAGGGCAGCCCTGGCTTCGTGATATAGTCTGTCACATAAAAAGCGAATGCCTTGGCGGCAACCCCGGACCCGATGTATTTGATGTCCATGTTACACCGTTGTAAGAAAATGACGACGTCGTTATAACTGTTAATCCATGGGTGAAGTCGACGCAACAGTATTTCTTGCGTATCTGGGTGAAGCTCTGTAAATGATCGAGTATACCCATTCATACGCATTCGGCAAGTCCGACTGTTACGAGGCTCGCCCTTCTTTAAATACTTCCAGCACGTTTCCCTGTGTTCGTGCCAGTTGCACGCTATAGCACTTTCCGCTACAAATTGTTGAAAATTGAGCCTGAAAACCTCAAGCTCCTCGGGCTTCATATCTGCGGGCACTGGGGGCGAGCCTAACGTACGTGGATCATTTGGTATATCGGGTGGGTCGAATTCAGGGTGAGGACCATTAGCCAGCATAGGCTGCATCCCTGGCAACTCACACTTGATGATAGATTCAAGCCAGCCGAACATGGCCTGTTGGAATGCTGGGTCTACAGCCAAACGGTCTCTGAGGCTTTGCGGGTTCGGATTGCCACGTATCCAAATGAGCATATGGCAATGAAGAGTACCACGGCCTTGTGCCTCGACAGTACCAAAATGAGCAAAACAGTCACCGAATAGACCACCTCCGGGTCGATTCGCTCGAAGGATGTAATCACGAAAGGCGGTGATGACCAAGTCAAAAAATTTTGCAGCGGCATCAGGGTTGTCCGCGACGACTTTGGCGCGCTCGAATGCCGTCATTCGACCGATTATTTCTGGGTTGATACCCGCTAAAACCTGCATGAGGGGAGAATGTATATCTGCAGGATTCAAAGTCATGAACAGCGCTGGGCAACCACACGACTTGAACATCGATCTAATATGGTTCCGCATTGCCATTTTACGACCATTGGATCCCTTGAGGTCCTTTGCAGCCACAGACAACTTGTCAATGAGGCGTGCCATGCGCTTCTCTCGGCGTGTCGATGGCATCTGCTTCTCGTCCGCCTCCCACTTGGCGGTCATTTCGCTGAGAACATCTACATTCTCAGCGACCTCGTCGACGAGTTTCAATAAATGCTTCTCCTCCGCCCGGAATTGTAGGCTTGTGGATACGTCAAGCTTTTGTATCGCGTTCCAACAGACATAAGGGAACGCAGCATCGCGCTTGAAAGGAGATGCATACAACTCCAGTAGATTTTTTGTTTGGTGTTGCATACTAATATGCTGCGAAGAATGTCTGGCTGGATTATTGAATCCGCCGATGCCCCAGGGGTCCAAGTACGGGAAGACAAACGTGAGCATGCGGTGATCCCGATCGGGAAAGAGTCGATCTCCCGCACGGACGTTTAGGAATGATTGACCATCAAGACACCACTTCAAAGCACGGGCTTTCATCTGCGAGTCCGTGATGGCACCCTGTGAAGCATTCGCGAAACCAGTAGTCTCTATAAATACTGCGTCAGGCGGAATAATGAACGGGGCACTCCCAGGACGATCGTATCGAGAAGTCACGGCTTCGGTGGCGCCATCACCCAATGGCAAATGTTGTATGTCGAGAGTAGCTGGAACCCCGATATCGTCGCCGTCACAAAAGCCGGGACCGCTACAGATCGCCATCAGATTAGTTGCACTATAACTGACACCCAATCGTCTATAATGCTGGTTGTTCTCGACCAAAAAGCGAATCATGATTTCAACCCGTCGCCGCGAGACTAGGCAAGGATTCATTTTCCTCACGGTCTCCATAGTGGGTACAGCGTTACGACCCACAAAGAGCACACACATGAGGTCACGGGCCTCCTCCAGAGAAGGTGGGATAACTCGACGAAGCGAACATATGTCCTGTGGGATGATCGCAACATTGCCTTGACAGTAACGCTGACGAGCGCCGCGCACTCCACCTTTGTCAGCTTTGTACGTACACGATATCGTAGTAGCACGGCAAGCCGAGACGAGCTGTCGCTCCATCATTGTAGAGGTTCGGAAAGCTTCAGCGACGTCGGCGGGGAGTGAATCCCACCCGTAATACTGGTGATTAGCCAAGGCATCGAGTGGCTGACTGCCTCGAGAGAGAGAAGACATACATTTATCACAGACAGACATGTCTTGAAGGCTCCACGGATCACCCAACGCAACAGGTTCCAAGAGTGCGCGATCATATAGCTCGAAGTCGTACAACGTCGGCCACGCACCGGGAGGAATTGTGTCGTTACGGAGGAGCGTAAGATCGAGATCCTCAGGGTGAACAGACTGAAGCTCAGAGGAGAATTTACGTTGTCCGCAAACAGCACACGCGAACCACTCAAAGTTTGACAGATCCATATGTTGCTGATACTCCCGTATGATGTCGAGTTTGAACGCCTCATCCCGTATCTCTGGGAAGGCAGGGTAAGGCTCATGATAGTCCCAAGTCGGAATATCGAGCAGAGGTTGATTGGGATTCACACGAAACGTGGAAACGTCGAATGTTGGCGGGGGGGCATCTACCAGAGCACCGGGATCGACACGAAAGGCACGTTGCCCGTGCCGCACAGGACGGACCTTGGACCGACAAGTTTTCAGACGGCTACACAAGACATATTGGACCGAGCAATCCCCACTACATGTATGCCCAGAGAAGGCTTCCACTGACTCGGACTGTGTCATGGACTTTTTGACTCGAACATCGTGGAGCTGCGCTATGCGCTGAACATTCGCACGAGATAAGAACGTACATTGTGACAGAAATGAGTACACGTCACGAACGACCACCAGGATATGGTATTGGTTACGACCTTTACGACCAGAAGAGACATCCAAAAATGTTCCACACGACACAAACGAATACCAAGAATTGAGAATGGAGGGATTGATTATAGGCGATGATACATGGGTACCTTCTTCGACGTGGTCGAGAGAGAATTCATGTTTGGAATCGAAGAATGGTGGGGAAACAGGAGGGGAGGGTGAAGACGAAGGCTCTGGTACTGGAGATGACGCACCTCCTCGGAGCCGTTCAGCAAGAGAGATTGGGGTGGAGCTGCGTCCATCGCGCTCCGGACGCGAATCTGTTCGCTCCGGCATCGGAGACACGGCAGGCATACCTGTTGAGGAGTACGTCAGTCGAAGTATCAAAATATTTAGCGGTTTCATTTGAACACACCACAAGACGAGCATATGGGATGACCGGCTGGTAGGTGCCCGTAGGCACAATCAGCGGTCTCATGCATGATAGTTGTTACATCACGAGAGAGAGTGGGCAAGATGGTATCTGACAACAACGACGACAAAAAACACTGAGTTGGATTAATTGGCCGCAGTAACATCCTTGACTCACAGTTAACGCATCCAAGACCACAGATCCAACGAGACAGAGAGCTTTGCATGGCGCAAGAGTGATTCGGTGAGAGAATCGGAACGCGAAGGCGAGATAAGAGGGCAAGAGGGAGTGGAGACCTTCGCCCGAATAAATAAGAATGTGCAAAAGGGCATAGGGTATGACGTCACTAACGCTGCGTCATGCCATCACAAGTTCGAGATCGAGGCAGAATGGCACGTGAGTCGAAAGTCTGGATCAAGGCAGAAAGTCACACGAGCAAACGAGCAGGAAATTTCCCTATTTGGAAGGTGAAGTGCTTTTCCGTCTCCAGGCAAAACCTGGTTCCTAAGGACCAGGTATTCTTTGTTACGCCGCTATGGCCCTCCAAATCATACGTTGCGCCTCAGCGCGAGCAGGGCGTTCATGGGTGGCAAAGTCGAGTGCCACGACTGTATCGCCCATTATCACCGCGAATGTCGGGACAAAGCAACGTATCCACCTAGTCGCTCATCGGTCGTCCAGAGCGTAATCTCCGGTGTGCGTATCTTAAGCTCCATAAGACATCGCCAGTTTCGAAGTACTTGTCCCAGATCTGTTAGTGCCCGAAGAGCTTCCGGTGAATGCAAGGCATAACAGCCGATACGTTACAATTCCGGAGAGCGACTACCATCCTGGGCCCGGAGTTTATCGAGACCAATAGCATTTCGTCAACCTTTCACGAGAACGAAACGAAAAAGATTTGAACAACACAACAAAGCACGTTCTGCTATGACACCGTATATATATAGTCAAGGAGAATCGAAGGTGACGTTAAGGTGGCTATTGTTACAAATGGGGACGTCAGGCGCAAAACGCAGCCCGTTATTCCAGAACATGTAGTGTCGCTTACTCGAAACGCGGAGTAGGGACCATGGATACAACGAATGGGATAAAGTAAGCAGCAAGTAGGAAAGAAGAGATGAGGATAAGTATAACGAAAGAAGGTCCTTGAGAGAAAATCGGAGTAGGTATATATCGATATGTATAAGCATCAAGCTGCTAAGCTCGCGTTAGTTTCGTGAATGAGGTCCGCAGCCTTCAGAGAACGTGGCTTGATAGCGCAGTGAAATGGCTTCGGATGCCTGGAGGATGGTGATCAGTGTGTTGAAGGGCGGCCTCTCCGAGAACCAGGGACAGCAAAGACCCACCTAACAAAAGAGCCCGCGAAGGCGGCGGGAGGGGTAATCTCTTTTCCATTCGCATCTCGCGCTTTCTCGACGTTGAACGTCGCCAGTGTCGAGGCGATAATAAGCCAGATGTTCCCGTCACCGAACCACCGCCCTGGACAGGCTCTGAAACGGTAAAACATGTGTCCGATGAGAACGCAAGAACAAAAAAAAAGCGGAAGAAGTACAAGACTCGCCTCCTACCGAACCCAAAGATCATGTTGGGATCCATGAGATCGGCGGTTTCCTCGTCAAGATTGAGGTATCGCTCGGGGCAAAAATCGTGTGGCTGCGTGAAGAGAGTCGGGTCTCGGGAGAGGGCCCTGAAGAATCATTTGAGCGCTTGTCCGTACAGCAGCAGAAACGACGGGCGTCCTACCAGATGTTGGCCAACACGATGGTCCCTGCGGGGATGTCGTATCCACGGTACACGTCGTCCTTCATCGAGCGGTGAGGTAGGCCTAGATAGAGCCATTGGTCAGTCGGAACCGAGATGTGTGAAGGGGTGAGGATGGAGATGTACCTAACGGTACTGGAGCGCTCCAGCTAAGCAGAAAATATGTCAGCGAACAAGCGCCATAACTCACGAGTGTTCCGTTACACACCGGTACATTTCTTTGATGATGCAGTCCAGGAAAGACAGGGATGGGCGATCCTCAAAGTCCGGAAGACGGTCAGAGCCTATGACAGAGTCGAGTTCCGCTTGTGCCTTCGCGAAAGGTTCGGGGTATAAAGTCCAAGCTAAAAAGAACGCGGCCAGAATGGCTGTCGTCTGTTATGCCAGAGCACGTCAGAGTTTCTCCGGGAAAACGCAAAGATGGCTGCCCACCGTGTCCGTTGCGGCTGAGATAGTGAGCGGAGTTGTACCGTTTATAAGTATCTTCAACCCACGAGAAGACAGGTTTGCTCCAACCTGCATATAGAACCCCAGCCGCAGACTTAATATCGCCCTCTTCCTTCATGCCACACTTGCCAGCTGACTGATATTCGACTAGGAGTGAAGAGGTGAACGACGGTATGGCGGTTCCTGAGACCTACAAAGACAAATAAGCTTCGGTGTTCAAACATTCAGAGAGTTCGTACCATGCTCTGCTTGACCATCTGGAACGGTCGATCCATCAACCGCTCAACTTTGGCCCGCGTTTGGAGGGCATGGCGCTTGAAACCTGCACATATGATGACGACTAAGTGTTTCACGTCTCGATGAGGATGTGTGAAGGTCACTCACCTGCTCCCGGCATCCATGTCGGAATATGCCTCACTATGACGAAGATAATCAGCATCCAGTCAGCGGTAAAGCGTCCGAAGTCGACGTGGAACGGAAAAACGCACATGCCGGCTGGTGACGAGCAAGAGTCAGCATCAAGTCAGCAGGCAGAGATAACCTCAACAGAGAGCGGGAAATACATACAAAGAAGTCCACGAGCATGGCGCCGGGACCACCTGCTCTGACGTTCAGAACTGCGAAGGATGAGAAGACGGGCATAGAACTTTACAGACCTGAGGCGACAGTCGCCGTGGTGGCATCCTCCGCTAATCTCACATATAGATCATCGTTCGAAGTCACCGTGTGTCCATACGCTATCTTCATGATACTACCGGCGGTGAACTGAGGAGGAAGAAACTCAGGGAGTGCGCCGATAGCGAATGCGAATATTGCCTACCCTTTTGGAAAGTCAGCATTACATCACGGAATCATGGTCATATTCGCTATCATCCCGATGCAGCTCAAGACGTACCTCTTGATCTCGCGTTCGAAAGCTTCTGGTTTGTTCAGAATTCCGAGGAGAAAAGTGCAGGTTTCTTTGCGCTGTAAAGGACGCAAAGCGACGACGGCCTGGGAATTGAAGTGATCTTGGACTATTCGGCGCTGTTTCCGAAACTGGTCACCGTATGGCAAATTTGTCCTAGAGCATCGAGGTTAGGAAGTCAAGGGAGGGAAGAAGAAAAAGAAAAAAGATAGAAAAACTTACAATACTGTGTCCCAGCCCATTCTTCGTAATACTTCCGTCAGCATGACTACAATGTGCTAGGCTGTTGGAGACCCGAGACATACAGTTCAGCTATCAAGACAAGTCTTGGTCTGCAGGAGTAGTTTCCGCTCCGCTTCTCCATGAGATCACGAACGGCAGTCAAAGAATTTAGCACGATCATCGACCGGTTGATGACAGGAATGTGGATGATATCGCCTATGTAGTTGCAGAGCGTGAAGTCAAGATTATCGGTGAGAGCTAGGGAATGCACGTACCGTATGTGCGCCCCCATCTCATGAACAATTCTTGCGCCTCTTCACGAGCCGCTGCAATCTTGAGAAGAGCAAAATAGGGGCCCGGAGGATACCGGACTCGACGAGAGATGGACCATTGAGCAAGAGCTACGACACAGATTCCAAGTGAGAGCAGACCCAATATGTCCAACGATGGGGCCATGGAAAGGTCAACTGTGCTGTCGATGCGAGGTCAAAAGGTAGACAATGATCAGCTCAGGACGAATGAAGTTCGAACCTATATAAGAATGACCATCATAGAACAAACCCAAACGCCACTGCTGTCTTGAACTTCCCTGGAACTTCTCTGCGTATACCAGAAATTGCCAAAGTAGCACCTTAGTGCCGGAGAAATCCTCCACATTGGACGAGAACAAAAGGGTGTGAAACTATCGGAATCGGTTATGCCGCTGAAACATTGGGAAGCGCCTAGATAGAGAAAGCCCGATCCCGTATGCGATGAAGATGAGATTCAGAGGGATTCGCGGATCTGCAGAGAACCCGCAACCACGGGTTTCAAACTTTTTGCACACGTAACATCGACTGGTGGCGTATCGAATGGCTAAGGCTGTCATCGGCGGATTTGTGGCGAGATCGGGCGAAGTGAAGAAGGATGTGGAGGTGGAGGTGGGCCTAAGGCTTTGGCGTTCTTAATATACACAGGTTTATATCGGTGCAACAAGCTCAGAGTGCAGTTTTAGTCCAGCTGAGGCCGAACCCCAGGATTCTTATTCAACCGGCATGACGATCCGATGATATGTACGGTCGTAGACCTTGGAAGGGGCTCTCAAGCGGATCGTTGTGAGAAGACATTTTGAATGACTGGAATGGAGTGAGTAAGGTCAGGAGCCGTACACGATTTATTCTGCATGGAAATCGGACACACCAGGAAATAACTGTCAGTGTCGACGGGTAGTAAATCAGCCACATGTGTCGTGGGTTTTGAATAATAACAAAGATACGGCTCTCGTGATATCGCTTCAGACAGATTTTAAAGTTCTCAGAATCTTTGGTGCTTCCAGAGCAGAAACTCGAAGTCGTGCATCGCGAGCAAAGGTGCGCAAGTCAGGAGTTGCGCCTCGGCTAAGAAGTTCAATGTTTGAACCGCCGCCACTCCGCCCGGTTCCTTCCGAAGATATACCCACGCCGCGTCCGTTCTGACTTCCCTCCATCCCGTTCCGCTCTGCGCATTCGGCCTGAAGACTGAAGATAACTCTTCGTTCTACATTTGAAAGGCAGCGCATAGCTGACTTATCATATAGCCTCTTTTCACCTAGTAAGGTCTTGTGTCACTTCAAGAACTGATCATATCTCGTAGCGGGAGCTTTAGAGACTAGAGCTATCGGATATCCTCGGAGACAAGGTTCTTTTCCTTCGATGCAAGGTGTGAGTGCCCACTTACCTGACTTCATGCTCACGAACTTTCTTGAACCGTATCCACAATCAATATTTAGTCCAGTTCATGGGTCGCCTCGGTGTCATTACGCAATGCTCAATCCACCACGTCCTGTTCGGTAGCGTCGATGCGCTTCCAAAACTCAGCGACGATCTGAACAATGAACCAGCCCCCTCCTCCCCCGGAATAAGTACACAGGATGACGACGGCTGACGACGCATCTTTCAGGAAAATATCCCCTACTTCGCGCTTCAGCGCTAGCGATGCCGCCTCTCACTGCTCCATGCGTTGCCCTAGCCTCTCTTAGTTCCCGCATCATTGAACGGAAGAATGGTCGCGGTATCATTACCTTCCTGTGCTTTGGCCCGTTCCTCAAGACACCGAAAATGAATCTTTACTTCCCGCGATGGATTCCGATCAATGATAGGGACTCGCAAGCTCCCGATCCCGGGGGAATCTGAACAGAACAAGATCTCCGGATTCACCAGTAACGGCCTGAGGACCTCAGACTATCATCCTGCGTCCAGGATACCTTGTTTGTCTGGCTCTGATTTGCAATGCCTTCATCTCGAGCGATACCTCGCTTTGATCTCACTTCCAATAGCTTTCTGCCTGGCACATCTATCGTCCGTTCTGTCTTGATCCCCTTTGTTCCTACAACTCACCTCACTCTTGTTCTCGTGCTGCCTGAGCTGTGGCCTCTTCGCTCTGGCTGTCAGATATCGCGCCAAGTTTCAGCGATGGCGATCTTCCCTCTTATTCTGTGCTGCTTCCTTCCTTCAAAGCGTCGTCAGCCTCATCCACACCGGCTCCCACGATATACACACTATACTGCCACACGAAATCTCGACTTTCGCCATGCCTATCTGCAATCTAATTATATTTGAGACACGTAGGTCTCGCTACCCAAACGCCTCTTTCCGGTCCCACTCGAATATCTGCAACTGTGGCCGACGACCCTTCTCACTTTGTCGACATGTCTATCCAGTATCGCAGAATACTCTCCCAGTTGAATGTGGACCTTGATTCTGGCTACATCGACAACAGTCGAGCAGCAAACCGAAGACAGTCGTACTAGTGATCTGTAAGCGCTTCTCTCTATTCTCCCAGGATACTCATACAGCATCGGACGAGGACACAGAATCTGGTATATGGATTAATCGTCTTCTTCTACTGTCTTAGCGGCTCTCCTCTCACGTCGCTTCCATTTCAGACCTCGAGCTCGCTGCCGTTCGTCAATTGTCCGGTGCCGGCCCCTGCATATTTCGTCAGGACTCGGATACAAGCATGATAGCCCTCGTGTTGAGAAGAACGCCACCAGCTCTCCGAAGGTACTGCCCGGGTATGGTTGTAGCTTTGGCCCATATTACCATTGGCATCGATACGGCGACACGGGGGAGAGCGCATAGTGGTCCGATAAGGTGCAGATCTTGTCCCCTACCGAGGGACAATGTGCTCAGTTTGGTCATTGTACGATATTTGGCATGCATCAATACACAGTTCATTTTTCCCAATCGTTGCCGTCTCCGGTCGTTCTTTTGTGGGCACCACATGTGGCGTGGCATCAGATAAACAGTAAGGAAACTTCGAAAGGCCCTGGCGGAATGACACGCGTTGCGCCTCGTTGCACAAAGACATACCGAAAATAGTGATGCGATTTGTACAAATAAGCACAGTTGTTATGTGGGAGCCCGAATGTAGATAGCACGCAGCATTGATCAACAGCACCATCGGCACCCATCCAAGTATCCCCTGACTGCAACGTTCTCACCCAGAAACACGCCCCCCTTGTGCCCCAGCCCATATTGTTCTATTGCGCCCCCCATTGTCTCGTTTTGCAACATATAAATCGCCTCCCCATCAACTGTCGTCCCGCGTCTTTCCTTATCCCATCTCATCCATCCACCCGTGCGCCGCCCCGGTCAGCCGATAGCTTTGTTCGGTTTTCAACATACACACAGCCTCGAGGCCCGAGCGTTTCAGAGTCAGACACGAGCCGCATCGTTTGAACTTTCTCTTCCTTCCTATTGCTTTTTCGTAGTCCATCGCACCGCACGCCGGATTGACAGCGATGAATTCGCCACTGTTAGTGTGGATGCTCTACTTGAACCGGGAGGTTACCGCGGACGTGAGTACTTTCACTTTCGTCACGTTTTCGTTCTTCCTCCTTGCCGTCACTTCTTGCCGCGCCACACCCGTTGTTGAACGACAGGCCCCGGCTCAACAACACGATCTCTCATCCTCATTCATGATTTACAGGAATACGAGAAATGCTACGATCTAGTACACAAGACAGTACCCCATGGAAGAAACATCGCCCACCAACCGACCTCTGGTGATTCGCTGCGTGAGTTCGCCCCCGCGCCTTGCCTCATTCCTAACAGCTTCGCATCTTGTCATCCTCACGAACTAAGCATGGATTCATACATACAGGTCAGCTTCTAGCGCACATGATGCCGTTGCTCATGATGAGGCATCGTCGTATCCCTCGCGCGCGGTGGCGGGACCATCAGACTCCTTCGGGGAAGCATTGGATAGAACAGGTGCGTATCACTTCCTTCGGCGTTTTCATTTCCACCATCGTTCGGCTTCGTATATCCTCGTTGCTCCCTCGTGTGGTATGATTGTGCTCATGTTCTGTCTATGTTGGGGATTGGCGTGGGCGAATGGATGGTCTGGGATGGTCTGGTGTGGTGCATAGATGCTCGATCATGTCAATCCGGAACATCACCTGCGGTCGATGATAGGATACCATTGCGCCTTCGAGAACTCTTTAGTTGGGATGGTCATGGTCCAAGGGAAACAGAGAGAAGTTATCAATATCGGGCTAGGAATCAAACAATTGGTGGTAGAGCCAAGAGACGCTACGGTGGCGGCATATGCAGAATCACTTTCACACAAGGTACGTCTCCTCCTCTTCTTGCCTCTCCAGACAAATCCCGGCCAGCAACGAGATGAATATGGGCCTATATTCATAACTACCCCCTCTCGCAGCTCACCCCACTCGAACTCTCTTTCATCACCCCCGATCTCGCGGATGACGTCGTCCTCCGCCGTCTCTGCATCCTCCTTGCACTCAAAATGGCGTACATGAAGGCCATCGGCCAACCAATGGGATTCGACTGGTCGCGACTCGAATTCAATATCCCTGAAGAGTCATGCACGGGCGACGGGCAGCCTCTGTGTGGGTGGGAATTCCGGCTATACAAGGCCCAGCTTGGAGTGCAGCGCAAGGGCGTGATGGTCGAGGAGAGCTACCAGTGCGTGACGGCGCACTTCCGGGGAACAACGGACACCAAGTTCGTGTGGCAAGATAGTAATAAGGATCTGGAGAGCTGGGTGCAGTTCATCAATATCGACCAGATGACGAATGTCATCCCGAAGCTTACGGATTGAGGCCTGCGAAAGGAGGACAGTCGAAAGAGAGGGAGGGAGAGCGGCAGGCCTGTTTGGCGAAAAACTGCGAGCTAGTTTGAACGGATGTTTTTTTTCCTCTCCAAAATCACTTGTCTTGCCTGCTCGTTTCCGTTCCTCTTCATTCCTGCATTCATCGCTGCGCTGTGCTTCCACCCTTACTGCTACGTAAATCTCATCGATACCAATCGTGTGTACTTCCTTGTTGTACTGTACTTGTTCCCGGTTCCTCCATCATCGCTGTCTCCCATTCACTCTGATGTTCGCTTTCTACTCCGTATTGCTCCATGTTGCTCCGTAAACGGTGTTTCTGAGTAGTGTGGCGTCACCTACAGTGTGCTGCTGAAGTCCATCAAATCGTGTAGTAATGCCATTAGGCAATATTATATATTCCATACGCATGCAGGTCGTCTACCGTACGTCAATTCCATGCCTTCACTTGTTCGAATAACGGGGACGAATTTCCTCAAACATATACCAAGTGAGCCGTCCGAGCGTGAGAAGATTTACGGTGGCGCGTGTCAGTGTGACTGATGGCGAGATGGTCCGTGCGCAGATCAGTACACGACACATTGACACCGAGCGACAATCAGCCGTGCCAGCTCTCAATTTGTGGTGACAAACTGAGAACATCATAGACGACCGAGGTCAGGAGAATGTCAGGATCCAGAAGATGGTATATTACAGTGATCGAACAAGGAATCTAAGTATAAAAACCGCTTGAAGGAGGAACGCACGAGCACAGAGTACAGATGATAAGCCCAAGTTACACAGAACGACGACAACGATGGGAAGAGATATACACAAAGATAGACGCAGAAATGACCCTGAGATGCCAGCCCCCGAGGTCGAACAGATCGAACTCAATAGGGTAGAGTAAACCGTGCTGAGGACTAGCATTGTAACTTGACTGACTTGCCAAAGCTGTCTGCCAGCATGTCGAGGCTCAGGCTGTCATGACTCTCTGTGTTGACATAGAACATTTTGCTCATGTTGTGTGCCAGAAGATCAAGCTCGTGATCGCCATCTCGGGCGTTGAATTTGGGCCAATGACGTTGACCATCTGTCGAGGCGCAGTGTCATCCGAAAGGAGGGGCATTGGTTAGTTCAAAGGTCGCTCTGAGAGTGAGATAATATGACCAGAAAAAGCTTACCTTGTGGGATCATGGCGAAAATATGTGGAAACCATCTCTGGATGTATCGAAGGAGGACGGTGTGAACTTCCTCCTCGGCTCGTTCTTGGCTCCAATATTGAGGTCGGTGTGCGATGAGCTCCTGTGGGTCATTCAATCCTGAGACTGGACAGGGACGTCCATAGACATCAACGATTGCTGGTCATGAAATTGGCCCATGAGTGTGTTTTCGAACAGACGACGGTGTCTGAAGATGAAGGGGATGGTGCTCACCAGGTCGCCACATCTTCATCTCACATCCCAAATCGTACAGTTCCTCGCATCCGAACTCTGTCTCGTCTGGTCCGAGACCACCCACGGGAGGTATCAGAAGGTGTCGCTGACAGGCCGTCCCCATAGCCATCGCGAAACCTATCACGGAGACATGACCTTGATCATTCACAAGTACGTTCTTCTCGACGACTTCGTTGTGCTCGACGCAACATTCATGTATCTGGTTGAATGCATCCATAATCTGTTCCCTGTGCACCCGGATACGAAGAGTATACAGTAAGTTGGATGTAGTGGCGGGTTTGATACGTGGCTGAACTTACTTGAGCTCGTTGTTCAGATCCTCGAAACGAGTATTCAATGGCTGGCCTGCGTACGCAAGAACGAGACAGGCAGCGTGGCCTTGTTCCTCAAAGAAACCATATGAGCGAGGAACGACAGTTCCCTGCAGATCGTGCAGATTATGGTACATCAGGGCTTCCCATGCAAGGCTACCCATTCCTTTAGAAGTGTAACTGAGTTTGCAAACTACTGGAATGTATGAGCAACTCTGTGGGCCAGCCGCCATGGAGGTTAGACGGCCAGCAAAAACGCGTACAGAAGCCTGATTCTGAGTCGGAATCAAGGAATCCATCTGAAGAGCCAGTTCTTCAGTGTGGTCCTCGTCGTCATAACAGCGAGGAAGACAGAGTGTGTCTGGTCGATGGGGTGCGAAGTTTGGAGGGTAGCGCAAGGTCAGAGACATTTTTGGCGATGTTAACGCAGGATGATGGCGGTCAAGACGAAAGTTGGAAGATGCGATCGAAGCCGAGTTCGCTCCTTATATAGGCGTTGATGTTAGGGATTGTTTACCCACGTGTTGAACCCTGGAACGACCGACACCGAGGCTGCGGATCATCGCGATAGTGTACTACACGAATTGGTAACTTACAAGCCACCGGTCACACGCTACGTATTCGCCCGGGTACAGGAAGTCCTTTGTTCGCCAAAACAGCATGCCGACTCCCGTGAAAACGGCGAGTGCGGAGATCCCCGGTAGATGTGGCGCTACTTCGATGTACACAATTAAATGAGTGGCGCAAAGGTGGCGATGGGTTCTCTGGTATTATAAACGCTGACGAGCAAGGCAGTCATTCGAGAAGCTCGGTTCGCATAAAGAAGGGGCGTTCGCTTGTCTAATCAATCGACGACCCCATGCAGAATACAGTAAACATCTATCATTAGGTAAGTGAAGTGCCGTATCGTCCGGTGAAGAAAGAAAACCTGAGGCCATCCGTCATAAAATCATTTAGCGCTCGACTTGTGAGGAAGAATTCGTTTCAGTGGCCCGAGAAGGCTCCCAGTTCTTATGCGGAAAATATACGTCAAAAGGTAGATCATAGCAGCCTAAACCAGGTGTCAATACTCATTGTGATAGCACGGGCATAGAGTGACTCACGTTGAAGAAGATATATGCCCACAAGAGGCCGAAGTTCCTCCAATGTTGGGAGTAGAAGATGTTGAAACTACCCTCGAGGAATTCGTCTGTCGTACGAGAAGCGCAGTAGGTGCACACATCGGTAACGTTGCTATCCACGATGTAGCCCCCGGCAACGCTGATGAAGGGATCAAGGTATTGGCCACATGTCTGGCCTGTTGGCGGGGAGACGGTCACGTATTCCACGTCGGCGCATGTAATCTCATAGCCCCCAATAGCTATTGGTAGACGACATTAGCAATCAGCACGGACTTTGGTCAAGACATAGACGCTGGGGAAAAAACCAACCTTGACCGAGAAGACCTCCGACTAGATAATTGAAGGGTGAGAGCCGGTACATCCATTTCCACCAACCAAGTCGAGCAAAAGGCTGAAGGACACCAGTACTGTGGGACAGAGATCAGACTTCTCCAAAGACGTCGAGAAGAAACCTCGAAAACCTACAAGTTGATAACGAATGAAAACAAGAAACTGAAAAGCAAGGCTGCGATTGGCGCATCCGGACTCATCGCGGCGACGGCTTGCCCAAAGCTCGTGTACCATAACGGGAACATGATAGCAAGCATCAAGTAGGTGTATCCACCGCGCTCGGTAGGGAAGCCGACTGTCCAATACCAACAGAGGAAGTATAGACTTGAGCCTGGTTAGACAGTAAGAACGGGAGATCACGCGGATTAGTTTGGATGCAGCCCTGGAAGGGGGGAAAAGCGCACCAAAAATATTCCATGGTAACTCTGCGAGAAGTTGTGCGGTCATCAAAGCCGTCCAGCTATACATGCGGCTCGGCCGCTCTCTGACCTCGTAGATGCTGCGTGCTTCGATGAAGAGAACTTGCAGCTGGTTTGAGACAGGTGCGGATACAACAAGTCCCAAGAAGATAGCCTAGAAAGAACCATCAATTTCCATTCGTCATAAGAGACGCACGCACGAAGACTCACAAAGAGTTTATTCTGCGTCCCTTGAATAGTCCATTTGGATTTCCAGAAAGTAAAGCCGATGAAGAGCCCAGCGAAAACGTTTAGCGCCAACTTGGCGACGACGTATTGTGGGTCACGCCAGCGACGCTGCAAATCACGTTTCAGAAGAGTTCTTACTTGGTACAACCAGCCTGTTGTGAATTCGGTGTGAATCTCAGTCTGCACGGGCGGATGGTCACGGCCCTCGGCAAGAAGATCGTCAATCTCTTTCTGGGCAGCCTTCGCCTCGTCGGACTTCGACCAAATTTCGTGCCAATCGACTTCAGTCGTGGCGGTGGCACCCGCACCTGTGTGATCATTGTTTGTCATATTTCAAGGTGCAGAATGTGAGGGTAGAACATACCGATAACATCGAGAATGTATTCTGCAGGGTTGTGTTGAGGAGGACAGGGATAACCGCCGTGGCTCTCGAAGTAGTCGAGCATCGTTGTTGAATTGGGACCTAGATCACCAAAGTAGACTGTCTGTCCGCCCTTCTTCAAGAGAAGGAGGCGGTCGAACACTTGGAATAATTCCGAAGACGGCTGATGGATGCTGGGGAGAAAGATCGATGTCAACAGCCCATATACAGTAAAGGAACAGGCTTACGTGCAGAGTATGGCTTGTCCGTGATCAGCCAGCCTGCCAGAAACCGAAGGAAATGAGCTCGACATTCGGAACATACATTCGGACGTCAGAAACACTCACCTACGAAGGAAGACCATGATAGCCCAAGCGCTCTGCGAGTCTGTGCGGGATGATCAATGAGACGTGCGTGAGCATCTTAGCTCGAAACTATGGTTACAGACCTAATCCAGACGTCGGCTCGTCCAGGAACAAGAGCAGCTTGGGTTTGGCGGCGAGTTCGACACCAATGGTAGTTCGCTTCCTGTGTTCAACTCCCAAAGATCCTACGATGGCATCCGCATAGTTCTGGAGCCCACAAATCTTCAGCACAGTATCGACGCTGCAAGATAATATTAGCGAGACACTCAGCGGCGTGGCCCAGATAAGGTGCAGACTTACTATGCCTCTTTCTCTTCCATGGGGACGCTAACGGGCTGACGCAATCTAGCCGAGAATAATAAAGCTTCGCGGACGGTTGCACTGCGGAGGTGAGTGTCCATCTGCTGGCAATAGCCACTGAAAACAGCCAAGGGTGAGGTCGAAGGGATAGAACAGAATGACGAAAGAAGAAACGAGGCGTACGTCTGAGCTTGGAAGTCGGTGGGAAGGGAGTGTCCGTTCACCAAACGCTCTCCAGTGACAATTCCCGTCGATTGACGCTGAGCTAGCACGTTGAGTAAAGTAGTCTCAAAACAACACGAAAGTAAGTACTCTGGCCTGTGCCACATAGTTCGGCGGGAGGTATCGCACCTTTCCAGCGCCAGACTCGCCCATAACTATGAAATGATGGAGACAGTCGTCAGTCTACGATATCGGATCATTGAGAGAATCGGCGTGAGTGAGAATTCTTACGAGCAGTGAGCTTTCCAGGTGCCACATATCCCGAAACATTATCCAGCAGTCGGCGCATCTCACCACCTCCTACCGGTACATTATACTCCAGATGCTGCCAAGTGAAGACATCGTGCGCTCTCGGTGTGGCTTCGAGTGCCTTTTCGACCTCTGCGACATTGTTTTCTTCACCGACGGGCGTCTTCTCAGGAGGACCTCCCTTCTCCTCGTCGATTTCCTTGTTTGTGAGTAGATGGGCTGTGGTGCCACGCTTGTACAGGGTGGATGACGTTCGGGCGGACGTAGACGTATTGAATTCGGTAGCGAGTAGAAGGCCAGATATGAAGAGAACGCCGAAAGCAACGACGAAGCCGAAGTTCTGCAAATGGTTGGTGGTGAGGTTCATGTGTCGGCAAAAGCGAGCGAAGAAGTGATGCATTATTTACCCGCCACACGTTACTGAAGGAATACCCGAATGATAACGAGATGAACCTGTTGCCATCGACTACAGGAGAGCCTGACACAGAGCCCACTGTTGTGCAGACTTGATTGGACAGGGATATATTGGTATAGCCAGGGCCACTGGGCACAAATGTGGCGCCTGAATACCATGTTATGACAATTGACACATCACGAGTCGGGTGAACAGAGCTCACATGTACCGTTGAGGGTGTGGAACTCGTTGGACAACACACCCTCGAAACCCCATCTTAGAGGCTACAGCGAGTTCGTGAAAATCATTATCAGCAAATACACTTTGTCTCAGAGAAGGACCTCCTACGTTGATATATGTGATCCACCTAAGAGCACCGATCATGGAAGGCTTTGGGATGGCATAGCCGGTGTAGAGAACTGGATGGACCAAAACAGTGAGAACCAGAAACAGAGAGGGTAGGGGTGATGACCAACCTAGACCAAGGAGCAAAATACCGGCAACGGTCTGTGCAGGCGCAGGTGCTCCAAAAGCGGCAGCAATGGTACGGAACCACGCCTTCATGGTGATGGTCATCGTGAAGATGAATATGAAGAATATGCTGCGAATGATGTAAATTTGCATCAGGGAAATGGCAGAATCAGTGAGTAACAACGTACAAGAATTGGCCAGCTGAACGCTGGAGGCCAACCAAGAAGTATAAGATAACACCGAAGACCAAGAGAGTGAAGAAGGTGATGGGGATGTCCACGAGAGTCAATGCTGTACTATTCGTCAGCGTGTGATTTCCGGTTCAAGAGAGATTCACGCTACATACCTGCAGCTTCGATGAAAGGATGATACATTGCGGCCTTGTAATGTTTGATGACGATAGGGCGTTGGACGAACAGGGCAGGTATCTCGGACATAGATGTCAATGCCGCGAAGAGAAGGGCACTGAAAACAGAGAAGGTCGATGATATCAGACATCAAAATTCTTCAAGGCGTCGTAAACAACTCACAAGAATATCACGCCGCCGCGAGAAAAATACGCTAACGTCGATTCGGCCATGTTCAAGAAGGCAGTGCCGACGATGACAGCTTGAAGGATGAACGTGACTAGGTGGATAATCTCGTGCGACATGTTGCCTCTTAAAATCTGAAGTCTCCGAAGAGACACCGCCCTGGCCTGCATGAAGAGCGAGACCGTGTACGGACTAGCCTTGCTCTGAGTAGTGGCACGTTCCGCCCGAGCACTTTCCTTGTACCCTTGTATCTTTTCCGGTTTACCGACAAACTCAGCGCGATACGAGCCGATATCTGCCTGATTAGCCAGGCCAGCTTCTGAAGCGATAAAATGTTCTGCGAATTCAATGGAAGTGCGTGGCGCGCGGGACTCGAACCCGGGGCGTACAATACGAGCACTTGGATCGGTCACTAGGATAAGGGGATGTCATGGAGGAGGATATTCTGTCAAGTAGAGGCATGAACGGCTCACCAGCAACGAGAAAGTCTGCGGTGGTCTGTCTGGGAGCCGGGTTGAATCCAATATCAATGAAGTGTTGACGAGCTGCGCTGGCTGATCCGAAATATGCCATACGACCTTCGTAGATGACGCAGACCTTATCGAAGTGTTCGTACAGCTGCTCGCCTGAATAAAGAGCTCAAGTTAGGGCAAGGAAAGGCAATAAAAAATAATGCAAGGTCGTACCTGCTTGGTACAAAGATACGATGGTCGTCATACGCCCGATGTCCGTACCGATGCGCAAAGCGCTGACGAACTCCAGTGCCGTAGACGCATCAAGTCCTCGCGTAGAGCTCCACGAAGCAACGTGAGACAGTGTGGGTTGAGTGTAAAGCAGAAAGATGGACTCACTTATCCCAAGAATTGATCTTCGACCGTAATGCAAGTGCTTCCGCAATTGAAACCCGCTTCTTCTCACCACCAGACACGCCACGCAGCGCGGCATCACCGACGGGGGAATTCTTCACGTGTCGAAGACCGAAGACCGTTTCCAGACAATCTACGAATAGGCGTACGAGCTCTTCACGCGATTGTCCGTCCATTCGTACGTGAGGAGTTCGCATCTTTGCGGCGAAGCAAAGCGTCTGGTCGACCGAAAGCGTGGGGAAATGGATGTCGTCCTCGTCACAGTAAAGGACGTCGCCGCGGTAATGTTTCTCGATCTCAGCGGGCGAGAAGGAATCGTAGTGAACTTCCCCTTCGACGGAGCGATACTCACGGCGTTGGTTGGCGAGAGTCTTCAAAAAAGTGCTACAGCCTGATCCAGGGCTACCCAAAACAACTACACGATTGTATCAGTATTCGAGAACAAATTGTAGCAACAAAAGATGGGGACTGACGGAGCATCTCTCCCGGGCGTACAACACCTTCAAATCCGGACAAAATGTCCCGGAGAGGGGGTTTTCGAGTCTCGCGGAGCGACTGCAAAAGAACGCGTGGGTTGAATAGAGAGCCAAACGTTGATTGGTAGTTCTCAGCAGAGCCCAGCCCGATGACTCGCAGATCCTGAAACATAACTCCCAGCTCTCGTGTGTGTATATGTGACTTCTCTTTTCTATGGCAGTAGATACCATTAGCTTCAAAGTAGACCAAATGAGCGGGCGCCAAATACCTCTTCATGACCGTTCTAAGCGTTCTTTCTAGATCGAAAGGTTCATCTCCCTTGGGGGCAGCCAGGGTTGTTGTCGTGTCAACTGTCGAGTGACTCCTAATCTTCTGGACTGGGACGTCTGGAATATCGCTGGTATGGACGGCTGCGGACATGTGGCTCATGGTGCGTCTGAGTTGCTCGACTCCAGCAGGATCAAAAAAGTCAAGAGAAACATGCGAGACGGAAGAATTCCTGCGTGGAACAGTATGAATGGTCGCGGGTGATTGAGAGCGGGGTTCATCGTGAATAGCCGCGTCGCCATTGTACGGGCCAGAGGCTGAATCTTCGTCTTCGGGGACGCGTCCTAGCTGGGAAAGATCAGCCATGGCACCTAGCAAGCCGGATAGGGTGTAGAGATGGATGTGAAGCAGGGCAGCGAGACGTGCACAAGCGCTCCGATTCGCGCTCGTTATAAGTATACAAATCGTACGGAGTAGAATATCATTTTTCAAGGGGGTTCTAGTGTGCTATTCGGCCGTTTACGGCGCCCTAAACATGATGAGGGCGACGCTCTATGAACTCGATGACTTTAATTTGACCATATTGCTTGAGCAACGTCGAGACCACGGCTCCGGGACAATACACATCACTTCATCGTAAGCATCTCGGAGGACATCACCTCGGAGGGCACGAACAAGGGCACCCGGCAAGTTACAAGACACGGTAAGGACGTTGATGGACAATCACGAGCAAGTGGCCGCAAGCAGTTGAGATAGGGCCTTGAAGACAGATAATCACGAGCAAAATGGTCGGATGGTGCGAAGGCCAATTGATAACGCCTATTCCGTATATGTGGGCTCAGTGCCGTCGGGCGATCCATTGTGATGATGAGTCTAAGCCAAGTCCAAGCCTTCTCTAGCCTTCGGGCCCATCTCGACGTTGTACGATGGATTTGCAAGACCCGGTATGACCCGAGTGCCACACCAGGAGCAGGAATTGGACAATGCAGAAAATTGGGACTTTGAACAAGAGTTGCGGAAGTGGAGACAGCTGCAATGGAGATGGGGTCGACAACTGCAGATATTTCCTGTGCACAGGTTCGTTATCGGTGACCTTAGGTTGTGGCGAGCTCAAGTTGAAGCAGAACTTAGAAGGTAATTTCAAGTGGCAGCCGTAGGACCATGACACAAAACCACGTGGTAGCCGGCAATTGCCGAAGAGAGTGTCAGGACTTAGGACTCCGACGCGACGCGGCGATCCTCGTTCGACCCAACCGTCACGTACCCTGCTCTGGAGACTATTCACCCGTCTGTGTTCGAACATTGTCATGGCTACTACGCTTATCTTGCCTACGCCGAACCAGACGGGAATCTTGCAGCTCATCTCAGGCAAAAGATTGCGGGAGCCAATGAACATGCCTCACCTTCGCCATCTCCGGCATGGAGGACACGTTGGGCCGGTTCTGCTTTGGCTCATTTACAAGGGTGGCCAGCAAATTTTCGATGGCGACACGTTGCGCAATAACTCATGACAACGTTTGACTCCGGGAACGGTTTTTTGGTAACCGGCCTCACAAAGGTGGATCTTATGAAGCCCACACTCACCCAGGCCGCGAAAGTCTAGTTCACTCCCGAGGGCTGATGGCACTGGTCAGCCTCGGTTGGCGACGAGGAGATAACATATGTATCTTTGGACGACAAGCTCAATGGCGTCAGGTCGACGTCTCACGACGGAATACTTATCCCTGCCATCGAGCCCTGCGCTCTCGATCCGATCGTCGAGGAGCAACGAACATAGATTTGATGGAAGCGACCACCGAGAGGCAGACGAAGGTGATCGCCATTTCGAGCACGGAGTTTACGACTATGGTGACCTGTTCTAATTACAAACTTATCTTCGTTAGCCACTTCGCCCTCGTCTCCAGGCCCCTTCACATTCCCTCGACTCGTCCTCAGTGCTCACTCACGCATTGCACAAGCCATCTGTATCCGTCCGTCGCGCTCTCTATCTTCGCCCACGATTTAGACGTCGCATTAGAAGCGTTGATCATGTATCACAGTCCTGTCCTCATTTTTGTTTATATCCCCCAGTTGTGTTTTGAACCATCCTACCCTCTCACACCATCCCTACTCCTAGAATACTCACAACCTTATGTCCCATATTCGGTGCGCTCGATGGCGTTGCCTCTGGTCTGCCTGCGTTCAATATCATGCTGCTTACCTGTACAAACTTATTGTATGTATAAGACATCGCGGTATTTTGATATGTACGGGATCGACAGCTTCCTCAGGCTCAAGAGCTTCCTTGTGCCTGTTCATGAACGGAGAACTTGCCTCGGTTCAGACATCTTGAGAGATCAGCGAGGAACTGATTGTTGTTGAATGACGACGATGTTATTTCTGCTACGTTATGAAGAATTTACAGATGTCCACGACTCGTCCAGACGAGAAGTAAGTTAGGTATATACAGCTGTCGCGAACCAGCCACGGTAAAGTAATCAATACTACGTTCCACGGAAACCTTCAAAGAAAAAAACCACCGACTGGGAAAATTTCATCCCTTGCATCATATCCTACATTGTTCCAAAAAGACTCTCTAGGACTCTTCATCGTCCTCTCCAACCACTCTCACTTCCGCCCCACTCAACTTTACTTATGCATAATTGTCATCAACCTTCCCTGAACCGGCTTCTCCTCCTCCTCGATCCCACTCTCGGTCACGCTCCCCAAGCTCCCACCGCTCCTTGCCTTCTGCTCCTGCTTCAACCAGTTCCCCGCGGCAACTGCGATCGCGCCCGCGGTCTGCACGGCGTGGCTCGCGAGAATGGCACCACCGGCTCCGACGTGCAGGGCAGGGATGGCGGGGAGGGTGCCGACGGTGATGAGAATAGCGGCGGCGGCGGACATGGCTTTGGGATGTTCGGAAGAGAGGAAGTCGAGAGCGTTGGTAGCGTTGAGGAGCCAAAGGGGAGCTGAAGTCGTCACGGTGGTGACTGTTCACATAACACGACACAAGCAAAGAGAAAACGAAAGTGAGCAAACAGCATAAAACGTGGTCGAAGCTATAGCATGAAAGCACGCACCCTCTCCGGGGGTTTGAGCAGGAGTCGTGGAGACGGAGTTGGGGCCAGATGCAGCTGGGGTGGAAGCTGGCGAAGACTTCCAGTTCCAGATCGAACTTTCACTCTTGGGCTCTTCAACTATCTGAGTCGATGTCACCGTCGAGTTCGAGGACGGGGTCCTTGACAGCCAGCTCTTGATCTGACTCGTGCCGACACCTGGGCTGGGCTCCGGACTAGCAACAGACGAGGCATCCGATGTGCTCATGGTCGACGAACGCCGGGGCGCCTTCGGGGGAACAGCCGGAGGTTGGTCGTCGGAATAAGAGTTGGCGCGAGAGCTGGAACGACGGAATTTAGAGGGAGGGGGTCGTTGTTGGTCAGGGACGGGCGGGAGACCTTGTTTGACGTCTTTGGCTTGGGATTTGGCGATGGTTGATTTGGACTCGACCTTGTCCCAGTCATCGGTCTCCTTCTCAGCGCGGCCACCGACGATCCACCAGAGACCCGAGGGTTTGCTTTGAACCTTGATGGATTCCGTCTTGGACTCCTCGAGCTCCCCTGCAGTGACAAGACCAAACAGCATCGCCAGACCACAACATCGTCAGATGAAAGAGAAGAGAAAAGAAGGTAGAGTGGTACTCACAGCCCATGTTTCTCATCGCGACCTTGAACTTCTTCCAGTTCCATCGATACTTCCCTTCCCCGCCATGCATCCTGACCAACACGGCCTTCAACTCGGTCAACCTTCCCTTCGCCTTCTCGCCGAGGAAGTACTGGCCGACTTTATGCCAGTACTCCTTAGGCACCTTGCGCTCGATGCAGCCAGCCTTGATCTTGTCCAGCCATTCATCGACGGGAGGGTCCTTGGATGGGTTGCCGTAGAAGATGGGGAGTGGTGCCGACCAGGATTCGAGTATGGGTTGGAGGTCCAATGGCTGGGCCTTGAACGATTCGAGAATATTCATAGTGATAATTAGAGAGTCTACAGCAAGTGATCAGGATGTTCGAAAAGTGGGTTGTGGGTGGATGTTGAGAGTCGTGCAGGGTTGGTGTCAGGGAGAACTCGTGACTTTATAACGAGAGGATTTGTCGTGGACCCGGTAGGTTGGCCACGAGTTATCGCTGCAGATCAAGAAGCTTCTTGACACGCACGTAAATAGAATGATCACTGCGACCAAAGAGAACAACCGCCGAGAATTCGACGGTCGTTTGGGGAAAGCAAAGGTTATCGAGGGATGGAAGCAAGCACAAGACACAGTGGTGATGCGAGCAGAAACACAGCGAGGGGTGCTTGCTGCTAGATTCGGTGAGCCCTTTATAATATTCTAACAGGGTCCGCCTCGTTGCGAGGGTATGCACAATACCGCGAGGGAAGCGCAACCGGACGGAGGGCTGCGTAAGTAGTCGATGTCGTCCTGGTCCGCACTTACTAACGTTACACGCCGAGAAAAGGCTGTGATACGGGAGTTGTGATCCGTAGGAACGCATCCAGATTGAAGTTCGTGGAGCGGGGTGTGCTGAGAAGTTCATTTGTGGCGTCCTGACGGTTAACTGAGCAAAGCAGCGAGGGGGCATGGGGAAGAAGCCCATACCCTCCGTTCCACTCTCTGAGGGGAAGTCACAAGCGGCATATAAACAGATAGGATATATAGCAGACCGAAGCAGCTGCCCTTTAGCACGAACGCAAACAGCTCGCGGTTCCAGGGTGTGGTCCAGTCGATCATATCCTCCATGCCTCCTCCGCACCTCGACATGGACTAGGGCCCGGACGTCTCGAAAGAGGCAAAGTCGGCCAAATCACCACGCAACATGCAGGGTTCAAGGACATTTGACAACCCCAAGAGAACACCAGGAAATCCAGTCTAGCTACACGCCATAGGTGTGCTTTTGAAGGCAGTGTAACCAGCAGGTCGAGCAGCTCGTAGCACCTCGTCCACCTAGTGAGCAAAAGCTGGCCATTGTTTCAACCCTGAGGAAGAATATCAGGATCAGACACATTTCTTCAAGGTCTTGAAGTGGTCGTAGTGGTTGTTCGTGAAGATGGGGATGTCGGCCACCCCATTTGGACAAGGGATGCCCCTCCCCAGCCGTGGCTGCGCGTCATCCCTTTCGTTCTCGGACCTACTCTCGCTCTTACTCTCATCTTCCTCCAAGCGCTATGGCACCCCAACCAAGTACAGAGCAGAATTTCCGCTCTAATCTCTCTCAATTCCGATGGGCTCAAGGCAACAATGACGATTCACAACAAACTCAAGCCAGCCAACAGTCGAGTAACCCGTTCTCAAGGTTCTATAACGCGGTCGGAGGCGCCTATATACCCTTACGCTCGACGGATCGATCGAATGAGGATGAGGCATATTTCGCGCTGTCGAGATGGGAGAGGTGCGCTGCATTGGATTATTATACAGAGGTTGTACGAGTGTTGACGAGCAGAATTATGGGTGGGAATCGGTGTTAGACTGCTCGGGTTCCTGGGATGTTTAGCAGGAGCTGCTGTTTGCTTTGCGGTTGCATTCTTCACGCTACCATTGCTGGCTCTTCGACCGGCCAAGTTTGCTCTAGCTTTTAGGTATGAAACCCGCCCATCAAGTATCGTTATTGCCTTGTTAACTGACAAGGGAAACGAATTCTCAGCTTGGGAAGTCTACTGGTCATGTTCGGGTATGTTAACATGTTGCGGTCAATCTCTTCGAGACGTTCATTCTATCTTTGTTTCGTCGCCCTAGTTTCTCCGTACTAATTGGACCAATAAACCACGCAAAACACCTCATCTCGAAAGAGCGACTGCCCTTCTCTATTGCTTACCTCTCCAGTCTCGGTCTCACGCTATATTTCGCTCTCGGAGTACGCGTCTCTCTTACATCGACCGTCCTCCCGTCAATTGAACGCCCGAGCTAACTGCCACACCTTCTCCTTAGCCACATTCCTACCTTGGCTCACTTCTATGTGCAGTCGTCCAGGTACGTCGTCTCCTGGCTATTGTGGCGCGCCACACCGGTTTAACACGTCGTGCATTCAGGTGGTCGCACTGGTATCATATATCCTTGCATATTTTCCCGGAGGTATCCAAACACTCCGTTTCGGTGGCCAGATGGCTCTCAGAGGAGCAGGCAGTCTCCTTCCTGTCTGATCATGATTCATCCTCCTTGTGCGGCTCCTTGTCAAATACTTACTTTTACATACACTTACTATAGCATGCGGATTCTTTTCTCTGATTGTATACGGTTAATGGGGATCATCGTCATCAAAAATTGCTGCCTAATGTCAGGATGATTCTCACCAGGTATCACAAGTAGCATTTTGCAAGAAAGCACTTTTGCAGAACATAAATATGAGACTAACTACACGAACCCGACGATGTGAGAGATGCGGAAGGGTACACGGCCACCTTCACCCAGATATCTTACTTTTATTCAAACAAACAGACAAGCAAGCAAAATAGGTAAAACATTCAAGTGTTCAGATCCCAAACCCATCAGACACCCAACTTTCCGTGTCTTCCACCTGCATTCCCATGGCGTCTATCAACCGTCTTGCCATAACCTCAAGATACGCAAGATTAGACCGCCAGTCGTGTCCCGTCAATTCATGATCCTGTCCCCAAAACCAACCACGATGAGTTCCAATAACAACAAAACAGGCGCCGGAATACTAGAAAATAGAGAATCATGAAAGTACGCACGAGATCCAAAGCCCCCACTCTCTGTATCGCCGGCGCCAATCTCCTCGCTACATCCATTCTGAACTCATCCTCGTCTGCCGCTGCAGACAGGTATCGGACCAAGCCCGCCGTCGACGTCTTTAGCGAAGGATTGTTAATGTGGCGGCCCTCGGCATAGAAGGAGATGTGTCGCCACAGTAGCAGAAGGAGCATCTCCACAGAGGCTGTACCGCCCGAAATTTGACCGTTAGTCCTGCAAAGAAGCTATTTATGATAGCCAGTACGCACCCAAGAGCGTTTTAGCATCATTCAAGAACTCGCCGCGTAATCGTTCCCATTCCTGACATATGAGCATCCGTTTCTGGCCAATGTTGAAATCTGCAAGGAGTTCCTTGTCGGGCAGGTTCACGAGCTATGTTCATCCATGCTTATGGTTAGTCCGTCTGTATACGGATCAAGATGTAAGATAGGCTAACCTCTTCGATGTTCTCGACGCGTATATGATCCCGAGCAGCAAGCTCGGCCGTGATATCCGCGATCTGCTTCAAGGTGTCGGCTAGGTCTACACAAATACCGTGCAAAGCTACGATAGCATCCCCCACGGTCGGAATAGTAGCTGATACAGAGAAAGTATTCAGGACGACGGCTTTTGGGAGCTTGAACGGCGACGTACCCATCAATCGAGTCGCTCGCTCTTCATGTCTGGGCGTAGTCGTCACCGGCGACAAAACGAGTGTAATCTCCGGCTCTGCAAGGTCATTGTAAGGCGTAACTGAGCATTTCGACGTCATCGCAGTTCGATTCAACACCGACATACCTGTGAAATCGCTCGCCATGCCCAAATAGACGATCAACGCCTTCCGAAGGAGCTGCTCTTTTCGAATGACCTCAACATCGAACTTTGTCTCTTCGCCGAACCCTGAACCACACCCCATACCCATATCGACGATCAGTACATCTTTTCCTCATGATTCGGGTGCAGGGAGCGCGCACGTAAGAATTGGACGGATGACGTACCGGATGCAATGATTGAAGCGTTCAGTTTCTCTGTGTCCGTGTATGGCTGGATGCGGCGAGCCCAAAGGTCGTGCCCTAGACACCTTGCTGAAAGACTCAAGAGCGCGGCATGCACGTTACCAAACCCAGAGTTGGCGGAGACCTACGGAACGTTCAGCATCAAGCAGTACGAGCAGTACAGATAAACGATGACGCACAAGTTCAGACTTCGGCACTTGAGGGAATACCGAAGCGCAGAGGGAGACTAGGAGATGAATCTCGTCGAGAGCGGACAAGGAAAGTTGTTCCTCTTCGCTCTTGAGCATGATCACGATGGTGTCTCGATGGCCCGAGAGGAATTCAAGGCCCTATAATGACATCAAGTTGTGTGAGTTCCAATATTAGGAAAGGCGAACCAGTCAGACAAACCTGGCTCAGTGCAGTTGCATGACTTGGCCCAAGTGTGGCTAGTAGTCCATCGACAAGTTGTAAAGCGGGCATGAAGAGCTGGTGGTATCGCTGGACTGCTGATGGGAGGAAACTGTCGTGATCTGAGGACACCTGACGTGAGTTCACCGAAGACGCAGAATAAAAAAGAGTCTGGGGAAACACATACCCAAGAAGGCCTGATCGGCTTCTGGCCGTGCGTCCAAGTAATCACAACTTGCCAGTGTTGAAAGTAGCCTCGCCTCCAACAACCGCTCAGCACCCTGTCTTGTCTGCGCGACCTGGATCAACAAGGACATCTTGGCCTCGTAGATATACAGTGGGTTTAGGTCATCTTCAAGGCGACGCCAATTCACATTAGCCGTGGAATCGATGGCGCGCGATCGAGTGGAAAGGGCATACCAGGATCAGGTTTCAAAACGGACTGCAATCTTTCATCTGCTTCTTTCAGGCCTCTGGCAAAGTTCATCAGGAACCCGTTCTTTGCCATCGTCCCCAACACCAAGGCTTGTCTGTCCCCCCTTGCCAGGTGGACTAAACAGTCCAAAAGCATGAACGCGACCGTCTTCCAAACTTCCGTCCCGTCAGTCGCATCTCGACAAATGGTCGTCATTAGTCGCTCGATAACGGGCTTCATGACAGCGAGGGTACCCTCTTCGAGTGCAGATGGGGTTGAAAGATGAGTGTTGGGGGAGAAACGGGATGAGGTGGGTGTGGCTGAACGGAGAGAGTTGGACATGGAGGTGCTGTCGCTGAGGAAAGAAATTTCACGGAGTGAGAGGTTGGTGGAGCCCGCCAGGGAGAGACTGAGATTGACGGCCTTGTTGTCGGATGAGTCGGGAGATGAGTCGGATGAGATGAGGTGGAAGTAGTTGATTAGCGCGGCGTAGAGGTTACCACGGACTAGTTCAACACGATGATCCGCGATGCATTCCAATATACTTCGGAATAAGGCATAGAGACGTTCCGCAGGAAGAGAACCGGCGTCCGAGTCCACACCGGCAGATTGGACCAATCGTTGACTGCGCCTGTCCTCCCGAATTTTGGTGATGAGGGAGAGCGAAACCTCAGCAAAGAGAACAGCTGTCGAGTCGGTGATCGCGCCTGATCGGATGATAGGTGGCAACTCATGTAACAGGTCAAAGAGCATTGTCTCTCTCCTGTCCCTCGGCAGCTTCGCGAAACACTGTACGAGTGTCATATCCACCAGTCTCCTCCACGCCTCGAACCCATTCGCCACAGCGAATTGAACCTCCCGCCTATGATTCTCCACCGCGCAACTTTCCAGAACATAGGCCGTCTCCGCGTCCAACTTCTCCAGATGCGCGGGATTGACGATGTGGCCTTGGGCGTGGAGGACTTTCCTCGCAGTAGAAAGCATCCCGAGCAACGCGTTGCGATCGACAATCTCGCATCCCTTCTCGTCCAATTTCACACATTGTCCCAAGCCCAAGCCCCCTAGGAACTCGAGCTCCACTGCCGCCGCCTCGGTAGTCAAAGCCAGACTGTCGACCCACTCAAACGAGAGTGACTGTACGAACTCAATGATCCGCATGTGCGTCTGTCCGATTTGGTGCGGCTTGAATGGCCTAAACGTCTCGTCCTCCCAATCCTCGTCGACCACATCGTCTATCTTCTGATTCCCGTAAATCAGATCTAACAGCTCTCCTACGCCACGGAAATGTGCCTTCTTCGTCAGGACGTGCAGATCCAAAGCGACGAGGTCGAAAATGTATGACCGCAGTCTGAGGAAGGACGTGAGCACAGAGATTGATGTCGGCACCCTCGCCCCATCCGCGTATTGGACTTCCACGGTTGGCTCCGCAATCCCCGTCGGTACTTGGAATGGTAATACCGCCAGTTGCCTCGCAAAGAAATCCTCCTGCGCCCTCAAGTACCGCATCGTCATCTCCGACGTGTCTCGATGCATACACATCTGGTACAATATCCTGTAGTACCGCTCTGCTAGCTCCGGGAAACCTTCGAAGAGAGGTCGACCTTGAGTGCTACCTGCCTGGGCGAGTTCACGCTCTTTGCCTTTCGTGTGAAGGCGGGGCACACCGATGTTGACCCATTCGAGGATGACATGGAAGGGAGTTTCAAACCAGTCTACGGCACGGGGATCTTCGATTTGCTTCACCTTGGTGTCGCGGAGGAGGATGAGGTGGGCAACGTTGGGATACTTGCTGCCCTTTGCAGTGTTTTGGGAGAGGAGGTCGAGGGCGGCAAGGCGAACAGCTTGAGAGAGGCTTATTGGAAGTTCCTCCATATCGGGAGCACCAGCACCGGTGTATTGTTCCGTGTCGTCCTCCGCAACGTCGATATCTTCCAGAGATTCGAGAGCAAGGATGCTACGATAGGCGATGACAATCTTCGTGCTTTCAGGGCTCTCGGCGAGTATCGTCGTCAGGTTGGGAAAGGCGGCCGAGGTCGAGAGGATGGTAAGTATCTTGACAGACAGGAGCGCGACCTCGGGATGCTGCATATGATGGGCGAACGCCGCGATCGCAGGTGCATAATGCGATTCGAACGAGAGCGCCTGGTCCAGTTTCGTGAAGAACGATCTCGGGCGAACGCCACCTACAACGATCATATTCGCGTCGGGATATTCAGCCGATAGCGGGACGAGGACGTCGAGGAAGATGTCCTGAATTTCGAGCACTCGATGCACGATTCGCAAAACTCGGGTAATGGTGCTCTTGAAGACCGGTTCCTCTGACTCGAAGTTTTTGTCCAGGAGCTCGATGCCGCTCGTGATAAACCTGAAGATGGCTTCTTGGAGTGATGATGCGTTCGTGAGCAGCCGGGCCATGATTTCGTATCCTGGGTGGACGAGCAACGGAAGGAACGACTCTCCTCTGATCTGTTGCTCCTCCGCTGACGCCAGAAGGGCCTCAAGGTCGAAGCTCGCTAACGACCGTTCCATGAATGCCAAACAAAGGTCGTACATCAACCACCTATCCTTCTGAACCCTATACTCCCTGAGCGTTACCCTCAAGAATACCTGGTCGATCACGAAAGCGACGAACGGCCCTATCCCGGGCTGTCTGTATCCTAGTCCAAGGTTATCTGGCACCGTATTGATCGGCTCAGCATCGACAACACGGCTCTTCAGCGGGAGCCGTTTGGGTGTGTGAATGAGCGTACTGAGAAGCCGAAGGAAGGGGATCGTCCCGGGATACTGTCCACCCGGCTCCTCAACCGTCTCGAGCTCAAGTTCAACACCTTTCTTGTTCAGCGAGCCTCCGGTCCCGCGCACATTAATGACCTCGAGTCGCTCCATAAGCGTCCACACCGCACGACCGATCTCGACACCGGGAAGGCCAGCACCGGGTTCGCAGAATGCGGCCAAAGCCGCGAAGATGGATCCCTTGAGTTCGACGGGTACAGGAAGAGGAACGAGCGACACGAGAGTGGGGATCGCGCGCAGGTGTGCGGTACTGCTCAATGCTGTCCGTGCGTTGACGGCATATGTGACGACGTTGGAGAGGAGGCGAAGGAAGGCTTGAGCAAGCCAGACGTCTTTCGGTGTCAGTGTGAACTGTGGTTGTTGTGGCACATGCTGCTGAGGGTGGTGAGTCGAAAGCATGCCAAATTGCGAACTCGAAAACGAAGGAGGGGGTGGTGCTGGTGGACGTGTGGCCGAGGAGCTGGCTGCGGCCCACGACTCGAGGAGTTGAAAGATGGCGGACCAGGAAACAAGTGCACCATTTGCCGCTGAGTTCGATTGTGGCAACATGCTCCCCGGGATGACCTCACCATTACCTCTCGCCATAAAATTGTACGCCAATTCGCTGCATTGTTGACCCTTTGCCAGACCAGCGAGCATATTGTACAACGCGATAGACATGTCCAGGTCTCGTGGCTGGGTGGACCATACTGACCATTGCAAGAACGCAGGTAGTTTCCCGGCCGATACTTCGTTATACTCAAGCCAGGAAAGAGGCTGCGAGCCCGGTGGGCTGCAGCCCCAGAATTGTAGACCACGTTCAGGAGGTAGAGCAGAGAAGAGTTCGCCGATGAAAGTGAAGAACATGGCAATGTCGTTCCGTGTGATTGAGGTGCTTTTATCGAGCTCTGTGCGAGAGGTGTGGGATGAGCGGAAAGCCCTCGAGCGATCGGAACGAGCGTTGGCCAAGATCACGTCTTCTTGTCGTTGCTTGATCTTTCGGAGCTCGGAAGATGCGTGAGTGATGATTGAACGGACGAGGGTCTCGAATGAGCGCAAGACGACCGGCTTGAACTCATCCCCGACGAAATCGTGTAGTTGTTGCTCTGCTTCGGGAGCCGATCGCAGCAAGGAGTCGGCGAAAGAATTTGATTGAACGTGGCCTTCGCGTTTTTCGAGCTCGACGACACATGAGGTGAGGTAGGTAAACGCGTCTCCCTGAACGGCATTCCATACGTTGGTTTCCAGTTCCTCCGTCTTGAAACCTTCGCGATGCTCCAATGTCGGATCTCGATGCCGTACCTCTGTCAGAAACAGGGTCCATTTGAGTAAAATCGCTGCCTTCAACCCGGGATTCTTCCACTCCGTCGTCGGGCTCAACTTATTCTTCATGAGTGAGAGCGTGCTGGCATGAACTGCGAGGTCATGGCGGTTCGTGATTGATCGTGAGCGCGGGTCAATGGGATCAAAAGCAGCGAGGACGGTGGTGAGGATATAGTATGTCATTGCATGGTGGGGGTTATTTTGCAGCCAGGGAATCATGCGCTCGATTTGGTGAGAGGAGACAGCGCCAAGGCGGACCAGAAGGAAAAGAAGAGTCGCGAGTGACCGTCGTTCATATTTGAGTGACTCCAATCTCGGGAGGAGGGCGTCCTGTCCCCAATTAATATTTTGCCCTATGAATGAACTCGTCAGCGTTGTTCTCTGCAACAAAATTGTTCGATAAATAGCCTGTAACGAAGATGAGATCGATCTGGCCCAACGAGACAGCGTAAACCTATCGTGATGTGAGAACTACAGGCATGTGGGCAAAGGACTGTGTCTGTTCGTTGTTCCGTAGAATGCAACGGAAAAATGTACGTTGGCAGTTGACTCTATTGCCAAGTAGAAGCGTCCAGTTCACTCTAGAGGTATATTATCGTAGTAGCGATATATGTCGTCATCTTATGACATCGTATGCCGAGGTCAACCTCTGCAACTTCTGCATGGCTTCCCCAGTTTACTCCATTCAAAGCTGGAGTTCGAGATGAGGGCCGTCCTTTGGACTCAAATTTGAGAGACGCTAGGCCAATTCAGGCAGAAAGACTTGTTGGCTGCTATGGCCTTCAATGGGCGCTCCTGGCGACGACCATTGGGCAGCAAAGATCCGTATAGAGTGTGGCTCACCTTGGACATCTGTCGTACTGACAGCGTTCTGCGTTTGTGTCTGTGCTGTCGCTATAGCTTGCTCTAACGCCTCAACCTGCACCAGAATCTTCTGGGTAAGGCTCTTTGGCCCCAAGGCCTCCCCCAGAAGGTGTTTCGTGACAAAATCCGCTAGACGCTTGTGTAGTTGGCTCGACTGTTCTGGCACTGCACATTCGGTGATGTCGAGTAATAGTCGGAGGCAATGGACGATGTCTGCACGTCTTTGATGATGCTCTGCTACGGTCTTGATAATGAGTTGTTCGGAAGTGATGTTGGGGTTGGTTCTTGTGACGAATAGAACGAGCGAGCCGACGTAGAACTCGGAGCAATCGAGAACTTGGGCTATGGAGATGATCTGGTATCCACCATCCGCGTTCACATTCTGCTTGACACCATTAATGGTGAGTTTTCCTTGATAAAAACACGTCAGAATCTACAGTCAAGGAAAGGAACATGGCCGAACGCACCTTCTCGCAAGTCCTTCTGTTCAGCTTCACTTCGTGGTGGAACATCGAAAAGGTTCAAGAGGGTTGGTCGTGCAGAAACCAGGAGTTCAAATAGTTCTCGTTCGTCGTCGACTGTTCCTGTGGAAGAAAATGAGAGAAGGGTACTGCGAAGGTGGGCGAGGGACTGCATCAAGGACGGTGGCGAACAACAAACACGAACGCGTCCGGATTTCTGCACGCGTTGGGGTCGTGGGAAAGTGTGGCGGAAAATGAACATGAATCGTGTCAGTGGCACCCCTTCTCATTTCGATCCTGCACCTCGACTGGTTTTTCAATCTCACTTCTCTCCTAGCTTCTGAATTACTCCTTGTACCGATGGATTTGGGTATGCTGGTGGTCCCAATATCACTCGCTACTCGCGTCCCGCCTTCATGTCCCGCCTTCATGACCTTCGATTTTTCTGGGAGAAACTTAGACCCCACTGGAGCATCAGCACCGCTACTGAAGGCTCATTTTTGGCATATAGTAACTTAGTGCCTAAAACAATCGATGTGCCAGTGTAACCCGCATGTCCCGTTCCCGCTGTTTTCATTTCGGATCGTCGCCACATGCTACCACATCGTATGTTTCTCCCGCTCACCCTTGGTATTTTTGACGGTCAGACGACTCGTTGCCGTATGGTCACGGAATGTATGTTTGTTTCGAAGTTTCTGAACTGTCTATGTCTGACAGGGCACGTTGCTGTGTGTTGATTAGACTCTGTCAATTGTGTTGGTCCACCACTGCCCCTCTGCGCGTCATTTTCGATTGCTCGTGATGCTTGTGGATCCGGGGTGCCAGTCATTACTTGAGGAATCAACGTCCCACCGAGAACGGGATGGTATCATTTGCATGGCATCTCATGCATCAGATCTTCTCCACATCCAGGCATTTGAAAGGTCTGCAGCCAGAAGACCTATAAAATGACTGACACTGGGAGAAAAGTTGCACACATGTACCTAATCCCAGAGTCATCAGGGCACCACTATAACGCTCGTCCTTTGCAGCACGTATCAGATGTCGCCCGACAGTGCTTCTCAATTGTGAGCCTTTGGTTGGACAGACACCTGCTTCGTATATCTCGCTAACATGACCCAAGGGTGGGGAGCCATACTATACCGCTCATCTGCTTCGGTACATTTGTGCGGCCTAATATCATTGTTGTGCTGGGACTGATACTCTCTACTGGCGCTAACTCTAGCTATACTATACTACGACTACGCCCTAACCTTCACCGCAGAGGTTACCTACTTTTGGCCCCCGCGTAATCAATTCAGGTGGCCCGTGCTTCTGTTCTTCATGAACCGATATCTCGTTGTGTGTGGGCATGTCGTTATGGTCTTGGATATTTGCATGTATCCAAAGAATATATCGGTATGCGTTAAGCTCCACCTTATACTCTCACTGTCGCTGACTACGACATTTTGCCTCCGAAGCTGTCAGTCACAGTCTTATTCAGGTTCATTCTGCTATATGAACCAACATCTACTAAATTACGTTTTCTTCGGTCTTATAGATGCTCTTATATCTACAAATTCCATGAGCCCTACGTAGGAGTTGTTCAATTGGTGGTAATTGGTGCACACGACGTCTTTCCATCCTTCAACGTTTCGCACAATTGTTAACAGCATCGTTGCAGGTCTCTGCATCACACGAGTATCGGCTATGTACAATAACCATCGTTTGGTTCTTGGGTTTCTCACGCTTGAGGCAGCGGCGATTGTTGGTGTAACCGTCGTGCGTACCGCATTACCAGTCATTTCGAGAACTGGAATGCTTTGACTCATTTGACACACATCAGTCTTCTGTTCTGGCGGACATGCATGCTGGAGAGTATCCACTTCTACCTCTCGACAGCGTTCCTGGATGTAACCCTCTGGTAACAGCCAAATAGTATGTCCAGTCCTCTGTAATGCATACCTACGTTATTGAAGGCCATTGCTTCTCATAGTGCGAAGCGTAAGTCACGGAATACTCATTCATGGCTTGATATTGATGCGTGGGTGCTTGTAGGTATCGCAATTCCATGGAGTGCCCTCCTCGTATTCGACTTCAGCATCTTCTTCCTGACCTTGTACAAAGCACTGCGTTGTGGTCAGAATCCACCCATCAAACTAGTAACTATCCTTGTTCGAGACGGTAAGTCTACTCTCATTCCGTGTTTTACAGTTAAGCTCATTGATCTTCCACATGCCTTCAGGTGCGCTGTACTTTGGGTATGTTCCGGTCCGTTTCACGCTAAAATATGGGACATGATATTGAAAGGCTCTACGTGCAGCGTACTGTTCACAGTGAATCTCACGAACGTATTTATGCTATTTGTGAGTGACACATGTTCTCGATATTTATTCAGAGATACTTGTTGGCACTGATCCAAACACTGCCAAATACTGTTTGCCCAGTATGCTCCGGTACGAGTACAACTCTTCTAATTTTACTGTCAATTCGTTCAATCGGTGCTCACGCCATAATCCATCTTACCTTGGCTTCAAGCCACTTCTAAAGAACGTCAATACGATTGTGTCCAATGTGTGAGTGCACCAAACCAATAATACTCCCAGTAATTCCCTCGCTTCCCAGAGATTTAACCTTCCTTGATTTTGTAGGCTCTCGAGCACTCTGATGTCTCGACTGATGCTGAACCTTCGCGACGAGGCAAACCGTAAGGAAGATTCAGAGGCCCAGCTCGACACACTTTCCGTTCCGCGATTCCGGACTGGGTCGTCTGTCAGCAGCACCGAGGATGTATAACTCGAGCGGATTCTAAAACTTAGAGGAGAACGATGATCCTTTCTTCATTGAGGCTGATCCTAGCCTGTCTTTGGTACCTACGGACTGCTTTGGGGCTTGTTGTGAGGATGTTGTCGGTTTACGTCTGAGTCCTTGGACTTTCTCATCGCACGGTCCCAAATTCATCAGTCGTGTAATCAATCATAGGATGAGTCAATGTAAGTAATACTCAAGCCTGAGGCTACTACAAGCTTGAAAGTCGTGCATGTAAGCAATAGGGGCTCTTCACTCGAGAACTTATCTTATCGGTTCGCGATAACCACCGCCACAATGGTCACTCGGGTGGCGTTCACTGCTACCACCGTCATCTTGAGCTCTGCGCCCACCGCATATAACAGGAGTTCCAATCGTAGTCGTTGAGCACCCTTCCATCTTCCGTCTATGACTCATGCAGAGGTCAAGTGGTCAAGGCTGTGATCTCCTTCTGAGTCTGACGAACCCACTTCGACGATTACTCAGGCTCTACGCCGACCGACTGGAGTACTTATACTTGCATAACCGAGCCTGCTGCAATCTCAGGCCTTTTACACCTTTCTCAGTCTTCTACCATTCATCTCACGCCCAGTGCTATCTCCACCTGAAAGAATGACGATTCCATTCCCTCCCCCTGGCTACGTAGAGGCCTCGCTCAAGCGCGTTCGTGTATTCTTTGGTGGACAATGGATTGTCGACACGAAGGTAGCTAAGCTCGGGTACGCCTCTCCTCTCTGTGGTTCACCAATTTGAACAGACACTCATCCAGTGTGATGTATGTGCAGGTGGGAACATCCGAACTACCCGCAATATTTCTTCCCCCTATCTGAGGTCCCCGAAAAATACCTCGAAAAATCTTCTGAAGATACATACGATGTCGTTGTTGATAGCAAACGTGCGGCTCAAGCTGCCATAGTCTTCAAGGGCGGCCCATTTTCTGGACTTTTGCGGATTGTATTTGGGAAGATGGACGCATGGTTCGAGGAGGAAGAGCAGATTTTCATTCATCCGAAGGATCCATATAAGGTGTGTACACATTAGGCTCTGACCAACCGTTATATTTGAAATCGTGAAGATAATCGTTCACTGTTATAACGGCTGTTCCAATTTGAGGGCCTTTTGCGGGGCGCCTCCGCACCTGCCTCATTGGGACATGTTGCGCACTTGGCTCGTCGCGCGCGGGCTTGCGGGCCGAGAAGTACCCGGGCGCAGGGAACTCGAACGAAAATTCACTAGTGTACCAAATATAATCATTTGAAGCCTATATCCTCCTTGCTTGCTCGAAAGCTAGCTTCCATAACATGTCTGAGCTACAATGGGCTGAGCCTACTACAGGAAAACCGAAGAAAAGAGCTCCAAACGGTAGTCGTACACCAAGAAGTGCTTCACACCGCCGTGTGGCACCGACCCCCAGTCCAGCATCTGTGCCTACAACACCAGTCGGTAATGTGGATTCAACTATATCAATACAACACTCACTCATACTCCACCAGTTTCGCAAAATCCTACATCCCTACCCCCCTCAGCAGCCACAGTCCCAACAACTACACCTACCGCCGAGCCCGCCTCCACGCAAAGTAATCCCCACACGGTCCGCTTCATTCATGTATCCTCGGGTCCTCAATCTGCTGCGTCCAACGCACAGCCACCAAAGAAACCCACCGGCGCACAGCTGGTTGAGCTTGTCTTGTCGTTCATTTCGAGTGAGGAGTGTGGCGAGGCCACCTTGGCCGACTTCCTCTACCATCTCTTCAAGGAGAGCACGACCAAGGACCGGATGGTCACCACTCTTCTGAACGGAACCTGTCACTCGAGCCACTCCTTCTCTCAAATCCTGAGTACCCTCTTAAATCGCACCATCGCGACTGTCTTCCGCAAGAACGATCAGACCGCCCCAGAAAGCGGCTACTACTATACACCGGGACAATCGTCGCAAGAGCACGAACACGCCCATCCCGCTCTCATTGCGTGGGCGTGTGAGCTGGTCGCGGAGCTGGTCCATCGGGAATCTGACATCATGATCTCCAGGAAGGCCGGGCTCCACGTTCGCGCTAAGAATACATCGAAGAAGAAAGCAACGAGCTCGTCCACGGCCACACCGCCACTCGGTTTGAAGAACACGGCGCCACTCGAAGAAGGTGTGGTGCCAAACGAGGTGGACGTTGAATTGGGTGCCATTGGAGAGGACCAAAGTCGGAGTAGCAACACGGGAAGGGTCGAGGGCGAGGGAAGGGAGGATGGAGTTGATGATAGTGCAGATATTGAGATGGCGCTTGCGGACAACGAGCCGGAGTCTTCGGAGGAAGAGGGTATGGATCACGATGAGTGTGAAGATGAACGGAGGGGTGACAGGCCGGCGATGCAGGAGGTGCAGGAAGAGGCGAGGGAGGACGTAGTGAGGGACGAAGCTGCGAGAGGGAGAGCTGAGGGCCCATCCATGGCGGACCGTCGTACTGAAGCACCGATGTCTGACGACCACATCACCTGGCAGAAAATAATGGACTTCAGTCATGGGAAGATGCAGAAGACAGCGAGGAAACACGCACCGATTATGTGGATGTTGATTAATCACTATACGTCAGTCCCCCGCTTGACAAAGGACGATGCGGGAGGTCGGGTTGTTGCACAGAGGGTCTATCGTCCAAATGAACTTGTATGTCTGGTAGCTCCTTCTAAAATATAAAAAGCGAATCATTAAGCTGTCGTGAGCAGGTATGCATCAATGCACTGATGTCCCTTACCTTCGGTCGATCCAATCGAGCGAATCTTTACCCCATGTGCCGAGGTATCTGGCTCTTCGCAGTGATGGCACCGAAAACCATCTTCCGCGTTGAGAGCCGACTCGCCCAAACTGTCGTCTACCAGACTGTAATGGACGCGCTCTACTCAATGGCGAAAGGTCAACGCGAAGAGCTTCGTGCTCTCATGAGAACCAACTCGGGCGATCCAGACGATCCAAATTGGCAGCCTCCGACTGACTTTTGGGACGTCAGCGATAACGTCCAGTTCTTCCGGCACGTCTACGACCAGCGATTTGGGAATGAAAGCGGGATGGTGACGGGCTATTGGGGCACGATGGTCCAAATGGCTGATTATGAGACGGACGCACTGCTTGCGGCTCCACTGATCGCGGCACAGAATCACATGGAGCGTAAACAACTTTCAGTCGACATTCTGCAGTCTAAAATCAACCATACTCACCTCGACAATGTCTCTTGGACTGCAGTTCTGCGCCCGCTCCTGGAATTTGACCCGAACCTCAGCTACCTGAAGACCTCATTCGAAGCACGATCCACCGAGCTTCTCAGGGTTCATCAGATTCCGGAGAGTCGCGAGACAAAGATCTTGCCATTTTCTTCCAACAATGCGAACGAAATGACGCCTGCCGGTATGAAGCAAGCGATTGCGGATCATTTTTTACAGCGAGGAATTGATCGGGATACTCACAAAGGACGTATCTATATTCACTCCGGGGACGGGAAGACCTTTGACATGTACCTCAAGCTGCAGAAGTACCTCTCCACGCACGAGAACGACATTGAGGCTTTGCGCTGCCTACTTCCGATGCTCGAAACCTGGCATACAAAGTGGACGGACCTCAGTCGGACGATTCGCGCGTCGTTAGGAAAAGACGCACCAGATTCGGACCCTTCGACTCTCAAAGCATTCGCAAGAGAGACGAACTGTAAAGTGCCGACAGATCCGCATAAGATCAATTTCTACGAAGGCAAGCACTTATTAGAATTAGCTTTTAATGCGCATATACTGGTACTATGGGAGTGAGTACTCACATCATCTCTGGACACTTGGTTGACAATGCCGACTCTGACCCTTGTGACATTGTGGTACTGGTAGAGATATCCTGGGAACGACGGACATCATCAAATTCTTCGCAGAAAAGGCCGAGGTGAAGGACCATACAACGACCTTGGCCTTGCCTTGAACGATCCACAGGAGATCTGGAAATTCGTAGCCTGCAAGTGTATGAGACAGCTCGTGTACGACAACACGGACGTTGGGCCGCTCGTTGCTCTCCCGGTGAAGTGTGTACTGACCCGGAGACAGACTGAGTGCTTTGGCGATCTCGTATACCGCTGGACCATCCTCTAACGTCCCCGTCACGCCGATGCATACGGTATGAGGTAGTAGTCGTTTACGCAGAACCCCAATCTGGAGGTAAGCCTTCCGAAATTCCTTCCCCCACGACAGAAGTGTCTGAAGCTCATCGATTCCTAGAATGATGAGCTTGTCAAGGAACTGATCATCGCGTATGATTCGATTGACCTCCGGGGACACGAGACGTTCGGGCGAGAGAAGCACGACCGGCCAGTCGCCTCTGCAAATCTCATCATAGATGCGTGGACCGTGCTTCTTGACAGTTTCGGAATGCAGAGCGATAGCTTTGAGGCCGTATTCTGCCATCTCCGCGACCTACACCATTCGCTGTGAGTATCCTTGTTTTGATTGGAATATTTCTAGCCCTACCTGACTGTTTTCGAGTTCGACAAGGGGACTGATGATGATCGCGATGGGGTTTTCTGGTGCTGGTCGTCCGGCGATAGTAAATTTTATTTTGTGTTTGATTAAGTAGAGTATGATTATGATGGGTGCGTAGAACAGCGCTGTTTTTCCTCCTCCGCATGGAACCTCAATAAAATGGTGTTCGCCGTCCATGGTATAACCCCAAGAAACATGCTGAAATTTTCGAGGCCCTGTTGTCCATTGAGGAATGCATCTGGCGATTATGTGGTCGAAAAGGGAGTGTCTTTCAGAGGTGAGCAGGTTGGTAAGGAGAGCGGCGGAGTCGACATTGTCGCTCATTGAGAATAAATAAGTTGAGGGTGGTTTTCTCTATGTTTCGCTACATAGACTACGCTACCGAAAAGACATTGGGCGCGACGCGTCGAAGTCACATGGTCGCGTTTCCGGGACCGACGCGCAGCTCTGAGCTTGCGCAACATGTCCCGATAAGGCAGGCGGAGAGGCGTCCCGCAAACGGCCCTCAAATTGGACAAGACTATGTACACATCCCCTCCGATATTAACCATGTTATTCTATCAGACTCATGCTTTGACTCTCTGCTGTACATACAGCGTGTAGAAGTGCTCCCCTCTTCTCGTCACATCCGTGTCGAAGTTGACGGTGTAGAAGTTGCAAACACGAAACGAGCTCGCCTCCTCTTCGAGACCGGCTTACCCGTTCGCAGTTACATTCCTAAAACCGATACACGTTTGGACATACTGGAACCCTCCAGCCTCACTACTCAATGCCCTTACAAGGTGAGCAACTGCTCGAGCCCAAGCTGTGTATCTCATGCTGACTTGAGCAGGGGGTGGCGAGCTACTACAATGTGAAGCTGCCTTCGGGCCAGACACGCGATGATATAGTATGGTGGTACCGTACGCCACTCCTGGAGTGTTCGGAGATCAGAGGACATGTGGCTTTTTATGATGAGAAGGTCGACGTTTGGGTCGACGGGGTGAAGGTTGAGAGACCGAAGACGCATTTTGCTTGAGCTTAACACGGTAATCAGGAGATGTGATTCGGTTTACGGCAGTGATACTCGACCGCTCATTCCAAAATCATGTACAGTCTATACGTCGTATTGTTCGCTGCGGTCAAAGACAGTGCACAAAGAAGAACCTTCCCTCTAACTTCCCTCGAGTCACGTCGGGCCACATTCGTTACTTGCCGCTGGCAAGCTCGCTCGACGCCACCTATCGAGCCTGGTCCGTGCGCACTCTGCCATCCTTCATAAGCGCGCCTTCGACATCTGGAAAAGGCATACTTACCTTGATGGGATATTCCCCTTCATGTACCTGGGAGTGTCGGCCGTTGGGTTCTTCCATTGCACGGCGACCTTGTCCCCAGAGGAACCTGGCGGTTTGTACGGTCCTATGGGCCGTGCACCGTCTCAATATTTTCCTGTCCCACTCCGGCCCTCGGGCTGGGTGGGCCATTTTTTTTTGGCCGGTTCGCTGGGCTAACCCTAACCCTATATTACGCCTCAGTGGCGAAGAAAGTGGGTGCCACATTACTTACCTCAATACTGTATTATCCTTCCTTGTTTTTGGTGGAGTTGCAAGAGGTTGTGGAGTGACATCATATCCACTCCGTTCTTTGTATACACCTTGCTCGAACTAGGAGTCACATTCATTCGAATCAGACTAGTACTTGGCCTGCAGCTGAGCGGACACACTATAACTACGGAGACGCACGCAAAGATAAACACAAATAATTGAAACATGACACGCGGCAACTTATCGCGAGTTTGAAGTTCCTGTGAGCTCGCGGAGGGAATTCTTCACTTTTGTAGCTCATTGTGCAAAATTGAATCGCTATGGCCCTTTGCACAAGAATGCTTACGAAGTGCAATAATCCTAAGCCTTCATTTTTCTTTTGACCACCCCAGTAAGTCAACAGTAAGTAATTACGTGCAGCGCCGAACGGTGGACCAAGAACGAAAGAACGGGGAGTGCCGTACAGGCTTTCTTTTGTTTGCGACGATGACTCAGGTTCATCCTCCATCTCCTCATCTCCAAACATCAAGTGTAGATGGACTCTCTCGTAGCTCTGTACTCCAGGTAAGCATGTTTTTCGAGAAACCTACTTCCTGGGGAACTGCTCTTTACGTCGGGTATGATTTCACTTCCCCTTTCAGCCCGCAGGTGTTTTGGCCCTCGATCTCTCGATCCCGTCTCGATAACTTTTACAGATCATTCAACAACTCCTACCATGATGAGACGATCCTACGAAACGCTGCAGCATGGTTAAAACAGGAGTTGTCTGCGATAAACTCAGTTGAACGCACAGTTTCATATATGCGTGAACACCCCAACGACGGATGGGGCACCTTTGGACAAAGATCGATTGCTATAAAGACCCAGCGTCCTGGAAGGTGAGTATCCCCTCAATCTGTGCAGGCCGTTCTACTTGCGTGCTGAACACAATGGATAGTATCCACCAATATTGGTATGAGCTGGCCGAACCACGCCTCATGGAGATATACCTGATCGCTTGGTCTTTCCCTCAAGCCACCAGCCAGCAGTTCCTCGATACGAACTTGCGATCCGAAAGCAATGCATTGCTTGCTTTGCAGCCGACTCTCAGGACTGCTCTCAATTCTCTCGCACCTGTTGAACGTCTGCCTCCCGAAATGTTGAGCTATTGTTTTCTATTGCTCAGGACCGAAGAAGTGGAGAGATTGAGACACGCGGACAACTACCGCTCTGACTCGACTGGCATACAGTGGCTGATGGCTATCACCCATGTCTGCCGAAGGTGGCGGACTGTGGCGCTGGATGCTAAGCCTCTTTGGCGGCAGCTAGACGTGCGTAGTGGTTCTCAATGGTTCCAAGCTATGTTGTCGCGGGCTGGGTCTCTCCCGCTCGTTATTATTTGCCACGGTCTTGACATTGGGGCTTGTGTGGCTTGGATTCAGGACGACGTCATCCCCAACATGGACCGTGTAGAAGAGATCCGTCTATCTTGCATGGTTTGGGATCCATTTGTGTTGGACTACAGTGACTACCTTGTGGAGTTATGCGCTCATGCGGCCCCAATGCTAAAATCATTTCACTTCGCGCTGTTCCAGGGACAAGGTGACGAGGCCGGACTGTTTCAAGGCGTGTACATGGACTTACCAGAGCCCTTGTTTGGAGGAGCTGCTCCTCTGTTATCCAAAATCACACTCTCGGGCCTCTCAGTATTTCATCCTCCTTCCTGTTCGTCCTTCCACAATTTGACGTCGCTATTCTTATCTGCTGCCGTTGAAATAGACTTTGGGGGCGTAATCCCTCGCGATGAAGCTCCATGGTTCTTATACTTCGACCAGGCCCTAATCAACTTTGATGGCCTTCTCGACGCGCTGGAACAGTCGCCCTCTCTCCAGTACTTGACAGTCATTTCGTGCCTTAGCAACACGGGGTCCGACGTTGACCACGACGGAAACGTGACGCGTGTTGTGCGACTACCTCACATGAGGAACATAATACTTTGGGAGAACGCTTCTGAATGTGTACGCTTGATGCGACATATCTATCTCCCTCCGACCTCTCTCCGATCTATCTCCGCCAGGGTAGAATGGTACATTCTAGACGATGAGGCCTTACTGAAGGACCTCGTGAGGACGCTGATGCTCCATGATGGTATGCAAGGCCGCATGCGAGCCGTTTCCATCGAACTTCAGCGTGAGGATAAGTCGGAAGAGACACGTGTTCATCTGAAACACTGGCTCCGACCTGCTCTCAATCGACCAGGCGACTTCGACGACTGGGAGGTCCACCTCCCGAAAACCGTCCCCGATATAAGAATCACACTCGCAGGACCTGAAGACATGGAAGATGAGTTCCATGTCATCATAGACGCGTTAACCCGAGGGACAGATTTTAGCGCAGTGGAGACATTTTCCGTTTATTACGATGCCGGGTCTCGGTGCCTTGAAGAACCGTCTAAGATCTCCGTAGACTGGTGGTTGGATAACCTCACTCAAATGCGACGGCTGAGCCGCATTGCCCTGTCCGAGAGGCTGGGAAATATCTTCATCGAGGTTCTCTCCCGGAGTGGAATGTCCGGTGAAGACATGTATCACCCTCACCTTAGCCATGTCGCACTATCCCAGGTCGACTTTGACGAATGTCTCTTTGGCGAGCAGACGGCATACGACACCTTATACTCTGCACTCGCCTCCAGGTCGTCGGCAGGGCGACCCTTACAGTGGCTATTGCTCGAGGATTGCACGATCCCGAAGCGCTGGGTACAGGAACTGTCGGAGGTAGTCGACGACGTGTTGTGGGACGATAACCGGGGCAGTCATGACAACGAGGATGAAGGTAACACTAGTGACAGCGACCAGTGGCAAGGGAGTCTTGAGGATGAGGACGAAGGTGACAGCAGTGACATCGATGGTGGGGACGATGACCGAGGCCGTCCTCAGGACGGGGACGAAGGCGACATCAACGACAAAAATAATGAGGACGAGAATGAGGATGATGGCCGTGACGTTCACTGTTAGACATGGGCACTTTCAAAGACGTGTACTGGTGGATTCCTTGGGAGATGACACGGGCGACGAAGAGATGAATTACCTAGACCGAACGAGGCCGCAGAGAAATAGTTAAGCACCATATTTATCAGGCGTAAGTTACATGTGGTGGTAGTGCCAATGAATACGACGTTCAAACTGTCTGTAACAGTCCATTGAATACGATGGTTTTTTGTCAAACAAGCACTTCGCGATACATGTAGCCAAATAGATTGTTCGAGTCCTTCGCCGAACAGCACAAAAGATACTCACCCTATCCACAATCTCACGAAACGCAACGACAATCACCAGCCGTTTTCCCATATGTGTGTTTGAATGTCCATTGAAAACAACGACTCGATGCTACATTAGTATATACTGTACCACTTCCACTGACAGACCCTCGAAAGTATGGCTCTCCGCTATGTATACTGTAGAGTAGACAGTGGGCTCCGTAGATACTGTACATTTGCGGGTGCGGCGTTAGTGGCATTGCTTGGTTGGAGTGGTGAGAGAACAGGGTTCCCTTTGAGGGAGAGAGATAGCACTGTGACTGCTGTTTAGCACTGAAGGTAAGAACAGCTATCTCAATAATGTTGACGCATCTTATATTCTCATTTCTTGGACCTGGCGCCATAGGGCCACAACAATTGTGATGTGGCCCGGGCCGACGCCCTTCCTAGCGGAGCCTAAAGTCAGAACTTGCATTGGGTCTGAGGGAGATGCATCATCATGGCACGGACCGACACGACGCTCCTCGATTCTTCTCCGCTTTACGCATCTTTCCTTGATCTCTACTCATGGCGAAAACCCACCTTCTCCCAGTCTCAGGCCTCAGACTCTATCAGACGACGCCTGTCGTACTCTGTACTTCGGGGAAGTATGTCCCATTGTGGTAAAAGGAAGGAACAGCCATATCACTGTGCAAAAGTTAGCAGAAATATTCTAGAGACCTAACACACCAATGGATCTTGCCTCGGCGAAACACCGTTCACCTGCTTTTGGAACCTTTGGAAGGACGGAATTTACTTCTTAGGGCCTGGTCTGGATTCTTATCAGACTATCGCTGCGGTGACCTATCGATGTCTCCGTCTCAGACAAAAGTGTGCTCTATACTGTTTCAGCTTGTTGACAATTACCATATCTGCTCACGATCACTCGTTCTAGCACTTTGAACTGGACTTCTCTCTACCTCGCGGCATGTCCGCTGTAGCACTTATACGGCGACCAAGGTTCTGCTCCTCCACGAAGACATTCGTATCAACCGACCGACCATACCATGTCTCAGGACGTATTTCCCCGTCCATCCACTCCGATTGAGCTCTCTCCTTTATCTCTAACACCAGCTCCTCATCTTGCCGTATCAGAATCGCCTCAAATGGACCATGTTGCCGAACAACTCGTTCCACGATCTGCGCGGAACGAGACGTCACTACACCCTGTAGACGGTGGATGGCGAGCTTGGTTGTTTGTACGTCAAGTGTTGTTTCGATCAAGGCCTCCAGGCTCATCACACCATGTCTCTAGCTCGGTGGTGCTTTTCTCGTCGAAACATTTGCTTGGGGGTTCCCTACATCCTACGGTGTCTTTCTCTCTGCATACCTCAGTGATCCAGAGTGGTCCTCCCAGCCTCGTGCAGACTATCTTCTCCCTCTTATCGGCACGCTGATCTCGGGACTGATGTATGTCGCTAGTATGTTCTCTCCAGTATATTGCATGTTTCTGTATCTCTAACGGGTGGCTCAAAACATCAGGCTTCTTCCTGTGCCCTCTCGCAAATCGTTTTCCACGGTACAGGAGGGCCATGATGTGGACCGGGGCCGTCCTATGCTGGGTATCTCTTTTTGGAGCTAGTTATGCAACCGATGTCCGTCAACTCGTCGGACTACAAGGTTGTCTGTACGCTATAGGAGGAGGTAAGTCACCTCCATATCAAAGTATCATTCGCCGCTGACTACGAATGATATTCCAAGCTATGCTCTATGCTCCCATCCCAGACTTTCTGCAGGAGTGGTTCGTTAAACGTCGTGGCCTCGGCTACGGCGTTATAAATGCAGGTTGGTTGTTCGCTCCACACGCTTATATATTCTTCAATACATCTGCACTTTCACGTACCTCAGGGACTAGCTTCGCTGGAGTTTTCTTCCCCTTAGTCCTTCCTGCCTTGTTTTCCTCCTTTGGAACTGCGCAGACGCTTCGTTATCTGTCAATCGCTCTAACGGGATTCACCGCCTTCGCCCTTCTTCTAATACGCCCTCGACTTCCGGAGCGTCGAGTGCATGGGCCGAGGAGGCAGCCAGAAATCTAAACATGGTTCAAGGACTCAAAATGGTGGCTTTTGATTCTCATCAACACGATCCAAGGCTTTGTCTACTACGTCCCCATTGTCTGGCTGCCCAGTATGTCTCCCTTCACAATTTGCTCAGGGATAACGCGATAACAGCCTACCGTAGCTTATGCGTCAGCATTAAATGTGTCGACGACGATCTCGTCACTCTCAGTCGCCCTTCTGAATGGTGAGCCCTCGTTCAGCTGACGTCATAATTGACTTGGCCTGCCACTCGAAATAATATATATACCATAATATTCGTCATCTAAGGATCTTCTGTTCTATCCCGCTTGTGCATGGGTAGCCTCTCTGACCATGTCTCCCCGTGGATCCTTGCGCTGATAATGTGCGCGAGCTCGTCTTTGGCAACGTTTGTCCTATGGGGAGTCACTGGCCATGCCGTGGCCGGTTTGCTTGTTTTTGGGATTGTGTATGGAATTGTAGCCGGAGGATGGTTTGTGCTTTGGGGAGCGTTTGTCAAAGCTATTGCCAGTATGTGTATTGACTGTTTCTGGGAACCATGACGGGGATACTTAGCTGATGCATCGCTCTCAGAGGACAATCCCACGTCGTCCATGATGCTAATTGGTATTCTCATGTTATCGAGTAAGTCTCACTTGCCTTTAGTTATTCTCTCCTGCGATACCAATTCCCAGACTAACACGCCGTTGTCGTCAGCCGGTCTGGGAAGTATCCTGTCAACACCCATCTCTTCCGCACTGTCTTCATCTGGTACATCCTACGACAGAAGCCAGCACTCAAACGCTCGCAGCGGCTTTGGAGTCGAAGGTGGAAGATTTGAGACGATGATAGTTTACGTGGGTACTTGTTTTGCGGGCGCAGCGTTAGTGGCGTTACTTGGTTGGAGTAGTGAGAGAACAGGGTTCCCTTTGAGGGCGAGAGGAGATGGCACTGTGACTGTTGTTTAGCACTGAAGGTACGAACAACTATCTCAATGATGTTGACGCATCTTACACTCTCATTTATTGGACCTGGCACCGTAGGGCCACAACAATGCAATGTGGCCCCGGGCCGATGCTATTCCTAGCGGAGCCTAAAGTTAGAACTTGCATTGGTTCTGAGGGGAGATGCATCGTCATGGCACGGACCGACACGACGCTCTTTGATTCTTTTCAACTTTACGCATCTGACAAAACGTGTCGCGTGTCCCCTGCTTTACTGTCTCATTTGACAGAACAAAAATACCATCCAATGCGGCCACAACGCCCACCGTTGATGACCTATTTTGCCTCACACTCCACATTAACGACAGGAGCATAAACCACATAACCATGGTCTCGTGTATCGGTCCTGGTACGTACGACTTCCCTACTTCTCCATCATACACAGAAAGACCGCTATGTTGAGCACACTCGGCGGTCCGAGGATCGGCCGCATTGGAGAGTAGTCTCTAGTCACAGGACCTATTAACGGAACGCCTGCTGAGAGCGATATTATTGGGGAGTATCAAGTGGATGTTCCCTATTCACTTTAAAAGGCCTTCGAATGCTGATCTCGCAGCTTTTTGAAGATCAGCCACCATGGTCTTGCGAACGGTTTCGCAAATCCTCCTTTTTCTCTTAACTTCATGCGCTGGTACCAGCGCTATAGGCCAGAGTACCTGCGTATACTTCGACCAAAGTTCCTCTAATTCCTCCTCCTTTTCCATTGTCTCTGACGGTCAAGCTGTTCCCGTGTTCCTCTCGTCTGATGACTGGGGTGGTGTTCAGCTCGCCTCTCTGAGTTTCGTCAGCGACATCCAAAAGGTCACCGGAGCCACTCCGAGCATCGCTAATGCTACTACATCATCGTTCTCGAATGGCACCAACAGCTTCGCCACCATACCACCAATCATCATCGGAACACTCGGCCAGTCCTCACTCATCTCTGCCATCGTCAATCATACGAATATGGACGTATCTTCGATCGATGGACAATGGGAGGCGTTCATGACCATGGTGGTCGACAACCCTCTGCCTGGGCTCTCGAAAGCGTATGTGATGATCGGGTCGGACAAACGGGGGACAATATATGCGCTCTACGACCACTCAGAACAGTTTGGTGCGATAATGCTCCATTTAGCATAATATCAGAGGGATTGCCCTGAATTCTGACCATCTCCCTGATGTCTCTCTTTAGGTGTTTCTCCGTGGTATTGGTCAGTTTATCCATGTTCTTCGTAGGATAACTTGGGGCTGATTATTTTGTAATGTGCTTGATAGGTGGGCCGATGTCCCAGTGACTCGACACTCCGAGCTCTTCGTCGTTCCGTCGGGTTGCTCTCACAGTGGCCCCACAGTCAAGTACCGCGGCCTGTTCCTCAACGACGAGCAGCCCGCCCTCCAGAACTGGGCGGCAGACAAATTCACCAATGGAACAGGGGCTCTACTTACTGGGTCACCTTTCAACCATTCCTTCTATACGAACTTGTATGGCTCTGATCACTACTGTAACAGTTGTACAGTGCTAATTATAACTAAACAGGTTTGATCTGCTGCTGAGGCTGAAGGCGAATTACCTCTGGCCCGGTATGTGATATCTATAACTCACATGTTTTCAGACTGAAGAAATCCCTTTCGCACAGCTCAATGGAGCAGGTACGCATTATTAGCCACAGGAAATTCGTTCTTGCTGACTGCTGTTTTCCAGTGCATTCTGCGTAGACGACCCTCAAAATCAATTTCTTGCAGATTACTATGGTATAGTCATGGGTACAAGGTGAATATGCCATGCACTGCGCTGATACCGATCTACATCTAACATTTCATGGATCAAGCCACGAAGAGCCCATGCAGCGCAGCATTCCTGTCGAGTGGTCTCTTTTCGGCAATGGGACAGCTTGGGACTACGCGACGAACTCGCAGAACATCTACAACTTCTGGGTTGAAGGCGTCGAACGGGCAAAGCCATTCGAGACCCTATATACTATTGGAATGCGTGGCGACGGCGATTGTGAGTACATTTGATTTTTCGGCTATGTCTGAACGAATAATGAGTTGACGCATCCGAATTCGCGTAGTGCCACTCGGAACGTCTACGAATGTGCAGCTGTTGGAGAAGATAGTCTCGGACCAGAGGGGCATCTTCCAGGATGTGTACGGAAATGACACAAACGTGGCAACCATTCCGCAAATGTGGTGTCTCTGTGAGCATCCCATCGAACGGATGCTCTTTGAAAGGCTGATAATGTGGCCCAAACAGATCAGGAGGTCCAAGGATACTATGAGGATGGTATGACCGTACCTGACGACGTTACACTCCTCTGGACTGACGATACGTACGTTTTCATTCTTCCTGGATAATGCGCGACTGCAGTACCCTGACACAAGGCAATCAGCTGGGGAAATGTACGTAGGTACCCTGTGCCGAGCGAGAGGAACAGAACGGGTGGCGCTGGAGTGTACTACCATGTCAGTCCGCATGTTGCCCTCCCTTTCGATTGCATGCGAAGCACTGACGAATATTTATTGCTGTAGTATGACCTTGTGCGTATGATAGTATTAACTCTGTGATGCAACGAATGTGTCAAGTCTGAAGCGAAAATCGTCCAGGTCGGACCTCCTCGAGACTACAAGTGGATCCAGAGTACCCAGATTTCCAAGGTATGTCATACATTCCAGATTATGATACTTCTATATATTAATTGGTTTGGGTACAATACAGGTCTACGAACAGCTTTCTCTCGCCGTCGACCGCGAGGCCACCCGCATCTGGATTCTCAACGTCGGAGACCTCAAACCCTACGAGATGTCCATCGAATTTTTCATGACCCTCGCTTGGAACTCCTCTGTCTGGAACCTCAACAATCTCAATACTTTCGTCTCTTCTTGGGCCACACGGGAATTTAGTCTGAACCCGGAGGATGCGGACGAAGTGGCCCAAATATCGGCGAATATGACGATGGCGCTGGCTAGGATCAAGCCCGAGTTGATCAATTCGACGACATTCAGTCTCATCAACTATAGAGAGTGCGTTATTCTCCTCTCTCATCTAGCGTTGACTGATAGATCACTGGGTGGGGCATTACTTGTCTCCTGCAGAGCTGAAACGATCTTGGGCGCATGGACCGCCATGAACGAATCCGCCTCCCGCATCTACAACTCCCTCCCGTCTGAGGCCCAGCCTTCCTTCTTCCAACTTCTCTATCACCCCGTACAAGCTGGCTTCACACTCACGAACATGTGGATCTCCGCCGGCGTCAACAACATGAGGGCGATGCAGGCTAGGCTAAGCGCGAATAAATATGCGGACACAGTGGAGAACCTGTTTGAGGTAGACTATGACTTGGAGGAGTGGTACCATGGATTGTTGGATGGTTCGTTCTCTTTTTTCTCGTCGGGATGGTGTTTACATCTGGACTGAGGCGGCTTTTATATGGTCAGGGAAATGGGACCAGATGATGGCGCAAACCCACACCGACTACAGCTACTGGCAGGAACCGACGCAGAACATGTGAGCTCACCGTTGTCGCCTTTACTTCTTCATATATATAATATGATCCAGGATGCCTCCTGTTTTGAGAGTCTCCTCTCGAAAACCAAATATCGCCGGCGCAATGCGCATAACACCAGAAGGGACGATGGGTACCTGGTACGTAGTTCTATGTTCTTTGTCCAATGGCGCAGAACGAAAACTCATGATTTGTTTCGACTACAAGGCCCGGTGACTCGCCCTATCAGTGTGCTCAAGGTTATAGTTGTCCAGAACCGAGTATCACCATAACTCGCTTCACTCCCTTTGGCAACAAATTCGTCGACATCAGCATGGGAGGATCCATACCTTTCACTTTCATCGTCACCTCTAACGCATCCTGGCTGTCCATCTCTTCCTCCCCTCCAACATCCACTAACAACTCATCAGACGCAAGCCCTGTTGGAAGCTCATTCAGTGGCAACATATCGACAGACAATATGGAGCAGAGAGTATTTTTGAATGTGGATTGGAGTGGTGTAGAAGAAGGAAGCACGGAAAATGTGACGGTCTGGTTCAATGCCGCGACGCCGGAGGAAACGCCGGGTTTTCTGAGCCCCACAAGCCAGGTCATGCTGACGGTGACGGCGAACAATACGATGCCGGCTGATAATTTTACTGGTGTGTCTCTCCTCGCATTGTATCTATGTTGACTCGTGATCACCCTTACTAGGTTGAACTGACTGACATGTCCCGGATAGGCTTTGTGGAAGGTGACGGTGCGATTTCCATCGAAGCCGCCCATGCAACGAGCAACACTACCGTCGGTGAAGTGGCGTGGACTGAGATTCCGAACTATGGCAGGACGCTGAGTGGAGTCACACCATGGCCTAGGTTAGGGAACAACGAGACAAACTACACGGCGGGTACCGGGCCAAGCCTGTACGTCTCCCCTCTTTCTTTTCTCACTTTGATTACCTTTCGATCCTTCCTGCTCCCCATCGCTCATTCATACTCCTAATATTCGTGTACAGGAAATACTCCTTTTACACCTTCAATTCCATCGACCAATCCGGAAATATCTCCGTCGTGCTCAACCTCTCCCCCTCTCTCAACGCCAACGGCGACGACCGCCCTCTCGCTATCGCCACCCAGATCGATTCTCAGACCCCGAGGACTTATTACCCCATCCCCGCTGCAGCACCAGGCGGTGAACCTCCGGATTGGCAAGGCTGGGTGGCGAATGCTTTGGTGCAGGTGGGAGGGGACGAGTTTTGGGAGGGTGTGTGGCCGGGGGCGCATACGCTGACGGTGAGTCGATGTATCTGTTGCCCTTTGGCCTATGGAAGCAGTTTGGTGTGGGATAGAGGGCTGATGGTGTTTTCGCGCTCTTCGTTAGGTGTGGATGATCGAGCCGGCGGTGGTCCTGCAGAAAATACTGATCGGTACGCTTGATTCCTATTCATCGACTTGGTTCGATACTAAATTCTCATGTATACACCTACTATAGATACGGGAGGCTTGCAGCCGAGTTATTTAGGACCGCCGGAGAGTATTCTCGTCTGAGTCAAGGCAAGAACGACTGGTGTGAGTAATAAACTGTACGAGTAGTAGTGTTGGCTCGCTGTATTTGTAAACAGGCCATATTCTCTGTCTACTATGTTGGCCTGTTCGCATCTAAGTTACCCAACCGCGCAATTGTCGCGCTCATCACAGCACTGCAAACTTACCCGCCAAACGACCCATCCGATACAGAACCATCCAACACAATCAGCAAACCTCGAGACCATGATCTGATACCAGGAGCAAACTCGATCAGCATTGACGATTTCACAACGAAGAACTAGGACTAATATGCATATTGAATTCCATGTTGAAAGCTGTAACTATATCCTTAAGTGTTAATGACAGGAAGTTAAGAAAGAAGGGACGGTACAAGTCCTGCGTGACCTAGCGAGTAAATGACCGGATAGTATGTACATATATATGTACGCTGCAGGCAACTCGAACAAAGTAGAAAAGCGAAAGGAGGAACGAAGAGGAGGAGTAGTGACAAAGAAAGAAGAAGAAAATGATAAGTAAGCACGAAAGGAAGTCAGGTAGGTAAGTAAAGGCGAATCAGGACAGTCGAGCGGCGAGCACTGAGACTAGAAATACAGCACCGAGACGAGCACAGGTGAATACAGCGTTGGTGAGTAAGCGAGCGGGCGAGAGTGCGAGGCAAGGAGTGAGGAACGGAGGGGACGAGGGACGGGCTAGAGGGATGGATGTGACACGTACGAGGCGGGACGGAGAAGAACGAAGAACGAAGAAGGATAAGTACGAATCAGAAGCTCATTCAAGACGAAGAACAAATAATGTATGTTGACCCGAAAAGCTCAGGCTCACAAAGCCCTCGCAGACGACACATCGCTCCCTCTCCAAACCTCATAATCCCCGCTCCCCCCACTAGTCATCCGACTAACCCTCCTCTGCCCCTGACCCTCTCCCGCCCCGATCCCCCCATACACGCTCTCCCCTTTCGCGTTCCCTCTGCTCGGCGACACACCCCTCCTCACCGCCACCTCATCCCAAACCGGCATAACCCTATCCCCCGCCGGACTCGTCTTCCCGTTCTGCCCTCCTCCTCCTCCTCCTCCCGCACCCGCACCCCCACTATAACTAGACCAAGTCGACGCCCTCGAGCTCTGCCTCGATATCGACAGATGATTATCCCGCGCGTACATCGAGCCAGAATAGGTAGACGGCACGGCGCGTCCTTCGGCTTCGAATGGAATGGGGATCGGATCCCAGGAGAGAGCGGGGGATGTGGGGCCGAGGACGGCGTAGGCTGAGGGGAGGGAGGTGTTCGTTTCTCGTCGGGCATTAGCACTACCCTGTGCCGCCGACGATGACGATGACGATGACAAGGGCTGCTGCTGTGAGTACGAGAAGGGTACGGTCCCAGGTGGGTTCGCGAATGGATCGGCGTTGGCGGTGGCGGTGGCGGTGGCGTCGAGGTTGAGAATATTCCGACTATCCTCGAATGGATTCTCGTTATACCCTCCATACACAGGCCCACCCACTATCTCCACAGAAATCCCACTCGCCCTCCTCCTATCCCTCTCCCTCACTCTCACCGGAAACGCAGGACTAGGCAACAACGGACTCGCCACCCTCCCATTCGCATTCCCGTTCGCATCCATCCCCCGCACGTTCACAAGCAACGTATTCCTCGGCGAACCCTCATAATACGCGCTCCCCGTCGCGCTCGGACCCGACATCGAACTGTCTCGCTGGAATTTCTGCGGGAGGGACGCGAGGGGGGGAAGACCGACGTAGGAAGGCATTCTTGGTCCTGTCCCTGTCCCTGTCTGTGTCCGTTGTTGCATCATCGGCTGCGATCCACTCCCGTTCCCGTTCCCGTTCGACGTGGTGGTGGTGAGGACGTTGTTGTTGTTACCGTGATGCACGTCCCTCGACCCAAAACTCGCATTACTACCATCCGAGCCGGATCGCCCGTGCGCGCCCGATCCCCCTGATCCAGAGGGCGAGTTCGCGCGCCGGGTCCATAAGTTTTCGGTGAGGAAGCGTTCGTCGGTCGAACCGTAGCCTGCATGCGAATGGGCGTGGAAGAAAGGAAGTTTCACGCGGGAGCCGAGGGATCTTAGCTGGAAGGGTAGTCTGATGCGTGATATGATGGATTTGAAGCGGAAGGAGGACGAGGGGTATGAAGAGGAAGAGGAAGAGGAGGGGGAAGATCGAGAGGAGAAGAAAGGGAGGCGGTGTCGGAGGCGGGTGAAGAAGAGGAGGGAGAGGAGGAGCCCGAGGATGACGATGGAGGCGGAGACGGAGCCGGCGATGGTTGCGACTTTTTGTTTCGAGCTGGATGAGATGTCGAGTATGAGTGCGTTTCTCGTAGGAAGAAAGAAAGAAACGTCGAGGGTGCCAGAAGAAGTGCATTTAGAAAGAAAAAAAAGTAAGACGAAAGAACATACATCGAACTCCCCGAATCCGCCGCATTCACAGAACTCGACCCACTCGCTCCCGCCGCCGCCGCAGATGAAGACGCACTGGCACTGACACTGACACTGTGAACCAAGCTTGTTGCTACTGTGTCGATGCTCGTCGGCGTCGGCGTCGAGGCGAAGTTGTGCGAGCTTTGGGTTGAGATGATGGATGTGCTACGAATGTGTGCATATGTGAGCGGTGTGAAGACGAGAGAACGAAAAGACGAGGATACAAGAAGACGAGCAAAATAGAACGGATGAACGAGCATTCATGACTTACGAAGATGACGAAGACGACGCAGCATCCAACCCCGCAACACTCGAAGCCACCGCGATAGAAGTTGATGAAGACGTTGGAGTTACTTGCGTGGATGTAGGAGCGGGAGCAGGGGTGCCGAAGACGGCGGAAGAAGAAAATGAGAAAGGGAAGGTCGTGACTGAGGATGTAGAAAACGAAGAAGAGGACGAAGATGATGTCGTGGACGATGAAGACGATGGAGATGACGATGAAGATAACGATGATGAAGATGACGATGACGAAGACGATGAAGACGATGATGAAGTAGTGGAGGACGCATTGAGGCCAGCGGGGGTAGAAGCCACAGGAATTGAGGTCGAGGTCGAGCTTGACGATATACTCGTGCTCGTGCTCGTACCAGCGGTGTCGGTGGATGCAGATGTAGGAGTGGACGCGGAAGAAGTAGACGTAGAACTAGAGCTAGCATCGCTCGCGCCAGAGTCGATACCGGTCCCCGTGGAAAGCGGATCATTGAAGATGATCGTGCTCGTGAACGATCCTCCATCCGTGAACGTCGTGATCGAAACGGAGGTCGAGAGGCTCGTACTCGTACTTGTCGAACTACACACAAACACAAGCACACAACCATAAAAAATCAACGTTTTTTTGACCCGGTACGCAGCAAAAGAAAGAACGAACCTCGACTCGGACGTCGATGTCACGAGCAGATTGGCAGCAACCGACGAAGACGAAGACGTCGCAGCACTATTGAGTGACAGCATATTGTTATTCAGTTCGACGGTCTACATTGATGAGATACTCCGAATCACTTACGCGGTAGAAACTGACGAAGATGAAGATGAAGGCGTCGTGGTACTAAATATTGAGATACATCCTATTGTTAGTTCTACGGTCTCTAAGTACATCGATCGGATAGTCCGAATCACTTACGCGGTAGAACCTGCAGATAACGAGAGGAAATGGTAAGCGTGCGACACATGCGTACAAGCAGCCTGGACGTAGCACAGAACACAGAACACCGCATCGCGTGGTTACCGCATAGACTCGTATCGAGCACAAGAAGCGGACGGGTATGCGTCTGGCGACCGCGTATGCCACAGTGCAACGTTCGACGCATGGATCCAGCCGTTGGAGGACTAGGATTCTGTGGAGACGGGAGACGTGTCCAGCCACAGGCTGAATTGACGCAAGCGCATATACTATGCACAAGTGTGTGTCTCTTCGTCGATTGAACGATACAGGAGTGTAGAGTGGTCGGACATGATGGCTCCGTGCGGTCCACGAGACTACTCTTTGTAGCAGCATACCCACGTAGAGTCCAGATGACGAGCGAAGACTCGCACCATCCGAGAGGAGAGCCAACGCAGCACGATTTGCTACCGACAAGCACCGGACGCAACTTGCCCAACAAAGAGAAAACCATGATCATACCAAGGCAGAACAAAAACGAATGGCACACACCTGAAGAAGTAGCACTAACAGTGGAGCATGAGCCCGAACTCGAGCTCGTACTCGTCGCATCCTGCCTTCGATCCCTACCTCTCCCTCTAACAACACCCATAACTAAGATTCCTCGTCCAGGCGGCAGCCGATTCCTATTAAAGGGACCGACTTGTCAAGAACGAGCCACCGTGAGTCGAACGGTATCGTGTGTATAAAACTGTAGGTCCTTCCTCGTCAAGAGGAAGTTAAAGTAAGAGGCCCAATCGACGTGGGACAGGCGCTCTCCAGGAGCAAACTTGGTCGGGGCGGGGCGATAAAAGAGATGATGATCAGAGGTGATTCAAGTTGTACAGCAAGTCGGGATGCTGTATGGAGGTAAGTATTCCAGGAGAGTCAATGCGTCCAGAGTGAGGTAGTATCGACCGAGAAAGGGAGTAGGATGGATATGTCAGTACGAGAGAAAGAGAAAAGACAAGAGAAAGGAAGACCAACGTCAGAAAGAGGAGAACATATGCATATCTCGGCTCAGATACGTTAGACTGCGAACATTTGTTCCCGAGATGGCTTTGAGAGCTGCGTCAGGACAATACGCACCACTCTCGATGGTGGCGGCTGGCAAGGACCGGCGATTGTTCCTGCGCATGTCAGCCGAGCTGAGCACATATCGTCTTGACGACCCGACCTTCTTTCCCTCGCAGCCGCCGGCCATCATTCCCTTAAACCATGTGGCGTGCGGGTAGGGTGTGGCCCAGAGCTCGAACAACCCATTCATCCAAGTTAGTTACAGTACTTCCTACAGAGAATACGAGACAGGGGAGCCAGCGGCAAGTTCACGCTGCACACACGAAAGAACAGGCCATCACATTGGCCGGACCCGGTCTAAGTGCTGTACACACCGTCAATGCGCAGTGTTTCTATGGCTTTGACGCCTTCCATACCACGAAAACAATCGAGGGTGATGATGTAGTACAAAAGTAAGACCCACCGAGTTTGATGATGAGTCCAGTGACACATACGTAGTATCATGACAAGAGCCCCAGAGGTTCGAGAGCGTTCGTGCCCGTCCCCAGAGTCAGTACCGCCCAAAACCTAGATTTCGAAAACTATCCATGTATGTACCAGTAAATATATCCCAGTGAAATATCATAGCGAAAACCTGTTCTTGAACGGAGAGGATTCGCTAACAAGTTATGTACAGTAACATAGGCTTACTCTAATCCCGTCTCTTGATCGTCAACTCATCGTCATTTTCATCGTCAGCGCGTTCCGTCGTGAGATATGTATATGGTATATACGAAAAAGAAAAATCACCGGGGGAATCCATCTACTGGACCCCTTTTTTTCCCCCAACCATCCAGTCCCCGTCCGACCGCCCAACCATCTATATCAAATCTCCCACCCCTCCTTCTCTTAACCCCCACCAACCACAACCCTACCCCTCCAACACCTCCCGACTCGCCAACACCCGATGCGCCAACGCGCTCAAATTCGCATCCGCCATGACCACCTCGGGCGTGTACTCCACCCCGAACGCCTGTTTGATCGCGCGCGCGATCCGTTTGGCTTGTTTTTCGGACCAGAACCGGAAGTCGTCTGGGTCGGCGGAGGATGAGTCGGGGGAGGGAGAGGTTGGGGAGGCGGGTATGGGGGAGGTGGGGGAAGTAGGTTCGGATGCGGATGCGGAGGAGGATTGAGCGTCTGTGTCTGTGTCGGTGGCGGTGGCGGTAGCAGGAGAGGTATCATCATTCGGGGCAGACATGATGTTCGCAGCCTCCGTGATGGTACCCGAGGACGAAGACGTAGAAGCAGAGGTAGAAGACGAAGATGGCAGGGCGAGAACGGGACGGCAGGAGATAGGTATGAGCGACGGGTCCGAGTCGAGGCAGAGCGGGACGATGCGCATGAGTGAGGACCGGACGGAGGCGAAGTCGAGGTTTTGGGGCTGGTCGACTGTTTATATAAATACGGACAGTTAGTCATTTGGGAAAATGAGAGGGAATGAGAGGGGTGACGAGGAAAGGCAAAACGCACCGTAGATCTCAAACGGCCCGTCCAGACTCATGACATTATACTTCCCATCATGGTGGTACCGAACCTATCAACGCACAGACCCGACCATTGACCGTTGAGTGTCTACGCAATCCGCGATTTTAACGGATAACAACGCACCTCATATCGCCCGACTCCCCACGGCAGCTTATCCCCCTTAAACACGACCTCCCCACTCGTCGGCGTATCCTTCGCACCTCCCTCCACGATCCCGATCGGCACGTCTCCGTCCCATTCTTCGTCGTGCACGGGGAGCCACATGCCCAGTGAAGAGGTCTTCGTGACGAGGCTCGACTGGTTCGCGCCGACCTGTTTTCCAATGCATAATATACATCGAGTGTAAGTCAAAAAAAAAAAAGGAGTGGGGTGTGCAAGACGATATCTGGGAAAGAAAGAAGGAACGTACCCTGTAGATCCCAATCCAATCCTTCCTCGAATGATTCTCTGGAGCCTGCCACTGCACCCTGATCGGCTCTCCCAGATGGAACCTGGGCGCGTTCGAACGCTTAGAGTCGGAGTCGGAGTCGAAAGTGACATTCGAGTCGGAGTTGGAAAGGATCGTAGCGCGGTACTTGTCCGTTTCGTACGAGGAGAGGTCGTTCGCCACGCGTCTGTGTTCAAGTTATATTAGTGAGTAGGGAGGAAGGGGGAGGGGGAGGGGAGGGAAGGGGAGAAATGAAACGTACGTGATGACCAGTTTCTCTCGGGATTGCTGCAGCAGGAACTTCGTGTCTTGCATCACCTCTGGGATCCTCGACCGGGCTACACATCCCCACGAAAAGAATCCGCTTGTCAGCGCCTTCCTCCTCCATGTTCTCCTCTAAAACGAAGTCACGCATGCACAGAAACAGAAGAGGAAAAACTCACATTTCGCCAAAAACTCCTCCACAACCTCCGCCGTCTCCTCAAACACCTTCTCCAGATTCCCCCTCACCTCCCTCACCACCTTCACCACCCTCGTCATCTCTGGGCCCTGTCCGATCTGTCCGAGGCCCAGTCTGCCCGCGCGCCGCTCGAGCAGCCGCGCGTTCTTGGACGCTACTTTCTTGATCACTTTCACGAAGCCGGCGTCTTTACGGAGCGAGTCGCCGTAGAGCTTGCGCATGTGCGGGCTGTTTGTTGGGGAGGATGTACAGACGACTGATGAGCGAGGGGAAAGGAACGAGCGAAAAGGCGAGACGGGAGACGGGAGGAGACAACGCACTTTTCCACGTTCCGAAGGAACCACCAGTAGCTCAGATGTCTGATCACGGCGAGCGTATACACCACTTTACTCCCGCTGATGAGCGCAAGACCGAAGAACGCGGCGCCCGCGACGATCTCGGGGTTGTTCAGGTACCTATTCGCGAGCATTCGATATCACCGCCACCACCAATAACAACACCAGAAAAAGAGAAGCCCCATCAACCACGGTACAAGAGAGAATGGAAAGGAGCGGCTGGACGGAGACGAGAAGAGAAACGCACCGGTAAATCCCAGAATAATCTAAATTGGACGGGAAGTCCTCCATGAAGAAGTCGCCGTAGAACCAGCCGAACACTCCGAGGACCTCGAAGCTCTCTTTCGCGGCCCACATGTGGAACGCAACGAGCGCCTGTAATATATGTGTATGCGGTCATTTAGTAAAAGTTCTCATGGCATTTGAAGGCGGAGAGAAGAAATACGTGGGCGAAGGTGGAAAGCGGACGGGTTGAGTGAGGGAGAAAGGGGAAGGGGAATGTAAGAGAAAAGAGAAACACGCACAACGCCCATAACATGCCTCAACAGCTCATCTCCCTCCGTCCAATCGACAGGCAACCTATACGTGTTCCACACTAGCCCCAGGAAACTCGCTATCCACCCAACCCACGACAACAAAAAATCAGCTTTCCAAAATCGAAGCGACGAACGCAAACTAAAACGACAACGAAAAAGAATGACAAAACGCACCATAAGTCATACACATACTCAAATTATACACAACCTTCCAATTCATAAACGCCTCCCTAACCGCGCCCTCTCCCGCCCCATCGTCCCTCGCATGCCCATGCCCATGCCTGCCCTCCCCATGCCTTCCCTCCGCATAAATCCCTTCCCCGAGCCTCCCCTCCTTCCCGCCATACCTCCTCCCCGCCCCACTCGTCGGATAATGATAATGTTTCAGATAATGTCTCACGAGGAACTTGCCCTCGCTCTGTGCGCGGAGCACGCTCCCGAGTCCGAAAGAGTGGAAGAGACACCAGGCGAGGGCGTGCGTTGCGTGGAGGACGATAGAAGAGGAGGGGGAGGAGGGGAGGAAGAAGAGGAGAGAAGTGTAGGAGAGGAGGAGGATGAGCATGAAGTCTGTTGCGCTACATGGATCACGAAAAGGCGACAGGCGATCAGTCTGACGAAACGATGGGGAGGAATTGAGGAGTCGAGAATGGGTGAGGCAGAGTGTATGGAGGGAGGGGAAGGAGGGGGAGGAAGACAGACAGACATACCGGAAAATATCCAAATTCTTCAAAAAGATCGTATCGTTCCTAAAATACCGATTCATCAAATCATGCCCGCTCGTCGTCGTCGGGCTCCTGCTCCTCTCCCTCCGTCCCATCATCGCCTTCCCTGCCTTACTTCCCCCCAGTCCTTCATCCATCTCGAGCCCCGTCGCCGTTTCTTTCATGCAAGTAGTAGTCGTGGTCGTGGTAGTACTCGTCCCCACCAACTCAATCTCCGTCTCCGTCTCAGTCTCCACCTCATCTTCCTCCGTCGCCGTATCCCCCTCCGTCGCACTAGGCGTCGACATCGCGCTCGCGCTCGTCGCGTCCGAGACTGACCGGGCTCTGTTCGTCGGACTACCACTGCCTCCACTTTCCACCTCCGTCAACTTCTCTACCTCGTTCTCGTTCTTCCCTCCTGTGGCAGTGGCGGGCAAACTAACCACCGAAACCGAAGCCGATCCGGAAACGGGGGTAGACACAGAGGTGGAAACAGATAAGGAAGGGTTCGAAGACTGGGATTTATGCGTGCGCGAGCGGCGGGGGACGAGGACGCGTTCGGCGAGCGGTTTGCGTTGGCCGTACATGCGTTCGATGTCTGCGTGGGTTTGTGTTTGCGTTTGTGTTTCATTAGTGCGTTGGTGGAGCAGGATATGTATAATTTACGATGGAATACGAATTCGGATCCAGAAGTCAGCAAGTCGAAGAAAAATGTTATCAATCCCGAAATTAGGAGTGGAAACTGTCCAGGATAAAAGAGAGAGAGAGAGTACGCACGAGGATTCTCGAACCACACCAAAAACGCGAACTGGGCCGCGTGCGCCGCGATGGAGACGAACAAGACGGGATAAGAGCCGACGATGAGCGAGAGGCCGTAAAACCATGCGTAGCCTGTTGCGTTCATTGTACGTTTACCCATCGAGCCAACGCAAAAAAAACAAAAAGATCGTCAGTACTCAGCCCCATCCGCAAGAATCTCCAAACCCGTAGTCAAGAAACCCAAAATATGAGAAAAGAGACATACCAACAGAATACATCGGATGCGGCGCCAACTCGAAAACCCCGTCGAAAACAAGGTTGCCCCGCTGGAAGAAACAGTCGCCCCAGTACCAGCCATAATCTTTCACGACGTGGTGTGCTTCGGATTTTACCCAGAGGTTGAAGGCGATAAGGGTCGTGCCTACTATCCATCTGTGTTTTTTATGGAGGGGAAAGGGGTTGAGAGGGAGGGAGAGGGGATGGTGGGGATGAGATGAGCATGAGGGAGAAGGGAAATGGTTAGTCAATTGATTTCTTCGTTTGGATACGGAGGTTAAGAGGCAAGAGAATACGAGAGAGGTGTATATGGAGAGGACAAGGGTGTGGCGACCGAACACGCTATGGGAGCATGCCCGCTGTGGCACACGACCACTTCGACTGAATCGGTCTAGAAATAATAATTGTGATACTTCATTTCGCTTCGCTACGAACGCGTCTCATAAGGGCTCGCACGTACATATACGCGTCTAGGGTGCTTCTGCCCCTTTGCACGCTCCCAGCTCGTATCTGAGTACGTATGTACTCAGTGTGGATGCTTCGCCACGACGCGTACGCAAGACGTCGTATAACGTACATGGACCCGACACGTTAGGGTCGAAGGTCGAGATGTGCTCTCCCCATAATTATCACAGCGAGTATGCACCTCATCGGCTTCAAAAACTAAAGAATGGGAGAAGAACATACCTCAAGACATGGACCGGAATGGACAAGCCAGTCGGGACGCGGAAACACGCAAAGGCGAAGAGGCAGAAGGACAGAAAGTCGCTGTGTACAAGAGAAGGGGGTGAGCAAGACGTAAGGACGGGAGTGAATCGACGTACTTGATAAGGATGATATCGACTGCTTGACGGAAGAGCAACCAGGCGTTATATTCCAGTGGGAGTTCCTATACACATCTCATGAGAAACACTTTAATCACAAAGAAAGAAACAAAAAAAAACACCAACATCGAAACTATAATCGCTCCCCATCTTCCCAACCAACTGTTTCCGAATCCACTCCCTAACCTCCGGCCTCCTCTTCCCATCCAACCACCCCATCCTCTGCACCTCCCTCACGATCCACTTCCTCCTGCTCTGTTTCGTCAACACATAGCCCAGGCCAGCATCGTACGCCGCGCGCCAGAACGCAAAGTACGCAAAGAAGAAGACTTTGCGGAGTGTCCCGGATGTGGTGCAGAAGAGGACGAGCTGGAGGGCGAGGAGGAGGAGGTTGAGGATGTCGAGGTGCGACTTTGGGTGGGAGGGATGTAGGAGCGCGGTCACGACGTCGTGCGTCGTCGGGACGCGGAAGACTGGACGCGACGATGAGTATATGCGTTTGAAAGTTGAGCGAAAGAATAAGGGATGAGGAGGACGTACCCTGGCCGCTAGGCGTCTTGCCCCAGACGACCTCTTCCTTCTCCTTCTCTGGCTCTGCTACAGGAGAACTCGACTCTTTCATCGCTGCTGCTGCTGCTGCTGCAGTTGTCGTTCGCAATCGCAGACCTTCCTGGGTACCGGCCGACATTGTTCGAGTTGGAAAGGAGGCGCACACGACCTCGCGAAGTTGGGGATGCGAGGATGAGTCTCGTTTCAGCGACTCGAGCTCACGGAAACTTACGCGACCTGAATTCGGAATCGAATTGGGCTCGGAGCACGTAACGAAAAAGTAAAACGAAATTGTGTTCTTTCGCACGTGTTTCTTGCATCCTAAACCCCGTCTGATACGTGGCAATTATTGCGGGGAGTCCCTTCCGATGTCGGACGCGCTACATGACGAGGAGCGAAACAAGTTCGGACGGCGGACTGGTGAGAGCTCGAGATGGGGATGGGGCTGCTTGTGGAGGGAAAGTCGACGGTGTTGTAGAAGGGCGTCGTGTGACTCCGTAAGCTTGAGTTTACTTCAGGTCTATATATGTATGTGAAGCTGAGAAAGGAACAAGGGACTCGGGACGACTCGGTTTTGTGGCTGCTATCTGCGATTCAACATGGAGTAACTGTTGTTGGACTCGCGCCCCTATTCTCAGTGAATGTTGCATCCAGAGCTCGAACGTTCAATCTGTCGAAGGAACAAACTCAGGCTGAGCAAAAATATCTCTCAACTCGCCGTGTTCAACGTAACGGGAATAGAATACGAACAAAACACGATCATCGACGGCATGACTATCGACAATACTCATACACTACCTACAGTGTGTGTACATCAAGAAACATGACCTATCGTGCGACTCTCGAAGTCAGGAGGACGAGGGCGCAGACGGGAGGAAGACGAGATAGATGTATGTATGTACGTACGAGACCGGAAATGTACAGATTGACACCAAACAATGCACATGAAAAGCATGGACTATAGAACAGAGATCCTAAGAATGAGTTCGAGTTCGCGAGTCGAGAGGTAGAGAGAGGGAGGGAGAGAGGGAGATATAAGGTGGGATAGATAATGTGACAGAAAAGCAAGAAAAGAGCAACGACGGAGAGCGAGTAACGACGAGACACAAAAACAGACAAAGAAGTCAGCAGCAAACACGGCAGCTCCCGAAAAGAGGGAGGGGTGTAATCAAGAAAGGAATCCAAAGCATGGGGATGGAGATTAAAGAAACTCAGATGGACAGCATACCATATCAAGAGACGAGGCCTTCGAACCCGAGAAAGAAACAATCAAGAAAGAATCAAACAGTCCGCGACAAACTCAAAAATCACAACAAACCGCACAATTCCCCTCTACACTCACCCACCAACCCACCTCACCCCCTCCTCCTCCCCATAAAGAAACACCCCTCATACCCCGGCACCGCCGCCGGGCTCAACGTATCCCTCCACCTCCCCGTAAAACTCCCATACTTATCTCCCACCAAAAACCCGCGATACAACCACTTCCCCCGGTCCCCGTCCAGATACTCCTTGCTCAAGCTCACGAACCCGTCGTAGGGCCGCACACGGCCGACGAGGTTGAACTGGCCCCAGGCGGAGTGGCCTTCGCCCGTGATGAGCACTTCGCGCACGCGGCGCTGATAGGCGGGCTGTGCGACCGGCTCGATTTCGTCTTGCGTGGTAGTGGGTGGAGGCGACGCGTTGGATGTCGAAGGATTCGGAGGGTCGGTCGTGGGCACAGACGGTAAACCAGGACACCTATGATATACCAACATCCCCCTCCTCCCCGGCTCCCTCACCTCCAACCTCTCCTGCCCACCACCAACGACGCTGATATCCACTCCCGTAGGTAAATGCGCCCTCAGCGGGTCTCCCATCGAGAGCGGGCGGTACCGATCGGGTACGTTCGCGGTGTTGGTGTTCGTGTTGGTGTTCGTGTCCGTGCTGCCGCTCTGGGGTTCGTTCGGTTCTTCGGGACCGAGAAGGTGGTATTCGCGGAGTTTCCAGGTTTGCTGATGGCGAGCGACGAGCGAACGGTGAAGTGTGGGTGGAGGGGCGCCGGAGAGGAGTGCGGCGTACGCCGTGAATTCCGTGTACTACCAAAGCGATCTAAAATCAGCTTTTTCTTTCTTGAGACAGAGAAAATAAGATAACGAGAAGACGCACGGTGAAAAGTCCCTCCCAAACCCCTTCCAAACTTCCTAATCTGAACGCCTCAGTGGGCCTCACCGTCTCCCTCTCCTGCGCCCTCGTATTCGCGCCCGCGCCCGCTCCCAATCCACCACCACCCATCCCGCCAAATCCACCACCCAGCCCTCCCATCACCCCCGCCGGTCCTCCCATACCAAACCCACCCCCATGCCCAGGTCCCATCCCGCCCAATCCAAACCCACCAGTGCCGGCAGGGCCCCCAGGCCCAACTCCTCCGAACGGACCCATCCCGAGGCCCGAACCAAGCTGAGGCCCGCGCTTCGCGAGGCTCAGAGCCCGTTTCCATTCCGATTCCCACTCGAAGCTGAGTTTGACGTGGTGGAAGTCGAGCTGCCTCTCTTCCTGCTGGACCGGCTTGTCTCTTTCGGTGGTGGTGGCAGCGGCGGCGGTGGCGGTAGTATCTATACCTTCTGCGACTTGCTTCCCATTCTCCCCCTCCTCATGTTCCTTCCCCTTTCCCTTATCCACCGTAACATTCTCCGCTCGCTCTCCCTCCCTCTCTGCATCACCACCTTCGACCTCCGCATCCTCCTCTTCCAGACTCAACGCCTCCTCCCTCAAAACCTGCCATATCCCACTCGGCGCCAACGGGCTGTTCTTGAACGTGTCCGCCTTGTTCACGCTCTTCGGCGCCAGACTGAGATAGCTCAGGATCGCGGGCGCGGCGAGAGGCGGGGCGACGAGCGGGGGGTAGGAGGCGTAGGATGTCGGGGTGGTGTTGCGTAGGGGGGATGGGGGGAGGAAGTCGATCCATTCGGGCTGGGTTACTGGGTACTGTTTAGGATGGGAGGGAGTGGGTTAGCGAGCAATTTCAGGCGATTTTCGGAGGCCAAAGAAATATGTATAAAATATGATATGGAACGGTGGAGAATATTGACACGCGAGAAATAAAATCGAGGCAATGCCACATTATGGAGGAGAGATGAGCGTGCGAGACGTTCTGTTCAATCGTTCAGAAAAACTATCTGACGGAACCCGCGCGTGAATCACCACCTCCCGCGTTGTCGTCTCATACTCCGAGCTCCTCAAAGAGCTGAATGAACATGCACAAAACACATCCACCACAGAAAGCCCCAAACCCTCGAAAATGCACAGGACGTACATATTCCGAGATCGTGGGTCAATGTATATGAGTGCAAGCCGTCACGTCAACTTCAATCGCTCCAAACAGCGCACAAAAACGTGGCCGACGCTCACGAACTCCAATTCGCTCTACACACTCTCCATCGTGTGTATCGAATCAAGACCATCGATACGCAGTTAAACAAACCCACGAAACCGCCTAATCCACGCACACCTCGCATGGCGAATGACCTCACTCAACGACCACGAACACGCAACCCGAATCATCGCGATCTTTGACAAGACACCCGAAGGTATTGTGTGAATGCCACCGAATCGCGCTTTACGACAGATCTTCGCCGCACGATACGAGAACGCAGGTCGGGGCTCGCAATCGCCCGGGGACAAAATGAGGACCTTTGGATTTTTCATTTCCGTCAATCCACTCTCGAGGAGTGTGTTGTGAAGAAAAATGAAAGAGGAGGCGTGAAGGGGCCTATGTGAGTAAGTACTGCCGTTATTATTACCGGCGGCATTACTTACATATCCCCATAAAAGAGAGCACGTAAGCTCAAGACACGGCTTAGCGATGTCAACATCAATGTTAACAGCCGAGAAAGGATGAGTGCCTGTCCTAACGTTTGTTTAACGTTACGGTAATTCTCGAGTTGTTTGGAAGACACGGCGATCAAGCGAACGACGGGCGCGGGAGACGCCGCGTAGTAGAGACGAGATGGAACGTCCACGAGTCTCGCGACCATCGTCATCGCGATGCGCGCATGCAAGACGAACAGGAACGGCGAAAACATAACAGCGATAGGACAACTTGTGCAGAAGCCGTGATGCACGGCGATTATGCACGGAAGACGCCGACGTCCAACAACGAAATAGTGAAGCAAAAAATTAATCTCCAAAGTAATCACGCCCGTCGTCCTCGTGCTCGCAACGCCAACGATCTCGAGGAACACGCAGAGACGTGCCTTCGGAGGACGAGATGAAATAACGTCGGTTCAAAGCGACGACAATGGATGACGACACCGCGAGTTCATCGGAACTCGCGCTTTGCCCCACACCGCCTACTCGCACACACGAGGCGGTTACGGAGACCGCGAACGCGATGATCTGCGCCTAGAAGGGAACGAGTAGAATGAAATAAAACGAATGCGGAGAAAGGCGAAATGCAGAACGCGAGAACGCGCTTCATTTCGACCGTTTTGCACAGGAATTTACGCACGGTAGCATGGAAGATAGAGAGAATGATAGGGCGCGAAGCAAGGAGAAGCCCAAGAGAGAGAGAAAAGCACAGAGAGAAGAGAAAAGGATAAACGTTCTCGAGGACAGGAGATGCTCACCTTGTGTGCGCCCAGCGCGATAAGCTTGAGGATGCTGACGACGGAGCGGAAGGTCTGTTCGTCGAGGACAAAATACTCCTCTGCCATATCGCCCAGGTTAACATCGCAAAACGAAATTATAGAAAGAGATACAACATACCTGGCTTGAGCAGGAACCAGAACAACCACATCGCCAGCGTCGAGAACTCCGAGTCCGGCGGCCAGATATTATCCTTGATAGCATACGTAGCGAAGCTCGCCCCCTCGGGATCGAACCAAAAGTTACGAAGCCAAATATCGAGCCTCGCATACTTCCTGAGCGTTCGCTCGTTCAGTCCGTCGTTCTCGAGCATCATGAGATACGCCATCCAAAGCATCTCCTTCGTCTTCAAAGTCGCCTTCGCTCCATCCTCGTCTCCGTCTCCGTCTCCGTCCCCCTTCCTCTCGCTCTGATTCTCCCTCTCACTTCCACTCGCAGCAGGAGTATGGTGATCTCCTTCGGCAGGTGCGGTTGGGCTAGGGCTCGGAATAGCCCCATGCCCAGGGAGGCGCGGGATCGGCGCGTTCGTGGTCTGCATCTGCTGTACCTGCACGAAACAATGCTGGAGCCTCCTAAACCTCGTCAACAGCGTGAACCTCCTCTTCAGCTCTCTGATCACGTTCTCCGAGATCTTCGCCTCGGGCCCCAACCTCCTGAAATAAGCCTCGGCATCGAATTTGGCCCTGAAGATCAGGACGTAGAGATGCGGGTTCGTGGACGTGGAGAGCGTGGATGCGAAGCGGCGAGAGACGAGCTGGAGAGAAATAAGGTCGGCTGGGGGACCAGGGGGGCCTAGGGTTGCGGTGAAGAAACCGACATGTTCAATGATCTCGTTGGGAACGCGGTCGAAGGGAGCTGTGACCACTGTTTGCGTCGATACCATCTGTAGTGACTCGTTGATAGATGAACAACAGAATCAAAGACGAGCTGTGCGATGAACGTTGAAGCTGGGCAGACGACGAGGGTGGTGGTCAAGAGCAACAAGGAAAGCGTCGAAGTCGCTCGCGAAGAAAGCAAGGCAAGGTCAGTCGGCAGCAAGTGGCTGGAGTAGAAGTCCTTCGAAGTGCAGATTAGCACGCCTCGTTCCTCGCCTGGGGCTTTGCCTTCTCCGGCCACCCCTTCAGCCCGCCACTTTCGCATCCTACGTAAATAATATCAGAATAAAATGCACCTTTCTATCTATAGCGACCCGTTCTCCCACCCGCTGATTTTTGCTTCGTTTTTGTTTCGAATTTCGTCTCCTACATACACGCCACAAATCGCATCCCCACAGATAATGCACGCTCCAAACCTCACGCGAGATATCCCCATTTTCCCAGATTTTCTCCTACGCTACATTGCAGCATGTCACCTGCACACCCCTGTGACTTTCACTATACATGCAGATTGAACGCTATGCTATGCGCAACGTTTCACGATGACATCGGACGCATCATTTTATGAACTCACGTCTTCCCCTCGTTCCTCCTCGGCTTCCTGCTTCCCCGCATCCTGTCTTCCCTGATTTACATACTGGCCTTGCCTTACCGAAAGACTAATAAAGCGGAGCCGAACCGAGATTCAAGAGCTTCCGAGGGACAAGGCCTGCGGAGAGGTCATGATACGCGTTGACAAAGGAGACAGACGACGGGACACGATGGTGGACGTCGCAACGTTGACGGCGGACCACGGTGAGCATTTCATCGATCATTGGCGGACTCGACGGAAAGACCTGCGGGAGGACCTGACGAATTCGAGGCGGGTTCTGGATCTGGCGGGGCAAGGCAAAGCAAAGTGACGCCTCCTCGGAGCGGCGAACTCACGGGAAGAGGGTTCTGCCTTTGAGCCGGGAAGGCTGCATATAGGAGTAGGAATAGGAGTAAATTGTAAAGCATAGGGATGGCCCACGGGGAACTCGAAGAGTCCGTCAGCGACGATGTCGACGACGGCAGGGGACGGGGAGGAGAACAGAACAAATCACGCATGTATTATTTCTATTCGTAAATTAACGATACTGTAAGCCGTGATTGAGAGAAATGTATGCATCGTTCGAGAGATGAAGACAGGCTTGGGACATGTATGAAGCACATGGGAGGAGATAACTAGACATGGGATGGCACGAGAGAGAAGAGATGATGGAGTATGCGAGGCGACGAGATGAGCATGGATGTATATATGTACGTATGATATAGGATGATTTCGAACTAAGCAAGAAAGGGTCGTGCGGAGACGGAGACGTGTGCAATGGCTAGAGGAAGAGATACATAGCAATACAGCATTAACATTACGATGAGGAGACGAGGACAGTGACGAGAACAAATAACGAGCACAAGACGACAGCTATTATGTGTGGCTCGTAACGTAAGTACAGCGACAGGCGTGACACGACAAGAACAAAATAGTAGAGTCCACGATGTGATTGAACAAAAATAAAAGCTCGAAACGGAGTGGGGAGTAGAGAAGAGAAAGTAATGCAGCAAGTGCTACGCGTTTCGGCACCGCCTTACCATGGCACGGAGTGTGGACTAACCGAACAGATTTTCACCATGCAGTCTCGAATGGAGGAGCAATCAAACCATCTCCTTGCGACCGAGGCTGAAGATCCCTCGCCAGCTCTGGTCGTCAGACTTCAGGATGGTGGAGGTCGAGAACGTCCACCTTCCGACTAGGTTCTGCGAGGAAGATACTGTGAAAGATAAATCAAGAGAGGAAATCAGTAAGCAGAGAAGGATGGAAGGAAGGAAGGCCAAAGAACGAAAAGGGTTGAAATGATGTCGGATTCTCAACAGGCCCGATGACGAAGAAAAAAGGTTGAACTACTCACGATAGCCAACGAACACCGTGTTCCTCGAGCCCGGAGTGTTGCCCACCTGTAAGAGAACGTCAGAACATCTTCTACTTCCTTCGTAGCAAGAGAGACACATTGAAAAAAAAAAAAACTAGGAACGTACCGGTTTCCGACTCAGAACGACCAACCCGTCGCTCATGCGCACCTTCCCGAAGTAGTCGTAATCGCCCCAAGCCCGAGCTGCGTCTGGGGGCGTCTATGAATCCACGACGCGACCACGATGGAACAAAACGATGAGATTCGCACAAAAGCTCAAGCACAATACAAGAAAGAATAGATGAATCGGACGTACCCTACCCGTCAACACAATCTCCGTCACCTCCCTCATCTTCGTTTGCACCTTCGCTTGCGTTGCATCCACTGTCGTGTCTTCATGCAAGGGCAAAGGCGAAGCGCAGGCGATTAATCGGGGTATTGAGGCCATCAGATGCAGATTCGCACTGGGACTGTCATTAGATCTCGGCACGGGACGAAAAGTGGTGGGAAACGGGGTGTACGTCTTGTAAGAGGTCGTCGTGAGCTTGGGCCCGGTTTGCGGAGGGGAGGTCTGAGCTGAAGTCGAAGTTGAAGGCGAGGCCGCATCCGAAGACTGTAGTGTTGAAGAGGGAGTGTGGACCTCGATGCCGTCCTACAACGAACGTATGCAATAAATAATGGAGACGGTCAGCGTCCGGCCACATCGGATGCCACACCACAAGGAATCCGTAATTGGAAGAACGAAGGACGATAGAAACGGACACCACACCTCGAAACCCAAACCCAGTCCGAGATAGAAAGGAAAGACATGAAAAAAGCTACTCACCCCGCTCGAGTTCATCCTATAACTCCACTCTCCGTCCTCCCACCCTTCAAGCTTACACCCATCCGACTCCTTCCCCCTCTTCTCCACATCCTCGTGACCTCCGACTCCATCGGCATCTTCACATGGAACCCGCACAGTCCTCCAGTGTTCGGTCAAGTCCACGTACAACGGTCTCCTCGTTATACAACCCTCGGGGTCCTTGACAGTCTCCGGGGTTGAGACATCGAGACTTGGGAGCTATAATCGTGAGCGCGACAAATGAAGGAATGCGGCATTCGGATGATAAGGTGGAAAGGGAGACGAAATGGGCAGGGAGATGTGGGAGAAAGACCAGACCGTGGAGAGGGGCGCCACCCGAACAACGAAAATACCACCCACGCAAACGCGCATCGTGCACGTCACAATGCCGAGCCCGATCGAAAATGCACAAGACGAGTAAACACGGCGCAAAAGAAGAGCGGTCACGATCAGCATGCGGAACTATACACACCCACCAGCGTCAGGAGAAAGGAGGAACGAGAAAGGAAAGAGGACGAGGTGGCCGTGTGTCGGTGCCACAACGTCATGCACACGATCAACATGGAGGCGCCAAGGGTTCGATGACGATGACCGACCGAGCAGAAATGAAAAGGCGCATGGAGAGAGGAAGGGATAATAATAATCCGAAACGAAAGAAGAAAGAGACTCACCATCAAGGTACCGCGCCACGAGCCCGTTAAACTGCCCAGCACATACGCCGATGCCCCACCCTTCGGACCATGACCATAGTCGGAAGAGGAATGGACGGAGGACAAGTCATTATAATCGGATGCGGAGGTGGAGGTAAGGCGGGCCCAGTCTACGTCTTGTCGCTCGCTCTTGCTGGTGCCCTCCGCAAGAGGTTGGTATTCGTTGAAAGGAAACACAGGAGCGCCAGCCATTCCTTGCTGGGGATGAGACAAAGGCGAGGATGGCCGTGGAGATGAACGCGACTGAGGCACGTCCCACTGAGGATGTTCTAAGCATTGCGTCTTCATCGCTTCATTGTGCTCCACAATATCTTCGACTGTCGGCTCATTGACACCCATAGCGATAGCGTCCGCTCGTGTATTGAGTGCGTATTGGGGTACGTTGAGAGGGTTGCAGTCGGCGCGGACGACGTATGAAAGAATGGCTGGGAGGCATAAAGGGGGGAGCGTGAGGGTTATGGTTCGGGAAAAATGTGGCAGCGTGATGGTTCGTGGACGTTGAAAAGAAGTGGATGATGAGTGAGAAGGTGATGCTAGATGAATGGGATACTAGAGAGTCTATGAGCAATACGAACGTGCTAAACGTGCATTGTGGCGTGTGGCGTACCCGAGACCCGACAACCACGATGGGGAGGAGCAAGTTTTGGATATGGTCACGATGGCCTTTGGCCTCGGCAGAGACCATACCTGACAGATGAACCTTTTAGCACCACATCTACTCGAAGCCGCCAGCAGAGTCAGGAACAGCGTCGGCGCCACACACCTTTGTCGGTCAGCTGCCAGAAGATGTTCAAAGCGAGTGCGCTGATTTCGTTATCCACAGGCCACCCGCCCTCGCTCTCGCACAACCTCTTCTCCAGCCACTCCTCGACGAAACCGACCAGCCCCGCACCTTGCAATTTACCCGCGTTCGTCCCGTCATCCTCCAACAGCATGATATACGCCACACCAAACGCCTCCGCCAACTGCTTGTCGTCACCACCGACGTACACATCTCCTCTCTTGAAGAGCTGCATGGCTGTGAACCTCCTCTTCATTTCGAGATGCCTGGATGAAGACGAGAACGCGTCAGGGTCCAACCTCCGTTTAGGAGCAGCGATATCGAATTGCGAGTCGAATATCTGGGCGTACAAGCCAGAAGATGGCTCCACTGCAAGCATCGAATGGAAATCGCGGCAAGTGAGTAGCAAGGAATGTAGGCTTTGTGGGGGACCGAGAGTGGTTGCTCGACTGGAGAGGAGGACGATGTGGTCTAGTATGTCACGGATGAGAGGAGGTGGGGTACCAGACATAAGACAAGCCTCGCGTACTTATAGGTAAATCGAGCGGGAGGCCCGAAGCAGGCAGGACGGGAAGCAGCTGAGGCGGGGAGCGACAGGCGTGCGTGCAGGTCCAAGGTGTTGGGGGCTGAGAGTGGCTGGGCGGGTTATTATAAGCTACAGAGCGGTAGGACGAAAGAGGAAATAGACGGAGGAGTGAGCAAGGGACCAGGACGCTGTCCGAGCAATTCCATCTGGGCAGCGCTATGGACATGATCATGATGTATTTCGAATACGACTTGTCGGGGCTGACGGAACTCGAGGCGACGGTGTCTTGGGAATCGCCATCGAACCGCATCGGCGTCTCTGCCATTACACGGATTGGGCCGCAATCTTCCCCTGGGACGTTGTGGCAGCGATCTGGGTCGGCTTGGACATTACATAGATGCGTTTCATGTTGCCGGCCTGATGGCAGAAGTCGAGGATACGTGAATATGAAAGACGGAGCAAGCGGAGTGTGAAGGACTCATGCCCCCATCATGGATCTCCCTCGCAAGATTTCCGAATCGCTGGCTGCTCCTCGCAGGCGCAAATCACCCATCATACGACCAAATCCGACAGCAATCGTTCTTCTCCCAGGATACGTCTATACGAAGACGCCCGTTTCGAGCGATCTTGTCTGCGCTGTGATGTCGACGGCCAGCGAGCGGCTGTAACCGCCTCGCGGTGTGAAACCCCAGATCGAATCGATTCAGAAAGGTCCCCGAAAGCGGGGCTCTCCAGGGGGTGATGAACCCCCAAGTCGAGATGAGAACCATCGCGGCGAAGAGAAGGTGGCAGTAGCGAAGACGGCGGTGACGGAGCCATCCTGAGCACGTTTCTTGTGCTGCGCGAGACGCGCAACGCCCGACCGGCATCATCGCAAATTTGGTCGCCGCAAACATCCTTTCAGCTTGTCTCTTCCAACTCCGTGGCTATTCTCCGCGTCGCGTCATCATCCTCATCCAGTCTTAGCTGAATTTGTGGCAACCGATTTCTGTTTCAAAACTTTGGTGCTTTTTTCGCTTCCTGCTCACGGCGTTGTTTATCTCGATGAATTCATGTTTCAAAGCCCGCCCGTAATATAACGTACACAATCTAACATATAGATCCACAGATTCCGATGAGCAAGGCCCGTCTGATCGGCTTCGGCAGGGGTGGACTCAGTTGCCGCGCCACAACATCACTGGAAACTTACTCGTGTTTGCGGACCAGTGGATACTCTGTTGAGCTGGTAACTTTGAGCGCACAACAAGACCGGTCGCACACTCATATGATGATCTATACTTATGGGACCAAAGAACCCTTGAAGCAAGTAAGCTGAACAAATAGTATTTCATCTCGTGACGACATTACGAGAACAGTGCAAGAGCCTGAAAAACAACGCGATCCACCGCTGGCCTTGTTCTTCTAAAAGGGGGTTTGTAAAACATTCCACAATACGGAGCACCGTGTATCCAGCCGCAAGCAAAGCAACGCCGAAGGAATGAGGGCGCCGCGGTAAGTATCGCCACATTCGCATCCAGCCATGTCTCCAGCCCGATGCGAGAGAAACGGAAGACTTGGATTGAACAAACTCCATCAGCGGGAGGTTCACGTACTCTCGTTTTCGCGGTCATTTGTATGTAACGGACCCAACTAAGGTCGTATGTGGACAAATGAAAACCGGAGAGGACGTACAAACCGAGTACAGCAAGGTCGTGCAGTATCTGAGAACGGATCCGTCAGAAATTCGGGAAGCATAGAGGACGTGATTCATTCACGCCTTCACGAGAGAGCTCCGTCGCAGGGTGGCTTGATGGAGAAGCCGTTTTGTCAACTGAATACGATACAATTGTACCCGTTGCTTCCATCCAATGCCCACAGATATGTCAGCTTTCATTAGTGCTTGTGATCCTAACCTTCAATGGAAATAGTCAGCGTCGACTCCAAGTACGCTATAGCGCAGAACAGGCGGACTTGATGGAAGAAAGTAGCGGAGTGTACGCAAACAGAGCGCCCACAGCTTGGAAGGATAGAACCCATTCTGTCCATGCATGGACCCATGCAACGCCGGTCCTAGCTAAGATGTATGTAGTCAATTGCATGCGAGGTCGAGCCGCAAAAGTAACCGTCGTTGTTTCCGCTCAATTGAACTCTGTCGTATAGCGCCGACGTTGTCCATTACATGGAGCATGGGAGAGCGTCACAAGACCTGCATAAAACCATATACGGGTTGCCGAAGAGTAATATTGTAGAGCCCTCACGCCACAGATTTGCATGACGGACAAAACGGGAGGTTCCAGCTCTGAAGTGTATAGTATAACTTTGCTATGACGGCCTGAGGGCAGACCGTGTAACCGCACCACCTGTATGTACGTCAGTGTTTCCGACAAATAGAACACGGCACCATACACCTTACACTCATCACCCATTTCAAGCTGTATGAACCTTTTATCAGGCGCCTCGCCCGACACCACACGCCACATCGAGAAGTTCTGATTCATGATGGGATGAACTAGATGGAATAGTCGTGTGAAGAGTGGCGCCTGAGAAGAAGATGAAAAGGGACAAAGCAGTGTGAAGGTAGAGACAATGTACAGACGTGCGCTCCGTCACGGATAGGTTCAGCTTTAGGGACGGCCTTTCCAAGAATGCTCATCGATCGTTTGTCGTACATCAATCCACACGTTATTCAGAAGATCTCCAGCTGATGATCACGTACCTGATGTACAACTGTGCCTCCATCCACTATCTTCCGGTGCGCCGCCGGCGACGGAACGTATTCGATTATAGGACAGCTGTGGTCGGAGGATGGTTCGAAGCTCTTGGGATGTGTACCGTGACGAATCTCCCGATGCTTCAGGTTCTGATTCTGTTCCGCTGACCTCGAACGAGCGCGATATTCCCCAGGACAAGAGAATTTACGTACGAGTTTTCGTTGCGTGTGCATCGCTTCAATTCAATCCATACCATCACAGAAGACTGAGGGGCGGGAACAACTCACCGTAAGCAAGTGAATATCAAATCAACAAAGCCTGCAAGAGACCATATTGACTGTGACAGTGATTGGGGAGGGTCAAGGACTGCGATGGCCAAATGATGAACTTTGTGGTCGAGGACGACGGCCAAGCACTAACCGTTAACCATGGACCGTACCGTCAGCACGCCACATGCTCACGCAGGCCAACGCAAAGGACTTGCTTCATAGCTCGCTCGCTCATTCCGTGGGTGTAGTCGGACCGAGTGTCGTCGATGAAGACGGTTTGGGTGTGGGGATACTCCGACAACACGTTGGCTCAAAATGCGATCGCCGCTCGTCCAACGGGAGAAGTGACTGTTTTGAGTGCAGAAGAACCCGAGTCCCCGGTTGCCCGAGTCTCTTTGGAGTGCCGTATTGGTCGACGGGACAGGCGAAGCGGCTTTGGGGGCTTGAGGCTGACGTTAGACAAGGATACAGGAGAACGGAGCGCGTGGAGGTGAAATGACAGCGAAACAGGAAACTGGGATGAGGAACGGCGAAGACGCCGCGTAATGCTCAGTTTAGCGATGACTTCCACAGTCGCAAGAGCGCTCCGCTTTAACCCGTATACAGCGTCGAGAAGTAGAGCGCCCTGTATTTCTGTCGAAGATGAACGCGGTAATGAATACGACAACGGAACAAGTAAACATTGAGATGATGAAATGGACGTACTTGAGGCCTGGAGGATCCAGTGAAGAAGCCATGCATTCGACATGATTGATCTTCGTCCTTAAGGCGTATGGGTGGTAATACAAGCCAAGTTGGACAACGGTCATGCCGGGTGCCTGTACCATGAGGCGGTTGTAAATTTCGTCATGGTATGATGGCCGCTCGCGTCCCATGCGGAAACATTGCAGCCAGTCAGAACAAAAGCGGGGCCGGAATAGGAGAAAGGGACGGAAAGCGCGCCGTTTCACACCCACATCGATAAAGTCATACAGCATGCTACACTTTTCGCAACGATGATGACGAACCACGCATACCGTGCCGTGGCGGAGTTCAGAAGAGTAATTATGCATTATGCATCGTTGAAAGATTCAGATCTCAGAGGCCGAGGATCATCGTTAAACGTGTCGCATAAATCTACACTCCGCTCGAGAAATTAAGCACTAGTAGTCACACATAGCGTCGGCACTAGGTGAAAAAAATGAAAGGGAAATTTGCACCTCATTTCTAGAGCCGCACTACCTCCCAATCTCGACGACGGAGACTTGCGGGCCAAATCTCGGACACCTCAACCATCAAATGCCAAAAAAAGGAATCTCCCGGCGCTTGAGCTACCGAGTCGAGTCAGCCCAAGATGAAAACTCGAAGCACCAGAAGACCTCAGAAGACGCCACAAAGGCTCAGATCAAGTCAAATTTGGTCGTCCACAAGAAGGACAGGGACAGCGTTTCTAGAAACGTCCACTCGCCAAGAGCGAGCGTCGAAGCATGTTGAGCGGTATACAACAAAGATAAACGATGATCCTATACGGGTTTCTCCGCCTCGTCAAACTGAGCCCAAAGACCATTTACCGCAGCTGTTATTGATCTCCACTAAATCCGCGTCCTTCGATTTCCATTCAAGTTACGGATATGGGCATGATCGTCGAGGTACATCTGAACTGCTCGCGGTCGCCTTGGACGGCAAGATCTCAGTGCGATGATTCGGTGAAAGGACCGATATAGGAGGTGGACCTCGTGTTGAGAAACGACTGTCGGAGTTCGAACTCGAGCTGTTGATCTAAGACGGCGTCTAGAGGACAGTGTCCGATTCGGTATGTGCAAAACATGTCCGCAAGAGGTGCGGACGATCTTGTCGAGGAAATGAGCATCGCTTGTCGACCTCTAGTACGGAATGCCAGTAACATCAAAGTCAGATCCCAAAATGTAGGAGGTGAACGAAGTACTTGCACACAACTTCACAGAAACCTGCCAGAGATGATCACAACGCGATTGGCCGTCAAAGTGCGGCGCACGTCGCCGGTCACCTCCTTTTCATTTCGGAGGACGAGGCGAAAGCCAGATCCACGTGGCGGTATGTTCCGCTCTCGCTAAAATGAAGCTTTTTCAAATCCGGATTACCACATGGACCCACAATACGAATCACCGTCAATGACTCTATGATGTTCATTCTTTGAACGCCGTCCATAGAAAGAACAACTTACACCTCGGACCGCCGAATGAAACACAAGTCGTCGCCGTCAAAGAGGACGACAATGAGAAACAGGGAAAATCGCAGAGGCCTCGGGAAGCTCCACACTCCGTCACGAAGAGCCGAATTTGTATAACGCAATTTGTAGTCGGAAAGCGAGGCGATTGAAGATGAAAGACTGACATGAACCTCCTGCTCTTGTGTGTCAATGCGAGTAAGGACCAGGTGAAGACCGCTGCGACCAACAGCAGTCAGAGGATGCGGAATCGAGGAGCACCTCCCTCAACCTAAGGCGGAGTGAGCTAGTGCATGCTGAACGTGGTAGTTTCCACTATGTCTTTACGGACTGACGACACAACACAGCGGCCGCCGCCGTCTTCCTAAATGTTTGCGGTCTGTGACAGGAAGGTCATGGCATCACTACGACTGGGTATTTTTTTCATCGCCTAACGCAACGCAAATCAGCGTCCTGCACAGGGTCTGCGTGTGAAACGATGTCGATGAGAACGTCCCGGTGGTAACAGAAACCGACCTTATGCGACCAAAAGCCTACGGCCACCGGATCGAGAGGCAGAGTCTTCGGACACTGCCATTTGGACGTCATCATGCTGTTGGTCATCGAAGTGCGCCGCTGGAAGAAGGCAAAGCGAGAGCTAAAGCAGTAAGTAGTCCGCTCTACCGAGCCGATAGCAAGGTACTGAGTCCCGTGGTGTCCTTGCACCGCTCATGATGGAATGGTAGTCCTTGATGGTAGTGCATGAGAACCTGGTATGATGTGATAGGACCGATGCGACGCGCGAATAGTGAAGGTCGTTGTCCTCCTGATACCGACAGTTTCGGGAGAAAGCTGGTTTGTCTGGCTGAGTTCGCGCTGAGAGATGGGGAAGATAATTTCAATGGCGGTTACCGACAGACTGACGCGTAACCGCCAAAAGGGTGGAGGGTGGAGGACAAGTGGCCGCTGTTACCAATCCTTTCCTCTGATTCCGTGCGTATACTTGGAAAATAGAGCAAATGTTAGCGAGGATGAATAGGAGATGGACTCTTCGAGATGAACAGCAGAAAAAGTTGTCTCTGACAGTCAAGTGAGCCGACGGAAGAAGATTCATGATAACCCAGAAGGTGTGGATAACGGCATCGAGCAAGGTTTGAGTGCAGAAGAGGTGCATCGGCGATCACAGTGGGTCTCGACTTACGGGTGATAATACTGCTCCAGCAAGCTTGAACATGTCATAACTGCGGCGGATAGTAATCTTGAGTGCGTCTGATGAGCGACACCGTTGAAAAACACAAAACAGTCAATCCAATTGTCACTCGCTGCCTAAGCCACACAGATAGCAGCATATATGCGTAAGTGTGCGTCTAGAAGGCGAGACTCGGTCGGGTATTTCTGTGTGCTTATTTCTATAAAGGCCTGCTGTGTTTGTCGCACCGTCTTGACCTACGCCGATTAAAAGGGGCTAGCATACATCGGCGCTGGAACGACGGGCTCTAAAACTTGACCACGGTTGCGTATGTCGCATCCGTACGCCAGAAGGACGAAGATGAGACGCCGGTTCCAGGCACGTACCTCGCAACAAAGCTAATAAGAAGCTTCGTGATGTATTAGGTTTATATGCTGCGATTCTGCTTCCCACATATACTCATAGCGGTAGCCGGAGATGAACCGCTAGCACTGGATGCTGGGCATAAGATCACAAGTGCGGTATACAGTGGTATACATGATTCGAGTTTATAGTGACAGGAAGCCAGTGGCTTCAACGAAAAGCGTCAGATGTACGAACCGGTAGTGAATGGTGGGGGGAGGGATGATGGCAGTCGGGGGCAAAGGGCGGTGGCGACCGGATGGGCGGCAGATTCCAGAGCCTGCCCTAAACCTGGCACGTGGTCGCCGACTCTGATTTTCACGACAATTTTCTCATCCATCGATCCTTCGTCCACACCATCTTCATCGTCCTCCACTCACTTACCTTCATCTTCTTATACAATGTCTTTCGATCTCGCGAAACTTGAGGATCATCTTACCACTCGTTCTTACATCGAAGGGTGAGTCTGTCTGCTTATACATGGTCTATCTTTATCGCTCTCTTTTTGTGATGAGTACTACGCTATGGTCCGTGTTTCCAAGAAGCGACTAGACATCGCTGTCCAAGTATGCCGATATCCAAATTTCTATGGCTCTCTGAATTTCTTTGTCTCCCCATGCTTGATATCATCGTGACCCGACAGGCATGCGTACTAAGCCTATCGAAATTTTACCCAATTTCAAGGTACACCCCATCCCAGGCCGATGTCCACGTTTTCAAGGCCTTGACTGGCGTCCCTGACGCGAAGACTTCACCTCACTCTGCCCGCTGGTACAACCACATCAAGTCCTACACCTCTGAGTTTGACTCCCTGGCCGGTTCTAGCACAGCCGGCGAGGCCTTCACCGCAGCTCCCGCCGTCAAGGAGGCAGCTCCTGCTGCTGCTGAGGAAGACGATGATGAAGTCGACCTCTTCGGCTCTGACGACGAGGTTGATGAGGAAGCTGAGCGTGTCAAGGCCGAACGTGTTGCTGCTTATAATGCGAAGAAGGCCGGAAAACCCAAGGCTGCCGCCAAGGTTCGTATTTTATCTCTGCTTGAATTACCTCTTTGGTGGCGCCGCCACTATATCCACTTTTGTACCTGTGTCGATTCGTGTGTGATGTTAAGAACACAATTTTGTAACGTGTTCGGTAATAAAACACTATGGAACAAGCGTTTATATTTGTCTCTACTTTTAGTCTGTCGTCACCCTCGAGGTGAAGCCTTGGGATGATGAGACCGATATGAAGGCACTCGAGGATTGCGTCAGGTCCATCGAGCAGGAGGGTCTTGTTTGGGGTGCATCGAAGCTCGTTGCTGTCGGTTTTGGAATCAAGAAGCTCCAGATCACGCTCGTCGTCGGTACGTTTTCGTATATCCGCTATATCGTACCGTGTGATTGATGATTGGATGTTCAACAGAGGACGAGCTGGTCTCGACCGATGAGCTCCAGGATAAGATCGCTGAGTTTGATGACTATGTTCAGAGCACCGACATTGCTGCCATGCAGAGTGAGTTCATCACGGTCGATTTTGTGTGCATTGCTAATCTTTACTTTGTCACAGAATTGTAAAGTGCTGTTGCATTATGTTTTTACGGGAATGTCTTGTATGCCTCGAGCGTCTTGTTGTACTCTTTAGATTCAATGAACAAACGGCTCATGTCGATCTGATACCTCGCCGCTGCATTGCGTATGTTCATGAATAGTTTTCTGTCTTCGGCCGTGGCTTGACTCAGTTCTTCCGACTACGTTGGTCGTCGCAACCAATACGAAGTGGGCCTGGTTGGGTTCCGGTCGTCGTAAAAGACCGGTTGCTTCGTCATCCTACATATCTTTGGAGCGCAGCCTCTACTTCGACTGCTGACATCTATCTTCATAGAATATAGCCTCTGAATTGAAAGTTAGCCAAGACCAGTCGCTGTTGTCGCTCATAAGCATGTTCGCCATGAGACCTGAGCTCTGTCCTCGTCTCGTCACGGCCTCCGAATCTTGAATCTGATCAACATGGACTATCGCAGCTCCGCCATCTTTCTGCAACCCGCAACAAGATCCGTTGCAATAGGTCGTGATATACGAACAGAATTCTCTCACTTGAGCACTTCCGCATGTTCTTCGAGGTCCGTTCTTCTCTGTCGTACCAGTGCACAGCCTGTCTGATTCTTTTCGGCCTGCTTTGATGCATGATACCAGAGAACATAGAGCGCACAACTGTTGGTACGTCTTCTCGGGTATTCTATCCACGATAGCCACGGAGATGAGTGGGAAGCTCACGCCTCTTCTTTTCAGCACACCACCTCACTGGCGCACAACGCGTTCTCATTCTCCAATTGTACGGCTTCCAACAATCGTCCCGGTGAGACGATACCGCTGATGATCAAGTTAAGTGTATGTGAAGTGTATGCCGTCTGTTCACGGCAATCTTTGTTATTGGTGGGATAAAGAGGCTGAGGACCGCAGATGCATGGAAGCGTACGCATGTACGTGATCTACGCCGGGCTCCGCTGCGGGCCCGTCTGTAGACTCCTGGACTGCGATGCGCCGGGACCTATAGCAGGACTCATGGCTTGTGTGTCAAAGCGTGGTCATTGAGTGCGATCCCGCCTTTGCGGGCGGGGATTGGTGACCTATGACGAAGTTGGCCATAGGTCAGGCTCTAGCAGACTAACAAGTGGCCTGAGCAGTAGAGCTTGTCGAGCCTCAAGTCGCTTCTGGCTGTCGACCATCTTTGCGCTTTACCTCTTCGCTCCCACGTCGTCCATCTTGGAGTATGTTGAGACTCATAGTGACAGAACTTCGAGTGATTTGCGCGCATCTGTTGCTGTAACTCATTCCTTCAATCGCCGGGCGTGGATAGCACTGTGTGGTGCCGTTGGACACCCAGGGCTCGCCTTCGTTGCTTTCACCTGCGTACCTGCTTCCGTGTGGCTAGTAGTCCGCAACTCTCTGATAATGCACACCGATGCAATGAGCCCAAAGAGTTCGCCTCAATGCTACGTGGCTATCATTTTCTTGCATCAGTCCACGAGAGAGCGATAGAAACATGGGCTGATGAGGTCTTACTCCGCGCCATGATCCTCTTGTCACTGTCAATGTGACAGCTCATTATCCACACTTCACTTCGCGCTACTTGGTATGCTTGCGGAAGATGTATAACTCACTCGGGGCTGTAGATAATCATTCTTCCCCCAGTAAGCGGGCCAGAGCTGCGGTTCCGTGTAGTTTCACCGGCCACCAGCCAACTTCGCTAACAAGATTGGCCATCTCGGGTTTCATTAGGCCTTTAATACGCGACATTCTTTGCCGATGGCAGTGGGCCATAGCCGCGCATAGAATGACGGTAGAATCACTGGGACATTTCGTCATAATCATGAGTGTCTGAGCATGACCGTTGGAAGAATTTGCTTCGTTGAGCGCTGAGGGACAGAGGACAAAACTTACCTAGCGGCCATTGACATGTGAAGTGGTCGTGTGCCACGGTAATCGAAACCTGGCGTCAGACCAGAGTGTGGGTACCTCTGTGGGTCCTCGAATTGTCCGCTCAATGCTCAGCGAAGCAGTAACATAACAGTGCGAATAGACGTGTTTATCACTTCCGACTTCCCCCGTTCATATCTTCATTGAGAGTCCTTCGGTCACACGGTCACTCATCGCGGCCTTACGCCTCTCGTATGCAAGCTTCCAAGCTCCCCGTCTCCGCAGCCAAATGCAAAGCTCCCAGCATGATTGACTTTGTATCATGACGAGCAGCAGAACAACAACGACGTCACCTCGATCGCTCGTCCCTTGTCCATTAGTCTGAAGTCTTCCCTACTTCATCAACTACAACGGTCTTTCCAAGTCTCTTGTTTCTGTTTCCCATCCAACGCTCTCCCCACGGTAGGAGCGGAGCCATCTCAATACGTGAGGTTCTACGCCGCCCTCGCTGGTGACGACCTGAACTGGTCCAGCGGACTTGACAGAGATTTGCCTCAGGCTCAAGCTCAAGATCACACACACTAAGTAAGGCTCCCTAGCACAATACGTATGCCGTCCTCATGTGGTGAGATATTTTTCTCCATCAGTGGGAGAGCGGGCTTGACGTTGCATGCCTGACGATGAACTCGGGTGGGATTCACGGCTTTCCCACAACGTCAGGTTTTATGTCAATCCAGCCACATCATCCATGGTTAGATTCGGGTCCCACGGGCAGCTATTTGAACCTTCTTCTGGTCTCCGGCCCAGAGTCTTCTGCAGGTTTCTTTCTTATGTACGCCACACACGGATCCCGGGCTAGCCCAGCTTTGACGGCTAGCAATTCATTTTCTCGTTATGCATGGTGTGATCGAACAGCACGGATTCATAATCGAGATATTACCGAGCTATCCTCTCTCAGGCCATGGATCGCCCAGGATCGCCTTGCCTTCGAGATCAAAGCGACTAGAAGAAATATTACTTCTCAGCGTCCGACTCGAGCCTCGAGAATATAGGAAGCACATCCCAGGTGAGAGATACCAAGCACGATCCAGCGCATAAAATAGAGTTTTACTGCCCAATGCAGTCTCTTCGCCGACGCTTCTTCTGCCGCTCAGCGTTCATATCCCTCAGCTGCGACTACTTGCATGAGGCACCGGTGAGCGTAACATACTGAAAACTCTGCTCGTGCATCGATGCGTGAATGTCCACCGACTCTTTACGTCCCGGCGGGCTCTAGCGCGACTTTGAGCACACGCTTGTTGGCTTCCCCGTCCATGCGATTTAGGTGGAGCTTTGAATGGGCGTTTATTCTATTTCCCGTAATACTCTCTGAGGTTTTGAGAGACCGCAATCGGCATGGAGAGTCAATACTACAGCGGGGCCTCGAGGAATTCATATACCAGATCGGTCGGCATAGCTCACCATTTTTACAGACATTGATACCGTCGGCACCAATCGCGGCACGCACAATCATCCACGCAAGCAGGCCACATTACAGTTGTACGTCTTTTGACCTTGACTCCAAAGGAAGCAACTCACACTTTACCACAGCCAGAGACAGGTATAGCTCGAAATAGTTCGAGTCGGATATTCGTGCACCCCGACAGCAGTGATTTTAATCGACTCGAGACCCAAAAATACCTCAGTGCCCGAGCTTGTCTATGATGCCGTGGTATCATGACCTGTGCTCGGTGGCGGTCAGCGTCTGTCGACGTCCGGTGAGCATTTGGGCGTTATAACATGTGTCTCTTGACGTACAATATTGTAAGTTCAAGGGGAGTCTGCAAATTTTGTAGTCCGGAACGACCGCTTTCAGCGATCGTTCAAGAACGGGAATGAAGCTCTTGCCACCCGCCGCCATGACCATACGTCCATACGCCGTTGCATCCTTCATAGCCGACGAACGTTGACACTGTTTTGTTTTCGGCCCGATGTCGATTCTATGGGCGACTGTTAACGGCTGGTGGGTACTTTCTGTTGTCTTTGACACACAAGGTCTGGGGGAAGTTTTGTTTTGGTCAGAATTCTTTGTGTTCCGCTCCTCTGGTCTTTCAAGTTACCTAATGGTCCTGGGGTGGTGTGGCGCCGCGTTCGCAGCTCAACAAGAGTACCTCATCCCTCATCCGTCGACTGTACTTCTGAACGGCGAACCCTTGAACAGGCAAGGGCGCACATCAGCTCCTGTGGACGTCGTCTATAATTAGGCCCTCTTCGAGGGACTTGTCTCGGCTTGCTCTCGGCCAAGACACGGCTCAGAACTTCAATTCCCGTGGCGCCCTGGAATAGAGTAATATTCCCCAAGGGTCTTCGCGGTCGACGAAGAAACACCAAGTCAGTCTATACGACATCAGCACCCTCCCCGTACATCGGAGAGACGCAACGGAAGGAGCTGATTGACCTGAAAGGAAGTGCTTCAACGCGCTACTAGCGCACCTCCCTCGAATCTTATTCACAAGTGCACAACCGCAGTTTAGTCAATCCTATCTCTTCTGAACTTCGAACCGACCTAGGTACAACCCAGCCGCAGACGTGCAACACTCAACCCTGAGCTGCTCAATTTCTCGTTCAATCTTTCCAGCCGGTCGTCCTCTTCCTCTACCTCGGGCTCATGAGACATCCGCAACACAACATCCTCAACATCTCGCAGTAGCCATATACTCTCACGACCCGTGCTACTCAGCTAACCCTATACGTATATGTAGACCAATGGAGCTGCCTTAGAGCCAGGAGTACTTCATAGTAATACCACTATATAATCACCCAAGACACCTAAGACAAAGATCTACACCCGTACGAGTATGTACTGTAACGGTAGTAACACGATTACAAGAAAAGCCACTGCAGTCATGGACCGACGGGCTGCCAAAAGAAAAAGGAGAACATGTACAAGAGAAGGCAAGAAAATCGAGAGCGGGAGTGAACTCGAGAAGAGGGAGATCGTGTCAAGACAGCACAAACAAAAGAAATGAGTAAGGAACCGATAAACAAGGGAGGGGAGATATATGAGTTCAGATAAGTACACAACTTTCGAAAGCAAGATACACTGAACGAAAGCAAGACTTCGACTTTTGATACCCCGCCACACATACACACGCACATAATACTACTATCCTTTCTACTATAAATGATCAAGAAACCACCAATAAACAAGACGAAAAGATCACCCAAACGACCGAAAAGAGTGAGCTGGAACAAGCAACCAAGACCTCATCACCGGATACTAAATTTCTCGAACGCCCTCCTTGTCCCCTCTTCCCCCGGCCCGCCTTTCCCCCTCTCCCCCCAAACCTTCCACATCTTCATCGCCTCCTCCCTATAACAGAGTGTAAACACCATCGTGCCGTCCGGACTCAAACAGCTCTGCCCCACCGTCCCGCTATGCGCCGTCACGCTCACAAGCCTCTTACAGTTCGGCCACGAATGGACCGTTATCGAGTTCGTGAGCGCGGAGGGGGCGGGCTGGATTGGAGTGTTTGCTAAGGAGGCTGAGGCTATGTGGGTATTATTGAGGTCGTTGGAGGGGGAAGAAGAGAAGGGTGATGCGAGCCAGGAGAGACCGTGCACTGAGAGGAGCTCTTTGCAGTGAGGGGACCAGTGAAGGGAATAAATTGAGGAGTTGACTGTTATGGTGCTAAGAGGCGTCGGGCAGATGGAGCCGGTGTGATGTGTTGAGGTGGAGGCTAGGTTGGAAGAAGAGGCGGATGCGAAAGAGGAGGCGGAGAGGGATGGAGAGTTGAAGTTGGATGCTGACCAGATCTTGATGGTTCCGTCTGGATAGGTCCCCGCAGTGGCGAGCAGGTCGGGTTTCCAAGGACACCATGCGAGAGCCTAATATGGCCGTCAAGGAATCGGTAAGCATAAATGTCTGGATGGAGGAAGCTATAAGGCAGAAGCGTTCACAAAGGCTTCGAGAAGGGTAACGTCCATTGCAAAAGCGGACGAGCTGGCGAACATCACCTCAAGTGAACTGCCTCATCAACTGTTAAACGCTGAAAATTTGATAGCCTTGCAATGCAGTGCGGAATAGAGGTATTCTCCTCATCTAAGTGTTCCTTCCGTGGAATATTGGGCCACACCGTAATAATACGCCACACAAGTCTCGCCACACCTGAACAGAGAATACAACGATACAATATCGCTACTCTACATAGACAATCAGAGTTCCCATAACAATACGCCACGACGGCAGTATAGGGGGTCGTAGATGATAATATACGAACATGAGGTTCATCAGTGACCATGGGTAGGCGCGCTGACGATCCTCTTGCTCGCAGATCAATCACTAAAACATTGTCGAGCAATATATACTGGTCGACATATATAGTGGAATACATCCACGATGTCGAGTTCAGCAATGTTTCCAAAGGGAGAAGACACCATGGAAGATACGATCTTCGCGCCGAGAAATGATGACTCGGTCGGCGATCGCCACCCTGTCCGAACCTGGCGCAGAAAGAGCAATTCGGGAAAGAAAGAACGACGAACCTTAGCTGGACCTATATGCCTCATTTTTGCCAACTTCGTGCTCATATTCCTCGAATCCCAAACAAGTACCGTCCCTCTATTATCCACACTCGCCAAGAACCTCTGATCCTCACTCCACTTGGCACCAAACACATCTCCTTTATGCCCCTTCCACCCGCTCAACTCCTTCTCCACCCTCACATCGTACAACGACATCTTTCCATCATGCCTCCCAACAACAAATTCCTGACTCTTCGCACCCTTCCAGCTTACCACCGTTGCGCCAGCCCAATTCGCATCCGACCACAACCTGATCCTCTTCTTCTCTTCACCCGTATCCCACACCTGTACAGACCCGGTCGTCGTACCCAGCGCCACCAGGTTACAGCTCGCTACATCCTCCGCGAATTCGAGAGCTCGTATACGACCCATAGTCGAACGAGGCAAATTGCATAAGTGAGCGATCTCCCGGGTGTCGAGGTTTTGGTAGTAAATATCGTGACCACACGCGACGGCGATGACGTTCTTCTTCGACCATGAGAGGGGATATGCCCACGGGTCTTGTGGGATGCCTGGGCCATCGAGAGCGAGGATAAATTGTCGACGCTTGGCGAGATGGGAGAGAGATGACGTGGGTGAAAGGGTGGCGGGTGTGTGGAAGAGTTGGGAGGCGGAACGACGGAGGGAGAGCATCATCTTGTCTGGGGGTGCTGACGTCGAGTCGGTAAAGTTCAGAAACCGGTCATCCGCAAGACCGAGCATCTGCGCTACTCTGTTCGTTCGAGGTGTAGTATTGATGGGAAAGAGTATGTCGGGGCGGGTGGAAATGAACCGGTCGGACTGTACAAAGATAATGTCATAACATTAGTCTCTGCCTGTGATGCATGGAAAAGTTGCGCACTCTAGGTTCTGTATTGACGTCCGCATATTCGTTCTTTGGTATTGGCTCAGTGGCAATATCTATAGGACCAATAGATATCCGCTGTCGTTTGACCGAGAACTCATTCGTGATGGATGCTCTGATTCTTCTCTTGCGTGTCGGCGTCTTGCATCGTGGGGTAGACGGTCCTGCCAGAGCGTTATGGGTGCTACAATTGAGCATGAGTATGCGTTTTGTAGACTTCAAACAAAGGAAAAACTTACTCAGCCATTGTCTGTCCGCGGAATAGCAAGTCGATGTGGAAGTAGAGAACAAGGCGATGAGACGGAGAGCGCTTGCGGCATGGAACTGTCGCGGTCTCCACGTGCTGCTGTGGGATAATGTTGCTTCAATATCCCGAACAGGAGTGTTGTTTGCTATCTCTTCCACTTTGCGAGTGGCCACATACAATGTTCTCTTGCGGTCATATGGAGAGTCAGTGTCATAGTCATATCCTCATCCAGAAGCGAGGACAAATAATTGCCATGTCCTAGGGAAAGAACCTCGGGCCACACAAATAAGTATGGGTGCCACCGAACTCGCCAGAAACTATTGTATTTGGGAAGAGCTTTGATCTATTCTCTGAGAAATGTGCGTAGGACCGACATTTGCTTCGATGCTGACGCAGACGGTTGATTTTATGGACAGTTGTCGCCACACTCTATGATGTACGCTCATATTTCACACCACGCTCGGTAGAGACCGAAAGGGGGTGGCGTCAAGCTTGCCCTAAAGCTCCCACAAATTTCCTCTCGTCGCACAGAACGTTCCTTTTCCGTTCTTCTGCTCAAGCTTATCCTTTGAATCCACCGTCTCCTCTTTCTTGTCTGCTATTCCTTGAACGCTGCTCATTTTAGACACACCGCACCCGAAATTCATCGTGCGACCAAGTCTGGTCCAAAACATCGACCCGTACGCAGAACCTATCCGCGTCTGTCCATATTCCATACACCCTCTTTATTCACTCACCGTTCGGCGCATCCCACCGAGCGGAAGAGTTGCTAATGCGGGGGAAGAACGAGAATCATCATACAATTGTAGGCGTTAATTCAGCTGCTTCATTTCGAGCGTTGGAGTATGTTTTACGAGATGCCTTACAAGCACCGCCCCTCCTCTCTTTCCTATCCTACTCTTTTGTGATATTGTTGTTTGTTTTTGCGAGTTTGGGATGTAGTTGTGGTCGTGTTACTGTAAATCGTGTCGACTCGAGCTGTCACAATTGTGTTTACTTCGAGAAAGAGATTACACTGTCATTATATCCACAAATATTCCAGATAATCACCAGGGTACGTTACATCGGGTCCGAAACAGACTATATACGCAGCCTGATGCAGCCCGACCGACGAAAAGATACCAGATAGACGGAACGTTCTTATTGTATAAACAGAAACGGGATAGAAAAGGCAGAGGATAAAAGAACAACAGTTTAGGCGTGTTGTATAGTGGAACTTACTCGAAAGTAAAGTGGGTAGTGATTGGGGAAGTAGTGGTACAGGTAAGGTTGATGACCAAGACGAAGAACATAGTGATGAACGGGAAGCATAGTGGATAAAGACGTGATAAGGGACAATGAATATGGACAAAGGAAGAGAGGAAAAAGCCGGCGAGGAGGGAGAAAGGGAAATAGCCATACGGAGAGAACAAAGGAACAGAAGGTCGAAAGCTCGGCACGCGGAACGCCCCAATATAAACACCGAAATAAAAACGTCCATATCATACTTTCGTCCCTTCCAATCCTCCCCCCCTCCATGCTCGACGACCTGCTTCTGTGGCAAAACTTTACCGAATTCCACAGGGCCCGGAAACGACGCTCCTCTGCCTCGCCAGAGTCTTCCTCTTGCCCCAGACCTCCCACACCTTCAATAACTTCTCTCCCGGAACGGCGACCACTACCCTCTGCCCATTTGGGCTCACCGCACTTCCGTTGACCGGTCCAGTTCCGACCACCTGCGTCTTCATCTTGGCCAGGTGTGGGAATGAGTGGACCGCAATGGAATTTGCGAGAGTTTGAATGGGCGGGGGCGGGATCTGAGCTGTCGACGCGGAAGCGAAGGAGAGGTCCCAGTCGAACTCGTCGTCGAACGAGCGTGGCGTAGTCAGTGGCGTCATGACGGGCGTAGGAGGTGGCTCTGGGATCGGTATCCCCGTGCCATGAGTCGAGAAGAGCTCCCTACACGAGGTAGACCACTGGAGGCTCGTGACCTGAGCGTCGAGTTCCAAGTTGTTCGGTTGCAACTCCTTGGGCGAGGCCTCGTCGATATTCCAGAGCCTTATAGTCCCCGTCCCGTCGGGCGCCGCGTCACCACTCGCGAGCGTCTTCAAGTTCCACGGGCACCAGGCTAACGCCTTCACCGGGCCAACATGTTGCATTCTGCGTCTCCTCTTGTCGAGGTCTCCCACGTCTAAGGGCACGGATTTCTTGTTGATCGGTAACGTTTTGTTATCCATCCGTGCGTCCCAGCATAGGACGACACCAGCACCATCCCCGCTGGCAAAAATCTTGCCATCCTCCTTCCACGCGACGGACCAGATCATAGCCTGATGACGCGTCACCCTCTGCGACTCTCCCGTCATCTTGGTCGTCTCTTTGATCCGCGTATCGAAATGCCGAATGGTCCCCTTCTCGCCTCCGACTGAGAGTATGGAAGGGTTAGAGGACCACGCGAGGGCGGTAGGCGACCCCCCCTTGCGCCATGATCTGATCATTTGCCTCGACTCGATATCGTATAACTGTATAAGACCGCCGGCGGTAGACACGGCGAGGGTGTTGGGCGCGTCGAGGCCAGCACACGAAAGGAGGCGTAGGTCGCCGTCGTTCTCCTTGACCTTGAACAAGCCATCCGGGACCTCGTGCGCTGGGTTGGACAGGTTCTTGCAGTGAACGCGGTTCCCGCGTCCGAACACCAGTAGGTTCGTGGTGGACCAGCTTAAAGGTGCGGTTTGGCCAAGGAGGGCGTCCTCGATAGGTTCGTAGGCAATGGAGACCTTCGAGTCGCGAAGGAACCATTTGGAACTCTGGTCCGATATTGTGGGCGGCGGTGAGAATAACGAGGTAGTCGTCGAGACAGAAGAATGACGTTGGAAGGAGAAGCCGCTGACGGGAGTGCTGCCCCGAGAGAAGTCGGGGCCACCGAAAGAGAGACCAGAGACAGATGAGGCGCGGCTGAGGGATTGACGTGATTGGCGTCGAGTGAGACGTCGGGACGGACTTGAAAGAGGCGATCCCGAGGAGTGGGTTGGACGGAGTGTACGCTAAATAATCAAAGAAGTGAATTCAGTGTCCATCGTTATCGCAGTGAGGACTGATATATTTTGGTGATGTGGCGTCTGGGCCACACAGACTGTGCAAGGTTCAGGAGGCTTGCATGTAGATGAACGGACACGACCAACGACTCATGGATATCACCATAGGGTTGGCAACATCATCCATTCATTCGGCTGAGTATAAGTGGCCCTGATCTCTAAGGAGATACCGCTATCCCGATCTAACGCTCATGGCGCAACGCCCGCCGGATGCTACTTAGCACGGCTCGACGAGCTGAGCAATTGTTCATAAACAATATCACCACAGTCCACAGAGGACATTTCTGAGCCTCACACTGCATCAATTGCAGATGTCAGACACATGAGCAAGAGCAAGATCTTGGTGAACAAGGCTTGCCAGCCTCGTGATATATCAAGCGGGAGATGGGGCTATTCCCGAAGATTCGCACGGTGTCCCGACATTGTCGACGAAATTTTCGGGAAAAGACGATGAATGAAAGTGCTCACAGGAGAAGGTTGAAGTATAGAAGAGATCAAGTCTGTATTGAACGTTTCAAGCGGGAGAGCAAGCAGGCTCCGCGCGGTAAGTTCAGCAGCTTCGGGTTCGCGTCTGCGGACGCGTCTGCCATGCTCGTCGTCGTCGTCAGCGGTGGGCGAGCTCAGGGTGCGCTTACGCGACCCGCTGACCGTGTCGGGAGGTGTTGATGTTTGAGAACTTGGCCCCGCGCTTGAAGAAACGAGTATCAGTGTACGATTCGCAAACAAACGCGTCCAAGAAACTCACGACGACTCGCCCTCGGTTGATGGGAATTCGACACGCAAAAAATCTTCGCTAACAGACGACATTTTTGATGGTACTTTGTCGTTGTCGTAAAGTCTTGTACTAGTTCAGAGGTATTCGTGTGTCGAAACCGAGGAGGTGGTGGTTGTAGGAGGGGAGGAAGAGCGTGGTTCAAGCGGGCACGGCCGTGGCGATGAAATTGGAAAAGCGTCGGCTATAACATCAGCTGATGTAATCCGACACGACACGCAGCGCGTTCCTTCTGTTTACGCGTTGTTTGCCACTTTCCCACAATGACACATGCACGTGGCCGCGTTGCTTTCGCGCGGTACGCGTACGGTCGACGGCCCTTGTCTTTCGTTCCTTCGACTGGCTATGGAAGCGTTGGTGACTTGTATTTTTGTGCGCTTCTCCTCTTGATCTATCTAGGGTATCAGGGTAAGTTATGGGCTGCCGCGTACGTACCCCTACCTGATCATAATCAGTTTCGCCACCTTCGAAGAGCTCACTACTTGCGCGCCAATGTATTTCTGGCTGTATTCTGGAGCGTACTCCGGTCCTGTGTCCAATTTCCTGCTCAGGTGCTCAGAGGGGATGTCAGGACGAACTGTTCACCCTTGCCCAGTCCTTTGAGCATGTATCTCATTGCAAACTCAATGACCCAGGGACACCGTCTTATTCTGGGCCAAAATTCGGAATTTCACTCCTCGCTCAGGGAAACCATCCCATCGAGCGAAGGCAGACCAATTATCCTTTATTTTGGCTACTATTCATACGTATCTGCAGCATGCCCCGACCCTCGACAAATTACCGCTACATTTCGGTAGCCCCTGACGTCGATGCTGACGGCCCGAGGACATTCCTGGTCACAAGGTCTTCTAATATGTCGGTTGGTTTCGAATAGGTCCAACTGCGAGTCTATGATGTCCGCCCTGAAGTGTATTCCAAACATCGAAAACCGCACATTAACGCCCGTATAAAAAGGTCGATGGGGCCGACGGGCCTCTTCAGACGACTTCGCGGTCCTGACTTCTCGCCATGCTGCTCCTCAGCAGCGTCCTCGTCCTTGCTGCGTCTGGCCTTGGTGTTCAAGCCATAGGCCAGACCGCGTGCGTCTCCTTCGACCAGAACTCTACCAGCACGCAGTCGAATTCTTCTACTAGCTTGTTTTCTCTCGTCTCCAGCGGCGAAGCGGCACCGATCTTCCTTTCTTCCGACGAATGGCCCGGTGTGCAACTCGCTGCGTCGACCTTTGCCTCGGATGTTGAGAAAGTTACCGGAGCGTCTCCATCAATCACGAACTTCACCTCGATCCTTTTTGCTAATGGTACCGACGCGTCCACCACAAGCTCTCCTCCGATTCTCGTCGGAACCCTGGGCAACTCTTCGCTCATTGCTGCTGTGGTGAATAACACGGGTCTGGATGTATCCTCGGTGGAGGGGAAATGGGAAGCATTCATGACAGCGATCGTGGACAACCCTTTACCTGGGTTGGACAAGGCGTATGTGATTATCGGAGCGGACAAGAGGGGAACAATATTCGCCTTGTATGACCATTCAGAGCAGATTGGTACGTGGCGTTCAGCATATACAACCTCTGATATCCTCTGACGATCGGCCTTTCGTCTCATACAGGAGTGTCACCGTGGTACTGGTAAGCAATCTAGTCTATATCTTGCTTCGTCGACGTTGTCGGACTGGGTTCTCGTTTCTTTAGGTGGGCAGACGTCCCCGTGACCGAGCATATCGATATTTTCGTCTCGCCATCTGGTTGCTCTCATGGCTCGCCTACAGTCAAGTACCGTGGATTATTCCTTAACGACGAAGCACCGGCCCTCACGAACTGGGCTGCGGAGAAGTTCACGAATGGAACTGGGGCGGCGCTCACGGGCTCGCCGTTCAACCACTTTTTCTACACTCATCTGTATGTGGCTCACGTTCACAGTGCGATTTACACGATGATAGTGATGGGATTATGTCGTATCTCTTAGATTCGAGTTACTGTTGAGGTTGAAGGCGAACTTCTTATGGCCCGGTGAGCTAATGCTCTGGTTTGGAAGCGTGAATGAGGCATTGACTTCGATTCTTGTCTATAGCAATGTGGAGCAGGTACGCCACCCACCGCATACTGACCATTTTGTATGTCTCCTAATATATGTACAATGATACAGCGCCTTTGGCGTGGATGATTCCCTCAATCAATTTTTGGCGGACTACTACGGAGTGGTCATGGGCACCAGGTCAGTCAAGTCCCCAATCTTATCACCTTCGCCCCTCTACACCTTTGTGTTATCGCCTTCCGGTTGCGTTTGTTGTGTCAATCTGACCGGTGCCTGGTTTTCGTTCAATCAGCCATGAGGAGCCTATGATGCGGAGTATTCCTGTGGAATGGACCCTCTTCGGCAACGGTACTTGGGACTACGACACCAATCAACAGAACGTGTATAACTTTTGGGTCGAGGGGGCTGAGCGAGCAAGACCTTTCGAAGGAGTTTACACGGTTGGAATGAGAGGCAACGGGGACTGTGCGTTGCCTTTCATTGCCTCTAAAATATCTAGTCTGCTCAGTGTTCCACACGGTGCTAATGTATACCTGGAAATCTGTAGTGGCGCTTGGTGCAGACACAAATGTGGCGCTACTCGAACAGATTGTTTCGGACCAGCGAGGGATCTTCCAGAATGTGTTTGGCAACGCAACAGACGTGACGACGATCCCACAGGCTTGGTGTCTTTGTACGTCTTCCATTGTACCTTCTTTCTTGAGCAGCGGAGTCCTGATCTCTTGGACGCGGTTGGACAGACAAGGAGGTGCAAGGGTATTATGAGAGTGGAATGACCGTACCCGATGATATAACTCTTCTTTGGACGGATGATAAGTGAGCATCATCCTCCAAATTCTTTGGCAGTCGGTTTCATCAATCTAACATGGTGATTCGCTTTAGCTGGGGCAACATTCGTAGGTATCCAATCCCATCCGAACGCAACAGGACAGGTGGCGCTGGAGTGTACTATCATGTTCGTGCATCTCACCATACTTGCTCATTGCGTTTTACTCATATGACCGGTGATGACTTCTAGTATGACTACGTGAGTTTGAGGCAGGGTGACATACGTAGTGCTCCCAGGCATTGATATTTCTTATGGGCCAGGTGGGAGATCCGCGCGACTACAAATGGATCCAGAGCACTCAGATCTCGAAGGTGTGCCACCTTTCCCTTCCTGCTGCCAATTTCTAATGGCCATTACCTCAGGTCTACGAACAATTCTCCCTCGCAGTCGATCGTCAGGCCACCCAAATCTGGATCCTCAACGTCGGCGACCTCAAGCCTTACGAGATGCCCATCGAGTTCTATACCACCCTCGCCTATGACTCGTCCATCTTTAATCTCAACAACCTTAATGATTTCGTCGCCGCTTGGGCTACGCGCGAGTTCGGGTTGGATGCCGCGGATGCGACGGAGGTGGCGAGCATCAGTGCGAATATGACAATGATGTTGAGTAGGATCAAGCCTGAGTTGTTGAATGCGACGACGTTCAGTTTGGTCAGCTATAGAGAGTGGGTAGCGTTTCATTTGGTCTGCAGTAATATGCTGTTTAGATTCGCTGATCTGATCCTTTGTTAGGGCGGAGACGGTGCTCAGCGCATGGGACACTCTCAACCAGTCCGCGTCTCGCATCTACGAGAGTCTTTCGTCCGACAAGCAGCCCGCGTTCTTCCAGCTCCTTTATCATCCCGTCCAGGCAGGATACACCCTTACCAACATGTGGGTGGATGCCGGTATCAACAATATGAGGGCGATGCAGGCTCGGACCAGCGCGAATGAGTACGCGGAGAAGACCATAGCTTTGTTCGAGGCTGACTATGATCTGGAGTTATGGTACCATGGTCTCCTGGACGGTTAGCTCGTTTCTCGACTGATCCCATAGGGATATGGACTGACTTTGGCTCGAAAACAGGCAAATGGGACCAAATGATGTCGCAGACGCATACGTGGTATCAATACTGGCAGGAGCCGACGCAAAATATGTTCGTCTCTTTAGGCTTTATTTGCTTCCCATACGAGCTAATGCCCTCGTTATCTCCAGGATGCCAGCTTTAATGAGAGTATCTACTCGGAAGCCTAATATCGCGGGGGCCATGCGTATCACACCAGAGGGTACTCTCGGGACCTGGTACGTCAAAACTCGACTCAATTCTTTACACGAACGCAGAAATCATATTCGACCTATCACTTTTGCAGGCCGGGCGACAGTCCATACCAATGCACCCAAGGCTACAATTGTCCCGCCCCTAGCATCACTATCACACCTTTCTCCCCCGTCTCCAACAAGTATGTCGACGTCAGCATGGGCGGATCCATCCCTTTCACCCTCAGCGTCACCTCGAACGTCTCCTGGGTCAATATCTCGAGCTTCGACGCCAGTCTGACCTCGGATAATACGGAACAGAGGGTGTTCTTGAGCGTGGACTGGGATGCTATTGGGGAGGGGAATTCGAGTGCAGCTGCGGTGTCGTTTAATGCTACGTTGCCGGATGGTATGCCTAGTTATTTGAGCCCGACGAGCTACGTTGTGCTGTCGCTTGTGGCGAATCGCACGAGTGTGTTAAGTGGATTCTCAGGTGCGTCCTTCCTTGTTTGATTTTCGGGAAAATGTCGGTTCTAATCACTTGCTTGTGGCAGGATTTGTTGAGGGCGATGGTGCGATTGCAATCGAGGCAGCCCATGCGACGCGGAATACGAGCGTTGGAGAAGTAGCATGGGCCGAGATCCCGAACTACGGGAGGACATTGTCTGGAATGACTCCCTGGCCTCGTCTTGGGAACAATGAGACGAACTATACTGCGGGTGCTGGACCAAGCTTGTATGTCACTTCTCCCCCTCCTTCCTCCGTATGGCATCTGACTTTGTGACGCCTTTGCAAACACAGAGAGTACGACTTCTACAATTTCAACACCATCGATGAATCTGGCAATATCACCGTCACGATCAACATGTCTCCTTCCCTCAACGCAAACGGCGACGACAGGCCCCTTGCCATCGCCGTGCAAGTCGACTCATCGACGCCACAGACCTCCTATTTCATCCCCGCCGCCGATCCAGGAGATGAACCAGATGCGTGGGGCGATTGGGTCGCGAACGGGACCGTTCCTGTTACTGGGAACTTTACGGCTTGGCCTGGAGCGCATACGTTGACGGTGAGTACTTAGCTGAATATTACCAATACTTTCGATATTGGTGCAGTATATGATACGGACACTGATTTCTGTTTTCGTGCACACCATAGTTGTGGATGATTGAGCCTGCTGTCGTGGTACAGAAAGTTGTCATCGGTGAGTGTGCTCTCCCTCCCTTGCGCATCGGATTGATAGCTCAAACGCTCATTGCTCACCTCTAGATACCGGTGGTCTCCAGCAAAGTTTCCTTGGGCCGCCCGAAAGTATTAAAGTATGAGTGTCGAAGGGGTATGGCCGAGTGGCATATGTGTACGATACGTCGTATGAAGCCGATGATACATGGCTTTCAGTCTCCATTCGCTATAGCAGGCGAGAAATCAAGAGTCTCCGGTGACATGTGTGGTTCAACTAATAAGACATCGGTACTGCTCTCTAAAAATCATTGATGTTACTCAGTCGAGTGTCAGACTACATGATACCCCTCCAGACTTCCCCCCTCGGGCCATATCAACAACGCTCTTTCTGGGGAGGAGTATTGGGAGAGATCATATCATGAGCATCATCTCGTTACAATGGGATGCAAGACTCACAGATGCCTTGCACGGTAAACGTCCCTCGTGGCCTTCTTCGTCTCAATTGATATTGACTTCCGCGATTATTGCCTTCAACGCCATCTGACTGTCCTCGCTGACCGAACACCCAAAAACCTCAAGGACAGACAACGGAGATACTGATGACTGGCGTGCTTCCAGCAGCGAGACGCCTCGCTCGTCCCACAGGTGTACGCGCAGCGTGTGCAGTTTCGGGAAAAGGACGACGACCTGTTGATCACCGTCTAGGATATCGGTGGTGTCGGCTGTGAGGGCTTCGAAGAGGTGAAGAACCATCCCATCTCGGGCTCGGTACGTCAGTTTGCGGAGGTTCGTCAACGGTCCAAAGGTTCCGCGCCATTGATGAGAACTCGTCACTAATACCAAGTTCCATGGTGGTATCTCGAGATGAGTGAGATTGGAGAATAGAGTTGTACAAAGAATACGAAGGAAGATGACGGGAGAAGACTCGGATCCGTCGGATGTACCCCAAAGCAGATCGCAATGGAGCAAATGGGTGTCTTTGTTTAGGTCCTGCTCGGTAGTAGCAGACACCTGGAGGTTGTATGAAGAGGACACTCTTGCTGTTCTGAGAGTGATGGGGTCCCCTATGATGCAGGTGGGATCAGGGACGAATAATGAAGCTAATGCCTCAGGATCTTCGTCTTTGACGATGTTATTAGGAGAAATGTCGACGTAGGCGTTGGAAGGTATTTTCAAGCAATGGCGGAGTACGACGCATGCTCTCACCTCGACATTGAGTCTGAGTGACGTCAAGCGAGGAAGCGAGATAAGCTTGGAGTTATACGGGCTGGCTGTGATGGCAAGGTCTGCCTCGAATACGGGACGTGCGTCGTACCAATAGGTGAAAATCTCGAGGACCGACAGGTTTAGCATCTCCTCCAAAATGTTCAATAAGTGGATGAGCCTGGGCATTCCAGATGATATGTCCCTCGACGGAAAGTTGATACGAAGCACAGATAGATCTTGAAAAGGGACGCTAAGCCAGGGGAGTTTGAGGCCCGACATGTGCAACACGCGTAAGCGAGGGAAGAGATGGTCCTCGATCCGTCCAGGAGGAAAGACACAGAAATCGGGAGCTGTCCGATTCGGAGAGTGAATGTCTAACTCTTCCAATAACGGGTAATGTGTGCCGAACGACTTCACCAGGTCGCTCAGTTCGACGAATTCGTCATCGTGTATCCTATGAAGCAGTTGCAATCGAAAGCTCCTCAGGGTGTTGTGACATTGCAGAAGAGGGATGCGACAAATCTGGATTGGTGTTTCCCATTCGGCGATGTCGAAGGGGAGAGGCATGTTCCTCGATCGCTGGATGCATTCTGTCATCCACCTGCTGCCCAAAGCGAACACGATGTTTGTCCAAAGAACGGGGGACTGTAACGCAACATGTCGCCACAGTTGGCAGACGTAGGTTAGATGAATCCAGCCTAGCCAGTAGATGGTGGATTTTTTAGTTCTCGAATATGAACGCTTGGGAGGATCGTGAACGTATAAGAAGATAAGGGAAAGGAGCTCAGTCGGGAGGCTCAAAATAAATGAAGGCGACGTCGAATCACTGCTATTACTGCAAGTTTCAACATCGAATCCAGATGTTTTGGAAACGCGAAGAACGCTTACGGGAGAAGAGATTCGAAGTGCTTAGTATATCCAGTCACTGTTCCCTCGTGCGGTCGAACCTCAGGTTGGTCCATAGGTATCGGAGGTTGGGAGGCCAGAGGAAATGTTGAGGTCAAAGGCAGGTCAAAGGTAGCCGTGATTCCCCGCTGTACCGAGCCAGTACCGAGCCGCGAGCGGAGCAACATCACCGTGACGCCACTCAGCATACGACTTATCCTTAGGCTCGGTAGCTCTCTGCAACTGTCTATCAAATCCTGTGTGACTTCGTCCCCCACATAAACATCCGAATGTGCATGGAAAGTCGTCGATTACCCCAGGATATTCACCATACTCCTTGCTTGCTACCGTCAGCGCGTACTCATAACAGAATCTTCTGCGTTTCGTCAGCTACCCCTTCTAGAGCTTCTACCACCTGTGTGGCCTTCGCGACCCAAGCGCCGAAGATGCCTCCCTCAACCCCGACCGCCTCAACCCCACCCATGCCTCTATTCTGCTCTCCTTCCTTAGCGGTTACCTCGCTGTACCCGATTGCATCCTTCACGACCAAACAGTCATAGCCCCTTTCCATTGCCTCTCTGACCGTACTCCCCACGCAAACCTCCCACGTCACGCCACATACGACCAAGTTTCTGATCCCTTTGACTCGCAGCATGAGATCGAGCTCTGTATGCACGAAGGCTGACTTTCCGGGCTTATCAAGGACCGGCTCTGGACCGAATCCTCCCTCACTTAAAGAAGATTGTGTTATAGGATATAGCTCAGGGATGATATCTTGCCCTTTCTCTCCACGAATGAGCAAACGACCCAGAGGGCCCTCATCGCCTATGCCGAGACCGGAAGGATTGTTCCGTGAGCGGAGAAGTTCGCGTGGGGAGAGGGTGGATAGATCGGGTCGGTGTCCTTCACGAGTGTGGAAGATCGGGTAACGATTGCTGCGAAAGTAGTTAAGGAGAGTGGAAATGTGTGGGATCGGTGCGCGCATGGGCTCAAGAGGGTAGCCTTGATGTTCGAGGTATCCGCCTGGGGAGCAGACTACATGTCGTTGGGATGAGTCGATTTAGGTAGCGTAAGCGGAGGATGTGAGCGTAGATAAGGACTTACAGTCGTTTTGCATGTCGATGACTATAAGAGCCGTATTGGACGGTAAAATGTCACCCACCATGGGCCAGTCGTAGGGATCGGCTTTGATCTTTGGCGGCATATGCATATCTGTCGGGCAAGCCACTTTGAGAGATTCAACAGGTTGTCGACAAAGAAAAGAACGGTCCTTTCAGAAGAAATTTCAAAAGCCGTTATGACGCGAGGCTTAGCTTCCGTGTGGCGGAAGTTACAGTTCGATAATGGACTGGCACTGGATAGGATTTGGATACAAGGCTGTTGGCAGCGGTACACAGTAAGTACGAGCGATAAAGAATAAGATCCCCCATGAACCAAACAAACGGCATACTACTCATAGTGTGGATGTGGAGGGAGTCCACCAGCCATCACTAATCCGAATTGATTCAGCTTTCTGGATCCCGGGAGAAGCCGTAGCGGCGTTTGGCGGAGTTTCAGATCAAATATTTCTGAAAATCTGGCCAGAGCCTTTACCACTCGTTCATCCATCTTTTATCGGCACAATACATATGCATGACCTCTGTCTCGTTGTCTCGTATGGATGTCTTTGCCTGTGCGTCTTATGGGAGACTTCAAAGTCAGGTCTTCTCCCGCTCGAACTTTCCTCCTTTCATGCTCAGCTTCTCCCGCCTCTCTCGAATTCGTCGTTTCTTAGTCCCAATTGCAGTCAAGGAGCCAGGAAAGTGTCAGTACCTCTCCTGATCCTCTTGGTAACTCTCGGGCTACACCTTGGACTATGATATTTCTGGGCGTGTCACTATACTTGATTGTTGTGAGCATTCATCTTTCTTCTCTCAGCTGCGGCCCAATTTTGGTCCCTGTATCTCCTAGGAATGGCAACGTGCCGGGAAACCCAACCAGCGATTTGAGCAGTTACTATTCTTATTCGTGCGCGTCTGGAAGATTGTGGCCACTTTCACCGGTCTGTATGTTGAGAGTAATGCAAAGCATCGCATCGGATCAGTCTCTGATCTCACCTTGCATCGGTGGTCCCAGCAACAACGCATCGTACTGGAGTCAGCTTTTGGTCGGTTGGTTCTGACTTGTCTACCATATCTCTGCGCAGCGGCTTACTCTATGTCGCTCTTGCGGTCATCCTACGCATGGTAGGAATATTGTTATCAGTTTGTCCCAGAGACGCTGGGTATCATGAAGTCTATCCCTCGTGACGCTGCTTGTGCTTCAAGCGCCGAACATTGCGCACACCTTCGACCCGCTCTTGGGCACCTTGCGAAAGCTATGAGTCGTGGGAACCGAGTATACGATGTTCTTTGTATAAAAAGCAGCTGTTTGTGAATGCCTCTCTTACTCTTGCTCACCCGCCTTGATGGATAGCTCGACGGAGGAGATGAGCGCAAAGAACGAGCGCCCACCCTCAGATGTCGTCGTCGATATCCCTCTCCCCTCTGCAGACGAGAAATTGTCTGCTTTCTCTCTTGCTGCGACCCGAACTCCTCGGATCATGGCCACTCCCGAGCTCCCTGAAGTCATTTCAAGGTGTCGGAAGAGAGTGAGAGACATATCGACTCAATGTCGCAGAGAGAATCGATGCTTTCGGTACGTCCCTCTCTATCCTCTTCTGTTCAATCACAGCTTACACTACTCTTCAGGGACATAGAGTTTGATCTGGCGGTTGACAAGGATAAATGTCTGAACGGCCTGGACTTCATCTACGGCCACAATCCGACCGACACAATGCGCGTCACAGAGATCTTTGAACATCCACAATTCTACGTGAACGGTGCTGCGACCAGTGGTATTGCCCAGGGTGTTCTGGGCGACTGCAGTTTCCTGAGCGAATTGGCGGTCATTGCGACTATTGGATTGGTCGAAGAGATATGCGTCGAGGTAAGCTGTCGTCGTGCTCTACTATCCCTAAACGCTCAATGGTGTAATCCGATGTTCAGCGCGACGAGGAAGTCGGAATTTATGGCTTCATCTTCTGGAAGAACTCGCAATGGGTAGACGTGGTCGTCGATGAGTACGACTCTCTTCGCTCTTGGCACACCGCAGAATTGACTGTGACTTACCTCAGCTTGCTGTATGTGAGATATCTGCACTGGTCAGAGCTCACCAAGAAGGTGAGTGTACTTCTGATCTTGGAAATAGTTCCATGTTCAGATATGGCTGAAGTTCTTCCACTACCCAGCAAAAGAAGAGCCATCATTACGATGAGGAATCATACAATAAGCAGTTTCAGCATGGGGGCAAGGCACTGTACTTTGCCCGCTCGACAATTGAAAATGTAACCTCTTTACGCCTTTATTCCAGAGGGATTCTTAGGGAAGTTTACTTGGTCAACAGGAGACATGGGTGCCCCTCATTGAGAAAGCATACGCGAAGCTTCATGGAGACTATAGTGCCCTGGAAGCTTTCCCATCCGGTACGTTGTGGATGATTGGAAGTCATCATCATGCTGACAACTGTCGTCTTACAGGTGACGCTATGGAAGATTTGACGGGGTAAGTACAAACTCGACTTGTCGAGTCAACCGATGTCGACGTGATACCGTCCGATTTTCAGGGGCGTCTCCACCATGATGAATACAAAGGTACGTCTTCCCACATTGCCGAAAAAAGGTGACATTCTCACCTTAGGATCTGGTACTCCAGGATATCCTCGACAAAAACCTATTCTGGACTTCCGAACTGAACAACCCCGATGGGAAACGCGCTTTGGTCTGCTCTCTGCGGGGCCGCCTGGCTCCCGCATCGGAAGATCGCGGAGGTTCGAGTTCAAAGTCACCAGGTTCGACGCAGTCTCTTTTCCTCAGGGCTGTTCGGCCACTACTGCACCCTTTCGTCAAGGTTTGGGACGTGTTGGCGCATAGGAGAGACGTCACAGGTAATGGCCTGTCGACTATGCATGCGTATTCTGTGATTGGAACGGCAGAATACGAGGGTATGAAGTTCGTCAAACTTCGGAACCCTTGGGGAAAGACGGACTGGAAAGGGAAGTGGAGCGAGAAGAGCAAAGAGTGGGGCAAGAGTGGATGGCCGTTGGCGGAGGTGAAGCGAGCGTTGGGTCATAAGTTTGAGGATAATGGCGAATTCGTTATGACCTGTAAGTCCGTGTCTTGGTCCTATCACTCACACAAGCGAGTGACTATCTGCCTTCTTACAACAGATGACGATTTCCTCCGGACTTGGGACTATGTCTCTAGGTGCCGTTTTTTCGACGAGGAATGGATTCTCAGCCAAATTTGGTTGAGCGTACCCTGCGGCAAATTCCCGAAACCGGTCGAATTCGGGGACGTCACATGTGAGTAATTGGTGCTGTTTCCTCATCTCGCGCGACCTGATCACACCGTCCTAAATAGTCACATTCTCATTGTCGCAAGCGAGTAATGTAGTTGTTGTTCTAGCTCAGCTGGACAAACAATATTTTAGGGGTATCGATCCCTTCACGAGCTTCGGGCTCGAGTTCGTCATCTATAGGCGGAACGAAACCGATGCTCTGGCAACTTCGCTACCCCACAGCTCCTGGTACCGCAGTGTCAATGTCGAACTCAATCTCGATGCTGGCGAATATGTCGTTCAAGTAAGCTGCTTGACCGTCTTTCTACGAGTGAACTTATATGACCAGGAACTTTTTCTAGGTCCGCATTGACAGGCTGGCGACGCGAAATCGGGACGAGCCTCTGCCCAACAACTTTCGCTTCGACGCCTTGAGAAAGTACGCCTATAAACAAGCTGAAATATTGAAGAGCTCGTCCATCGCTTCCAGTAGGTCCAGCAGTCATGGCTCTCGCACCATATACCAGCCCAGTATCACTGACGCAGATGCATTTACCAGATTTCGATCCATTGTGAAGACTTTATTCCTGATTTTCTTTTAAATCGTTGCTGATTTCTGTTTTTGTTTTTTGCTGTGCCAGGGCCTACGGCTCGAAAATGCCTGTGCAATCTGAGACGTTCCGTGGCCAGGATCTAACTACTATGGAGATACAGATGCATCAAGAGCTCAAGAAGCGCGCTGCCGAAAGACATGACGCGCACCCACCACCACAGTCGTTCCGTCCCAACCTCCATGTTGAAACTCGCGATAGATCCACACATGTTGATGCAGAGACTCAGTGCGAACCACAAGTGACCCCAGAGCCGGTCCAATTGGAGGGCTCTCTGGACCATCGCGAGGAGGAGATTCCACACGTCGAAGATGCACCGCAGTATTTATCAATTTCTCTCCATTATACTCCTGTCTAACGAAACACATCACTCTCACGCAGAAGTGAAGCGGACGCGGGATCACTCGCTGCTCCGAGTATGATTCCCGTCCCTTCACTGACAGGTTCAGCTCGAAGCTACCACACTTGCTCACCATCCCCATCCCCGCAGGAAATGATAGCACCTCGTAGTCCACACTATGCATATTCCTTGCGATCACATTCGGATCCTATTATGAGTACTTGGTGTAGTCGATGCAAAACAGCGATACGTGAAGTTGGGCATTATTGCATGCAGTAAGTGCCATATACTTCTTAACTCTCGAGTTTGGTTTGGAGTATTAATGATCTATCATTATTGGCAGTGTAACGTGTCGCGATTATGTCCTATGTGCAAGATGTGTGGTGTTGAAAGTGCATCCTTCGGACCATCGTATGGTTCAGTTGTCGAGGGGGGACCTTCTCGCACAATTCCAGGACACCTCGAACGAAGTACTGTGTCCTCTCTCTTTTGTACTTAAGCTTCGACTCATGATTTCGCCCTCCACAGCTTGGTCCTCAGCTACCGGATGGTGATCGAGTCACGTTGGGCCTGCGAGTATACTCACATAGAGATTGTAAGGTGCAGATACAGGGTCAGCTACGGTATGCACGCTTCATGCTCGAATGGCGGCGGAGGGCATGTACTGATGGAGTTTTATCACAGGCATGGTAGTATTATACGAAGATATGTCCACGATAGAGAGACCACATAATGCCATTGCTATTGCACAAGTTGCGTGAAGTATGGTGTTTGCAATATCGTTGTATCAGCACTTTAGTTTCTGTGCATGAAGGCGCCTTCAATGAGCATATGGAGACCTTCCCCATTGGTCAAGCCTATAATCCTTACATGAGTTTGGAGTATGTTTGATTATGGCGGGCTTGACACAAACCAAACACAAACCGTTACCCCTTCAATGTCAGGATCGATCCAAAACAACCGGTATAAGTAAGGTGTTCCAATGTGGCGAAAAGGTCCTGAAACACACCCATTATCGTGCAATTCAAGCCGGCGATGGTTTCAATACGGGGAAGAAATTGGCTATCTGTTATTTCTTGAAAAGTCCAGTTGTGTCCTTCTACACAAAACCACCAACCCAAAAGGGGTGCGGGCCTAAAAGGGCCGTGGCTGACTGTGGCGTGATCTAGATCTGCAAGGGGCGTTTTATGTGCGTCATCGTGTTTCGAAAGTTCCCGCCGGGCCACAGTCCTCCTCCTTCTTCTCACCTCCTCCTTCCCTCTGTCCTTTCTACTTGGATACCCTCATTGTCGCATCTAGTCGAATCTGCTTTCTCATTGCTGTCGAAAACGGTTCTGGAATATTGGCTGCGATGCCTCGTCGCGAAGCCAAAGGGCTCTCGTCCATCATGTCCGACGTACGCGAGAAACGAGCCCGACGAGCTGAAAACAGACAACCTTTTTTTGTTTTGAAACTCACGGTCGGCATATGCAGCGCGATTATCATATATGCTTGTTATGTGTATATTGGAAGGCTGTGCGTTCCGATGTTGAAGCAGAGTTCGGGAGCGATGGGTAGTAGGGCTATGGGAGGTATGTCCGTTTCGTTATATCCTCATTAAAGGGAGGAGAAAGGAGAGGCTAACAGTATCGTTTATTCGAATGAATGGGCTGGGGTATATGTGGCCGTGTGGGACGATGCGTGTCTAGTCGCGTTCCTGGTGGTGTTCATACTGTTCGCTGTGATGATGATCTGGTCGTATGTCATGGTACGCTCCTTTTCCCATCCTCTGATTTTCCCCTCAATATTTATGGACAATTATCACGCATGTAGGTCGTGTTGGTACCACCGGGCTTCGCAAAAGATGTAAGTCGCTCCTCCAGTTCTATTCTCTCCGTCCACACAAACATCGTAACCGTCACACCTGTGCCCGTCCTAATTCCCACCCGTCATCCACGCCGCAGCACGCATCCCCTTCAAGCCAACCCGCACCTTCCTTCCCCGCTCCCATCCCGCCATCTTTCTCGGCCCTCTCTTCGCCGCCCTCTCCCGCGCACACTAACGCCGCACAATACATCGACCCGAACGTGGAGGAGACGATCGGGATACCGTATGAGAGGATGGCTACGGTGGGCGAGTGGACGGACGATCCAGATGCGCAGAGGAATGGAGGTGTGGACGTGAATGGGCGGGGAACCGAAGAGGGAAAGGAGGATGGGAGGAGAGAAGGTAAGGGGATGGGTGTGCGCGGGAAGGAGAAGTTGGCGGTGATGAACGGGAAGACGAACGGAAATGGGAATGGGCGTGCACCATCGCCGCCGCACGTCGATTGGGAAGACGACGGTTACGCATCTGATAACTTTGGACCTGAACACGAATATGAACACGCTCACGACCTCGACCTCGAACCACAGAGACCTCCAGCAGCGGTCGTACATGCACCCCCAACCGACCATCGAAATGGACCTACCACGAACGGAAATACACATCACGACACGAGAGCATCGAGACCAAGAGGAGGCAGAGGAGATGATGCGCCTGCAGTCATCGACGACGGTTTGTTCAAGATAACAGGCAAAGGCCACGTTTCACCCTCGTCTGCGTCTTCTAGAGACAGACCTTCGAATTCGAGACGGCCTACTTCTGATCGGCGAAGACGACGAGATAGTCACGCTCAGGCGGCAGGGCATCATGCTCAGAATGGCGGAGGACAAGCAGGTGGTGTGAATGGCAGAGTGGTTGGTGAGGGAGAACTGGAGAAAGGATGGAGGAAGGAGGATTTGACGAGGAAGCCGAGTAATATTGCGGTGTTGTTACCGGAGTATAGGTATTGTAGGAGATGTTGTATCGTGAGGCCGCCGCGGGCACATCATTGTAGGGCTTGTGGGACTGTGAGTTGTTTGGCTTCCTATTCGTTGGCCTCTCTTCTTTTGGTGTGCGTTTGAAGAGTCTTTCCTTTCTCTGTCTGGTGTTTGAGGCGATGGTTAGCTGACTCAGTTTATTTGTGTGGTTTGTGGTGTGTAGTGTGTGTTGAAGTACGATCATCATTGTCCATGTAAGTCGCTCACTCTTCTGCTCCCAGATTATTCAACATCTCTGATGCTTGAGGATCTGTGTTCAGGGATAGGTCAATGCGTAGGTGCACGCAACCATAAAGTATGTCCCTTTCTCCTCTCTCAGCTCTTCCACTTGCCCTGTGAAACGTTCCGGGCCCATCCTTCTCTGACTGACTGTTCCACTCGTTGTTCCGACAGTATTTCCTCGACTTCGTCGTCTGGGCGGTGTTCTTCTGCTTCTGGACGCTCTCGACATTGATTGCGCTCAACGTGATCGCGGGGAACAACTCGGAGTCGGGAGGTACGATCGACGCCCAGGAGATCGTCCTCATTGGACTGTACGTTCTTCCTTTTGTCCTCCTCTCCTGGAACTCTCTGACAGTCGCTTCGCTACTGCTCGGTCATCGTTTTCATCGTGTTTCTGTGTCCTACCCCCAACACCCAACCCTTGCACGAATTTGATCGCCATATCGTCCTTTCATCGCCACTCTACGAATAAATCAAACACAAAAGATCGGGCCTCTTCGGCCTCTTCGCGTTCATGATGGGGCTCACCCATATCTCACTCATCCTGACGAACCGGACGACGGTGGAGCATATGTCGATGAGAAGTATGAAAGATAGGGAGACGGAGGTGTTGGGCAGGTTGTGGAGTTGGTGGCAGGTCGGGTGGGTGCTTTGCTCTTTCTTCTCGCTCTTCCTATTACCTATCATAGTCATGTTCCTCCTCGAGTTTGTGTCGTTCATAAAACGTAACTGACGCATGGACTGACTCTTTCTGTGTGGTGCATAGAGCGAAACGGAGGACGAAGAAAGCGTGGGACCAGGAATGGGGTAAGATAGAGACGGATGGGAATTTGTGGTGGGCGGGGAGCATGAGGAAAAACTGGGAGGAGGTGATGGGCCCCGTTTGGTGGAAATGGTTTCGTGAGTCTCGTCGTTCTTCCTTCCTTCCGTCCCTACATTCTTCACACCTCTGCACCCTTGGTGTCTTTGTTTTCATCGCCTTATTGTTGTCTGTCCCGAGTGCTACAAGGTTATTGACGCTGTTGATGTGGTATTAGTGCCCATCGGACCGACAGATTCTGGTCTGGAATATCCCATCAACCCGAGATTCGACGAGTTTGGACGGTGGAGACCGAGGAGGGAGTGGCCTGATGAGTTGAGGTAGTTGGAGGTTTGGGTCTGGGTGGTGGCTTCGAGCTTGTGGCCCTCCTGGTGATGATACTGGTTTATTCTTTTTTTTTTTTTTTTTTTTTTTTTTTTTTCATTCTGGCGCTTTTGACTGGTCCCTACACATATCTAACGGCTAAAATAATCCCTTCACGTTGCTCTGTACATGATTGACTACGTTTATCCACGGGCTCGCTTCACACTTCATGCTTCACACGTAGGACTTTTGCGCTACGCTAGCTTTACGTTTTCATGGACATTCTTCTGCTGGATCGTACTTTGATGGTCATGATGTATGATACTTACGACGACGACGACGACGACTTGATGTACATACCTACAAGGGAGACATTGATTCAGACATATAGACACTGCGACGCATACACTGGCAATTCCTGTCCTATTACTTTTACTTCAAGTTATCCGTATTTCTCCCTCTCCCTCACCAGCTGCAGATGGAGATGGAGATGTGATGTGTGAGTCTGAGGGTTACAGTGCTGATCGCCGGTGGCGACCACCCACTGCCATCGATCTTGATACATATGGATCATGCGAAGGTCGGTCGGGAACAGGTCTTCCAGGCCTGTTGTGAGGGCTGATGTGATTATTCGTCCTGTCGTCGTCTTCTGATGTGTATGCATGGACAGACGGCCGTGAATGATGGAGGATTACTGTACGATTTTTTTCCGTGGACGACTGGATTGGAAGAAATATGTAAGGTCTGGGGCGAAGAATGCTCGGAAATAGAACCGTTCGTTCAAGTTTGGAGGTGGTGCCACATGTCGGTGTCACTTGCTTCTGAACAGTGACTCAGCCTGAGAGCTGCATTTTTGGATATGTCTGACATGTTTCGTTTGCTCAATTGTTGCATATGGAGGAGCGATGCCATGTTTTTCTCCTTCGGAGCTCTGCCAGTGCTGCGTGCTCCAGCAGCCCCAAACGCCTCTCGCCACACTTGCCCTCCGAGTGACACTGACAATAAGCGCTCTCTGATAGGCGCGCAAAAGACAGGAGCTCAGAATGTTTGGCGGTGGCATCATGTGAGCCAAACGTCCGGGCGGATCAAGACCTGGGGCTCGAAGATTCAAGACAGTCGCGATCGTTCACAGGACAGGGTCAGGAGAACTCAATCCGATCGCATTTTTTTTTTTTTACTTTTTCACGAGGAATTGGGGCCTTCTCCGCGTTTCTTGCAGTTACCACCATCATCATCGTCACCAACGGCGTAAAGCACTCGTTGAAGCAGCGTAACGAGCTCAATCACACGACTATACCGACACGGCCAACAAGCTACCGAGCTATATAAACAGACTATACAGAACAGAGAAGATGGCACCGGCTTCTACGACGACGACCTCGACCCAGTCGAATGGAGTCGTCAAGACCGAACAGAAGGGCTCCGGTGGAGACGTGCATCTGACTTCTGCGGATGTGATTCAGTTGGAGCATGAGTACGGCGCGCACAAGTATGTCGTCTCCCTCGTCCTTCGCGCCACTCCTCTTCTCGGGTTGAAGTCGTTCGCTGTGAGCTGACCCGTGAGACACTGTAGCTACCATCCAATTCCGGTCGTGTTCGACCGTGGCCTCGGAGCGAAGTGAGTCTATTCTTTTCTTGTGGTCAGAAATGAACGGTTTGGGTGACCGTCGACGGAGTGCAGGGTATGGGATCCGGAGGGCAAGGAGTACATCGACATGTTGGCCGCGTATTCGTATGTCTTTTCCTCTTGTTCTTTACTGACGGTGTCCTTTAACTCACCAACAATTTCCAGTGCCGTTAACCAGGTCCGTCTGGCTCTTGTACGACTCAACCTCTTCCGCTGCTAACCCCTTCCTCACTGCAGGGCCACTGCCACCCCGCAATAGTCTCCACTCTAATCACCCAATCCCAAAAACTAACCCTCTCCTCCCGCGCATTCTACAACTCCCTCTTCGGCTCCTTTGCAAAGACCGTCACCCAGCTCTTCGGGTACGAGATGGTCCTGCCGATGAACACCGGGGCGGAAGCCGTCGAGACCGCGCTCAAGTTGGCGAGGAAGTGGGGGTACGAGAAGAAGGGGATCAAGGAGGGCAGGGCGAGGGTGTTGAGTGTGGAGGGCAATTTTCATGGGAGGACGTTGGGTGTTATTTCGTGAGTTTTTATGTTCTCCTTTCTTTCTTAACCGTTGAGTGAGCAGCTAGGAAGTTTGCTGATTGACTTTTTGCTCTTTCTTTGGTCTTTTCCCTGAATATATGCGCATCTCGCATGATATATGCGTTCGATTTGGTCGATATATGCGCTCTTAACATGGATATATCCGTTTACTCGGCAAATTATATGCGTTTCACTCGATATATGCGCCTCCGATTTGGATATATGTATCTATTCGACGCTTTCATCTGCCTCCCGGCCACTATCTTCATCCCTACCACGGATGTTCGCCTCCTACACGGCCTTCTCCACGCTCTTCGCTCTCACTACCCCTTCTCCGTCTCGCCTCCAACCCATGCAGCATGTCCACCGACCCCGAATCCCGCACAAACTTCGGGCCCTTCCTGTCGCACGTAGGACCCACCTACGTCGACCCTTCATCATCCGAACCCGAAGGGTTGAAGACGATCCGGTACGGCGTCATTGGGGATCTGGAGAGGGCGTTGGAGTTGGAGGGGAAGGATGTGGCGGCAGTGTTGATGGAGCCTATTCAAGGGGAGGCGGGGTGAGTGCTTTGCTTTTTTCCCTCTAAACGCAGTGCGGATGGGTAGAGGAAGAGTTAGGGGCTAACTCTGTTTTTGTGGTTTGATTTGATTCGATTGTGTGGCGTGTGGCGTGATTTAGGATTGTTGTCCCGCCGGCAGGATACTTGCAGAGAGTGAGGGAGCTTTGTACGAGACATAACGTCTTGTTTATCTGTGACGAGATCCAGACGGTACGTCATTTCCTTTCCTCGTCCTTCCTGCCCATGTCCCTATTCATATCCACCACCTCCCGACACCTCTCATATCCATCCTCCTCTTCTCGCATTTTGGGCTCACCAACGCTGCAATCTCCCTTCTTCTGTTTGGACGCGATGTTATGCTCCATACTAACGCTTTATATGGTTTGAATAGGGCCTCGGAAGGACGGGGAAGATGCTCGCGATCGAACATGAGGGTGTGCGTCCGGATATCGTTTTGTTGGGCAAAGCGCTTTCTGGTGGAGGTGCGTACCACATTTCCCCCTGATCTTCGTCCGTCTGCTCACGATTCCCTTTACTGACTTACACTCTTCTCTTCGTGCGTGTGGCGTGTGGCACCTTCCACATTATCTCTATCCCGTCTCGAACACGCCCACAGTCTATCCAGTCTCCGCCGTCCTAGCCGACAAACACATCATGCTCTGCATCCGCCCCGGAGAACACGGTTCCACCTACGGCGGTAACCCCCTCGGCTGCGCCGTCGCCATCACCGCGCTCGACGTCATCCGCTCCGAGAACCTCTGCGAAAAATCAACCAAACTCGGAGAGCTCTTCCGCACCAAGTTGCGTGAGTTCGCCTCGTCAAAGGAAGCGAGAGAGGCGGGAGGATTGGTGAAGGAGGTGAGGGGGAGGGGACTGTTTAATGCGGTTGTGTTGGATGAGGGGAAGAGTAGGAAGGGGAGGACGGCGTGGCAGTTTTGTTTGTTGTTGAAGAGTAGGGGGGTGCTTGCGAAGCCGACGCATAGGAATATGTGAGGCTTTACTTTTACGAGCTTTTTTCTTCTTTTGGTCTGATCGATGCTTGTCGTCGTCTGCTGTGCTCATTTCTCTGTTCTATGTCTGTTCAGCATCCGTTTCTCGCCCCCGCTCGTCATTTCTGAGCAGGACCTATTGAAGGCGATCGAAGTTATCAAGCAGTCGTTGATCGATTTGGATCAGGTGCGTCATATTTTCTTTTCATATCTGAGTGTGCACTCTCCGTCCTATCCTTTTCTATCCTTGTTTCTTCATATTCATCCATCCCACGTCTCTTCCTGTCCCCTCTACATCGTTTCCCTCTCCCCCGCCTTTTCCCATCCTCCCTTCTTCTTCTCCGTCCTCGCATTTCTCCCTCGTTTATATCGATTGCTGGTGCGGTCCTCATCCGTACGTCCAAATCCAGCTCGACGATATCCCGGGCGAAGTGGAGAGCGAGAAGGGGTTCCAGGACGAGATCAGCAACTAAGTCAATTCGAAGAAGTCCGAACGAACGCTGGCATCCAGTCCGTTGCTGTATAATCTAAGGGAGATGGGTGAAGGGGATGAAGACTGTAAGTACGATGAAAAGAAAGGGGGTGAAGTGAAGGGAAAGTCCAGGGGAGAAGTAATGCAAGCAGAGACAGTCAGAACGCTATCGGAAGATGCAGACCGAAATTTTGTAGCCATATCTACAGACGTATCTACGGAGCCCACAAGCTATTTACTCTAGAGTGTACATAGCGGAGAGCCATGCTTTCGAGGGTCTTGGAAGTGGTACAGTACATAGTAATGTAGCATCCAGTCGTTGTTGGACATTCTAACGCGCATTTCATGTTAGGCTGGGGATGTTGTTTCGACGCATTTCGTGAGATTGTCGTCAGGGTGGGTATCTCTAGACTTTGGTGCTATTCTGCAAAGGACTCGAACGGTTGTCGCAGAGGGGGCGAGTTGGGCTGCATGTATCACGAGCTGTCGCGAAATGAACACTATACAATAAACATTATATTGGACTGTCGCAGACAGGTTGAGCACCGCCATCATCACTATAATCTCCGAATGCATCCTTCCTTCTTTCCTTCCTTTCTGAAAACATGGTGTATAACTATTTCTCTGCAGCCTCGTCTAGACTGGATGACTTCCCGTAGAAAGAAAGATATGTTTATTCGACGCGATCACCGCTCGGCATCGCTCGGAGATGAAGACGGCAGCCAACTGCAGCCAACCATTGAGCTGCGATCTTCATTTCGGAGCGTTGCCGAGCAGCGATCGCGTTGAATCAATCCCGAATAAACATATCTTTTCCCTACGGGAAGTCATCCACTAGTTCGTCTCTTCGTCGCCCACCTCATCTCCCAAGGAATCCCCCAACCCCGATGGCTCGGCCCAGACGCCATCTATCACCATTCCACCTCTTCGAAAGTGTCTACGAACGTCGTGGTCATCATACTCATCCTCGTCCTCACTATCGCTGTCACTGGCGTCGCCTTCGTCCTCGTCCTCAAGACTGCCCCAGTCATCGTCCCACAACACGCCGTCGACTACCTTCGACAGTTCCTGTACCCAGCGCTTCGAGATCGTGCAATCCTCGAGCAATAGCCACTGTAGGGGTCGCCCCGATGACGACCTTGCGTTGAGTGTAGAGTATAAGGTATCGTATGCCGTCTGCTCGCCAAAGAGACGTTCGTCAAAGTCGACCTGGGATAGTGCGACATGGCTAAGTTTAGGGTGAAATATGCCTTCGCCTGTTCCACGCCGGGAGAGAACCTCAATGAAGATATTGCCCAGCCTCTCGGATAGGGCAATGCGGCTCAGTTGTCGCATCTGACCGAGATTATCCAACCACCAGTCCACGGAAAGCGTAGACGGGTCAAAGTACCAAGGGCTGACATGAAAATAAGCGGAAAATGTCTCCACTGCGCTAAAATCCATCCCTCGGGTGAACGCGTTCATGATGGAATGTAACTCATCTTCCATGCCAGAAGCTCCTATGAGTGTGATTTTCATATCGGGGATGTCCGCCGGGAGCTGGATCTCCCAGTCGTCGTAGGGTATATTGGGAGGAGGATGGAGCCAGTGTTTCAGATAAGCATGCGTCCCGCTCAACGTGGGCTCACCAGGGTACCGCCATGGTACGAAGTCATGCTCAAGTTCGATGGAAACGACCCGCATGCGGCCTTGCATACTGTCATGGAGCATTAGCGTCCTCACGAGGTCCTCTAGTAAGGCCTCATCGTTTAGCATATCCTCTTCTATCGCGGCGGAGATAGATCGAAGAGAGGTCGGAGGGAGATAGATATGTTGCATCAGGCGCGCACATTCAGAAGCCTCGTCGCAAAGTATGATGTTCTTCATGTGAGGAAGTCGCACAACACGTGCCACGTTTCGGTCGGGTTCAACGTCACGGTCGGACCCCAAGCACAAAATGACTGTCAAGTACTGGAGAGAGGGTGACTGTTCCAGAGCGTCGAGCAGGTCATCAAAGTTAATATGGGCCTGTTCGACTGAGGGTCCCCACCATATATCTTCATCGCGAAACTTATGGCCTGTAAAGTCTGTTTCAACGGCAGCAGATAAGAACAGCGATGTCAGGTTGTGGAAGGACGAACAGGGAGGAGAGTAGAAATACATGACGCCCGCGAGTGTGATTTGGGATAACGAAGGAGCGGCTCCGCCAAATAAGGGCTCTGGGAAGTGTATGTCTGTGAACGGGCGGTCGTCTAGTTCCAGCGCGAAATGAAATGATTTTAGCATTGGGGCCGCGTGAGCGCATAACTCCACAAGTCCGTTACGGTAGTCCCACTCCGAAGGAGAAAGCCTGCAAGATAGATGTATCTCTTCTACACGGTCCATGTTGGGAATGACGTCGTCCTGAATCCAAGCCACACAATCTTCAATGTCAAGACTGTGGCAATTAATAACGAGCGGGAGAGACCCAGCCCGCGATAACATAGCTTTGGACCATTGAGGACCACTGCGCACGTCTAGCTGACGCCAAAGAGCCTTTGCATCCAGCGCTACAGTCCGCCACCTTCGACAGACATGGGTGATAGCTATTAGCCACTCTATGCCGGTCGAGTCGGAGAGATAGTCATCCTCGTCTCTCAATCTCCCCACTTCCTCGGTCCTGAGCAATAGAAAACAATAGCTCAACGTTTCGGGAGGCAGACGCTCAATAGGTGCAAGAGAATTGAGAGCAGTCTTGATTGTCGGTTGCAAGTCAAGCAAGGCATGGCTTTCGGATCGCAAGTTTGCATCGAGGAGCTGCTGGCTGATGCCTTGAGGGAAAGACCATGCGACTAGGTATATCTCCATGAGGCGTGGTCCGGCCAGCTCATACCAAAACTGATGGATACTATTCATTGTGTTCAGTACGCATCCGTAAAGGTTGAGAGGACACTCACCTCCGAGTCCCAGGGCCCTGGTTTTTCATGGCGATCGATCTCTGTCCAAAGGTGACCCATCCGTCGTCGGGATGTTCGTGCATATATGAAACTGTGCGTTCGACTGAGTTTATCGCAGACAACTCCTGTTTCAACCATGCTGCAGCGTTTCGTAGGATCCTCTCATCATGGTAGGAGTTGTTGAATGATCTGTAAAAAGCAACAAGACGGGATCGAGAGATCGAAGACCAAAACAGCTGCGGGCTGAAAGGGCAAATGAAATCATCCCCAACGTAAGCAGCAGTCTCCCAGGAAGTATGTTTCTCGAAAAACTTGCTTACCTGGAGTACACAGCTACTACGAGAGAGTCCATCTACACTTGATGGTTGGAGATGAGGAGATGGAGGATGAACCTGGTCATCGTCGCAAACAAAAGAAAGCCTGTACGGCATTACCCGTGTCCGGTCTTTGGTTCTTGGACCATTCGACGCTGCACGCTACTTATCCGGGTGGCCAAAAGAAAAGTGAAAGCTGAGGATTATTGCACTTCATAAGCATTCTGACCCGAAGGGCCACCGTGATTAAATTTTGTACAACGAGCTACAAAGATGAGGAATTCCCTTTAACACGAGCTTATAGCAGTGTTGTCACAGTGGATAGCGTATAACTGTAATTGTTGTGGTTCAATTTCCCCCTTGGCTCATACAGTATCTACTCACGGTCTACAGGCTACAGCTGAGATGCAGCCCTAGGTCCTTCTTCGTCCCCTCTATCGTCCTCATTTACACCATGGACGGCGAACCGTTATTGGCAGTATCCATCAGGTCCCTTATATCAGATGATGAGGTACTTCCCGGGTCTCCGTCTTCGTCATCGTCCCGATCTTCATCGTCGTCGCCGTCCCGATCTTCATCGTCGTCGTCATCCCGATCTTCATCGTCGTCGTCGTCGTCCTGATCTTCGTCGTCCTCGTCTTCGTCCTGATATTCATCATTGATAGACCAGTGGGAGACTTCTTCGGGATACCCACTTGTAGCAGAATCTTCATCTTCACGACTACCCCAATCTTCGTCCCACAATACACTCTCAACCATCCTCGAAAGTTCATCCACCGATTGCTTTGTGATCGTGGACATCTCAATCAGTAACCACTGCACAGGACATCCCGACGCACTTCTCGTGGACAACGCAGAATGTAACATCTCGTACGTCGTCTGCTTTCCATCGCGGCATTCGTCGAAGTCTATTTGGGACAATGCGATGTGAGTGAGTTGCGGATGGTATAATTCGAAGTTTTCACTTCTGATCATGTTCGCGGAGTACAGGGTGGTGTCTCCGAAATCGCGGTGGCGTACGAGGGCCTCTATTAACGCGTGTCCTACCCTTGCACACGCCTCAACATGGCGAAGTTGATGCATCTGACCAAATCCTGCAATCCACCATTCTGCATTGAGAAGATCGGAATGTTTGTCCTCAGCGTCCACAAACCAGGGTAGGGAAAGGGTTTCCACTGCGCTAAACTCCATCGCCACCACTTTGCGGACTGCATTGACCAAGGGAAAGCCTCTGGACTCTACGTTATCTTCAACAGAGTGTTTCAGCGCGATTCGTATATCCGGAACTGTTTGGGGGATCGGGATGAAATCGTCGATCTCTCCAGGGCAGGCATCAAGCCAATGCCTCACATAGATACGTTTCTCCAGTCCTTCCTCGGGCTCCCCATGGAAAAATTCTGGTAACTGGGATTCGTTTTCGGAGTATGCCTCAATGCTGATCATGCGCATGCGACTCTGCATACCATCGTGTAGCATCAATTCCTGTGCAGCATCCTCGAGTGCATCCACGTGTGCATCCACGTCTTCAGCATCATCCAACCTCACCTTTGCGGATATATGACGCAGTGCAGTTGGGGGTATGTAGAGATGCCTCAAGAGACGCACACATTCGGCAGCATCTTCGAACAGTGTTAGACTTCTCAAGTCTAGAAGTCGTACGATCGGATGTGAGAATAGATCCCCTGATTCGGGCGGGCGAAGATATTTGATGATTGTCAGGTAACGGAGAGATGGCAGCTGTTCTAAGACATCGAGGAGGACACCGAAGACCACATCTCCTGGTGATCGAGCCATCCATGAGGACAAGTCATCAGGAGTGACTCGAAAATCACTGGCAGGGGTGAGAGATAAAAATAGAGACGTTATATTGGGTACGACCATTTGAAGGGGTTCATAAAATTCGACGCCCAAGAGCGCAAGGTTCGATAATAGTGGAGTGTATTTCCCAAGAAACGTGCGATCGACAGGCATGAGTTCTGTGGAGGTAGATTCGTACGAAGCCTCCACTTTCAGTTCCTTCAGTGTAGGAAGTTCACGCGGTAGGCAGGCTAAACATTTGGTGAGTGCGTTGCCAAACGGGGCAGAGAGAGACAAAGACTCGATGCGGTTGATGTTGGGAGCAATGCTCCACCGAATTATAGAGAGATCAGGTTCATGAGCATATTCAGCAGATACCACAAGTGGTAGTGAACCGGCCCTCGATAACATGGTGTTAAACCATTTTGAGCCGCAAGAGGTGTCTAGATGCCGCCAAAGAGCCTTGCAATCGATAGCCACATCTCTCCACCTTCGGCAGACATGTGTGATGGCTAGCAGACCCTGTATACCAGTCGGATCGTGGTTGGGTTTCGGGCCCAGGAAAGTTTGCACTTCCTGGGACCTGAGTAGTAAAAAACAGTAGGCCAGCGTTTCAGGGGCAAGTCGCGCAATGGGCCTGAGGGAATTACGAGCAGACCTCAGCGGCGGCTGTAAATCGGCAAGGGTGCGAATCTCGGGTTTCAAGAGAATGCTGAGTATGGTTGGTCTAAAGTTCGGGGGGGTATTGGGGGAAAATGTCGCGGAATATATCACGGCGAGACGTGGTTGGGCTAGTTGATGCCATAGTTGTCGAGAACTACGAAGTATGGACGTTTCTACACTTGTCAGCGGGCAAGAAAAAAAGCAGGTGGAGATGACGTACGTATTGGGGTACTGATTCTCTAACGATATTAAGATTCGTCCAAACATGCCTAATCCATCGTTTGGGTGTTCCAGTGCATACTGGAAAGCTAGTTTGACTGCAGTGATGGCAGACGATTCCGCGTTCAACCACTCTTCCGCGTGTCGGAGATTTATGGAATTCCGCAGAGTGCGATGAGGCAATCTGTGAAAAGAATCCAAGCGGGATTGAGAAATCGGGACCCAAAACTCTCGTGGGCTGCATAGTGGGACAAAATGTTGCGCTGAGTCGTTAATGGCGAGTTTGAAGCTTAGCCATCAAATAAAGCACTTACCCGGGATTCATACCTACGGAGAAATCCATCTATACTTCTTGAGAGGAGCGAGGAGGAAACGCAGGAGGAGATCATCCAGACGAGAGGTCATTTCAAATCCTCCATGAACAAAAGAAAGCATGCTCGGCATTCCCCGCGCCACCCTTTGTACGCCTTTTATAGCATTTGATCTGTACACACGACGCCTCTGGCAATCGAGCAGAGAGTTGAGCAGATGGAAGAAGTGACGACCAAACGCTGAGACGGGACGGGTCATGATACTGTGCTATTTCAACCATAGGCCGCCAGGAATCCGGAATGCCATGAGCTGTGGCAAAGGTGGCACTTACGTGCTTGTGAGATCGTAAAACCGTTCGTGGGCACAGTGGCCACGAAAGGGAGGTCCGCCATAGAGAGAAGACGACCAGAACGAGACAAAGTCGAGAAAAAATAGTCCCAAGGTATAATCTGTGCGCCGACAGCACCGAATAACAAACAAAACGAGATAGAAAGGCTCCGACTACGTCTGACGAACAACCTACATCTCCAGCCCCGACATCTCATAATCTATCGGCACATCCTTTCTCTCCATCCACATCGCATCCTCCGTCCCCAGATTCACACCCTTCCCACAATCCAACCTCCGTCTCGCCGGCAGTTCCTTCAACTCCACTACACTCTTCCCGCGCCCCGATCCTGACCCTGGCGCCGACCCTATGCTAGACCCAGAACGCACGACGACATAGTGTTCGCCGTGCCAGCCCACAAAGTTCAACGAGGAAAGTTCGATGGCTATTCTCCGCGCGGAAGAGTTCCAGATATCGGATTGAACTTGGAATTCTTTGTCTGACATGAGCGAGGGCTGCGGACGTCGTTTTGAGGAACCGCTGAGGTGGAGCATGGACAGCTGGGTGAAACGTCGGAAGTAATGTGCGTATTCGTGCTGTTCATGCAATGTCGGTACATCAGGACATGTTCATTTGTGACCAAGACGCCGATAACTCACCAAAGGTTTCTCCCAAACCGCCGTACTCAGATGCACCGCGACCATCTCCTGCGGCAAACTCTCCACCAACGCCTGCACAGTCTGTCCCGACAACCCTGGTATCCTAACCCTCAACACCCTCAACCCCTCCAACCCCCTCTCCTTCAACAATCCCAACACCCACTCCCACGGACACCCCCCGAGATCCAGCCTCCTCAACTCTCTCCTACCCCTCAAAAATCCCGTAACGGCCCTCCACAGCGCCAACTCATCGTCATGCCCCACGAGCACGAACCTAAACGCCTCCAAATACGGCAAAAAAGTATGTCTCCCCTCAATCACATGATCGCTCCCGAACACGACCGCCGCCGCCCCAGGTTGCTCGAACGTCCCATGCAAAGTGAGGCTCTGCAGCCTCGGCGCGTGCGCGATCCGCGAGAGCACAAAGTGCGAGATCCGCGTGTCGACGAGGTCGAGGTGCGTGAGGTTCGCGATGGTGGTGGATTGGAAGGCGGTGTCCCAGGAGTGATTTCGTTGGAGGTAGGCGCCAAGCGTGAGGTGTGTGAGGGTGCTCGCGTTAGCGTCGAGGACGGTGCGGACCTCGCCCATGTCCGCGAAGCCGTCGTCGTCCTCCGCCCTGAGCGTGAATTTGCTGAGCCGTTTGAAGGCGGAGACGCCGACGGCGTCGAAGTGCCACCCGCTTTTGAATTGTGGCGTCAGAAGGAAGTTTTGTTGGGAGGATTGGAGGAAGGAAAACGTACATGAGGCCGAGTTTGTCGAGATTGGGGTGGGTGTGAAGGATGGTTTTGACCATGTCTGCCTGCAGCTCTGGATATCCGATCCACTCAAACTCTCGAAGAGCCTTGAAGTCCGGAAGAGCATTCCGAAATATTCCTGCAACGAGATGTCTTAAGTATACCCTCCTCCTGCCGCATCGCATCGAAAACACCGGACTCACGACTCATCAAGTCCAAGATATCTCCCTCCTCATACGCCCAATGCAACCTCAACGTCCTTATCCTCCTCGCAAACTTCGGATCCGCCTTCACCCGATCAAATACATCCAGCCCACGATGCAGACTCTCCTGGTCCTCTCCGAAATAGAGATCGACTGTCTGGAAGATGACGTGCGATGCGATGTCGCGATAGAAGGGCGAGACGGAGAGCCAGGTGCGGAGGTGGAAACGTGGGATGAAGTGTGCTATGCGTTCCCAGATCTCCGGGGGGACGCGTTTGTAGGCGGGGGCATGTGAGAACGCGATCTAAAATAACAAGCAAGTCATGGACATATCGGTCAGAGAAAGGATCGCTCGCACGAGCAAGGAAACATAATGAGAAAGGTAAGAAATAAGAGAATGAGCTCACGAGGTTATGACCTCGCAGATGTGTCTGTACCTCTCGATTCGAAGGATCCACCTTAGACGCAGCTTGGAAATCTAGGATGAAGCCAGTATGAGACTGACAACCACGAGAAAAAGGAGGCAATAAAAATTCGCATCGACGGCGTTCCCGCAGTCAGTCGTTAGACCAAGGAAGAGAGGACTCACCGCGTTCAGCATTCGTTAATAGTCTCTGGCCCGCCTCTCTCCGCGCCTTGCCTCTCGCCACTAAAGCCCTCGCCGCTCCCTCGCCCGATGCTCCCCGCGTTCTGAGATACACATCCAGATACCGCTCGACGTCTTCTCCGTATCTTTTATTTGTGTCAACTCTCATGGAAATGCAGAACTTGCGAAGTCACATACCGTCCACTCTCGATCATCTCCAACGCATGCTCGAGCAACCAGCTCGCTTTTCGAGGCGCCGGCAAAGTTTGTATAGCAGCCAGAACAGTAGCCGTGAGCTCGTCTGGCGGAGGACACATCCGTGGGGAATAATGATGATAGTGCGGCGTCGACGGTGCTGTCCCAGGTGGTCCGTAATATGTTGGACGTGAACCAGAAGGTGCAAGGTTACTGGTAGAGGGGTAAGAAACTATAGGCGCTGTAACGGTGGCCGTCGAGGGCCCAGCGTAGGACTGTGGGTGTGAGTACGACATGTGGTATGTCATGCAGCTGGACTCGGAAGTTGAGATTGAGGCTAGTGGTATGGGTGGGTATGAGAACGATGAAACCTAGAATGTGCCAGTGAATGAACCAATCAGATGTTGTCGAATAGCATATGTGATGGTCACTAGACGAGGATCTACCAAGCAAAGTTACGGTTTATCTGTCGGCTATGATCGCTATTCCGTTATTTCTGAGAATATGATCCAGTGTAACTTATGAGAGAGAACTGATGGTCGTGGTACTGGTCGGTGTTCGTGTTGAGTGGCAGCTGCGTGGCGTATGGAAGTTCACAGCGACCGGTCATTTACCGTCTCTTACGTAACAATTCAAAGCGGCGTTCTAGTTACCGACGGCTCGGTCTCTTACAGCTCGAAACATACTCTCAAGGAACACTTCAAGAGGTAGCGGTAGCGACATTGATTATTATGGGTGAATTCGATGAGTGAGTACTTCTGTCGTGACACAACGATGACGTTCGCAATAAATAGCAAGCCGGGCAGCGACAAGAAAAAAAGAGTACACAGAAGACGAGTAAGAAGAGAAAGAAAAAGGGAATATGGGATGTGTGGCACCAGCCTGCTTTAAACACTCTCCTAGTAATTTACAATGTCGAGAAATTGGGAATGAAACCGGCTTGAATATTGGACATCTAACTCGTGTCGGTCGATCGAACAGGTCTGCTTTCGAAAAGGAAAGGATACATTGACAAGTAAGATCTGCTTCTCGCACATGCAAATATCATCTTCGAGGAGAGACGGAGAAAAGCAGGTGCTAGCTAGTCGTAAAATCTCAAGGTGCTACATACCGGAGGCACTGAATAGGGGACAGCGTGAGTAGACGAATTATGTTCACGAAGTCATAAGAACCAACTCACCGGTACTCTGATGCTCGTGTTCGTTAGTGTCTCGGACTAGTCGTACCAAAAACCCGCAAATTTGGGACACAACTCTCCAGGTGTGCCACAGTAATCTCCGTTATGGCAAAGTTAGATAGCTGCAGCGTGGCCAACGGAGCTCCTGATCGCTGCCGGTGTTGTATACAAGCCGTGAACCGGGATGTCCATTGGGACGGGCAATCCAGATGCAGAGTCTGCAGTGCGGGGAGCAACGGCATCGTGGACTGGGGATCGTCGGTTGAAGCTCGCCTTGAGTACAGGGCTTCGAGTAGTTGCTTGATATGTGGACTCTCCGACGAGTAAGAAAGGGTGCGCAGCAGCGATAGCGGTTCCAAGACGTCTTGACATTGGCGCTCGTCGTTGATAGACAGATTTTTGAGGTCAAGATCGACGAGGTTGGTGAAAATCCCTTTGCACAGGGGTGCAAGTAGTGAATAAGCATCGACGGGAGAAGAATGGTGGATAAGTGAAAACACAGGCCATTCGCTTGTAAACTCATTGGTGTCAGCAGTCAGGCAGATGGATCCAGCATCCCGAGCATCGATGCTAACCGCGCGAAGCACCAGAGGAGCACCGTATGAAGGAGATGAATTAGTAGAGAGGCTGTTCACGAACGCCGAAAGTTCGTAATCATGCGACTTTTCGATGAGGAAGCGGCGCTGAGCTGAAGAGGGGATCTTTATGGCACGGCACAATTTAAGATATTCAATCGCCAATCCTTTGAAAGCGAATTCTTCAAGATAAGCAAGCGATACAATTCGTCTAGGAGGGTTGATGGATGCGGAGGAGCCTTGGGCGAACGGCCCTTCCCGGTCGAAAGTAGATATATTGACACCAGTAATGCGTAGGATTTTCAGCTCAGGCATACGTTCCAAAATGGTTAAGAAAGTTGCGACGGTGAGATTCTCGCGAATAAAACTCCAGAAATCGGGAAGAGTCACTGCAAAGGTGGTCAGGTTGTGAAATGGAAAGGTAGTCCAGGGCAAGTGTACTCCAGCAGTGACGAGATGGCGAAGACTTGGAAAAGGGGATGCAGATGACGAGGGAGGGAGAAGAGGAGCACCACCCATAGAAGAGCAAATAAGTTGAAGCCTTTCCAAAAGCGGTGCGCCTTCAGCAATAAGTGACAGAAATTCGCTGAGTCCTGTCGCTGGTCCTTGCGCTGTCTGTAATGATAGTCGTCTCAGTCTGTCGCGATGATGGCGAAGGGGTACGTCAGATAAGGCCATAGGCATCTGCTTCGTGTCCATATCGACCGTCAAGAGCGCAGAGCCCGATCGTTCGAAACATTCCCCCATCCAGCGTGTACCGAGGCAAAAGATTATACGCGCCCAGAAAGCGGGGTTATCCAGGACGAGGCCCCGCCAGTATTGGCACACATGTGTCAGATGGATCCAGCCGAGCCAAAACACAGCAGGGTGATTGAAGCCGGCCTTCGTGACGACCTTTGGCGGATCATCGACGAGGGTGAATATATGAGTCCATATTTCTGGGGGTACGCGCGAGAGGGAAGAACGATGAGGAACGTATGAGCTTGGGTCAATAACCACGGGCGGCGTGTCCGAACGCTTTCGAGTACTGGACAAAGTTCTAAACGTGCGATGAGTATCTGGGCTGGTAATCCACGATAAATGGGAATTTTTTACCCTGGGGATATCGCAGTCACTTGCGGAATAAGATCTGACATTTTGAGAGCAGGACGAAGCGTTGTCAGTGGTAAGAAAGAAAGGTGTCGCTCCGATGTGTCGTTGAGCGATATTGCTCTGCGGAGGTCCAAACGTTCAAAGTCCGCTGCATGATCGACGTCATTGTGGCACCGTGGCATCAGCCTGCCTTAAGTATGGTGGCGTTAGCCACTTTGTAGCCACTTCGTGGCAAGCCTTGTGCCATGGAACCATTTCCTGAATGGAATACTCGTTTGGGGGTTTCATGACTTATTGTTGCATATACAGAACCCTAGGGATGATATCTAGACAATGGTCGGAGCACTTTTTAAAAATTCTCCGGGGGGGATTTTGTCAGAGAAATTTCGCCGTTTGTCACATCACGTGCACGTGACACTCCCATATTTGGAATGCAATGTCACCACTACGATCTCTGCCGCTCGCCGCTGTGGCCCGGTGACAGCCTTGAACCTTCTTGCAACAGTGTTTGAAGGCTCGTGGAGTAAGATTCTCGTGATTCTACAGTTACTTAGAGTCAGATGGGTGTCATTTGCATGATATATCCCTGGTACCAATGGGGACTGGTGCAGTGCCTTGACGAGAATTTCGCCGCTTGATTAGGGTTAGGGTTAGGAAATTCCCCTGACTTTGGAATGGCAGAATTTACTCTGGAATGGGGGTTTCTGAACCCAGAAATCCTATTTTTGAGTCAAGAAAAATTTGAATGCGGCGTGACATGAAGTGGCTAACGCCACCATACTCTACCAGTAATGTAGTTTAGAAGATGTCGAGAAAATGGGAATGAAACCCGCTTGAATAGTAGTCATCTCACTCGTGTCAGTCGAACAGGTATTTTTTTAAAAGAGGAAAGGATATTTTGACAAGTACATAGGATCTACATCTCGCACATGCAAACACCATTGGCAAATCATCTTCGAGGAGAGACGGAGAAAAACAGATGCTAGCTACTCGTAAACTCTCGACGTGGCACATACCAGAGGCACTAAAGAAGTGTAGCGTGAGCATACCAAAAAATCACAAGAATTAACTCACCGGTATTCTGATGCTCGTGTTCGTTACTAGTGTCACGTACTCGTCGTACCCATAACTCGCAAATTTGGAACGCAGCTCCCCAAGAGTGCCACATCATTCTCCGCTATGACAAAGTTCGAAAGTTGGAGCGTTGCCAACGGTGCTCCCGATTGCTGCCGGTATTGTATACAAGCCGTGAACCGGGACGTCCATTGGGTCGGGCAATCCAGATGCAGAGTCTGCAGTGCGGGGAGCAACGACATGGTGGACTGAGGGTCGTCTGTTGAATCTCGCCTCACGTACAAGGCTTCGAGTAGTTGCTTGATATGTGGACTCTCCAACGAGTAAGAAAGAGTTCGCAGCAGCGATAGCGGTTCCAGGACGTCTTGCCATTGTTGTTCGTCGCTTATAAACAGGTTTTTGAGGTGGAGATCGACGATTCCGGTGAACATCCCCTTGCACAGGGGTGCAAGTAGTGAATAAGCATCGACGGGAGAAGAACGGTGGATAAGTGCAAACACAGGCCATTCGCTTATAAACTCATTGGTGTCAACAGCCAGGAAGAAGGTTCCGGCATCCCAAGCGTCGACGCTAACCGCGCGAAGCACCGGAGGAGCACCGTATGAGGGAGATGAATTAGTAGAGAGGCTGTTCACGAACGCCGAAAGTTCGTAATCATGCGACTTTTGGATGTCGAAGCGGCACTGAGCTGAAGAGGGGATTTTTATGGTATGGCGCAATTGAATACCGTCTATCGACGATCCATCGAGGGTGAAGTCTTCAAGATAAGCAAGCGATACGAGTCGTCCAGGAGGGGCGATGGAGGCGGAGGAGCGTTGGGGAGATGGATCTTCCCAGAAACTTCCACTAAGGTCACCGGAAATGTCTAGCGTTTTCAGTTCGGGCATACGTTCCAAGATGGTTGCAAATGTTGAAACGGTGATCCTCCGATCGGTCTCGAGTGTCGAGTTCCTGATACCAGGAAGATACACTCTAAAGGTGGTCAGGTTGTGAAATGGAAAGCTAGTCCAGGGCAATTGTACTCCAGCGATGAAGACATAACGAAGATTCGGAAAAGGTGACACAGATGACGAGGGAGGGAGAGTAGGATCAACATCGAAGGAAGAGGAAGAGATTTCGAGGATTTCCAAACGCGGTGCGCCTTCAGCAAGAAGTGACAGAAATTCGTTGGTTCCTGTATTTGGTCCGTGCACTGTCCTTAATGATAACTCTCTCAGTTTGTCACGATAAATGTCAAGGGGTACGTCAGATAAGGTCACAGGCATCTGCGTCGTGTCCACATCGACCGTTAGAAGTGCAGAGCCCGATCGTTTAAGACATTCCGACGTCCAGCGTGTACCAAGACAAAAGATTATACGCGCCCAGAAAGCGGGTTTATCCAGGACGAGGCCCCGCCAGTATTGGCACACATGTGTCAGATGGATCCAGCCGAGCCAAAACACAGCTGGGTGATTGAAGCGGGCCTTAGTGACGACCTTTGGCGGATCATCGACGAGAGTGAATATATGAGTCCATATTTCTGGGGGTACGCGCGAGAGGGAAGAACGCTGAGGAACGTATGAGCTTGGGCCAATAACCACGGGCGGCGTGTCCGAACGCTTTTGAGTACTGGACAAAGTTCTAAACGTGCGATGAGTATCTGGGCTGGTAATCCACGATAAATGGGAATTTTTTACCCTGGGGATATCTCAGTCACTTGCGGAATAAGATCTGACATTTTGAGAGCAGGACGAAGCGTTGTCAATGGTAAGAAAGAAAGGTGTCGTTCTGTGTCGTTGAGCGATATTGATCTGCGGAGACCCAAATGTTCGAAGTCCGCTGAACGACTGACGTCATTGTGGCGTGGCAGCTACACCCGAAAATATGCCAAAATCTCAAGGAGTAGTCTGGTAACCGACCGTCTACTCAAGGAGCACTTCAAGAGATAGCGGTAGCGACATTGATTATTATGGGTGAATTCGATGGATGAGTACTTCTGTCGTGACATACGAATACGTTGACGTTCGCAATAAATAGCAAGGGCCCGGGGCAGCGACAAGAGACAAGAAAAAAAAGTGAACAGAAGACGAGTAGGTAGGTGGCTAAGTCAAAAAGAAGAGCGAATAGTAGCTAAGTCAAAAGGAATGGAAACAAAAAGGGAATCTGGGATGTGTAGTCAAAGGCAAAATACGTATGTTCCGAGCGAAGGAGGAAGATAATATAGATACTGGAAGGCATAAATTTGAAAAACGGCGAATAGGGAGGGGGGTCATACACGATCGATACACATTCCCGCAAGTCAGGTCGGAAAGAAACCACAAAACGAAAGAACGAAAAGGCCAGAGAGAGAGGGAAAGAGAGTATGGAGGATGGATAGAGAAACCAATCGCGCACAAGATGAAGAAAACACCACGACAGCCAGATCCGACATAACCGCTCATGCCCTGATCCTCCACCCGTCACCCTTCCTATTCACCTTACCCACCCCTCCGATACCCTCCCGCACGACGAGCCACAACGCTGTCGAGCTCGCGATATCTTTGATCTCCTCCGCCGTCAGCACCAAACCCGCATCAGCATCGTCGTTCCAGTTCGGACGCGCGATCCCCTGCGGCGTCACCGCCCTCTTCCGCACCTCCATCGTCTCCACCACGATATCAGGCAGCGGGAACGGGATCTTCAACAGCGAGACGACCTTCGGATGATGTGGCGTAGGCGACACCGTCGCCACCTTGATCTTAATCCGACTGTGGCCGTGGTCGCTGTCCGGCCTACGCACGGAGAGCACACACGTCCAGGGCGTCTCAGAGTCCTCTGGGTCACTCTCGTTCCCATCGTCCTCCTCTCCCTGTAACCTCCGCGTGCCATCGCCCGCAGAAGGTGATGCCCCTTCAGTCTCACTCCCCGCTTCTTCAGTGTTCGTACCGATCGACACCGTCGACAGCCGTTTCTCCTTCCTCGACGGACCGGGAGATGTTCTTATTGGTGACGTGGCGGCTTCCCTCAACGACGTGGCAGACGGCGTACCAGAGCTCAAACCCGTACTCTCCCGCCTGCTCGACCTGCGTCCTAGTCCTGCGGTACCAGCAACACTATCGATCGTGCCCTCTCTCTTCACCCTCGACCTCGACTTCTTCACGCCCCCCTTTGTCTTCCCTCTAGACCAAATGAACTGCACCTCCACGAGCCCAGGCAACTCGCCCTGCGGTGGCTGCACCGATCGTCGCCGCTCATCTCCCGAAATATTCATCATCCCCATCATATTATTCAACAGCCCCGAATTAGACCCCTTGATCCACTTCCGCACGATCCACGCATAACTGTGAGGTCTGCCATGCGGAGGATTATACGGAGAATTCAAGGAGGGCTGGATACCGAGCACGGCAGGCTGCAGCGCGACGACCATGCCAGGTGACGGAGGTGGAGCGGCGTCACCCCCATCGCTGAGAACGGAAGAGCGTTTAGAGTGGGCAGACGCATTTAGAGTGCGAGCGCGTGGGACGGGTTTAAGGAAGGTGGAGTTCGTGGGAGAGGGAGAGACCGGTGGAGAGGAGATGGACGTGGCTGGGCTGTGTCCGGTCGCGGAACCGTCTTTCCGTTTGAAGAGTTTGCTGAAGATCCGCTTCTGGCGAGGGGTTTCTGCGGGTGGTGAGAGAGGGGCTGCTGAAGGGGCGAACGCCGACGGGGGCTGATGGTCAAGGCCGGCGGAGGAGATGGAGTAGCTGGAGGAGGTGGGCGTCTCGGGGCGGTCATGTGCGTTCAGTGTGTCCATGGGTGCGTCCATGCTCCGACGGGGGTTAGGAGTTGGGAGAGAGATGGCTGGAGAGGTGAGGCTTGAGTTGAGACCGAATACTTCCATGGGTTCGAGCACGGCTAGACCGATGAGCTCCATTCCGCGTCTGGCAAACCTTGCGATCTTGGCATCAGTGCCGGCATCAACTATCACATTCGCCATGACGTTATGGGCTTGAAGATTGTAAAGGGGAATGATCATTCGACGAGAAGAACTGCCGGTGGATGTGGACGCCACAGAGGAAAAGGAGGAGACGGAGGTGTAGCCAGAGTACATGGAGACATCCGACCTGTTGGACTGTGTACGAGAGAGGGAAACGTCGGTCTCGGACCCCGCAGTGCTGGGCCTTCCCTGGTCAAGGGATTCACGTCTCGATGATGAACGATCATTGGCTTTGGGAGGAACGAGCTGGACTTGGAGGTTTAGGGGATGATTGGATTTAGCCGGTGGCGGTCGCACGACGATGAAAGTCTGAGGTATGCAAATGTGAGTAAATGTCGAAGATAACAGATAATATGGGTTTTGCGCACCTCGTTCGCGAGCTTGCGCTCCTTCTTCTTCACAGCGACCTCCTCCCCCGAGACCTTCTTGCCTGGTACAGGCTCCACCTCATCCGCAACTCTCGGTGGTTCCGCAGTCTGATGAGGGTATGGACTGGGAGACTTGGGTTCAAACTGCAGCGCAGACGGCAGGAAAGACGTGAGGGTGGACAACATTAAGGCGACATCGGCTAGAGGGCTGGTGAATAGAGGGTGATGGTGGTAGAGGAGAGGAAGGAAGCGCGTAAGAGTGGAAGTGTACTATTCAAGCTTCGGCGGTGGGCCCACAACCCGCACGCGTCATGCCACTTTCTTACGTAACACTGCCTAAAATGGCTCCGGAATCCGATGAATCTCGCCGTCGGTGTGCGTCACCGCTTCCGATTCCCCATTGGTTCTCCGCAGACTCCAATCCCGCGACCACTCTTTGTCGCCGTCACCACGTCAGCGCTTCGCCCGAGCCCACTCTCCCAGTCCATCTACGATATTTTTCTCTGAGTGCTGATTGTATTTTCCCCGACGAACAGTCCTATGCGTCATTCGTGCTGACTCCAAGGCTAGGAAGTAATCCCGCTCCGGGGCGGGTTTAGAGTATTCAGCATCCGCCACGTGAACGGGTGTAGATCTCCGCGGGGACGCCTGTACGTACAGCCCATTTACGCGACTTTGGAGGACTTTGCCTGGGATGCAGGCCACAACAGCCTCGACGTGAGTCACACGGACAGACTCTCATCCATACCGTATCTTCGACACTCCACTGAAGTGTTCGCAGAATAGCCATCGGAGAGATATCTGAAAGCCCTGACGCTGCTTTGCACCGCTCAACTGATGGGTATCGAGCGGCAAGTTGTGCTGGCGCCTGCAGCCAACAAGTGGCAGTACTGGACATATGCCATCAAGAATTGTACCATTATGAAATGCGATGCTGAGAATCAATGAACACCATCGATATCGCAGACTTTTCGAAAACAAAACACCTGAAGGCCGTCGGAATATCTCGTCAGAGGGGTCGCAGGGCGTGGTCCACCAAATTTCCATCTCGATTCCATCACTACGAGTCCTCGAGTCAAAGCTCTGAGGCACTGCAGAGCCCAGACAACTCACAAAACAGTCATCCTGCCTGTCACTGACAGGAGCATGATATTCAAAGCGTAATGTGCTGACGGTGTACATAGGTTGGCTGACGTACCTAATCTCAGGCTATCGGGTCCGGAGCAAGCAGGAAGACCTTTGACACTCTGTATGATGCTTGACCATCAGGAATCTAGACGCCAGTGGACTCGTCGAGGTGATACCGGATGTGAGGAGGTGAGGAGGTGAAATGGTTAGAGGGGCGGAAGTGTGGCGTCTGCGTCGAGCCCAAAGAGGACGCTGTACGAAGATCAATTCATCGGAATTAGGTTGTTTCAACCATTGCTTCAGTAGACACGACAGGAGAGCGGCAGCTGAATGCGCCGTTTCAGATCAGGAGCAAGGCCTAGGAGGACATAGGGGGAAAGCAAAAGGCACCAGGGGAGGCGAAAAGCCCCGATGGTCGAGGGGCCTTTTTATAAGTGAGGCTCGCTTGTGACGCACGGACCACCGACGCGTCAAATGATGTAATATGTCGACAATCATGAGGACATCGAGAGACGTGTAACGGTCAGAACCAGCAAGTACGACGACGAAGCGCAGGCGGCGGGCGTGTGGCGGGACGACAGTAAGAAAGCTAATTAGACTGGGTGTCTTGCTTCGGAAGCCCCTATTCCCGGGTCCGGCCGGTGATCGTGAAATCGATATCCTGCAAACGCCCACTCCAACTTCAACCAGACCGCATTTTCAACCGTTCTGTGGCTGCCTCCTCTCCGGTGAAAGTGCTACCTCTGATTCTATACTAGTAGAAGAAATGGTTCCAGAAAAGGATCTGTCCAAGTATCTCGTCCCCGGATCGGACAAAACGTACTACATACCGAACTTTGTGTCGGAGGACGAAGAAGCGTATCTCCTGAGGAAGGTGAGCGGATGGTGACATAGGCCGTTAGGCAGGCCTGTTGGCAGTTTCTGAGGGGAATTGTTCGGGATCGACGTCTTTGAATGCGACCACAGATTCAAGAGACGCCTCAGAATAAATGGAGACAACTTGCAAATAGGAGGTTCGTGATGCTCGACCTTCATCCATAGTGAGATATTCTAAGTATTCGTTACTTTTTGGATGTGACAGGTTGCAAACATGGGGTGAGTATCTAGGCTAACTGAACTACTCGGCTTTTGTGGCTCTTGTCTCCCCTCATCCGTTATACTCATCTCATGCGTAGGAGGAGACCTAACCCCCAAAAATACACTCATCCCACAATCCATGCCTCCTTTTCTCTCGTCGTAGTAAGTACGCCACCTGAATCTCTGCCTCCGGGCGACCGTTCCGTCTCCACCGCACTGTGTCGAGCTAATGCATTGCCCTGTCGTTCGTAGTCCCGATATCATCTCGCGCATAGAGGCGACCGGGATCTTCAAAGATTCACCACACCGACGACCTAATCATGTTATTTTGAATGAAGTACGTTCTTCATATCCAGGCCTTGCTCGTACTCTCACAGCCACATCTAACAAATATTATCCATGCATGATCTCAGTACCTACCAGGTCAAGGGATAATGGTCTGTACCTTCGAATCCAACGTCTCGCGATGGGCTCAACGGCTCATTCCCGCCCATACTTAGCCACACGAAGACGGCCCATCCTACCACCCCGTCGTTGCCACACTCTCCCTAGGCTCACACGCAGTCTTTCACTACTACCGCTATCAGTCTTCACAGCCAGCGGATGATACTAGTACAGAAGGCGAGACAGTGTCGACGAGCGGCAGGGGACGAATCATCGACCGTACGCCGGCGCTCACGATTCTGCTCGAACCGCGCAGTCTCGTGATTACGACTTCATCGCTGTATACGGACCATCTACATGGGATCGATAATATCACCGAGGACGCATTCGCGGCACACTCACCCCGTCCCTACTATTCAACAAACAACGGTGATGGCCAGTCAAAATCAGGGAGTGAGGATCGCGTATGCGTCGCTAATGTTGAGATGCTGGAAGGAGAGGTGGAAAAGAGGGTGGTGCGGGAGGGTGGAGTGTTGAGTAGGGGGACGAGGTATAGTTTGACTTGTAGAGATGTTGGGAGGGTGGCGAGTGTAGGGACGGGAAAGATTTTTGGGCGAAGATGACTGGCGCTCCCAGATAAAAAAAAAGTAATGCGATAATCCAACTGGCACCCTTCGTACGAACGACAATGGTCGAAGGGCGACGCGGCGTTAGAGAGTTGGGGGAACCCAGACTCTGCACAACGTGGCACTCTCTAGACAGCGCTGCAGCATAGGCGGAGTATTTTTGCCGCTCACCCTTCTGAGGAAAGCTCTTCTACTAAGGCTATAGAGTTTATATAGAGTGCTCCCAAGTTTTGTCAGAATTTTCCATGCGATGAGAACTTTGTCACAGACAAAACAGGCCGAGCGCAGATACTACGCTCCGCAAACTCTATAGTACAAAAACAGACAATAAAGCGGACGATAACTGTACAGAGAACTTGAAGAACCTTAGACCTAAACGCTCCACCCCCTTCCTGTCATTGAGTCATTATCATGTATGTTCCGCCTCGAGTCCCTTGTCCTTATTTCGAGCCTCTTCCTCGAGCTCTAGAGTCTGCTTCCAAAGGCGGTACGCCATCAGTGCCACTCGGCCTTCACTGGGCGACAACAACTTCAGTGCTTCTTCGAGGTCCAATAGTGTCCCGACGTAGGTCTGTTCGTCGGGCATACCGGTATTCTCTTCACGTACCTTCGATCGCGAGTGAGTTCAACGATCTTTTGTCAGAAGGACAACGCAACAAACTTGAACGCGAATGAATGACACCCACCGCATCAGCCGGTATCTGACCGACATAGTAAAACGCTTGGTAGATGCCGCCATTGTCAACATGCCCATTTCCGAACCGTTTAGGACCCCAGCGTTGAGTCGTGATGTATATAGGCTCCGTATTTTTGCCTATCCCCCAAGGATCCACAGGGTTGGAATCCGGAGTGGCTGACTGTGGCGCATGAGGGGCGCGAGAGTAGGTGACCACCGGCAAGAATTCCGCACGAAAGCCAGACTAGACAATCAAAAGGACTCAGATGCAAGCACGCCAGGACCGAGAAGTATCACTTGTACCTCCTCGTATGCCTCTCGCAGAGCACACTGCTCTAGATTTTCCCCGACATCTTTCCTGCCCCGAGGTAGAAACCACGACTGCCTCTTCGTGTCGTTCACAACCACAACTTTGCCAGTCGAAGGCTGTATGATCACCATGGACGCCGCCAGCATAAAGTCGCGAGCAAAAAACTGGCTATCTGGGATTGGTGGTGATGACCATTCAGATAGAGGTGTGGCAGGCCTAGGCTGAGGAGGCCTTGTCGGTTGTGATGGGGCGCGAGTCTGTCCGACACGGAATATCTTGTGCGACATGACGCGAAGAGTATCGCTGATAGTACCAGAAATCACAGCTTTCTAACATGGAAGAAGAACAGTCAAGCCAAGGTCTATATCTATCGGCGGTGGTTGACCTACAGAGTGCGGGTATTTAGAGGTGTCAGCAGATAGCGGCAGGAAAGTGAAGCAAGCTGTGGCCACAGTGCCACAATGACGTCAAGTGTTCAGCGGACTCCAAACTTTGGGACTCCGCGGAACAACATTGCTCAAAAGGGAAAACAAATGACACCTCTCTGTCTTCTCATCCTATCCATCATCATTGACAACGCTTCGCCCTATTCTCGAGATGTCAGGGTAAAATTTTTCTACTTATTGTAGAACCCCAGTCCAGATACTCATCGCACGTTTATTCTCGAACTTTGTCCAGTACTTCAAAGCCTTCTGGCACGTCGCCCATGATTGTTGGCCCAAGCGCATACGTTCCTCATGGCTTCTCCCTCTCACGCGTACCACCTGAAATATGGACTCATATATTCATCCTCGTCGATGATCCGCCAAAGGTCGTCACGAAGGCTAGCTTTAATACCCCTGCTGTGTTTTGGCTCGGCTGGATCCATCTGACACATGTCTGCCAATACTGGCGGGGCCTCGTCCTGGATAACCCCGCTTTCTGGGCGCGTATAACCTTTTGCCTCGGTACACGCTGGATGTCGGAATGTTTTCGACGATCGGGTTCTGCGCTCTTAACAGTCGACATGAACACGAGGCAGACCCCTGTGACCTTATCTGACGTACCCCTGGACATTTATCGTGACAAACTGAGACGACTATCATTAAGGATAGTGCAAGAAGCATATACAAAAACCAACGAATTTCTGTCACTTCTTGCTGAAGGTGCACCACGTTTGGAAAGCCTTGAAATTTCTTCCTTTTCCTTCAATGACGATCCTATTCTCCCTCCCTCGTCATCTGCGTCCCCTTTCCCGAATCTTCGTCATCTCGTCATCGCTGGAGTACGATTACCCTGGAATAGCTTTCCATTCCAGAACCTGACCACCTTCGCAGTGACTCTTTTTGACGCCTGGAGTTCGACGCACAAGTTCGATCGAAGTCTCACCATCTCAACTTTGTTAGCCACCTTGGAACGTATGCCTGAGCTGAAAACCCTACGCATCAATGGTCTCGATATACCTGCTCCCCAGGAAGAGCCATTTGCCCAAAGCCCCTCCACCTCCATCGACCCTCCTAGACGAATCGTATCGCTTGCTCATCTTGAAGACCTCCATCTCGAAGGATCGTCGATACATTGTCTTCAATTGCGCCAATCCATAAAGATCCCCTCTTCAGCTCGACGCTGTTTCCTCATCGACAAGTCGCATGATTATGAACTTTCGACGTTAGTGAACACCCTCTCCACTAATTCATCTCCTTCATACGGTGCTCCTCTGGTTTTTCGCGCGGTTTGCATCGACGCTCGCGGGGGCGGATCCATGGTACTGGCCGCTGACACCAATGAGTCTACCAGTCAATGGCCCGTGTTTTCACTCGTTCATGATGCTTCTCACGTCGACGCTTATTCACTACTTGCACCCCTGTGCAAGGGGATGTTCACTTACCTCGTCGATCTCCGCCTCGACGGTCTGTCTATAAACGACGAACGACAATGGCAAGATATCTTGGGACCGCTTACGCTGCTGCGAACCCTTTCTTACTCGTCTGGGAGTCCACACATCAAGCAACTATTCGAAGCCTTGTACGCATGGCGAGCTTCAACCGACGACCCTCAGTCCACGATGCAGTTGCTCCCCGGACTGCAGACTCTGCATCTGGATTGTCCGTGCCAATGGACATCCCGGTTCACGGACTGTATACAACACCGGAAGCGATCAAAAGCACCGTTGGCCACGCTCCAGCTTACGAGCTTTTGCATACCGGAAAATGATGTGGCACGCCTGGAGAGTTGTGTTCCCAATTTACGAGTCTTCGGTACGACTGGTACGTGACACTAACGAACAGGAGCATCATAATACCGGTGAGTTGGTTCTTATCACTGCGTGCACATAATTCGTCTGCTTACACTGTCCCTTATTCAGTGCCTCTGTATCACGTCAGGGTGTTACGACCACGTAGCATCTATTTTTATTTATCTCCTCGAAATGGTATTTGCATGTGCGAGAAGTAGGTCTTATGTACTTGCCAATATATCCTTTCCTTTTCGAAAACAGACCTGTTTGATCGACCGACACGAGTTAGATGTCCAATATTTGAGCGGGTTTCCATTTTCTCGACGGGTCTGCTAAACTAGTAGAGTACTTAAGGCAGGCTGGTGCCACGGTGCCACTTGGGTGCCACAATGACGTCGATCATGCAGCGGACTTCGAACGTTTGGACCTCCGCAGAACAACACTGCTCAAAAGAGAGAACGAACGACACCTTCCTTTCTTCCTACCACTTCATCGACAACGCTCTGTCCTACTCTCAAAATGTCAAACCCTAGTACTCTTGAAGTCACCGCGATATCCCCAGGGTAAAAATTTTCAACTTATCGTAGAACCCCAGTCCAGATACTCATTGCACGTTTTTATTTTTGAACTTTGTCCAGTTCTTCGAAGCTTTCGGACACGTTGCCCACGATTATGGGGCCAAGCGTATACGTTCCTCGTGGTTTCTCCCTCTCACGCGTACCCCCAGAAATATGGACTCATATATTCACCCTCGTCGACGATTCGCCAAAGGTTGTCACGAAGGCCCGCTTCAATCATCCTGCTGTGTTTTGGCTCGGCTGGATCCATCTGACGCATGTCTGCCAATACTGGCGGCGCCTCCTCCTGGACAACCCCACTTTCTGGGCCCGTATAATCTGTTGCCTCGGTACACGCTGGATGTCGGAATGCTTCGAACGATCAGGCTCTGCGCTCCTAACGGTCGACATGGACACGAAGCAGATGCCTATGGCCTTATCTGACGTACCCCTTCGCCATTATCGTGACAGACTGAGACGATTATCATTACAGACCGTGCAAGGACCAGCGACAGGACTCAGAGGATTTCTGTCACTTATTGCTGAAGGCGCACCACTTTTGGAAAGGCTTCAACTTATTTGCTCTTCTATGGATGGTGTCCCTGTTCTTCCTCCCTCGTCATCTGCATCCCCTTTTCCGAGTCTCCGCCATCTCGTCACTGCTGGAGTACACTTGCCCTGGACTGGCTTTCCATTTCACAACCTGACCACCTTTGCAGTGACTCTTCCCAGTTTCTGGAGTTTGATTCGCGAGAATCTCACCGTCGCAACTTTCTTAACCATTTTGGAACGTATGCCCGAGCTGAAAATCCTACGCATTACTGGTGTCGGTATATCTACTTTCGAGCTAGAAGAGCCGTTTCCCCAAGCCACCTCCATCGACCCTCCTGGACGCATTGTATCGCTTGCTTATCTTGAAGAAATCGCTTTCAAAGGATTGGCGATTGAGTGTCTTCAATTGCGCCGTTCCATAAAGATCCCTTCTTCAACTCGACGCTCTTTCATCATCCATGAGTTCGCTGATCACGAACTTTCGGCCGCAGTGGACAGCCTCTCCGCTAATTCATCGCCTTCATACGGCGCTCCCCTGGTTTTTCGCGCGGTTTGCATCGCCCCTTACAAGAACGGATCCTTCGGACTGACTGCCGACGCCAACGAGTCTACAATCAAACGCCCTGTGTATGAACTTATCCACACTTCTTTTCCTTATACTCTCTTCGACCCTTATTCACTCCTTAGACCCCTACGCAAGGGCATGTTCACCGACCTCTTCGATCTCCATCTCGAAGACTTGCCCATAAACGACCAACGACTATGGCGAGACATCTTGGAACCGCTAACACTGCTGACCACCCTGTCCTATTCGTCGAAGAGTCCGCATATCGAGCAACTATCCGAAGTCTTGTGCGTGAAGCGCGATTCAACCGACGACCCTCAGCCCGCGATGTTATTGCTCCCCGCACTGCAGAATCTGTATCTGGATTGCCCGTCCCAATGGACGTCCCGGTTCACGGCTTGTATACAATACCGGCAGCAATCGGGAGCACCGTTGGCAACGCACCAGCTTTCGAACTTTGCCATAGCAGAGATTCCTGTAGCACGCCTGGAGAGTTGCGTTCCAAATTTGCGAGTCTTGGGTACGACTAGTACGTGACACTGACGAACACGAGCATCAGAATACCGGTGAGTTGGTTCTTATGACTTCGTGTACATCACTCGTCTGCTCACGTTACACTTATTCAGTGCCTCTACTATGACTAAGTATGTCGAGATTCTACGAACAGGTAGCATTTTTTCTTGTCTTTCTCTCTTCCAAGACGATGTTTGCGTGTGCGAGATGTAGACCTTATGAATTCGTCAATATATCATCCTGTTTTCGAAGGCAGGCCCGTTCGATATGCTTGATAAATACCGCCGTTGTCAACATGGCCATTTCTGAATCGTTTCGGACAATAGCGTTGTGCGGTGATGTATATAGGCTCACTATTGGCATCTATGCCCCAGGGATCCACAGACTTCGAAGCCAGAGTGGCTGCCTCTTAGTGTCGTTCACGACCACAACTTTCCCAGTCGACGGCTGTATTATCGCCATCGACGCCGTTAGCATAAAATCGCGAGGAAAGAACTGGCTATCTGGTTTTGGTAGTGATGACCGTTCAGATAGGTAAGGTATGTTGAAGTGGCCTTGTCGTGGCTGATGGCGCGAGTCTGTCCGACACAAAATGTCTTGTGCGGCATGACACGAGAAGTATCGCTAATAAGTAGTGCCAAAGATCACAGTTTTCTGACACAGGCTCAAAAAAGTCAAACCAGAGTACATATGTATCGGCGGTGGTTGACATGCAGAGAGGGGCCATTTAGGGGTGTTACTAGATAGCGGTAGGAGCTGGTAGGGAAGTAAAGTACGGCGGTGCCACAGTGCCACAATGACGACCATCAGCGGACTTCGAATGTTCGGACTTCCGCAGAACAACACCGCTCAAAAGGGAGATTCAGAACGAACGACACCCTCCTTTCTTCCCACCTCCCCATTGACAACGCTTCGTCCTACTCTCAAAATGTCAGATTCTATTCCACAAGTGACTGCGATAACCCCAGGGTAACATTTTATCGCTTATCGTGGATTTGCAGCCCAGATACTCATCGCACGTTTAGAACTTTGTCCAGGACTCAAAAGCCTTCGGACACGTCGCCCGTTGTTATTGGCCCAAGCGCATACGTCCCTCATCGCATCTCCCTCTCACGCGTACCCCCAGAAATATGGACTCATATATTTACCCTCGTCGATGATCCGCCAAAGGTCGTCACGAAGGCCCGCTTCAATCACCCTGCTGTGTTTTGGCTCGGCTGGATCCATCTGACACATGTCTGCCAATACTGGCGGCGTCTCATCCTGGACAATTCCACTTTCTGGACACGTATAATATTTTGCCTCGGTACACGCTGGATGTCGGAATGTTTCGAACGATCGGCCTCTGCGCTCCTAACGGTCGACATGGACGCGAAGCAGATGCCTATGGACCTATCTGACGTACCTCTTCGCTATTATCGTGATAGACTGAGGCGGCTATCATTATCGACATTGCAAGAACCAGATGCAGAACTCGAAGAAACTCTGTCATTTATTGCTGAAGGCGCGCCACTTTTGGAAAGGCTTGAGATTCATTGCTCTGCTATCAATGCCACTCCTGTTCTCCCTTCCTCGTCATCTGTGCTCCCTTTCCCGAACCTTCGCCACCTCGTTACTTCTGGAGTACAGTTTTCCTGGACTAGCTTTCCGTTTCAAAACCTGACCACCTTCGCAGTGGCTCTTCCTGGTGTCTGGAATTCGACGGTCGAGATCAATCAAAATCTCACCGTCTCAACTCTGTTAAACACCTTGGAACGTATGCCCGAGCTGAAAACCCTACGCATTACTGGTGTCGGTATGCCTACTCGCCAGGAAGAGCAATTTTCCCGAGGCCCCTCCACCTCCATCGGCCCTCCTGGACGAATCGTATCGCTTGCTCATCTTGAAGAACTCACTTTCAAAGGATCCTCGATAGATGGTCTTCAATTGCGCCGTTTCATAAAGATCCCCTCTTCGGCGCGACGCTACTTCATCATCCATGAGTCGCATGACTATGAACTTTCAGCGTTAGTAGACAGCCTCTCCACTAATTCATCTCCTTCGTACGGTGCTCCCCTAGTGCTTCGCGCGATTCGCATCCGCGCCTGCAAGAACGGACCCATCGTATTGACTGCTGATACCAATGAGTCTACGACCAATCGCCCTGTCTATGAACTTCTCCACAATACTTCACCCGTCGACGCTTATTCACTACTTGCGCCCCTGTGCAAGGGCATGTTCAACGACCTCGTCGTTCTCGACCTCAAAAACCTGTCTATAAGCGACGAACGACAATGGCAAGACGTCCTGGAACCGCTATCGCTGCTGACTACCCTATCCTATTCGTCGAAGAGTCCGCATATCGAGCAACTATTCGAAGCCTTGTGCGCAAGGCGAGGCTCAGCCGACGACCCTCAGCCCACGATGCCGTTGCTCCCCGCACTGCAGACTCTGCATCTGGACCACCCGTCTCAATGGCTATCCCAGTTCACGTCTTGTATAGAACGCCGGCAGCGATCAGGAGCGCCGTTGGGAACGCTACAGCTTTCGAACTTTGTCATGGCGGAGATTCATGTGGCACGCCTGGAGAACTGCGTTCCAAATTTGCGAGTCTTGGGTACGACTAGTACGTGACACTAACGAACACGGGCATGAGAATACCGGTGAGTTAGTACTTATGACTTCGTGTACATGATTCGTCTGCTCAAGCTACACTTATTCAATGTCTCTGGTATGTACCGCGCCGAGAGTTTACGACTAGCTTGCATCTGTTTTTATATATTTCTCCTCGAAGGTGTTGTCTGCATGTGCGAGATGTAGATCTTATAGATTCGAATATAATACCTTTCTCTTTTCGACGGCAGACCCATTCGATTGACCCACACGAATGAGATATCCAATGTCTAAGTGGTTTTCATTCTCATTTCTTCGGCATCTCCTAAATTGAGTATGCGCGTATCGTAAGTATAGTACAGTATCTCTGGGTTCCCCCTTTCCTCCTCCACGAAGGGTTTTCCATGTATAGGACTCTTCCATCATCTCAATATGACGGATTCTATCCTTCACGAGCTGTTATTGCCGGGTTAGACCTCCTTTCCTCTTCCGCGATGGATTGTATATGTGTAGTAGGGTGAATCGATCGCTCTGCATCTCCAAATCTGACTGAAGTTCTCCACGAGTTGGTTTTGCGGTTTATAGAATGAGACTTTCCCGTCCCGCGGCGCAGATACACTAGGGTAGTGCAAGCCGGCGTGAACTGGGAGGATTATGTGCGAAACTGAGTGTTGAAAGCTTGGAACGGTGACATGTACGGAAAGGTTGGGAGAGTCGGCGAGGAGCGAGTGGGAGGCGTCGAGGATGGTCTGATATTCAGATGGAGTTGGTTGTGGTGATGTCGGTGTCCGTCGTGTCCGATGGTTGTGGTGGTACTGGTGGTACTGGTAATCATCGTGTCCGGTAGTGGTGGTAAGTGCGGGTCGATGCGAAGGTGCAGGTGCCCAATATGTGAGTTAGGGGCGCGGACAGTAAACGTGCAGACTATAGATCATGAAGTGTCAGCGTCCTCCAAAGATGTAACAAAGTATGGACGTACCAGTGGAAATGGTTCGATGAAATCGTACCACTAAAGTCCTCTGGTCGTCGATCATGGCATTTTTCTAAATTGTGGCGTGGTGTTGGTGTCCTCGCCAGTTCTGGTCGTATGTGGTCGTTCATCTTCGTCCTAATACTTCACTTTTCCGTCCCATCGTCTCCCTTCCCCTGCGACTCCCCAATCTCCACTTCCATCGAGGTGTCCGGGGGGGCGTCCGGGAAGCCGACTGCGAGGAGCGATAGAAGCTCGTGCTCAGTGGCGGAGAGCGACTTATCAGAATAATCTCCATCTCCTAGAGGCCTTTCTCATCTCTCTTTCGAATCTGTCAGATCAGTTTCCTTATACCTCCTTCCCAAACCGCCCTCCCACATTCTTGCCTCGTCCTGGAGCTACCATTCCTTTTTCCATCATCCCCGTACCGTGTTGCTCCTCGTGATCTCGAATTGAGATACAGTATCTGACACCTCCTGAAGATCATATCCATCTCCGCAACGATCTCTGCCGCCGTCTCAGGCAGCTTGGCTTCATTCTCCGTCGTACTCCCGACCTGATCGGGAGCCTTTCGACGAGGATTCGCCAGTGACGTACGAGCAGGTAGCCGCTTGATCTCGCCGAGCTGGCCTGGAGGGGAATTACGTTTGGAGGGGAAGCGGTTTGGAGGAAGGTGGTTTGGAGGCAAGCGATGGGGACTTTCAGAGGCCTCGCGAGCAGCGAACGGGCTCGGAGTATTGGTGGGGAGGGGAGCGAAGTCTGCCGCAGGGTCGTCGTCGAGCTCTATGGCGCTGGGAAGCTCGATACAGAAGAGGAACTCAGCCTCCAGGACCGAGCGCCTGGATGTCATCACCATGTCCTTGGACCTAAGCTCGTCGATAGTGGTAGCTGAAGAATCCGATTGATACTCATCGCCGGAGAAGATAAAGCGTTCAGCGAAGGAGCTGCTCATGACCAAGGGCTTCGTAGGAGATGGAAGACGGTCATGGCCTAGTTTAGCCATGGGTTTGACTGAAGACGACCTCAAAGCGACAGCGACAGTAGACCTCTGCACAGAAATAGCGGACAGTAGACGCTTGCAAGGGGCCGAGGCTTTGCGTCCTGCAAAAGGGTTCGGCGTGTTGGCAGGAAGAACAGCGAAGTCGGCAGCGATATCCTCGTCGATCTCGGCAACGTCAGGAAGGTCGATATCACAAAGCAGCTCGTGGCTCGGGGTGTCGCCGGGAGTAACAACAAAGTCGGGGGCGACATCCTCGTCGGTATCGACAATGTCAGAAAGGTCGATATCGCAGAGCAGCTCGTTGTCTTTGGGGAAAACTGACTGGGCCCGATCTCTGGAGATGATCGTGTGCGGCCTCGAAATGACAGGGAAAGAGAGGCTCCGCGAAGAAATGGGGATCCCAGCGTGCTTGGGAGCTACCGGAAGAGATACCCTGCGAGCAGTTGGAGCCGAAATCTGCATGGGGGCCACGGCCACAAGGGAGGTACGACGAGCGACAGTGGGGACTGATGGACGAGCCGAAGCTGGGAGCGAGGTGCGGCGGGAAACGATAGGCTTTGGCACTAGTGCCTCTTCTAGAATGGGAGAGCGAGACCTGGTCGTAGGGGTGGCAAAGGTAAGATGTTGACCCTCTGCAGATGTGAGCACGGCCATGGACTCCTTCGAGGTCGATACATTCGATGAGATGGCAAAAGGTTGTGGAAGAGGCTTCTTGACGAGCGAGGGTTGCATACGGAGACTAGCTTTGTCCAAAGCTGTTATGGAAGATATAAGAAACGGTGTCAACTATATACCGTCAAAGAAGCGTACCTTTGGGTGTGTTCGTGATATCCCTCAGGCCAGAGGTCAATTGGGACCTGACTTTCAAAGTCGGCTTTGAAACAGCCGACTCATACATAACAGTCGATGGACGAACTGTAGGACTCCTTGGATAAGGTTGGACAGCCTTGGGAGGTTGCGTGTTCTCCCCGCCGAAGGTGCGAACCTTTGGTGCAAGCAGGGAGGCACGGTTGCTGCGCGCTCGAGGAACGGAGGCAGCGGTAGTCATTGTGTTAGAGTTTGGATGCGAGTGTGCAGTTATGCAAGATTGTGGTTAACGTTGGATCGTTGTAGGGATGAGGTAGGACATGGTCTATATAACCCCAAGCGTGCTTGATTGGAATTGGGACTGGTGGTTGTACCTGTAGAAGCGGCGGCATCGGGATGGTGGTCGGATGACGGTGAAACACTATTTTTGTCCAGACGACTCGGAGTGAGACATGTAGGCGCCAAGAAGTGAAACCGGTGTGAAATACGACTGAAATAGCCTGAAAAGTAAGATCGCGTCAGGACGTGTTGCAGAGGTAAGCCATACTTCGGCTCAGATGATGGCCTAAATTCGGCCTGACGAACAGCACTCCACGTTAACTGAAGTTCTTGGATATTGGATAAGAAACGCGATATCGTCGTTAAGAGGTCCATGTTTGAGAGATATGGGAATGTAGACCTCTGTGACATTTGATTAATGCTGGAAGCAAAGCAAAATACAGGTGAAGGTTGATGCAAAAATCTAGGATCCTCATCAATAACTCTGTCAGAGAAATATCAGTCATCACATCCAAGCCGAAAATACTACGCAAGCGGCAGAACAAAAAACTCACCGATCCAGCGAACAATCGAACGTCCGAATGTACCTCGTACGAGTCCCTATCAGCACTGTTAACCTTGATCACATTAAACCTATTCTCCTCCCCATTCCAATAGAGAATCCTCTTCACACCGGCCCATTTACACCATTCCAAGCATCTCCAGCAAGGTTTTGCGTTTCCCATTCCGTTCTTCGTCACTCGAGCGACGTAGATGTCCGCACCGTTCACCCGTGGGTCTCGCCGCCGACCACTCCAGCACTTGTCGCCAGTCTCGGCGGACCCGGAGCCTAAGCTGGAAGACCTTGAGCGTCTACGACCGCTTTTGCTGCCGCTGCAGCTGGCATCGCCCTCACTCTTGCCTCCGCCGTGGCCCGTTCTCTCGTGGCGGGCCCTACTGGATTGACCTGTCCGCCTTTCTGCCTTCAGCCTCTCAGCGGTATCCACCTTGTTGTCGCCTCCCTTGAACATGCTGTTTCCCCTCGCCATCGAAGCCGAAGATCGAGCCGTCCGCCCCTCTCAACGCCGCAGACTGAGACGATACGCGACCCTGCTTGCGAAACGACGGTGACATTCCGGTTAGGTTGTAGATGGCGTGCATCTCGGCGTGCATCGACACTGGCTTCCGGTGTCCTCGCGTGCGCACTTCGGCGCCATCGTAGTGTGGGCGGTGGTGATTGTGGCCCGTAGATATGATCTTGCCGCCCTTGACGAGAACAGCACCGAGCGTGTACGACATAGGGCTCTTGGAAGCTGCATCAGCGCAGGAGGACAAGTAGAACTGTGACTTGTTCATGTTAAAGATATGAACGAAAATCTGGGCTGAGGAAAGATTGGACAAGGCAACTGATTAGCGATATTGTGGTTAAACGGTGTGACAGGAAGTGACGCTGTCATCATTCGCCGCCACCTCACTTGTTCTGCTCTACCTCAATCCAATACGCCCTATCAAGCCTGAGGCCTGAATACATACGATTGCCCTCCGGGCGCGACCTGGTCCTTTGTCCTCTATTAAATCGTCAACCGTTCCTACGTCCTCTTGTTTTATTTGTATGGCACGCGTACATGAAAAAGTCATGCGAGTTCTCTTGGAGTTCTCATTACACCACAGAAACACAGAGAACTAAGAAGTCACTTCAATGCAGACCATGTACGAAAGCGAGATCAGTGACTCAAAGGATAATACTCTCAGTCTCCGACAGGTGTTAGTAGTATTTTTCAACTCTGACCATACCTCCTACAAAGTAATATTGATGCAGGCGGGCCACTGCCGCGCCAGGGCTGCGCAAGCTCCGCCCAGCCGCTTCGTGGCCCGAAGTGGTTTTGTCAACCGATAAAATCTTGAACAACTCTCAGTAATCAGTACTCAGTGATAGTGCTTATATGGTCTATCAGGAAAGCTTCACCAGCAGCCCAAGTCAATAGGCACACTCAGAATTGTTTTAGACCATTGTTTCGATGTATTACCCCACACCATCCGACTACATAGGCCCAACTACAAGGATCTATACAGCAAAAACAGAGCATCTCGAATTGAACAGAAAATACCTTAGACGCCAACTCCTCGGACAATGCACTCCGAATCGCGCTCTCCTCCAACATATCGGAGATGATTTTCACACCGCTCACCTTCGTCACAGAGTGCGTTCGGGATTTGAATTTTCTTTGAATCACGTTGTCGGAATGTGTGGTGACAACGATAGAGGCGACTGTACCTTTGACGGAGGCTGGGCTTTGGAGTATTGAGGGTGTATGGGTGCAACATAACACTTGCTAGAACAGCGTTATGTGGCACATAACATGGGTTTCACTCCTATCAGAAAGGTGTTAGTTGATGTTTGTTGGAGGCGCCTACGGCGCCACACGTGTAGTTGGAATCATAATGCTCCATCCAGAGGCCATTGCTATCCTCTGGATCGTAACACTTGACCTTGCCGTTGCTGCCATACAAGTTGCCTCAGTGATCTGAGACGCCGAGGGCGTAGTTATTTGTCACTGAGGGAGCGCCAAAGAGCTATGTAGAGGGTAAGTGTCAGATGTCGGACATATGAAATGGCAAAAAGTTGAGTGAAAGCAGAAAATAGCCGAAATACGTACTGCGAATGATCCAGGAGTATCGTAAGCAGGCGCGGAGAGCCAGGAGAGGAGTACAAATAGATAGACTTACCGGTGACGGTGGACGATGCCACTGGATCGGCTACGAGACCCCTCTGCACCATATCTAGCAAAAAGAATTCTCATCAGCATCCCCCCAATGAGCCCTGCGACACCATTTTCTTTTTTATGTCAGATCCAGACATCCACCACTCACCTCTTTTGAAGGTCCACAGCCACCAAATTAGACCACACCGCCCCTCTCCCTCATACATCAGCGTACTTATATCCCAGACCGAGGCTCCGTTGCGTCAGACAGGGTAGGGCCCACGAATCGGGCGAGACGGGCTTGGTACGCTTGTCATCCCGGATGCGAGTGGTGAGTGAGACGGGAGAGGAGGGGGGACAATTGATTTCTGTGGGTCGGGAATTCGGTAGGGTTAGGCAAGGTGAATTACGCGGAGCAGAGGAGAGGGAAAGGAGTAAAGAGAGAGGAAGAGAGAGAGAAGAGAGGAGGGGAGAGAGAGGAGAAGAGAGAAGAGACGCACCGTGTAATCTCGCCCGGTCTACAGTTGAGCTCGTAGCAGATCTCGAGCAAAAAAACGCACAGGCTAGGAAGGTGCCGTCCGCGCCTGGAGGAGGAGGAACAATTCCCCGCGTGAGCGGTTTACATTGTGGCGCGCGTCTGGTGAGAAGAGCGAGGAGGGTGGTGGCGAACTGGAGGTTGGAGCGGTCGAGGACGTTTGTCTCCGTGAGCATCTGTGTGTGTGAATTATTTTGCGCGCCATACGTGTTGTTTGGGTAGGACAAGGGGGAAGAAGCGGAGAGCAGGAGGATGAGACCGTAGAGGGACTTGATGATTATCACATCAATCAATGAAACAAATATACAGAGGACAACGGGAACACACCACTGCACAGCTGAGACCGTGGAGGTGAGAGAGCATTTGCTGCCAAGAGTTGCAGTGCGTGTTCGCGGAAGACGATGCTGGTCATAGTAGACAGCGAGAACTAGGATATAGATCAAAAGTAATGCTACTGATATAGGGGAATTGGGGCTCTCATAAGATATACGCACCTTGACCTGGCTGGACATTAAATAACTGTTATGTATGAGCAGGATGAGCGACTCGGCGATACCTGTCGTCCACAATGCTCACGATGAGGGACGGAGAGCAGCACTGTCAACGTACCAGAAGTACCCGACCGGAAAATACGGGCCTTGCCGGACTCCTTTCCCTTGACTGCCAGCGTTGGCGACATTCTCGAGAAACAAGAAAGAGATGGGAAGAAAGTCGTGGTACGCAGCGTCGATGAACTTCAAAAAAGGTTTAGTGAAGGAGTCGTCTTTGCAGTGAGAGTCTGAGACACGAGCAAGAGATGGGTATGACGTCGGGAACCGCACCACTACTGTTTGCCGAGCTCTGGAACGGGCAGCGTGGGAGATGCAAATTACCCCGTTTTGGAAGGCGAGTAGCGATTTCGTCCACGTCCACAACCTGCTCCTAAACGGACCAGGTATAACCATACCGTTCCGCCGAACACCTTTTGACGCCAAACATTTATAAAACTGGTGAATACTCTCGATAAGACGTTTCTCTGTTCATGCTCATCTCAAAGCGACCGCTCGTGGTGTCACACGCTGTCACATCACAGACAGGTTGGGAACCGCAGGTTCTCTTTAGGTTTTCTTCCTATGACAGTTTCTTTTTTTTCATCTTCTTGCTTTCGATCCACTTGATTGATTGGTAGGTTACCTGGCACCAAGGTCCTAGGTGAACCCACAAATATCGAGTCAGAATCCTTCACGCGTCCAATCGCACTCAGCTATCGGTAGTATCCTATCGGGTGGCAAAAACTATGCAGACTGAGGTATCACGAAAAGGTGTCATGGGGCATGTGTGGCCACATAACCAAGTGTTTGCGTGTTACAAACCCGTTTCGTTGGCGAATGATCCTACCAATCCTGGTCCAAGCACAAGGCCGGAAACGCCGCACCCTTGCAGTCCCGACCGACCTGAGACGACATATAATTCAGGACTTGACCAACGGCTGGACTCTGCCCTCGTTCGACCATGCCCGCCATCGTGAAACTGCTCGAGCATCCGACCGGTCAACCCATCTCCTTGATCTACACCTTGCAATATTCTGATGCATCAAATTTTCCGACTCACAGATATCCAAATCGTTGAATGTGCCGCTCTTCTCTCGAAAGCGCTTGAGGGAGGTTCGTGGTGTCCCGTCATAGTTATCTGATCGGATAACCAAGGATATACCCTGATCCTCCACATTCCACAGATGTAACCATCCGTGCCATGACTGGCGGCCGGGAAGAGCTCGCTCCTGCTCTCTTCCGCGCAATGCTCCGCGCTGGCTCGCTTGGAGGAAAATTCCATGTTGTTTCAGACGAGGTGTCCGGGCAGATCACCACGGTGGCGATCTCATTTGCTCCTGGAGGCGGCTTATTCGATAGGTCAGTCTGCATAATGCCATTCGTGCCTCCCATCATCTATCACTGCTCAGAAGTACTAACAGGCCATTTTCTCTCAGAGTAGACCAGCGCGAGGCTGGCTGGAATGATTTCTTTGCATCATTGTCTCACGAGACCCAAACATGGTGGCGTACGACAGTGAGATATCCCAGTTGTCTTGATGGAATGGCCCTCGGTACTAATTCGTGTAGCTCGGTAAAGATTACGCAGATGCGATTCATGCGATACTAGGCAATCATGTATGTCTTCTCGATTTCTAGATGGACTTGACTGTTACTAACCTACCCGATTGACTGCCCTGCTCGAAGTACAACAATCGTTGGCAGATCAACGTCCTCGCCACACATCCAGAGCGCCAACGGAATGGTTATGCCACGGCGGTCATACAGGCTGTGTGCTCTCTGGTGTGTATCTTTCGTGCATGCAGTTCCTGTCCAATCGTCACTCACCACCCTACTCCAACACACAGGCCGCAAAGGATAAAACTGTACTTGCACTAACAACTCAGAACGAACGAAATGTCGGTTGCGTTCCATGGCTTTGCTGCTTGCAGAAGTGACCTAACCTATCTTCATTCGGGACTTACCGCAGGCACAGTTCTACCAGCACCGAGGCTTTTCTATTGTAGGAACGACAGAAGTCAATGCACCGACTGGTCCGTGGACACAATACGTCGTGCTTTGGGACCCGAACGTGCCTTCCTGACGAACGGCCGCAATCTCGCATTTTCTCCGGTATAAATCATGTACATTACATGGTATATTACTACATGCAATATAAATATCACGAGCAACCCTTCTTACCGAACCCCCCTTAACGCAAAGCCCTCGTACACAATAAGCAATCTGAGCCGCTCTGCCAGTATCATAGTAGTACTACTATCAACAACTTCCTACATAATCTAATAGGCATCGTCAAGGCATCACTCTAAGTCCAGTTGAACGAGCTGCGCGGAATGGGATAGAAAAAATGAAAGCAAAGCGAAGATAAAGCGTGCCAAGTTCACAGATATATGCTCGGCCTTCATGTAGCGAGAGTAAAGGGAGATCATACAGCTTGATGGTACGACTGCGGGAAAGCTAATAGTCTGAGTCTGAGTGTTAGAGTAGTATGTCATGTTTAACAATCCTCAGTCATGACCTGTTTCTGCATTCGTTCGTCGTGGAGTTGAAAACTGCGTTTGCCTGCAATGCATACGATGAGATAACGACAAGGCTATTCGATTCCCTGGACACGATTTATAACGAAGTGTACACATACTCATAACATCGCTCTCCATTTCATCAGTCTCGGCAACCAAGGCGTGATCACCAAACTCTTGCCCAGCAGGTAACTCCATAAGCTCATCGCTCTCCCCGGTTTCCTGAGACTCAAGCGACGAGCTCAAACTATCCAAAGACGTCTCTGTCTCGTCTACCCTACGGTTCCGACTCGTGAACGCGCGCCTCCTGTACCTTCTCGTCAGAGTCATCAACTCGACGATACTCAGATCGAACTCGGGTGGAAATAACGGATGGTTGAGCGCCGGGAGCGCCATCGAGGCTCTGTCGAGGGGATGACCAATGATCGGGGTAGAGGTGGCATTGGAAGACGAAGTAGCGGTTCCGAGTACGAGATTAGACGACGACGTAAATGCGGAGTCGGATATCGGGTCGGAGTTCGTGGTGGATCTGAGCCAGCGAAGCGTCTCGTTGCTAGTGATCCCAGCACGCAGAGCTGAGGATGGGGATGGGTAAAATGATGGGGTCGGCGAAACAGGCGACGGGATGATTGGCTGCGTAGAGCGATAACTGGCCGGACGCCGTAGCGAGAAATAGTCGGTGGGACCTTGGAGGGATAAGGCAGGGCTGGTATCCTCAAGATGGCTTCCGGTGCCATCGATCGTGCGTGGTACGTTTAGTGGCGAGTCGGAGGGTGACGATCGTGGAGAGTAAGGAGAAGGCATGAGCCGTACGAAACCATTTGGGCCTATAGAGAAGGGTATCGTGCTCTTCACATCGACGGCTCCTTCTGCGTGTCTCGTTCGTAGCCTGTGGCTGAGCTCGGGACGTGTTGGAGATGGAGGTTCGTGAGGTGAAAGATTCGACGGGATATATAGCGAAGACGTGAATACGAAGGACTCGGGAGTTGGAGTTGGTGGTGACGAAAATAACGCATGGGTTGAATTTGAGGAGGAAGCAAGAGGACTCGAATTGTCCATAGAGCCTGCAGCAGCGAGCTTTATGGGTTGCGGATGAGGATGGCCTGAAAGAGAGAAGGACCGATGGTCAGATCAGTCAAGAATTATATCCAGCGGATGGCCAGACCTGCATACTCACAGGAAGGTCTTCTATGCCGGTGCACGGTGCGAGCAAGCGAAATCGGTGGGACTCCGTGTCTCTCCGGGCGTAATCGCAGGCCAATCCTGGAGTTATCTCGCTGCAGTTGGCGCCTACTGGAAGTCCCTTGTCCCGAGGACCTACATGCGAGGCTTTTCGTATAACCCATTAGAACAGCTCCCACCTGCTATACAAAGACCAACAACGTGTGTTCGCCGTTTTTATATAGGAATAAGACACCACCTCATCGAAGGGCCGATATTCGCCAGCAATGGTCCCAACGTTGAATCGCGCTGGCGCGCGATTGTCCACAGAACGGCATACGATTCACCGAACATTCATGTTGGTGTAAAGATAGCATAGAAAGGTGGCCTTCTTCGATGGGAACGGCGCTGCGAGGACTGACATAAATGACGGTAATGAGAAAAGAACAGGCCGTGATACCTGGAAGCATGCACATCCAGAAGCCAGCGGGAACGTCGCGAGGCAGTCAGGCTGTCATTATTTCGAGGATGAATGTCGCCGTTTGGGGGCAGGCGTTGCTCACGTAGAGCAGGTGACGAGGCCAATGTAGATTCCACGCTTGTTACGGCAACTCTACGGGTCTGAGATCGGACGCTCTTTGCCAAACATGCCGCAGCCTCAAATCTTTGGGGAACAGGCTTCAGCTTGATCTGTATTGCGCCCTAGATCACTGAAAACGTTTAATAGAAAATAATCAGTCCCGATGACGCAGATAGAAAAGTGGAAACGGTGGACCGCCGACGTACGAACTCATTGCCTCAAACCCTCTCCAACTTCGCATCACTCTGGAGGATCGGCTTGGACGGGGGCACGTATTAATTCACAACCGGTCGGAATATAAGCGGGGAGTTCTGTCCTCTAAAGCACGTTCGCATTACCCTCAAAAGAACACCATAAGATATATCGTCCAGAAGAACGTGCAACCAACTCCCACATCTTCCCCTCTCCTCTCTACACGCCACTCAGTGGGTCACACCTGCCCACCCAATCACACCTCTCGACCAGGTCCCCATCTACCACTTCTTCCCCTTCGCCTGTTCCTCAGCCAACCTCTGCTGATCCGCGATATACTTCTTCACATTCACCCAAGACTCCTTGAACGTCACCGGTTTCGCATTCGCGTCTACGATGCGGGGAGCGATGCCGCATATCTTGCGAACGGAGGGGATGCGGAGGACCGCGTTCTGGGCAGCGATGAGGGCGATGGAAGTGAATACTTGTAGGTTTACGCCCTGGTAATTTGGGAGGTGGTATCGAGAATAAAGAATGGAGAAGTCCGCCGCGGAAGAAAACAGTCGCGGGTGGAAAAGGTGATGAGTGCTCAGTGCTGCTCACGAGCTGGGGAAAAGGTAACTTACAATAGGAAGAGAACCCATGAACCAGATACCAGCTACGGAGGCAACACGGAAGAAGTTTATCATGTTGGCCATTGTCTCACGGTTGGCCGACATATCCTGCTGGGAGAACTATACCTGACAACGTTAGGTCTGTAGTCAGAACAAGCGAATAAGCCAATACTTACATGAAGTTGGACCTGCATAAGCAACGCAGAAGCGATGGGCAGAATATAATACGGGTCGACCGCGGTCAGGTCCGGCATCATCTCTAGCCCGCTCCACTTCATCTGCTCCAGGGGCGCCTGGCACAGATTCCTCGTCCCAAAGAACAACCCTAGCTGGAGCGGTAGCTGAACGAACGGCATCGCAAGCATGGGGAACATGTTAACGTTGGCCTTCTCATACAGCTTTTTCTGCTTGACCGCAACCCTCTGCACGGCGAGAGGATCCTTGTTCGGTCCTGTCGACAAGGCCGTCAGCTCGTCGCGCAATTTGAGGAGCTCGGGTTGGTGAGGTGCAAGACGAGCTGAATTTTGTTGTGAGGTGATGAATAGAGGAAGAATGAGAATACGTGTGACGGCAGTGCCAGCGACGATGGTCCAGAACCATGGTAGGTGAAAGGTGACGTTTAGAGATTCGTAAAGCCAATAGCAAAACCCGGTGGGCCACCAGGAAGAGAAACCAAGTGCGGCGAGGTCGCCATGTTGGAGGGGGGTCAAGGCAGATGTAAGGGTGTCGATGGAAGACGCATCGGAAAGAATGGAGGGATCGGTGATTGGGGATGAGGAAGTCAATGTCTCGGAGAGGGATTCTGATGGTGGGACTGCATCGATCGCTACAGAAGATACGGGTTCGAGCTCTGTCGGCTGGGACACGGATTCAGGTACTGGTGCTGCCGCTGGTGGAGGTGTGGGTTTTGATGAGGAGAATCCCCAGATATTACGGGACGTGATGGGTGTAAGCACGAGTCCATGGACTGGAAGTTTCCTGACGCGCTTCGGAGCGTTAGTACGGACTAGTCATAGTGCACATCCTCACTTGACCTGGCCAACAACTTTGGTACAATGATGGTCATCCCCAAAGGCCAACTTGCTCGTCCCGAGTCTACCTAGCCTGACAGTTCCAAACCACGAACGATTGGCCTGACCTCCAATTTGACCGGACATTGGCCATAACCACCATTGTAGACGTCTTGGCCAGATGAAGTGAATGATACTCCTACGAACGACATACCTGTGTACCGAGCGTCGAAATTAATCGCGCTCGAGGGCTCACGAAGAGACGTGGTGCGGCCCTGTTCACGGAATCATCGCGTTTTAGACTAGTTAGGACAGAGAGCAAAATGCCACGCACCTGTGACCCAATATACGTGTCGTCCCCAGCATTCTTGGAGGCGATAATGTAAAAGACTTTTGGGAGGAGGAAGCGTTTATTTCAACTGACGAAACTCGAAAGAAATTCGGCTCTGACCGGCGTTTGCCGGGAGATTTATGTGGCGACCTGCGCCACACCTCTCCTTCTTTTCAACGTTCATGCCCGCCTGCAGCCAGCAGGTGTTCAGGACTCGTTGCGCTCCTCGTCCTGATCTCTTCAGGGTCTTATTGCAGATAGGAATATACATCTTACTAGACCTGCGTGGCTTACAATGTCTACCGTTGGAGGTCACAGGTACAGGTGAGTATCGCCTACTCCTCCACACTGTTGATACCCACCGTTCATGACTTTCCGGTCACAGAGGACATCGAGCCGAATCATTTGTTGCAGATGTCGATGAATTGATAGAGGTCCGGGCGCGACAGCGCACATTCAACGGGGCATACTCCCGTACAGCGTTAGGCAATCTGGGCTACTCCCTGGCAATTCTCAAGCTCTTTGATAGAAGGTTTTATCGCAGTGCGTATGGTCTCTCTATCCCCTTCCTCATAGATATATACTCATGCAATTCAACCATCCGAATGTGTTCAGTCGGCCTTCTTTACGCCGTCCTCGCCGCGCTTCTCTTCGTCTGTTCTTTCCTCCGCTCACGCCACTCCCAGCACGATTTTGCCGACAAATACAAGCCCTCTTCCAATGACTGTTGTGATGACGCTAAGACGCAGGAAAGGTTAAGAGCGCTCAGAGTTATTAAGACGAAGGGACAAGAGAACGAACGGAACTTTGGGCGACCCTTCGTGACGGCGGGATGGATCGTGGTGGCGGTTACGGGCGTGGTGGCGGCAGTGGAGATTGCTTTGGTAGTGTTGATTTTGAAGTATTGAAGATGTTTTTTTTCGGGCTGGAATACGGGCGAGATGGCTGGGGGAAGCCGTGTTCATAGAGTACGTCTGCGCTTATGTTCAATGTTGTCATTTATACTCCTTACTTACCTGCAATGCTCGTCGTCTAGTCTTATCCAGGAGAACCTATTTTATTTGCCACTGCGAGGTTATTGCGCTAAAATTCTCATAATCCTGATTTTCAGCACCCATCCCTCTCTAAACGATATCTGCGAAGTTGCCCTCCGTGTGTGGCAATTTCAGTGGCCCATGCGAGGTACTCTGCACCGCACCGTCCAGTTCTTTCTTCTCCTCGGTCTATGATAGTAGGGTGGGGTTTACGGAGCGGTCTGCACGTTGGAAAGTCTGCTGCGTGTCTCGTTATTCTCACGCTCGCCACACACCCGTTGTAAATATCAGCATACCCAAGAGTAAACAGGAGCGGACGCTTCCATCTGGCTCCATGACCAGCTGCCTTTATTCACCCGGGGCAACAAGAACGGTCTACTTCAGACTGCTAGCGTTACACGCATACAAAGAATTTGGAACATGAGTAGACAATTCTCCACCGAGGCAAAAGTCCTTCCGTTTGCTAACTTGCCCTTTTCGGGCCCGACCCAACATCCCTAAATCATACTGCACTACTCTCAGACCCCGTAGACCTCCTTTCGGTTGACGATACCCCACCAGGACCATGTCGCGATGCGTCGTCAACATCAGGTTCGTAGTAGTCGCGCGCTATAGACAGCACATCTTTGACCTGTTGTACCAGGTTATCCAGGTTGATTGGGATTTTTTTTAGGTCAAAAATGGAAGGTGAGGCATCCGAGGTGTTACTCGACGCTTCAATTGTTTCTGCGATGTGCATAATGTTCTTCGACCACATGCCCCGCACGGTGCTCTTCTTCCATTTCCACAAATCATGCTCCTCACGCACAGTGTCCAGCATATTTGGACTGAGAGAGCGGGACCGAACGATATAGACAGCCCACCGTAAACACTGTGCTATCGCGACTCGAGAGGACTGGTTGGTTGACCACAGAGCATCATGGTGAGACGTGAAGCCTGTGATGATGGACAATAAGAGCAAGAAGAGTCGGTCATTGTACATAAATAATTCCGCACCACGTTCTAACGTGTCTGGGTGGTTTAATACGCGGGGGTATTCGTCAAAGAACCCCAACACGGGATGATAGAGCATGCAGTACAATGCTTCCATGACAGGGATACCGGAGAACATGATCTCTTGTCGCAACGCACGGTTCGCATCCAGATCATCATCATCAATCTGGAGTTGTTTGTCTAGAATCAGCAATATTTTGAGATGCCGGTTAAAATCTCGAAAAGGCGCCATCAGATATGTTCCTATTATGCTTCTGGACAAGCTCGCACGGGAGTTCATGATCGAATATATGTACCGAAAGAAAGCCCACAGCTGAGGGCCATCTCGAGGATCCAAGCCATCTATCAAGTTCTGGTATCCCTTTGACAGCACATCCGATTGCTGGTAAGAACTGATAACTTGCCTCACCCTGTCACGAGTCTTTTGACTCCACCAAAACAGTCCAGAGACTGCACTAGCGATACATAGAGCATGGAGAGTGGCGCACAAGGCGGAGACATTGCGGTTGTTGAACAAGTCTTTATGTTTTTCGAGCATAGTTATCGCTAGCTCAACACGCGATTTGGACTCGGCGGGAGACTCTGAGTCAGAGGGCTCCCACAGAGTATCGAAGTCCTTTGCAAGTTCCCAAGAGTGCTTGTGCGACAACAACCTTGTCAGTCCTCGTGAGATCCGCTCAATCTTCTTGCAGAGTTTGTGTTCGTCCTTGGCTTGAGTAACCGACGAAGCGAAGACATCGTCAACAGTTGATGCCCAATGGCTGATAACACCCCTCACTACATCGTGACTGGCATGAGGACTACGTATACTCTGGAGAGTGTTTAGTATTGTGGTCATGGTTTGATCATATCCACCAAATGATTGATAAACAATGCTAGTAACAGAGGGTCTCGTTGTAGTCCGCAATAAAGACCGCATTGCTTCCACGGTGAAATGAGAAATCTCGGCTTTATTATCTTGAACAAGGGAAATCTCCTGCGCCTTCAATTTTTTCACATTGAACGCTGTCCAGTCTAGTTCATCGAGTGAGAGCCTGATATGAGTCATAGTGTCCATCCCACACAACCCACGAAATTTAATAAGGCACCACAGTATAGATACAGATGCCAGTGATCGCGTATTTTTGGCGAGAGCAGATGTGGCATAGATATAGTCGGAGAGAGGGGTGCGGTACGAGCAATTCACGAAAAACACAGGCAATATCGTGGAAACGACATATGCCACATATGTCATTCCTGCCACAAGGACCATTATCACGCCGATTGTTTCGTCCAGGGGATTTAGGAAGATTACAAGGCCTATGAAGAAGAGCAACAATGCGGCGTGCAAAAGAAAAGGCAAGAAACCGACAATGTCGCGCACATGCCACTGTTTAATGCCCAAAAAGCGCATCTGTCGGAGAAGGGCACGCTCTCTGGGAGGTCCCGAGATGGTGGATGCATAGTTTTGTGCCCATTGCTTCACCAAGATGCAGAAAAGTGCTGTAGATAGGCTGAGGGCGAGACTTGTGAACCAGAATCCGTTCACGGCTCGATCGATGGCACTAGCCGGAGCGGACTGGGTAGAAGCATTTAACGCGGACGCAGGAACAACGCTCGGAGACAGGCCTTGAGCAGCAGCGCGCTGCAGTGCTACTAACTCGGTGAGAAGCGAGGCAGTCGTCTGCGTATAATCGACCTGTAAAGACTGAGACGTCTGAGCCACAAAGGTCGTCACGACGGCGGAAAAGAGACCGGCCTACGACCATCAGGTGGTTCAGTGACAGTGATCATGGATGAATGAATTACACATACGAAGACAAGAAGGGTGTCTACTGTGTCTTTCCATTCATCGACCATCTCGCGATCGTATATCTCCGCTTCGTCGAGGTATACTCTCCAGACACGGGCGTTCATTCCAGTTTCATCACCGAGTGTGTCTGGCTCGTATTTCGCCTCGTAATCGTCGTTGACAGGCACTACATGTAGGCAACTTGAGCATCAAAGATAGGTATTCAAACAGGCGTGCGTACCGTAATTGGTGACATTCTGGAGAGGTTCGGGTAATGATTGTTGATTGACTTGCCCATCGCCGCCTGTTGCGCCTTTTCCAAAAGACTGAGAGGAAGTGTGCTCCACGGGAGCATGTCCTAAGGCATTAGGCGCTTCAGCGGCTGTAGTGGCACCAACGTGGGCAGGACTCGGAACAGTAGATCCAGCCTTCGACTGCGGGCCTTCGTAAGATCCAGATACGTTCGTGACATGCGCGCCAATGATATCAGTGCTGATAGCAGCTCGGTGACCATGAGATGAACGGTCAACTTGGCCGTCTGCAGTCTCGAGCCTAACATCTTCGTTCGTAGCAATTGGATCGATGTTATCGTTGCTAGGTACGACGGCCTTCTCGAAGTGTGGATCATTTGTATCAGTACGACTATATGAAGGTCTATGCTCATGCTCATGCTCAGGGGAAGCAGGAGGAAGCCTATGGAGCTCGATCTCAGAGTGATTCGTTGCCCTCTCTAAAGGGCTGTCTACGCTTGTAGACGGCGAAGATGGAGCCATGGTTGAGTACGCCCTAAAAACGATACGGGGTGGGTAAGTACTGGGTTAGTTAAGAACGCGACGATGTGAAGAGTATGAGAAGAGGGGCGTCTGTGCGAGTCAACGTCCCCCCATCCGTGTATATATGTCAAGTCCCTGCACAGCATACCTTCAGGAGTCTGCATGGAAAGCCTCCACCATCAAGCATGTCTCTGGAAACATTCTGAACTGTCAAGCTTGCGAGACAGACATGAGCATTGCACGCCATGCATATGTCCATTTGAGGATATCTATACCCTTCGGGGTCAAGCCAGCAATTTACCTGCAGGCTTGACACAATACGATCTGTAGTACTATTTTTGTTTCGGGAAGATTCTGTGGTAGTGAAAGGTCACCTGGTGTTCATCTCCGTTTGGTTGATATAGTTAACATCGACCACTCTATCGAAGTTTAACTCTCTCCTGGAGACCGTGTTACGATTTCGATCACATGAATAAAAATTTCGTAAGTCGACTGAAATAAGGAAATCCGAAGGTGAGGTCAGGTGTATTTTTGTATCTGGAGAGCGCGGAGAGATACCATGCCTCATATGAGCACCTCATATCTGTTCTGTTCACTGTCACCCTATCATATTGCGTTATCCAAAAGTACAAGAACCTACGAACATACTCCGTGGTAGCAGAGCAAAGAAACCACTTCCATAACAATATAAGCGAACTTTGTTCCTGAAGAGGTAAGCTACCATCCACCTCCCTATTTGTTTGAAGAGACTCACCTTACAGTAATGTGATCGTGCCCCAAGTCTATCCTACCACCCATCAGAGTCGTGCCCGCTCCACATTCTCCACATAGGCACATCCACTACCAGGTTTAAGAAGAGTGTCGCACGAGGACGGCTCATCGTGATAGGAGAGACACCTGGTTCGACGCTTGAGCTGCTTTGATCGCCCACAGCATGTCCCACGGCTCTAACGCTCCTCTCCGGCACCTCCTTGGAGAAGATATCCCGGTCGAGAAAATAAATCGCGCATTTTGTAAAGTGTATCGCATGTCTGCATTTTGCCTTGGTGCCAGAAGGCCGAGGAATTTTGTGTACTGCGGGAGCTGCAGTATGGAAAGATCCCGGATTGTAAGCTTCGGCAACGAGCGCCTCGTATAATTGTTAGACCTTGAATGCGTACAGACACCAGAAATCGGATGTACCAGTACATCGATGGCGTCAACACGGGTAACACTGACAGAGCGAGGGGCGTGAGACGCCTCGTCGACGAGCTGGAGACCATCAATCTCGATCGCGACATGAAGCTCAATAGCATCGTTTCCAGGAATGATAACCTCTTCTAGACGAGCTGCGTCACTGTGAGAGTGGTGCTCTGAAGCTTTGAGCCCATGCTCGCAGAAGGCCCCGTTATCAACCTCAGTATCGGAACGACGAGCCTGAAGCTCGGTTTCACTGGCAGAGAGAGATACGCTTTTGAAAGCACTGTCTGAGGTGTTCTGTAGGTGTGGTAGAGTCATTAGAAAACCCAAGTTGACCTAGAAAATGAAGGATAAGTAGTCGAAGTCCGCAGTGGTAGCCTACCAAAGAAAAGAGAGCTGCGCTCAGGCGCGGGAAGTGCCGACGCGCCTTGCCTTTCTATAGGTGAGCACAAAAAGTGCCCCAAGTCATTGCCAGTTTCCTTCCGAACTTGAATCTGCCTTCATACAGATCTCGCAAATACACTTCAATATTACCTGCTCCCTTACGCTTTCCCTATCTTGCCTTGGTGTGCGACTCACTTCGATTCTCGAATATGCATGGAAAGGCGAACTAGTACTAACAACCTCGTTTGGAAGGAAACACAAAGATGGACATTCTCACATATCATCTTCATCACCGAGCCCTAAAGTCACCTCCCATCCTCTCCCATCTCATTTTCTAGCAGTTCCGATAGACAATACGGTCAGAAATATCCCTCCGACACATCTAACTTCCGGTGTACATCTTTCTGAGCGATGATACCCATCGCTGAGACATAGCTGTACCAGTACTAGAAGGCATAAAATAATCATAGCTGATGCAATCCACCGCCTCAGCAGAGCGTATCAGATCTTCATAGTCGATTTGAGACTCGCTTGGATCATTAACGGAAGACAGGTTATCGGAGCGATGAGCGATGATTGTTTGGACGACGGGCATGATGTTTTTTGGCCACATGGCCCGTATTGTACTATGCTCCCATCCCCATAAATTGTACTCATTAATATGTTCAGTGTCTAACATATCTGAGGTAGGAGGATCAGAATCATGCATCAGAATGGTCTGGCAAATCCACAACAAGCATAATCCCAATGCATCACGAGCCGATTTACTGGCTGACCATTCTGGATGCCTAGTCGCGAAACCGGTGATGATAGACAACAATAGCAAGTAGAACCTGCTGAAGAAGATAGACCTCTCAAGAATGCCTGACCCTTCCCTAGCTTCGTTAGATATTCCGAGTTCTCTGATAAACACCAAGTCGGGAGAGTAGAGCATACAGTATAAGACGGTCATGACAGCGACTGCAGGCATATGCGGTTCATGGTATGCATCATCAGTGGTGAAGACCAGCATAGTGAAGGGCCTCCGATAGAGGTATTTACCGAGAAGAATTAGTATCTTGAGGCGACTCTCGAAATCCTGCAAGGGCCGCAGCAAGTACAATGTTTCTCTATATCCAGCTGTGTCGTTCAAATTGTTCGTAAGATCAACTCGGTGGAGCACCAAATCCGTGATCAATGCGACATAACGTAGGAAAGGCCAAAGATGAGGGCCATTTTCGGTATTTAACCTGTTGAACAGCTCGTGATATGTCTCTATTAATGTGTCTCTGGACTTCACAAAAACTTCCTTCGGACTGTGCATAAGTGAATAGATATACAGAGCATGAAGAGCGGAGCAGACTGAGGATAACTGGTGATCGTCAAGAGACCCTGGATGATTCTTCAGCAGGGTTATGGCTTGCTCGACCCGCGAGGGCTGCTCTGGTGGTCCAGGCACTCCACAAATGAAATCAAGTGCAAAAGGGAGCATCCTCTTGGGGGCTCGCACGTGCGACCAAAACTTCGTTAGTGCCCGTGACATCCTCTCCAGATGAAGGACCTTCAAATGCAAGATCCGCTCACCCTCAGTCCCAGGATGAGAGACCCATGCCAAAACATCGTCAACAGCTGATGCCCAGTCGCTGGTGATGTCCCACTGCTCATCCTCCCAGCTGAGAACTGCCATGTCTGCCATAGTCGTTTGGTCGAACCCAGCAAGGGACTGGCGGACAATGCTTATGGCAGAGGGTCTTGTTGTGGTCTCCAATAAACACTGCGTCGCGGTCGTGGTTAGATGCGAGACCTCGGCAGGGTCATGGATTAGGCGTATATCCTGTCCCTTCAAAGTCATCATGGAGGATGTTCCATCTCTCATGCGGAAATACTGCCAAGGTTTAGCATTTAGATGGCATACAAAACCAATGTAGCGGTAGCACCACATGATCAATCTCCACATTCCTCTGACAATTTGTCGAGTAAACGCCACGGAAGCGTAAATATAATGAGACAACGGCGTTCGATATGGACAATCAAGACAGATTGCAGCCAGGAAAGTGGAGATAGCATAGGCTGTATATGTCAGACCAGCCACAAATATTATAGCCGAACAGATCGCCACGTCCAGGGGGAACAGAAAGGTGGCAAGGCCAATGAAGAAAAGCAGCAGCGAAACATGGAGTAGAAGGGGCAGGACCCCTACGATATCACGGACACACCACTTATTCACTCCGGCAAAGCGCATCTGTCGAAGGAAGGCGCGCTCTTTAGGAGTTCCAGATATCGTAGAGGTATAGTTCTGAGACCACTGTTTGACCAGGATGCAGATTAGAGCCGTGGAGAGGCTTAGTGCAAGACTCGCGAACCAGAAGCCGTTAATGATGCGATCGGATTGAGCAGAACTGAACGGCGTAGTGGCGTTCAAAGGCGACGCTGGAACAGAGTCAGGAGAAAGGCCTTGAGCAGCGGCGCGCTGCAGCGCGACAAGCTCGGTGAGAAGCGAAGCGGTCGTCTGTGTGTAGTCGGCCTGCAAAGATTGAGACGTTTGGGCTACGAAGGTCGTCACAACGGCGGAGAATATACCGGCCTACGACCATTATTATGTCAGTGTATGCGGCTTCTGACGAACAAAAATAACTAAAGTGAACTCACAAAGACAAGAAGCACGTCGACTGTGTCTTTCCACTGCTCGGTCATCTCGGAGTCGTAAGCTTCTGCCTCGTCGAGATATACTCTCCAGACACGAGCATTGGAGCCGACTTCCTCACCCCATGGATCTGGCTCGTACTTCGCCTCGTAGTCATCTCCTACACACATCAATAAGCGTACGCACGGATGGTTTCCGTGGGAGTATTCGGAGAGACACGTACCATAACCGCCGGTATTCCGATGGAGTCCAAAAAACGGCTCTTTGGATTGTCTCTTGGGCTCGGCGGTACCGTTAGTCGGGGCCATCCTAGAAGGATGAGACGTGCTGTGGAGTTGCACAGGGGTTGTAGTGGAGACATTTCCTACATCATATGTCCCTTCGCCGTTATTGGAGGCGACGGCGGCAGGGTCAACATTCGAACCCGCTCTAGATGACGATCGCCTTGTGACATTATCCAGCTTAGAATTTAGAGGCACATAGACTCCCAAACTCGGGTGTGCATCGTGTGCATCAGCGTAGGTAACAGAGCGAGGGGTATGCAACACCTCGTCAACTCCAGACTCGGGTTTCCCAGCCTCGACGATATCGTGCCCACTCGCAGCAGTACGCTCGACGACATGATTTCCGTGAACAATTATCTGTTCCAGCCGAATTTTATCAGAAAGCCCAGTATCGGACATGACATCCCTCTCAGGATGTTGGTCTGAGGGCCCGTGCTCGGTTTCGGGAGCCTGAAGGCGAGAAGAACGAGCATGTAGCTCGATTCCGCTCGACGCGCTGTTCGAGAGATCAGTGTCTCTAAGGGAGCCGGTACAGTCATGATAAGATGTGGGTCGACCTGAAGAACGAGGAGCCGAGAGACGAAGAGGACGAGATATAAGGACAAGGAGAAGACGCAGTAGGAGGAGTCGTAGTGGGGATGTATCGCCTCGGGCAGCCTCCAGAGCAATTGCACACTACTTCGGACTCCGCTGGTCAGAGCCATGGTGTGGGAACCAACTTGAAACGCAAAATGGTGTGGCGTGGTGTGGCGTCTCCCACTTCTCCCACATCCGAGTCATTCATGCAACCCTCCCCCGTTCACAACAAAATTCTCCCTTAAGCACATCTTACCTTCATAAACACAAGCAGCTGAAATCCAACACAAGTTCGCTCATTCATCCACGAATACAAGCTGCAGGAAGAGTCAACCGGCTTCTTTCCCTCGTCCAACCACGTTCCGCTACACTACATCAGAACAGACAAATTTATGAACATCACGCATCGAACAGAGAAGAGATCCAGAGGAGATACGAGGGAACCTAGTGCTAAGTGCTCCTCAGGGTATATTACTCGACTTCAAGGGTAGGGTGTGATATGGTAGAGGTGGAGGTAATGACAGGCGCCGGCGGTATGTACGCAAGGACGGACACAGACAATGTTAAATAGGTAGACGACCAGAAGCGAATGTGGGGGGTGAAGGAGCACTAAGTGGTAGGGGCTCGCTCGGAGGTAGAAACAAACAAACAGAGTACGAGGATGGCCACATTGGAGTAAATAAGTGAAGATTGAAGAAGACAATAAACGACGCCACAAGAACAAGCGTAAGACGCGGTAGTAGCCTACGCTCGTTCGATGAACCGATTCGATAATGCAACATAGGAAAAGATCCGCAACACAACATTCAACCCGATGAAGCGACTAAAATATGCAAAGTCCGCTAACTATGTATACCCCTTAGAGCAAGAGGGTAACGGCACCGAAGGCCAACGCTCCCAACATCGACCCAGCGACAACGACCTGTCCAACCTGAGCCCTCGCGCTAGCAGCGCTGTCCAACAACCCGCTGCTGATAGATCCACCGGCAGCGACAACGGAGCCGCTAAGGAAAGTCGAGCCGCAAGTGGTCTGGATACCGTTGTAGAGGGCGGTCTGGCCGGAAAGCATGGGCGAGTTGGCGAGACCTGGGGCGTAGGCGACAGACGACTCGAAGTTCATGTATGCGGTCATAATCTCCTGCGTGCACGTGGTGCAAAGTTGCTCGCTGGTGAGGCCGGCGGTGAGGTAGAGGAAGAGGAGGTTGTCGGAGCTGTACGTCGTCACGTTTGGAACGAACGCGACCTGGTCGTCCCTCTTGCTTGACAACGATACGCTCGAATACAGGCTGTCTCCGCTGCTGCTGCTACCGGCGAGACGAACAGTTGACGCGGCGGAAGAAGTCGTGTTTAGGGTGCTGACGCAGTACCTGCCACTGTCATCCTTGGAGCAGATGGCCTCCTTGAAGGGGATGAGAGAGTAGAGGACATCGTAGGTGCGGATGACGTCCGAGTTGACGGAGGATGTGAGCTCTGCGGTGCAGTTCCCGTAGAAGGATGCGAGGAGGCCGCGAACGGTGGATTGATCGCAGGACGTGGTGCTACTGCAAACGTTGTTGAGCGCAGAAGAGATGGTAGATGCGGAGGCAGTGCCGGTGGAGTTTCCGGAAGGACCGAAGTCGGCGGTGGCATTCACAAGTGGGCTGGCGCAAGAGGCGAGAGCAGTGTCGGTATCGAGCGAAGTGAGGAATGAGGAGCAGGTGGAGGAGATGCCGCTGGGGATAAGCGGGTTGGCCTGGGACATAGAAGGTCAGTATGAAAGTTTCAAGATATCGTCCGACCTGAACTGAAAAGACTGTTGCACAATGCATCGGACAAGCCAAAATAAAAAGACCAAGACGCGAGATAGCTAGGCTCGCATGGAAGAAGACCTAACCGGAGTGCGACCTGAAAACGGGCATGGTAGGCCGTTCTATGCCCGACAAGACAGTTTCGAGTACGCAACCCTCGACATGACAGTGAATAAGGAGCGATAGGATATGTCCATCAAGGCCTCCGATCAAGGCTAGGCTCCATGCCATGGTGCACAAAGATGTAGAGTAAGTAGAGTGAAGCCGTGCGGGTCGTTGTTTCTGAATTGGCTTTGAACGTTCAAACCAGACTTGTCTCACCAACGAGCAATCCGCACAACGTTAGGAGGTAACATGGAGAGGAAGGATCTGGAGTATCTTCGAGTCAAATTCTAGAAAGATACAAATCGTCGAGGAGTAAACCATCCTGGGCGTCGCACCAGAGAGATTGGGCAGCGCTTGTCAACTCCTCGCTTTGACTCGGTTTTATACCACCGACTCACAGCACCGCAATCCCAAGACTCTCTTCACTCTCAACGTCACCTGCTGCGCTCTCAACTGCGCTGCCCTCAAAAAGACCACGACCCCACAAAAAATTCGAAATACTCACCGCGAGGACGGCGGTGGCCATGAGCGAGACTACTGCGACGGACTTCATATCTCACGAGCTTGAACGGAGGACTGGGGGTGAGCTGAATGAGCGACTAGGGTAGGGAGCAGAACAAAGCTGACGACGACGACGAAGAGAGTCCGAGCGCGACAGTGAAGGCGATGGGCAGCGGGTAAAAGTCAATCGCGGGAATGGCCCAGAAGCCTGGCAACCAAAATCAAACACCCCACGTGGCTTTCCTTGGCTCGTTCGTCTTGGCGCACGAAGAGTGGCGACAAATCATTTTTGTGTGGCCCAGAATGTTCATCCAAGGTATGGAGTGGGTTGAAAGAGTGACAACAGACTAAACGATGTTGGAGGAGAGTTCCCGAAAAAATATGTTGTGTCAATGAGCAAGTCACCACGGGCACTTGAAAGTTGAAGGATGCTGAAGTTGAAGCTCCGATATATACATGCCGGTCTCTCCCGCGCCTCTTCCAGGACTCGGACATTTACGATCCCATCATCTTTGCGTCTGACAGTCTTGTAAGTGTCCATTCTCCCCAAGTCACGACTTCAAAGGCACTCGATCATTTACATTCGATATACAAGTACATACAACGCATAAATCCCAAAACAGAGCGTAGAAAAATAGCGGCATCAAGAAGTTCACCCAAAGTTCACCCCACAGGCTGAGAATGCCGTCAGCTCACATTAACGCTGGATTTATCTCGAGAAGAAGTACGTACCCTATCCCGCCTGTTGTTTGCATTGACGTCTCTCTTGTGCTTGATACAGAAAATTAGGTTAACAGCCAGCCTTATCCGGAGCGCTAGCGATACTAGTACTCAGCCGATGCTTACACATATTGCCCTAATCTTGGCCCTGGGTCCAGTCATCACTGTCGCCATCTACACTATCCTCAGCGCGCTATGGACTGTTATGAGACCTGGGCGGATGCTTTTTCAAACAGGAGACACACCTTTTGCCCGCTGGATGAAGTCCAGTCGTCGCTATCGCCATCCACGCTATCCTCAGCGCGCTACAATTTGGCATGAGACTCGAAACGTTGCGCATGTTATCAGGGACAGACTTTTTTTCCGCTGGACGAAGTCCAGTCGTCGCTGTCCCCATCCACGATATCCTCAGCGCGCTATAGACTAGCATGAGACTCGAGACGTGGCGCATATTCAAACAGGAGACACACCTTTTGCTCGGTGGACGAACTCCAGTCATTGCTGTCGCCATCAACTTCATCCTCAGCGCGCTGAATTTCCCTTGAGTATCATAATCGGGTTGCCTGTCGGTAATGGACAACATACCTTTCTCTGGGTACATTCCCAATCATAATTGTCATCATCGACGCCATCGTCGCGCTAGAGTCATAATGCAGAAGGGGCTGAGAAACTTGCTATGTACGCAACGAGTTCGAGATTACCTTGCCCGAGCTGGCTTGCCAGCAGCTATTATCCTCGTCGATGCTATCAGTGCGCTAAACATTGACCATGAGCTATCAAACCGTGTACTGCACGACGAAACGGACGAAGTGGTAGCCTACCTTCATCGCCAAGGTCGGAGCGGCAGCAACTGAGGCGACCCACACCAAGGCAGACACGGCGAAGATGGCGAGAAGTTTCATGATGTTGAAGTTATCAGGCGAAAGAGATGAGCGGGGTCAGATGTGGTAGGCTTCCTTAACTTATTTCCTCTCTTCTTGCTCTATGTCTTTTATACTCGCTTCGCCCCTCCTATCAGCTGCCAAAACTGATATTTGTTCCTATTAATGCGCCCTAGACCACTCCGCATGCTCGCCCACCTCGCCCAACAAACTTTCATGAGCAGGTGCTCTCCAAAGTTTCACACCTCCGCGTTCTACATTCGAATGAGAGAGGACAATTGCTTTTATCGTCTCAATTCTACTTGGTAGTCTCCCAGACCCCCCAAACTGATCACTGCCACGTCCCCATTCCGATGAGTTCTATAGAACTTACGCTCCTTGTCCTCAGAGATTCGCCTGGAGAGAGTCATATCCTGTGCTTCATGCCGAGAAGAACACCGCCAGTAGAGCAGTAACAGCTCGAATAATCTCACAAATCTTCTTCACCTGTACCATTGATCAACTCATCATTCCTAGGTGCACATCCCACTGCCTCATATACCGTAACACATGATCTGCCAAGAGATCTACCTGATGTCTGTGAGGGATATCCGACTCAGAATCCTGTGGCGAATGCTGATCTTCACGCAATAGCTCACCTAGCGGATTCGCCTGACCATCTGTGATATAACTTCACAAATCGTCTTAGGGGAAGACCATACTCTTTTGAAACTCGTTTGGGGTGATCTCGTACTCAGGAAGGTCGTATGTATGCATGCCACTGCACACTTGGTAGCAGACAATCCTCGTGTGTCCGTCAACCGTCTTAAGTACGACGACTCATTACTGGCCTAGGACATTCCATCTCGAACAACTACCTTGAGACAACCTCTCGAATGCTGACTGACAGATGTGAGTCGCAAGACATACAGTTATGGGAAACATCATGGAAACTTCCCGCAACTGACTTAGATATCATCGTTCAGGGGTTTCCGGCGCTACGCCACCCCGTATATACCTGCTTCCTCCGGGAAATGAACTGCTCTGTTGGTATACACGCTCATCCTCAGCAGACGCCGTTGGTCGCGGAGGTGTCTCAGGCCGTGGTATTCCTGTACGTTCTAGCAACCAAAGGCCCGCGATGGTGAGCTGTCTCGCGGGGAAAGAATGAACGACTGTCTACGCCCGCTCTAATGTCATGAGCGTATTTCTTCTCAGAACAGTTATCACGAGTGTGATGATCCTCGTTACTGGCTCTTGTCTCTCTTTATGTCGCTGGCTCAGCTGTTCGTCTGCGTTGGCTTTCCTCTAGTGCATCTCTAGTCCTCCTTGACCACAGTTTCCTCGATCACTTGCAGGAGAACCCCCACATGCTCTCCTCAACAAACGATTCCGCAGACTACGAGCCTCTCAAGTCGTCTTACACAGACTTAGACGCTGAGTATGACACTTCGGATGTTGCTCCATCACAGACCATCAAACGTCCCCTTCGTCGTATTGTCATCATTCTCGCCATTGTCGTTCAAGTCGTCTTCGACTTCCTCGTTATCGCGAATGCAATATACGACACTGTACACAGTCATCGTGTTTCTCCATACCCTGTTGCACAGCATTTATATTGTAGGTATTCGCTCGCTTGTTTGCTCTACGACCTATTTTCGACGAGTACTCTGCTTCTGCTTTCATAGCTCCAGCGCAAGATGCTCTTGAATATCAAACATACAAATTTGACAGCGGTTTCGGCACGGGAAGTACGATCTATCAAGGCGAACCATCTGACTCGGTCGACCAGGCATGGGAGGACCTGTACAGTTGTAAGTTTTCAGTCTCACGAGTGATGACTGCCCTGATCACTGAACCAACGCTTTGGTGAATTATTCTATTCAGTCGGAATCTTAGAGGTTCCAAGATCACAAGCGGCCTTGATGGTCAACAATACTCGTCCAATACCTGGTAAAGAAGGCTACTATATCACCGAGCTTGACGTGTTTCACGAGCTTCATTGTCTGGTAGGTCCTACCTTCCAGCGCCGAACATATCTATTAGTCGTTGTTCAATATTTCTACTCGGACTAGAATGTGATCCGTCAGAAGCTCAGCCCGGAGTACTATGGTCAAAACATGACGAGACTACACAAGAGCCTCATGCGCCCCGACCATATCTCTCACTGTATCGATTCGTACGTTGAGATTTCGTGCACGACTACCACATGTCTCCAAGTATTCTGACTCTCGTGATTATCTTGTAGGATTCGACAGTCACTTATGTGCTCATCCGACATCAGCACCATCGTCTGGGTCTGGGAGGAGGATACACACACTGCGAAGCCATCGGGAACGGTCCTTCACTCGTGCAGAGACTTCGACAAACTCAGGGACTGGGCGAAAGAGCATCATATCAGTGTCCATTTCGACGACTCTGTGTATATGGAAGATGACTTGAGCATTCCTGTTATTCCTTGACATCTCGTGTCTTTGTATGGTTCTGGGAGACCGTCTAAGAAAGAATGTGATTGGTGTCACTCTACCTTCTGCATCATGTACGTCTGCACTCTCGATGTCCTCGATCCTCAATTCTTCTTATTGCGGTCATGAAGTCGAACATTGTCACTTTGAGTACGACTACACGCTTCGCATCCTTATATCGCAAAAAAAATCCCTATGAGTCGTCCACCTTCAGTCCGAAAAACAATTAAATAATAGCGGGGGTAAAACAAGAGCAACCTGAAAATTTCGGATCGTGAGGTCGGACAATAGCCGTAAATGTCCTTCGGGAGAACGGTCAACGCTGGCCCTGGGTAAATGATATTTAACTTGAGTCAATATCAGTGAGGCGTGACGCGCTTTAAGCACAAGACAGAGCTTGACGAGTGACTTTCAACAATCGTCAGATAGACTCACAATTCATGCAGAATAAATCCCGAGTGAATAGACACGTTGCGAGTATTCTCGATGCACCCTGGCAGCGAATCCACCTTCCAATCAGACTTAATACGCAATATTCAAGGAGAAGGGACTCACTGAGGAGGCCAACGATTCTCAACACCATTGTCGTCCTCAATTTCGTCGTCTTCCACCTGCCCCTGATCAACCGACGTGGTCACACCGTCCCACACCACATCTAGCCCCAACTCCCCGAACCATTTCACCACATTCTCCGAGACCGTACAGTTGTCCATTACGACATGCTGGAAAGACGGTCCTAAACGAAGGCGACGCCGGAAAAGATTGTATACCTTGACATCGAGTGACGCTCCTACTAAGTGCAATCTACGCAACTCTGGGAATAATGGCTTGTCCTCCCAACCATCTGTCGCGGAAGAGATGGGCTCCAACGCTCTGAGGAAATAATCCCCTTCGCGCGACACAAAGGTGACTTCTTCCACTTGCTTCAACGGGGCGAAGGCGTTTTGCCACCTCTTCGAGCTTTTCCAGGAGATGTTATCGAGACGTAGATGCCGTACATCCTGGAGCAGCTCGAGACACGCGTCGGAGAGGAGATCCTTATGCCCGCGGGTGATCAATTGAACTGATGTAGTAGAACGCTCATTGGAGGCCGACGAACCCGACTCCAGCTCGTAAATCATACCAAGGTTCTGGGACTTCGGATTATGTGTCGCGGGTGTAAGCCTGGCGAAGCAAATCGGCAGTAACATCCTGAGTGCCTCGAGTATGACGTGAAAGTCTCGACGTCCGGAGTACGCGCATTCGAAATGACCGTTGGTGAAAGACGGTAGGCGAAGGCTCTGGAGTAACCGTCCGATAATAGACGCCTGACCTCCGCGAACGATTATCGTGGACAAACGAACCAATGAGACGACAAATGGAGAAAGGGGAATGATCTGACTGTTTTTCTTCCTATTGTTAGGTAGGGAATTGCACAACTCTAGCGTCTCGAGATCTGGCGTTGTCTTGAGCAGATCGAGGAGAGAGGATATAATCGTGTGATCCTCGGTACCATCTCTCGGAAGATCCCAGAGTTGTGAAGAAATCTCCAGTCGGGTGAGGTTATGGAAGGGAAATGCGCTCCAAGGGATTGGTGATATACTGTGCAGAGACAGCTTGCGAAGAAGCGGGACAGACCGAGTGAAAAAGTGGCGGGGAGAATCGAATCCTAGGGTGCTGTCAATCACGATTCCAAATCCACTGCCTGGTTCCCTCATACCGGCAATACGAATTTCTTCCAGACTCGGTGCTGATTGGAGAAGGTCGTCAATAAACTTGTGGGCTCTCTCCTGTGCATTCGTCGTATAGCCAATGCTGATGCTGTAAACGCGATGTCGTATGCTCTCGATCGGCACTTCTGAGAGTGGCAGGACGTTTGGGCCTGGTGCGTGGTAGAGTTTGAGTGGAGCCGAGTTCGAGCGGCGAATGAATTCTTCCATGCATTCTCGGCCTAGGCGAAGAGGTATATTGGTCCATAGCAGTGGGGAGTGAAGAGCGAGGTCCCTCCAGAATCGACAGACATGAGTTATTTGGACCCAACCTAGATTTGACGAAGAAGGAGTATCGTGGGCAACACTCTCGAGGAATATGGTGATGAGGGTCTCGCTTGGCAGCTGAGCGATGGGAGACGGATCCGCTGGTAGTTGGTTCGACTCGTCCGCATTAGCTGAATGTTGGTTTAGATCAGAGACAGAGTCTGTTTCTGGTGAGAAGTCAGCGTGAGAGGTTTCGGAGAGGAGCACAATAGGTATTGCAGCAAACATACCTTCTGGGTCCTCCAAACCGTTTGAGTCCGAGTCTTCCCATCCGAGCAGGCTTGTCAATGGGACTACAGAAAACGGAGGACTTGGCGGCTGGTAAGTACCACGGATGGATTTCGTCAGTATCCTCCTTAACAAGCATTTCAAAAGCATTACACGAACCTCTTGAGGGATGAGATGCAGAGCAGACATTGACGAGGATGTTCGACGGCCAATTTCAACTTGAGGTTCGTGATGAATGATATGGCGTTCAGCGGCCAGTGGGCATTCAGGTCCGTCAGCAACTTTTCGCTGCACCTGGCTGATATTTTCACATATCACACACCTTATACTCTCTTCTGTCGAGGAAAGGATGAAAGCGACTCGGGGCGCCTTTCGTGCGTCTTTAAGCATACAGTACTCGGCCTTTACCGATCCCGCACAAACAAACTCACGCCACCCAATTCGCCACCCAATAAAAGATGCGAAGGACAGATATACCTCGTACATATCTACATGACCTATGTACACAGAGCATTCACAAGCATTCCACGACATATTCAGGGATTCAACTATAGGCAAAACGGGAAACAATAGATATGGCTAATAAAGGCGAGGTCCGAGTCAACGAAAAACCAATCAAGCCTCTCGAGCCATAACCACATCGTACAGCAACGCAAAGACCACAACGTAGATAGAGAGGAATGAGGATAAGAAAACATTAACTCACGAACGAGAACGAGTATAAAGGAAACAACAGTACGCGCCACACAGCCCGGAACGAATTAACGAGGAGAAAAGGAGCCATAGCCACAGTGACGGAACGCGATGAACATCAAAGCTGACACCCTCACTCCGTCCTCTGCCTCTTCCTAGCCTGCCCATCCTCACCGTCTGCACCATCCTCTGCCTCTTTCTCGTGCTCCGCATCGTCTTCCACCCTCTCCCTCTTCTCTCCCTCCACCACAGTACCCTGCTGGGACTTCCCCAGCATTTCCCTCAACATCGACAACTCCCCCATATCCTTAATTCTCGCCGTCCTCTCCTCGTCCCACATCTTCCTCACTTCCTCGAGCTGTGCCTGTAAATCACCCATCGCCTGATCCATGAGCAATTTCTCGAGCGTCCACTTCTCGATGTTTCGTGCTTCGTTCTCTTTGAGATGGTGGATGTACTGCACTGCGCGGGAGAGGATAGCGCCTTTAGCTTTCTCGCCGGAACCATTAGGCACGATACGGCCGAGCTCGTTGATTCCCTCGTTGATGTTGCCGCGGCGTCGGCGTTCTACTTCTTTCTGCTCGACCAAAACCAAATCGAAACGGTCAGCCAAATCATCGAAAGAGGATGAAGGAATATAAAAGAACGAACATGATTATCCTTCCTCTGTCTAGCCCACTCATCCGAGCCCATATTCGCAGCCCTACCTCTCTGCCTCGTCGGCGTACCCGTTGCCTGTGGTGTCCCTTGCGTCTGCTGCCCATTCCCCTCCTCGTCATCTTCTTCATCCTCCATCCTAGGAGGCATACCGCCCGCCGGAGGCGGCATCCCTCCGAGGTGTGGAGCCCCATTATTCGTGCCCATTGCGGTAGCCGCCAGAGCTCCAAGATGTCCCATCGGCGGGCCACTCGGATGTGAAGATGGACCTGGCTCAGTTAAATGCTGAGGCAACGTGTGATGGGTAGGTGCGTATGGATGAATGCCGACGCCTGGGGCGGAGAGAGGCATGGGAAAGGAGGTGGGCTGTGGTTGGGATGGACTTGTGGAGGTTGGCGTTTGTGACTGTTGTTGCTGCTGCTGTTGTTGTTGGGCGGACTGGATTGTCTGCGCTTGTGCGTGAGCCTGGGCGGCGAGTTGAGACATTGCGGAAAGGGTCTCGGCGGCGGAGGACATGGAGGGATCCTTTGTGCCGTTGCCATCCTGGATCTGATTTCATGTGGATTAAAGTCAGCCTTAATATAAACAAATAGATGCAAGAACAAAGGGACAAGAAACAAATGGACCATCAGCTAGAGATGAAGACGCCACAATCCTAGGCAGCTTGACCTCTGAAGTATCTTCCAATTACAGAGGTGAAAGAATGTGAGACATTTCCGAAAACTCATTCCTCGGGTACGCACTAGCAGCGACATCGATTGTACGTCAACTCACGACTATGACATGTTGAACATGTAACGCAGCTCGACGCCTCTTCCGCAGAAAAAGGGGTACCCAAACGAGACCGAATAAGAGTTCGTGCTATCAAGTCAACACATTCTCGATGGACATCTCGGATGTTCCACCGGTCAACGTACGCCGTCGATGGTGATACTACACAGCGCAATGCGACCAAATCCCAAACACTCTACACAACGACGACGAGACAATATTTGTCCGTTCGCCACGTTGTCCCCAACTTCAATCACGCCGACACACGTCGCCCGTGCAGCAGCCGTGACCGTCGGGCACCATCACGTGGAGGAGCGCGACGCAGCGCGATCATTGATCGTCTCGTCGCGACCTTCACCATCATCCTTCTGACCATCACCATACTCCCCCTCAACTCTCGAAAGCACACAAACACAAAAAGGAGCAACAAAGACCCACCTTTCCCAGCATCCCACCCAACCCCGGCAAGCTCCTCACGAGCAGCATGATCGAGTTCACATCCAAAGGTACGCCCGGGCTATGCTGCAACTGCGTTATAAGATCCGCCGTCGCAGCGGCAGCCTGTGAAGGACTCGTCGTCGCTCCAATACTCCCATTAGCTGTCGATGTCGTGGTTGGTCGAGCTGAAGCGGAGGAGGATGGTCCTATAGCGCTGATGGAGGAGGATGCACCAGGAGGGGCGCTCGCGGATGTGAGGGCCGGCTCGTGAGCTGGATTCGGCACTTGCGTCGTCGACATTATCGTCTACTGAATGATTACGATAGTGATACAAGGCTCTGCGAATTGTTGCTGATATTTATGCGAGATTAGCTGAGGCAGGGGCTAGAGGCGGGGGAGAGCGATCACGGGAGGGACGCGTGGGTCACGACGAGGGCGTGATTTTCGAGACAAGGTCAGGCTTTTTATGTCCCCCACGTGCGAGAGTCTCGGCCCGGAACCGGCATCATGGGACCCGCTGCTTGCATCGAGACTCCGACGTCCGAATAGTTGGTGGCCAATGAAAGGCCTTCATGTGGCGAAGGTGGGGAGACGGAGAAGGCCACAATCGATAATAAACGGGGCTACACTGGAGAGAACTGGTAGGCTGGATAGTAATACGAGGAAAGAAAGAGTAGCAAGTCGTAGCTGTACTGTAATGCGCACTGAAAACAGTCAGTGGAATGAGAAGACATAAAGCTGCAAAGGATCCTGTGGAACTGAGGACACTGGACGGTCTCGTAGACGAAGCTATAGCACATACACTGGATAGTTAGATAGATAGATTCGAATGCAGATCCTAGAGAAATAAAATGAGATAGGCAGCTATATCCTCTACTTTTAGGGATAAAGCAGTAATTAAGGTAGGAGCACAACATTACGATTCGTAAATCCGTTAAAAGATGGATAGATGTATGGAAGAGACAATATACTTAGGGTATGAAACGCGCTTATACACATATGGTGAGTTTGGGATGTGATAGGGATGTGACGGTCGGGGCCTAAAGCAAGTCGGCTCTCCTCAAGCTATCGCGCAGGATACCTTCCTCCACGGTCCTCAACGTCGCAGCCGTCGCACGCGTATCCTACGGCAAGTCATCAGCATAAACTCTACTCACACGAATGCAGAGGCAAACGCACGACGACCGTAGTCAAATGAACGTAGAACCTTCTCTGCTCTGGAGAGTTCTGCTTCGCAATTTCCTTGAAATGACTCTGGAAGTCTGTTGCGCCCCATGCGGTAAGTCAAAACGGATATAAGAGAAGGGCAAGACGATATATACGCACATTTCTTAACGGTCTCCACTGTATTCTCCCTATCTCCATAACTAGGCACATAGTCGCGAACCCTCACTCCAGCCTGCAACTTTCTCTCCAGCAGATCGCACTACGTAACCACCGTATCAATATCAACATCATACCATCACACAAGTTGACCACCATAAAGAAGAGGAAGCGAAGAGTTCAGGAAGAATGACGCACCTTATTTAAGAACAGGATAATCTGCGTTTTGCTCAACAGCTTCAACCCACAAAGTGTCTTCCAGAGCATATACGTATCCTCCAACCTATTCACCCTCCTATCCTCCGCCAGCCGTTCATCGAAACACGAGATCGGAGCGAGGAAGATGATAGCGTCCATATCGTCGAAGTAGGGGTACCAGATTGCGCGCTGTATCATATGATAAAAACAACGAGTCAATCAGTCACCAAAGATAGTGACCTCGAACGGAAAAGAAGAGCGTAGACGTACGGAAGACCTCGTCCCACCGACATCGTACATCAACCACTCATGACCTGCAGTACGGCCTTACGGCCGTGGTCAATAAACCAGCTTCTTCTTCGGCACCATAGATTATCATAGCAATGAAGAGAAAAGGCTCACCTTGCTCAATGGAGAAGCTGTATTCCTGGACGCCAACGGTACGTAGACGAGCTCTGATAACATCATCGTCCGAAGGCTCGTAATCCCTCTTCGTGATCCTCTCTATATCGTTCAAAAAGCTGCACACCAACAAAACCAATCAACAAACGTCCTCTGCCAACCAACCCGACTATAAACCGAGAAAGAGAAACTCACAACCCCGGCCCATTCTCCAACGTTATCTTCTTCCGCCTCAACATCTCCCTAACCACCCCATCCTCCCACAACGCCTTCATAGCCTCCCCACACCCCGCAAGCACCCCACTAACCTCCTCTTCCTTCCTCCTCGCCCTCTTCTCCAACGTCTCTTCCGCACTATCACCAGAACTCGACGGAGCCCAAGGCTTCAACTTCTCCAATGCGCTCTTCCAGCCATCCCGACTCCGGACGTAAAACTCCTGTGGTCTACGAGACGCACCAGCTGAGGCGGCGGCGGCGGCGGCGGACGCAGTAACAGGAACAGAAGAAAGAGGCGGAGGCGGCATAGGAAGCGCATCGTGTGGTTCCGAAGTACTCGTCGTAGGCTCCTCAGCCGCAGATCCCAACCGAGCCTCCAAATCCTGCTGCACGCCCTTCAACGGCGCAAGCCTCAACTTCAAAGTCCTATGCGCATCCGTCCACTGCAGAGGCCCGAGCAACAAAGGGCTCGTCGGCGGTGACGTTCTGGGCGGTGTAATGGCCCCCGCTGAATCGGAACCGGCGTGATGAACCTCCTCGATCCCAGCGGTCACTGTAATTCCCGGAAGATCGACGTTGCGGGTCGGGGGACTCCTCTGCCCCGTGCTCGTGGTCGTGGCTATAGTCGACGTGCTCGGTCTCGCATGTGAGAACGTCTGATGATTTGCGTGTGGGGAAGGTGGTGACGATCCGGAGCCGGATGAATTGGGTAGGGTGGTGGTGTTGGTGGGAGAAGGAGGGACGGTGGAGAGGGCATGTGAGAGGTGGTCGATGATGTTGTTTATGGACCGGAGGAGGTTGAGCTGGATGACGGCGCGCCAGGAGGAACGTTCGGCTAGCCAGGTTGTGCGGGCGTATTGCATTTGGAAGTCTGCATATGTGGGTTTGGATCAGAACGATGATATGACATTGGAAATGAATTGGTGGTTAGTAAAATTATCGGTAGAAGGTGAGAAGATTATGAAGAGGAATTATTGGATCACAAGTTCCTGTTTTGAGCTGTGAAAGACCCCATGGCTGAGGTAGCTTCAGAGGAACAAGATGTAGACAAGAAGACTGTGGCGTTCGAAGCTGTTCTAGCAGGATCTCAGGCTCTTGTCCGTTGCACCGTGGGATGAAAGACGATGAACGAAACTAGAAGCGAGCTGCTCCGCCACGGTAACAATCTCCCGGGTGCAGAAGTGCTGCCAATCATCCAGGACGCATGAAACGAAGCTAACTGCGTAGTAGTGCGGGACAATAATGGAGCGATGCTATGGACATGGACGTCTTGCTATCCACCATCTCAAAATTACGTCACCGAAGTCCTTCCAGACATGATCAAACAGGGAAGCACTGAGACAAATCGGCCTCTAATGGAAGGACCGTGAAGGGAAGCAAAGATGATCATGTTCAAACGACGCTAAATGCCATGTAGCCCGTCCGTGTGGGATGAAACTCCCTGTAGCGGGCCGCTTAAGACCCCATATCCGCAACATATTCTATGGAGAATGAATGTCTGGCGAGCGACAAAACGAGGAACAAAAGACGGAGTCACGTAGGTGAACCCTGAGATCAGAAATGTCGATGAATGGTCTGCGTGTGCAAGACAGGGTCGAAGGGGCGCCGATGGACAGCGAATGGGCGCAATTCGACATCAACATGAAACACTGTCAGAGATCTGTGCCCAAGTACAACGGCACATATACACACAGACCAGACCATAAGGCTACACAGCGACGGGAGGAGCGATGACCCTAGGACACAGCTCACTGGCTTGCGTCGAAGTATACGAGAAGGAAGCAAGAAGGCGAAGATCCTAGGTCAGCGCCACCGGGGGCAAACTCCGAGAACATAGGCATGGAACGGCATCGATTGAGACGATCGTTGACGCCAAACCGAGCTGTCTGGTGACAGAGATGCAGGACGAGACAGAAGACACGATGAACATATTCTGTCAAGCGCTCGATGGTCCGCAAGTTCGCAAGTCAGTCAAAAAAAGAACAAGCACTCACTCTTCAGAGTCGTACTTTTGCCTGCACCCAAACGGTCAGAACACACTCGAGAAAGGGATTCACAGTGAAGACGCACCACTTTCGCTTTGACCAAGCAGCAGCACCTTTACCGGAGCCTTCTTCTTCTTCAAAGCCATCCTCTCATTCCGGAGCTGCTCGTCGATCTCATCGCTGACACGGCGTGCCTCCGCCTCCGCTGCCTCCCTCAGCTCCCTCTGCTCTGCGGTCTCATCTGGCGGCGGAGCGAGTGCAGCTGTGAGAGGGTCGTCGTCATAATTGGGCAAATGTCGGTCGAACGAATGGGAAATTGAGGATGAAGGCCGGGAGACGGCGACACTCATGGCGCGGATGTAATTGGGGCGGTTGAGTCTGGCCTTGTCTCCGAGACACGGGTGCTGTCGATGATCGACGCCGGTGGGATTTGAACGGGGACGACGAATTCAAAGCGCAAGTGAAGACCGTGTCGAGTGAGAGGAGAAGGACAAAAAAAGAAAAGGACTCGCTTTGAACTCGAAGAAAGGCGAGTCAAGTATTTACGACACTGGCCTTCGACTTCAAGCGCGCACGCGGCTGTGCCTTCCCGGCCGCATTGTTCTACCAAACGAAACTCGTCTTTTGAGTACGGTACTAGTCCTTGATTGGATACTGGCTTACTTCTTATGGCATGAAACAGTATCAGATCTCTGTAACAGTGACATTCAACTGGCAATATAATCGTGGGCATGTGTATCCCCACTGGTCTTGCTTCCTTCGTTCCCTCGCCGCTTCCATCATCTCGACGAACAACTTGAAACTAGTGGTGAGCGCACTCCTTCTTTCCCTTCTTCTCTTACTCTATGTTTACCCCGCCTCCACGAACCGCATCATGTCCAAGTATGCAGCGCATCAATCGTTCAACTCGTCCATGCCATCGGCGATTCACCGCTGCACAAATATTCGTGGCTTGGCTTTCGCTGCAGCTGTCTATGCCGTCCTTCTTCTCGAATGGGGTCGTCGCCCGGCTGGCATCAATGATGAAGATCATCACGTTGAACTCGTGCTGATAGGATGTCTCGCCCTCGGCCGTCACCTTTGTCGCCCATTCCGAGTACATTTTGAGCCTAACTTGAAAAACCTCCGGCTTCCTGACATCGTGCCGCATCATGCATCATCCTTCCCCGGGTCGGACGGTATTCGCGTGGGCATGCCTGTTTCGTCGGAACCTTATGCGATCGGAGATGCATGGTTCGCGTTTCTGTCTTCCGCTGCCACGGTGGACTCGGGAAGTGAGCCTGTGAAGGGAGAGGGATATATATCTCACACCTCGAGAATTCAGGCGGCTATGAGACCCTCACCCGACGACGTGCGAATTATTGATATGCTGGCCACCACAATGCTCAACCGAAAGAAAGGAAGGCTACTCCGGTTTATCCTTACCTTGATTTTCTCAGGTTGACGATATGCGCTCACAGTCAAATTGGTTCTCTACTAACGTGTTTACCCCGATGCAGACGATATTATCTGAATCAGAACCTCTCCAGATTTTCCCCTGTTCGCGGTGTGTACTCCCACCCAAGCCTTCCTCTTCTCTGTGCCCAACACGTGCTCACCAATAGGTCTGATGCTCGTATTGTTCTGCTTCAGTCGTCTCCATCAAGATCATCTCGTTGGCCCATGACTTTCGCGTTATTGAGAAGTGAGTGCATCGTCGTACGATTGCGAGATCTCGAACGCTGACGGCAGCATACATAGGAATTCGACAGGCTGTGGGCTGTGTCTTTTAACTTCCACAACCTCCAAGACTAGTCTCGGACTTATATCTCAGCGCATTTATACCAGTTCCCCCACTGGTCTTTTCACGAGCGACGATCACCGAGCTTTTATCCCCTGGATCCTTCAATCTATTGCGATATATCGGAGTTTATCAAGGTCAGGGCCTCTGACAATCACCTTAGAGGGCCGATTCGCTTCGAGAGGCTCGAGCAGCGCACGGCAGCGCGCTTTCATCCATGTGCACAGAGCATCTTTCTGGGCCGTCAAAACTCGTGTAAAATCTACGGTACATACCTTCAACGCCGATTTCGATCATCTTTTTCGTGGGTGTCCCAGAGGCAGTTGGAACTCCAACCGATCAAATACTGCGTCGACAGACATTCATCCTTCTCGAACAAACGATACTTTTTGTGGGCGGAACCTTGTTGGCCGGGCCTTTCACGTACATACTCGTATGCAGATAACCAGGATCGGGCCTCAATCGGGCGTACTACCATGGCTCGACCAATTTCTTGCGCCCCATACCTCCAACGCTGCATGCTGTCACACTAACGCATAGAGATTCTCAGACTAGTAGGGCAGTCGTCGAGGGACATCCTCCTGGTTTATATACTCCGCTGATATCCTCAATTTCAGCTCTGATTTGATCATTCTGCCACGCCTTGCCCTGTCTCTGTTCCTTGTTAAAAGTCAACTGATCGCTTTATTTGACGCCTTGAGGTGTAGCACAGGTTATAAGTACACGATGTCCGACGGGCTGTTTATTTGACTTCGTCTCTCAACGTTTCATATCTCGGGCAATGTGGGAGTCTCCCTAGTCGTACACTATCGTGCTCGTTTCCTTACTATCTTACTTCCACGGAGGCCTGGCTACTAATGGGTTCCCCTGTGCCTGCCATTCTTGACTGGTCACTATCTTTCACTACCGGTAACCGCGTACTAGTTTGGAGCACGTTACCGTTTGTGAGTCTCAGTAATCTATATTTTCGTGGATCGTGACCTGTTTACTCATGTTCATTTCTCCAATGCCTCACGCTGTGTAGCGAGCCGGAACTCCCAACTTGACATTGCAAGAAACAAGTTTGATCACCTCTATCGCATCTCAGGTTCTTTCGTCGTCCTCATCATTGGCTTACACACAGTTCGTCAAGATCACGTTCAGCCGGTCTGTGGCGCAACCGTGAGAATATCAAACGACTCTTGACACGCAAAATCGCGTGCTACTTCGCCCGCAGAACCAATCCGTCCAACAAACATCGTCAACTTCCTCCTTGTGCATGGAAGAGTTACGCGTACTCATGCACGCATCTTCTATCTCTGATCCCACCACACAGGTTCCCGCACTCCCCGAGGGGTAACCTGTAAGTGCAGTCTAAAACGATCAAAGGCTTTGTGATGCTCGCTTCGGCAGGTCACGGGCAGTCACCTGCCATGGGAGGATTGGGAGGATTCGCATTGAAGGATTGTTCAGCTTGCTGTTTCAGCAGTTTCAGCGGCAGGCGCCAAGATAACCTCAGATTGCTGTTCTATGCACGCAACACGCAATACGAGGCTAAGGTTTGCGCGCGGGTTGGGGTGGTTGAGGACATATAAGAAGGGGGATGTGCGCGGTACTGATGGGCATACCGCATCTTCCAGCACTCTCATTCCTCTCTCACAGGACCAGTCTTCGAGTTTATCAAATACTTCTATAAACATCAATCGATCGTATCAAGGTTTATTTCTGTAAACGATGTCTTCGGTACGTAGATTCCACTGGCCATGGTCACGATCGTCCAAGAAAGCCAGCAAGACCAGTCTTGTTCGTTTCTGTTTCTGTTCCCCGGATTGCGAAATCGACCGTCAGTCGCTGACCTGATCTGCATCTGCGTGCATCCCCTTTTCGCTTTCGCTTCATTTCCTATAATAGACAACTCTCTACACCTTCGAACTCTCGGTCTGGTCCGCTGTTGCTGAACTCGCGGTGTACGTGGTTCTAGGCACTTTGTCCATGCTTTAAACACTAACGATGATGTGCCTTCTTACAGCTTGGAGCTTGGCCTCGCAGACAAGGTCGAAAAGAAATATGTTGACCTCGTCCACGGAGAGAATTTCAAGCCCGAGTTCGTCAAGATCGTAAGCATCTATCCACTCTCCATATTTTCACCAGCACCCTTGGTTCGTCCGTCTGATCGCACTCTTTGCCATATCTGCAGAACGAGAACGCCACCCTCCCTACTATCGTTGGTCCTGATGGCACGGTGTACAAGAACACGACAGACGTGGTGAACTATTTGGCGTCGATCGCGCCTGTCAAGGTGAAGGCTGCCACCGAAATCACAGCCTTGACCCATGAAGCGAACATCGACCCGAACTTTGCGTTGCTTTCCGCTGTGAGCATTTTTTTCCAGTATTAATCTGAGTTTCTGTCTAACGAAGTATCTGTTCTTCATAGAGGAACGCGGAGGAGCTCGCAGCGAAGTCTAGCGCTTTCCCCAAGGTCTTCGTCGAAAACCGTACGTCTCACACCTACATGATGCATTAATTCCGCATGAATTCTGACTATAGTCTCATAAATAGGCCATGCCGGTATCACCAAATACTCTTCCACCCCCGAAGCCAAACCCTTCGAAGCCCTCTACACCGGCAAACTCGCCGGCTCTAGCTGGCTCCTCTCCCTCTACACCAACACCGCCGACGAGGCCACTAAGGCCGAGTTCTACAAAGCATCGCAAGCCACTTGGGACGCTCTCACCGTCTTCTACTTCGAGACTCTCCCCGCCAAACTCCGTGACGCGGGAGCTGGACCGTTCTTGGGCGGAGAGAAGCCTGGCGTCGATGATTTCCATGTGGCGGCGCGGGTGGCGCATTTGGCGAGTTTGTTCGGGGCGACGAAGAGCGAGGAGGGTTTGGAGGCCTTTAGGAAGGGGTTTGGCGGCAAAGATGTTCCGGTTGAGATTGTGAAGTACTGGGAAGCGTGGACCCCCAGGGAGAGCTGGAAGCAGGTCTACGCGAAGACCCTTCATTAGAGAACGACCGTGTTTGATGTTGAGGGACATTGTACTTTATACCTGGATTGTTTGGCTTTGTTGTTAATGAATGAATGATACCATTTTCTTTCCTTGTGCCTGTACCGAGCGCCACACCTCCTTTGGTGGAATTCGGGAGAAGTGCCACAGGAATATTCAAGTATATTATTACTTACATAATCAGGATTCGCCACGCAACTCGATCAAGTGGCGGCGTCTGGACTTTGCGAAGAACAACGACTTCTACAGCGCTCATCATCGTCACTGACGTTCCAGACCGTGTATCTCCCCACTCTCCACGTCGTCCTTGCTACTGTCGACGACTAAACCCACACTTCGGACGCCATTCATGGCCATCCAACTACCCTCACTCACCATCGCCGCCGCCGCGGCAGCATCCCCATCTGAGACCGACATCCCCATTCCCGAGGAAGAAGAGTTCTACTCGTCATGGTCTCTGTTCCTCGTTTGCATGCTCCTTATCCTTTCACTATGGACGTCGTATTATCTGCAGATCAAAAGGATACGCGCGGTACATGAGACGCTGGTGTCGATATTTGCGGGGATGTTTGTGGGGTTTATCGTTAGGCTCGCACCGGGACATTTGATCAGGGAAATGTTGGTGAGTGTTCTTTCTCGTGTTCCAGTGATGAGGGATATGAAATTACTATGGGAGGTGACGCTGCATTCGTCTGGGTTATGAGTGAAACGCTTGAGTCGAATATGGCGATTCTCTGCTTGAGCGTGCGTCCTTCGTCTCCTGTGCGCATACTCTCCCCTTTGTAGGGCCAGAATGATATACTCTAGGTCATTGCACGCGAATGTTCGCGAACATAGTGAGATATCTTTCTTTGGAGCGTATGGGGGCATTGCAAGACGCGATTTATTATAATCCGTTCCAAATGACTGCGTCTACATTCCTCTGCAGCTCCGTAAGGAATACAGTCCTTGATAATTCAGTAACGTGGCCGGCTTGTCTGTCTTCCCGTTACTAGCTTCTTGATGCTTTTATTTGTCGTTTAACGTCTGCCATGGATTGTACAGAGACTGCTTATCGTCTCGTCATGTCTTGCTACCTTTGCAGCTTTCGCTATACCTTCACTCCAACCCATCTATGCTGTCTAGCTGATCATTCATTATATTACAGACCTTCAAACACACCCTCTTCTTCAACTTGCTCCTTCCCCCAATCATTCTGAACTCTGGCTATGAGTTGAAACAGGCCAGTAGACACTGCGTCTTCCTTCCGTCGTCTTTGCTGACTTACTGCGCAGGAGAATTTCTTCCGAAATTTCGGTTCCATCCTCACTTTTGCCTTCTTTGGTACCTTCATCTCCGCTGTTGGGGTTGGGTACGTTCAAGCTGTTCATCATCCACTACAGTGGCCCTTATCACACGTAGTACAGAGTGTTGGTATACATCTACTCCTTCCTCGGCCTGGAGAAGCTCGAAGTTTCTCTGCTTGAGTGCCTTATCTTCGGAACCACGTTATCTGCTACGGACCCGGTAACTATCCTGGCCATATTCAATCAATACAAGGTCGACCCAAAACTGTACACTGTCATCTTCGGCGAGAGTTTGTTGAACGATGCCGTCAGTATCGTCATGTACGAGTAAGTAATCACATCTTTCTCTACGACTCAGCTGTATCTGACATCCCATAGGACCCTCTCCCAATTCCATGGAACCGAGATCTACCTCACCTCCCTGTTCCACGGAATCGGCATCTTCTTGCTCTCTTTCGGCACTTCCATGGCGCTCGGTATCTTCTTTGGCCTTGCCATGTCCCTCGTCCTCAAACACTCCTCCCTGGCGATGTATCCCGCCATAGAATCTTGCCTTGTCGCTCTCTCCGCCTACACCTGCTACTTCTTCTCCAACGGAACCGGCATGTCCGGCATCGTCTCCCTCCTCTTCTGCGGCATCACTCTCAAGCACTACGCCTACCACACCATGTCCCGCCGCACACAACGGACCACGAAATACATATTCGCCACGCTCGCACAACTCTCGGAGAATTTTATCTTCATTTACCTGGGCCTTTCGCTGTTCACGAGTCCGCCTTCATCCGAGGCCGTGACGAGCTATGTGAAACCACTGTTCATCACGATTACAACGGTGGCCGTCGTCTTCACCCGCTACGCAGCCGTCTTCCCGCTCTCCGAGGCTATCAACTTCTTCCACAGACACGCCCGCGGCCAACGTACGGACGAACTGCCGCATTCTTACCAGATGATGCTCTTTTGGGCGGGTTTGAGGGGCGCGGTCGGTGTCGCGCTCGCTGCGGGCTTCCAGGGCGAGAACGCGCAGACGTTGCGAACTACGGTGTTGATCGTAGTCGTCGTCACGGTTTTAATGTTTGGAGGGACGACCGCGAGGATGTTGGAGGTGTTGGGCATCCGGACGGGTGTGGAAGACGAGGCTGCGTCGGATTCGGAGGACGAAGGTGGGATGTTGAGTGGCGCTAGGAACTGGAGTCTTGCAGGATCGAGGAGGAACAGTTTCTCGAACGGAAGATGGGGAATGGGAGGATACGTCGACGAAGATATGTCCCTCCATACGCCCAGGACACCAGGTGGCGGAACGAGGTCGTATTTCGCGTCGCAGCAACAAGGGCCACCAGGGAGGAGGGACTCGAGGGACGCGGCGGCTGCCAGGATTGGAGCCCATTATGGACGACAACAGCAAAATGGAGGTGGTGGAGGTGGTGTGGGTATTGGTGGTGGGCCGAGCAGTTGGAATCATCAGCACCAGGCTGGGTTTACTTTGGGACCTGGTGCGCCTGTGGGGTTGACGAGTGGGCCTGGATCGCCGATTCAGTCTGGCTCGGCGTTCTCCGCTGCGTCGAGCGAGTCGTACGATAGTGATGGTGGGGAGGTGTTGCCGCTTGCATCAGGCTCGAATGGGCGAAGAGCTTCAGGGGAAGATAGGAGTTCTGCGGCGAACGGTGGGAGGGCGAGTGGGGAGAGGACGCCGGAGGACGGGAAGTGGTTCCAGCAGATCGACGAGCGGTATCTGTTGCCGCTATTCTCGAATGCGACTGCCAGCAGAACGTTCCATGCGCGAAGGGCGAGGCGGAGTCAGATTTTCGGACAGGGAGATGCGGGGGCTTCTTCGCTGGGCCCGAATGGGGAGGAAGGCGATGAGGAAGATGAGGGAGCAGAAGTCGAGTTGGGAGTGCCTTCGAGGATGTCGATGGGTTTGGGGATGGCTATAGGTGGGAACGGAAGGGACGGACAGGAAGATGACCTTGAGGATGGGATGATGATGCCGATTCCACACGGGGGCGTTCCAGGAGCGGAGAACAGGATGGAGAGGGGGCTGCCGAGTCCGAATCTGAGGAGCAATACAGATTTCGGCCCGTCGAAGTCTCCGTGATGACTCTTGACAGAGAGAGAATAAGACGGTGCGAAGTGGGTATTTATGATGCGCGTTGTTGTGTTTTCAATCTTTATGCCTTTTGCGCCTTGACTGCTTGGAGTTTCGTTTTCTTACGCTTTTACTTCTGTATCTCTGGAGTTGGTGGGCGGTGGAAGAAGTGTAGGCCACGAGGCAATAGGGCATGGTTTCCAAATAGGCTTACAGGGCCCAAGAAAGAATGTGGCCCAAATCAGATAAGACCAAGTAGGGCCACCGAGTGGCATCGCCCGCTACCGTCGCTCACGTCTTCGCGCCAGGGTTGAATCTACTCACCATTTTGACTTGCTCTGGTATGCGCCACGGCAGAGTGGCTCTCAAATCACACGATGATTATTGAGGAAATAATACATTCCCTCACTGTGTTATAGTACAGTATTGTGACATACTTTCAAGCCGAGTACATATTCAGTAGGTACATCCGCATTAGTTGGTGTTCACGGGCCCGGGAAAAGGTATAGACTCGGCTCTCGATTGCGATACAAGGACACTGAAGACGTAGCGTGCCATTCGTGTCATGCATATTATTTTCGAAATTGGGAAAGGAACTGGCGTAGTTGTCGACATGAGAGACCGACGGTGGAACAGGTGAAGGCATTGCGGAAATATAGCACGGTTCAGGCAAAGAGACGCATACTTATAATTATGAGATCGAGTGTCGCGACGCACAAAAAACCTCCAGATAACTTACGACGACTGAGATGCAGCAGCAAAGAAGAAAGCGACTTGACGGTCGGGACGAACGTCGTGGAAAGCGACATGAACATGGACAAGAGCCATGGGTTTCGCCGAACAGGGGTGAGAATCGAATACTGCAAAGGGCGAAGTCTGACATTAGGTAAGAAAAACCAGAATACTCGATCGCCTGCGAAACGGAAGCACTTTTCAGAGCTACCTAAGACCCACTACAGTAGTAGCGGGAATTATCGTCCATATGCACAAATATACAAATACCGTATTGCATCCCGGAGATGAACGAGATCTATAACGGGACCTACTTGCTATCCACATTCGCCTCTAACAGGCACGCAACTCCCCACGCAACACCTCCCCCGTATTATCACCTCACCACCCAGACTAAAGGCTTTACACTTTGTGGCCGTAAGTATTGATAAGAAATTCTACCTTTGGTAGAGCTGTCTTTCTTAATCCTTCCTCACAGGTTCTAAAAAGGAAATAGTAACTACGCCTTTCAACCATCGTTCGGAGTTAGTATCCAGTGACCAAGGTGCATCCAATCCCATATGGCTGGCCTCTGGGCTTTATATCGCAAAAGCTGAACTATCGTCCTCTGAATCACTTTTAGCGATCATCGCGTTTGGCAAGTGATGTCCGACCACGTCGAGGATCAGGACTGCGACGCTGGGGACACAGAGCTGCCCATCATACCTCCCATCAGTAAGCTTCCGAACGAACTCTTGATCGTAGTCTTCTCCCTCATCAGAGACAAACCGTCGCGCTCGACCCTCGGATGGATTCGGATCACGCATGTTTGTCGATCCTGGCGTGAAATTGCCATTGGCAGTCCCATTCTGTGGACCGCCACCCCTTTTCAGCTCGGAAAGTATTGGATGGAGGAATTTCTTCGTCGCTCAGAGCCGGTTCCTGCAAAAATCTACTGGTCACCCACTGTCAGCTCGCTGCCCCTCTCCGAAATCCCCATTGCCAGTATCCAAGCTCGTCTAAGTAGCCTCAGCATCGGTGTCACTACCAGTAAGGAAGCACTGAAAAGATTACTTCAAGGGTTTCCCACGTCCGTGCCCGTGTTGGAAGAACTACGCATCGCCTATTTGAACCGTTCGGGCACGATACATCACTCCACTGTTCCTGTACTCTCCGCCCAGGATTTACCATGCCTTCGTAGACTATCTCTGCATCGTATACCGCTGCACATGTGGCGGAGGTTCCCACTTCACATCCTCACAGGCTTGGATGACACCGAGAGACGCAGCCGCGAATAGTGTGATACTCACTTCCCTTCTCAACGTCCTCCAGGCCACCCCGGTTCTTCAGTCGCTTGAGATCCGTAACCAGCTCCCATCCACTGGAAATGTCAACGACCCTGTCATTCCGCCCCTACGACGACTCGTCCCGTTGAACAGTTTGTGCACACTCGTCATTCGAGGGGGGCTGTCATGTCTTGTTGGCCGGCTGATACAAAGCCTTTACATCCCGTTGCTCGCCAACGGCGATTTTGAGGCCACTTACAGGCACAACCACGATTTTCAGGTTTATTGGCTATACGACGAACGCACAGAAGAGAGCCTACAAGTTTATTGACGACCTTCTCCAATCAGCGCCGAGTCTGGAAGAAATTCGCATCACCGGTATGAGGGAATCAGGCCATGAATTGGGAATCTTGCTTGACAACACCCCAGGATTCGATTTTCCCCGCCAATCTCTCACTCGGTCTGTCCCGCTTCTTCGCAAGCTGTCTCTGTACAATATATCAGCAGTTCCTCGGAGCGATCTTCCCTTCCATAACCTCACTCGACTGGAGCTCAGTATGTTTTGCGACTCACATCTGTCAGTCAGCATTCGAGAGGTTGTCTCGACGTAAAAGCATAGGTTGTTCGAGATTGGTCTAGTAAATCGTCGTCCTTGTGTCGGGGTTAAGACGGTTAACGAAAGTCACAAGCAGGGAGGGACAAACATTACAATTACGAGGTATTACTTAGAAATACTTACGATTACTTACGATTACTTACAGTTACGGCGGCTGCGCTTCTAGGATCTATTTCGTTACAATTACTTTCGATTACAGTCGAGGTGCGAAATGATTACTATTCAATACTATTCATTTGTATGATCCGTACGCACCAAAGACATTTTTGGGTCAGGTGGAAGCTCCGGATAGGCCCCGACTGTTCGATTGCCGCCACATTCACCTTTTGGGGATGAGTGCCCGTAGCCTGCTTTTCGCCACATTTTTGCTGTTCTACCTGCCGTTCGACTCAACACTGTAAGAACACGGGAAAATCATGTGTATATCACTTGCAATGCTGCAGCACTTGTATCATTCAGCATTGGTGCGAGTGAGTTGCTGAACCAAAAAGATATGATGCACGTGCACGCAAGAGATTTCATACCATTACTTACAATTACTTACGAATTGGGCGCAATACAGGGGGAATACATTACAATACATTTCCGGATCTCAACGCGCATGATTTCGAGGGAATACTATTAGATTACATTACGTGGCGGTAATGTAATGTAAGTAACGTTTGGGAAACCCTGGTCACAAGTAGTACTGTACTTTTTCGACCAACTGTTCGTCACGCGTCACGGTCAAGAAATTCTGAGGGTGCCGATGAGCTCCGATTAGAAATCGAGGTTCATCGGCCAACCCCAACCCTAGGAATTTCCTAATCGGGCGAACAATTGGTCGAAAAACTACAGTACTGCATTGTAAGTTACTACTTGTCGAAGTCGACGAGGAGACTCGTCCGCGTCAGCCTGAGACGAGAGTGTGGCGCGTCGGAGCGAGCCGCGAGCCGGTGAGTCCAGAAAAGGCAGGGATTGCCCTGGCCCATTGTCTTACACTGACTTACGACTTGAGTATTGCTTCAGTACCACGCAGGGAGCGACCTCTCGCCATTTCCAGAGTTATCGATGATTTCAGGGCCCTCTATATGCCAAATGCAGTCTCCAAATTCCCCACGACACCCGGCATCACCGCCGATGATCTACCTTAGCTGCGCTCGCCACCGACGCCAACCGGGCAGGGCTCGACTTCGACCAAAAGGTCTCTCAGCCGGGATGCTAAAGCCTTTAACGAGGACAGAGCACGGTTTGCGGATGACCCTGGTTGCTTTCTCACCGGGTTTTCCTGTCTTTCCCTTGAAGCAGCCCACCTAGTGAACACTGTTCGTGATCGACATGACCCGGCACGATTGACCCCATCTTGACTTCGCCCCCTAGCTTCATTTTTTGACAAGTGTTCTGGCTATCGTGCGCCGAACTAGAGACTTCACGCTGGAAAGCCTGGAGAATATGGTTCTTTGTACGACCTTCCTTTCCTGATTGTGATTCTTGTGTGTCTGACTGATGTGATCTAGTGTATCCACCGTATCACCGACACCTGGACTTATATGCCACGTACTCCATTACATTATGCAAGGATTCGCTGCAAGAGGTGATTGAAATTTTGAGGGAGGCCAACCTGGAGTGGGACAGATTGGTAGCGCTTCCAGCCCCGAGCAGTCTTCGGGATATTCCGGTGCGTATTTTAAGCCCAGCTAGACCTCATCAAGCTCAGTTCTATAAATTTCGCAGTGGGGCCAAAAGCGCCTTGGTCCATATGAAGTTCGACCTAATCCTTCTCCACCCTGCGCTTTTCCTCCCGCGCGGTCAGCACCTCGTCGCCCTCAAAACCCATGAGCCGCCAACGTACGCCGACTGGGCGGTCATCGATCGCGAACTGCGTGAACGGAACTCTCCCTCCGACTCCGCGCCCTACCCTCCCTTTTCCTACACCTCCCGCAAACGCACCACTCTCGACTACGTGAACCCATTCCTTCTCATCCTCAATGCGGGAGGAAGCTTCGGTATCATGAACAGAAATACGCATTTGATGATCTGACGGACCGCCAGCTCGAGCTCGCGCAGCTGACCCTCGAGGCTTACGACCTAGTTTTATATCGCCCGTCCGCTTTTGTGGTCGAGCCTCTCCCGACAGCTGTTCCGAGTATGCCCCCTCTCCCCCGTCAGATCGCTGCATCTCATCAGGTGTCCAGTAATGGGGCTAGCATATACCAAGATGATGAGGAGAGAAGTGACAGTGTATCGGAGACTGGTAGCGAGCTGCTCAGTCCGGATGAAAGTCACAGGATTCTGGCGAGACTTGAAGACCCGAGTACCACACTGGAAGAAAGGAAGGATCTCGTGGATCTATTACTTGATGGTGCACGGCGTCAGTCCCTTTTGCGTCCTCTTTTTTGTCGTCGTCGTCGCCGTGGCTTGAAAATACGGAACCTGACTGTCACTCTTCTGCCAGCCTACCGCCCTTTTCCCGTGGTCCCCGGTGTGGAGTTGCCCGAAGTGCCCAGTCTGTTTGGTCATGGAGGGCATGGGTCGTAGCTGTGTCGTAGTTCTTCGTGCTGTGTAGATGCCCCGCCTTTGTACGTACAACGTCCGAAACAAATGAACATCCATCCTTTATTTTCTTCCGCCTCTAATCAACGTCGTGTTTAGTTATTCCCCCCTATCATTCCAGGCATCAACACTCTTCATCGCGCTCGACGTCGATCGAAGGTTGACGACCGTATACCCCTTCATGAGCAATTCTCATAGAATCGTAAAGCATAGCTGAGATATCTTAACATCTAGTTAAGTCGCAAAGGTACACATTCTTTTGAAATCTTTGTCGCGCACTCGGAACCGGCCCTCAGTGCTCACTTCCCTTCGTTACAAAACTCCTGCACAATCTCCGCGATCCTCCCCCGCCTCTCCACCCCCAAACCCCTCCCCGGCTCATAAACCCTCTGCCCCTGCCCATCCCTCCTCGTCACCGTCCCCACCGTCCCTCGCCTCCAACTCGCCTCCAACAACATATCCACACTCCGCGTGTGACTCTTCGTCTTATGTTCCTTCCATCGTTCGAGCGCGTTGATAAGCAAGACCCCCAGAGGGACTGTAGGCAGCGTCGTCAGCTGGGCGGAGGACTGGGACTGGGACTGAGATTGGAGTTGGAAGAGGGAGGACGAGGAGAAGTGCCCGACGCGGGCCATGATCCATTCGAGGTCTCCGCCTGTGAGGTCGGTAGGCAGGCCGAGGGTTCCGGGAAGGACGAGTAGGATGTTACAAGAGGTCCGAGTCTGAGGTTCCTCGAAACGGATGATGCCGCTTGTTTCGTGCAGCTCAGGCTGGAGAAAATTGGAGACGAGTGTCAGATGGTGGGACTGAGCATGAGCATGAGATGAGACGATCTTCTCGAGGATGGTGTGGATCGGTTCGGACATTATTTGCACCGACGAAGCGGGCATAAGAAGAATTTGGACGATCTACAGTATACGTATAGGGCGTTGAGATGCTGTATGGTCAGTCTGTAGACTCGGATTGAGGGGAAGAGCAGAATGAAGATAAATATTACCGTGCTTGGCCCTGGATATTCATAAGGGAACGCTCTGTGCAGCTTCGCCGCGACATCACCGAACAGTGCGCCTTTGTATCCAAGCTCTTTAAGCGTATTGAGCACGATGGATGCGCTCAGGAGCATCGTTTGGTATGTAACCGCGAGTGAAGGTTCTTGTGGTGCTTGTGACATGATTCAGATATCTATGTAGGAATACTGACGAGATGATGAAGAAGATGCGAAGGATGGAAAGAGGAGGAAGAGGAAAGCATCCTTATATATATGTGTGTGCCGCTTTGTTCGAACAAAGAACCGTACCCAAAAGGGTCTTTGACACGCAACAAACCGCGGCAAGTTCCGCCTGTGACGATGGTCAGTTATGGCAACAATCACTTTCACTTTCACTTTCAACGTCACAAGAGCGTGCTTTGTGATCCCAAAACTCCATCAAGGGGATACCGTTTAGGTACTATTGCGCGCGGGAGCAGCAGTACTTAATTAACTGAAAGCGATTTCTTTTTTCAAAAGGACATGAATAAGCAGCTCTAAACACACGCACATCGGTAGATGCTCGACCCAGGTGAGACTCGCTCGTGTCGTGACTGGTAAATCTCTTCCTGGACGACCTTCACGACCTTCATCGTGAGGGGCAACTTAGAATTCGTCAAATTATGAAGCTTGAAGCTGTGCAAACAGTAAAGGATAGAAAAGGTGCTGATTCGGAGGGTTTGAGGCCTACTTATGCCGAAGTAGAACCATCGGGGGTGGCGAGGCTACAGATTACGGTGAGGGACTGGGAGGAGAGGGAGGAGAGGGACGGGGTGGTGGGTTTGATTTTGAGTTCGGATATGGAGATGACAGGCCTGCGAGGAGGAGGAGGAAGAGGGGGAGGTTAGACGAGGGATATATAGTTTGTGTTAACATCGGGTTCGTCTTCATTGTTTTCCATCGGAGGGTCGTCTTGTAAACTCGGAGCTGGGTCAGTGTTAAGAGTTTGAGCTTGCCTATCCGTTTGAGTTCGGGTTTGCCGATGGGAACAGCTGTGTTGTGGGTGATGGGAACGGGAAGCTTGTTCCAACCTTCGTAAACGAAAACTTTAAGAGTGGGAGAATGTAGAGTAATTTCGTCTTTCCATTGCTGGGACAGGGAGACGGGGGTTATTGGTTTGAGCCTGGGCCTGAAAAAAAGCATGAATGTGAGAGTAACTTTCAACTTACTCCAACGATGGATGAACCGCGCGAAAAGGCACCATGTCGATGTCAGTCCGTTCAGAATCCAGATCGGTGCTCCGAACCAAGAAGGCAGAACCGGTGGGTATGCTATGTATGTACGATGATTTTACTCAGTAGAGTAATCACCAACGTAACACAACGCAGAATTCCGCCAGGCCGCTTCCTCTGGGGCAAGTATTTACTTACACCGCTTTGAACGTCGTCCCTGCATTGTGGCCTTACAGTAGGCAGTGTGAGATCATTTGTCAGTATGAGTGGTACTCGATGTCATGTCATGGTACTCACTAGTAAGTAAGTTAGAAGCTGCCATGGTTTTCTTTCACGGACGGCTTCGCCTCCAGACTGAGAAGGACACGCCGATCTGGCATGCCATGGTGAAAACCGAGCTTCGAGTCCGTTTTGCGTCTATTTGATCTGTGGGACTTGGAGCTTGCAATTGGCTATCACTCGTGTCGACTTCGAGTTTGAGCCTGTCAGTGTCAGAGGCAAGGAGACGGCGGGCCCGTGAGAATTAAGAGTGTGTGGACGAGGCACCTCGAGGAAGTGTCAATGGACGTACCGTGCCGTTTCTTGCGAGACAGATCATCGAATGAGAGCAGGCGAGAACGAATCGCGAGTTTCCCGTAATATTAATGAGGTAGTTCAGTCCAAGACGAGAGGTGCTAGAAATATAGGATTTGAATTTGCGCCATCCATTTGTGTGATGTGGCGTACGGTACGGATGATCTGGGGTCTACATTGGAGCAGAAACGGATCCATTAATATTGCGCGTGCGAGGTTCCTGTGACGATACCATCGTCAATTATGGCAAATGGCAACATTCACATCTTTACTGTACCGTGGTAGAGGGAGCATGCTCTGTGAGCGCAAAAACCATCGGCATCAAAGGGATATAAGTATTGCGCGCGAGCGATACTCAACCGACCGAAAGCGATTCTGTGTCGAAAGGATATGGATGAGCAGCTCTGGATACACGCACTTCGGCATATCTCTTGACCCAACAGATCCTCGGTCGTGAATTGTACATATTTCCATTGTCCCTTATCCCTCGTTGCGAGAAGCTAGAGCTGCGGGCATGCAAAAAACTTAGAGTGCGTCTGACAAATTACGGCACTGGGAAAAGGGTAGAAAAGGAACTGACTGGTTGGATCTGAAGCGCAGTATGCCATAAGCAGACTTATAGAAGGATTGACAATCATAATATGAAGTCGTCGAGATCCACGAAAGAAGGAAGAGAGTGAGGATGTTTAGGCAGGGAGTGTCAGTAAGCGCGGGCTTGACTTCGGGTTTGGAGGTGGAAGGCGTGCGAGAAAGAGGTGGTGAAAGGGGGAAGGTTAAATAAGAAAGAGCCCGGGATGATTTGTGGTGGTGATTATTGAGCTCGTCTCGTGGACTAGGAGTGTGGTTACAAGAGCTCAAGCCAGAGAGTGAGATCCGTGGGACTCTACTAGTAACTGCGACGCAAGGTAACACAAAGGTCTGTCAGACTCAGGAAAACACGCTGCTCTTGGACATCGCGCGGTAAAACTAAGAATTGAGTCTGTTTACATTGATCTGTGGGACTTCGAATTGAGTACCACTCGTGTCAAGTTCGAGTCAGAGTCAGAGCGAGGGGACGGTGGGAACCTGCATGGACGAGGCACCTCGAGGTAGCAAGTAGACATACCACTGGATTCCCTGTACTAGCAAGACAGTCCATCGGAGACACTGGGCGAGAATATATCGCGAGGGATCTGGAACGAGAGTGTTCAGTCCAAGAAGGGAGAGGCGACAAAGAGAGCGCAAAGTTCCATTTGATGTGGCGTACGGAAGATCTGGGGCCACACTCAAGCAAAAACGGATTCGCCGCGTTTTCTCCCTTGCTTGACCGCCCGAAAAGCTATCCACTGCGGAGATATACGTGTCGGGATCCCACAGCATTGTCAAGCGACCCGTTCTACCCATCAGAGACCAAAAGAAACGACGAAAAGAAATCGTGGAGACCGCAAAGCTTCAACGCAGAAGTCGCGCATCTTCCGAGCGCGGCGGTTCGTTCGCGTCAAAGACTTCCGCCAGATCTGGAGCGTGCGTGCGTGCGTGGCTCAGCTGAGTGGCACAAATTGGGATATGGTAACAGAAATGAAAATGAATAACAAAATACAGGACAGGGCCGCGGATGGGAGACGTCAATCCTCGCTTCCCTCTCCCCTGTGTATCGCCACACTCCCATGCCCACAGACTGCATCGTCAGCGGAACCGCATGCATATGCAAGCATGGTGCCTCGGACTCGGACGCACTCCTCTGCAGAAGAGCTTATCAGTGACGAGTGTTGGTCTCCACTGGAAAGCTTCCATCATGTATCATCCAGACTCCCCGTCGCCACCCATGGCCACAGAATCCATCCATCACATTGCACATGCACAATTTCAAGGCATGAACGAGAGAGATCATTCATTACAGGGACTCGACAGCAGAGAAAGACAAGAAAGTAAGAAAGAGGGCAAAAAGAGAAACACCATCCCGTAGATCGCACAAACGAACAACAAGCCGTCTAGGTAAAGCACAAAGTCCCGGCCTATCGTACCCGATCGTATTCCTAGGGCCGACTACTCTAACCCTGAACCCGATCACTGACTCTTGTACGCCTCCTGATCACACCAGAACCAGCCATCAATGAGCAAAAATGTCGCAGCAAAGAGAAAGCGAGCATAAAAGAGACGGACCTTAATCTCCTTCGCATACCTCTCTGCCACCTTCTTCCTCTGCACCTTCTGCGCCGCCGTAACCAGCCCGTTCTCCGGCGTCCACTCCTCATGCGTGAGTACAACCTCACAAAGCATCTCCATCCCTTTGAATCCCGCTTTCTTCCCGAGCGCATTACACTCCTTCAACACCAGCTCATGCACCTTCCGATCCTTGCACAGCGTCTCGATATCAATATCTTTGTGCTCGATCTGGCCGGCGTCGGAGGACGAGGAGGCGGAGGAAAGACCGGCGCGGAGATGCGCTTCGTGCGGGATGATGATGGCGATGGGTTGTTTGGCGTCGGTGGTGGCGTGTACGCAGATGTTGGAGACGTATTGGCAGGATTTGTAAGTTGCTTCGAGGCGTTCGAGGGCGATGTATTCGCCGCCTTGGAGCTTGACGAGGTTCTTGATCCTATAAGTCCCCGTCGTCAGTTCATCTATTTGCGTTGAGTAGAGGGAGAACACCAACCGATCAATCAAACTCAACGTCCCATCCTCATTCCACTGCCCCACATCCCCCGTCCTCAACCACCCATCCTTCGTAAATATCGTCTCATCATTATTCAGATCGTCCCTCTTGTAATACCCGCTCGTCACCGACGGACCCCTGATCAACACCTCCCCGCGCGGGCGCTCGCCCGGCTTCGTCGGGTTCGCGAAGTAGCCCGCTTCGGACACGTCGAGGAGCTTGATCTCGACGGAGGGAGAGGGCAGGCCCACGGAGCCGTATTGCATCGCTTCGGGGGGAAGGATAGCGCACATACCGCAGGACTCGGTCATCCCGTAGCCTGTAGATCAAATCTGCATCAGTTTCTCTACGCAGAAGAATAGGGGAAAAAAGGGGGGGGGGAAAGACAAACCCTGCAAAACCGTAACAAGCGCCAAACTCAAAAACTCCTGCGTCTCCCTACTCAACGCCGCCCCTCCACTAAGCGCAAGTCTCAACTTCCCCCCCGTCGCCGCCTTGATCTGGCTGAACACCACGCTATCCACAACCCCCGTCAAGCCCGGCACCTTCGCCCTCTTCACGCTCATCGCCCCATTGAACACGCTCTTTTTCAATGTCCCGCCCCCGTTCACCTGGCCCATAATCCCCTTCCGGATGAGTTCCCACACGGCCGGGACACCAATCATGATCGTCGGCCTGAACGCCTTGATATCGCCCACGCAGTTCCGCACCGACGCGTCCGTCAGCGTCTTCACCCTCCCATAGCCGAGCGTCATCCCGATGAACACGAAACAGAGCTCGACGACGTATTCGAGGATGTGCGCGAGCGGGAGGAACGCGAGGTAGGTGTCGTCCATCTGGAGGTGATGTCCGAACAGGGTGTACACGCTCCCCACGGCAGCAACAAGGTTCGAATGCTTGATCATCACGCCTTTGGGGGGTCCAGTCGTCCCGGAGGTATACATGATGCAGGCCATATCCTCAGCCTTTGGAATCCTGCTCTCTTCCAACTCTTTCGGCTGCTGTTTTCCGATCGCGCGCACTTCGTCGAGGCTGAGGACTTTCACTTCGTTTCCCTCACCGTGGGCGGCACGGAGGGAGGCGAGCAAGTCCGGCTTGGGCGTGCCGTCGTAGATGACGAGACGGACGGAGGGGGTGGAGGGGAGGACTTTGGAGAGGACAGGGAGGAGCTCGGCGTTCGTGAATACGGCGACACATTCAGGTTCGTTTAGGGAGTGGGTCAGGCCGGATTCGCCGAGGGTATCGTAGGCGGTCGCGCAGATGACGGAGGTCATGGCGCAGGCGTACGAGACGTATTGCCATGATGGGCTGTGAAGTGGGAGGGAAAAAATGTGAGTTTTGGGCTCTTGGAGTGAGACGGTGAACATGAAAAGCCATTGATGTGGCGTATAAGTAGTTCTCGAGAGCGCCGGTCAAAAACCGCGTCGTTCACACCGAGCGAATCGAGCTATGAGTGCTCGGGTGCATGCATTCAGAATCATCCGTCCTCAAAGCTTCAACTGTTGTGAAATCGATAATTGGGCCGCATTACTGCACCGCGACGACGTCACCGGCCCAAACACGCGAAATAGGGGCCGGCGCCAACGGCGCAGACCACGACTCAGCACGACTCGTCTTACATGGCTCCACGTAGTGGTGCAAGAAAAGATATCGAGAATGCACTGCAACGAGTTTTCGCATAGTTGTGTTACTTGTGTGGTCGGCATGAACTGCATGAACAACAGCTACACACGCGTCGCGGTTCCCGGTTCGAACCGGAGTCGTCGGTAACGATGTTGAACGCGAAGAGAAAGAGATCATGCCGTCGTGCAAAGAAGCGCTGAGGTCATCTCTGTATATACTTTCCATGCCGGAGTGCATAAAGACACCCAAGTAAGCCCGTCCAGCAAAACGTGGTCCCAAAGACATACCACGTCATCCACACGAACACAAGAAACAAAACGCACGAAAATAACGACAAAAAAAAGAAAGACTGACCTCGTCTGCGCATATATATTCAACACCTCCCCCTTCCCCACCCCAAGCTCAATCAACCCCCTCGCCACCTCTCCCACAGTCCCCCTGAGCTCACCAAAGCTCACATACCGATACCCACTCAACTGAAAATACTTCCACACCTTCTTCTCCGTCGTCTCCTTCCCGCCCACCATCTTCTTCACCTCCTTCTCCTCCTCCACCATCTTCTCCACATCCCGGTACCCGAACACGTTCCGGCTCCCGTGTGTGCGCGCGGCGTAGGTCAGGATGTCGTGCACCGTGTGGATCGATTCGAGCGGCTGCGAGATGAGACGGTCGGCGGTCTTTGCGAGACGGCGGATGCGGGATTCGCCTGGGGCGGCGGGGGGGCCGACTTCGATGGATCCGACGCCCCAGACGGGCATGCCTTTGTTGTTGTTGGTCGACATTCGTTTACGCGTTGTGGTAACGACGAGGCTGCTATGCTAGTATAGTTGACGACGACTGACGAGGAGACTAACTTATAAAATTGTAGAACGTCTGTCTGTCTGTTGGCGGTTGAGGTGGTGGTCGTGGTGGTCGTGGTGAAGGTGAGGATGAAGTGATGGCACTGTGTGGGTCTTCCCGCCGAATACACCCAATTACTACGCGCGGCTGCAGCCCCAATCCAAACAGCCCCAATTACCTCATTGCCCGCCACGTGCCCAAAGTTCGATCAAACAATGACATGTCCCGTTCGACGCGTCATTTCAGGCATGTCTCTCCAGGGGAGGACAAATGGCCATTGGTGGCGCAAGGACCTGAGGACAGGACAGGAGAGGAGGAGAGCGTTTCGAAAGGGCGTAACTCGGAATCTGAGTCGTGCCTCCTAACCATACAATGGCATAAAGGGGATCAGGAGACTCGAGACCCACGATCGTAAATGTATGTGACAGGAGCGAAAGGGGCAAGACGCAAAAACGAAGAGAAAGGGGTAAAGAGGCGAGAAGGGAAGAGGTGGGGGGTGGAAGGCAAGAGAGGAAGAAGGACTAGAGTAGAAAGTCCGGCGTAGGTGTCGTACGCTACATACAGGCGATATACATAGTAAGATAAAACACAGAGACAGAGCGGGGACGCTGGCTGACACGACACGAGAACAGGACATGACGGAACAGAACAAGTCAAGAAGAACAACACAACAGGCAATGATCCCCACATTCATCCCTCCGCGCCCTCGTACTCCTTCTCCAGCTTCTTCTTCATCACGCTCACTATAACACGTCCCAATCAATCAGCACCTCTCCACACATCCCCATTCAACTAAAAAAAAGAAAGAAACACTCACCCTCTCTCGAAATATACCCACTACTCATCCACCCCTCCGGAAAACTCCCCACAATCTTCTGATAAAGCACCTTCCTCAGTCCCTGCTCACTAACCTGCGACGTCGACCCCTCCAGCGAATTCTTCTCGTTCTCGATCCGACAGCATTCATTGCTCAGACAGACTAGGCTCCACACGATATTCTTCATCGAGTCCGTCATGCGGTATTTTTTCGCGGGCGGATTTTGTGCGGTGTTGGGGGGTGCGGCGGCATCCTTTCCCGCACCTCCGTTGGTAGAGGAGGGGTGAGTGTCGTGGTCGACGTCCATGGAGTTGTCGTCGGCTGTGATAGAAGGGAGGGGTTGTACGACCGGCGTTCCTTCCGCGGACGTCGCGCCCTCCGTCGGCTTTCCCTGCTTCTTCTCTATTACACGAACGTCGTCAGTTCGTAATCTCTCAATGATCAATTTCTCAATCAAAGAAGGGAGGAAAGCATCTCCAAATGAAGTGTATGAAGAAAAAAAATCGGACATACCCCAAACAACAACACTCCTCTCCCACTCCTCCCTCGCCCTCTCGAACCCCTCGTCCGCCTGCTTCTTCAGCTCGGCCAACAGCTCGTTCTGCCGTTCTGTGAGCAGCGCGGTGTGTTCGGTGAAGACGGTGCGTTTGATGAGTTTCTGTTGAGTTGTTCGCGTCGTAGAGATCGTGTTAGCAACTCGAAAACTCGAGAGGATAGCACGCAGAACGAAGGAATACAGTGAAAGTGAGGGATGAGGAGTGAAGAAACGGAACTCACGCTCATAGTAAACCGATTATACGGGAATATCTTCGGCATCAGATTGAAGAAATTATCGTCGTACTCGTTCAGCGTGATCGCCTTAAGCGCGACCTGTGCGAGGAGCGGCTTCAGTCCGGGCGGGAATTTGCCTTTTACGTCCCAGTTCTCTGTGTTTTTCGATGTACATCACGACGTCAGCGTTGGCCCGGCAAGTGGTGCACGAGAAAAGAGGAAGAGTGAGGATGGGGATGGGGATGAGGATGAGGGAAGTCATGATGAGGGGACGGGGAATGGAGATGGGAATGAGAGACGCACCCTTCGCAACAGCAACCCTCAACTCCTCCAACTTCCTCTCCAACTCCGGATGAAACGGATGAATCTCCACCCTCCTCTTCTTCTTCCCCCCCGCCGTCCCCACCGATCCTTGGCTCGTCACGCTCATCATACTCACGTCTCCCGCCCCGCCTCCTACACTCCCACCCATCCCTCCACCGACACTTCCACTCATGTTGGGGTTGGTGTTACTGTTGCTGTCCATAGATTTGCGTTTTAGTCCCGCGCTTGCGCCTGTTCCGTTTAGGCCTACGCCCAGCGGTGCACCTCCACCCCCTCCTCCTCCCGCACCCGCGCCGGAGACGAAGCCAGGGGGACCTCGAGCGTCGTCGGACGTATCGTCCAATAACGCGATCGGCGTCTCTTTCGTTCCTATCCCCGATCCTGGGCTCACTCCTACACGGACGCCGTCTCGCGTATTTGACCCTTGTGGCCCGACACGGGTTAACAGTCCCGTCGTTGTTGTCCCAGTAGTAGTAGTACCAGGCAACGACGATCTCGGCGCACCCGTATGCGTAGGTCCCGTCCGCGTCATATTCGCATGTTGATACGTATGGCCATTTGAGCCCTGTGGATATGCAGTCGAGTGGGAAAGGGGGTGTGAAGGATGGGAAAGGGTGTGGGAGGAGTGGGAGGGATGTGGGAAGTTGGAGGGGCCGGCGATGGGTTCGGGAGGGGGGAGGAGGGGACGGCGGGATTTGGGTTTTTTGGGGGTTGTTCTGTTGAATTGGGGATGAGGGCACGGTTAGTTGGTATGAGAGGTGCGGAAGTGTACTGAGTGGAGTGGGGAGAAAGAGGAACGTACTTGTCTTTGAGGAGCGCGACCTCGCCAGAGGAGACATAGAACCCCTGTTGTTTGGTCTGCGCGAAGAAGGTACGTTCGTCGACTGCGAGCTCTGAATCGTCGATGAACGGATCATTCAGGTCGTAATACTCTTGTCCCAGATTCTTCTTCTATAACCCACAACATCAATCAATAAAAGCATTGGCATGTGCAAGCAACAGAAGATAAAACAACTCACCTTCCTCCCCCTCTTCGGTTTCGCACCCACGTCCAACTCACTAGGCAGCACCGGCACCTCCGGCTCATTCTCCGTCTCGCTCTCATACCTCTTCTTCAGCATAGGCGGCGTAGCGGGCCTCTGTCCCGTCGCCTTCGCCATCGCGGCGATATCGACCTCGTATTTCTCTGGACCACCGAGCGCGATGTCGAGTCGGATTGTTGTGAGCGGGGGTGGGGGTGGAGGTGGTGGGGACGGGGAAGGTGATCGGGGACGTTTGGTCTTGGGTTTGGGAGGGGCGGGAGGAGGAGCGACGGTGGTGGCTGCTGTGAGATCTGTGGTAGTGGCGACGGCGACTGCATCATTAATCGTTGCATTATCGGCAGTGGTGGTTGCTGTTGTATTTGCAGGAGGTCCAGCATCCGGTGTGGCGAGGGCAGCAGGAACAGGTGAAAGAGAAGATGTGGCGACAGGGTCCGAATTAGCGCCCGCGGCTCCGGAAGGACTCTCCGCCTTGGACTTTCCTCTCATCCCGGCGTCCTCGGCATCCACGCTCACGCTAGCCGCCGAAACCGGCTTATCGCTCTCCTCGCCCTCGTCCTCGTCGTCGTCGTCCGAGCCGCTGTCCTCGCCCGATTCGCTCTCTTCTTCGTCTTCCGCTTCTTCTCCTTCTCCCTCGCCCTCGCCTTCCTCCTCGCCTCCTTCGTCCGAGTGCGATGAGGCGTGGTCGTCAGCGTCGATGATGGGGGCGACTGTCTCGACGGGCGGTCCGTGCGCGTCGACGACGGCGGTGTCGGGCTCGACACGTATCTGCACGTCTTCGCCGTCCATATTATTTGTGTTTTCTTTTCACAAACCTGATATGCGCTGCGAATACGTTCAATGAACAGGTATAAAGAAAATGACCGAAAAAGGCAAGTTCGGGGTGGAGGGCAGGAGGGAGGGAGGAGGGAGGGAGGAAGGGAGGGGGAGGAGGAAGCACGCAAGCGGGGGCACGCACGGATTGATCTGGAAATGCGAGCCAGCGAGCTCCTGTGTTCGAAACGCAACGCGCGCCGGATTTGCGATGGGCCTGTGGATGTGTCGTCCGCACGGACGATGAGAAAACCCGGATTGACGTTTCCCGTCCGCGGCCCTGTCGTGTATTTTGTTATTCATTTTTATTTACCATATCCCAATTTGTGCCACTCAGCTGAGAGCCACGCACGCTCCAGATCTGGCGGAAGTCTTTGACGCGAACGTACCGGCATCTTCCCGCGCTCGGAAGATGCGCGACTTCTGCGTTCAAGCTTTGCGGTCTCCGCGATTTCTTTTCGTCGTTTCTTTTGGTCTCTGATGGGCAGAAAGGGTATTCCATGATACTGTTGGATTTCTACATGCTCTTGTGCGCTGCGGAAAGCTTTTCGGACGGTCATGCAAGGGAGAAAACGCGGGGAATTCGTTTTTGCCTGAATGTGGCCCCAGATCTTCCGTACGCCACATCAAATGGAACTTTGCGTTCTCTTTGTTGCGTCTCCCTTCCTGGATTGAACATTCTCGTTCCAGGTCCCTCGCGATTCTTTCTCGCCCAGTCTCATTTGATGAATTGTTCTACAAGGGAATCAAAACTCCAATGATGTGACCAATTGCTCGAAGTGCCTCGTGCGTGCACGTTCCCACGGGCCCGCCGCCCGTTTGCTCTGACTCTGACTCGAAATTAACAGCAATGGTAACGACATAAAACGGATTTTCGATTCTCACCGCGAGATGACCATCGCCGGAATGTCCTTCTCAGCTGTAAAACGAAACCATGGCAGCTTGTACTGCTCGTTTCACAATATCGACTCGGAGTGTTTAATTTACTCGTACTGACCATGATATCGCGCTGCCGATTATATGGTCACAATGCACAGACCACGTTCAAAGCGTGTAAGTATTTATTCCAGGAGATCAGCCCGGCCAAATCCTGCATCTCGTTGCGTTAGGTGACGAAAGGTATCATACTGCCCGCGTTTCATCCGCACTCGGAGGATCGACCTGGATTTTGGAGGAACTGCCAGCATCATTCCCTTTCGTACGGTCTGTCTATTCTTACGCCGTACTTCAGAGTAGGATAATGCTCAAACTCTTGCTACCGACCCGATTTTGAGTCTACAATACTACCCTCCGATGGGAATGATGAAGACGAACCCGATGTCAACGAAAAGCTCCCTTCATTATCTAACCTCCCCTCTTTCTCCTCTTCCTCCTTCCTGGCTCATCATCTCCAAACCCGAGGTTGAACTCAAGCCTACTGGCATACCCGTCCCGCATTCCTCCCTCTCCCTCTTCTTCCCCCTCACCACAATCCACATCCATACCCGCCGGAAACAGCGACAGAGATGACAACTTAAACCTGGGTCAGGTCCGTAGGGTGTTTAGAACTTCGATTAGGACTACCCTACTAAACACATAAGAGATCTTCGGATGCTCTGTAGTAGAGCCTGGTGTTTCACGGACGAAAATGACTTTGAATGTATCCGGTCATATGAAGCAAACGATTCGGTGGATTGGGCATCAATGGGCATACATGGTCATCTACAATATCCGTGGTAGACTGTACGTTATTACATCAGGTAACATGAAACAAACAATGTCGTGTATTGGGCATCGCATACATGGTCGTCTATGATATTCGTGGGCGGCTGTACGTTGTAGATTTCGTAGATCATAAGCAGAGTTCAGCAACCAAGATATACCGATGAGAGGTGGACTACGGAGTGGAAGGGCCAAGCCCTCCTACGGAAAATGATGAGTAAGACCGCGATACTAGTAACAAAAACTGAGAGTATGGCCGGGTGCCAAAGGATGTCAACTCACCTACCGTTCTCCATATCTCCCCCTCGTCACCCTCGCTAGTCTCCGACCTGCACCTCGTCGAGTACATCCTCTCATGCTCCCCTTCCGCCATTCTGCTCATGACGTGTTATCCGGCAGTTGACCGCATCCACCAGTGTGGTCCCTTCGAGAACGGTGTTAGGACTTCTGGGAGTGTTGGTGTTCGAGTGAGTCGAGTTAGGGCTCCGGCAGCGAATATACTTGTCGTCATGTGGTAGCAATGGTCCCAGGCGAAGCGCTCCGGGATCTTTCTTCGCCAATAGACTTGAGACAAACCGGTTCACCTCCTTGCTGTCTACATCGAGTGAAAGCTCTTATTGAGCACATCTCTCTCGCTCGTGAAGTGTACCATCACATACCTAGCGCGCGGGCAAACTTTTCCTTCTCGTTTTTGCCCATGTTCATGGTCTCATCCATGACCTGGAATCCCTTGAACTGATCCCACTGAGCCTCCCAATCCCAGTTCCACCCGCAGCTGCTATCCACTAAACACTTCAAGGTGCCCTGAATCCACCGATCTTCCACGACATATCCAGACTCTCCTCCCGGAACGGGGCTTGTAGGATCATTGTCACGGTTTCGATCGCCAACTGCACAAGCGCTGAGGGTATGGGACGAGCCTCCAAGACTGACGCGTACGTGGGTACGAACGTAGAAGGTGTATCCGTGTGCTAGTTCGTGCACCATGCATACGAGGAACAGGAAGATGAGGTCCGGGTGTTGCTTCTCTGTCAAAGCGGGCAAGAGGTGCGGCGCAAGCTCGATCCTGTAAGGCGAGGTTGGCGTGTCGGGCAGCATCAAGCGAGAATAATCGGTGACCTCCGCATTCTCCACAAGGGTAAAGACTTTCGAGTCCAGAAAACTATCGAGGGTAGTGTTGTGCTGCGCTTGTTCTTCCTTAGTGACGGATCTTTGTGCGTCCTGAATGAACAAGGCGGCAAAGGAGGAACGAAGGGCGGATGATGTCCGCAGCGCATGTCCGAGTGCTTCGAGCAGTGAACACACGTATTTGTTGTTCGCAGAGTTCCACTTGACTTGAATATTCAGCTGTAAGGTAATCATTTCGAGTTTAATGCAAAAAAATGAGATGTACAGTGTAGGCCCACTCCTTGATCCGCCACTTCGAAATTATTTATTTTCTGACCCGCCTTCACATCCTCATGCAAGGTGTTTGCTTTGGGGTTCGAAATGTTCTTAAGGGCCCTCAGGATAAAATCCACAAAGCTCCTAAGGCAAATATGCACTTTCTGGAGACCAAACAGTGATGTGGCACCCGATCGCCACAAAAGTCACTCCTTGATCCAACCCCACCCCGCACGATTCCCCCCTTACAATAGTGGCACATGTTGGTTTATATACTGGACATGACCTCAAATATTGATAATTGACAGTATTCATGCTCGAGCTCCAAGGTGGACGAGCTGTGAGCAGCACATTTGCAGTGGATCAAGGACCGGGGTCGGATCAAGGAGTGGGCCTACACTGTATCGTAGGCGGATTACTGACCCCAGCATTCTCTGGAGCGCAATTGTCAGTTTCTACTACTGTAGATCGAAGCCTTGGTGCTACTGATGGCCGGGTTGAGGCTGATACTGGTCTTGTCGGACTGTTTGGAGTGGTCGGAATTGATGCCGGTATGATTGTGTCGGGAGTAGGTGGAAATAGTAGAGTTACGACTGGGACCGTTGGATCTGGGCGAGTCATTGTAATCGAGCGCGTGCCAGAGACCTGGGCGGATTTATGCAAGCTTGAAGTGGAACCACCCGTCAAGCTCGATGCAGAAACACTTGAACGAAGAGGCGACGGGTGCGAGCGCGCCTCCACTGACACGCCTTCTGGAGACACTGGAGATGGCTGGCGTTCCAATATGATACATTTTAAGGCCATGCGTTTGGGGTACTAAAAAGTAGACTGATGAGATGCTAACACGCACGTTGGATTTCCATAGCGCCATCGGCACTGCCTGCACGACAGCCATTAATCCCTTTCTGATCGCTTTTCCCATACGAGAGCTCTTGACTGAAGTGTCTGCAGTCATGCGCATTAGAAAGGAGTCAATTAGAGGCTGGTTGGAGCCTCTGTGTAGTAAACATACCTCGACGGTCATGCCTGGTGCCAGGAAGTACCGAATCAGACTCTTCGGGTTGGTGACCTAGGGGCAAGCAACCACTGATCAATGAACGTACAGAATGGAAAGCTGGCATCATAGTTGAATGGTTCCTCGGGTAAGAGATGGATGAGATTGTGGTGGTGTCGGATAGAGACTGGACGCCCGCTATCTCGAGGGAGAATACTGTGATGCGTATGCGTTATTTGGATCGGGCGCTACGCCAAGCGGAAGAATCGCGCGGATCAGTAACAAAAGCGCCCTGAATTCCCTGAGTGGGAACGAGAAGCGAGTTTAGAGCACGGTCAGACACTGAACGTCACAGATCTAGTAGAGGCCCATAGCTGTGATATTTCCTCTAGTCAGCCTTATACTGCAGGTGGAATTTTCGTGTGGAATTCTTTCGCGCTTCCTATAATAACCTGGGATTCGGGGTGAAGCTTTCTCCAGTTCATAATCTCAGGAGACGCCTTTAGAATTCACCATAAGTAAAGCAGATAGGGTCATGATTGGAATCCAGGACCACGAAGTAGCTTCAAACTGGATTGGTGGATGACGACAACCCTCCCAACACGTTGAACAAACCAGGCAGAGATTATTGATCAAAAATTTCCATACATAAATTAAGGGAACGCAAAGGCCTCAAAATTACCAATAGTAAGCAAATAATGCGTCAAATAAATGTACGACCCGACCGCACTTTTAAGGCATTCTCGCTGAAGGTGTTTGCTCGGGATTCAGACAATCCGGTATGAGTGAGGCGACTAAGGTTAGGAGCGACGGCAATAGCAGTAGCAAGAACAGGAATGGAATTCAAGGGAAATCCCGGAATGGAAGGCGCGTACGTACGTACAATGGCGGACTAATAAGTACGTAAGTAGGATCCTGGGTGGAAGGCTGGCAGCCGAGGACCTGAGCCGGGCTTTCTCGTGCATCCATTACGTTTCCTTCTTACACTCTACATAATGAATTATATCTATGAGTAACCAGACACTTTATCAGTAGAAGTTACTGTCGATGACCCGGATCTGAAAAGTGGCCTAGAAGTGAAAAGCTTGCTGTTCTATGGTTTCCTCTCATGCTGGCACCACAGAATTTTTACTATATGCTCGGGTTGTTTATCCTAGCACATATGCTAACTTCTGTATGGAGCGAGTGAGTGTATGAGGAGAAACAAATCAAAAGGTGTCGAAAGCGGTCCGTTCGACTTCCGCGCCAATTTGGCACGGCAAAATCGTGCTCGTCACCGGCAGTGACGTTGAGCCACATTTTTTCTCTCAAAAGATTTACGAATTTAATAGCCTTTCTCAAGTGTGGGAGACTAATGGACTGGTATATGATATAGCGAGAGATCTTGCAGACAGTTTCGGTGGCCATGAGATGGCCAATAAGTATGCCGCATATCGTCTTTTCATGACAACCGAATGAATACTGTACTTTTCAACGCAGATGTTCATGTCCCCTGTCCCAGGGGGGTCATGAACGAACCTCCTTCATGGGACAGTCCCACCCTCCGGACCACCTGTGAACCTGAAAATGGGACATGTGGTAAAACAATCGAAAATATAATATTTTCGTGCATTCTCTTCTCACTTGTTTTAAATGCTCTTTTTCACCCAGAATATATATATGTTATCACTTCAGAGCAATAGGAGGTAAAAAGTGACACTCCTACTGTTAAACTACCTTTTTGAGACCCGGAAGGAGAGCCAAAGCAATTGAAAACCCAAGAGAGTCGCGACGGGAAAGGAACATGGTCCCATGTCCCAAGCCGGTCGTGAACCGGGACACGAACGAATTATGTCATCACGGCAAACTCCGAGGGGCGGTGGCGTGAACATCTGCGTTGAAAAGTACAGTATCAGGATATGGAGGTCACATCATTCCACAAATATTAGGGTAAGTATATAGATGCAAAATATCACATTATGGGTACTTTCTGTATGCTATGATCTACTTAGTAATCACGGTTCTGAAATCGGTGGACAAGGGCAGTATGGCTCCTTTCAGCGTGCTTTGTGCCACCCGTATCGGCAACGAAACTAGATCTATATTTTGGAGTAACTGTGTTCAAACTGACGCCTGGCAGAGGTGTTTAAGTATATCAGTCAGGGGTAAAAGTGCCACACAAATACCCTCCTTCGACATCTCATCGTTTCCCGAACCGAAGCAGCCCACAAGATGGGTTTCAGGACTGATAAGATCTAAATCAGCAAAAGATTTCATTGAAGACCCAAGTCGCCAGCTTCTACGCCTGTCCAGCTTCCCAGTGGGCCACAGTCGGTGTCGCGAAACAACACTTTCCTCGGAACGAACGCCTCACGCTATAAAATCATCTAAAATCATAAACACAACACCGGAATCATCCATTCGTACTCGAGCACTTCAACTTCAACTTGTTCATATGTACATAGCATACGAGGCATATTTGTATAAGTAGGCGTGACTATGCATGGCTACCACTTCACGAAAGGTCCTCAACCAAACCGCGAACTGTACACAACGTCAACGAGATTCGAAGAGAAATTAAGACTAAGGCAAGAGGCGAGAAGTTCGAACGTTCAAAGCGTTCAGAGAGGTAAGACAGGTGGATGGAAAGAAAAATAAAGTGAAGGAGTGAGCAGTGAACGAGGACTGAGTCGCGGAGTCCTGGAGTCGACGTATTTCGGAGCTTAAGCAGAGCGGGGAAGACGGCGACGGATTATTGTTTGTATGTATGCGCAACTGCGACTGCGACGACGTATCGAAAGAAAAGAGGGTGGAATACAAGAACGAAACGAAACGAAACGAAGCAATAAGGCAAGAAAAAGCGACGAACAAACGAACAAACAGGCGTACGGGCATAGAACAGAACTGTCACACATTTCGACATGACCACGATCACGAGCAAAGAGAGGGGGGAACGAGCAGAAGCGAACAGGGTTGCGTCCAAAAGGACGTATTTCCCCCATCCGCACTGACTTACTCAACCCTCTCCGTCAACTGTCCAATACTCAACCTCCTCTTCCTCTTCTCCCTCTCCCTATCTCCCCCTCCCTCTCCCTCATCCCCCCTCGCTCTCGCCCTCCTCCTCGACTCTCCTCCCCCTCCACTCCCTCCCCCTCCACTCCCGTCCTTCTCGCCCCGTCCCCCCGCATCCCTCCCATCCCCCCTCAACGGCGGCAAATGCAACTTCCCATCCTGTCCCCCCGGCCCCCCATTCGCACCCGGGCCACCCACACTCGCCCCCCCACTCCCATTCGCACTACCACCCCACTGTTGAGGAGGCGGCGGCGGCGGCGGCGGTCCTCCCTGCTGCACCGGAACCTGCTGTTGCTGCTGCTGACCAGGTTGTGGCGGCGGCGGCCCATTCGCATACGTCGGATACCCCCACGATCCCTGTGGTTGTTGTTGTTGCTGCTGCTGATGCACCGGCGTCTGTCCCCCACCTCCATTACCTCCCGAAGGCGGCCCTGGCGGCGGCGGTCCTCCCTGTTGCTGAGGAGGCGGATAATACCCCCTCCCATAATATCCCTCCGGGCCCGGTGCCCTGCCATATTCCTGTCCAGGCGGCGGAGGCGGCGGCGGCCCACCCTGCGGCCCTGGTGGTCCTCTATTATACGCATCGGGCCTATAGGCCTCCCTATACGGACTATTATCCTGTTGCGGGGGCTGCTGAGGCGCCTGTTGAGGCGGCGGCGGTCCTTGTTGTTGAGGTGGCAAAGGCGGCTGCTGCTGCCTATAATACGGATGATCTCTATAATCATGCGGACCCTGCGGCGGCAGCTGATGATGCTGATAATGCCCATACGGCGCCCCAGCAGGCTGTGGAGGCGTCGAATATCCCGTAGGGGGGCCAGGCGGCGGTGGCCTTCCTCCTCCCGGCGCAGACCCAGGCGGCGGAGGCGGAGGCGGCGGTCCAGACTGATAATACGGACTCGCCTGTGCAGGCGGGGGTGGCTGCTGCAATGGCGGCGGACCCGCGCTTCCTCTCCCTCCGGCCGAACCAGGCGGAGGTGGAGGAGGCGGCGCGCTCCCGTTCGTGGGCGTCGTGTTCGCACCGGCGGGATACGTCGCAGGACTGCTCGTCGGAGGCGTCTGGGGCGGCGGGCCTTGGCCTACAGCCACAGGGACCGGAACCGGAACTCCAGGGGGCGGGGGCGGACCAGGGACAGGACCGGGTGCGGGCGGTGGGGCGTATTGGGCGTAGTACGGCGAGTATTGGACTGGCTGTTGATGTTGTGGCGGCGGCGGTCCATACGGGTTATATTCCGCCGGAGAGTATCGAGGGGCTTGGTGCTGAGCGTGCGGTGGTGGAGGCCCGTATTGATGGTGCGGAGGAGGATGGGAATAGTGCGGATCGTAGGAAGGTTGGGGAGGGGGTGGCGCCGGAGCCCAGCTCGTGTAGTACGGGTGTGGGGGAGGCGCAACGGGATGCTGGGGAGGCGGAGGCTGGTGCTGATGTTGAGGAGGAGGAGCATAAGCAGCGTGCGTCGGAGGAGGCGCAGAATAATGAGGTGGAGGGGGCGCTTGTTGGTGTTGATGCTGTGGCGGCGGAGGCGGAGGAGGATGAGTCGGGGTCGCAGAATGAGCATGCGGTGGCGGCGCGACAACTCCTGGAGGCGGAGGAGCAGGTTCGTACCCAGGGTGCGGGTGATGCTGGTACGGCGTCGGCGCAGCACTATGCGTCGGAGGGGGCGGAGGGGGAGGAATAGTCCTGTGCTGTTGATCATACCCTCCCGGTGCTCCACCCGGATTCCCTCCCAAAGCCGGATCGATGTTCCAATCCGCAGCCGGAGCATGTCCATGCATAGTAGAACCAGGAGGCGGAGGGGGAGGAATCTGATCGTCCACCCTCGGTCTCTTCGATTCTCCACCTCTCTCGTCGTCCCGAGCGCTCCTCTTCCTGCTCCCACTCCTATCCACGCTATGTCCGCCGTCGCTGTCTACCTCGGGCGGCGGTGGCTCGTGACGATGATGATCGTCGTTGTCCACGATGGGCACCGGAGTGGGAAGTTGCTGGGGGTGAGGAATGGCGGGGAAGGGACCGGCGCCGGAGCGAGGCTTGCGTTGTCTAATGTCTTTTCGGATACGAATTTTAATGCCTTGGTCGGCAAGGGAGCAGGACAACGGCGTCGATTCTGCATAATCGGCACATTGTTAGCATGGATACAACTGAAGCGACTGAGGCGGAAGAGGACGAACCTTCCATGCCGGGAAACTTCTTTGCCGTATACACATAAAACGGAGCGGAGAATATACTCTTGCAATGATACACGTTCGACCTGCAAACGAAAAGTTATCAAGCGTCAGTATACAAAATCCACAATCAAGTAGATTATAACGAGATGCTTGCGCATGGAGTCCCTCGCTGTGCCATTGGAAAGGAGAGTTCATGTGCGACGGGATAAGATTCAGGGCAGATCAAGGCAGGACCACGAGTCAAGGCCAAACGGGATTGGTTAAAAACACCAGAGAGAGAACGGGCAAGGGCCATCCACGAGGAGGAGCGTCCATCCAGGAGTACCAGTCATTCATCCAAAGGATTAGACGGCCATGGCCAATCCACAACGCCGGGCAACCAGTCACGTTCACGTTTGCGGACACCAAACCAACCACGGTGGAATCGAAAAACAAAAGCAAAAAAAAGAAGATGACGATGAAAAGCCGCTCATCGAGAGACGAAAATCCAGAGGGAGAGGAAAGGGATAGGATAGGGCGGGTGAGAGGTTTTGGGGAGGTGCTTACCCTACGACTTCGAACAAACTAAGCTTCAACCTGTACGATCCTTCCTGTCTTACCGACAAATCCGGAAAGACGAAAAACCCAGCGTCGCGATTGTCGTTCTCCGAATCCTTGAGGTGATACAGAGAAGAGACGACGGAACCGGTCGTGCATCGAGTCTTGCCGTCCTACGAAAGCAAAAGTGATGAGCATTCGAATGAATAAAATGAGAGTCTACGAGCGAAATCCAAGTTCGACCCGACAGATCGTCGTCCGTCTGTCATCAAACCTGAACCGAGAAACCAAAAAATGCAGATCCAAACACAATTACTGTACAACGCAATTCGGTCCCCGGGATGCGTAACCCGACATTCTCCTTTCAGCTCCTCGAATACTGCGTGCGGGGATGACCAGGGATAACGCATTGCCGTACCCGGTGACATGGCATATCGCCATATTCAGGCGTAGACCCGGACCCGGACCGAGAAGCCCAAAGAAACGAGCAAAAGCCAAGTGGGAGACGTATGCGGATCCCAAGGTATGCATCGAGCGACGCGTGATAGACGCGTCGAGGTGGACCGCGATGATCGTACGTCCAATACGGAACAAGCACAGGACGAAAAGCAGAGAGAATGACATACCTTCATCCAATGCAACTCGACATCCTCATCCGGCTTCGCCAAGCTCGCAAACATAAAATAATAAGGATTCTGAAGGTACGTCTGTCCGAAACCTCCCGGACCGCCCAGTGTTCCTCCCACCCCGGCCGGGGTGAGCATGCTCGCGTCGATGTGGCCGTCGTCGCTCCCGCCTGCGCCTGCGCCCACACCGGGGCCATGTCCGCCGCCCGAGTGAGGGTGAGCATGAGGGTGGGGGTGGAGGTGGTGGGGCTGGGGAGAGGGCGATTCGGAGGAGCGTTGGGGTACGCTTGGGTGGTTTGGGTTTGGGTTGTTGGAGGAGGATTTGTTTGAGCGACGGTTGTGGTCGATTACGCGGAGTTGGACGATGGGTGGGGGGTCTATTGGTCTTCTGTCGGCTGTCGTGATCGACGTTGGTGAGCATGAGATGATATTTCGCAGAAAGTGAGAAGACATACCACCGACACCGCACATACGCGCCTGCTTAGGCTGTTGACGGACGCTAAGATCATATTCGCTGGGATCGCGAAACATCATTGCGTGCAAAGCGTCGATGGGTAATTAAATAATGCAAAACACGAGTTGCGGGAGGACACAAGCGAGGAGAGAGGCAAGGGGGTGCGGGGGAGGAGAGACCAGGGGGCGGGATATAGGCGGAGGACAGTCAGAGGGAGAGGTGGGTGTTGGGTGGACAAGCGCCAGTGGGAGCGGGAGCGGGAGGGCGGTGCCAACCGGGGTCCGATTATTACGATTGATATTTGATGGGTCGCAGTTACGGTTACGGTTTGGGAATTGCGCGTGTGTAAAGTTTGGATTGGCCAGTCGTGATTATATGTGAGCACAAAAGAAAACAATGAGTCAGATATATCGAAGACGACAACGACAACGACGACAACGACGAAGAGATGGAATGTCCACAGGGAGCACAGACAACAACAGTGAGGAAAGGGAAGAAAGGAGGGCAGAGCACCGGGACAATTCCGTGGATTTGGTGCACCGCCTCCACCGTTTCCCCGCGCTGCCACTCCCTTTCTGCGCGAAAAAGGGAAAATTGTGAAAAAAGGGCAGAGTACTCACACGCCATCATGGAGCCTTTCCATGACATGCTGAACGCGGTCCTCCATCGAGCTCATCGTTGTGGGCGTCGTCGTCGAGGTCGTCGTCGTTCGGAAGAAGGGGTATCAGGGGCTGTGTGCTTGGGTCGCAGGACGTGGTTCGGGGCCAGAGAAAAAAGAAGCCACGAGATGCGCAGACGGCCTGACGGCATCCCCTATTAAAATTCACACCGCTTAGTCACGCCCGCAATCGATGGCAGTTGGGCGCCCACCAGGACCCCGGGTGCACGTTCCCACCCCCCTCCTCGGCGTGCCTTCCCCCGACTTCCATTCCTCACCGATGCGATGAGCGCCCCCACACCTCGGGTCCTCCGGAAGGCCCTCTCCCGTTCCCCATCGTCCATCAGAACTTCGGTCGTGATCTTCTTCTTTCGGCGACAATGCAGGCATCCTGGCCTAATGAAAAACATCCGAGCTCGTTCACAAACACAACAAGCTCTCTCGTGCGCCACACAATCATATCATCGAACCCATCTTTTGTTCTCGCAAACTTACCCTCTACATCCCCTCGCAGTTCTCACAGCTATATCCGCCTTCATCCCCCCCAAGCTCCCTCTGGCTCTCCCAGTCTCGCACTTTGGCTCTGACTCGAAGCTTCACACCACAATAAAATCTCTAGATCCCTTCCTCGTTTCCTCCTATGTCGCTTTTGGAAGGTACGAGCGAGGCGCCCGGGACGAGGAGGACGTATACGTATGCGGCGATATCGATCGTTTTTCGGGTCATGGGCGTCTCTCCTCTCCTCTGCCATGCTCAGGAGAAGCGCCGAAGATCAAGCAGCCTCGAGCTCAGCCTGTACGTCTCCAAAAATGCTACACCTGACTTATGCATAAGCTTGCGGTTCCAATCCTGGTCACTTGTTTTCTCCGAACGGCTGGACTTGGACTTGGCGGGGAATTGAGGAATTTCGGCTGAGATATGAGGTCTGCAACTTGGTCATCCCCATTCGACTCTTCCTTCCTCGCCCAACAAAACAGAACAAGCCTTCCTCTCTCTCGCCGCATTCTGTCTGCTAACCACATGTGGCACAACCTACCGCGGCCAGTAAGTATAGCCTCGACATGAATACACTATCTGTACCTCGTCGACGTCGTTTTGGCTTCCATTCCTGGTCGTACATAATGAGTTAATGTAGCCAGATTGTGGGGTAGAACAACAAGGATCGGATAAGGTACGCAGCTAAGTTATAGAGCCCAGAGTGAGTAAGGCTTCTGGCGGCTCAGCGGACAGGAACGACGTTGGTTGGGTAAGTATGCTACTACCTGAGTCAGGATGAGGCATGCGGTGGGAGATGGGATGGATGACGATCACATTCAAGTACTTACTCAGTACTCAGTACCGTACTTACAGCCCCCGGAACGATCTGAATCTCCCTACTACTCTACGCTAGCTCTGTACGTGACTTCATGCAGACGAGTCGCCCGCTGCGCATGCACAATCCTCGCCTATCCTCAAAACCACTTCCCCTCCCCTCATACTCATCCACACTCCATACACACAATCCCACAATCCCAAATCCCTATCAGGCAACCCCGTCCCAAACCGCTCCCGAGTCCGAGGAGCCCAGTCTATCGATGCCTGCCACTCACAACGAGGCATTGACCGGTTGACCTTCACACTAACGAGGCCGTTAATAATATTGTCCTGAGTTCGCGGGATTTGTGACTCGCACCGCTCCTGGCTCCATGATCATGATGCATGACCACGCATCGGTATTCAGTACTCAGTACTCAGTCGCCACGCCAATTGTCTGCCTGGCTCTGAATCTGAACCAGAGCGCCACCGTAAACTTGAACTGTCGAGGTTCGACGTCGATGCAGAGAACCAGGCCTACAATTATCTGACGCTCAGCGCTACCTATCTACATGAATTTCACACATTACTGTACCAGTGTCGATGCACACGCATATAGAAACTCCTGCCCGTCGAAGTTCCGGGGATAGGTCGCCGGTACAGACCTATGTAGACTGGCATATCTACTTACAGGTCCCACGGAGAGGGATCGGAGGGATCGTGCGGGATTGCTTTCAAGTTGGTCCCTGCTCAATATGTACATCGCTTTGGTTCTTGCTCACGCGTCATGCACAAGTACCAGTGCTCTTATGCGTTCGTTCCACGCGCTTTTTGGAGATACGTACGTATATGTGGACTCTTTTGATGGTTCTGGATATGGCAGGTCGAGGGTTGAATTGCTGGGTCCTCGAGTGAATCTGAAGCTCTGGGTCCGAGCCGTGGAGCCACGGTAATTGACGATCTTGATAGCTAAGACGATTCAGATTCAGATCCACAAGGAGACACACTTGCACAGGTGTAAGTCATGTAAGTTATGTGCGGTTGAGGCTGAAGCATGATGCCTCGAGGAGGGCCCGATGATTCGGTGTCCCAACTCTACTCCACTTTAAGTAGTGACGAAGAGAACGGGAGGCGTTTGGAGGGATAGCGGACTCGTACGGTGTGACACAAACCAGAACGGCCGTCTCTGTGGTTCTGCTATTGTACTTACTGGTCAGAATCTGAGGACGTGAAAGAGACGCAGACGTCTTGGAGCCAGATGGACTCGGGATACCAGCGAAGGCGAAGTGCTGGATGGTGTAAGTGAGAGTGGGCTTGACATGGATCGAATACTTCGAGTGATATCACCTACCAAGAAGCGTTGTTGCGATTCGGCTCCAGAACACTCATGCTGATGGTCGCCCTTGTACCATCGGGAAGGAGAAAAGATGTGGAAGGAGACGGAGGAGGAAGGAAGGTGGACGAGAAGAAGGTATACACATACTGCGCACCTTTGTCGCCCGTCTCATCCGAGGAAAATAACCTAAACATAGGTCGTTTGTTCCATCAACAGGTAATTGCAGATGATGGAGAGCAGTTAGCGGAGAAGAGATAGCTAAGTTGCGATATAGACGTATGGCCAGGGATCGCTCAAATGAAAAGCCCTTCAGCGTATACTCTTGCTAGAGAAGATGACAAAGTCTCTTCAGTTAGGGCGAGATGGGTTCATTGTACTGTATCGACACACCTGTACCGGACAAACAAAGTTCAAGTAGGAACACTCATCTTCAATCTATCACCGCCGACCGGCTCATCATCTCATCCCAGGACCCATCAACAACAATCAGACCACATGAAGTCCAACCCGACCCGAAACTAAGGACCACATCACAACTTACCATCCAGATCCATCTCCTCTGGCCCCTCATTCGCCCACTGACAAGACTTGTGACTTACGCGAACGCGCATGCCACCAGAAACAAACCAGCCAGCGTCCACAAGAACCTACGATGGCCAAGACCCCAGGAGCCTCATGATGCGCTCGCGCATCATCTTCGACACAGTAACCCGACGCGGAAACCGAGTGTCCCAGCGCAGAGAACAACGCACGCACCTACTCACCGGGGAACAAAGTCAACCGAATCCTTAGCGTTCACCAGCACACGGGACTGTACCAGTAGCAGATTTCGAAGTTTAGAACCCGAGAAACCGCGCAAGGCCCTACAAGGACCCACTGAGCGTCTCCTCATCCAATCACGCAAGACCCTCACTCCCGGCACCATCTCCTTCCCCCTTCTTTCTCTCAGCGGCAGACGCTTCAAACACTCACGAACGGCCTCCTTCCCACACCAGCGTCCAACAATCACAGATCCTTATCCATGGGCCATCACGGTGAGAACATCCGACCCTGTTTTGGGGGACGAAGCCACTGGGTTTCGACGTCTTCGGTGCATTTGGTCACGGTTTGTCGGGTCGGTTGATGCGAGGCATGAAGAAGGCCAAATGGATTCGCATTGAGGCAAGGCTGGGCAGGATGGGGTTTTGGGATGGGGCGACGGGATTAGGAAGGTATGGGCCGGGGGAAGAACGAGTTCTTGGCTCACCGAGGAGGCGTGGGTTCTTGCGATGACCTGTGGGAGCCGAAAGACGATGGAAATCGCAATCCAGCGTGGATCTTGTGATGCGGCAATATATAGGGCTGTCCTGGGGTCATGGAAGAAGATTAGAGAGCGTGAGCACGAGGTTGGAGGAGGCGTTCAAGACAGGCGGAGGGGATTGTGCATCCTCTTACGGGCAATAGTACCAATATCGTTGACTTTCAAAGCGTATCAGGTGTATGAATATGGTCCAAGGCCCATTGTCAGTGATTTGTAGAGGGCACTCATCTAGGACACGACCGTCCCGAAGAATCGACGATTGTATTAGGGCTACTATCCAAATGTAGAGCCCGGATGACTCGATTCAGAGTCGCGAAGAGAAAATCATGGGGAGCGGTCTTGGTGACTAGCGCCCGGCCGACCAAAAGTTACAGAAAACAAAGAGAAGCGAGAAACCTTCGCTAGACTGCAGCAGATCAACCCTGAGATATGCACTGCGAGCCACAAGCAAGCCACAAGAGTTGAGCTGCCAATCTGCGCGAAGCGGTACGATATGCGGTGACAATTCGCAGTACCAACCATGTCACTCGTTCCATAGCACCAAGTCATACAGACGATGTAACAGAGGTAAGCCTAGAATGCTGAATATGAGGAGAAATCGTGGGTTGTTTTCTTTTGTCGTGGCACGACGACGAGTCGGGACTTCCCGGATGTGGTGGCTTGCGGCGATCACAGGACACGCGCCGATTTTCAGGTTCTTTCCTGTACTTTTAGCATTCCCGTCGCCACCCACACGATCCTCTCATCGTGCTCAGAGCGATGTCTCTGACCAGCCAGTACAAGATGACCGGGTCCTCACCTTGGCAGGATGTGACCGCGCTAATCAACGCCAAATCGATAGTAATACTTGGAATCTTACCTCCACGCAGGCCACGGCCCATCAAAGTGATCTTGCCATACATTACCTCCATTTCGCAACAACTCACAAACTACTGCCAATGTCTAGTTCATCTTCTAACCAACTTTTATCCCCCGTATCGAAACCCAAGACTAGGCACCCGTCTCAATGGAAGACCTGCGCGAACAACTCCAGTAAGCAGTATCGAACCTCAAAAGACGCTTTCTTGATTCATTGACAGTTTAATTTCTTCATGTCCTGCCAACATACTTACACCCTTCTTATACTACATTACCCCCAACCCCGCCTTCAACTCCTTCTCCAAATCATCTGGCACCCCCTCCCCACCCTCTCCTTCTCCCTCCTCCTCTCCCCTTCCTTCTTTTATTTCCCTCTCCTCCTCCTCGCACCTCGCACACTTACAAACCCCAAACCCCCACCCACCCAACTCCTCCCTCCTCCTCTTCAACCTCAACCCCGGATCGACGTAGGTGACAGTGAGTTCCTCGCCAGCATCTATGTCCCGTTTCGCGATGACGGTGATGCGGGAGAGGGAGGTGCGCGGGTCGAGGTGACGGATGGAGAGGTTGGGATCGCAAGAGTGGTTCAGGTGGGAGTGGAGGGTGTAAAGACCGCCGTGGGCTTCGAGGTCTGTTTGGTGCGGGCACAAGCATATGCAGAAAGAAAGAAAACGTAAAGGGGGATGAGAAGTGGATAGGGGGTGGCGTGTGATGTGTGATGTGGCGTCAATAGGGGAATATTTCACGGGCGGAAGAACGGAGCACATACTCAGATTCATCTTTCCCAAACCCCTCAAAAACCCGCCATACTCGAACAATTCTTTCGCGATATGTTCAGGCAAAGGTTTCCTCAGAATCTTCGCGAGCTTCTTTTGGTCTTGAGGAGACGAAGGCGTTTGGAAGGCTTGGACGCAGAGCTGGTGTGCTTTTGTCCATGTGGGGCGGTCGGGTTCTGCGCCTTTATACCTGTTATTTTGTGTTGAGTTAGTGCTAATAACGGGCGTTAGAGGGAGGAGGAGGAGGAAGAGTGCGATGAAAGGAGAAGGGAGACGTGACTGACCAAACACTCTTCGCCCTATCCTCCAAACTCAACTCCGCCAACGCACTCACAACATCCCAATCCTTCTCCATCTGTCCTTCCTCGCCGCTCTGCGCCGCAATCAGCAGTCTCGCAATAACCTGCACCAGCGCATGCAGCCCCATCCACCTATTCTTCTTCACGAACGCCAACAGCGGGACCGACGCCGGGTTCTGTGCGGGGCAGAGTAGAGGGTGCGTGTGTTTCGTGCCGCGGGAGAGACAGAGACGGGAGCAGAAACGGGCGGGACAGTGGATGGAGGAGGTGGAGGAGGGGCAGGAGACGCTTAGTGGGGTTGCGGTTAGAGGGGTCGAGCAGAAGGCGCAGGCGGCGGATTTTTGTTGGAGGTCGTAGATGTCCCTACGATTCATGATAGATATGTAGTATTATATACAGATTGTTTTGTAAGTATCAATTGACAGGAAACGAAATGTATAATATAACGTACCACTCCGGCGCGAGTACGAAAGGGTCCTCTTTCCAAAGCACATCTCCCTCCTTGATTGCCTCTTTCGCAACCAACCCCTTCCCCTTCTTCGCCCCAAACTCCTTCACCTCCACCTTCGTCGTCCACTTACTCACATCCAGCCCCTTCACTAGCTTACTGACCGGATACTTCACCCCCACCTCCCCATTCGAAGATACCTTTTTCGAGAGAGGCGGTGCGTTGACCAAGCCTGCGGATTGCAGGATTTTACGCGTCCGTTTTTCGGAGACTGTCCAGGAGGGATTAGACGAGAGGAGGAGAGCGTGGAGTTTGGGGATGCCGAGGGAGGGGTTGGAGGTGCGGAGAGAGGTTAGTGAGGATTTGAGCTCGTCGTCGGTGGGCGTTGTCGAGGAAGACATAACGGGGTCGTTACGAGTTCGTTATAATACTGAGAAATTGTGTTGGGTACCAGCGAGGAAGCTGGGGAATAATTGGGGAGAATCGAACGTTTGTGCGTCTGCAGACATTTCGAGTTGGAGGACGCACGATGGAGGGATTACGTAAATATGACTTCGAGCCTTTTTTTCGCTCTGAACATTATTATTATGAGCGTCGACGCGTGGAGAAATCTTGTTCATCGTCTCTCCTTTCCACTACGTCGATATTTATTCATCATTTCCTCTGAACTCGGTTTTCTGCCCATAAAGTGTGCGACATTGGCTGATGATGCCAGGCTCGTCTGCTCTCCATCCTTCGGTCTTCAGCTCTATGCCCATTGGTCCATGTCTTTGCCGTTCGCACACTTGATATATGCACTAGGGATGCTATAGCGCACATGAACAGGCTGTGCTCGATGGTTGTGTATGTCCATATTCTACTTCGAGCGCTCATACGCGTCTGCTCCGTTTCCGTGCTGCTAAGGCAAGCCACGGGCATGAGACCTACTAGGGTCCTCGACTGGCCTTCTATCGTACCTTTTTTGGTGGCGTCTCCACCGACTGCCACGCACATTCCTCCATGTCAAGGAGCGTGGGATTCACTACCACTGTCGACTGCCTTGTGACTGATCCATATCGGCTCAGAATGTTGATACCGCCATACAACGTCACTCCCGCTGCTGTGTTGTCTGTGCAAATGGGCGTCTGCGCTATATATGGATGATAGCGAACCCTTATAATGTCGACTCGTCCTTCGTCCTTCCCACAACCCACCTGTCAGCCATCCTACCATCACTCAGTCTTTCTGCTCGATAGTCTGATATTCGATACTGAATGGCTCACAATAAGGCACGTCGTGTTTTAAGTTGGTTTTGATAATTTTTGAGAACGCGCTAACATGGGCCACAGACTGGTTTTCGATGGACACCGGAAGAGGAAGCCTGGCTCCTGGCACGCGTCATCAACGATGCAGGGCGCTCCAAGAAGGACGAAAAGCAGGCCCAGTGGAAAAAATCTATCGTTTCTGACTTTGAAGACGAGTTTCCTTGCCGCCCTCATAGAAAGGTCGGTGGAGCGGTCGAGACTGAGGAGGAGTTAATGGTGAGATGGAACGAGAATGCACGGGTGCGTGATGCTCAATATCCAGCCCTCATGAAGTCTGACGAGTACCTACATCTAGAGAATTGGGCGGTGGATCGGGAACCACCAGGAGAGCATTCTCAGAAAGCACGCCGAGAACAAACCTCAGAGCTTACGCAAACGGCTTGCTCCGAAGCGTACCAAGAATTTTCGGTCCAAGAACGCCCGCGATATGGCGAAGGCTCATCATCCGGACTTGAAAGTAAAGTGGACAGATCTTCACAAGCAGTTCAAGGACGGAAAGATCCCGAAATCGGACATGCTCGCGGAGTACAATAAGGCCGTGACCGTTCTGCTTGAAGATGAGCATTGGAAAACTCATTATACTGCCATGGCAAGTCGTCAGGAGCCCACCCAGAAACCCTCGGCCTCGGCCTCGACGGAGACGAACACATACAGCGATTCGGCCTTGACGGAACTGCAGATTGTCCAGTATACGTATGTTGTTTCCGACGCTCCTCAAATTGAACCCCACTCTGACGACTACATCGGACAGTCCATCACTCTCCATGTCTACGGCGACAGAGGCCAACGCTGTGCGAGCGCAATACAATGAGCCAGAAGCACACTTGGAGCACGACGAACGACAAGCTGATTTTGACCATTCTCATCGTGGAGTTCGGGACGAGGGCGCCGCCTCCGGTGAATCCTTCCTCACCCCACATCAGTAGGTTCCTTGTCTCTATATGGCGACAGACTCTTATACTTACGCCTTTGTTTCCTCTACCTAGACCAGTTCAACGAGACGATACGGAAGCCATGCGGATCGATTCTACAGGCCAAGGATCAAATGCGAATCCTGTACCTGATACACACGATGCCGTACCACCAGTCGTCGTTATATCCCCAGGCAACCCACCACAGCCAACTCCGTATACGACCCAGCAGACGACGTTTGGTGACACATCCTTGCCATCATTCGACATGGCTGCTGAAATGTTATGGAATTATCTCAGATTTGGGAGTCAGGCAAACGAGGTGTGTCATCGTCCATTGAATTTTGTTTTGCACCGGGTCTCATCTCTTCTTTCAGTGGCCATTGCGCGAAGTAGCTTCACCTCGTACGTTCTACCTCATTTCGTTAACTTCGCCCTTGCCCGTCGGGAGTAATGTTGATCTTAACTGACGCTCGTCTCAAGGGATACTCGAAGCACCCCAAACCACACAATCATACCTACATCCCGTGATCGGCCATGCGTATAATGCTACCTCCTCTTCTATTGCTCATTCGCTCGGTATATATCATCAGCCTCCAGCCCAGCCCTCCTACGTGCAACCTTCTACATATAATGCACCGCCATTGCCTCAAGTGGCCGTCAACTCGTACGCGGACCAAACCGACCTGTCACATACCATCGAATCTCACAATTCGTCCTCCATCGATAGCAGCTTGACCTCATCCACCACCACCGTTGCCACTCCTCAGCGCGATAGATTCAAAGACTGGTCGCCTGCCGGTGACTGGCATCTGCAGAAAGTGTTCCGTGGACATACCGATGATGGACTCAGCCTTGCATTCTCCCATAATGGGAAGCTCCTCGCTTCTGGTTCAAGAGATTGCACACTCAGAGTGTGGAACGTCGAGACCGGAGAGACCGTTCTTGGTCCACTGAAAGGCCACACTGACTTGGTTGGCGCTGTTGCATTCTCCCCAGATGACCGACGTATTGTCTCTGGCTCTGACGATCGTACAATCCGCATCTGGGATGTACAGACAGGCAAACAGCTGCTCGAGTTCGAAGAGGATACAAGCTGGATCTACTCCGTGGTGCTCTCATCTGATGGCAGCAGAGTCGCATTCACCGACGCAAGCTGTGATATCTTGATATGGGATGTGGACTCGAAGTGTCGTATTCGCTTGTTAGAGAAACAGAACATACTGTTTTCCGCCTTTACTTCTCCACCGATGATAGATTCATCGCAGCAACCGGCGATGGTAACCTCAGGATTTGGGATGTGAAGAGTGGAAAACGAGTGCCGACTTCACTCCAAGCGGGATCTTTCGGCGATCTTGTTTGGTTTGAAGAATGCACAATGTACACTCTTATCGATGAGAAAATACGTCGATGGTCCGAAGACGAGCCTTTCATCCTGGACTGGCCTTCAACTCTTTCACCGGACCGGAAATGGATTGCAGGCCGCATCAATGGTAATATCTACCTATACTCACGAGATCCATCTCCCGATGAGCTGGCATCGTCGGTGGACTATTTCATTGAGAGACGACGCCAATTGTGAGTGTTTTCGATCTTTGTTCATTCAGTATGGAAGCCTGATGTATTGATGATATTTTCCGTCAGTACACTTATCGATGCTGACTTGAACAAAGATCCCGAGTCTGACTCCGAGTCCGACGGCGATGCGTGATTCCCACAACTACGCCATTCAATAACATGACGAGGGCCTTGCTCAAGGGGAGGAGACGGGCGTAAAAGCGTGCGTGTGGAGAAATTGATGGCCTGAGAGGATATTGCGTGTAGGCGATTCAAGACTGGGAGGAGAGTGGAAGGTTGTGGTCGGACTTCCACCAGACAGTATGCGCTCTCTTGTTGTTCTCTTGCTACCTCTATTTCTTTGCTATGCTCAAAGATATTAGACCGTGCTTCGTCTGTGCCCACCCCCCACATAGTAAAGATGAATGATCGTCTTCCTCGATCGAGGCTGGACTTCGAGACTAATCCCAAAGGATAAACTCCCCTCCAGTCTCCAAGTATCAGATATCGCGGCCACTTCATGGCAGCTAACGACGGCATCGTCCACCTCGAACTCTGGTTCGGTATCGGTCTCAAAGGCGAACAACTCCTCCACTACGCCGAACAGCATGACCTCAACGACGCGAGGATGCGATGTGGTTCCATCCGCCAATGGAGGACGGAGAGGTATATACCGGACTATGGTACGTTCCTTCACTCATCTTTTGCCCAGGTCGTCGAGCTTGCGGTTGACGATTGTAATTCTTTGTGTAGTTTGATACTAAGTAGCGTCTTCTGGCTATTTTATGTTTATCTATTCCTCCAGGTCCCATAAAGCGCGCATACATAAAATGATAAAATCATACACTTCCGTAAGCAACCCCGTCTATCTACCGAACCCCTCAGCATTGCGTTCAACACCAACCGTAATCCTCGCCTGCCTCCCAGCCCAACCTATACCCACCTCCTTCGCTCGTATCGTCCACAGTCTCTTCGTACATCGGAACGCATAAAGTACCCTGGTCCTCTTTGCCCGATCCGGGTTCGTGCGCTTCAAGTTTTCGGTTTAGGACCGCGCTCTTGTACCACGCATAACTTTCTGGACCGAAAGACCAGAACGGCTTCATATTTCGCACGCTAGGGATGCTGTGTGGGCGCGGATGACCGCCCAGAAGGTTGTCTTGATGAAGTAAAAGTTGCCACTTCGTTCGATGGTCCCGGTGGATCACGGCGTACACCGTGTCTGAGCAGCCTGTCGCGAGGATCGCATAGCGCGGATGGGTGTTTCGTGGCGTCGACTTTGTCCTCTGAACGTTCGTATTCTGGACAGCCTCTGTCGCCTTCTGATCTGATGCCTTAGCAGGGAATCGGGCGTATTCAGGAAGGGAATTCTGTGAACCAAGGTCCATGACGATAGTGATGTATGGACGTTTCGCCGCCCTCTCCATGAACGTGTTCGCGTCGGAGTCGGATCGAGGAAAGAATCCGAGGTCCCAGCATTGATATGATAACTCCCCTTATCCTTCCTGAGCTTTACCTGCAAAAAAATAGCCGACATGACGCCCTCACCAATCTTTTTGTCCCACAGTAACAGGGGAACTACGAGATCAACGAACGACGCCCCGCGCCGGCAGATGAACGCATATCCTCGAATGAAGGCCGCCGCCATGCTTTCCGTGCTCAGCTCATGATCGTCCTCGACACGAACCCATTGCGTGATCCGTAGTCGAGCGTGCTTGAACGCCTCGCGGAAAGTGACGCCTCCTGAGACATTGTCCGGGTGAGCCTCGGTAATCGTGCCGTGGTCTCTGTAGAGTTCCTCAATAAATTCAACGGCTCCACATCCAAACGATAATGGGGATCCGGCGTCCTTGCGGCATCGCAGAGTAGCACGGTCGTATGCTTCGGTGATCAATGCACGAGCTACGACCTCGGTACGTTCGCTTCGATCCAGAAGGCCCGAGCTCATATGGTGGTTCAATGTGTCGATCATAATCGCACTATTTGATTTTCGCCAGGCATTGAGTTGCACGGTCGCAGCCTAGGTTCAACCAGCATTAAGCCAAGAAAAAAAACCACGATGAGGACACTGGATGAACGACACTTACCTCGGCAAGGATGGGCTCGCTAGAATATCCTGAACGGAAGTAGACGCCGTGTTTCGGAACAGAGTAAGCCAGCCGCATATGGTGAGCAACCAGTTCAGACGTTTTATCGAAGACGAGCCGAGTGTTGAGCGGGTCGTAAGCAAGACAGAGCCGAACGTCAATAATAGCAAGTCGTGCGGTATCCCCAAAGCTTTCGGGACGGGCATTGAGATCTACAATGGGACCGAGGAGTTTCCTTCGGGCGAGCTCTACGATGTTTTTGGTCAGCTTGGTCAGATCATCGTCTGTGAGATTATGGAGCATGGTCCAGAAGCTGAAATGATGTGAGTCTCCGAGGATATGGCAGGACGTTTTGAAACGTACAGCGGGCGACCGAACTTGGCCATGAACGAGATACTTAAAACGTCTCGGAGAGTGTAGGTGTCTGGCTCTATGAGGAGCTTGGGATAGCAGTCGAACGGAGTTTCCGTGATCGGAGCATGATGAGCGTCGCTCTGAAAAGCACGAGATGAACCAAACATCGCAGTCGGAGATGGAGCAAAGCGGGCGACATCGAATGATGTGGACAAGAACAAGACGAAGAAGGGCTTAGTGACGTGCTCGTTCAAAACAGAAAGCAGAACATCGTAGAGCGTTATAGAGGGAGATGACTTGGTGACTTGCGTCTTCGTCAGCTCATGAGCTTCGTCAAAGTAGACGACCAGCTTCACGGAACGATTTGGTCTCGTGGGATCCCAAACTGTCTCGAGAGACTTCAGGAGGTTGTCGAGCTCTGCGCCAGCACGCTTCTCAGCACACAGAAGCTGCAGCTGATGTGAGAGGACCATAAAACGATGAATAGTTCGAGCGACGCAATACGCACCGCCGCTAACGAGATTGCCGCATCGGATAAGTCGTTTTCAGTCTAGAATATTCACACCTTGATTAGTATTGTCCCATTGAAGATTGTTTGCTTGTACGAACTTCGCTCATGGTTTCTCCGGGTATCACTGCCTAAGCAAACGTCGATGCAATTCAGAACGAGAGCACGGTTGGTACACATGAGAGAACAAACCCTCGCCTCCCTCAATACCTCGCGTTTGAGGGACGCCTCTTCGATCTGTCGTGGATGGACTTTAGTGGTAGCGCATCAAATGAGATATCGGACAAACTTACCTCAACGCCACGGACTACACCACCATGGAATTCGTCACGACAGCTCTGCATTTTTCCTCCCGCGCTGCTGGGCCACAGATGCATCCTCCACTGGTGCGCTAGCTCGTCGTAAGTCATCGTAGGTGTTTCTTTGATCATACCATCTACTACTTTCCTGGTAGACGCGAAGAGACAAAGGAAGAACGTATGATAGCGCAGTTGTTGGCGAGTTTCGTCTTGAAGCGGAAGAACGAGCGCATGGCGGATTGCAGTATCGGGTGGTGGATAAGAGAGCTCTAAAGGGTGAAAGAGAGTCAGTATCAGTATCTGGTGCAGAAGTACGATAGCAGATACATAATCCCGTACGCGTCGGTTTGTTAGCACCCCAAAGGTTCAGTGGGATCGTAAAAACAAGATCTGCTTGCTCGTCGACAATGCGCGACTTTCCGCACCCCGAGCTTTGAATGATGGAAGCCGTGTTCGAATAGTCTTTCGTGTCGCCCTCGGTCTTCATTGCACAGATCATTTCATAGAGCTGCCTGTGGTAATCGCCTTGGTAGGGAGTTTTCCAGGCCATATCAAGTGCTGAAAAGGTGATCAGTCGGCCGCCAAAAGATACATCCGAGTGTTTAGAACCTACCTTTATCTGAGAAGCGAACGTGTCAGAAGGGAAGGATAAACGGGTCAGACGCAGACATGGATGACTAGGGAATGGGCTTACTGATGAGTTTCGATTTGTCGACGGTCGCCCCCGTATTAATATTAGTAGGCGCACGCTTTGTCGGCGGTTCTTTGCTTAGAAAGGCTGAGGTGCGAGCTATGAGTAAATAGACAGGATGTAAATTAAGAACCTGAGATATCACTGACCGGCACCCCTAATGATCGTAAAGTCGCCAGTCTTCCAACACCTTTGCAGCCACCTCTTCAAAGTCGGCTCAATGATAAGTGCCAGCTCGAGAGCATGGTCTTTGAATTTATTGCTCTGCGCCATAGCAGTCCACGCAGGGTCCGCTGGCGGAGTTGTAAAGCTATACTTAATGATGGCATCAAAAAGCTTCGCGAGTTGCTCATCATCGAGAACTTGCGGAGGTGTCCTTGGCCAGTCATTCAGCTTTCGAAGAATGTGGGTGTTGGATGCATCTTCATCGTCCGAGTCGATCGTGTATGATGCCTGTTTTAGCGGGGGTAGATCGTCTGAAGTATCAGAGGCAGTCGAATGCGACATGGCGACGGGCGAAGGAAAGAGGAGCTGGACGCGGTTGTGGACTCGGACTCCGTAGAAAGAATCAACTTCAAATTCAGTCTCAGCTTGTGTGGCGGTCTGAGCCGCACCGGGCCGCACTGGTGTCGCAACATCGCGTCGAGCAAGGCGGCACAATAGGGGTTTTATGATACGTACGGCCCCAGAGCTCATTTCTGCCTGGCCAGAGATTGCTCCACCTCGAGCGCCGGCCCCGCATACGACGAAGCCAACAGCGTTCGGCTTATTCCGCGTTAGCCTTCGCATGTTGGTGACAGCACCCCAGCATAGGACCCCTGTCTATAGAGGGCGAGGTCGTCCGCGGCACTCGAGAAACTGCCAAAATTTGTCCGGACCAGAGTCGCCCAAAACCGCCAAAATTTGTCCGGATTTCGCGGACGTCCTCCCTGCGGGGGCCATTTTTGTCCGGATTTCGGGTACGGCCTCCAAAAAGAAAAAGAAAAAGATAATAATAATAATAATAATCGGCCTGCTCCAGACTCGCTCTTTGAGCACATTGCGAGGCTTATTTTGCCCTTTGGATGGACAACCTGCCTTTTGGACCGTCAGTGACCCCAGGGAGGCACACACAGTGACCGAACAGGACGTCGCCACCCAAACTGGAGCTGATGCCACACCGCTGGGTGCCCGCCTGCGGCGGGTTTTTTGTCCGGACTGGCGGACGGCCTTCCCCCAAAAGTGCCAAAATTTGTCCGTCCTGCGGACGGCCTTCCACCACCAAACCTCCAAATTTTGTCCGGATCGGTGGACGACCTCGCCCTCTATAGACAGGGGTCCTCCCAGCATCTATTATCTTCTATAAACTTCGTGATAGGCAACGTAAGCATGCTTGGATAGAATCCCGTGAAAAATCTGAAGAAAAACAGCCCGAAATAAGGAGTGGACAAGGGGCACTCGATACAGAGCGGCGCGAAGCCTCTCGTGGGAGTGTGGAACCCAGCGCCACTTTGATCTCTGGGCTCATAAAACTCTGGCCCCAGGTCATCGAAACGCCCGTATCATAAAACCCCTAATGAAAACAAAGGGACAATGACAAGAAAAATAAAACCTACCCACAAAAACCAATTTATTTCACAATCACACATCACACATACTCAACGAGACCACAAGCAACATTCGTTACTCGCAATCCCATACTAAGTACTAGGCCCACATCGTCGAAATACACTCGATACCAACGACACGAACCACAAAAAAGCCAAAAAAGAAAGCGCATCAAGCAGTGAGGGTAAGTAGGGTGTAAAATGGGAACGAGCCTCCTAGAGGCCGTTCGGGGGACCGCACGCAGTCGTAAGTAGTAAGTAACATGTCACAATCGTAAACGATCGTAACAAGAGAGGCAAGCCAGGGGGGATAAAGAAGGTATAAACACTGAACGGGAAACATAAATAAAGGAAACATGACCGATCAACGAGAGCAAAGAGAACGTATAACGTATAAAGACAGAGAGGAGAGAGAGAGCGTGAGATTTCCACGATGTGATGACAGCTACCATAAGACGATATGATAGGAAGACGGGATGGATAATGATACAACTGCGATTCCAGCTTCAGCATAGCGGAGGGGGGACGAATAAATCAAGAAATCACGACGATATCAAGTCAAGCCACCGCAGGGGAGGATGTGCGGGCCACGACACCAGAGAGCGCTCAGTAGGCACCAACGACGTGCCTCTTCCCGCCCTGAGCCCTCCTATGATGTTTCTTCGCCAACCTCGCAGCCTCCATCGCACGCCTCCCAACAGCCGAAGCCGAAGCCGACGCAGCAGCCGCGCTCGAAGTCTCCGAGTCCGAAGCAGAAGCCGAAGCCACCACGGAAGCGGACGACGAGGATGGCGCAGCTGCTGAACCAGAACCGGATGCGGCGGCGGAAGAAGCGAGGACGGAACCGGATGAAGCGACGAGGGTGGACGAAGGGAGGGCGACGGAGGAGGCGGCACTGCTAGTCTCCGCGTCGGTGGTGCTTGCGGCGGCGGAGGAACCGGAGGAGTCGCCCATGGCTGCGGCTACACAGGAGGTGTAGGTGGTCTGGCAAGAGTAGGTCGAGGCGTCGGCGCCGGCGGAGGTCCATGCGGTGTTGCAGGCTAGATGGCACGATAGCAGTAACAAAAACAAAAGTCAGTCAAAAGCAAGACACAGAATACTACAGGGAGATGCGGAGGGAATGATGCAGTAGGGCGGAGTGGAATAGAGAATAGAGCGAGAAAGGGACTTACATGTCCAAGCAGTATTACACGCATCCAACGCCGTGCTGTCCGTCGAACCCGAGCTCGAGCTGCTCGCACCAGTAGCGGTAGCCGCAGCGCTCGTCGCGGCGCCGGTTGCGGTGGCAGAAGCTGCGGCAGAAGTGCTACCAGCGACACGGACGGTACCAGCTCCACCACCGAGACCGATGGAAGCAGAGACGGAAGCCGAAACACCAGCGGCAGCGGCGGAGGAAGAGGGAGCGGCGGACTTGGAAGAAGAGGCTCCTGATCCTGCGCTGGACGATCCAGACGATCCGGAAGAGCTCGATGAACCGGAGCTCTCACCCTCAGTGGTCGAGGAATCAATCGGGTCCGGACCAGGGAACGTGTATCCTGCGTTGCTCGAGATGGAGTACACCGCGGATCCAGCGACCGAGAGACCGGCATCAGTCGACGCGTAGGCACCAGGGAAGGTGGCGGTGTCGGCGGAGCTGTAGTCGTTGGTTCCGGAGCCGGTGATGGCGAATTGTGAGCAGGAGGGGTACATCTCCTCGGTGGAGGCGAGGTTGATGACTTCGTGACGGAGGAGGTAGTTGCCGGCTGCGAGATCGGAGGGAATGGTGAACGAAACACCTTTACCAGCCTTAAGGTCGGCCTGGTACCCTGTTTCATCCAGATCCAAATTCGTACCACATCAAAGATATACAACAACGAACAACGAGCAAAGGAACAAGCCAAGGAGACAGTCAGACACATGTTCACTGTAAGTCAGGAAAGGCGAGGCTGTACGCACAAGTTCCGGTGCTCTCGAATCCGAGCTGCTGGACCTTGAAGAACGACGCGGAGTTGTCGACGTTGTTGCAGTCGTCGTCACACTTCGTCATATAAAGGAACATGGGACCGGTGCTACAAATGTTAAGATCATGATCGGCGGATCGTCAGTTTATAGTTCACAACATGCATCGAAACAAAACGCAGGATTGAAGGGGCAAAAAGACGTACTTGTGAGGCCAGTCGGTACCCTCAGTGTACCCGCTGTTCCAGGAATAGGTGATCGTAGAGCCCGCAGCGCTGTTGAAGGATGGAGAGTGGTTAAATTTAGAACAAAACCAGAGATCCACTCGAACAAAAACTCACAGCTCGGGAGTGGAGGTACCCTTGGTTCCGACTTTACCACAGAGCAAGTTGTCACTTGAGGTGTCCTAAAACGAACGCGTGTGTTAGGATCATGCTGTAAAGATGAAGGCAACGGTCGACTCACGGTAATAGGGTCGCTGTCGGAAATCAACCTAGAGAGTGGGGGTCAGACGGGTCCGGAAGCTAGAAAAGTTATTGGACATACCAAATGGGACCATCGGCGGTACCGCCAATGAGAGGCGAAGTGTAGGTGTCACCACCATCAACCGCGATTTCTGAAACACATTCCGAGGTGATGTCAGTCAAAGGTCATAGCCAAACTGGGGTACAAGGCAGACGTACGGCTGACAGCTCCGTGAGCAGCAACGAACTGGGGAAGTGCGGCGAGTGCCACAACGGCAGCAGAGAGGATAATAGAAGACATGTCGTGAAGGAGATAACTTGAGGACGGTTGATTTAGAAGGGACGGAGGGGGTGCGCAGGGAGGACAGGGAATGTATCCGGGTGTGGGGGGATCGTACTAGACGAGTTCGCACTGCGTAGAGTCACTTTAAACGAAGGAAAGCCCTGAGGAGATCTGGATCTGTAGAAAGTAAAGAGACAGAGAGAGAGAAGAGGGAGGAGAAAGGGAGGAGAAGGTGCTGAAGCGGGGAGGAGAAAGGAATGCAGTCGTCTTAAAGACCCAAAATGGACAATGGTCGGCCTTTATGGGTTAGTTACCCGAGCGTTTACGTGATTTAGGGCCCTCCGCGACTCCAAATGGGGTAGTGCGAACACCACTCCCCCAGAAAGGCACATGGCAACAAAGTCGGTTCGTCTTTTCACAATCTTTTCTTTGCTTCTCTCACAGAGCATTGACCACATCGCAGGCTCTTTGCTTCAAGTTTAAACCACCGACATAGAGAAAGAAAATAGCAGTTGAGTATCTGTGGTAAATATTTTGTTCGAACGGAACCGGAAGATTAACTTTGCACAACGCCGGCGTGGATCCCCCGAAATGGAAGCAGATCGAACAAAAAGATTGCGTTGAGCCTTTTGTGCTTCCATACCTCCGCCGTCGCCGGACCCGCCCCAGCTGATCCGGGCATCGACCCCCGGATCAACATCTCCTTCGCCACGTTTGCCACCACTTCCGAGCGTCGACGACGTCGCTGCGAACACATTTCCGAACATATCTACTCTACTTGCAAGGCCTCCCTTCCAGTCATCCCGCTCCGCTCTACTCTCTGGACGGTGATGCTGTGCCTTCTACGTCGCCGATATCGGCGTTGTGCCTCGCCGGAGCTATGCATATGCACAAATGGGAGCATATGATGCCACAGCGTCCTCTCGACAACCTCAACAGCTGCGTCACCACCATCATCGCAATATCTTCCTTTCCTGAACATCTTGCGCTGGGGGGAAAAAGCAGAGGCAACCCTCCATACTTACAGGTCCAGATGCACATCACGGAAGTACGTCCTCGTCATGTTCGTTTCAACGATACGATCGATGCGCAGTGCTGCGAGGCAAATGTTGTTGTTGTCCTTCTCGTCTTGCTTGGTATAGTCGTTCAAAGCGTCTCCGTCTCTCCCTTTCTGAGATACAACGTCCTCCAGCGACTCGAACACCTCGCGGCTCGGAACCGCAACAAATCATATCCAATCGACTCTCAGGGCGTGGAACCATCATTGCAAAGATACCTAGCCTCGAGCTCGGGCTTGCTGATGTCTCATGTTCATTGTTCATTGTCTGCCGTTTCTGGCGTTCAAAGCGTCCGTCTCGCCTCTCAGAGATCAATCGGACTTCCTTTGTGTGGCACAAAGGATCCTTCCGATCTTTTATGACCTTGCAGGTCCTCGGACTGCTCATCTTGTTGACTTCGCCGCAGCGTAAAGACGTGCATGTGATTCTGTACAGCAGCCTCGAGCGTTACATATGATCTTGGACTTGTGCAACTGCAATGCTTGGAAGTGATGTACCACGCGTGGGTGTTAGCCAATGGTTGACCATCGTCGGTGGAGGCGTATGCAAGTGTGTCGACAAACCACGTGCTATCAGACCTGGCGAAAGCCGTTCATATAGAACGATCTCTAAGATACAGAAAGCAGGATCTCGTATTCCTTATATGATAGTCGTTTAGGCGTTTGGCTTTCTAGCCGGCCTTCCCCACATGCTCGTGTTCTACGCCTTGTGTATATGAATGTACACGTCATGCCCCTTTTGAGGGCGGATGATGCATGTCGATGTTTACCGTCTAGTTTTGTTTTGAAATTTCTCCAGATCATGAGCTCGCACGAGGATATCGTCCTGGAGTGCGTATGCGCGTAAGTATTTCGATCGTCAAAGCGAAACCAACATGTAGCAGGCGAGTCATCGTCAGATTGCACCCACGCTGCGATATTCAGGAAACACATAAAAGGCTCCTGCAGTTCTCTATACTTAGCGAGGTTGGATCGTGATCCCCGGCTCTGTTGTAGAAGAACAGGCGGATTTGACCGGGAGATTGACTTTGACCCCAGGACAGAGAACGACAAAGTGAACGAGGGATAATATTGGGAGGGAAATGTGTCGGGGTAGCATTGCGATAACTATCGTAAACTCTACCATGAATAAAACAAGTTTCATGCTCCGCTTGTGAGTAGGGCCGCTCTTCAGCCTAAGCCATAGTCATGATATATTCCTACTTTTACTGCGTTTAAAAGCAAGTCGACTCGTGGTGACATGGTCAAAACGCTGGAAGGTCACTTGATACGACAGCTGTTCGGCGTATGACCCCTTCCGTCCCGTACGCTGGCAGTCGTGGGCCACTTTTCGACATGTAGACGGATGATCTTCGGGGTTCGAGGGGTCTGTCATCGGAATAATTCATGCATAGCTCTTTGATTGTCAGTAAACTTTTGCTCACAATACAAGTGCTCAAGATCGATATCGCGACCGAACCTTGGCAGTATCACCTCTCGACCTGAGCTTCATGGCCTTTATCTTGCCTACTCTCGGATTATTGATTGCTGTTCTAGCCCCAATAGTTTTGGTACGTGCTGATGCAAGTACATCACCCATAGTTGTACAGAACAAAGATCCTCTCATCTATTACCATGGACGATGGGACGATTCGCCTGGGACCTGGTGGTGCGGTAATGATTCCTTCTCATCAGTATTATTCTGACCCTAGCTACTCACTGGATGGATACAGGGCGGGATCGGGCTTCAAGATCCATGTCGAGAACTTGTCCTCTATGACTTTGAACCTCGGTCCTCACACAACAAGTCTCCTCGCTTCCATCGGAGTATCCCTCAACTATGGAGATTTCACCACGGTCAATGTCTCCGAGGGGTCAAACACCCTCCCTCTGCAATCTCTCCAAAGTGACTCCGAGGAGAATACCACCGGCAAAAATGTGATCAGGATCAATACGGAGGGTTGGCAGGATAATCGCATCAATCTAGAGAATATAACCTTGAACTCTGTACGTCTCTTTCGAACCCTTCGTTTTATACTGTGGAATCGCTTTGTGGGCTCATATACGGATATCACCGTAGGGTGCAAAGGTTTTGCCCTACAAACCGTCAAGACTTGCTTTCCAGTTCATCGGGGATTCGCTTTCAGCTGTGAGTATGGTGATGACAGTGCCGTGAATCAGCGTATTTCGCTAATCGATCGACTGTCGATGATACGTAGGGGCAATACCTTCCTAAAGGTGTGGACCAAGCCTGGCCATTTCTGGTCAGCGAATCCTTCAAAGCGGAACATGTTGTCGTCGCCCAGCCAGGAGCGGCACTGACCGTATATAAGTTTCTCTATCCACTTGCGTCAGGCTGCTGAAATATATTTTATCCTAGGATATAGTCTCGTATGGGAACGTTCACGGAGTATCCTACCAGTTCTTCAAGGTACGTTTCGAGTAATCTCCTTCTAAAGGTAACGCCAGACAGGCCAATTTTCTATCTATCATCCTTTCAGACAGAGGATACAGGCTTTTACTATACGACAGACCACAACTACACCACGCCTTGGGATTTCAAGAAAGATGTGCCTGCGGCAACGCACGTAGTCAGTCACATCGGGTGAGTTCTGAAAACATTCCGACATTGACTTCTCCCTGTATTCAGCGAGTGTGATCTCCTTTAGCGCGAACGACGCCTCACAGAATATCACTGCAAATGCATTCGTCGACGTAAGTTTATTAGTTCCCAAGCCTTCCAGGGAGGGTTGCTGACTTCACAGGAATCTAGACATACTTGGACTTTCTTGCTCGCCTGCGCACCGTCTACGTCCACCAACCGATCTTCGTATTTACCCCAGTAGGTCACATCCCTTCTATGTGCATTCTCTCAGGGACTCAACTATTTGTACTGTAGTGGGGATGGCCACAACCGACAGGTCCCAACAGCTTCTACTACAACGGTAGCTACACCGAGATAGTGAACGAACGGTGAGTAGCCAATCGTTATTGTCTGTCCCAATTTCGTCTCGTGAACTGATCTGTGCTTTCAGCCACGCAGTAGGCGACAAGGATGTCTTTCTCGTCAACACGACTGGATGGGTTAGTTACGAAGACGTCTTTCCCGAGTATGTGGGTTCATCACCATCGCTGAGGTTTGAACTGATCCGAATTCATAATGACCAGTAACATTCACCCGACTGTGGAAGGCCACCAGAAGATCGCTGGTTTGTTCGAGAAATGGCTGGAAGGATGGGGGCTGCAACCGGAGAAGGAGTGGGCTACCCCCGCATGAAGGTTGAACAAGTTTATTCGGACGTCCAGTTCGTAGCGTTATGTCTACAAGATACAGCCCCGAACTCGTTTTCACTAAGAGAAAGAGATGGTATGAAACGAGGCCACAGTCGTACATAAGTAAGAGACAATAGTGCCGATAGCCCGATTGCCTCAGACCGCGCGTGCAACATTCACCCCTTCAGGTGCCTTTTTCCCCTGCCACTCCCACTCAAATTTAACTCCAAGACTCTTCTTTCTCCTCTCCCTCAATGCTCTTCTCGCCTTCTCCTCCTTCTCCGTCAACTTCCCAATCTTGATCGTCGCAAGGCTCGAAGTCCTGGACATGTCGCTCCCCACAGACATACTGAATGCGGACATGGAAGAGTGCCTCGGCAAAAGCGTCGGTCGCGCTGGTGTGGCGGAGGCGTAAGGAGCTGGATTGACGTGTGGAGGAAGAGCCGGAACGGGAGGGATAGTATCGTCGTCCGACTCGCTGCTACTGGTACGCGTACGAGATGTTCGGCGAGAACGAGAGGCCGCCCGATTTCGAGGCATCCGACGAGGACCTGAGCAGTGACTACTCGACCGGGAAAGGCTGACGTAGTCCTCTTTGGACAAGGCCGGCGGAGGTGGTCGGACGAGGTCTGCACTTGGTGAGGTTTTGGATGACGAGGGCGTATCGAAGGGGTTTGGGCAGTGAGAGCTCGATCTCGATACACTGAAGTAGTCTCCACTTCCCGTCGTGTTTGAGCCCAATTTGGTAGGTGTCAACTCGATATTAGTGAAAACTGCGCCGGTGCGACTACTCTCCAAGGAAGATTGCTTGTGCGACGATCCACGAGACAAGGGCTGACGTCGAGGACCGAAAAGAGAGTTGGATCTGGACGTGGGACGTGAGGATGGGGGATCGTAGTTCTGGCTCGCGGCAGTACCAGCGAACGTATTGAATGCGGCGGCGATATTTGTGCGGAGAGCATTCGTCCATCCCCATCCGTTACCCTCGGCCGGCGCCTGTCCTTGAGGAATTGAAGGCTGAGGAAACGCAGGAGCGACGATGGCTGTCTGGTTGTCTGCCTGGATGTTTCGAGGTGGATAGTCCCTAAGCCTGGAGCGCCACTTGTTTCCTTCTTCTTGACGGGCGGGTTGGAGCACGAGTGGTGGTGGCGCAGGTGCGGCCCAAGGAACGACAAGACCTCCATCGCGTAAACCCAGATATCTCGGCCTCATCTCCATCTGCTGCTCCCTTGGCGTTCCAACATTCGAGGCTCTGCTACCCTCGTCTCCCGAGCTCATAATATCACCGTCCGCGAGGTTCGCGACGACCAGGTTTCCGTCCTCGCTATCCGCAGAAGACTGGCTAGATACGCGTGCGGCGGGATAAGGACCATCCCCGAAACTAGATGTGGAGTGTGTGATAGAACGAGGAGCAATGACGGAGACGGGACGTGGTTGGGGGTCACGAATGCCGGTATAAAAGCGGCGAAGAAAGCTGGGGCGCTTAGCTGCCGAGGACGGACGACCGAATTTCGAGTCGCCGACATTGCTGCTGAACGCAGGCGCCCACCAGTCTCCTGAACCACCGGCCGGTGAAGGAGGCATCCATTCATCTCGCTTTCGGCGTCGAGGAGAGCGGACACGACGCCAAAAGCAGAGAAGGGCGAAGAAGATAACGATGACCGCAATGCCACCGCAGGTTATCCCTGTCCAAAAGGATACGGAGTGATGCGCGGATGCGTTCTGGATATGAGGGTCAGGCAGGGTGGTGTTTGTGGCTGATGCCGCCGCGGTTGATGATGAGGGGTTGACATAAGAAGATTCTGAAGTGGAAATGATATTGGAGGACGAAGAGGGAGTCGAAGTCGTAGTTGTAGGTGACGAGGTAGTAGACGAAGTCGAAGGTGTTGGCGACATAGAACTGGTTAAAGTCGTTGTCTGAGTGGTTTGCAATTGTGATTGCGTCTCGGACGCCTTGGAATAAAGGTCTCAGTTGTGCGAAATGCGAGATATGTGAGATGAGGGTAACTCACCGAGGTGCTTTGAGCTAGAGAGGAGGAAGTGGATGTCACAGTCGACGCAGGCAAGTCTGATGAAGGCACATCTGTCGGGTCTGCTTGTACGGAGACCGGTGTGTCGGGACTATGGAAAGGACTTTGATGCGAGCCTTCGTTCCCTGACCCAGAGTGCTCCTGATCTTCGATACCAGAGCTAGCAGCTACTATGGTGTCTCCATCAAGGAGAAACCCTCCATCTCGAGATATTAACAGTTCGCGAAGTGGGAGGTGCAAAGAGGGCATCAAGGCGACCCAAGATGAGGATGCGCGCCGGGCGCTGAGAGCAAAAGATATTGCAGCCTGTGGTCAACACGAGGAAATAGAGATGCGACGAAACATCTTGTGGTGGACAGTATATCTGCCCATTCGAGTCTGGCCTGGCAGTCTGAGTCCAATATCTCTCTCCGAGACATGGATGGGTCTAAAAGTGAATCATTCCCCCAAAAAAACTCCCTTAGTAGGAATAAAGTCATATAGTCTGCGCGCCAGTGAGATAATATGCCGTATACGGCCGTAAGGAATCAGAAATATTCAGTCTGAGCTCTACAGGGGAGGAAGGAAAGAGGGAGGAAACCGTGAGATTGGCCGAGAGGAGACATGAGCAGGTTATTAGGGTTTCGGCGGGCTCCGGCAATGCTACCCCTTGAGTGTTTCAGCTTTCATCACGATCCTGCCGCTCGCAGTCTGACGATCCTCTACAAGGCGTACACGAATACTGCTGCCAATCCATCGACCACAAAAGGTAGTAGGCTTGTTGACTATCTCGACAGATCAGGGTTATCTATCGTGAGTGCAATGGTAATGTTATAATGGCGTTAGTCATCTCTCTTCAATATCATTTCACGCAGGTCGGATATCCAAACCAATCCCAAACGTACTATCCACTTCTGTAGTCTACCTATCCACAGCATGGAAAACGGACAGACTCCCTCTCATCCCCTGGACGCCGAAATTGAGTCCGTTGCTCATGAAATTGCCTCTCTCAACCACCGACTCGCAGACCTTCGATCGCGGCGCAACGCAGATGCTCCAATCTCTAAGGTCCCTTCGGAAATCTTGGTCCGTATCTTTCGCTCCTTGTCCGCAGAGCCTGTCTACCACCAAGAGTATGGTGCTCTTACAAAGTACACCCCTACAAGGCGCTCCTGGCTGAATCTCATCGACGCTACGCATGTTTGTCGGTGGTGGCGCCAAACCGCATTCGACAGTCCACTTCTGTGGGCGAACGTATGTCTCGCTCTTGGGCCTGCTTGGATGGACGAGGCTCTCGTACGATCTCGAGATGCACCTCTCACCATTTCGTACGCTACAGCTCGCAGCGATTATGACGATTGCAATTGCCTTTTGAGCACCATTCCGTTAGATCGTCTCACCCATCGCATTCGTTTTTTCTCCGCTTCATCCCCTTTGAACGGAAATACTATCCCCGACTTCACCAAGGCATTAGAAAAAATGCGAGGTCAAGCACTTTTGTTGGAATCTCTGAGCTTGAAACTCGAGTTTCCCGTAGACAACTTTCGTCTCTGTCCGTTGCCGCCGTATTGGGTATCAGCCTCTTTTCCACGTTTGCGACACGTTGAACTGCAAAACATCTCATTTCAGCTTCACAAATTCCCTTTCCACAACCTCTCGAGTCTGAAGCTCAGCCTATCGCCTGACGGTTCCTATCCGACGGAAATTTGGCGCGTTAGACCTACCTATCGTCCTGACCTTCCATCTCTGCTATCCGTGCTTCGGAAGATGCCAAAGCTCGAAATCCTACATCTCGATTATTTTCTTCCTCTGGCGCGGCCATCCACGGTCTCGACCATTCCGTCCCAGATTCGACATGTTTCTCTCAAACACCTCACGGAACTCCGCATGGTCGGTCCGGCGTGCGATTGCGCTTATGCGCGTCAATTCCTCGATATTCCAGCAAACGCATCACAATCCTTCAAAACAAAATTGTACGATGGTCGGGGCGAGGATCTCCTTGCTCTTACGTCGTCCTTCAGGCCTCTCCTAGAATCACTCCCCGCCGGATGCCGAAGTATAGCCATCCACGATATCATCCATTTTGTGGACATACGAATTCCCGTCGAATGGGATGCTGTGCCCTATGCTCACATGGAGGGCCAAAATTATACTCCCTTGAGAACATACGGCGAACGTCGTTTCGCAGAAAAGATCATTAGTCGTCTCAGCGCGACACCAATCGACTTCTTGCTGCTTCATTGCGAGGATGCAGAAACGAGCGATGAATGGTTGGATGCGTTTCAGTCGATGCATTGTGTCTCTAAAGTTATGGTCAGCTTCGGAGGATATTCCTCGATATATTCATTCTCCCAAGCATTATCGGGGACTGTGCAAGGCCATGTACTTGGACCGGCCAGTGACACGCCCCGCAGAACCCTTTTTCCAACCCTACATACTCTCGTATTTCTCGACACCGACTGCGAAGATGAAATATTCGTCGAGCATCTTCGGCGCCGTCAGGCGTCGTCTGACCCAATCCAAGAGATCCATCTCATCCTCTGCAACATCTCAGCGACCACACTCCAGTTATTTCGCTCAATCGTGTCACTGGTGGAGGTCAAAGAACCCGATGCTCTCATCTTGAATCTGCCGAAGGTACGTTCTTGCCCGGTCCTGTCGGAGAGGCTTTGCGACCTTTCTTCCAGCTATGGTGCTAACAATACAACTAGGTGTTCCCGCAAGTATACCCTATCGGCGCGAACCATGGATTTTAACCACTTTCGAGTGAAGGCTGTATGATGCCGGCCAAATGGAAGGCAGAGAAAATCTCATTATCGATATTACCATACTTATCCACCTGGCTGGCGACGTGAATCATCGTTTCAAAAATCACACTTCGATACAACCATGTCTAAAGCTCAGAACAAGGTCTTTACGTCAACGGCTACCAGCGAATCTCGTTGCATAATGTTTCGGACCATCTGGACGAACAACACATCCCACCATGTTTCTGCTCCTCCGATCCTAAACGTCTTATAGCCAGTCTCAATCCTTCCAAAACGATGTACGGTGGTGTGTTCGTTCACGGTGTACCTCGGCAAGATTCAGAGTCTCGAGGGTTTCATAGTTGTTTTATCGATCCAGAGCCATTCGATAATTGAGGTCGGATTTTTACTGTAATGAACACTATTCTTCCGGCAGCCATGCTTGTATCTTCACACCTAAACAACCTCTCGTAATTATTAATATATTTCTAGCCACCCCCAATGGCAACCAACTTTCTACACTTTAGCATCCTTCTGCTTCCTTTTCTCCTCATCCTGCTGTTTCTTCTTCTTCTCTTCTTCCAACCGTCGCCGTGTCTCCGCCATTTCCTTTTTGACGAGGGCCCCCATATGTTTCATGCTCGCCCAGAGCTCGTCCTCAGTCATCTGCCTCGTCTCAGCAGTGTCCTTCTTCCCCGACTTCCCCGCGATACCATATTTATCCAGAAAACACACCCACTGCATCCCACTCCTCTCCACTCCATTCGCGCACAACCACTCCTTCACCTCCAGGTCCTCTTCCCTCTCCTCCCTATCCGGACCGGGAAGGTCCTCGTGATGAACGGGCCAGTACTGCGTACAGACGATGATGCCATCCGTGGACTCGGGGGTGATCGGGTCCAGTGGCCATTGTATGCGAGACGAAAGGAATTTTGGTTTGTGGCTGGCTAGCCATTCATTTATGGGACGCTCGTAGAGGTACTCTTTGACATCGGATTCAGAGTACTCTATCCCGAGTTTGTCCATAAGGTTTCGAACGTTGGAAAAGTCGAAGAAGTAACCTCCAAGCTTGGTGAAGAGGGTCATTGTTCTAGCGCATTCAAATCAACCTCGGCGAGCAGAAACTATAGCCAATGTACTCACTGGTGACTGTGAGTGTTGAGAGTGGTGGATGCCCTCACAAGTAACAACGGGCGCCACGTTTTATACTGCACGTCGGTTCGGATCGGGCCGGTCATGATTATATTTGCGACAACTGTGCCTCGTCGACTTGCAGCGTATCGTCGTTGTCGGTTTCATCCTGTTCTACGATCCTTGATCGATCCATCATCACTTCTCACGGAATGAAACACGCCACAGACTTTCAAGAAGAGGCACAGGCCCGTACAGACACGCGACAGCCAGCAGCAACTTCAAGTTCAATTGCCGCAGAGGGAATCGAATAACGCTCGGTTTGGTGCCTAATGCGCCTCGTCTCCGATGTAACTACTGCTCTAATCAAATCGTAGTTATGGTGAGCCTTGACAAACAATAGAGCTTTCCGAAGGTGAATGATCACAACAGCTCGTGAAACTGGTTTCATTACATCCCAAGGGCTGAACGGTGATCTCTCGACGGGGGTTCATTCTTGTTTGCGGAAATTTAGAAGTGATAGCCGTTGGTCGACCGCGTCAAATGGTAGAGGTAGATCATGACGTTGTAGCTGCTGTCTATCAGAGGTTCGTCGATCATCCCTGCCGCATGAAGTCGATCTCAGCCTCGACAATAGAATGAACCAAGTTATCTGACGTGGGCCAATTGGACGAAACGTGCAATAACATCCCCGGTCTTTCCGTAGTTCAAAATATTCAATCGTCTCTGAGGGTATGTTATTGTAAGTACAAAGTTGTAAGAATTGCAATCACACTACGGCCTCTCCACTTCGTCATCCACAACAATTACGACTTTCTCCAAGCTGCTAGCGCGGTAGGGACCGGGTCTGAGCAAACATTTATATATATATGGTCTTCGTTGACTGCAAGGATCATCATCACGAAGATTCCTTCCAATTAATCAAGCCAATCTCTGAAGTCTCTTGAGCTTCATCTCCCTTCAATCTGCCGTTCCAATTCAGTGAGTGGACTACCATGTTGCATCCTTTCAGTTAACCTACCGTACTAAGTATCCCACCTTGCAGTACGCGATGAATCCTAATATCCCTCCCATGGCCGCACCGTCACAATGGCTAGTTCAGAGGTTGAACAACATGAAATACGGTTACATTCGTTACGAGGCATCATTCTACGGTCCTGTCAATTCTTTCCTCAACAAGCTATACGACTCGGATCAGAACTTTTTGGTCAAAGCACAACCACGCCTACGGTCCCTTGAAACGGCCCCTAATGCGCGTACATCCATCGACTCCAATGACCAGCCGGTCCAACGCAGGGATGACGATCCTATCCCCGATTTCGTTGTCGTGAAAGGAACGGAGGATCTACACGCAGACGTCCCTTTCCTCATCATTGAGGTGAAGAACCAGCACGTCAGTTTCGGAGCTGGCGCCTCTCAAACCGACCGTTATGATGGATGGGCAAGGGATTACTTGAACCAGGCATATAACAAGGATCCGGTGGTTCCGAAGCCACCGAGGTTCTTGTATATGATGCAGATTTTCGGGAGCACGGCTTGGATATCGACCATCACGAAAGACGGTCCAAACCCTCCTATCCAATCAACGGTTCCCAACGAGGGTTCACATTTTAACTTGTAATACGAACTTGCGACGCCCAAAAGTTAACTTGCGCAAACTTGTCGGTGTACAAGTTAATTTGTCCCAGTTAACTCGCAAGTTTGCAAGCTCACTTGGCTGTCAAACTTGCGTTTACGAACTTGTATAGCTTGGCACACTTGTGAAACTTCTGAGATCATGAGGCATCAATATGTCCTTCTACCACTGGTATAACACTTACCATGCCTTGTCGGACATACCTACATGTAATCACGCGTTTGACTAGTTCGCGTGCACAATCGCCAACGGGTAGCTGGCCGTTTGCCTCTGTACCACAAGCATCACAAGTAAGGACTCGGATACTGTAGATGATGCCTCCGCGGACACAGTAGTCAAAGACCATCGTATTTATCAGAAGCGCTAGCTCATCAATGTATTGCCTGCCTCCTACTAAGTACCTTGACCGATGCTGAGCTTTCCACTACTGGTGCCCACTAAAGCATCACTTTTAGCATGCCAATAGCGATGACTTGGGCGTCCCCAGTATCCAAGTACAGCGAGACTTTCATAGCGACTAGATATATACTGGATGATCACATTTACTTCGACAGACTAGGCTACCTTAGTTAACTTGCAAGTCAGCATGCGTGCTTTACAAGCTCGCTTGAGAAACTTGGCCCTACAAGTTTGCTCAAGTTTGCATTACTGCAGTCATACAAGTTTGACACAAGCACACGCAAGTGAATCATACACCATGTCATAAGTTGATCAGTGTGCTGAATGTAGCAGCGGAAAAGGTATTTCAGACACATGCTGACCGGGAAAACTAGAGTGAAGAGAACGTTAAGAGATCGAGATAACAAAAGGCTAGTGTTTCGCCATGGTCGAAAGAGGTCATAATGACTTCGGGACTCCACTCAGATATAACCCGTACGCGTGAAGTTTACCGCTCTGTTTGACCTCAACGGGAGGGTTATATCATCGATGGAAGTCCCAAGTTGGTCCCAAGGATTCCATCTTTGCAATGGCCCGTATCGCCATGCTGGACATCTATAGCCCGTCTAGACAAATCAAATCTCCGAGGGTAGGTTCCAGCTACAGCGCTAGCTCGAGAAATCATTACGCAAGAGTGTACGCAGTGGAGGTTTAAGCCCGCTATAACCGAGACTAAGTGATCGACGAGCGAGTCGGAGCAGGAGTAACAAAGATTCGTAGTTGAGATACGCGTCAACACGGGAAGAGGGAGAATAACGATGTAGGGCACACCAGGTGTGATACTTATGGGTGTCATCGCTGGTGAGCTACATGGTTATCGAGGATTATAGGAGCACAAGTGCGCCACAAGTGAGAGGTACGCAAGTGCCACAAGTTTGTTCCATTAAGTCATGCCCGATTTGGCAGGCAAGTCAAGTTACAAGTTCGCGCCACAAGTTAAATTGCGCTGGCTCGTTCCCAACCTACAGAACATCGACATATGCAGCCCACCCATGACAGCCTTCTTTGACCAAGCGCGTACTGAGTTTTTTTAAGTAACAATAATGTACGGACCCTTTTCGCTCAGTACACTCTATTGATGGCCAAGGATTTTTCGTAGATCTGACTTTAGTAAGTGTCTTTGATAACAGATGGTTAGCCACAAGCTAGTACAGAACGGGTTCAAGGGGAGGGTCGTCGTTGGGGTATATAAGTAGAGGCTAAATTATAGATTGGGACTGGTTTCGCGACGTTTTGTGGCACTTGGAGGATATAATATTATGGAAATCGGACAGGGAGTTGCTACGGAAGTGGAAACTGTACACTGGCACGAAGTATTTAACACGCGATTGGGGACGGCCTCATGTTGAGCGGCCTGTAATTTATTGTTATCGTGGAAGGCACCATGCATAAGACAGGATCACTCTATAAAGATATCCAGGCGCGTGAACTCACCTTCGCTCTTACAGAGTATATCAATTTCTTTTTTCAAAATTTCAGCAATGTTAGGTACAGCGGAACAAATCTGCTGCAGTAATTAGGCTCCGGACGAGACATTTCACACTTCGAAATAGACATCAAATTTGTCCGACAGAGAGAGCCGTGATGCTGCAGAAACTTACCGCCAAGCGAACCCTAGCTTTCCTCGAAGGCCCACACACCGATCATCTTGTGTGAAGATTAAGTCGGTGTGAAAAAATCGGACACACGGTGGTAACGGGTGCAATTGAAAAGCAAGTTGTGGCTGTTTGGTGTCACTCGGCACGATGGGGTCGACCTCGAAAGTGTGTTAGGCAGGATCAAAAACAAATGCAAGGAAGAAGTTCTTTATGTTCGGCGCGACAGCACATCCCGGTTGTTGAGGGTGATCATCTTAGTACTAAGTCGTAACTGCCTTGGGTTCACTGACAAGGTAAAGACGCTTGATCAACGATAGATGATCCACGTATGGCTGCGAACATAAAGCGACGTTATATGGCCAAAGAAGAATGAGACCTCAACAAAAAATTATCAGCTGAATGACATCTTTCACCCTTAATCCGGCTTCAGCAGAGGTTTTGAGAGTGTGACGCCTAGAAGGCTGAAGCCTAAGCAGGGTCCGCCCACGTCGCCGATAGTCGATACCAATACTTCTGCGGGAGCATGGAGTCGATACAGTGCCTCATTGACACGGAGGAATCGACGAACGGCGTGAACTTGAAAATGAGAACGTTATCTCCAGCCTGAGGCTTATTTTAAAAAGTGAGATCGAATGAGTGCAGTATCTATGACGAACATCCCAGTCTGGCGCTCTATGACCGTAATCCTCCTCTTCCTCCTGCTGCATCATCGTCATCATGACTATCGACGCCGTCATAAGCTCAGCAACGGCCTTATAGACGTACTTAGACGGTCAGCTCAGGCCCGAAACAAAACCTGCAAAGCAGGATCATTCAGAGAAAATGGGCGTGCCAGATCTTGCCAACTTGGAGCGTGTCCGCTCAGTCCGCAACTTGCAATCCAGTGGTCGAGTACTCGTGGGACGGAGATCTCGCGAAACCCCCTGTTCACCCCCTCATCGTCGCGATCCAAGTTACGCGAGTTCAATGGGACCGTGAAAAAATTTCATGGAATGGGAAAGGGAAGGCAGGTTAGCATGCCCTATAATACACTGTATTGACATGGCGGTCCTGAGTGGACCTTGCACATTATCTTGGTAGCGCGGAGACCACTGGTCCACACGGAGACTAGTGCCGGTATGTACCCCGAGTAATAACAGCTCGGAGGCCCACCGCCAAAACAAGGCCTAGCGTCCGAGTCGTCGTCTGTACGCATTGACAGTTGTGACTCGTCACCGTCACGATGGGTTGACTCAAGCCAAACAAAGAAGAGAAAGAGGAGAGAGCCTGAAAGGATCTGGATTTGGAGAGTGGTTCTCAGAGCGCGAATGCGAATGAGGGAGAGATTCGGAAGACCGGGATGGAATGGGGTGAATGTACTAGATGAGATCACATCGAAGCTCAAGTGCCTTACGAGTCATGGTCTCGACCAGCCCTCCAACAATGGAGTAAGGATAAAGCAAAGCCCTCATTAGTGATCAATTAAGGCACTATCAGGCTGGGAAGGCGCATCATGATCCATGATTCACAGTGCACACTGAGTATTCCGATAATATGGGTAATAAGAAACAACCAACAGAGAGAATTTTTCAAAACCCAGGGCGATGAGAAACGTAGTAAGTGGTGATCCTCCTCCTCATGCTAATAGATGTCGAAGAAAAAGTATAAATAATGATTGGCACTCACCAGTCACCATGACATCGACAATTTCAACCACTGAGCAACAGCGCAATGCTCAACTTCGCAGGCTGCAGCGAGCCTGCCATCGATGGTCAAAACTACGAATGAACGATAGGCACTTACAAGCTGCCCCTAGACCTCAGAACAAAGCAAAGCATTCACTGTGTTCCTGGGAAGATGCATATCGCATGATTTCGGATTCATCTGAGTATTTTGATAGGAGTATAAGTATGGCCTACCGCCCACCAACGTCGCAAACAGAGATTTGTCAAAAGAGAGACAAGGGACGCATTGATTGAAAATGGATGCACAAGAAGAGATATAGTCATGGATCAGCACTCACCACGACATCGACAACTTCAACCAGCAACAGCTCAACCTCGCAGCGAGGTCGAATTCCATCCTAATTTTAGGTCACTGACACACCGCCCCTTATTTTCGCGCTCCGACGATGCATTGTCTTATTGTCTGCCACCAGAGCAAGCCTGTTATTGATGGTCACTATATCGATCAAGAACGCGAGTCGGTATAGACGAGTTACCGCTGTCTCCGATCCTAAGCCTCAGTCTCGACTAGCCTTCCATGAAGAGGATAAGAACAAAGCGAAGCAAAACGCGGGTTATTAATGGACTGAGGACCTAGGCAGACGCATCGTTCACTAATCCATGCTGGGCATTTCCGAGATCGTATAGGCCACAGGAATCATTCAACAGAATATTTGCCAGATGTGAGAGCGACGAGGGACGCATGGCTGAAGAGCCTCCTCTTCACACTAATGACGTGGCCTGGACTAAGGAAAAGTACGAATAATGAGCAATGGTCGACAGTCGCCACAATGAGATTCAACCCAGTTTGAAGATCGGGATAGATCCTGACTTTTTCAATCCAAGTTTCTGATTCAGACGATGGCGGTGACTTGCCGCGCAGAGACGGACACAAGATCGAGAGACTCACAACTGATATGTCGACGTCCATCATCGTTGACACGCTAGTCCTCGTGCTCGCGCCCCGAAGATAAATGTCCTGCCACCAAGCCTAGTGAGAGTCAAGAGGAAGGGGAAGATACCAAGAAGATACCTACATACACCGAGCACCGAGAGACACGCACCGTGACTGCCACCCAAGATTCGCTGTAGGCTGCGATCGAACCTAAGTTAGAGAAATCATAAGTCAGGAGTCGAACAAAGCAGGACCTGATAGCGGAGGTGAACAAGACGAACCACGAGGTTGGAGGCGAAGAAGAAACGCTTCTAGTCTTCATCGACAAGTCGGAGTTCGGTGTCCCGTTTGCAAATCTTTGCAGTCAATTTCAATGCGTGGGATAGGAGTTGGCTGATGTACCAGTTGGATAGAAAGAATACAATCTGGTCGAGCGTTGGAAGGTATCGGCGCCAGTGTGGATCGATGGGCTGACTCGTAGAGAGGAAAGTTTGGAGGGTGGAGGGAGGAAGGAGGCGACGGTGGCGCAGGTGGCGCAGACTGAGACAGACGCCGGGAAACGGGAGCAAAGCGTTGAATTTGAAATTGGATGCAACCAGGAACGAGGAAAGATGCTTCGACGGAAGCAAAAACCGATGATGCTTACTGCGGCGACTTCCGCTGTCCTGGCAGGCGTCGTCGCCTCGCTGTCCCTGCACTCTGAGAGTGTTCTGTGGAGAGAAGAGGAGAAGGAGGAAATGTGAAGGGATGGGGGAGGCTAGAAGGGGTCTGTATGCTTAGCTGGCGAGGGGCGGTGATTGGAGGATGTTGTTGGTCCATGTGGATGGGTGATTACGAGGCGGGGAACGTACGTAAGGGCGCTGTGCGCATCCAGTCGCTTCCAACGCTCGAATTTCCCGGCGGCCCTTCAAATATTTATTCTCCTCACTTTCCGGTTTGTTTTCCTCCGAGTCAGCCTTGTTTTGTCTTGTCGTGCGCTCCATACCAACAGCTCTGTGCCTAGCTCGACACACTCCGACTCCGACGACGCCCCCAAGCTTACAGCCTGCCCTTTTGTCTTTCGCTCTCCAGATAACTCACCATAAATACTTACAAGACGAGTCCTGGTGGTAGGACATGCAGAACGAGTAGTCGCGGGACCGGTGTCGAGAGCAAGCCATCGAGGACAAGGCGGCGCTTCGTCCGAGCGGGGTTTAGTTCGCCAGCCAATCTCAATCGCATCGCCAGATCGCGCTCCTCAACTTTCTACTCCGACTCCGTCCAACACCTTATAACATCCCCCTTTTTTTCCATCCCCGCTCTCTCTCTTCTCTCCTTCGTCTCCCACCACTAACAACCCTACGCTCCTTCGCGTCCAACCTCTCAACTCAATCGCATATGGCCATCGAACTCGACCCACGAGCGTCCTCCCCAGACTCGGAGGACGACTCCCCTGGGTACCACACCCCCTTCCTGCCCTACCCCGACCCCATCACTCTCTCCTTCTCCCAACACGACATTCGTTTCCCGACCAACTACGTCCCCCCCGGCTTCGGTCCCCTCATCAGCCCGGCGAACCCTTCCTCTCTCTCTCTCGCTCACCAAGCCCCTGTGCCAACGACGACCGGTACGCAAGCCTTCGCCTTCATGAGTCTCGGCCAACCACCCTACTTAGACCCGGCGTGTTCTATCGTGATAGGAACGTCGACCGCGCCTGGACCGGTAGGCCCTGTCGATGATGCGTATGAAGTTCCGGCTATCAATGGCAATGGGTTCGATGGGTTCAATGCGTGGACCCACGAGCCGCCGATCTACGGTGGTTCGTATGCGCCTGCGCCACCCACTGGCACCGTGCTGGCGGTACCTTCGTTGCATTCCCATGGAGAAGTGCTGCCTGTTTACAACGGTTCTGCCGCTTCTGGCCACCACCACCACCACCACCACCAACACCATCCTACCGACGAGGACCCTGACTTCCTCATGGCTGATTTCTCCGCCGACACCCAAGACGACGACGAGGAGTCAGCCTCAGCCTCCGACAACGACGACGACGACGCCCACTCCTCCGACTCTTGCTCCTCGTCCGACCTGACGGAGATAGGCTCCGACGAGTTCGCGCCTTGTTTTGAGGAGCGCGCTAGTCGGTTATGGCTTGTCGGTGGAGGGGGTGGTGTTGCTGGAGGGGGAGATGTAGCAGGACCCGGGTTTGGACGAGGGGCAGGAGGTGTAGGAGGTGATGTATTCAACGGAGGGCCGACCTACGGGTATGGTCATGGCCCTCTCTTCCATTCTCATGGTACTTCTCAGTATCGATATCCGTTGCCCGTTGATGGTCCTGAGCAGCAGGTGCGTTTTCTTTTTCCTCGGTATTCTTACCACCATGCGATACCGGCTACGTTTCGATGCATCACACCTCCATACCGTCCGATGCATCGTTCCACCTCCCATCCTCCCATCCTACCGTTCCTACCCGCATTTCGGTCGAGTCATGAGCTGACGCTGACTTGACCTTGAATAATTTATGTGGCGCTCCCAACAAACAACAACAGCGTCTCGACGCACACCTCAAGATCCACACCCTCGTCTTCGGAACGCTCTATCACGGGCCCGTCGACGAGGTTCTTTCCTCTCCCTCTTCCTCCTCAACTGCAAATTTCGCCTCCATCGACACGCCTTCTCCGACGACGCGGAAGAAGATGGTCGTGGATCTGGGGACGGGGACTGGGAAGTGGTGCGTTTTCTCTCTTTTTCTTCTCCTCATTCCCTCCTCCTTTTCTTCCCCTCCTCTTTTCCCCCTCCTTCTCCCCTTCGAGCCTTCGTGTACTGTTAGAGTTTGAGGTTTCGAGATTTTTTTGAGGGAATAAAGAGCTGACGTTTCGTTGCGGTGTGCTATGTAGGGTGATGGCTATGGCTGAGAAATTTCCGCACGTCAAGTTTCGCGGAATCGATCTCGGTGCGTTCTTTTTTTTTTCTTTCATTCGCGTTTCGCGTTTCGATTTGCCTTTCACTCTTCGTCGTCTATTCGTCTGCGTGATACACATTTACTTCCGTCCCGTCTCATCCTTCTCGTACCGTCACTTTCAACTCCCTGTCACATCCTCGCATTTTTGCTTCCGTCGACCCGACAACGTGGCGCGATGTGGGTGCAGTGATACGACCGCCGGCTTCTTTGATATTTTTTGCTTCCGTCACCACTCGCGTTGGGCTGGGCGTTATGTCCGAGTCATCATTCGGAGTGAATGGTTGAAGGAGTGGATGAATGCGGGGTTCGAAGTTATGGAGTTTATTCGCGGGATGAGTCCATTCCAATTTCCCATCGCAGGCGTTCTGCGCTCGGACGCGCGGAGCTTTGGCTCTGTCTTCATCGTTCGTCGTGTATCGTTCATGGGCCAGTGTGCATGGGTCTCATGGTCTTCCCTTTGGCGCCTTTTTTTTTCTAACCAAAATGGGGCGTGATTTTGCGGGTGGATTTGATGCTGATCTTACTTTCCCTGCTGTTCTCTTCTATGTTCGTAACCCCTTCACCTCAACGTGAACCAACCAACCACCAAAACACAAACACAAACACCAAACAGCGCCCATCGCGACGCGATATCCACTCCCGAACGTCCGCTTCGAGATCGCGGACGTGACGGAGCCTTATAGGTTTGCGGAGGGCAGTGTGGATATGGTGCATGCGAGGGTTACTTTGTTGTCGGTGCGTTTTTCTTCCTTAGACCTATGTTTTTGTTCGTTTTCTTATTGCTGTGACCATGGGCGGTCCTGCGACGCATATATTCCCCCTTTCTCTCTTTCCTCCCCTCCCCTTCCCCGCTCTCCCTTTCCTCCTCGTCTCAACTTACTTCCGATGCGCGTCCTATTCAAACATATCCAAACGTACCCGAACCCAAACTCGCGCTGACATACTCCCATCCATCCATCCATCCATACAGTCCCACGCATACACCTCCCTCCTGCACAACACCGCCCGCGTGCTCCGTCCGGGCGGACTCTTCCTCTCTTACGAATGGGGGCTTTATCCGGCTTTGCATCCTGATCATCCGTATTCGGGGGTCAACTCTGACTCTGACTCCAACTCGTACGCTAACAACACCGCCAACACCAACGCCAACTCCAGCGCCAATACCAACGGTGCAAATGTCAACGGTGCGAATGGGACACACGGCGTCGGAGGTGTTAGTGGGCAGACGGTGGAGAGCTGGATACCGGCTACGACGAGGTTTTTTAAGTATTTCGGGGAGGGCGTGAAGTGCGTATTTTCCCGTTCTTTTCTTTGTTCTCCCCTTTTCGTCCCCGTCCCCTCTCCTTTATTTCGTCCACGTCGCCTTCCTTGCTTTTCTTTCCGTCTTTCGTCCATTTCACCGCATAAAAAGAGCACGCACTGACTTCATCCCTCACTCTCCCCCCTCCTCCCTTCCCCCACAAATCAACCACAAAAACAGCGGTAAATCCCAACCGACCCTCGCCCTCGCGGTCCCTAACCTCATCCGTTCTCTCGGACCCGGCGTCTTCAGCGAACCGCACACGGAGAGGTTCTGTTTTCCGATTGGGAGGCCGTGGAGGCGGGGTGAGGCGTTGGAGGTTGAGGTTCCGAGGGCTCAGGCACGCCACGGCCACGACGGACATCCTCAGGCTCAGGTTCATCCTCAGGCTCACAATCCATACGCGAACGCACACGCGCATCCGGACGGTGGATTCAACAATGGACATGGACACGGCCACACACACGGACACGGACGTGAACGCGCTCACGGCCCCCCTCCGTTCGATCCCTACCCACTCACAGACCCACCAGGTCCCTATCCTCAATTCTCTCCCTCTCCACCTCCCCAATCACAATCACAATGGCAACCTGACCCGCTTGAACCGCGACCTGTGCGACCTCGTTCGCCTTTACACAGTCCCAATAGCCCCGGAAGCGATGGTGGGCGTAGGCCGGAGACTGAGACGTACGGCCTCGAGATCATAGGGGACGCATTCAGAGAGATAACGCGGGGTTTCGCTCAGTCGCTGGCTACCGTTGATGATCTCGATCGACATGATTCACGTATCGCACACGGGGGAGCAATGAGTGAGCCGGATGATAATCGGAGGATGCAAGCTGCCGTCGCTGCTGCCGTTGCGGCTGGCCGTGGTGGTGGAATTGGCCCTGGAGGTGGTGGCGCTGGACCTGGAGGCGGAGTTGGAGGAGGAGGAGGACCTGGAGGAGGAGGTGTAGGTGGTGCTGGTGGTTGGGGAAGAGGTGCAGGAAGGAGGTTTGGAGGAGGACGGGGAGGTGTGCCTGCGAGGTTGGGGAGGGAGTTTATGGAGGAGGTGGAGAGGAAGCCGGGAATCGTGGCGGTGTTGCATGTTTGTTGGGCGAGGAGGCTTTGAACTGAGGGTTGGCTTGGAAGTTGGTTGGTTAGCGTTGGACTCGGAGGGGTGTCGACGACGGCGAAGTTTGGTAAGAAGTCGGTGGGTTGCAGAGCGAAACTGAAGATGGTGTTTGCGCTGGAGATGGTGGAAAGTTGGAGTCGAGGGGGAAGTAGGTCCGAGAATACTTTGGGTGTTTCAGATTTGGATCAAAGGGAATTGCTTGCCCTTTTCCCCCTTTACTCTTGACGGCTTTACACCCATTCTTTCGTTCGCTTGCTCGCTCGTTGTTTTGGATCTTTGCTGTGATATACTTTCGCTTAGTTTCGTTCTGTCATTACTGCTGTACATACTTACGCGGGTGGTGGTCGGATGACGGTTGGATGGTGGACGGTTCTTCGTTGAGGTAACGTGTGGCTTGGTGTAGCTGGAGGGTGCGGGGCGCTCTGCCTGTATATAATGTACGACCAAATTATTCGCACAGGCTCGACAGTCAGTCTGTCCCTTGGATCGGATGTCGAGTTTGTGCGTGCTTTATACGTTGTCCATAGACGTTCGTCGATATCCTCGCACAGATGGGTGATTTATATGTTGTCCAGGTCGGGATCTTGGTTCGTTGGTGTCGGAGTAGGGCACGCTCTGATGAGAAGTTGGTGGCAGCGGCGTTGGATTCAAGATGGTGTTTTGTGATCGTAGAAAGTTAGAAGCGAGCGGAAAGACCGTCCGAGAATACAAACATGTGGGCCATAGACGCAGCTCTTGTTCTGTGGCGAGGCTTCTCCTGGCTTCTCAACTCGCGCGCCGGCGTTTGCCGTTGAGTTTAGCGCACGATTAGCGTTTTCGAATTCCGCCTTTGCCCAAGTTCCAACCTTGAACGTTAAACCTTTGCCCGACTGTATGGATCGTTTCTAGTAAACTAGTAACATCGCTCCCCCTCATCAATACCATACGCGTTCTCAAGCTTAATTCATATCTTTCATGCGTTTGACTACATCATTTGCACCATTAAAAGATTAATATAGCATCGGCGATTGAAGCCAGGAGCGCTGGATTCAACAACGCTCCCGCGATGCAAGTATTCTTAGATGACACGCGGCCTTGAGCATGCTATGCAGGAATGCTGTATCTCGAGTCCAGCGTCTCTTTGGCGTCTCTTTTCCACTGAACTTTTGTCGCACCTCAACATCCACAACTTTGAGTAGCTCCTCACTGTCGTTGACACTTTGACGACACTCGGTACGTTCCTCTCGTATCCCTTCTCGTAGTTGTTACATTTCTTGCTGAGTACATATTGACAGACCCCGAAACCTCTGGTTATTCGATGGAGGGTACGGCTAGCGAATTCGAGCTCTGGCAGGAAGAAGTGACAGTTGCCGCGATACCAGTGACGGTACGCCTGCTAATGAGCAAGCTCTTCATTCAATAAAAAAAACATAACAACTATTCATCCTAGCAAACGCTAAATAAGGTGAATACAGCAATCAAAGAGCGTCGTGACAGGATACATCACCTCCAGTGTGCCCTTGCATACACTTCTCATGGTCATCCGGTGAACACTGGGCGCCTGAACTCCATCGTACTTGCCCTCACTGAACTCTTCGTCTTCGAACGTTTCGACAATTCCCTCGATATCGATCAGGTCCTCACTGCTCAGCGGGACGCTATTGCGACCCTTCCTGATGATCATCCGGGAAAGCCTATGTGTCTCGGCAACTTCGGCAACTTAGTGTTGCGTCTGTTCGAGCATACGAAGAACACCTCACATATTGAGGAAGCTATCATTGCTCACGAAGGGGCCCTTGCCCTCGCTCTTAATGCACACCGGAAATATGGCTCTCTCAGGCATTCCAATGATCTCCAACTCTCCTACCTCGCACAGGCCGAATATTTCGGTAACATCCTCGTCATCGATCAGGTCCTCCTTACCCAGCGGATTGCCATTCTCCTCCTTCCTAAAGATCATCCGTACAAATTTCAATATCTCAGCTATTTCGGGCGGTCATTACTGCGTCATTTTGGGCGTACGATGAATCCCTCCTATGTTGAGGAAGCTATCGCCGTTCACAAGCAGGCCCTTGCACTCGTTTTTGACAGGCATTCTGCCGAGTCCAGGATCCTCCACGACCTCGGATGCTCCTTCCTCGCCCGATTCGAACATTTCAGCGACATCCTCGACATCAATCAGGCTCTCTCTGCACAGCAGAGGGCCATCGAGCTCACCTCTGATATTCATCCAGACAAGCCTATGTATCTCGGCCACTTCGGGCGGTCATTCCTGCGTCGATTCGAACATACGAGGGCTGCCTCCGATGTTGAGGATGCTATCGACGTTCACAAGCAGGCTCTTGCACTCACTCCTGATACGCATCCGGATAAGCCTATGTTTCTCAACGACCTCGGACTTTTCTTCCTCTTGCGGTTTGAACATTTGTTCGACATCCACGACGTCGATCAGGCCCTCACTGCTCAGCGGAATGCCATTGCACTCCTTCCTGATGATCATCCGGACAAGCCTATGTATCTCTGCAACTCCGGAAGGTCCGAGTCATTGTTGCGTCGGTTCGAGCATACGAGGAATCCTTCCGATATTAAGGAAGCTATCGTCGCTCACCAGCAGGCCCTAGTACTTCTTCCTGCTGCGCATCCAGATAGGCCCAGGCACCTGAATGACCTCGGAGTTTCCTTGCTCTTGCGGTTCGAACATTTCTTCGATCTCCTCGACATCGATCAGGCCCTCACTGCCCAGCGGAATGCCATTGCGCTCCTTCCTGATGACCATCCAGACAAGCTTATATATCTCAGCGACCTCGGACGGTCGTTGCTGCGTCGGTTCGAGCATACAAGGGATGAGTCCGATGTTGAGGAAGCTATTGTCTTTCACAAGCAGGTTCTTGCATTCACTCCTGTCATGCATCCTGACAAACCCAGGCGTCTGAATGACCTAGGACTATCATTTCTCGCCCGGTTCAAATGTTTCGGGGACGTCTTCGACATCGATCAAGCCCTCTCTGCTCAGCGGCGCGCCATCGAGCTCACTTATGATAATCGTCCAGACAAACCTATGTATCTTGGCAGCGTCACCAACCAGCTATTTTTGCGTCGGCCAGAGCATACGAGGAATACCTCTGTTGATGAGGAAATTGTCGTTGCTCACCACCAGGCCCTTACAATTGCTCCTGATATACATCCGGACAAGCCAAGGCTTCTGATTGACCTCGGACTTTCCTTGCTCTCCCGGTTCGAACGTTTCGGCAATATCCTCGACCTCGATCAGACCATCTCTACTCAGCAGGAGGCCATTGAGCTTACTCAGGACAGTAATCTGGACAAGCCCATGTATCTCTCCAGCATCGGACGGTCATTTCTGCGTCGGTTCGAGCATACAAGCAATTCCTCAGACGTCGACCACGCTATTTCTGCTCACCGACAAGCTATTTCGCTTACCCCTGATGCGCATCCTGACAAGCCGGGTCTGCTCAACCAACTGGAAATTATACTCCGCTCACAAACCGACCACTGTTCTGAACTGGAAATTATACTCCGGTCACAGACCGACCCTTCTGACCCATACGACGATGTCGAGGGTTATGATACTGGGTTACTATCGGAAGGCGAGTCCTCAGACGAGTCTCTCGATGAATATTTCGGTGTCCAATCGTTCACCGATTAAAATACAGGGACCGTTACGGATGATCCCGCCTGCACGGAGACGAGAGGCCTTTCAAGTTTGTGGGAGGAAGGGAGGACGGAAGGTTTACTCAATGACCACCTACATTTGATGCCATTGGCCTTCGGCGTAGCCCTGTTACGTTTTTATTTTCCCTCACTTATCCGCAACACCGCGCTGGCCCCAGAGGATGCCGAAAACATGACCGTCAACCCTTCCTTTCGAGAAGTCCTCACGCATACAATTCAATCACTCACATACTACAAGGACCTCGAAAACGCGACTTCCACGGACAATGGGTGGTCCAACCTTCAGTCCCGCATCAAACAAGAATGGTGGAATGCTTTACTCGCTGTAAGTACCATTGTCTTCCCATGCCAGTAAAGATTATGTTCTGACGAACTGCTGTAGATGCTTGCCATTGCAGCGTCAGTCTCAATCGTCATCATGTTTTCACACTGAGCGTAGCGGCTGATTGTCGTTTCTTAGAGTGGTCGCTACTGTTTTCTTTTCCGCGTCATCAGGAACGGCTTTCAATCTAGGTACTGTACCGAAAATGGCTACTGCCGTCTCAGGGATTACCTCAGGCTTTGGAATACTCTTCGCTGGCTTCTACATATTCAAATATGCGAACCTCAACAATGCCCAATGGGAGGTAAGCCCCAATGCTCTCCTCAACCTTATTAGTGACGGAGATGATTCAATCAATCGTAGGAACACGTCAAGGATATCTACGATACTCACATCTCGTTCGCCATTTCGTCACGGATACCTAGCTTTTTGCTCAGTGTCGCAACTACGGCGATGGCCATATTCCTGTTGGCCATGGGGTGGCAATTGTCGAAAGAGATTGTGATAGTGATTGGTTCGGTGGTGGTGCTTGCCACGGGGTTCATGCGTATTGTTCGTGTCTTCGACATAGTGGGTGCTTACATCGTGATGCTGGTACGAGGACTGGGCATTGTGTTGGGTCGGTGCAGGCGTTGGATTGTCATGATGGGACGTCATCTTCAACGGCTTATTTCTTGATGGGTTTGCATTTGGATAGAGTTCAGTATCTCATAAACGGGGTCTCGTCTACATACAATCACAACAATACCCAATGTTCTTATTATCGACTGGTACAACTGAATGTTCGGATAACATGACGTATAAGTACAATTATGAACACGAGCACGAGCACGACCAAGATCTTGGGAGAGCCGAGACTAAGGACAGCGCACTAGATCAGCAAAGCAGATCATGTCTGAGCGACGCATCGCGAAAAACAGAGAAAGAAAAAAGACCGTCGACTTTTCGCCAGAGCACGGAGCAAGACATATTACAATCGGACTACACGCCCGTTTTCACTTCTCACTTCTACCGCACTACGACTCCTCCCCATCCACCTTCGCCTTCTTCGCACTCGTACTAACGATCGTCGGAACACCCTGTCCCCTCAACCCGCTATCATGTCCCCCATCCGGCTCGACCGCCCTCTTCCTCTTCTCACCCACCTCCGCTTTCTCCTCGCCTGTGCCTGCTCCCCCCGTAGCCGCCGCTTCACCGCCTTCCGACTTCGCGTCATCCTTCCCATTTTCTCTCGGTCCAGAATCCCGGTCCCTCCCCCCTCCCCGTCCACCTCGTCCTCGGCCACCACGTCCCCTCCCACCCCGCCCTCCCCTATCCCCATCTCTGCCACCCCTTCCGCCCCGGCCACCACGTCCTCCACCACGCCCACCACGACCGTTGGACTCCGATCGATCCCGGAAGTTGTGCGAGGAAGGGTTCGAGTTGGTCGCGAATGTATAGATCCGACGCGCAGCGGACCGGGCACGGTCGAGGGAGAACATCCGTTCTTCTTGTTCTATCGATCGGAGGAGTCGGAGGGAGTCAGCACATCAAACCTCAGTCTCCAAGTGAACGGGAAGAAAGAGAAGAAGAAAAAGGATACTCACCGCCCGCCATGCTCCAAGTGACCTCCTTTCCCCCGAGTTCTTTAATCGTCTCCTTCACGAATGCCACGTCCTCCTCTTTCAGCGGCACATCGAACCCTACCAAGCCCCAGCCGTGGGCTTGGGGCGGGTAGCGCGGTTCGCGGGGTTTGTGCTCTCCGTTGGTGGCCGGGGGAGTGGTGGTAGATGTCGCGTCTCCATTGGCGGCTGGGGTTTCGGAGGTGGAAGCAGGTTCTGAGGAAGTGGCTGGGTCGACGGCGGGGATGTACTTGACGAAGGGCGCGCGGGCGAAGCGGCCTTTCAGCGGGGTCTGATGAACATGGACAGTAAAAAAAGGTCCGAAATCAGCACAGTCCTCCTCCGTAGCACAAACGTTCCAAACCCCAAAGCTCAAAGACAACGAATAAAAAAGCGCACCTTAATCTCATCGAAACTGACCTCTCCCCCAACGCCCAACCCCTTCACCTCAAACCTCATCGTCGCGCCCTTCGTATCCGGCACATCCCCATCCTTAATCCACCCCTGCCCCTCCCTCTCATAAACCTTAATCTTACTCCCCATAAACTCAAGTATCACCTCTTTCCCACCCTTGCCCTTCGCTCCCACCGAATCGACTTTCATCGCATGCGGGTCGTTGGGCTCGTTAGCTGCCGACGAGGGATGATGACGATCACCGCGATCACCGCCTCGAGCGCCGTAGGTATCCCGATCGACGAGCTTGAAAGCGTTGAACTTGTGTTCTGTGCCGTCGAGGCCTGTGCGCCCGGGTTGCGACATGCCGAGGGGTTTGCCTGCGATGCCTTTTTCGGCCATTTTGGAGGTGACGTATTGTTCCTTGGACATGATGAGGAGGGGCTCCGGGGCGGGGGAGGTTGAGGAAGGATCGGAGGAGGAGGGAGAGGAGGGAGAGGGAGAGAAGGTGGGGGGAGGGGTGGTGGAGAGGAAGGCGGTTACGGAGGAGAAGTCTGCGAATTCGACGAAGACGGAGTTCTGTGGGATGTAGTGCGGATACGACCGACGAGGGATCAGTGCGATATTGGCGGGAGAAGAAGAAAGGGCGTTGAAAAGAAAGACACACCTTGAACTTCTTGTGCTCGTCCCTGCGCATACGAACGGCATTGACTTTACCCCATTTCTCGAAGAACTTTTCGAGTTCACGTTGAAGTCCTTCAGATTCGTCCGGAAAACCTTTCTGTATACGCCACACATCGCTCGTCAATATCTCATCCCATACTCCCAATATGAGAAAAGGACAGAAAAACGCACAGCATAAACGCTCCTCTCCCACTGTCCCTTCGGCTCCTGGACCTCCTTCTTCCTCCTCACATTCTTCCCCTCCTCATCCACCTCCAGCTCCTCGCTCGTCCGCAACAGCGCCGCCAGCGCAGGCAAGCCGAGAGCTTGTGTGTATTCGCGCATACGTTTGAAGGAGGCGACGGTTTCGAGGGGGACCCAGTGGTCGAGGTTTTTGGTGTGGAGGGTCCACATGAAGCTATGAGGATGAGGTGAGGTGAGCGAATGAATATTATGCGGAGATACAAGAGAAAGAAGAAGATTGCTGCTGAGTATGGACTGCGAGGTGTTTGGTGTGAGAATAGGGGTACAACAGCCAAGCTTTGTATGTGGCTGGTAGAAGTGAAAGGGTGCCACCGCTTCGAGCTTCCGATGAGCTCATGAGAGCACATTACAGCACATTGGACCTCACGCCTCTAAGTGGATCATATATCCAGCAGTATGTCCATAGACTCAAAGAGGAGTTTTCCACATGGCCAAAGCTTGGTTCGAATGACTATCATACGAGTCATACCCAGCCAAAACGCATATGCCAGACAGATGAAAATGATGAGCACGATACACGTACCGGTCATAGGGCAGGTTGGAGTCTGCGAAGTAGAACTCAACTACACAAGCAACGCACCAAGTCAACTTCACGCTCTTTCTCCAACAAAAGTGTAACAAACGCACCTTGACGAATCGCAAGCAGCTTCTTCTCCTCGTCCACGTCCGTGCTGTCCAGCTCCATCCCATCTGCTACCGGCGCAGTGGCCACCTCAGTCGCAACGTCCATCTTGACATCCGAGTCTGTAATAGTCGGGACCTCTACGGTCGCAGGAGTGGCTTCAGACATTTCTACATCCACCATCATCACGTCCATTAGTGCCATATTTTCGCCACAGGGAAATTCCAACTTGATAAAGTGTTTGGTAGCGTTCGGGGAGATGCTGATGGTGAAAGTGGAGAACAAGGATCTGAAAGGAGTGCCATTATATACGTACGGAGAGGCGAACAACGTTTTTTTCTGAATTGGGTTGAATGGACGGTGGACGGTCAAAACGCGCCAGCTGCTGGGTCAATCGAGGTGAAAAGAGGGCCACGTGGATGATCGAGTGGCAAATTATCAAATTCACGGTTTGGACGTGACAACAATGAAGTTGAAAGCGGACTTGGACCTTCCTTGGGGTCGACGACCATCCTCGTACTGACTTATCGCATTGACAGGATAGAGAAATCAAGGTAAGTTAGTACTGCTGCTTTATTTTGACTAGGTGACCGACATTTTCACGGTTTAGGGCTCTGTTTTTAAATCCCTCAAATCCTCGATGCAGGCAATGTCTGGCCAAACCAACGATGTCTCAGCGCTGTCCCAGATGTCCTCTGCCGATCCAATAGATGCTGAGATTGATGCTCTCACCGCTCAGATTCAAGCGCTGTCCAGTCGAGTCACATCCCTACGCGCTGTACGAAACGATCGCGCTCTCATCTCGAGGCTTCCGTACGAAACGATGACAGCGATATTTCGCGCCATCGACGATCGGCCCCGTATTATCCACAATGATGGAAGGGTCGTCGGTAGACCTTGGTTGGGATGGATATACGTGAGCCATGTCTGTCGAATGTGGAGAGATATCTCAGTGCGCCACTCCTTGTTGTGGTCGGACATCTCCTTTGTTCTTGGACCACAGTGGACCAAAGTAATGTTCGAGCGTTCACGAGCTGCTCCTATCAATATCGACTATTCCATCGTATTCGGTCATCCTATATTACTCGACAAAGCTACACTTAATGCTCACATGTATCACGTGCGACAACTTTCTCTGGTCGTGCCACTCCATCCCACTAGCGTATCCCATGTAGAAGACCTTTTATTGATGGTAGCCGGCGCCGCTCACGGTTTAGAAACACTCAGCCTGAAGATGAGACCAATAGACATTCCTCCAGCAGACTTGACTGGTCCTTCGTCTATACCCAGCTGGTTGGCGGAGGACTTTCCTCGATTGCGCCACTTGGAACTTCACGGTTTCCTCATTCACTGGGGACCCGAGTCGGTGTTCCCCTTTCGATCCCTGCTTACCTTGAAGCTCGGACTACCTCTTCACCGCGTTATCGAGCTGGACTCCGCGTATCTACCCACGTTGCCCACGTTGCTTACGGTTCTTGACCAAATGTCGGAACTTCGAGTGCTTCATCTCGTCCACATCCTTCCCTGGATACCACTCCAGAATTTTCATCTATTACCTCCCCCTCAAACCGTATCCCTTCCCCACCTGACCGAGCTACAGATTTCCGGAAAAGCGCATGAGTGTGCCAATTTTCGGCGCTGCCTAGAGATTTCCACCAGTACGATGGTCCAATCATTTGATCTCACCTCTCAATATGCTACTGGAGAGGACCTTCTCATGATGTCTCCCTTCATTAACTCTTTTATGAGCTCAGTTAAATCTTGCATGAGACTCGCCCTCGCAGACTCAGGCCAAACAATCACGGTTATCATGCACATGCCCTTCATGCCAAATGTACCCCCTCATCTGGAATTACGATGTGTTTTCATGAGCGATAGACATTCCACGGAAGACAACATTTTCCCGTTGCTTCTCGGACGCTGTTCATTTGACCATCTTACGACGCTCTATATTCGCAGCCATATGTGGACGATCCCTCATTGGACAAGGTTCTTTAGCATGTTCAAGGCCATCGAACATCTCACAATCGCCACCATTCCTTCGTCCGTCAACAATGCGCAGTGGCCCACCTTCAACAATTTCTTCGACGTGCTAGCCATTGGTACTGGCACCCGTGCTTCCGAGGCTGATTCTGCCCTGAAGGACCGACCGCGCGGTTCCCATCTCCTTTTACCATCACTTACAGTCGTGAGTTTCTTTAGCATCGACCTCACGCCCACGGAGTCGGACGATGCCCTGAGGCGAGGACTGCTTGCGTCCCTCGAGTGTCGACAGCGATCCGCGTCTCCGATTAAGAGCATCCAGTTCAGTCACTGCAAGGTCTCGCCTAGGCTACTACAAAGTCTTCGTGAGGTTGTACTCGAGGTTGTTCAAGAGGCTGAGATCGATCTTGATACGAGATACGGAGTGTACGTATGTTTATTTGACCGTCCCTTTGAGTCCTGTCGTATTCATTGGTGGTTCGTTTGCAGGGCTCGACGTCGCACATAGGTCGTTCGAATATATGGGTTCGACTCCATCTGCATGCTCCATACTGCGTGTACAGTCTCTATTCTTCAGTAGACCCTTTCTTGTTTATACGTTTCAATCAATCTAATCGTGCGCGTGTCCTTCACGGAGATATAGATGGTAATTGACATCGGAATGACTCTGTAGTTGGCATTGTACAACTTTGAGAGCGCACAATACGTGAAGGTGCTTCAACACGGTGCTCGAGGTCAATGCTACGTGCTGCAACTTAGCGCGTGTTTTTCGGCCCGAGAGATAATGTAAGAATCGTGGCTTTCATCGATTGAGAACCAGATCATCGACCTGGCCCAACGCCCACGGTGAGTGTCCTTGTTCTCAAGTCTGTGTTCGAACTTAACCACATTTCTCTGGTAGTGTCATTCCAATGACGACCATCAAACTTGGCGGCTACTTCTTCGATCTCAGCGCCGCTCGAACGTTGAACAAAAACCTCGGCATAAATGACGATGAGGTCCCTGACACGAGACTTGAGTGTCCCATAAATAACTGGCTCGTGGACAACGGCAGGCACGACATTCTCGCAGCATGGATCATGTTGCCCAAATGTCATCGACCTGGCTTAACACACCCCGACGCGAAGCCAGGAATGATGATTTGCACACAGTTCTGACCCGTTAAAGAGGAGAACCCGGGACCAGGTTGTCCGTGAGGTACGTTCGAAGTCGGCACTTCCGAGCCTCCTACATTCTCAAGACAGATGCCAATCAAAGAGCCAGAGGCCCTCGAGAGAGTATTGATACCCTCGAGGAGTGTCCAGAGCCTGATTGCGTGAAACTATGGGATGGATGGATTACTGGGGGCTCGGATGACGCTCGCTGATCTTTGAGACTGAAGAGCCCTGCTTGCAACGAAATAGTATCGAGAGACATTCTCCATTCACCTCAACCTTCGCGCATCCTCTGACGTCGGAGGCAATGACCCCACGCTCACGATGTCGAAGAAGTTGCAAAAAAAAAAAAAAAAGAAAAAAAAAACCCCCCGCACCAATACTTCACTGTACAGGGAAGGCGAGTGGATGTCATCCGGACTGCCTGGACTTCCGGCGAGGCATCCATCCCCTTACGCCTTCGATGTCTACCTCTGTACCTTCCAAAAGCATCAACATGTACTTTTAGTAGCACGAGAAGGCTTTGTCGTCGTATATAACATACTTTGCATGCACCCCAACTCTGAAAACGATTTCGCTGTGGACTCGACAAGCCCTTGACACAGCTGGAGGATTGGTCGCGGGCCACAGCCAGCACTCCCTCCCGCACTCCTGACCTTCTTTCCTTCCATGGACAGTGTACGGGGAGAATATATGATGGTGCACTAAGAACTTATTCCTAGCTTTCAGACAGAAAACTCGAATGCCTCGCTCCTATGCGGAAGTTCGCAGCTGCACATCGACTCGGATACATCCATGACATGTTATGGCTGATTGAATAATTTCCTATCTTTCACCGTACATAGGCAACACTAATAATATAAGTCTATCTAGTGTACTATCCTCAGTCTTCGACGTACAATCACCAGCTTGACTGTGAAGTCGACATCGACGAAACAAGTAGTACTTCAACTGGCGCGCTCCTATCCGCAGTGGACCGCCATTTGGGATTCCCTATCTCAGAAGCCTCGCACTGACTTAGCTCGATACTTGACGCGTCTTCGAAGGCAGTCAATCATGCAGTCACTAAGCATACAGGTTTTTGGGGAGATGACTGGTTCAGACAAGCCCGCCACCGCTTTCTAGCCTCAAAAACTCGGATTTCTCGCACTTGTGGTACCACATCGCGACTCAACACTATATCGCTCGACTATGGGGCCTCCAGACACCCGTTATCTACTGAAAGATTTTTGGCTTTGCTTCCTTTCACTCAGTATACGTGCGCACGACGACACAGTGAGCAGGCCGAGACATGACTGCATCATCCACCGCCTCGGGCAAGGATTTGTAGGCATCATCACAGGTTCAGACTTATCTCGATGCAGCGTCTAGTATTGGAAGCAATGTGTTTTTTCATTCAGTAGTACGGTACGTTCTGGGTTCACCTCTGGTTCAGTGTGTGGTGGATGGGCTCCGGTGGTGGATTTTTTTGGCTTTGGGCAATCCGAGACCGTGAGATGCTCTTTGGAGGGTCAAAGCGGTAGAGATGTCCGATGGCCTCTGTGGCAGTATGTATTTAGTGCACGTACCTGGCTACAGATAGGAGTATTGTTCCTCATGGGACCGTATTGTACTCTGAATATACCTTCCTTCCTTCCTTCCAGATAGCCCGGAGCAGGAGAAGGACTTGGAAGTGAAGGAATGGCTCACCGATAATGGAGTTTCGGAGCTGCGCTCGGTGTGTGTGTTGGACTTGGATGGGATTACCCGGTATGGCTCTTTCCCACGTAAGATGCCGGTGAATCCACCGGTAGGGGAGGACCAGGAACCGTGGGAGGCCCTTGGGGTTACTGAGGAGGACTGGGAGGCTACGGGGAAAGCAATTAAGGAGATGCGGGAGAAGTCAAAAAATAAGGCGAAGTGACGGTCCGTGACGATGGAAGCTGGCTGGATGGCTCACCCTGTTCATATCCACAACCTCGCCTGTGTTATGCCATAAAACCACTCTGTTATGATTTCAGCTATTCTGCGGTCACTGTGTGGCAGAGCGCCCAACACCAACTCAAGCTTGCTTCAAAGCTAATGGAGTGTTTCCATTGACTACTCTGGTATATGCAACCGACCGCGTTGGCCATGCTGACTCGCATTCGGGGTTGCCGTCGTGGTATAACCTATAAAGTGAGATGTGGTGAAGTTTTGTTGGCTTGGGCGGGGCGGCTTGACCCACAAATTTCCCACGACGAGACATCCCGGAAGCCTCCGAACACACATTGTGGCGTAAGAAATCGCTCGAATGTGGCAACATTCGCGCAAAGCACTGCCACAAGTTCTTGACGCAAGCATATTCCAGATGTTGTCTAATTCCACCACCAGTCGAGTTAATGGAGCAATATATATTGAGTATTCATCAGTACATTGATTCACCTACGCCACTCGGCACTCGAAGTTTGCTCGAAGTCATCCTGGCCTCCGAGTCCCTCGACAAGTACTCTAACGCAAATTCTACCTCAAACGACCCCACAATTTCCGTCTCAAAACCTATGAACTCCACCGCATCATTAATTACACTACCCAGTCAAGCTCTGCAGACCCATGGAGCACACAGAATCTCTAAAGTTCTCTTCACTGCTTGAATCCCACAGGCTCTCGCACAATCAATCGCCACCGTCAACGTCACGGTCCCGGCGAACATTATCTGAAGGCCGTTAACCCGCCCAACCGTCACACACATGGGGATGGAGATAAACAACCGGTGAGTCACTTGTAGGCCACCACAAGAACTGGCCGCCTTAGCCTGAGATTCTCAGCGGTGTTTGTAAACGTGCAAGGGACAGAAAGCCACCAGTGGTTCAATAGTGACTTGTAAATCCATGCTAGAACTCAGCCCCGCCGTTATATTCTCACCACTGGCACCCCGCGTTGTTTCCTTCGACTCGCTCAGACGCGAACCCTCCCTCAGCCTTTTCTCCGTTCAGTATAGCCCCAACCGAGCTGTCAAAAACGAGCACTTAAAGAGTCAAAAAGCGACTGACTGGGGCGGAAGAATCGAGATTATCCTCCTCACTTATACCCAACGAGCTTAGCGCAAATCGTAAAGGCTCAACTGACACTTTCCCCATCCGCCGACCATGCAGAGCAACTCGCCTTACTCCTATGCCCTAATACTCAAAATAACGTCGCCCAGTCTCGACCCGCGAGACTCTTCGGGACATACAGAGTCAGACTACTTAACCTTCGAGGAACCAATGAGCTGAGCCCTCCAGAGTTCTAGCTAGTGTCAATGCGAGCGTGGCACCGGTACGGACCTCGAGGCCACGGTCCATCGCAATAAAACCACATTCGGACGGGTGTCAGTGGACAGCTATTTATGGGACTCTGGCCTTCGTTGTGCGTCCACGGGGCACCGATATGGGCGTTGGACGTCACGGATATCGTGTTGAATGAGGCAGGAGAAGAACGAAGAACGGATACAAAGGCGGCCTTGTCACTCACCTGAGGAAAATCGATCTCTGATTCGAGCTATGGAAGGCCATGGAACGCTTTGCTGATCTGATGCGAATCGGATTATACAACTGCGACTGCGAGTGGAGCCATGTAACGTACGAAGGGGAACAAAGGGGGGAAGTTGAGTACGAAGGAACAAAGGGGGAAGCTGAGTACGACTCTGAGTACGTAGAAACGGGGGTAAATCGAGCTCTCCTCTCGAGAGCTACCTATGTATATAGCGGACTAAAATTCAGATCCAGGAAAAGAAACAACAAAAGAAACTTCATGAGCCATTGTATGGGGTTATGTATATACGCATGCAAAGAAAAACAAATTACTTATGGGTACTTCGAGCCAGGGGGGACGGTATCGGGCAAGCCGGAATGCAACAGCCGGAAACGGAGGGAGAGAGGAAAGGAAGAGGAGGAAGTAGAAGGGAATAAGAGTACAGAGAGCCAACAGCAACAGGCTCCGATGCAAATGAAATCAATAAAGAGCGAGGCGGAGTATATGTATATACGGCGGAACGGAATACTTCGAACGAGGAGACGAGTTCAGGGGGGAGATGAGAGTCGAGTACAAAGAAAGGATATTAGCACGGAGGAAACCAGCAGAAACGATAGAGGGGAAAGAGAAGAAAAGGAAAGGTAGAGCAAGAGAGAACGAGAAAACGATGCGATCCAAGACAGTACAAAGCATAACATAGCCGGAAACATAAACATAAGAAACGACGACAACGACCAATGACAAGAACGCAAGAGGGACCAGCCATAGACAGGGAAGGGGAGAGGGACTATCCACGACTCGGAACGAAGTTCACCCACTTCGAGGACTTTTGCACACCTGTTCAACACGCAACCTCTTGCACCCTCGCCTCCCTCATACCGCTCTGACTCTTGGTGTGCTGCCTTCCACCCGCATTCGCACTCGAAGTACTAGCACACGCGCCCACACCGCCCTGTTGTTCCCAAAGCGCTACCATGTTACGCATCAACTCCTCCAAGAACGTCGCATACTGCTTCGGCGTATGTTCCTCGTCGATCGCCACGACCGGCGAAGCGAGCGACGAGATCAGCCTCTGGGCGACATTATAGATCTTCACGCGTTTGTTCTGATCGATGGTTTCCGCGAGGCTGGGGTGGAGGAGCTGAACGCACGTTCGTGTTAGTGCTGTAAATAACGACGGGTTGGGGAATGGACTCACTCTCAACAAGAACGCTCCCGTGAAGCCGGCACCAATATAGAAGAACTCGGGCGAGTACTTCATATTTCCCGTGGGCAACATCTGGTTCGTCCACACGTCCACCAGCTGGAAGCACGCATCGATGCACTGCCGAAAAAACGCACCCCAAAGTCAGCCATCCATTACATTTCGGATCGTGATCGTCGTGGGGTGGGTGGGAGGGGTTATATTAGGGGAGAAGCGGAATGGAGTGTGTTATATCGGGGTGTGGGGCGCGGCTCCAAAAATGGAACCCAAACTCACCCCAGCCAAAAATGTTGCCTGCGAGACACTCGCCGATCCTCCAAGATCAGCCTGATATCCATACGAAAGTATGATGAGTCGGCAGTAATGCCCTAGACTGTACACAAACAACGAACAACGCGATACGATATTTAGCCTCTTGACTTCCACGCACACAATCGCGACAGAAACGACGTACTAAGCGATCATGCCCTCGCGAAGGATCATGGCCATATCTAGCACATGGATAAAATACGACGGTTAGGCTCAAATTCGCTTAAGCGAAGACGTCGAGGGAGAGGCTGAACGCACCATCCCGCTCATCTTGTCCTCTCATCCCCCTCTTCAAGCTAACCTTCACGAGCAAGTCTACACGATCATAGAACTCCTTGATCTTCGCCGTGACGTGCGTTTCGTCCCTCTGTAATACCACGAAAGTAAACAAAACGAACTTGTTAGCTCACAAAGTTCGGATTGAACACAAGGGAAGGTGGAATGAGAAAACGCACCTGCAGATGCAGCGGAATATTCGACACGGCCTCGATGAACCCATTCATGATCCTCAAGAAGCTAATGATCACCGGCAGATGCACATCGTACGGGTGCTGGAACGTGCTCGACGAGCACCAATGCTCCGCGTTCCGGATCAACTACAGAAACATAAAAGTATCACACCGTTAATACACGGACAGGAATCGACGCAGGAGGGGGAGGGGAGAGAAAGAGAGAGAGGACTCGTGTGAACACCAAACTTACCTCATCCTCCAAAATCGTCGGCGGCTTCCCCAACTGCATCGCCGTACTATAATCCATAATACAGCACAACATCCACGTCCTTCGATTATTCAACATCTCCCGCTCGTGCCGCTCGTCCTCCGGCTTCGCAGGGGTACTGTTCGGCGGTGGGGGCTTGTTCAGGTTCAGCTCGACCGCCATCCTACACGAATACACCCATACACACATACACGGAGACACAGCAGCGTGGTGAGCTCGGAACATCCTCATCGAATGTAGAAGATGTGAATAGTGAATAGGCACGCACCTGGTAGCGATAGCGGTATAACACCACCCCCGATCCTCCTCGAACCTCCGCGTCGGGAAGCCGTACGCAGCGAGGATAAGATACGCCTGACACGTCTCGACCGTCTTCCAGCCGTCCACAACCGTCGACGCCGCGGCGGCCTTGGCGAAATGCATCGCGATCTTGTAGAGGCCTGGCCGTTCGAAGAAGTACCGGGAGGAGACGGCGCAGACTGTTGGGGGTTGATGTCGGATTTTTGATAAGTAAACCTGAACGGACAGGAGGGGAGGGGAGGGAGGAGGAGAATCGCTACTCACTAACGGTGAACAAAAATGGACATCGTCTCAACACACTCGCAGGCGTATAGATCGTCTCGTCGATCCCGCTCAAGAACGTCTACACGAACGAACACCCCTCGCGCTCTCAGTAAACAGCCACGAGGAAAACGCGAAACGGGCACTCACGTTGATTCGCTCGAAGTATCTATCAAATCGCATCACACGCGTCAGTCTCTCGTTCTTTCTCTCGCTCTCGCATGGAAAGATCTGGAGGAGGCAGAAGGACGTACATCCTAAACAGCGCCTTCGCATCCTCAAAACTAATCAACCCCGAACTCAATATCTCCGGCACCTGTTCCCTCTCAATAATAATCCTCCTCAGATCCAAATCCGCATACGGCCCCGGACGGAAATACAACCCATTCGCGATCCCCATCCCCCCCGCGGCGCCCATCCCCTTCAAAAAATCCTCGGGACTGAACCCGCGCGCTCCGTACTTCAGACTCGCATCGGCCAGGAAACCAACGGGGGCCGTGCGATCCGGCAGCGCGCGTGGGCGGGCCAGCTCCTTGCTCTTTCCCTTCCCACTTCCCCCTACTCTTCCTGACCGACCACCAAGACGCTCGGAATCCTCGTTCTCAGAGTCCTCGTCCCCAGAATGGTCCTGCGAATGCCGGCTAAGGCCAAGGAGATGTCGCTCGACGTCCATCTCCTCGTCCTCCGAATCGCTATACACCTCTCCGTCCTCCTCGAGCGGTCGCGAGTCGAACGGCTGGACGGCTTTTGTCGTTCCGTCGGGGGCGGGAAGAGGTCGTGTGGAGCGTTTTTCGAGGTAGGTCAGGACTTCGGTGAATTGTTCCCTGTGTGAGCGAACGATCGAACAAGTGAATAGGTCAGTTTGGGTCGATGACAAAGGTGAACAAGGAGTCTGACAAGTAAAGTATAAACGTACCGTTCCTGCGCACTCAGCGTCAAATGACCAGGCACGATCCCTATAGGCGTGTAGCTCCCCGGAAGGGTATGTAACTGCCTCAAGACATTCGTCACTTGTTCGTTCTTCGAGCGGATCTGGCGGAGGAGGAATTCGCGTTCGCTGTTGGTTGGGTTTAGGGTTGAAGGGACGAGAAGGTCAGCGTCGGCGGTGAGGGAATGAGACGGTCAGCGTCGGTTATATGTATTAGATGAAGACGGGTGTGAAATGATGTACGATAGAACGGCGGAGGATATCATGACTGAAGTTTGAAACTCACCTGGGCGTCCTCGCCTTCCGCCCCTCACTAACACACTCATGCCCGCCCGCCGTACACCTCTGACACACCGACGCATCATCATTGAACACGCAGCGCATCTGCACACAACCCCATCACACATGCTCCGTCAATAACGCCATAATACCAGGACCCATACACAACGCCACTGAAACGCACCTTCAACCGCTTACACCTCGAACAAGCCCCCGGCGGCCTCTTCATCGACACTTGTTGTCCCTGTCCCTGTCCCTGTCCCGTCGAGACATCGCCCGCACCATTTCCATTCTTCACGCTCTGGGTAGCAGCGACTGACGACGTAGCCGTAGCCGTAGCCACGACGGGCGCATACGGATGATGATGTGCATGCGGGGACGTCGTCGGCGAACCCACCACCTTCGTGAGACTCGTCGATGTCGGTAACACATTATGCGTCTGTGTCGGAGCATGGGCATGGGCATGGACGGCCCTCGCTGACATCGGCGACGAAGTCAACGGCGAAGTAGAACTCGACGTGGGCGAAGAAGACGGTGAAGAACTAGTGGTGTCCCTTTCCCTCTTCTCCTTGTTGTCCTTGTTGTTGCTGTCCTGTGGATAGGGCCCGCTCGCCGCCGTCGACTTCTTATTGGATTTATCCTTATGCGACGTCCGCTTTGGGCCGACTTGGCTTTCTTGTTGATGTTGATGTTGTGCGTGTTGATGTTGGTGTTGGTGTTGATGCTGGTGTTGATTTTGGCGCGCGACGACAGAAGCGCGAGGGATGGATACCTGCGTCGGAGCAGGCACTGGCACAGTCGTCGTCGGGGGCTGCTGCTGCACGTACACAGGACCAGGTCCGTAGCCTGAGTTCGAGAACGGCATAAGATCCATCGGCGCGATCAAAGTCGGACTATTCCCATTACTCCCCCCCATCCCACCCACATCCATCGCAATCGCATTCGCATTCCCTTCCACACCTCTCATATCCAACCCACCCATCATATACCCCGAGCTAACATCGTACCCAGGCACAGACGGCGTCCACGACTTGTGCTGGTGCTGGTGCGGGATCGTGACGTCGTCCTGTGCGAGGGGATGGCCATGCGACGAAGAAGGCGACGAGCCGGAACTGATGCTGAGACTGTCGGAGCCACTGGAGGTGAGAGGCGGCGTGGGCTGGTTCCATGCTGCATGAGCGTTGGGAATGGGGATGCCGGTGCTGTCGGGTGGGGACTGGGACTGCGAGTGTTGGGAATAGGAATCGTAAGTGGAGAAGGCGGTCGGTGTCGGTGTGACGGGGATGGGTTGGACGTCGGACCGGGGGTATGGCTGGTGGGAGTGTGTGTATGACGCTTGGGTGTTGTTGTTGTCGTGCGAGGGAGGGTAGGAGATGGCGTTGGCAAGGAAGGAGGACGGGGAGGAGGATGAGACGGAAGCAAACATGTCTGTGTGTGGGGAGGGGAGTTGCCGGCGGGACGGCGGATGACGAGAGGGGGATGACGTTGATTAGCCTCGATCAGACCAACATGCATAAATTATATAAAATAAAATGGCGATGCGATGCGAATGCCATGCAAGAGCGCGTGCGGGGAAGGAAGCGAAGAGGACGAAGTCCGTGGACGAACAGGACGAAGGAACGCACCTCTGTCATTCATACCGTTCCCAGTCGTCGAGACAGGGCTCGGGTAGCCCCACTGCGCCTGTGTGGTGCTGTCCTGCACGTCCTGCACGTTGCTCGCATGCTCGTACGCTCCTGATCCGCCATACCCATCGTACCCTTCCGCACCTCCGTACGTCGAACTGTTCGAGGACCCGGGCTGATAATACGACGGCGCATACTCGAACTCCGCGAGGGGTGCTGCCTTGGAGGAGATGCCGCTATAGTCGGGGTATGAGTCCGAGCCGGGATACTGGATCGGCAAAGAGGAGGAGTGGTGGGTGTTGGAGGACGCGTGTGGGTGGTGTTGGTGGGCGTAAGGGTCGATGGTGTTGGTGGCGTCGTGGTGGTGGTGCTGGTGGTGGAAAGAAGCCGAATTCGCAGCCGAATTGGAAGCCAGGTATGGGCCGGCGCCGGGGTGTGTGTTATAGGCCAACGCATCCGCGAGGTCAGGCTCGCGCTTGTGATAGACCTGGTCGAACTGCATCGTCGTCGGTCGTCGTGGCGGACGATGGGAAATGATAGGTGCAAGACGCGGGGACGACGGTGGGCGAGGGATGTTGTGAGGCGGTGATGGAGAGAGGGAAGGGGGAGCGAAGACTGTAGGTGGCAAGACGCCCGGCGGACTTTATATATCGAGGTCAGCGAATGGGCACCGTGAGCGTCGAAGGATCTTCCTGGACGGGAGGTCATATTCCCATATGGGGATTCCCATCTCCGTGCGCCGTTCTTCTGCGTTCCCACCACAGCGCTAAACTCTCTCCTGCCCAACACCCGGCCCTCGTCGTCCTCTCGTTTTAGATGTCGCTTCGTTTGGGATGGCGTTCTACTATGGGTCAATTACCCGTTTCTTTCGCTCAATTCTTATTTTCGACAAGGTAAGCAATCTCGCTCCTTTTCTTGGATATGGGCATGGATTTGCTTACGAATACCCCTGGATTCATGATTCGCGAGAGCTAAACGAGAGCCCTTCCAGTGCCCAGCTCTCCCAAGCCACCCCTACCTCACCCAAGACCGGACATCGCATCTCCCCTCTGGATTGCGCATCCGATTCGAATTCCCAACCATAATTCTAATTTTCCCCCTGGACGATCTCTGCAGCCCATCTCGCTGAGTACCTTATCCGCCGCAAGCGATGGAACCAGAACGCTCTGATCTGAACTGGTAGGATAGCTCGAGATCGACGCCCCCACGATAAAATCGCACAATTTTAATGGCATGCACTAATACTGACCGCATCATTGGTGGTCCGTGCGCCGCGCCATCATCCACTGATCCATCAATCACACGACACGACGAAATCGGCGCATCGGCATCTGAATCGGACTCGGAATCGTCGCATCGAAGGCATGACAACTTACCACAACAATTTCGCGCTCTCATTTCCATATACCGTTATTATGCTTGTGTATAGGTTATCTTCCGCATACGGAAACCCCGCTGCGATGTACGGGATGAATTCTGTCACAGGACAAGCTTTTCGTAGGCTTCGCTCACGCTTGTGACGAAGAGGTGCTCATTCATCCAAGCTTGGCTTTCCTTGAGCCTTTTTCGGGTGTCCCTGCACATGATTCACGTCTCATCCTTTTGCGTCCAGCCTCCACCTTCTTTTCGCTCCGTGAGCCCGTAAGACGAGCTTAATATTATGAATCGTTCGTAAGCTCCTTGCTTCCTCCAAACCCTCCCCTCATCTTCGTTCCTTCGTTCGTTCTTTCGCTTCTGCCATAACTCACCCCTGCCTTCCTTCCTTCTATCCTTCTCGACCGCGACTGAGACACAACCTAACTAAAGCTTAATATTCCTGATGCACTGGATGGATCGATTGAACCGTACACTGTACAATGACAGCGAGCAGTGCAAAGAGACCTGTGAATAGAACGGCAACACCCAGGATCGACATCATCTTTCTCTATTCCCGATCGATCCTTTCTCTGTCTTGCGTCGTGCGATCGTGACCTTCACCGCTGTACCATTCCCATCCTCTCTCTCTTTCAGTCCACTGATGCTCTCTCGATCTACCCACAACTCACACAGACGACCATACTCACCCGCCTAGCCTAGTCCGAGTCATTCAACACGCATCTGACAGACAAGTCGCAAGCATCAACTAGGTACTCACAGCTACTACTGATGATCTGGTTTAGATCGGGGCGCACCATCGAGGGTCTGCACCGTCGATCGAGGGTCGAGCCGAACCGACCGACGACCGACGACCGAGAGCGAGTGCGAGCTCGAGAGCGAGAGTTCCATTGCTCGTGGCGTTGGCGTTCTACGATCGTTATAAGAGCGTAAATGTGTGTAAAATGGCTCTCGCTTTGTGCTTCTCCCTGTGCCCCGCTCCCTATGTTCCTTCCCGCTCTATGTTTTCTACGCGTCACTCGATGTTGGATCTTCGAGGTATTTGACCCACAGCAATTGAACCGCTAGTGCTCCTACCTCCTGGTCCAGTCCGAGATACAGAAGTTTGATACTGTATACTCAGCTACAGGGTAATCACTACGTTCCTCTGATCCACTATTCAGACGAGACGAGAACATGGACACTTACCCCCTCCCTCCCACCTTTCCTTCCTTCCTTTCTTTGTTTCTTACTTTCCCTAACTTAAAACGGCGGAAACTCCACGCCCAAGCCCACGCAAACCGATCGATCCTGATTCCTGATGCCGATTCACACAGGTACGTAGGGCCGCTCAAGCTTCATGCATCATGCTTCCTGCATCATGTATCATGCACATATCCATCTGAGGTCTCGAGCCTCGAGGTTCCAAAGACCGATATAGCTCTGTTACAGTCTCATCGCTAAGTATCCGCCCTTCGTGATTCGTGCCCCGATGCTTCCGCTTCTGCTTCGTCCGTCCCGCTCTACATTGACCAATGACACTCCGCACTCCGTTTCATTCCCTCGGCATCAAAGTCTGGGATATAACATCTCACATCTGCATTGCCTATAAATAAGGGTTCATTCCCCTGATGGGTTGCTGTTTTGTCGTACCGTGTAGGGAGGAAGGGAGGGATTCAGTTGTGACGGGTGCGGTACCAGACATAGACATAGATCCAGAGAGCAGATAGAGATAGAAGTAAGTCCGATTTCGACTCCGCCTCCGATGAGGGCGGAAAGATGAGTTTAAGTTTTATAGAGCGTACTCGAGTACGATAGGCACGAATCTCGTCGTGGCTTAATATTTTAATGTCCGTCCTTGCTGTTCGAACTTCGAATCCTGGCCAGCTGGCTGTGGCTTTCTTGTATAATTAGCGACGATGGGGAGTCAAGTCGATGTGCATTGTGGACTAAAATTACATTCTTCGATGAGCGCTCGTAGGAATTCATTCAGGATACATACATACATACACACATGTGACTCACGATCCGAATTCGTCTATTCCCTTCTATTCCACCTCCATGCAAACACATGTAGCCATACTGTATTAGTGTAATAAGCCCCGCCCAATGATAATGGAGGCCTAAACCCTCAACCCTCAACCGTCCATCTTCATACTACTTACTCTACTAAGTATACTGTAACCGTACCGTCTGCAGAAGTGCCTCTTGGAGATCTAGACCATACGTGGACGTACTTAGAGGAACACAGTACTAGTGGTCAGATTGCAATGATGCTGCTGGTGAGTTCAAGTTCACCCTTCGGGGTGGGATCTCGGGACGAAGGCTTGGACGATATAGATCACGACGTCGTGGCCTAAGTCGACTGATACTGTGAATTCATGTTCTGACGCAGGAGATACTGTACGTTACATTATACGACATCATCGCTCGAGCCTCGGGATCTTTTTACATTGGCATAATTCAGACCGTTGGCGCCACGGTGGCGCATGTCCGACAAACTTTGTTCACCCGGAAATTGTTACAGTAAGGAGTAGATTTGTGGAACGTTGGAGACATGACGTCTGTCATGTGCATGCACCCAGATGGTTGTGGGTTGTCCAGGTCATAGGAGTCACAAGTGAAATACTTAGGCGTAGAAGTACCTGTAAGTATAGTACTGACATGATCGGGAATAGTCTGGCGCCCCTTCCTAAAATATCCGGGTTCTTGTCATGAGCACAATGGTATCTGTCATGCAGACAAATGGAAACGCATGAGGTCTGAACGTTGCGTTCTGTATTCACCACAATAACAATAAGCATGGCAGAAAGACTGGCAAGTGTGACACAATACGTACGCCATACTCATCTTCCACTAAGAACAGCGACACCTACACACGGTCAGGACAGACCCTGCACAGACCATGGCTAGCGCTCGGAGAAACACCATAACGGCACGGTTTCGAACGGAGCTTTGAAACCTAACTGTCGGAGTTGGAGTGTCTATAGGATCGACATTTTCAGCTAGTTTCACGCTTGGCAGGTAACGAAGAGTGTATTAGGAAACCGTTGTCGTGGAGTAGAGGTGTGGTGACTCAGATTGTGCACGAGGGATTCTCATGTCGCTAGTTTGAGACCGCTCGTGCTATTGTTGAACTCGAGGGTGATGATGGTGTGATATGATATGATATGATATGATACAAAATTAAGATGAAAAGCTTCGAAGCGCGCAGGAGTCTGACAAACGAGATGGATGGAAAATGCCGTGTCTGAGTGTCTCGTCATGATTCAAACTGCGCGTTAAATTTTAATACAAATCGGTCTCCGACTTGGGTGCCTTGCGCTAAGGAAAACTGTCACTCGAGAAATACAGCGGTGCCGTTGGTTCATCATGGGTAGTAGAAAGGCCGAAAACACGATGGGGAACTTGAAGAAAGAGGGCAGACACTCGCCGTCTCAAGGATCTACCACAATGGCTAGTAAAATTCTACGTACCTTCTAGGTGAAACATAGCCTACGTATCGTGGCTTGAGCCTAGTGCAGTACTAACCCAAACTCGTCGCGCGCTCGTCGAGTCCACCTCGCGGTTCTCAGCGGGCGTTGAGTACCCCTCCGCACCATTCGGTCAAATTCGTCCGCGTAACATGAGCGCGTATTTAGAATTTGATGTCTTCTCCATGACATTGAGACGCCCCCCTCAGAAGACAAGGCCAGCGACTAATTTATCGGTGGGGTATACTTGGTAAAGAGCCAAATGTGCCGTCGGAGAACTTGACCTTCCATGGAATTGTGGCTGTGAAATTTTTATAACTTGTCTTCGAACATCCTATTCTATCCATCCATCCGCTCTACAGTGCACCATGGTTGCGCCGTAGTACGGACATTTCTGCAGTAACGCAAGCCAATATCACTGTAGGATGCCGGGGACTTGTAGGGCGGAACGGAGGCAAAATAAAACGATAGATACGAAGCCAAATCTCACGAGCAGATCGCCACCACCTCGCAAACACGTCGCCCCAAATCTTCCCTCCTTCTATAATTTTGCCAAACGAAGCGTCTATAAATTAGCTATCCATACTAGCTCACGCTCCGCCCCCACGTTTGGAGGGGTTACGGGCTATACTTGCAGAATATCGACGGAATTGACCAGAGACGCTGCGGGAATACGGAGCTGGTACTTAGTACTTATCTGGAACAAGGACAGAGATATTCGAGAACCCACAGTAAGTTTGTCTGGGTCATGAGCAGACTTCTGCCAGCTTGAGCGTCAGATTGTATCGGAGCTTCAAGTTATCGTGTTTAGAATTGTTCCTAGCATAAAAATACAATATCATGACAGGGTGCGAGTACAGACACAAAAGAGACTTCGACGAACCAATGGCAGGAGTGAAAAAATATCCTTAGAAGCATGGGCTCCGGATCACGACGAAGAAACAAGAAACAAGGTGAAGTGTAAGGGACAATGAAACCTCTCGACAAGTTAGAAGATGATCAAAACCGTTAGAAGCACCAGAAGAAATACATACGGGGTAAGCAGGAGTGGTGAGGAGGTTTCGCGGTCCCGGTTTAGGTAGACCGCTAGCAACAGGCTCGCGCCTCGCCCGAAAGGAAGACATCGGGTTGCGTTTTATGTTCTACAAATTCAACGGAAAAATGAGATACCAGGTATGGAGTTAGCATATAGTTACTCTAACAGAATCTTTCAAGTAGAACTGGGCTCGGGTTTTCCAGTGCGGGGACTCGGGATCCTTGTGTGAACATAATCAGAAATCAACCTGGCAAACGGGCAAGCCCTCATCTCGCACACATTCAGAGACAATGATCTTCTCCGTTCTATATTCATCTTACCCAGGAAGAGTAACCGATATCAATATGACATTGAAAAAAAATGTATGGCAAGACCTCGAGACTCACTGTGTCGCAAATTACCAAACGCCGCTGGACTAGACGCCACCGCCACCTAAACGCCACTAACGTATCCCTAACTGGGGACCCCGATCCATTCAATTACAGAGCGTATTCATGCCACGAGTTCCTAATCCGCTAAGCGAGTCGATGAACCATAAATCGGGGGATCGGGGATGCACGATCGAGGATCCTGATCGTTAGAGACCGGACGTCTTAGTGAGCCTTGAGCATCTCGAGGCCATCCTGCGAGAAAGTTTGCTCAAGGTGAATGTCTGGAACAACATCTTAAAGTTCAGCTCTGTCCGCGAAGGGAAAACCAAAATTAAAAAACTCGGGTAGAAGCAAAGAACAAACACACAATTTCGTACCATGCCCGAACTGAGTCGAGCGACGAGAAGAATATCACGTAGTTTACAGTTGCACGGCCACGGAGAGGCGGGAAGCCGTGACTAACCTTGAATCTCGATAGCATCTCACAATGTATTCTTCGCATCGGGATCATGGTC